AGTGAAGCGACGATGGGCGGATAAAGCGAGGGACCTGGTCGATATACATGAATGTGTCGATAGACAGTAAGAGCAGTACCTCTCTGTCAGTGACGAGTAGGAAGCCGTCAGGCAATGCGCATACAAACAAAGCGATCGGCGGGAATNTTCATACAAACAAAGTGANCCGCGTGCGTCATNATGGCTAATNTCGCTGCGCAGGAAAGGCGGGGCCACTCTNGCGGTTGCATATCTTGAATTGCTGATAGTCGCGTTGTATAGCGCCGCCAAAAGTCACATTTATTTATTTGATCAATTGGCGAAATGGGCGAGTCCAGTATTGCCAGTTCAATTTCTCATTGCCGGGATTTGTCTTCTGGGCCAGCTGACTCACCTGCTCGACTTGGGCTCCATCACACCGAGTCCGACATACTACTGCGACCATATGCCAGAGCAGTCAGTAATCGGTACTGCATCGTATCACTAGAGGAGACCCTCCGATCAAAGCGCTTCTCATACAGGCTACCGTCCTGAAGGAGCGCACTCGTCTATTCGCAGACCGCGGTGAGCCAGGCCGGCTCGGAGTCAGCCGCGTGAACATCTCATCAGTAACCAGCTTTTGTTTACTCCACAGCTTGCATGCGCAATCTCTTGCACTCGAAGAACACAATGTCATCTGTTTGCCAGTAATACATATGAGACAATGCCTGCGACGGTAGCATCGATCGGTAGTGTCCAGGGAAGAAGTGATCTTATCCATTATTGCATGTGTGCGAGCAATATGGAAAGCTGCCTTACTGGCCTGGTCTTGATCATAAGTCGCCATGGTGATGAATGCAGCGCTTCCGGCAGATCAGTGCGAGCAGTCNACCAGCCCTCAAGCAGAATCTCGGCGTCGCACGTAAGAGTGACACAGTGTGATGTCTGTGACACGGCGACGGACGCGTTGGAGACATGGTCTCAGGCTTTTCCGTGCGTGGTCATCTCTTCTTGCCAGCTATTCCCCTGCTGCAATTGACAATCTCGAGAGATTCACTGCCAGATGATCACCTGTCTCACGCTACTGCTTACGCTCTTCCAAGTTGTGTCGACTTCTGCTTCGCCGGCGCGGCTGTTTGGCCGGGATGACTATGGGCCATGGTTGCCAACACGCATAGCCGCAGATCATTGTCTCGATGTCGCTCTCAGCTTCAGAGTAGACCTTACGAACAACGTGCGTCTCGCATGATGGACCACAGAATGCTCAAAGGCTGCGTAGGTCTTGATTGCGGGCAATTTGCCGCCCGACGTACATTTGTCCTGGCACGAGACCAATCGTGACGACCGCGGTGGAGCAACGTACAAGCTCACTCGTACGCTACTTTGATCTTTCACTCGATCAGAATGAAGAATTGGGAGCAGTCGTTCGTGCGCTGGCTGTCATGGATGTAATTTTGCACCGCAAATACGGCTCTGACCGATTCTCTTTNTTCGAGGTGCCGAGTTGCAATGTCGGCATCAACTCCNTTGCGGTATGTAACCCGTGCTCGGGCTNGTCCGGGCTGATGCTTCGTGCAGATCGGCGATATGCATGCCANGTAGGCAGATTGAAGTCTTGGCTGCTGGGCTGACACCATATTACAACAGAGTCATAAGCGCCGGCATCGCAATTCCTGCTTACTAGTACATACTACCATGCATGTGCATCTTTGCTGCGCGGTACGTGGCATGCTACACGAAGAGATGCGATGCATTGCGTAACGCGTCACGCGACGGATATATCTGAGATAAGCTGGAGGGACTATCGGCTGTCCCTCACAGATTTTGTCTCCGTCAACACCTTCATCAGATGCCGTCGAGGGCAGAGCAGCTTGCATGGACACCGCTGAGAGGACTGATGACGTCTGCGCGAGATGATATAATCAACGAGGCCAGAGTACTATATGGACGGCTGTGTGCATGGACAGGCAAGGGCGCAGTCTACGAGCTGCCGGCTCGACTTTGCGGTAATAGTGTACTGCTAGCTGCAGTAGCTCTGCACATCGTCCAGCAAGGGTACGTCGAGATATCGACCAGGGAGACTCGCTCATGAGCAGCAGACAAATCGAGGCGACGCTTGATTCGGTAGCATATCACCGAGCAGCCAGTGTNACAGCTGCCAATTTCANATTAGCACTCGGCAAGTGCCAAAAAGCCGTTGATGATCANTCTGCAAAGATAACGAGTCCAGCGAGACGCACGTCACGAAAGATCAGTAGCGCTTCACCGAGCCGGTCAGCTCGCCCCGTCAGACGCAGCCAGAGCGAGAGTCCGAGCAAGGATGTTGCACGGCAGAAACTAATGAGGCCTGCGCCCGGGCAGGATCTTTCTGATGATGGCATCGCGTCAGCAAGTGAAGCCCGCACGGCCAAGACAAGGATACAATACAAAAAGAGAGGCACAATCGAGCCACAAACGCCAACAAAGAAGCCAAGACGTGCATTGGCAGACATACAAGCTAGTGCAGCTTTCGAAAAGGCTTCAGCTTCGGTCACTGATACTGGGACGGGCGTGGCCTCGCCATCGCTCAGCAGACCGTCGTCGGTTAGCGGGCGTCTGTCATCGACCACGCCGACGGCGAGCAGAGCGAAAGACAAGCAAGTGCCGCCAGTGGCCGATGTAACGGCCAAGTCAAATGCTCTCTTCACGCCTATCGACCACACGACTGCCTATCTCGATAGTGTCGACTGGACAAGCAAGCGTGTTATCGCCTTGAAAGAGCTAAATGCATGGGCGCAATAGAGCTTGTCGAGAGACACGCATGCATAGTGGAGTATCCGATCAAGACTGCCGTTGATGGACAGTGGCTGCAGGTGCGCTCAAACGCGAGAGATAGTCTCGCATCCACTGTTCTCTTGCTTCGGGTTCGTGATCAAAGGCGCGATAGCGTCTGTCAGACTGAAGCACCGAATGGATTGAATCTAGGTTGATAGTCGCTGCCATTGCCTTGAGGCTGACAGAAGCATCACCGGATTCTTCCACATTCACGAGATCGTCGTCGAGGATGCGCTTGACATCGCCTTCGTCTGCAGATTCTTTCGACATGCGACCCCAAAAGTCAACAAATGCGCTCTCGCCAAGCATGCGATCAAAGTCTGTGCGTGCCCGTGCTTGACGAAATTGTTGCCAGTCGCAAAACAAGTGCTCCAGCTTGTCTGCATCGCTGGATACTCGGGTAGCCAGTGGATGATCATAGATCTTGGGCAAGATGGACAAAAAGGGCGTATCGAGGAAAGGCGCGTTTTGCTCGAACAAAGTATGCAGCCCGTCCAGCCATTTGGCGTGAACTTCGGCGACGTGCGTGGACCATGCTCTGCGGCGCTCTTCTAGTGACAAGATACGGCAGCATTCCTCGTAGCGTTTGTCAAAGGTCATGGTCTCGACCGCTTCGGGCCAGCTGATCTGTACGCCGACTACGAGTCAGCATCGACAGCGAGAGGTGTCGCACTGACTCACGCTGGGATCTCGAATGTTGTCAATGAGGACGGCCTTGAAGCTGCGCTCGGCTTCCTCGGTGGCGAGCTTCTGTCGACTGGCATGTACGACTTGGTTTGTCTGAGCTTGATGCGCTTCGACCTCGTGCTGCCTTGCCAGCAGACTGGCTCGTGCACGCTCTGCTTTTGCTGCAGCACGTTCTTGTACAGATTCCAGCGGCGCTTCTGCCAGGCGCTGAAGATGCGCTTTGAATGAAGCTTCCCTTGTCGATGCAGACTTGATGGCGTCGTAGCGTGGGTCAACGCTGAGCCTCCCTTTGACCTGCGCGGCAAANGTCAGGCCGAGCCGACTGACGATCAAGTGACTTACGTCTACCCATTTTGACGCTGGCGTGAGGTCGGTCTGCTCGGTCAATAGCCTGTCAAATGCTTGCTGTGCCTGTTCTGCATCCGCCCGTTTCACTGCGCACTCGATCAGCTTCCATCGTAAAGAGGGCCAACAAAGAGCAGACATTCGCCGAGATCCTTGAGCCAGGATCGGAAAGCTTTCTCGCGCTCACGGTCATCTCTGCCGTAGTTGCGAAAGCGTACGTCAGTTTTGTGGTCCCGCCGAAAGTCGTCCCAATGTGTTCTCGTCGAGGTGACATGTGCGACGAGTAAGGCACGGTAAGCAGCGATGGGCTGAGAAGGACCATCAGCTCTACTAGGAGGCATCTACTTGCTCTTACATCTTGCTTCGGCGCCGCCCCCCGTGCGCGCTGTGCTCGTATCTTTTCCTTGCAAAAGTCGTCAAACAGCTCACGGCGTTCGCGAAGCTGCTTCACAGCTGGTCCACAGATCTTCAGATCTCCTGCGCGACTCAATGTAGCCGTGTACGCACCCTTGTAGCGAGGGTCGTTGACAAATTTGGGCAGCTCCATGTCCCAGGGGGCGAGAGGCGAGATGTCTGTCTCGGCGAGCATGGACTGCGCACCTATCAGACACTTTTCCAAGGAAGCATAGGATGACACACGCGAAAGAGTGCCTTGTTCTCGTCGCTGGAAAGCTCATCTGTCGCGCTAGCTGGGGGTGGTCCGAGCGAGGCGCCTTCATTCGCGTCCAGAGCTGCCAGTTCAGAGGCAACCTTTTGCTGACTTTCGATGTCCAGATCGGCAAGCGCGTGGACCCTCTTGCTCTTCTTGCTGACGCCAGGTGCTGTCTCATCCGGCGTTCGCTTCGCTGGCGGAGCAGTTGAGGTTGCAGTAGCTGAACGAGAAGTGGATGTAACGGGCTCTGTGATGGCTGTCAAAGGCGTGCCGTTGTATCTGGCTTCTTTCTCTTCAGCCTCTAGCCGAGCGACTTGTCCGCTGATCTCCTCCGGTGCCGTCCAAACAGACGTCTTGTGCTCAGAGTGCGTGTAAAAGACATTGCCAGCTGTCGTGACNATCCTCAGCCAAGGNGTGTCACCTATTGGCGTCTTCGTCAAGGGCTTTTCCTTCTTTCGCTTGACACGGTCTGGCTGTGCGACGGGTTGCGAGCTGCCCAGATGGAGTGGCTTGTCGGGCGTGACNGTTGGCAGCACAGAGACAGGACGAGTGTAGGTACTCTTCTTTGTCTCGGCGTTGTAGTAGTACGGCACGCCCTTGGGCGAGACATGCTCTGTCCAGCCAGGTGCCAGAGATTGCTTCCGATCTATCATGTCAGCTAGAGGCTGCTCAGGCGATGCTGTATGGTCAGACGCATCGGGCATCATGATTACGCATCAATCGCGTGCGAGATGACATCGTTGTCATGTTCACATCAACGAGCCGACGAGCATCGTAAGAGCACGCGTGAAGTAGAATCTATCTGCAATGACTACAAGCGTCTCGTGCCGCCATCTAAGCGAACGCGCCACGCTGTCTGCGGCAAGGCTGCAGGATTTCCGTGAGCAATTGATCTGGACAAGTTTTGACGACGCACCTTGTAGTCTCCGCGCGGCGGGCTGGATGAAGAAGAGTAGCAACAGTGTGCCTGCTAGGACGCAAAGACTGGAGACGATGAAGTAGCCGTCGCGATCGGTTTGGCATTCGCCCCCGAGGGCAGCGCATGCAGCTTTGCCATGATCCGAAACGCACTCGGTTGCTGCAATTTACCATGAGCATTCAAGTCCAGCACATCTAGATGAGAAGCACCTTTGACGAATATCTCGCCGTCTTCTTGCTTGACGTGGCAAGTCGCGACGGTGAAATAGTCGATACCTTGCAGCACGAAATAGCGTGGCCAGGTCCCGCCGAGATTGCTGACCGTGTTGAGCAACTACGACCTCATTAGGTTTGGCATTTCTTTTACTCGAGGACCTCACCGTCATGTACGTCCCTCCAATCAATGGGTCGGCAATCTGAGTGTGATAGGCATTGATTCCTACAAATTGCACAGTGCTACCACAAACGTCAGCTGAGAAGATACGCGCGCATAAGTCGCGTACCTTGCGAAGCTGCTTCCGACGGTGCAGCTGACGACAAGCAAGAAGAAAGTGGTCGAGATGGGCGGGTGCGGAAAGCTATGGACGAGTAGCATCGCAACAATGGCCATGCCCAATCTGGCCCACATGGCTGCTAGCCAAGGCTTAAGAGGTTGCTTGCCGGTCGACCACCGTGCTGCAAGGTAGCCAAAGATGATCTGAAACGGAAAGTCGCAGAGGACGGCCAGTGCCAGATCTTCTTTGCTGAGGCCTTTCTCGAGCAGTTTAAGGGATGTTGCGGCATCGTTGGTTGCGGTGCCTAGCTTGGCGACTAGATGGACGAGTACAAATGCTTGAACGTCTACTCGGTCCATGATTAGTATATCGATTCGTCAGACTTTCAGACGCACTTTTTAGCTTGCAGATGCTGTACATGATCTTGTAGACCTTTTTCGTGTCCATGTCCGGATCATCGGCCGCGACAGGATCCTGCAGAGCTCTTTAGCATGAGCGCGGCGCAAACGAAACAGCTGGTACCTCTTTTTGTATGAATGCGAGATAGGCTGTGACTGCGAAAAAGCCAAATGCCCAGAATTTCAGATAGGCTGCCAGGCTCAGGAGAGGGTAATCGAGCGGCGTCGATCGGAAATATTTGTTGCTGTCGACACGCATTAGCATATGCTCTCGCGCTTGTCAGCACACATGCCTGAAATCGAGGCTGTTGAACGCCAGAAAGACGGTGAACGACAAAAAGTAGCCTGTATTTAGACCGACTGTTTGCGCGGTCGACGCATACGAGAGGTTCTCCTTGGAGAGCAGCGTCAGTGCCCAGCCGTCTACAGCGATATCTGGTCTCTGGCGTGAGTTCGACGTGACGCTCTTGTGCGGGCTGCATACCTTGCGTGGCGGCAAAGAAGACGAGCAAGAAGAAAAGAGAGGTCAAGAGATTGACGTTTGGTACGTCGGCCTCGATAAGCTGCGACACATTGTTGCCCATCCAGTACAGTATCGCGCCGACGATGATCTGAACGGGCATGATCCAGCTCTTCCGCCTCCCAGTCTTGACATGAAAGATTGAATCGACGATCGGGCTCCAAAGCAGCTTTAGCGAGTAGGGATAGGTCGAAAGCGTGAAGACGCCTATCTGAGAGTACGACATCTTGGCTCTCAGTAGGTAGGGTATCGAGCCAAATGCCAATCCGACAGGAATGCCTTGAAGCAAATAAAGTGCGACCAAGAGCCCAAATGCTTGTCGATCCTTGACCGAAAGCTGAGTAATGCTGTGAGCACCGGCGTCTTCTTCGACTGGTTTCGCGACCAGACCATCCTTCTCCTCGGCGGACAGAAAGGTTTGGCTGCCGCTAGTACGGCGTAAGCGGCTGTTGGAATGATAGCTCGCACCATTTGTCATGCCATTGACGACGGTTTCCGAGATGCCAGACGAGGCTAGCAAGCCGGCCTCGCTGAGCTCAAGCTTGTCCTTCTCATCATCCTTGATAGACCTGCCACGAGGCCCTGTGGAACGTAGCATATCACTTTCCTCTGGCTTGCTGGCAGCAGCTCGTTGGCGCAAACGATCTGATGACCTGGCAGGCTTGAGCGTCGTTGCCGAAGAGTTTCCCGAGGCCGCACTGCCAGCTTTGTGCTCGCTTGATTGGCTAGAATGCTTGGCGTGACCGTTGGCTGTGTTGGCTACCATGCCGACTGCTTGTCGGCCGCCAGCTTGACTCGTGTGATGCACGCTTTGACTGATTTTGCAAGCTCGGGCCCCTGTGCGCAAAGTACGCAGATGAGATTTGTCTGCGTAACATTCATTCACCCGTTTACTCACGTGCTGCTATGAGGCTCTAGCCGCTTTCAGCAGAGCATGTAACGGCAGCCATGCGACCTTGATACGTTGCCACGTCGGAGGTGTGCGCGCAGGGACGCGAAATTTGAGGAAACAAATAGCGCAACAGTCCACTGCCACACGCCAGCGCGGTGACGTCGCCGCGTCGCCCTTGCCAGCGGTTGCTGACGATCGAGCCAACGCATGCTCCGTTTGTTGCGTTCCTATCAATCCCGACACTTTGCAACATCTTCTTCCAGGCTCAATATGGCTAGACATGAGCTCGCAAGCTTGTCCGATCTGCCCTCGGGCAGCATGAAGGCCTACGAATGGCCGACGTCGACAAAGGACAAGGAACGCAAGGTGTTGCTCGTCAATGTCAACGGCAAGGTGTCTGCTATCGCTCCAAAGTGCACCCACTACGGCGCTCCACTCGAGAAGGGCGTGCTCAGCGAGGGCGGCAGGATCGTGTGTCCCTGGCACGGGGCCTGCTTCAAGTCTGCCTCGGGAGATATCGAAGATGCTCCCGGTCTCGACTCGCTCGAAAGCTTCAAGGCGGAAGTCGAGGGCGACAAGATCTTTGTGACTGCAGATAATGCCGCGATAGATCGTAATAATCGCAAGCCAACCTTCAAGGCTACTGGCAGTAAAAGCAGCTGTAGCAAAGGTACAGTCATTGTTGGGGGTGGCTCTGGCGGTGCATTCTGCGCCGAGGGACTGCGAGAATATGGCTATCAGGATCCTGTCACGCTGATCACGATGGACAACTACATGCCAATCGATCGGACAAAGCTGTCCAAAGCGCTCATCGATGATCCTTCCAAGGTCGCGCTTCGTGATCAAGCCTTCTACGACTCGATAAATGTCAATGTGAAGCTAGGTACGAAGGCTGTCTCACTTGATCCTCGTCAGAAGTCCCTCAAGCTTGACAATGGCTCGGAGATCAGCTATGATAAGCTCGTCCTCGCAACGGGCGGTGCGGCCAAGAGGCTGCCTCTGGACGGTGTGAATCTGAAAAACATCTACACCCTACGAGATATCACTGACACAAAGGCGATCAATGCAAGTCTCGGCAACGACGAAAATATCAAGAAGAACCTGATCATCGTTGGTTCTAGCTTTATTGGAATGGAAGCCGCTGTCGCTACTGCAAAGCGTGCACATGTTACAGTCGTAGGACAAGAAAAGACGCCCTTTGAAAAGATTCTGGGACCTGAAGTCGGCGCCGGCATACAACACTACCACGAGAAGCAAGGGGTCAAGTTTGCGCTCGACAATGGCTTGTCGCATTTCGAGCCGTCGGAGAATGATAAAGAAGCAGTCGGTTCTGTCGTCCTTCAATCTGGCCAGAAGCTGCCTGCCGACCTTGTCATCCTCGGCGTTGGCGTGGGGCCGCGAACCGAGTTGCTCAAGCCCTACGTCGAGATCAACAAGGATGGCAGCGTGAGCACTGACGAGTTCCTGCAAGTCAAAGGTCTCGACGACATTTATGCCATCGGCGACATTGCAAACTATTTCGACGTCAAGCTCGGCTCGAATCATCGCATTGAGCATTGGAATACAGCCGGAAACCATGTGAGCATGTTTAGGTCCCTGGACGGGGCGTCCCTGATTCGCTCCTACAGGGTCGAGCAGTCGCCGAGACGTTGTCGGGAAACAAGCAGGCGTATTCGAAACAAGCCATCTTCTGGTCTGCTCAGGGTACTCAACTTCGCTATGTGGGCACGTCAGAAGCATCACAGTGGCAGGATGTGCTCGTCAAGGGCGATCCCGGGGAGCTCAAGTTTGTGGCCTACTACTTCAAGGATGACGCCGTGGTCGCCATCTGCACGATGCAAAATGATCCCATGGTGAGCTACGCAAGCGAGCTCCTGAGACTAGGCAAATTCCCGAGTGCAAAGGAGATCAAGGCGGGCAAGGATCCGCTGGAGATCAAGATAAAGCTATAAGAAGACGGCACACCAATATCCTGCATTATATGTCATCATCTCTGCGACCGTCGGCAGGACCGAAGCGAAAAGCGCCGTATGACTTCTGCTGCTCGTGCTCAATAGATAATTTTGCCCCTATCGCATCGCCAGCAATGCCAATCGAGAACAAGAGTGCTTTCACATGTGTCGCGTGTATTTGTGCTTGCTTGAAAGTGGGAGTCTTGAGCAAAGCGCGAACCTGCTGCTCGCGCACTGAACCGGACGATCCGATGATTGCGCGGGACAACTGGGCATCAAAGGTTGGCAAAGCCGATGCCACGCGTCCATTTGCTGTAAGTCCTGTGACGATGATGCTTATCTGTAGATCCCGGAGTGGCAGCAACAGAGAGCCCAGAGTCAGGAATGCTTGCGAATCCATGACATTCGGAAGCGCTAGCTGTATGATTGGCAGATGCGGGAGAGACATTGCTCGCAAGACCGCATGCTCAGCGACTGTTAGATGAGGTACTCGCACGTCAACATCTGCGCTGCCCAACATTGCTTGTATACGTTTGACCAGGTCATGAGTGCCGTCAGACACGCGGAGCTTAACGAGTGCACTCGAGCTTGCAAAGTCGGGCGAGACGAACAGAAGAGCGTGGGGATGGGTCTAAACAGGCATCAGCTGAGTCGATGCGGTAGGCAAGCTCCTGACTTTAGCAATCTCTGCGCCCGTATCCTCCCAGAGATCTCGCGTCCGCCGTCCGGCCTGGGGCGTCTCTGACGGCAGGAAATACACCGGGAGCCGCAACTGAAGCGGATTCTGGCGTCGTCTGACAGCATCTGCGACGACGCTTTGGACAGGACTTGCTGCTTCATCGTGCTGGACTTCACTCATCGCTTGATGATCAAATTGCGGCACATAGTCAGTGTTATGGTGAAGACTGTGCGAACGATGCCACACTGAGCTGAGAGGAGCCCGACTCTTTTGCGTCGTGCTGAGATAGACAGCAATGATGCCCATAGCTGCGCCGAGAAGCAGGCTACGCGGCTGCAGGCCTAAGACCATCTCGAGCCGGCAGCGAGCGGCTGATTTCGTCGGCGACTGTAATAGCGCGACGGACGAGCGTGACCAGGCTAGCCTGTCAAGCGTTATGCCGCCCAAGGCGAGACAGTATGTCTACAGACCGAAACGAGACAACTACTCTGCCATCTGTCGCTGCTCGCGCGGCTTCGGCAACCGTCAGAGCAAGCTCAATTGTACAAATCGTGCGCATGCCTCTCCCACGGCAGGTCCTGCCCAGACAAACAATGCTTCCGTCTGATCATCTGCCTTACGCAGCCCACGGGGCGCCCACGAAAGCGTGCACGTTCAGAGCTGTCATCTGGCAGGCACCTCGAGGGTGTGAGCCTCGACAACGAGCCAGCGGTTATTGACGATACAATCACGTACGTTGCTCGTGCGTGCAACAGCCCAATTTGTCTGACCTCTTGTCGCAGGGATTTCCTCTTTGATCGTGGCATCCTTTCCGGTGCAGGCCCTGCGCTCAAATTTGGACGTGACCATGCTCCTGGCGACGGTCGTGAGCTTAGTCTTGAGGACATTGTCGACCTGGTCGGTCGACAGTCTAAAGGGCGTGTACAGAAGCTCACGCCCTGCTGCAGCTCTACAATCAGAGCATCACCCTCGAGAGCGCAGTCACACGTATGCTTGAGTAAGCTCACTGCATGCTCGTCAGGTTGCCTGCTGACTTTCCTGGCAGTCGCGTCTTTCCCGAAGAAGCCGACAGAGCACGAGCGTGAGCTTGCACGATCTGTCAGAATGGCATGACCTCGCTGACCTTCAGGTATAGTGCCGTCCAATCGTATATGGCCATGTTCGAGCCTTCGAGCGCCTTCGAGCTCGCTTTCACGGACCGCTACGCTGTCACGCAAATGTTGCGCGAATCTTTGATTGATGGCAAATTGGGATTGACTGTCTTGGCCCGACGCGATTTTGCCGAGGGCGAGATCATCCCTGGCCTGGACGGACCAGTCTTTCCTCATGATCCTAATCTGCATAATGATTTCTCAACTGCAAGTTCTGTTTTTATTCCCGTTTCCTCTACTGACACGGAAACTCAAGTTCTACGATACTTCTCGTCAGCGCGAAATGGGATTGTGCGGTCCAGCCCGACTGGTGAACGTAAGCATGCAAAGAAAGTGCACATCATCTCACTGATACATCTGCAGCATGACTGTAACAACAACGTTCGGTTCGTACGCTTGGAAGGCGGTCGCATTGGCTTCCGAGCGACACGTCCCATCGCCAATGGCGAAGAGATCCTCACGACCTATGGCCCATCGAGCTTCGGCGCCAACAACGTGGGCTGTTGCTGTCAGACATGCGAGCTGTATGTCATCTCTTTGCTCTCACAGCGACCGGTGATGACCGTGATGACAGTGCGAACAAAGGCGCCTACGAAGGCCTCAACAAGTTTGGTCTCTCAGATCTGATCCGACGCCGCGAGAAGCTTTGGCCTGGCGCGGACGACATGGACCTGACCTTTACGACGCCGGTGAGACTAGCACTGTATGTACGCGCAGACACTACACAGCCGATGCCTCAGCCGACAGCATTTCCGGCACCTGCAACCGCCGGTGGTGGACCCCTGCCAACTGTCGATCTGAGCGTTCCATCTGATCTCGAAGTCAAAGCTGCGCTCATGGTCGATGAGAGTAACCTTGCTCCAGAGCTACGTGCTCTACCGATGACAGCGCCCTCTCCTGCCAGCTATGCACTGTTGTAGATGCGTGTACGTGCTCTTAAAGCGAGATCAACGCGACGCGCGATAGACCGAAGAGCGCGATGACGTATCTTCTGCACACATTTCCGCCCAAGACCTGCAGCCTAGCAAGCTTGTGGGAGCATGCCGAGCGACGTGCGACCAGAGCGGCGGTATTATGCAGGGCTGTCGGAAGATCTTCCCCCTTCGCATTGGCAGAAGCGTGTACGAAGGTGAGCATGCATGCAGCAGAATCAATGACGAGCTAAAGATTCGCTCAGCATCACTTGGGCGTACTACACGATTGTGATGGGCACAGGAGCATTAGCGTTTCTACTCTACGAGATCCCATGGCGCTTTCAGGGCCTCATTGTCCTGGGTGACATCGTCTTTGTAATCAATCTAATCTTCTTCGTCGTCATCACTGCCGGACTGATCCTGCGATTTGCGCTCTTCCCCGGAGCTTTCAAAGTCTGCCATCTCTCCTTCTTCTCGGAGATACACTGAGCGTCTCGAGCTGTCAGAATTCTATGTTGCATCCATTCGAATCCTCCTTCGTGCCCTGTTTGCCGCTGGCGATGGCAAACATAATCGCAGAAATGCAAGACTACGGGACCAGACACACCGGTTTCTGGCTCATCAAAACCGGCGAAGTCCTCTTCTGGGTCTATCTGTCAGTCGCACTCACGATCTGCTTCATCATCCCTCCGTTGCAATATACTGTGCAACGTCATCCTTTCTCACAATTTTCGCCTCTTTGGATGATGCCAGCGCTCTGCGTCGTGTTTTCAGGCGCACTCGCATCAACCGTTTCCACCGACTTGCCGCCATACTCCAGCGTCAGTGTTCTGACGACGAGCTTCATCACTATGGGCCTGGGCCTGATCGTCGCCATTTTATATACAGCGGGTTTCATAACACGACTCCTTGTCCATGGCCAAGTCCCTGCTGCGCAAATACCCACGCTGTTCATCACCGTAGGACCATTTGCCTGGACCGCTTACGGTTTACTCGCGGTCGGGACACGTATCGAGACTGTATATCCAATGCTGCAGCCACCGCCTTTTGCAATGTCTGCCATGTCTGGGCCTGTCATCTCACTCGCCGCGTTATTGCTGGCAATGTTATTGTACGGGTTCAGCTGGTGGGTGGTCATGACAAGCCTAGTGCAATTCGTCTATAGCGCTTTCAAGGGAGATCTTCCCATCAGCATTGCTGCTTGGTCGACTACGTTTCCACTTGCCGGTACGTGAGGCCCGATGCGAGGTCATTCCGCCTAACGCTCGCTCAGGACATATCAACGCTACCTTTCAGCTTGGGCAGAGGCTAGATTCGCGCTTCATCAAGAATACAGGTCGGTGTATTCCTCTTTGCAGCAACCTCAATGGCTCACTGTGCCGCAGGCATCGTTCTATTCTTCCTGTGGCTCGTCTTCTACTTTTGGGCGCTAGTCAGCACCGTATTCGGCATCTGGCAGGGCAAGATGCTCGTCGAAGGCGCAGAACACAACGCGCCTACGCCGACATTCGACGGTGATTACCTTGCAGAGCGCGAGAGCAAGCAAGAAGCATAGCATTGTACAGCACATTATGGCAGAGCAACCATCCGCAGAGTATGCTGGCACAGGCAATAGCAGGGCTTCATTGCATTCAGTACATTGCTTCTGATGTTGTATATTTTGCAGACTGTAGATCAGAGAGTGGCCACAACATGTCATACGAGAGCAATCGCTCCATGTCTGCGATATCCATCTGAAGCGACACTTCAACGCCGTCGCTATACCATCTCCGCTTGACATCGAGTGTGGCAAGTCCCCGGGACTCGATGATCTGTATGCACTCATCCATCTCAGGGAACCACGCTTGCACACCAACAGGCTGTGCGGCGATCCGGGAATAACCCCGCAGCAATTCAGATACAGCCATAGAGTCAAGATCGTATATCGGTCACCCAGGAACGCGATCCAGACGTGCTGCATTGCTGATTCAAACGCCGAAGTATATATGGAGCACAACGCCAATTGCTACTCGGTCGAATTGCGTGACGGTCTGGCGGATACATAGAACTGCTATACCGGCCACAGTACAGGGATCTCGTGTGGATATACTGGCATTGGCATGCATGAGCGGGCTGATGGGGAAGTCGAGAGGAAGGCTGAGTCTCGGTCGACAATCAAGAGGTATACACATGTCGCTTTGACCGCGTTGATGGACCTGACCTCCTGCGTGTGCCATGGCAGCCCGTATGTGGGCTAGCAAGGCGTCAAGACGAGTGATGCAGACTCCCGAGAAGGCGTTGTTCCAGATTGCTTAATCTGTTATGCTGTAAAGTGCAGAAGCTCCCGCAAGCATGTTGCTTCATATCGAGTGTTTCAAGGCATTTGGTCAGCTGAGCTTACATCTAGGCCGCCATTGGGGCTTTTGTCGTAGTCGTCATTGATTCGCAGCCTTTGGGCGCACCGGATGTCGAGTTCCACCAGTCTATGCACGCCATCGGCAGCTCAAGTGAGCGTTGTAGCGTCGCTACAGCTGCTCGAGGTGCATTGATATTGCCTGTTGCTTTCGCGTCAAACTCGTCCAGCGCAGAGGCGCTGCCACCGAAATATGATATATCTTCGCTTGCAAGCCTCGCTGTGCATTGCGGACCACCTATGCATAAAGGTGGGCAGGGTACAAGCTTCGCCAAGATAGTGTACCAGGAAGAGACCGAGCGTCCAGGCACCGTCGGCAAGCAGCGCAATCTGGACAAAGTGATGCTGGTCGGGCTATTTCATGAATGGCAGTCGGCGCGAGCTCGGTCTCGCTTAGGAGCTCTTGCAGGGGTGATAGTGTTCTGTGCGTGCCGTGACGGGAGGAGGAGACACTCTGAGCGGACAAGAGCTCAGGCAACGTATAATGTGGATCTGCTAGCCATGTCCGACGCCAAGACGTTTGTGTTTTGATTTGGCATGAAGGTCATGTGACGTCGTGACAAGTCGCGAGCGTAAAACTGGCGCGCACGGCGAAGCCAACTGGACATGACGCCCAAGGTCTTGCTGATAGCCGATGCGGGACTGAAGGGCATCGAGTAGTCAGCAGCAGTCAATGGAATCAGTCAGCGGCCTCCGCACACGTCTGCAGATCCAGTGCTGAAAATTTGCGCAATGCAGCCATTGGGAGCGTTGCAACAGCGGCGGCAGCAACGCTTGGCCAAGAGCGAGCGCAAGCCATCCTTGACAGAACAAAGACGCCCATCAGGACCGCCCGAAAGTTCATCGAATCGTCGGTCCAGCCAGAACTTTGCAACTTCGCCGTTGAGCAGCCGTCCCGCAACGCTGGATGATTGCGCCGACGAGCAGTCAGCATCGGAGCAGGAGCCTGTCGACGAATCTACCGACAGTCTGATGGCCCTCAACACAGCGTACAACATGCGTATCGGCCCTGACCTCGTCGCCGAGCCAGACATGAGCGATCTGATCCGTCGCAACAATCTTGTCAGTACTAACGCCGCATCGACGCAGGCAACGCCAACAGGCAGCTTGCGATCGATCTTAAAATCCAAGGTTGCTCTTCCCGACGCATCGCCCCTGCGTGCTCCGCCTCCACATCCACATATCAGACAGCTATTCGATGTCGGTGTACACGCAGGACCCGAGCAAGTGCGATCGCGACAAGTCACATTTTCGTCTTCCACTGAAGGTTTGGCTGGCATCTCGGACGACTCATTTGACGAATTAGATGGTCGACTCGAGGATCATCAGCAAGAATCGTCTCCTGACAAACGAAATATGGGCTATGAACGTCACGTCCTCATCTCGCCGGCAACAAGCCCGATCAAAACTGGCATTACAGGCTCACCTTGTTCACCTCTTCCTGCCCTACCAGAACAAATGGGCTTCTTGACGGCTTCGTCAGTCAGCCTCGTCTCTCTGACAGAGGACAACTCGCAACTGCTTGATACGACCGAGCCGGTGCTGCGTGCCTGGGATGAGACAGTGTCAGATCTGGGCGCATCTGATATTGTGTCGAGTCAGCCATTTCATGAGCAGATGAAAAAGACGCCTTGTGCTATCAGGCGCGACTCAGGAGATTTCTCGACACCAGCCAGCGTATACACGACGCCCTCAAGCCAACTCGGCATGTCTGCAGTAAACGCGAGGAGCCCATTCGTGTGCACATCGCCCTTTTCGAACCTCAAAACTCGTCTGTTCGACCATCGCACTTACCAGCGCGAGCTTCATTCGGGCATCCTTGAAGCCCAGCAGCGAGAGCTAGCCGCCAAAGACGTCCTCATCGATCGGCTCCGTGGTGATGCCGCAGAAGCTCGTCAAGCTCTAAACGCTCTAGCAACGACGCCAGCTAATCAAAAGGACTCGCAGCCTCTAAGCCAGCAGCTCGATCGGCTCTTGCTGCATGTCATTGACAGTGCAGACCGATCCGACGAGACTGATGCAACGAATGATGCCTTGCGATGGGAACTGGCCAATCGTGAGAGCGACCTTCGCGATCAAGCAATCCGTAACCAATTGCTCAGCTACAACGGTGTCGATCTCCATGACAGGCTTTCACGTCACGAACAGCAAGCGAGCGTCCATGTGCAGCTCATTTCCGATCTTGAGGCGCTCAATGCCGAACAGGAATGCATGATCAGAGACTTGCAGATCAGGCAGAGCACACCTGAAGCAGCACCCACAAGCTCTGTAGAGAAGCAGCTTGACGAGGCTCGACAAGACCTTGTAAAGGCAACAGAAGAGATTGCCATTCTCAAACAGAACGAAAATGCACACCAGGCGACTCAACTCGTCAAAGATCAGCAGATTTATACGCTCGAAGCAACGCAGACGTCACTTTTGCACGACATGGAGCAAGCGCAGCAGATTCATGCGCATCTCGTGGTCGCGCATTCCGAGGTGATGCGAGAGCTTGCCGCTGCTACCCAGGCGCTCATGCAACAATCAACGGACCAACAGGCGACGATGACGAAGATCAGTGACCTGGAGATCGCTCTTACCCAATCTCAGGCCGCCTTTGCTAAATCAGACGCGATGCTGTCACAGCTGCAAGACGAGCAGAAGCTGCAGCGCAATGAAGCCGAACAAATCCGAGCAGGCCACCGAGAAGAGGCATTGATCTCGCAAGCCGCGCTGCGAGACGCCGAGATTGTGAACAGCGAACTCAGAGAGCAGCACCGGCAACTTCTGGCGAGACACGAGGGCACGCAAACCGAGCTCAACAATAGACTCGGCGATGAGGAAGCGACTGCTGCTCTTGCGACGAAGTACGAGGTCTTGCAGCGCGCACAGATCAGCGCTGCGCGGGACTATCAAGAACGAGAAGCTATCTGGCAGGAGAGGTTGGCAGGCTTACAGGCGGAAGTAGAGCAGCATACTCGTAGCATTCGACAGATGCGCGTACAGTCTGCCGAGCACGATAGTGAGTCTATCTGGCTATGCATACTGAATTGCTCATTTGGCGCATTAGTGCAAATCACCAAACTCGCAAAGTCAAAAGCGAAGCTCAAGGACGAGGTCGCCTACCTCAACATCGCTCTTGAGGCCAGTACGCGTCTTTCCGTTTCATGCTGTACTAATTGCGCCGCATATAGGCAAAGCAGATGGACGTGGAGCAGCGCAAGAGACAGGATAAAGTCCGACAGCTACAGATGCAGGATGCATTCCAACAAGCCGGACTTGTACTGCCAGCTCGGCTCATCGACACAAGTACTCATCGACGCGCGCTGACTCTTGGCGCAAGCACGAGTGTCTCTGAGGATACCTGGACGGCAATGTCCATCTCGCAGACAGGGGGCATCTTTTCTTCGCCAACCTCGGCCATCGCGAAGCGACGAGTTGCGACACGTCGACCCGCAGCCACGCCCGCGCGCAAAGAGGAACATCTTCGCGCTGTCAGCAACACTGCTCCCAGCAAAGTCATCAAAGAGCTTCCTCGTCGTCGAGGAGATGTCAGCGGTCAACGTCGAGCAGAACCGCTGTCGCCTCTGAACGTCTGAGATCTGGACAGATCTGTTCTTGGGATGTATGGTGCCCATGTTGATGTACTCTCGGATCATGCATAAGGGCCAACAGTAGCGCTAGTGCGTAGTGGTCGAGCCTGGTCGCGGATAGGCGTCTGCTTGTCTGGGCGTGAAGGGGTATGAGACAATACTGCGCTGACCAGAGCGCTTGCGATCGAGCAAACGTGCCACCAGCTGCAATCTCAAGTCAGTCGTGTCACAATCCATGATAAACCGCGCACCTTGATGACATCCTTCGCCACGACCAGCGAACAGCCACCGATCGAATTGCGAATCCAGACTGGATCCACAATATCTGACGCAACTTCGACGCTCACTTGCGCATTGGCAAGCGGCGGCAGACAGAGCAATGGACGAAGGGATGCAAAGCGAGGCATTCGACTGAGCTTCACGAGGCCGTGTCCGGACAGGCTGCAAGCTGCCGGAAAGAGCAGTGCAGTTTGCATGAGACGTAGCACTGAGCCGAAGGTGAAGATCAAGTGAATCACGTCGCCAAGATCATGTACATCATCCTCTGGGTTCGCCGGCGGCACCACTATGGGTGCCGCCACTGCGACCTCTTCGGGCTCCTCAGCATCCTGCTCAGCGGCAGCTTGTCGACGATGACGACCGCGTAGTGTCTGCCGCCAATCTGCTGGCTCCTCAGTCGCAGCTCCGCCCGGTCGCCTATGAGTAGCGGCAGCCTCCTCTGCATCGATTACGCGTATGACAGACGTAGTCGCCGGTGGCAGTACGAGTGAGAAGATGACGTCGCGCGCTCGGATGTATGCAAAGCGCACAAAGGACAGGCCAACAAGTGTCAGAGACGGTCCCGGGAGCATGTAGGCAATGCCGCCCAATCGAGCTTGGGCAAGTTCATCGGCAGAACACAGCGGATAGGCGTGCTTCGTAGACTGGCTGAAGAAGGCGGGCGCAAAAGCGACAGGTTCTCTTCCAAAGGCCCAAGTAATGGCTTGACTGGTTTTGATGAGCAGACTGGACGGTATATAGCCTAGACCTTTAACATCCGCGCGTATGGCGATATCCGCGTTCGATTGGAGGGGTTGCAAGCTGACGGGAAAGATTAGCGGCTCACTATCCCAGAAGAGGGCATAAGGCCATAGGGAGAGCCAGAGCGGACCTCGATCGCAAAGTGACATGCGACTCAAAATGAGCGAGGCAGGAATCATAGGCAACCAACCGAGGATCGCTTTTGCAGCAGCGGCGTGGCTCGAGAGCAGGGTGGCAACCAGGTGGCGAAATACATCTGGACCTGCCCAGAGGCGGGTGCTAACGATCCCGTGCGTCGCAACACCAGCAAGGGCAGCTGAGCCAAGGGTGACAGCGTAGCTGATCGTTGACCAATCGTTGAAGCAGGTCACGCTGCGACAGTAAACGTCAAGGAACCAATGCGGGCTCGGCGTTCGGATGTCATACTCGGCATTGCAAACCGGGCATCTCGCAGACTGAGCGATAGCGAACTGATCTGCATCTCGCACTTCGCGAACAGCGCGCCTGGCCTGCAGTGCGTGCTGCTGAAGCGCGATGAATTCGCGCTGCATGTCTTCGACATCACGCAGCAGGGCAGTATGGGCGAGCTGGAGATGCTCGTACTGCGTGCTGGACAGCTGCGCTCTGAGCTGATCGAGCCGGCTCGAGAGAACGTGTTCACGGTGACGTACGGCTTGCAGTCGCTCTCGCTGTCGGCTGAGCTGCAGTGACGCGTCTTGTTCTATGCGCATGAGCGTACGCAGCTGGCGGTCGGGCTGATTGGTGCCGCCCTGCAGTCTGTCGAGATGTCTGTCGGGACGAGAGGAGCGATCGTTGAGCCATGTATCCAGACAGTCGGCATGGGCAACGAGGGTACAGTGGCAGGGATGCACCCAGACAGTCTCGTCAGACTTGGAGTCCTCCTTTGGTTCTGCTTCTAGGCATATCCAGCATGTACGCTCGTCTGTTGGCTCTTCGCGTACAGGCCGAGTTTGAGCGTCCAGAACCGAGGCTTCTGCTGACGACGACGATGATGATGATGATGATGACGACGACAGGGCCGTGCTGGCAGATGAGGCTGCGTTGGCGTTGGCATCGGTAGGGATGATGTTGTCAGTCGAAGCGGAGGCAACTCGGGCGTCTGGTAGGAACGTCGTCACCGGTGGCATCCTGTTGGTCCAGCGTGCGTGAGAGAGCTCGTGGGGGAGATCTGATGAACCGATGACGGCTCGAGCGCTGGCTGGTTTGCCTCGTGTCGACCGTGTCGATGTCGCGCGTGGATTGCAACGATTGCAAAGCGGTCAGGGAGACTAGCTAGGGAAGCCCGGTGGCTAGCGAGTGTCCAGACTGCATTGCTGCGATAGCACAGAGGTGACCGGTGTCAAAGAGTGTAGCGAGGACCGGACGGTGCGTCTTGCGTCACGCCTGATCGATGCCAGGCTGACTTCCGTGTGCCAAGGATAGACAGAGCGGCGCATCATGACAACGATTCCTTCTCGCATGGCCAAAGTGGCTTCCTCATCAGGCAGGACACTACTCGGCTCACTCCGTCTTACTCCTCGCTGATGTCCAGCTGGGCGTGCAGGCTCCTGGCCGATAGCCAAAGCACGAGCCCGCGCACAGTACCGTGAATGGCACAGATCTGCGCCAGAGGTCAGCTTCGCCTCGGGCTCCGGCTCACGGCTACTGCGCAGGGAGACAGGCTGATCGAGCATTGCAGATTTGCGCCATCTACGCACTCAACCTCTCGCCTGCTGCGATCCGTGCCAAAGTCAGGCAGGAATATGAGCGGACGAGATATGTCGACGATCTGGAGGCATTCGATGTCATGCTCCACAAGAACTACGCCGAGTTTCAGGAGACGATCAACTGCTGGAAGGTATGTCTGCCTATCCGCTCGCTCAGGGGCCGCCAAGAGCTCACGGTACGCACAGATGGAGAGCCATATCATGCGCTGGTTCGCGAAAGAGGAGGTTCGTTGCTTGATGACTCTCTGACTCGCCGCGGCCTCTCGTGTGCACACCACCCGACTCTGATGCGTCGGCGACTCGTGCTCATTTCATGCCCCGTGTACGCTCCTGTGATGACATGCTGATCAGGGTCTCTGGGCTTGCAGCTGCCCGCAAGGCCTGTCACATTCCGCGATAAGTTCCTCGCTGGCAGGGACGAGGACCAAGTGCTTGCTGCATCGTGACCGCCGCACGACGCTTGTAGGACGTCGCATTGCACGCAGCTCTTGGTGTCCACTGCTGTGCACCGTGTGCACGGACGCCATGAGGGCTTCAACGCCTGATGCACAGTCACTGCTGCATACGGCAACAACGACGTGCTACTGCCTGCTTAGCGGCCTTGTCGGCCAGCAGGGACCATGCATGACTGACTCAGACGCATCATACTGAGCTTGCCTGCCGTGAGACGGGTGTCTGATGACGTCGAGGGTCGCGCCTGATCGCATCAAAGGCAGGGTGGCTCTGTTCTGAGACCCGAGACGAGCAGGTCGACGGGCCCCGCATGACGGCTGCAAGCGCTCCTAGCGCTGCCATCATCGCTTCCCAAGTCAAGCGACGCAGAAAGAACCCGCTTGGCAAGGGTGAATCCTCTCGAGAGGCATCTGAGGAGTCCAACGGTGAGGAGGACTCGAGGGCGGGCAGCAAGGCGCACGGCGGCAGCAACGAAGATGACGAGACGGATGATGTGCAGTCCATCATTGCCGCACCTGGCATCATCGGTCAAGGTCAAGGTGGCTCGCTCGCCCATCCCCAGACAGAGAGACTCGCCGAATCAGCCAGCATGGAAGTACAGTCCAGCTCCTCCTCGATCGGCATAGCACCTGCGACGTCAGCCGTGCCACCGCCAGCGACAGAGTCCACCCATTTCGCCGGCCATGTACCTCAGCACACTGAAATGCAGGCCGATTCTGCAGAATTGACGGGCAGGACGACGACGATGAGCAAGGCTGCACTGGGCCGTGCCAGAGGCACTCAGGTCGGCGGGGCAAAGCCAGATGCTTCGCATGTCATCACAGACGACGACAGCAGTGCATCCACCTATGACGGCGACATCTCCTCCACCACAGCCTCGACATCTCGCGTCTCTCGTACCCACGGCACTCATCACGGACATGTCCATGGTCAGATCAGCCGGAACGCTGGCGTCTACGGTCACGCTCATAACAACAGCTCCCTGTCTGACATTGGCGGGCCGAGTGCGAGGATGGCCTTGGCTGCCTCCGCTACGCCTCCCGCCCAGCTCAGCAATCTGCCCACACGCTCAGCCATTGCATCCCCTGGCAGCAACAAGAAGCAAGCAGCACCCTCACTGCCATACGCGCCCGATCATGCTCTGTTACAACAGCATCGCGAGACTTCCGATGTCATACCCACAGATCCCTCTAGCTCATCTGGCTCCGCTAACCTCGATGACGGGCAAGAGGATAGCTTGCAAAGACTAGCCCAGCAAAATGTAGCTCGCTACGAGGCTGCACAAGCTTCCGCCCATCCGCCTGCACCTCACGGCTTCCTCGGCCGCATCACGGCAGAAGACATGCAAAAGCACATGGCCGACGCAATCTCTGGTCTCTCTTCTTCGTCTGTTCATCGAACTTACAAGATCAACCTACCACCGCAAGACCGTCCGATCAGGATATACGCTGATGGCGTCTACGATCTCTTCCATTATGGCCATGCTCTCGCACTGCGCCAGGCAAAGCTATTTTTTCCTCAAGTTCACTTGCTTGTTGGCGTCTGTGCAGACGAGCTCGTCCTCAAGCACAAAGCCCAGCCTGTCCTGACTTCGGCAGAACGATATGAGTCGGTCCGCAACTGCAAATGGGTAGGCCTCGCCTACATGAGTCACCTTTCACCGGTTGATTGGTGGCGCAGGTGGACGAAGTCATCGAGGATGCGCCCTGGGTCATCGATCAGGCCTTCCTCGATCATCACGGGATCGATTACGTGGCACACGGTAATTACTTTCCCTGAACGTCTCCTGGTGCGCTAATGGCTCGCGCAGACGAAGAACCATACGCCAGCTCAGATAGCGCAACAAAGGACATCTACTCCTTCGTCAAGGATCAAGGTCTGCCAATGTTGGACTGCTATGCCGTTCACACTCATTCTGTGTTATTCCAGGTAAGTTTTTGCCGACACGGAGGACTCAGGGCGTGTCCACCTCGGAGCTTTTGCAACGGATCGTCGAAGGCTACCGCGAAGGAGCTTACGATGGCAAGCTCATCAAGATCGGACATCCCGAGCTCTCCTCGCGCGCTGTCAGCGAGACCGGCAGTCGTCGCAGTCGAGATCAGGCAGAAACCCATCATTCGGGGGAGAGACTCCAAGTCAACGATATCGTCATGGCCGACTAAACAAGCTGGGAATGGAGCAGATTCTGGGCGATTGCATGCTTGCCAGTATAGGATCCGGGGATTGCATGTAAATCTTCGACAACAACAACAGCTTCCATTTCATGACTTGCTCGGGCTTGGAGCGTAATCCTTCGAGAGATCAATCCCCAAGCTCTTGAGATGCTTGTTTGTGATCTTCACACGAGCACCCCGTTTTGACTTTTTGTTCTGAGCCGTAGTGCGGTCGATGGGGTCCAGAATGCTTGCTTTCTTGGCGGCCATGAGCCCGGCTGGGTGAAAAGATCAGCGTCAGCAACGCGCCAGGCTTGCGCGTCGAGCCCAAGCGCACCCTCCCGCATCTCGCTAGGCAAGTCGAGCTCGCCGGGCGTCTTGATCTCCTCCCAGAGCTTACGAAAGTCTGTAGTGATCGCTCAGCGCGAGCGCGTGCCGCACTGAACCGGGACTTGCCAGGATCGATAAGGATCTTCTGACCAATCTCGTCCGGAAAGACCATGCGCATGGGTCCTTCTTTACCGAATTCTTTGCTTTCGCCGCGAGTGACGATGATCTTGCCGTCCTGCTCGAGCGTTCTGATGTGCTGTTCGACAGTCGGACAGCTTTCTTTGAGCAACGAGACCTTGATGCCTCCTTTCTCGCCCTCTGTCTTGACGATTCTGTACAAGTCTGCGGTAGTCGTGATGCGATGGAGTGGCTGCCCTGCGTATCAACAGTGAACAGCTCTGCAGCTCGCTTGATGTCGCACCCTCCAACTATAGAGATCTGTCCTTGGGTCGTACTCGACGCGCTCGTGTTGGCGCAATGCTCGGAGGAGACCGCCCTCCTGCTCGGCGCCTGGTTGGCCGAGCAGATGGGCAGAGGTGTAGTCGATGAGGTCTTCGAGTCTGACGGGTCCGTTGCGATCCTGTCAAAGGTCGATCGAGGAGTACATCAGCTGCCAACGAGGTCTGACTGCGATCAAGCCAGGCACCTTGAGATGCAAGACAGCCGCGTAGAGTTGCGTTGCAGCCTGAGTGCCTCCTGCTTCTCTCTGTTGAGCTGCGATGCCCGTACGACCCTGGTAGGCCATCTGTCGCCGAGATTCTGAGCTGGGAGCGCCAGCAGGCCGCTGAGGGAAGGTAAGCCTGGTGAGCTGCGTGTGAGCGCGCGAGCCCGTCAACGTCGTCGACCGTCGTGCACTCGTGATCGTGAGCGTGACGGGTGACCATCCAGATGGACCGATGACGAGGCGACGATCCGAGATGGCGACGTCGGGCCAGACTAGCTGGAGGGCAGGCTCGCCTCTCAAGCTGGCTCGCCCGACGTTTGAGCGCGTGATGTGCTGCCTGCCTGTCCGAACGACCATCATCCATCCACAGCTTCGTGACCTGCTCATCTGTCCCCGACAGGCTGGCGAGATCTACAATGTCACTCTCAGCAGTATTGTCCGACACGCAGACATGGGTTCGACCCACCCCAGCCAGTCTAACTTCGTCACTGCTGCCTTTGTTCCCAACTGCCTCACAAAGGGCTGTGGCCTGATCGCAGCTGGCGGCCAGCATTCTCAGATCATCATCCGATCAGACGATCCACACTCCAGCTGGGCCATCAAGGAGACCCTGAGCGGCAGCATCAACAACTCGATCTGCATCGCGCCGAGCGCCTTACCCTCAGAGGTCCCCCAGGCGATCGTGTCCAACAACGACAATTGCATCGCCATCTTCGACATCACCTGGGCATCTCGTCATCTCGAAGCAGCTAGAGATAGCACGCAAGAGTCTGACGGCGACGACGAGCGACGGCCGACTCGCTCGGCTAGGTCAGCCAAGAAGAGTCTCTCACGTGCGTACCGCGGCAGATCCGCGCCTGCTTTACTGCGCAGACAGAATCTACACTTCGACACGCCAATAAACCATTCGAGCGTCTCGCCAGACGGGAAGACGATGGTCTCCGTTGGCGATTCGACCGAGATGTTCGTTTGCGATATCAGCGCAGCCAATCAGTTCAGTCTGATGACAAAACGGCCGTGCGCTCAGGACGCGAGCTTTTCGACCTCGTGGTCACGAGACAGTCGGACGTTTGCAATCGCTTCACAAGACTGCAGCGTTGCTTTCTATGACGTCCGCAATCTCGACAGGCCCATCAATCGCTTCAGGACCTCTGCTCCCGCTCGCCTCGTCAAGCACTCTGGCGCGTCTCACGAGCTAACGGCATTCAGCGAGCAGTACGATGTAGTGCACGTCATCGATTCAAAGACGGTAGAGCATCTTGGGCAACTGACCATCGATCCCGGAGCGAGCACTGCACCCCTGCGGCCCGGTCTGTCTCTGGCAGAAGAACGAGACGCGCTGGCGGCTGTCTGTCCCGAGGGCATCTCGCCGCAAGCGTGGATCGACGGTCTGAGCCAGTACACCAACGGCCTCGAATTTGACAGTGTGACTGACTGCGACGCTGCCGTCAACATTGTCGGCCTCGACTGGAGCCCGGACGGCGAAGCACTCTATGTCGCAAGCTTGAGCGGTGTCTGTGAGTATCGCGTGGATCAGGCTGCTAGGCAAAGCGCAGTCCATTTCGAGCTTCTCTGAGTACGTCTACTCGATGTTGTTGTCTTTTCGTGCATGTGCAATCTCAAGTCAGGCGTCAGACTTGTGCCAGACGTGGATTGCGCCATCGCGACCGCACGAAAGCTGCTCGTCTGCCGAGGGATGTTGCGACAGCCAGAGTACGCTGCGCGTGTGGGCTTCGACGACCTGTACTGCTCGGCCCTCTGCCAGATCCCAGACGAAGATCTGACCGCTTTCGTCGCCCGACATCACAGTACGCTCGGCGTAGCCGAAGCAGCTCTGTACACGATAGCTATCATTCTTGTGGCCTTTGTAGGTCTGCAGACAGTCGCCACTCGAAGCGTCCATCAGTCGAACAGCGGAATCGAGAGAGGAGGCGAGGATGGTCTGCCGATCTCTTGATATCGCGACAGAGGTCACAGGAGCTGCTTATACTCCGTCAGGACTGCCGTATGACATGAAAGTGTCTCATACCATCGAGCAAGTCCGATCGCAGCACGCCCATGCGCAGATCATACCATCTGACCGTGCCGTCCACAGACCCAGTGACGAGATCGCTACCGTTGATCGCAATGGACGTGATCGAGTCTTTTGCGTCCGGTAGGATCTGTATGGGATGTGGAGACTGTGCCCTGTATGGCACGCCATGAAGCACAGGCTGCTCAGAGAGGCAGCCAAACTTACTTGATGTCCCACAAACGTACAGTGGCGTCAAAAGAGCCTGTTGAGGCAGCATAATCAAAAAGCAATCTCTGGCAGGCTTGGGAGATCGTACCGCTGGCAAGAACAGTCGCGTCAGCGTTAAAGGCGACTGCATTGACGCGGCCTGTGTGTCCTCCTAGCCGTTTGATAGTGGCGCCAGTAGCAACATCCCAGAGAAATACACTGCGATCCCCTCCACAGGAGGCAAAGCGAGTGCTGTCGTGTGAGCTGCGAATAAAATCTGAGCAGCGACATCTGAACACGTTGGCCAACCTACACAGATATGCCGAGTACTTCATAGCCATGCGCTTCGTAACTTTTGATGAGACTGGCCTTTGTCGGGTTCCAGAGCTTCACAGAACGATCTTGACCGCCAGATAGGCAGTAGGAGCCATTCGAGTTATAGACGACAGTATTGACTGGACCCTTGTGACCCTCGAGCGATCTCAGCAAGCTTACCTGTTCGTGAGCTTCAGTATCTATTTGCGTCGCTGCAGTGCAATCGCTCACCTCGCTCATGCACGACTCCGCGGTCAGCCGTACCTGCTGACACGTCATGGTCCGGCTAGGTCGGCTACCTTTCACGCGCCACGCGACGAAAGCTGTCGCGGTGAATGTCGCCAGGCTTCCATTTCCGAGGATCCTAACATACATCGCACGTACAGCATGGTCGTCAGCCTGCTTGCATCGCCAACACACTATCCGCCGGGCGCCGAGGGCAAACAGCGACTGTGCGCGCTGACGCATCAGATCATAGAAGACACCATCGTCTTTACCATTGAACTCACGCATGCACCTGATAACCGTCTGGTCCCCGAGCTGCTCGGCGCCGTACGTTTCGCATCGTGCTGCAATGTACTTTGCTCACGTGCGCAACGCAGTATAGCACAGCTCTTGACGACGCCGAGAGAATTTGGCGTGCTGATGTCGACGAGGAGCTAGGCAAGCATGATGAGCCAAACGTCCTGAAAGGTGTCATACTGATACACGACTACAGAGGGTGGGCCCGGCAAAGGTCAAGCTGCTCTCATCACAATCGGGCTGCGCGACAAAGATCGCTTTTTCTCCAACGGTCAGCATGAGTCATGAGACTAGCCCGGGTGATCCTGAACTTGTGTCCGCGGCAGGCCTCGACCTTGACAGGGTCATGACGACAGAGGGCTTCTTCACAGATCACTATTATCCAATCGTCAAGCGGATACTCACCTTTCCGATGCCCACTATTGCAGCCCTGAATGGACACACTTTCGCTGGCGGACTGCTCATCGCCATGTGTCACGACTACCGCGTGGCCAAGAATCTGGAGGGCAAAGGCCGCATCATGCTCGCGATGAACGAAGTCGATTTTGGCGCTCCCATTCCGCAAGGCATGATCACGACGCTGCGTGCAAAGATGACGCCGAACACGTTCAGAGACGTCTGCGTGCTAGGCACGCGATTCTTTGCGCCAGATGCACTCAGAGCGGGGCTCGTTGATCATCTCGCCGAATCTGCAGACGATTGCTACAGGAAATCTGTCGAGCTCGCAACGAGGATGGGTGTCAAGTCCGCCAAGTCTGCTGTCGGCATGATCAAGGTCGGCATGTACCACCACGTCCTGGCAGACATTGCTGCGGACCCAGGTAATAACGATCTCGGACCGGGAGGCGACATTGCGCCAGCCTGGGAGCGGCTGGGCGAAGTGCCCAAGTGGCAGGAGCAAAAGGCCAAGCTCTAGATCATCATCTGCAAAGATTGTACATGCTCATGCAGTCTCGGTCTCTATCGTGGTACCGCGACGCACGCTGCCCCAGCCTGTCCAGCAGGTTTCGATAAGCGGGCACTCCGAGAAGAGCATGAGTACGCACCGACGAGACGCCAATGCTTATCGATGCGTCGACTGAGAGCGACTTTCTCCCCCACTTCGGTACATGCCGGCGTCATGAGGGCAATTTTGGCAAGATCCGCTTTGATGTTCATGACCTTACCGCCGGTCGAAGTGGAGCCAATGTTGATCATCAGGACCTCGCCTTTCGCAAGCTTCTGGACCTGAAACGTGTCGTGCATGAGCTGGGCGTCGATCGCTGCGCTGGCTGAGACTTACCTTTGTCTGCTTTTTGTCATCTGTCTTGACACCGAGGAGCCTTCGCAGCAAGAAGTAGTTGATCTCGAGCTCAGTATAGATATCTGGCAATTTCCCGACCGCGCCGAGTACTTGACCGACCAGTCGGTCAGCTCTGCATACACAAGGGCTAGGTGACAGATCAGTGAACGCAACTCGCAAAGTGAAGCGTAGACCCACTCAATTTTTGTGCCCACACCGATCAAGCCGCCTGGCACTGCAAAGCGGAGGTGGTTGCGCTCGGCCAGCAAAGTCTCGACGCGACTGAAGAGAGGCTTGCAAACCGTCCTACCACCTGCTTTCTCGATGATGCCCGGTCGTACCTCGATCTCTTGGCCAAGCTACATAGGCATCAGTATACCTTCGTTGCGGACCTCTCAAGAGCGAGACTCACTCGCAGGACACCGCTCAGAATAGAGCCGCCTGCTACGCCGCCTTTGATCTCGTCCACCTCTGAGCCTGGCTTGTTGACATCGAAGCTACGAATCACAATCAGGCGCGGATCAGTCGCAAAGTCGCGCATTGGCACTGGAATGCGGGTGCACAGGTACTCGTTGACAGCCTCGATGTTGTACTTTAGCTGAGCCGAAATCGGCACGACAGGTGCAGAATCAGCCACAGTTCCTGTGAGGGGGTCGGAGGATGAGCAAGCAATGGAACGGAGGACGTGCGGGACCGACCTCTTACGAAATCGACGATGGACTGGTGGTGCTCTTCCGCTTTCTGCTCTTGTATGAGATCGACCTTGTTTCTGCGAGCAAGTGTAAGCCGTTGCCTTGGAAGATGGCACTGAGGCGCACTGTAGTATGATGATATGCTTGAGCTTCATGATTTCGATGGCAGCGAGGTGCTCGCTCGTCTGAGGCTGCGGGCAAGATTCGTTGGCGGCAACGAGCAAAAGTGCGGCGTCCATGACGGCAGCGCCGTTGAGCATGGTCGCCATCAGGATATCGTGACCCGGACAGTCGACAAAGGAGACATGTCTGCCTGTCGTGCTCAGCAGAAGATGACCCCAAGGAAGGCATCGACTAACCTTTGCAGAGTCATCTTGCCGCTGCAGCCCTCGCGCTGACAGGGCGGATGATCCTCCTTGTCGGACGGGTAGGAAGCATAGCATTGCGGCCGTGGACATTTTGGATTCTGACACTTGTAGATCTGTGGAGCAGTCAAGTGGTGCTCAGCCTTGTGGCTCACGACTCTGGCGCGTGCTGCCAACCTTTGCGTTGGCATAGCCGAGCTTGATGGTGATGTTGCGCTCCAGCTCGTTCTTGAAACGGACAGTGTGTACGCCCGAGATGGCTTTGACGACGGTAGATTTGCCATGGGCGACATGACCGATCGTGCCTGTCAAGATGACTCGCGTCTTAAGCCTGGCAACGCTGCAGCCCTGCACGGGAGCGCACCGATGTTGATTGTCGCCTGCTTGGCCATGATGACGGGCGTGAGGGGCGTCATGTCAGCCAGCTTAGGCTCTGGCTGATCGATGCCTTCGCCTAGCTCCTCAATTGTCTTTTGTCTGTCGCTGTCATTGAGCTTTACTTTTGCTCCCTTGCCGCTCGTCGGGCTCGATCTTCGTTTGCCGGTCTCCTCGACATCGGACTCCGAGCCCGAGCCTGAGCTGAGAGATTCATCTTCGCTCGCTGCGACCATCTGGCTGATCAGGCTCAAAGCACCTGCGCTTCACTTTGTCGCGCGCAAACGACGAGAGCTAACTGAAAAGCCATCTGATAACATTTCTGCGTCATACCGCACAACGCGCGCCAGCCCACGCTCGCCGAGTCGACGACGTATCCCGACGTATTGACGGGCTTGACCGACGTGAAGGATCACATCACGACAGTATGGCAATCTATCTGCAAATGACGTTTTCGCTGCTCATGCTCGAGGCAAGTCGGTGCTGCCCGGCATATGCCTTGCACCGCTATGCATTGACTGACGTCCGTGTCCTCCACCGCAGATGGGCTTGTTCATCAGTCTCGTGGTAGGTCAATCTCTCCAAGGGTCTCGATGAGCTGAGCTTCACAGCTGGCTCCAACAGCTGCCACTCCCTTTCACCTGGCGGCGGGCTATGCTCAAGTTCCTGGCAGAGAGTCCTATCGTGCGTTTCCGTGCCAAGCTTGTTGCTGCAGCTGTTCAGCTTCTGACTCGTACACAGGTTGCCAAACTCCAGTTCGGCTTGAAGATCCTGTTCATCTTCGTCGTCGTCCTCTTCGTCGGTCAGTCGTGTGACAGAGCAAGCCTGTTCGAGCTAGCTCACGCAGCGGTGCTGCAGATGCGGTACAGCACATGCTCAGAGTACACGCCGAGGGCAAGGAGATTCGACAGTCGGGCATGGGTCAAAACCTGCGCGGCGAGTCTGACTGGCGAACGCGCAAATTCCTCAGGCAAGTGTGCCAAGCGGGAATGTCGGGTGAGCCCCGCTGATCTTACTCGGGACGAGCAGCGAACGCAACATGTACCTGACCGGTTCGACGCTCTTTCTCTCGCTTATGCTGTCGAGAGTGTACGCTGTCATCCTGGACCTGATCAAGGTGCAAGAAGACAATGCACTCCTGCGCAAGCAAGCCAAAGAGGGCGGAGATGACAAATATGTCACCCTCAAGAAGGACTATGACGATCTCAGTGCCCGCTACAACGCCAAGTTTGACAAGGCTGCAGACAGCAAGAAGGCGATCTGAACGAGCCTGTCGAGGTCCTGCTGCTGCCTCTACCCGCGTGACGTCAGATAGACCGAATGCGCATGCACATTTGTAAGCGTTCACCTTCGAGCGCTCGATGGACGCGCGAGTTGTATATACGTGAAGATCACGAGCGACCTGGCATCGCAATGAAGCTTAGGCCTAGACGTGTACTGGCTCGCAATAATTGAGTAAGGATCATAGCCACTGTGGGGATGTGGAGCCATCGCGAGCAAACAGCGTTGCGATCGACGAGACGCGTGTACAGCTACAAGCAAAAGTGCCGGTCTCGCTGCTCATCTGATTGAGCTGTGCTCGTTCGAGTTCGAGATGGCTTTTGCAGTCTCGGTCAAGCATGCCGGACAGAAGTATGGTGTCGTCGCACCGAGTGGAGCGGCGCAAAGACTGATGCGTCCTGCACCAGGCATGATCTACAGCTCGACCCCAGCGCCGACAGTCCGGCGAGCTTCAAGCAACGAATCTACGAAAAGACGGGCGTTCCCGTCGCTCAACAAAAGGTGCTCGTCAAGGGTGGTCAACTCAAAGATGATGCAGACTGGTCAAAGCTGGGCATCAAGCCGGTATGGGTCTCGATCGCTTCTGGCCACACTGGACAAACTGAACGGGGCAATTCTACAGGGCCATGCCTTCATGCTCATCGGCACTGCCGAAGCTTTGCCTGTGCCCCCGCCAGAAAAGATCGTCTTCATGGAAGACATGACAGACTCTGAGCTAGCCAAAGTGGTGCGTGAAGCGTAACGACCTTTCGCGTTCACCGGCATGCTCACCCACATACGTGCAGTCTAGTGATCCTTCTGGTCTCATCAATCTCGGTGAGGCTGTCTCTGATCGCAGGTCATGTCAGGCTGACTTTATTGCAGGCAATACGTGCTACATGAACAGCACCGTTCAGGTCTTGCGGGCCATACCCGAGCTACAGACTGCACTCAACTCGTATGTACTACGCATTCAATGTAAGCCAGTCTGACGCCTTGTCCTCAAGCTATCCTGGCACTCTCAGCTCTCAGCAGAGCGATTCGGCACTCACTGCGTCCCTACGTGATCTCTACAAGGATCTCAGCTCTCAGCCAGGCGGGCCACAGTCCGACGGCTATCCGCCCCTTCTCTTCTGGCAAATTCTTAAAGGACACGTTCCCCAGTTCCAGGAGATGCGCGAGGGCAGGCCCGCACAGCAGGATGCCGAAGAATGCTGGAATGCGATCGTCAACGCGCTCAGAGGGACCCTCGATAGCCTGCCCGGCGCGTCAAACGGTACGGATCGTACAGCTAGATTTGTGCAGCAGTACATGACCGGCGAGATCATCACTGAGTGTGTCCCAATGGACCTCTTTGTTGCAAAAAGTGCTGACGAGCACGCAAGGACCAAATCGGTAGAAGCGCCAGCAGAAGCGTCAAGCTATTCCTCCGAGCCTTTCTTAGAGCTCAAATGTAACATCACTGTCGATACCAACTACATGATGGCCGGCATAAAGCACGCGCTCGATCAACCCGTCGAAAAGACGAGCCCAACCTTGGGACGCCTGGCACAGTATCAACAAATCAGCCGTATCAATAGAATGCCGCAGTAGGCTTGGGTTTCGTCCGTCTGCTTTATACTTATGGGAAGATTGTGCAGCTACCTGACGGTTCACTTTGTTCGCTTCTACTACAACCGACAAACACGCTCGAAGGCAAAGATTATGCGCAAAGTGAAATTTCCCTTTGACCTCGATGTACAAGAGATACTGTCCGATGACTTGAAAAAGAAGACCAAAGCAGTAACCGACCGCTTCCAGGAGATCGAAAAAGATCGTCGAGAACGGGGCAAGGTCAGAAAGCGTACAAAAATTGCTATAGCGCCGGCCGCGAAGGATTCGACGATTGGCACGTCTGCTGGTACGAGTGACTCGGCGTCTGCCATCGAGCCAGCAGCTGCCCGCGATGATGACACCGAACTGTATACAGCCGCTGGCGAAGCAAAGAAGCGTGCTGCGGAGTACCTAGATCTGCAACAAATCATGGATCCAAGCCTGACAGGCGATGCGGGCTCCAATCCGACTGGCTTGTATGAATTATGGGGAATCGTTACCCATAAGGGCGCAAGCGCCGAAGGGGGCCATTACCTCGCCTGGGTCAAAAGCGCTGCCAACCCTGCCGGTCCTGCGTATGATCCGATTTCACGCTACGACGGCGATCCGGACAAAGAAGAGGCACGATCCTCGCGCGCTCCTCGCTGACTGTGCTGACTCGAAACTGATATTTAGTGGTTCAAATTTGACGACGCGAAGGTCACGACGGTGACAAGAGACAAGATTGCTCAGCTCGACGGTGGCGGCGAGGACAGCAGTGCTTATATTCTGTTGTATCGCGCAAAGGACCTCGAGTGAGATCGACGTACAATAGACGGCACATTGCATGCGATAGTACCAACAACAGTTGCAACCAATGCAAATTCGTGTCTAAAATGTGTCTTCCAGCACCAGGCGCGGTGCGATATTCATCGCCAGCAATTCTTGGAAGAGCAATTTGCTAGCATATGGCAGCATAAGCTTGACGACTTTGTCGCCGCTCTTACAGTGAGCGCACCATCTGCACGTGTTGCATGAGCCATCATGATAAGCTGCTATAGAAGAGCTTACCCGTTGTAACCCATAAAGCCACAGCTCTGGCAGACATCAACTTCGAAAGCGTCGGAGCTGAGCATCAATCGCTCCAAAAGCAGGTGACTAGCGCCGTGCGCAATCAGACAGTCTCGCTCCATCTCACCGAGGCGCAATCCACCATCGCGGGATCGTCCTTCGGTGGGCTGACGAGTCAAGGTCGCGCGAGGACCGCGAGAACGAGCATGCATCTTGTCGATGACCATATGCTTGAGCTTCTGATAGAATATCGGACCGAAGAAGACGTAGGACTCCAGAGCCTGGCCGGTGATACCTGACGTGAGGTAATCCTTGCCGGCGTAGCTGTAGCCGGCCTGAATCAGAGCTCGAGACATATCTTCTGCCTTTGAACCGCCGAAAGCTGTTCCGTACTCAAATTTGCCGCCAAGGATGCCGGCCTTGCCGGAGAGCAGCTCGAGCATTTTGCCCACCGTCATACGCGAAGGAAAGCCATGGGGATTCATGATGATGTCTGGACATATACCTTGATCTGTGAAAGGCATGTCTTCTTGTGGCACGATCAGGCCGCAAACGCCCTTCTGACCATGTCGCGAAGAAAATTTGTCGCCAAGTTCAGGTCTACGCGTTTGTCGCATTAGGATCTTAACAAGTTGAGTGCCATTCTCCATGTCCGAAAGCATGACCTTGTCGATATGTCCGTTCATATTGGCTCGATAAGTCATGACTGCATCTCGCCAATGCGATGGCATCGAAGATGCAGTGCTCGAGTTGTCGGTAGCATTGCTGGGCGTCTGTTTGTTGACATATATGTCGCCTTCCTTGACACGATCGCCGACAGCTGGCAGACCGTCGGCGTCGACTTTGTACTTCCTGTGACGATCGCTATCTGGCGGGGGAGGGTCGGCCAAGCGATCGTGCGTGTTGTTTGGGTATTGCTTGATGTAAGTCGAGTACTTGCGGAATACTTGACACCGCCCAAATCCACGATCGACGCTAGCACGATTGAGAATGAGTGCGTCCTCGATATCATAGCCGCTGAAGCTCATGACCGCAACCATCGCGTTTTGACCTGCAGGCAGCTGATCGTATTTGACGAGCTCGATCGTCTTTGTCGTCACCAGCGGCCTTTGGGGATAAACCATTAGATAGAGGAGCGTATCTATACGAGCAAGCTGATTGTACGCAATAGCGCCAATAGCCTGCTTGCCCATCGCGCACTGATAGGTGTTCCTTGGCGATTGGTTGTGATGTGGGAAAGGAATGAGTCCAGCCACAGCACCCAAAAGCGTGAAAGGCTCGATCTCGAGATGCGTAGTGAATTTCTTGATGTCTCGCTCGTAGAGTGCGATATGCGCATCATTTTCTTCGTTGACATCGAGATATTCGATTAGACCTTCCTTCAGGAAATCGTCAAATGTCTTCATGCTTGCTCTAAGTGCAGCGATATGCGCGTCCGTGACCCGAGGCCGACCGCGATCGACGATGATCATGGGCCGACAGATTCGTCCGCCATCGCTGGCGATATGTATCGCTGCCTGTTGTGTGTTGATGTAGATGCTGACGAATTCGGAGATCTCACCGGCTCGTCGGAAAGCGCGGAATCGCTGCGTGAAGACCCGTGGCTCCTGCGTGAGACCGAGCAATACGCCGTTCAGGTAGACGACGAAAGTGCCGGGAGCATAGAGCTCAGTACCCGTAACATTGCAGACATCCTCCAAGCCCAGGACGTACGCGAGTCGCCAAAGACTCGTCTCCTCGACGTCGGTAGTGATGTGTGTCATAAGAGCCAGGTTCTTGACGAGACCACAGGCTTCGCCTTCAGGCGTGTCGGAGGGACAAAGCATGCCCCACTGGCTCGCTTGTAGTGCACGAGGGCCGCTGACCTTGCGCGTCTTCTCGAACTGGGAAGTGATACGAGTCATCATGCCAAGAGCAGAAATGTAACTCAGCCGGGACAAGACGTGGGTGATGCCGGCGCGCTCCATTCTAAATCGCTTGAGTGACCAGTTGCCGGTCGCGATCGCTCGTACAAAGCCATCGGTGATCGAGCCAGTCTGCATGCTCAGCACCTTGAGCCCGTCAAATTCATTTGTGCGGGAAGGCTTTTTGAGCATCTTGTCGACATTGGTTTTGAAGTCCCTATTGAAAAGTTTGAAAAGATCTTCAAACAGCAACGAGAGTAATTGACCGGCAAGCTCAAGGCGTTTGTTGCCCACATAATCGCGATCGTCCGTCATCGTAGGATCGAGCATAGCGGCAAGGACACGCCGGATCATGAGGGCCATGTATATCGCTTTAGGCCGAAAGTTGAGATTTTCGACAGGCACGTGAGCCAGCACGAGAGTGGCTAAGAGCTCGAGCGCTTCTTCTGCGACGGGACGTCGCACAAAGTTATTGCCGCCTGGGGCAACACGCTTCGAGAGTTTGACGCGATGACCGACGTACTCGAGGGCTTGCGTGCGGGTGTAGATGCCTAGGCGAGTGGAATCCTCGAAATTGATAGCAAAACGTTCGCGCAATTCCGGACTGGTGCCACAGACGAGCAGCATGATCTCATGGTCGCCGACAATGCCCAGGCTGCAAGTACACTCAGTACGTGGACGCTCTCAAATGCACGAGTCACGCACGCTTTGAGAGCAATGACGATCGGGACATCTTCGTGCAGCGAATTATGACGGAGCACGATCTTCTTGCTCTTCTCGGCAACATATGTCTTTGACTTGCGCTCGAGAGTCGAGGAAGTGACACTGGCGATGATACCCTTCGAAGGACCGCGGCCATCGTTCTCGACGAGGACGCGATTCTTGCTGAGCTGTTCTTGGACAAGAATAACCTTTTCGGTGCCTTTGACGACAAAGTAGCCCCCCGGATCGAGAGGGCATTCTGTGAGGCTCTGCATCTGCTCCGGATCCTTGTCCCAGAGGACACATCTGGAGTTGGAACATCAGCAGGTGGGTGCGCACGCAACAGGCAGGACGGCTGACTTGTTAGATCGAAGCATGACAGGTATGCGGCCAATGAGCTGCTTCTTGCTGACGACATTGCGGGAGCCCTTTGCGTAGATGACGTCGACATAGATTGGGGCAGCGTAAGTCATATCTCTTAGACGACATTCTTGGGGTGTCAGTGGCTTGTGTATGAGGCCGTTCATCTGCAGTCGCTCGGGCGAGCCAACCTACGCGAGGGATATCAGACATCGAGATCGGTCGAGTCATGATGTCAGAGCGGCGTACATAGATATCGGTGTACTCGAGGAACCAATTGGGATCAACGTCAGAGACCACCCGTCGGTTAGCCTCTGAGAGGACCTGGCGCGCGCGAAAGATGGTGTGAGCATGGGAAGCGCAAGGCTAGCAAGCGTGGAGACTGACGATGGCGCGGAGCTCGACATCAACGAGATGGTTGTAAGAGTCGATGTGTTGCTTCACAAGCCCCTTGACGGCGAGGAAAGCGGGGAGAAGGTGCCATTTGTCCTCGACAGACTTGATCTCATCGGTCAGTGACTTGCCGGCGAACGTTGCAGCAGCGAGATCTGCGAGGCCTGCCGGGGTGGTCCCAAATGCACCCGACATACCCCCTGATACGTTCTCTGGGCCCAGCATGGCTGTGGCAAGGCTCTCTACCTTTGCCTCGAGCTTGCTGAGAGTGGACACGTGGAGCGCTGGCAAAGAGAAGCCTTGACGCGCTCTAGCAACGTCAGGGTTTGACGAGACTGTGGGTAGGCTGCATGCGGGCACTCTATACCAACTGTCACTCCCTGCTGGTACTCTTTGCGGCCTCGTAGGATGGGCGCCTCCTCCCTGCTCGGCGTTGCTCTTTGCAGCGGCGGCAATGTACTCATCAGCGTCGCGCTAAGTCAGTTCGCTCCTCATCTTCTGCCCGCGTTCCAGCTCATCACGGCGCTCACGGCAGACGTGCAGAAGCTGTCCCATAAGCGCATAGAGGAGCAGCAAGACAGTGCTAGTGAACATGGACATGGATCGCAGCCGACTACGCCCTCGACGAGTCACTCGTGTCGACATGATCAGCCAGAGGAACTCTCGGATTCCACGACGCTTGCTCCTGGCTCGCCGAAGCCTGCCTTCGTACTCGCGCGTCCTTCTGTGCAGGATCTGAAGCCGCCTGTCACCTCGCCATCTGGCCACGAACGAGGAGATCCATTCTTTGCCACTCGCCAGGAGGAACAGGGCGATGTACAATATGTCACACCCATCATCAAGCTTCCGAGCTCGCCGACAGCTGACGAGGATCAGATCTCGCCAAAAGATCATCCGCAAGAGCGCCCATCCCACGCGAGAGGCGGAAAGACCTACCTGCGCTCAAAGCTCTGGTGGCTCGGCTTGACCCTCATGGCCATCGGCGAGGCTTCAAATTTCATTTCCTACGGTCTAGCGCCGGCATCGCTTGTCGCACCTCTCGGATCAGTCGCACTCATCGCCAATTGCTTCGTCGCGCCACTGCTGCTCAAGGAAACATTCAGAAAGCAAGACATCATCGGCATCGGCATGAGTGTCATCGGTGTCTCCACAGTCGTCATCAGCAGTCAATCGAGCGAACAAAAGCTCTCGCCCGACGAGCTCAAGCGCGCCATCCGTGGCGTTGGCTTCATCGTATACGCTATCGTCTCCCTCGTCCTCATCGGGTGGGGATACCGATCCCTTGACACAGACGGTGCTTACGTTCGTCACATAGCATCCTTTCGTTCTTGTCTACACGCCCGGTCGCTGATCGCTGGATCATCATTGACGTTGGCTTATGCGCCCTCATCGGTAGCGCCTCCTGCCCGTTGAGTTGTAACACAGTTGACGTTGCGCGGCAGGCGGGTTTACCGTGCTGACTACGAAGGCCATTTCGTCCTTTCTCAACATCATCTTCCTCGATATGTTCCGCGAGTGGATAACATACCCGATCCTGCTCATACTCGTCCTGACCGCCGTTGCGCAAGTCAATTACCTCCAAAAGGCACTGCAGCGCTTCGATAGCAGGGTCGGCCGTTTGTTCTCGTCACTTGCGAGCTGGTCTCATGCTTCCCTCGACAGGAGGTCGTCCCAACGCAGTTTGTGTGCTTTACGTTGTCGGCGATCATTGGCTCTGCTGTGCTCTACCGCGACTTTGCAAACGCAGACTTTCAGCGCGTTCTCAACTTTTGTGAGTCGTCGACCGGGCCTCATGATTCCCAAAGCGCTCATCGACTTGCAGGCTTTGGCGTGGGTATCGTCTTCGGTGGTGTTCGCGTCCTCACACGGTCTCAAGAAGACGAGAACGACGCAGGCCGGCAGCGAAAGAGCCCAACAGACAATGAAAGAAATCGCTTGCTCGAGCAAGGCGATCATGTAGGCTATCTCACCACCTCTGCACATGGCCCGACGCCGCCCAGGTCGATCAGGCGGCGGAGTAGCGCGCTTGCACTCACTGGGCGACGAATGCTTTCTTCGGGCTATGTGCTCATCGCTCACTCGCCCACGGCGTCCAATCCGGGCAGTCTTATTCAGCGGGACTCGTTCGGTCAGCGTACGAGGCGCCGCTCGTCCCTCGATGCCCGGCAGAATGAGTTTCCCTGGTCAAACACACGCACAAAGTCCAGCCAGCGAGCCAGTGCGGCAGACGAGGAGACATGATGCATCTCACGTTGCACGCGCTTACGGAGCCGTTGCTCGGCTTGCCTTTGAAGCGTCCTGCAGGCCTTGCTCGTACCCTCGCAATGTGAGCGCGACATTGCCTCCTGCGGCTTGTTGCAGCACCTGGATCAGCGCCTGTCCCGAATACGACAAGAGACCGATGAGCTGAGCTTGCAAGGTTCGCAGATCGGGCAGAGCTGCCAGTTCGTTAAGGTCGTGAAGGGAACTTGTCCTCTGAGACACGAGGGAAGTAACGACTGGCAGCCGAGCGGGTTTCTCGATCTTGGCTGCCGGTGTTTGGGCAGCCTTGCCCTTACCAATAGCCTGAGCAATGCCAGCTGCCGTCGCGCGTGCGTTTGGACGGGTTGATGCGGCAGTGATGGCTCTGATGAGCGATTTGAGCGTCGGTGGGTCGAGCTCCGGGATCGTCAGCAGGGCGATGGGTCCCTTCAGGAAGGGCTCGATGGCCATGAGGTCCAGGTCGGGCATCGACTTTATGAGCGGCGAGAGCAAGCCCGTTCTGACGACAGTGAGCGCTGGCAGCGAGCCCGGCGGGAGCGTCGACCGGCCGGCATCGTCAGTCTGCAGGCTCGGCGCAGAAGCTGACTTGAGATAGGTAGAGGCATTGACGGCAGCGACCTCTGCTCTCAGGCGAGTGAACTCGGCGACATCGAAGTCGCCATGCCGCAGAAAGATGACGACCTGGTTGGTCTCAAGGAGTGTCCTGTAGTGTGAGAAGAGCAGTCTCTTGCGGAGCGGGTAGACCCTGTCCGGCCTCTCGTAAGCGAACAAGGACCTCTTTTTGGCCTTGAGGGATGTGACGGTGGCCTGCTCTGTGGCTGCCGTGTGCACGGTCTGGCGCCTCAAGCAGGTGCACAGCTCGAGCGCTGGTCTCATGAGCCGCCTTGTAGGTCCTGCCAGCACCTGCACGGCCGTCATCGCTGCAGCCTCGAGCGCTGCCTGTGGCGCTTGGGTCAGTGCAGGCAGAGCAGACGCGCGAGTCGCCCGCTCGCTCGCTCACTGACTCAACAGCCGACTTGCGGGGACTTGCTGCCATGGTACGAGGCAGAGGCAAGTTCCGCAGGGGCGGAGGACGTCACTTCACTCGGGATCTCGACCCTCGCTCAGCTCAGGCAGAGGCAGAACGCAACAAGAAATCTGCAGGACGGTGGGCAGAGTCTGACGAAGAGAGTGGCGAAGAAGAGGACGAGGAGGACTCCGAGGACGAGTCTGGCTCGGGGGAGGATAGCGAGGGAGATAGCGACGGCCTCGGCTCAGCTAAGGTCACCAAGCGCGGCACAGGTGATGGCTCAGATCCGACTGCGAGCGTCGTCCTGCAGCCTGCCAGGCTATCTGAGCCACCGTCAACAGCGAGCGCACGGCCGGGTCCGTCGGCACTCAAACCCAAGGCCAACCTGGGCAACGACGAGGATGAGGAAGAGGATGTTGCAAAGTTGCGAGCCCAGCGACGAGCGGACAAGGCCAAGAAGAAGAAGAAAGCCAAACCGTCCACGGGCGTCAAGTTTGCGGGCGACGGGGACGAGGAAGAGTCAGAGGAAGATGCAGACGAGGCACTTGCGAGAGACCCCTCGGTCTCTATGCAGTCCAATGCGGGTCTCACCAAGTCGATGAAGCTCTCCTCGATCGGTACAGCCCAGCCGGGCGCTGCGCTTTCTCGCAAGGAACGAGAAGCGCAAGAGAAGAAGGCCGCCAAGGAGCGCTACTGGGCAATGCATCAGGCTGGCAAGACCGACGAGGCAAAGGCAGACCTCGCCCGGCTCAATCGAGTCCGTGCCGAACGCGAAGAGGCCAAGCTTCGCCGAGAGGCCGAAGCAGAAGGTATGTGTTCTCTTCACTCGTTACCCATGACCATTTGGCTGACTCGAGAGCGTGTGACACAGCGAAACAGCAAGCAGTCAAGGAAAAATTAGAGGCTTCAGGACGCGGAGGCAAGCGGTGATGACGCCTCTGGCTGAACATCCCGCAAGCGGTCAGATCAGGACAACCATAGACGCCGTGCCGCCCCGCAAGAGGTGATGCTTGTATCATGCATTGTCATTGCTGTCTTTCGAGATCGTCCTGGCTTCGACGCGCCGTCGAGCAAGCATGCCTTCGGGTGCAGCTTGCGCGTTCACTCCTCAGCTCACACTCGGGAACCCACTACCGACACATCGCCTGCCAGAATGTCTTCCGCCGCGGGGTGTGATTCAGTCGACAGCTCGCGCATCTACAACGGTAGCTCGCCTTATTCCTACGTGACAGCTGCTCACTCGGCCACCCGCGTCTCACCCGATACTTCACCTGCAGCTCGACGAGTCTTTAAAACCCCACTTTCCTCCGGCTTCATTCTGTCTCAGCGTATCGCAACGCTTGCTCGCCCTGTGCACTCGCGTCCAATTCTCGTTCATCAGCTGCCGGAATCGACAGATGAGCCAGATCGCGCTCGCTTTGCTTTGGCCATGCTTTCACCAAGCGCGTGGAGATCTCACATGGCAAAGCAGAACTATGTTCAGCCTGATCTCACTTGGGGCCTCGGCCGCTACGACCAGACAGCATCCTTGTGTAGTCAATCGGAAGAGGAGGTTCGTTCGCTTTGCAGCGCTCCATCTAAGCCCAGAGAGGCTAGTCATGCTACGATGTCAGGCCGATCGCTCACACCAGGATCTCATAGCGCCTTCTACGCATCTGCCGATGGTCCAAAGCCACCTAGTACATCTCGGTGGATGCTATGCCAAGGCGAGCAAGATCTGCGCCTGATGCCGTACACGAGCCATTCGCCCGTGTCCCATGGCCGCGTCTCAACTTCGAACTCCGTCGTGCTCGATCAATTCAGACGCGACGGCTGTCACTACGAGCAGCATGACTGGCGAGCTATGCAAAGTGTCGAGCAATGGCGCCGCGAGGAGGCTGGTTCTCCTAATACAACATGGACTAACGTCACCACGAATCTCGGTGATACTTTGACCAATGCCCTCGAGGGCAAGTACAAGTTACATTTTCGCTCAGCCACACAGATGTCGATTCTTTCTGGCTATACGCTGCCCGATCCGTGTTCAAGCCCGCCCGCTCTGTCATCTTCCACAAACGAGCTACCTGTGGCACGCCCAGAACCAGCTCTTCCGCTCACCATGTCTCAGAACTGCAGCAAATCTGTCACTAGGCAGATGCTCTCACGCGGCTCATCAAGCCCTCACGCGACACCCCGCCTAAATTTTTCGCGGTACCGTTCGTCGAATGTACGCGGCCGGCTGGATTCAAGCCCGTCCCGTGGCGAGACATCGACGAAAGAACTGCCGCGTTTGCTTCTAAATTTCGCTACAAACGAGCGCGAAACCATCACGAGCAAAGTCGCCAATAGAGACCAGCCATCGTTCAAGCCTGGATTCGTCCTTGATGATCCGCCTTCGAGTGAGATGTCGTCGCCGACAGAGCTTCAGCAATCGTATCAGCTTCCCTTCATTGCGCCGCGCGTCGTATCCAATACAAGTCAGACAAGACTGCCTTTGACGTCTCCTGACCAGCATTTACGCGCCTCTCAACCCAAATCAACGTCGCCGTGCACGAGACCTCAGCCGTTGTCTGTGCCTGTGAGCAGAAGAAAGCTTGGCCGCGCGAAAGCCGCTCTCTCGATGCCAATCAGACCCTCAGACAAAGCGGTAGCATCTCTTCGTGATCCCGAGCCTACCACAACAGTAAGCAGCAGCCGCGACAGTTTCTCAGAGGCAGTCAGCGAGAGTGTCTCAGAGGCAGTCGGCCCAGAGGCCGGCGCCAGACGACGGAGCCCTGTATGCTTGCAGTCTGGCTCTACTTGTCGCCGTGTGAAGAAGACCAAAAGATCTGCTAAGCAGCATCACATGCTGACAAAGGCATTCGCTTGCCAAGCTAATGGGTGTGACGCTGCCTTTGCCAGATGGGAGCACCTCGCCCGACATGAAAAGATGCACACAAAGGAGCGTCCTTTCGGCTGCGACTTTCCGTGAGTGCGCACTGATGCTCATTGATCGCTTGCTGATGGCGGTACAGCGGATGTGGCAAGTTTTTCAGCCGAAGTGACAACATGATGCAGCATCTTCGGATGCATTACCGCAATATGCCTGGTAAAGTCACGCCGATCGGCACGCGTTCGAAGATATGAAAGGTCGACGTACGGTGCAAATGCATCGTATACAGCATTATACAGGGCTGAGCCCTACAGTGACTACAGGCAGATCGAGGCGCAGCCTTGCACTGTCTCGATAGTGCGGCACATCGTTACTTGATCCGCATCATCGGGGGGCGTGAAACGAGCAACATCATTATGATCCATAAGCGTCAGTGCGTGCAGTGAGGCGTATGGCTCTGTCTGGAGCAGCTGGAGAGTTTGCTCGTAGCCGGCGAGCAGCATTGTATCGATAGGTCTAGCTGCCAGTAGCGGTTCGTCGGTGGGTAACGCGTACCTCTGAGCATACCGTAGATAGGAGGGTTCCAGCACCTTTACGCTCGTAGTGTTCATGAGTTTGACGACGTTGATTGCGGAAGCAAACCTGCGGTGGTAGATTGCAGGGCGGTCGAGCAGTCTCAGGCCTGTCTGGTTCGCTGCGCGCAAGCGGTCTTCCGGCGTGGGAGGGAACTGTCCCTTGCTGACGAAATGCCGGAATTCGATCTCGGAGATGCCCGGAAAATCCGAGGTGACATAGACTTGCGATGGAGGGACAAATGCTCGACCCGTGGCATTTGCTAGTGCGAGAACGAATTTGACTTGGCGTGCAACTGTTTGTTCGTCGCCCGCAAGCGCGCCGATGGTAAGGATGCTGCATTGCATGCCTGTCAGCTCTGTCAGCCTGATTGCGACCCATGCTTACCGAGGAGGATCGGTATAGTAATGATCGACGTCGTGCCAGAAGCCGCATTCCTTGGCATCGTATACCTTGAGCTCCCTAGGGCCCGTGCAGGTCAGATGCAGAGCCACCACGCTAGCCGGCGGAGTCCAGCCCATGGTGCGTCCCCAGACACGAGCTTTGTCGATGACATAGACCTTCAAACCGGTCGGAGCAACGAAGTTATTTGACGGCGGCCATACGGTCTGATTATGACTGCGCATCGGTCTCGACTGTAAATAGTGGTTCACTGCAGGCTGGTCCCATGCGTTGCGCTCCGCAACGTCTTGAGCCACCTGTCGCCAAAGTTCGGCGACAGCTGGCGTACCGCGCTGCGCGAAGAAGCCGATGTTCAGCGTATCGCCGCCTTCGTCTTGCATTTGAATGTCATACTCGCCCTCATCTATGTCGTGCAGATACTCGAAGATGTTGCCTTGGAAGAAAATGTCAAGATCGGAAGAGACGGTCGAGTAGCCTGCGCCGGCTATCTCTGCGAGTGCTGACGCTTTCTGATAGCCTATCGAAAAATACTCGATCTTATTCTCTGCCTTGAGCGCTCTGTATCGTTCGGGCAGATCTTCAAGCTTGTCGAAGATGTAGCACATCAGACCAGAGAGGGCGCAAGTCGACATGCAGGCCTGATCGAGACATATCACGAGCAAGCTTGGCTTTGGCGTTGTCTCTGCAGTCAGCGGGCGGTAGATACCGTCAGGTTGATCGTCTGGCTTGGGTCCGGGCGTTCGCTTGAACGTGTTGACATGATCAGCGTGCTTCAGTGTTTCCAGAAACGCAACCAGCTGGGGCACGACATTCTTCAGATAGAAACCTCCGCCGATCACCGTCCAGATTGGTCGACCTTTGCGAGGTTGGCCCACTTGGGAGTGCAAGAAGCTGACCAGATCCACATTCTGTGCTCTTCCTTGCTCATACCTGCGGCCCGAAGTATCCAGATGCCAAGCCTTGCCGCCGAGCAGATCTGCTGGCTTGATCTCAGAACGCAGCAAGGCAGCACTATTGGAAGCTGTCTCGCTCAGCCAGCGCCAGATAGAGCCATGCTGTGCTTTGTCGAAATGCAAAGAATCGATATCTGACTGATCGTTGTGGCTCGGCAGGGTCAGGAGGATGGCGAGGACAAAGACGAGAGAGCCAGTGAGAATATACAGGCTTCGTCGTCTCTTTTGAGGTGGCTGTACCTGCGCTTCTTGAAGGCCAAGCATGTTACTCCACATCAAACGCTTCTCTGTCTGAACGGATGGAGCGATATGTCTACGCTCAAAGACTCCATTTGGGCTGGGACAACGGTCTGTATGAGACTGCTGCACGCAAGTCCGAGTGGAGTCAAAAAGTGCGACATCCGAGTCAATGAGTGGAGGATCGTGCGTGGCTTGTAAGTCGTAGGACTTTGCAATATAACGGGAGAGCAGGTCGCGAAGTTTGCAGATCTCTTCATTAACACGGGATTGCAAGACTAGAGACACACTGTCACAAATTTTGATGAGATCAGCCCAGTTGGAATGTTCAGACATGCAAGCCGTGCATTGTTGGCTTCGGCTTCAGCTCCGGCTCGATCTTGGCTTGAATGTTGCCCTCGGTTTTGAGCAGCGACGGAACCGTGGGATGGCGATCCTCGTCGCGCATCTTATCAGATTTGCCAGCCTCTCCTGGCGCATCGTCCTGATAATCTTTTGGGCGTTTGCCGTGCAGGAAAGGTCGCAGAGGACAGCTTTCGACTACGGGCTCTTCCGTCAGCACGCCATTGGCTGAGCAATTTTTGCAGCTGCGACCGTGGTGGATCAATAAGGAATGGAGAGGGTATTTTAACGGTCCGGGGATCTTGACGTCGAGATGCTGGAACGTCGTCTCTCGGTCGGCTTTAGCTGGAACCCAGTTGAGGGCCTTGGTCAGCCTGAAGACATGAGTGTCGACTGCGAAGGATTCGCGTCCGAGACAGAAGAGGAGGACGCAGGAAGCTGTCTTGAAGCCAACGCCATCAAACGATATGAGCTCGCGCATGACGTCGATATCCTCCATGTCGTGTAAGTATGTCAGATCGAGCTGACATGCGCTATCAGCTCGTGTCAAAAGGGCCAGTGACATGAGGACAGCACCTTGCCACGCTTCTCCTGGACCTGGTCGAGGACTTTCTTGATGACTTTGGCCTTGACGTTTGCAAGCCCACCGGTAGCGATGCTTTCTGTCACATCTTCGACCGATGCCGCTTGAATGGCAGCGTAGTCACCGTAGCCGAAGCGTTCGATGAGACCCTTCATGGCTCTCGTCGAATTTGCAGATGACGTGTTCTGGGAAAGGATGGTGCGAATGAGTGCATCGAGCGGGTCAGGCACGCTTCCGCAGCCTGCCGGACCATCTGGCCTGGCTTGCTTGAGCTTGACGGGTCGTTCGGGTCGCCTGTGAACCGTGCAGAGCGCCTCTAGAACGGAGTGACAGTCTGCCTCGGACGGTCGCGCAAAGTCAGGATAAGGTGTCTGGTTGTACGTCTCGAGCTGTCTGAGCTTCTTGGCCAGCTGGGGCGAGGGTCTGGGCGACTGCTTCACGTCTTCGTCTTCGTCTTCCTCCTTCTTGACCCTACGCCTCTTGGCCGGCGTTGCAGGCGGGCTGACGTCTTTGTGCTTGACGGGCGAGCTCCTCGTCGATCGAGTCTGTCTAGGCGACTTGATCCTGGGCTTGATGTCTGCCATGATGCGACCGCTCGCGATCTGCAGGCTGACGAGGCGCTGTATGAGCGACAGGCTTGCCAACTCGTTCGATCGCTCTGGCTCCTCGAAGCTCGAAAGCTGCTGGCAATATCGCGACCGCGCGAGCAGCCGAGCCTAGCCAGTCAAGCGTCACGGACATTCGCCAGTACGCTCGCAGCGGACGACAGGCGTGCTCTGACAACCGTGGAGATGATCAGGCAAGCGTGTCACCAGCTTTGAACGTGCTCACGGCCTCTGACTCGGTCTCCTGACCAGCGATGTCTTCCTGAGTAACCTGGCCAATGCACTCGGCATCACTGCCGTCATATTGACCATCTTCTACCAGCTGATCGATGTCAACGCGAGGCGGCAAGAGGAGGGCATCATAAGAGACCAGGTCGCTGTCGAGTGACCGCTCGAAAGCATGGCAATCGCGCCGGCATCGTCGATAGCATGTGCCTTTGCTCGGCGTATGCCTAACATTCATGTTCGATGGCTCTGCTCTGTTGTGTGATTACAACAACTCGTGATGTATAGTCTACGTCTGCGGATGGCTTGAGGAGGCGCTTACTGCTTTGCCCGTTGCCGTGCGAGGCGCCGACGCTTCTCTGCCCGTCGCGCTTCTTCTTCCGCCAGAAGCTCGTCATCTTCGCGCCTGCTGATCCGAGCAGCCCTGGCTTCCTCTCTGCGTACTTGTTCGGCATCGGCCTCCATATCGCTCGACGACGCGTCACTATCGTAATGCGGACGTCGGCGGTCACCATTGACAAGCTGCCAGATGTAACTGCCCGGCCTGCGCGACGGCTCATCATCGATCTCGGAGCTATCCACACTCTCTTCCTCTTCGGATTGCTGGTCGACAACGCTCTTGCTCCCGCCCACGCTCGCCTGTTCGCCTTTTCTCGGATGTTTCCGGTCCTGCTTCTGTCGTCCTGCGCGTTGCGCGGTATGACGTTGCGATGTCTTTGCGGTCTTTTGCGCAAATTTGGATGTTTCAGAGGTGGTGGCAGATCTCGCATCGTTGCCTGCTGGAGAGCCGTACTGCCCTGCACGCTGCAGCTTGAGATCGTCCTCAATTTCCTCGATCGACCGTTTGTCGCGCTTCGCGGAAGTACGTGCAAGCTCGAGATCGGGCAGTGCTGTCTTGCCACGTTCATGACGCTGCGCTCCAGCCTGGTGAGCCGACACGGCTGACCTCCCGTGCGATCCACTCTTGGTCGGCATAGGTGACACTCGCTCCCGCTGTAGATCAGAGCTTGAGCCCTGTGAAAGGCGACCTCTTGCAAGCGTGTGAGGTCCGACATCGATCCTACTCGGTACGGGGATCATCAGCAGCGAAGGCCCGTCCTCAGCAAAGAGGGCATCCCGCCTGCGTTGCTCGCGTGACACTGGCGTCGGACGAGCGAGGTGGGCCTGGCGATCAGTGAAAGCTCAGCGTGGGCTCAGGGCAGATCACACCGACAGCTCACCGTGCTGCTCATGACTGACTTGCGGGCATTGGGAGGCTGAGCGACTTTGCTGACTGCTTGGGCCGGAATTCCCTTGAGCCTGTCTTGCTCGGCCTGGTATCTCTTCTGCTCTCGCTTTTGCTGAAACGCCATTTCCTTGCGCATCATGTCCTCTCTCATCCTCGCTGCTCGTTCTTCGCCCTCCTGCTTCCTTCTCGTCTCTGCCTCCTCGCGCGGTTCCGCGGCCGGCATCTTCGCCTTGCCCGCTTTGGCTGCAAGGGGAGGCTTCATGCTGGAGTGGCGTGCTGAGGCTGAGGACCACTGTGAGCTGACCAGCGCTACCGAGCTTCCGGTGACAAAGTGTAGATCATCTCAGTCGGTGCACCGCCAGGACTCGCCGCGTTCGTGCCGACTTCGTGATGAGCGCGTCCTACAGATCTGCAAATGCCGCAGTACTCAAACGCACGATGCAATCAGTTGATCGAGTCAACGCCCGAAGGACTGCTTGGTCGTGGCTGTCAGAACGTGAGAGGTACAACAAATGCGATACATAGGCTGATATGCGCGCGAAGTGACATCATGAGCGAGCCCGAGAGAGCAATGTCTGGTTGAAGGCAAGCTCGCCCACGCTGCGAATACGTGAGCCGGTGTACTTGCCTTTGCCCTTGCTTTGCTCCTCCTCCCACTGGAGATCTTGCGTGTAGGCCTCGACGGCTTCTTCCAGCTCACCACCTGTTCGAAGGCCAGCAGCTTGACCAGACTCTGTGGCGAGAAGCGCGTACTCCTTGCGCCTGGCGTCTTCAATCTGTTTGATGTACGACTCTGCGACGCCTTGTTCGGGACACTTAACGGCGAGCATGAATCGCCGGATGAGTAGCCTCCGGCGTTCTTGCTCGGGTGTGTACAGTGGCTGGGGAGACTCGGACGGCTTGGCGTGGCCGGGCAAAATCAGAAATGAGCGTGTGTGTAGCAGCTGGGGGCTCGTCGTCAAAATGGAAAGCGGCAGTCGGTTGAGCGTTGCCAGCGCTCGCGGCTGGACATGACGTTCAGCCAAGCATCCTCCTGCTGACGAGATCCTTACCTCGACACCGTACCGAAAAGAAATGCCGATCAACGTGTCCTCTGGTCTAATATAATGCAGCGCCGTCTCTCTTTCACTCGGCTTTTCAGCAGGCAGATCTGCCAAGCTTGCGTCCGCTAAGTAGGCGGGTGGTGAGCCCTTCGCGTCTGGCTCTGCAAGTTCGTGCTGCAGACTCCCATGGTGATCGTCATCCTCATCATCGCCGATGCTGAATGCACCGCTATTGGCCGCGAGAGGATCATACGCCGGCGGAGGACGGGAGACGATATCGATCGATCGCTGGCAATACAGGCAATATTCGCCCAATCGAGGGCGCTTGTGTAGGCAGGTTGCACAGATCGGACGAGCACAGCAGGGCGTCCGATAGGTCCGCTCATCTTGCGAGCCTGACTTCTCATCCAGACCTTCTTTGGACTTGCTGGGCAGAGGCTCGGAGGCACAAGCCAGGCATAGAGTCGTCATTTGAGTCCGTGTTGCAGCATGGTGAGATTCCATGTGGCAACGACGACGACGCGGCGCCGGGAAGATGCGTGTCTTCTTACAACATGTACAGTGTTTTAATGGTCATTAGAGGTCAGCCTCTGGCTCTGTAATCTTCGGTATCGTGTTTGTGGTTGCTATTCGCCTGGCTCGTGGCCTTGCCCTGGACGTGGCAGACCCTCCTGCAGAAGACGCTTCCGATTTGCGTTTGCGCGATTCAGTCGGCCGAGGCGTATAGCCTTCTCCAGCCTCGTCTGAGCTGACTGCCGGTCTCTTGTCCGAGTGTCGTGCTCGCTTTGGCTTCATTGACGCTAGTGCTGGAGGCACTGGCTTCCTGGAAGCCGAAGGCGAGCTAGACGCGCGCTTTCTTGTCGTAGAGCTCGAGCTCGTCCGCTTCTTCATCAATGGCCTCTCGACTTGCTCTTCGTCATCGGACGAAGTGGCGGCAGTGCTATGTTGCGCCTTACGCCAGGACTCCACGACCGCCTGAAGACGGGCCGAGCCATACCCTTTCTTTTGCAATCGCGCGTTTTGACCCATGCCACCCGTTACATCGAAGTAGCGCTCGAGCGAGCCCTGCATGTTGGCAATGCCTCGGTTCTGCACAGTTCGCATCATCAGCAGGGTCATCGCTGAGATGCACAGCGTACTCTGTCAGACATCCGTTTGATCAATGGCAAGAGCAGGTCCTCGACTTTGGGCGCTGCCCAGCCAAGACTGTCCATCAGGAAGTGGCGAAGTCCGTCCAGATCCGGCAAGCCCCATGTGAAGCGTTCTGACGAAGTTTCGACGTCAGGATTAAGGTAAGCATCCATCTGCGCACCAATCAGCCTTGACTCTCTAGTCGGGAGCGTACTAACAACGGCTGGATTAGGCCACGATTCATCTAGTACGAGGGTTTTCATCGACTTTTTCTGCTTGTCTGTCAGCGACTGTTCAGACGACTACCGGTCGCGACGCACGAAGCGACGGCGAAAAGCGGTTCTCAGATCTGCTTCTCCATCTTGACCCTTCTGGACTTTTATCCACCACCGACGGAATTCGACAAGACCGGCAGGGCCTGGAAACTCGCGCATGAGCTCCATGCCGAGCACAGGCCCAACTTTGGGCAAGCCTTCAACATAGTCTGATCCAAGGAAGTAGGCTAGCTTGCAAAGCTTGTCGCGATCGAGACTGAGCTCGCGTTCGATGTCGGAGAGCAAGAAGCATTCGACGTATTTGTTCTGATTGAACATGTTTTTGAAGACTCTCCCGCCGCCAAAGAGGAACACGTCCGAGTCGTCTGTGATGATGCCATCAACGAGTCCTGCCATCCAAAGCTGAGCGCATTGTGCTTCAGCCTCCATCGGTGCATCCACATAAGGTATGCCAAAGAGACGTAGCATGACGCGGATTTCTTTTGCCATCTGCTGGGTGATCTCGTCTGCATTCCTTCGATCCGTCTTTTGCTGTTGACCAAGGACTTTGATCTCTGCTTCAACTTCCTGTCGCATCTCGTCAAGGTTGCGATTCTTGAGTTGGGCGAGAAAGCGTGTGAATTCATTCGTTTCTTCTTGCAGACCTTGCTCGGCCTCTTCATCATCGTCCGGCGCCTCATCAGATAGCTCGTGGCCAGCGTCGAGCATGGGAAAATCTGCAAGCTGCTCCTCTGGACTCTCCATGGGCACTGTTACCCGCCTAGTGCGGGATGGTGGCGTAGATGTGCGCCTGACGCGAGAGGGTGGCGTAGGTGTGCGCTGCCATGCGATGAAATCCGACGCTTCTGAGCCCGCTGGACTAGACGAGCGCTCGCGCACGTCGTGAAATGATTCATCATTTGCTGCAGAGCGGGTACAATTGACATCACGCTCCGCTGCAGAGTGTTGTGCAGGTTTTTGTAGTTCCGACCGAGTTGCCGTCGCTGACTCAATGAAGTCTGACGAGGTTCGCGGTGAGTCCAATGAGGCTTGCGGCGCTGACAATCTAGACGTCTGCGCCGGCGGAGACGAGGCTCGATTCGCGTCGGCTGTCAAAGGCAAGAGCGAATCGTGACGCACAGATTCGTCTGCAGCTTCCTTGGACGTGGTCTGGATGGGAGGATTGGGCTGCAACGGTGCCACGACCTGGCCGCCAGACGTGTCAAGTATTGCCACTGATGGCCCCGGCGAGCCTGACGCTGGTCTTTTGTCGCGCATTATTATGGGCTTGTCGATGTCATGATGCGAGCCCTCGATAGCGCGAGCTTTCTCAGATGCTAGTCCGTTGGGCGCCTGGGCGACCGCTTGCTGGGATTCGGGCTGAGCATAGTCCTTAGCCAAAATGGCATCTTGATCAGCAGCTGACTCTTCGAGTGGAACTTCTTGCCGAACCGTAGCATCCAGTGCTGGGCTGACAGATACTGCTGGAGGTGGTTCGCGACGAGTGGATGATCTGGCCATGCTGTGCACGGCGACTTCATCCATCGACTCGTCGGAATCGGAGTCGGACGGAACGACCGGCAATGCGCTTTCTGCAGCTCGCGCCCTCCCTGGCTCGCTGACATTTGTTCCTTGCGTGCTACCTATTTGGCGTCCCGTTAAACGATCCGCATTTCTGCGGGAGGTCGCAAAGAGCGGCGCCTGGGGAGGAACGGGCTGAGCGTCCAGGTGTGGATCATACTCTTCTCTGGCTACAGGACCAAACCGAGCCCTTATAGCATCTAGAGCCATACGTTTTCGTTCCTCGGAGCTTGGCGAGGGTAATCGTGCCGTCCCCGGAATGTCAATTTCGTCAAATTCTTCGTCGGTCGTCGTCGCATTTGTCTCGTCTGTGTCCGTATTGTCGATCCGAATCGGCTTGTCTTTCGTGAGACCGTCCCTCACTCCGAGAACCCATCCGCCGCCATCATCCGCGCTCTGCTTTGCCAAGACGTACTCTTTGTTGCGCTCAGACGCAATCCTGATGGGCACGGTTATGTTTGCGTTTGCGATAACGTCAGTGACGGTCAGTAGCTTTTGCGTGAGCTCGTTGCGCGTCTTGAGATGCATGATTTGCGCTTTCGAGAAGTCGAGCGCAGTGGGAGCTTTCTTCATTGCGAGGACACGTGAATGATTGGACTGGCGGGATCGAATGCGCAAGTCGCCGATGATCTCGTATTTGACCTCTGTCGGCAGATTCATGAACATGGGCGAGCCTAGATCAAAGTCTTCGGGCCGCATCTCGTCGATGAAGGACCTGAGCTCGTCCTCGGTAGCCATGCGAGGGTCCGACAGTGTGGCTTTGGCGTGTAGAGGCTCATCGAGCGTTGGCAGAGCATAGGGATCCCTATGCACATACTTTTTCTTGGTCGGCGCAGCAGGCGATTCCGAGGAGCGCTCGTTGGTTGGGCTCGAGGCAGCTCCTATCTGGACGCCAGAAATGGCAGAGAAATGTCGAGGAGGTACGCCCGCTTCGAGGTCGTCAAGGTAGACCGTATCCTGGTTTATCACGTCGCCCGTGCCGTCTGTGATGGCGGCAGACACAGGTTGCCTGCGGGTTGCTTCTTCTACGGCTGCTTTCCTGAGCTGGGCCGAGAGTAGCTTCTCTGCTGTCTTTGCGAGACTGTCTGCACCTCCACGCTTGCGTCGCTTCCGCTCGGATACGGCGATGCGCTTGATGACGGGCGCACCACCGTCAAAGACAAAGACGGGCTTGATGCCGTAGTAGAGCAGCTTGCAAATCCGACGGAGGAAACCTAGAATATGAGCATTGTCCAGTGCCCTGCCCTCTTTGTCTCGCATGGCCAGCTGGAACTGATGCAGCCAGATTGAAGAGTCGACGGCCATTCGCTTGTTGCCCAACGTCTCAAGGGCGATAGGCCTCGCGACCGGCTGAATGATCGGCCAGAGTCCTGCACAGCTCTCGTCAGCGATGCATTCAGGACCTGTGACGCATTCGGCCTACCGTGTACGCCCATGATTGCATCTTACGGCTCACGTCGAGCTTTTGACTTGGTTCGGGCGCCAGCACGCGCGCGAGTACCGAGTGCGGCACAAACGCTCGTCGAGTGCGAGGCCGCTTCTTGGAGAGCGCGATGTCAGACCAGCCTGACAGGACCGTCGGCGCATCAGACGTCAATCCCCGGGGCATCCCAAGGGCGATCTTCATCGTTCGCTCGCCCCCATTGCGTTCATTGCAAGCTTATCTCGAGCTGCAGGAGAATGTGCCAGACTTTCTCGGAGGCCCAGAGGCAGAGGCAGAAGGGGTACTCAAGTCTCTTGAAGAGACGCTCTCGTGGGTTCTGCATGAGAGACGAAGTATCATACGCTCATGCAGGAAAAGCCTGCAGGAAGTATAAATTCATGCAGACCTCAACAAGCTCCAAAGCGGCCAACCTGGAGGCAAAGGTCCCTGAGCTCACAGAGACGCTCAAGGTCATCACTGTCTTGCAAGAGAAGCATGTCCGTGACTCACACCCTACTCGGAGTCGGACTGAAGAGGCAGATAGGCGGCTGAAGAGCCTCTCGAGACTACGTTCGAACTCAACGATACTCTCTATGCACGCGCAAGCATACCGCCGTCCAGTCAGCTCTATCTGTGGCTAGGCGTACGCATCCTCTCCGTGCACTCATCCTGGGCTGACAGGACGCAGGCGAGCACCATGCTCGCATACGACATACCCGAGGCGCTCGCGCTATTGACAACCAAGCTAGAGGCCGCAAAGACGCAACTGCGAAACGCACGAGAAGATCTCGTCTTTCTGAGAGAACAAATCACTACTACGGAAGTCAATATCGCACGCGTTTACAATTTTGACGTCAAGCAAAGGCGCGAGAGACGCGAAAGAGAGCAAGCCGCGCAAAATGCATGAGCCCGGCGTGCTCACGCCCGTGCAACGGGAGCCATCACGTGGCCCAAGCCACGCTCGAGCACTCAAGCTGGACACTTGCATCTGGTGTACAGCCTACTGCTTCGACGGACTTGCAGAGGCAGAGCCGCTTGCTACAGGCGCATGGATCTTGACCGCAGGGTCGGATTACTGCCTTGACGGATGTACTAGCGTACCGCAGATGATTTCTAGCTTGGCAATCTCTTTGCAGAGGTTCTTACCTGACTTGACCTGGCTTGACAGTGAACGGCAGCTGCCTCTCGTTGCCCGCCGCGCCAGCCGGTGTGAAGATCTCGACTTTTCTACTGCTGCCCGAGTTGAGCTTGCTGCGCCATCAAAACCTGAGCAAAGCCGAATACGACCGTGAAGGGTGCGCATTGTGTCTCGTTGTAAGCGTCGCGCTATGTCGAAGGAGGACTCGTGCCTATGCTTCGCGCTTTTTCTTGTACATTCAACGATTCAAATGACTGATCATGGTTCAAGCAAATATAATTTGTACCAAGAATCAGCTGCAATCAATCGTGCGCGATGAATGTGTACAGTATCGAAAGCCCCGGGCGTTTGTGACCACGCTGTGTATAGTGTAACGTCTTCTGATCGAGTCATGAGGAGACTGTGCATCGTTTCCATGTGTGACCCGCGGCGCTGCTGGCCAGCGCCGGCTCGGCTGAGCTCCGACGTCAGGCGTTGGGCGCGTCAAACAAGGAAAGCGCGTTCAGTCTGTATGGTCTGTATGTGCCATGAGGCTTGTCTGGGATGCCATAGCCACGCTGACAGAATTTGAACGAGTTGATAACACAGCTGACGAATTTGATTTGACCGACAGACAGCTGTGCAGCTACCGATGAAACTTGGATAGTAAAAGCCGTGGTCGATGCCGTGGTCTGGCTTCTGCTTCTGACGACATCCTTCAAACGAGCCTCAATGGCGCATGAACAGTAGCTGACCTACCTGGCTCTGTGTGCCTGTACAAGATTTGCAAGTGTGCATATACAGCAAGTACGGCAAGCGAATATATACAGCAGATTAACCATGTTTGATACCGAGGTGTATGCACGTTTGGCCGAGCGGTTAAGGCGCATGCTTAAGGTCTTCTACGAAGCCCGCATGTTCGAAAGTTGATCGGTTCGACTCCGATAGCGTGCAATATGCGACCTCCAAAAACTCCCAACTTTTTGGTCCTGGAGACCATGTCCTCGGGTCTTCCCTTTTGACAGAGCTTGGCGATGTCTGCAACCACCCAGCGCAGCAACAATGAGATTTAGCCAGGTCCTTCGGCGACTTCTATTTTTTTGCGCGTCGCGCAAATCCACGTCAGCCCTGCCTGCATCGAAACTCGAGCGGTTTGGCCAGGGTCAATTTAAGCATCATTACAGCTGCGCATGAGTGAATCTCACCCTGCACGACACAGAGCTTGCACGCGCAGAATTGATGCGGGCCTTTCGATATGTGCTCGCGAGTCGTGTTTCCCCCATGCAGCGTCCCTCTTCGACTTCATTGCGCAGAATCTCATATCTCTTCGAGTCGTATGAGAGGACTATATATCTTCTGGGCGCTCTGCAAACACAGCAGCCTAGTCCCTATAGATCGGCGGCGCCTGCACGCCGCAACCCGGAATCTAGTCCGATTGCACTGGCGCAGCCCGTGTGACGCAGTCGACATGCAGGGGAGACGTCAACGCAAGGTTCGCTAGATGCTGGGTAGTGTCAGGCAGCCGCAGCATACGGAGCAGCGCAGCTGAGGAAGGTGCACGCGATATAGGCCCCGCTAAGTGTGGCACTTAGTGAATACTCTTGCGGGCGAGCAATTCAAAGTGCTGCTTGGTCTGTGCGATCCACAGTACGTTCGAGCCCTCACTATTTGGAGATCTAATATCTCGAGCCTCTCGATGCCAACATTGCAGTCATGCGCTACCCGGCTTCGGCCTTTGTGCTTGGCGAAATCGCAAGTGCCGCGATGACAATGGCGAAGGGTATCCGCGAGCCACTGCCTGACTGCCCAGCCAATGATGACACCAGCGCAACCCACACTATATGCGGCTCCGAGCGGCTTCAGCAAGCACAGTCGCCGCTTGGAACATTCGCTGACTCAAGCAAAGGCAAAGTCACCAAGCCCAGCTCAGTAGACCGAGCTTTTCGGCACTCAGCCGCCGTTGCTTGCATCGAAACATTGCATTGGCCGGCTCAGCAGCACGAAACTGCGACGTAGATGTTGTAAGACTTTTGGCATCTTACCTGCGCATATCAGCATGTCCTTGGCTGGAAAATAGCTCAGCACTTTCTGTAAGACCTGAGGCGGTGCCCGCAAGCCATCTGAACCACTATATTCTTCTCGCTTGGACGATTGTCGCATGATCGGGACTGCTGTACTGAAACGCGCTCGTCGGTGCGACGGCAGATCTACTGGCCGTACGAACCTATTGCCAGCCTCTACGCAGGATTGGCGCGATGGCGACAAAACCTGGAGAGCGTCGCGAGCCCAATATTCCCATCCGAATGGAAGGTGTGGCCCGAAAACCCGCTAAAAGGCCCCTCGCGTCAGATTTGCTGTCTAACGAAGTGCCAGACGTTTCGGTTGCGAGCATGGACACAGCCGATCGGCGAGAAGCATGGGCCGATTCGGCAGCCTTACGGACATGGATCTGCCGAGATATTCAGGCTAATGATGTCATCGTTGCACTGGACCCGCTCGCATGGCTCCAATCGGGCGCACGCATCATGCATTGCAGTCCGAGACACTCGCCAAGAGATCCTGAGCTGTAGTCTCAATGTAGGCCATTGCACGGTCTTGCAGGTTATACGTGATGACGACGCTGTCATCGAGAAATCCATGGCCGGGCGTGAGGAGATCGTGATATTGATCCGCCCAGCTGGCATCCTTCGGCTCAAAAATGAGTGAGGACGCGTATGCAAAGTTGTCGGTGTATCCAGTCACTTTTCGTGTAGGCCCCCAGGAGAGCACATTGTGAGGCCGGGTTGCGTTGAGCAGATAGACGAATTGAGAATATGTCAGAAAGCCGCGGTGTTGGATGTGACCAAGAGCAACCAAGACGGTGTTGGACGAGCTCGGTTCGCAACCTCCGCGATGGCATAGCGTGAGACGCGATATCTGAGTAGCATGGTGGATCTCGTCGCGATAGCCCAGTTGTGAGGAGAAGGCTTGTCCGACGCAGTCAGAGCCTGCATCTAGCTTCTCGAACAGCATCGATACTGACGTCAAGTTGACGGGCTTCAAAACAGCTCGGGGCGAAAGCGAGTAGCTGACCATGGGTAGACCGTTGGCAGCAAATGTTGGCAGGAGCTGCCAGTTCTTTTCACGAACATTTTGTTGGGGCAAGACAAGTTCGACGGGCGCGGTATGATCGATGGCTGGTGATGTCAGGATTTCGGCCAATCCAGGCCACAAAGATCTCAGATCCCTCACGAGACCGATGTCTCTGCAGAGAGTCTCATCGGAGGGTGCGCGGCCGTAGATGAGTTGAGGTCGACGAGCGTCGTCCCAGGATAGTCGAGGGTCCTCTGCCCCGTAGGGATTATCCGAGCAGACAGGATGCACCATCGTCTGATCTAGCGGCAAAACGAAAGTCGGACCCGATATACTGAACTCCTTTGTCTTTGCGTCACGAAAGATCGCAAACGCGCCGAGTCGCTGAAGAGAGGCCGGTCGGCCAACGATACGTGTCTCTTCGTCAAGCACAGAGGGTAGTCGCGCCACACCGATGGCATACCAGGCACAACCTTCGGGCAGACGTAGCATCGCCATGTTGTAGGTCGTATTGAGCTCCGAGTGGGTGAGCACGCCGTTAACGAGGAGCTCACCTTGAGGTGGTGCGATGTGCCGGATCTGCCAGTCCCGCATCTCACGAGGATCACTGAGCACTCGGGCTAGCGTGACCTGCGAGCCAGAGGCGGCATGCTCGTAGAATGCTGTTTTGACCAGCCTGGTGAACCGGGCAGGGGGCCCTACGCCGGACAGTGCAAGGGACAGAGCGCAATAGACAGCTATGCCGATTGCAAGCGCGAGGGCGAGCGACCGTCTGCGACGTGCAAGTCGTCTGCGTTCTGCTGCTTCTTTGGCAAAATCCATCTCCCGAGCGACAGCTGACAGCAGACGGCACAAGGCCGACTACCGGCGACATGCTGTGACGACGAAACATAGCGACGGTCGTGAAACACAGGGGTAAGCAAGCGGAAGTCTTGCTTGACTACGCGCATCTTCGTCCTAAGCTTGGTCGAGCTCGGTGCGGCAGGCTGGAGAGACACAGGGTGCATTGCAAGGTCCCCGTTGTATAGAGGGGAACCGCGTCGGCGACTGACCCGGCCGGGCATCATCGCTGCAGCCGTCTTAGCAGGCGTCGTTGCGACATCCGGAGTAGACTGTAGCGTCGGAAGAATGTATAGAGATTCTCGCGGTCGTCAGCGGCTTTCACTTTGATGAGGGGTTGGCCAAGATTTGCTGCCGTCTCACTGCTGGGCTTCAAAGGAGCGCATTACAAGAGAGAGCGCCGGAAGCGCTTAGACCAGACGGGCACAATTCCTGCGCCAGTTGTGTCTCGTTCATTGCTTCCAACGCTTGCGCTACGACTCGATAGCTCGAACTACATTTGATCAGGTCAGCGAGCATCGGACGAGCCATCGTTTCGCCATTTACGAGGGGGTCCTGCCTCCGATGATATCTCCCCCACTCGCAGCAGCCTCGAGAGGTCGTGCCAATAGCACTATGGACGGAAGAAACGATCGAGTGGTATCCTGGCCGAAGCGACATGATTGGGGAGAGAACAGTATTGGGTCCACGCCTCGCTCTGCCTCGCTCGTGCTCAATTGAGGAAATGTCTTCATCGGTAGATACAGCCGCCACACGAAGGCTGGACAGAGGTCTGCGCGGGAGGTGCCTGGCGGGACATGCACGGGCGCTACACCACAAGGCCGGCAATGTTGCGATGACGCGATGACGCGCATCGTCGATCACATCGAAAGCGCTTGGTCATCCGGTCATCAGCGCAAGTTGATGCAAAGGGCGACTTCACGGCTGCAGCATCTGAGTAACGCGTTGGGCACGGGCAGCAAGAGACGATCGTCGAGCATGTCGTTCTGGGACAATGAGCGATTCAAGGATTGCCCAAAGGAAGTCAAAGAGGCGAAAGGTCTCCATCTCATCACAATGTCGACTCCCAACGGCAAGAAGGTCCAAGTCGGCTTGGAGGAGCTCAAGGAAGCCTATGGTACCGAGTTCACCTGGTCACATGTCAACATTATGACCAATCGCCAGAAGGAGCCTTGGTTTCTCGCGCTCAATCACAATGGCCGGATCCCCGTCTTGCTCGATGCAACCAAGAAGGACGAAACAGGCAGGCCCTTCTTGGTCATGGAGACAGCGGCTATCCTTCTCTACCTAGCCAAGGAACACGACTCCAACGACAAGTTTGGCTTCAAGGACGAATTCGAGCGCAACGAGTGTCTCCAATGGATGTTCTTCGGACATGGCGGCATCGGTCCCATGCAAGGCCAGCTCAACCATTTTGGCCACAAGGACGAAAAGATCGAGTACGCCATCAAGCGATATCATGACGAGACCTTGCGACTCTATGGCGTACTCGATGGCAGGCTGTCCGGCTCCTTCACCGGCGGCCCCGAACGCGAGTACCTCGCCGGCAAGGGCAAGGGCAAATACAGCTGGGCAGACATCTCCATCATTCCCTGGGTAGCCATGTACGAGCGTAGCGGTATCGAGCAAGCAGAGATGGACAAGCTGCCTCATCTGCAAGCTTGGATAAAGCGATGCACAGATCGTCCGGCGGCCAAGCGCGGCTTTGAAAACTATGCCGAGCCAGGTTCGAAATAAGGCTCGACGGTTAGCTACCGACACATACAATATGACCATGACAACATGAAATGCAAATCACTTCTTAGCTGCCTGTTCCGTGAGAATGTCGTGCATGGCGAGTCGAACGATTGGCGTTGTAGGAAGCAATGTGGGCACAGTGCCAGGGTTGCTGCCTCTGACGGCTGCAGATGATCCTTCTGGCGAAATGGTGCCTGTCCACCGAAGTTCGAGAATCCGGCCCATGACTAGGCCGTCAACCGCTCGCGCTCCGAGTATGCGACACATCGGGAAATAGGGGACCTCCCATGCAGCTGAGTCGGGTGAGGATGAAGCGGCAGCGCTGCCTTGTAGCTTTGTTTGTGGGTCTGCCCCCGGCGGCCGCGATTCGCTCAGCTTCTGCATGATCGCTAGCAAATCGGCGGCAGAAAAGGGCGCCCCTGGGTCATTTTCGCTCTGCTCTGGCTGTACAGCGCCCATGAAAGGTGAAGAGGTCGAATGAGGCGAACTAGCAGCATTGGCCAGGGGGGAATAGATCTCAAAGCCCGTGCCCATCGGGCCGCTCGAGATTTCCGGGTCGTCTCCGTCTACCGCTGATGGTCTTCGATTTGGCATGGAATGGATGAGCTGCAAGTTCAGCAGGGAATGCGCTTGAACGTAATGCGAGCAATCTCGGATGCGTAGTTTGCCGTCAAGGTCTCGATAGTCTGCCACAAAATCCTGATGATGTGCAAGCTTGCCGCCGAAGGCGTCGTATTGGCTCTCAAAATCGAGGCCAGACTGTAGCTCGGCAGGCACATCGGGCAGCAGGACAGTCTCGTAATACCGCTTCGCTTCCTCCTTGGTACAGTCCCCGATCGTCATGATCTTTGCGTGCTGCATGACGTTCATCTGGCGCAGCCAATGCATATAGAACGAATCTGATGTCGCATGGACGACGTGACAGAGTCGATCTTGCTTCGTGAGGACCAGAATGGAGTCGAGGAAGCATTTCATCGTCTCTGATGACTTGATGAGTGCAGGCAGCTTGTGCGCCTCGTCAAGAAAGAAGACGGGTATCTTCTTGGTGTCTTTGTCGACCTGCATCACCTTTTGCTGCTCAGGCTGACGGTCGTCGCGCGTTTCCTGCTTTCCGTCATCGACTTTGCGCGTCTTGGGCTTCTTGTGCGATTCCGCAGATTGCGCGTCTCTCCGCTCCTGCTGCTCTTCGCTGAGCTGTGGCTCGTACTCCCAATATTTGAGCAGAGCGGACTGGAAGAGCTCCATCAAGTGGGCGATATCGCTTGTCTTGACTGTCCCGCCGCCTTCTACGCGCCGCTCTACTGACAGTCTGTCGTGCTTGAACGCTAGGCCTTCTTTGGCATAGTCCTGATAGCCGTCTAGTTTCTCTGCAACACCGGTGCACCACTGCTCCATCTGAACCGAAAATGACATGTAGAGTGACGCGAGATCGGCAAAGCCGGCGATGCGGAGATCAAAGTGAAGGACGTGATACTTGTCCTGCGAGAGGACTTGCCGGAGCAGCGCTGTCTTGCCCACAGAACTCGAGCCAAAGATGACGGTAAAATTCTGCGTCACACTGAGCATTCTACGAGGCTCGGTTGCACGTAAGCACGCACAGGTACTTTCGCCAAACATCGTTCGATAGCTTTAATCTCGTTGGTCCGCTCGAAGAAGCCCGGCAGAGGAGAGAAGGTATGTTTGGGCGGTATCTGGGCCCTCTCTTGCTGTTCCTTCATGTCGTTGCGCGCCTCTTCCAGCAGCTTTTTGGATTCTGTCAGCGATCTCACTGTCTCTGCTGGCTGTGTGCAGGCCCGTAGCATCAGCAGCGGGTCCGTGGTGGTCAAGAAGGCGGGCTCACATTGGCGAGGACGCCAAAGATCTCTCCCAAGCCAAAGAAAGTGCGTCTCTGAGGCCATTGGAGGGTGCTCGTGTTCAGTCGGGGTGGAGGGATCAGCAGACCGATGCGCGTCTGCTGCGAAGGTGGACGCAACTTCACTCGACGGAAGGACATTCGTGCTGGCCAGCGTGAGGCGTGACATCATCTTTTGTTTGGTCAACGCGATTTGTCAGCAGCCAGGCTTTGGACCACACGTATACGCACTTGCTGGCCGACAAGGTGTCCTTCTCGATCGCGCGCACCACACGTAGCCATACGCTTGCAAGAGTCTTCTTGAGAGGTTCCGGCGTCAACAGGCGCTTTGCAAGTTGATCACGTCCACATAACATGACTGGCTATGCTGACATTTTGGTGGCAGAGGGTGACAATGTCCGCGATAGCAGCCATCAGCAACGAGAAGAGGCAAGCCATTGCTGCAATAAATGCCAGCAAGATATGGTCTCGAAGTGAGCTATCAGACTGGGACCGGATAGCCGATCATATGGATTCCTTTCACAATCACTTTCGTCAAACATTCGAGCACGTATACCGTCATGCGGAAGACTATAGAATGCTCGGACTCAGCTTGAACAGCTTTCTAGCGCAAGCCATGTCACTCTACACGCGTTCGTCGCATACTTGGATCACGTCGCCTTCCTGATCGAGGCTGTACAGACTTGAATATGCACCATTCCATCGAGGAGCGCTTCATTTTTCCTCATCTATCACAGCGGATGCCTCAATTCGCGCATGGCGAGCAGCATACCAGAGAGCACCAAGAGATGCACAAGGGTCAGCTCCCTCACTATCAGGTGCCCTTTTGCTTACCTACCCGTCAGGACTGGAACGATATTCTGCGTATATAAAGACGGCACAGCAGACGCCAAGCAAGTACGACGGAAGCGAACTACGAGCCATCATGAGCGAGTTGGGCAGTGTCCTCATGCCACGTAGGTCCTCTGCACCTGTTGGGGCCGAGCTCACATCAGGGTAGATATGGATGCAGAGGTGACAAGCCTAAAGGGCGCATCTCTCCGACAGTATTGGGCGTTTGACGAGCTCAAGTCTTTTCCAATGTAGCCCCTCTAGCCGAACAGGCGCTTCAAGAGTCTTCACGCTGGCATGCACAACTCGAATGCATTCCGTCTTGTCAGTCCATGCACGCTATTTCTTTTTCCCCTTCTTCGATTTGTCCGTCGGCTTGCTGAAGTCTGGCGGCCGATTGGTATCTTTGGCATTAGATCCTGGCGCACGTGCTCCGAATCTACTCATGAACGAAGGCGTGCTGGAAGTAGAGCTGACCGGTGTTTGACCGGGCAGAGGTGACGGTCCCCGAGACGAAGAGGACGTCACGGACTGATAGCTCGAATGGCTCGAAGGAGGCGCGGAGCCTTGTTGTCGCGGGCCAGGCGAGTACGAGCGCGGCGTGGGCTTGCTATACGAGATCAGAGGCGACCGATGCACTTCCGGCTGCGACCGAGGCCGTGCTGGCTCCGGCATTGGCGCAGTGAATCCACTAGTAGCGGGTGCTTGCCCCGGGTCGACCGAATTTGGTGCAGACTGTCGAGACCCCGCCACCCGGAGCCCAGACATGCCTGAATCGAGCTGACTGCTATTCACCGGGTTTGGCGGTAAGCGGATATTGGGCGGATCATGCGATGGCGGCGCTGACCTGCTTTGCCCCTGTGTCCGTTGCTGCATGGGTATCGGCATATTGACTGGCGGGGCGAAACTTCGGTTCTGATTGTCTGGCAGTCCGTTCGGTGTCGGGTATCCATTCGGCAAGCACTGTTGCTGATCCTGAGCTTGCACTTGCTGGGGCGGCAGGTAGTTCCGAGTCTGCTGACTATTGCTTTGTAATGGCGATGGCATCGTCAAGGGTGGCGGCAGGCGTTGCTGAGGCGGTCCACTGGGATGATAGGAAGCTTGATGTGGCTGCGGCTGCGTTTGCGGTGGACCGCGCATCTGGGGTGAGCTCTGCGCGGGACCACTAGGCCGATGCAGATGGGCACGTTGCTCTGGATGCCGCAGTTGAACTTGTTGTGGCGGCGCAAAGCCTCGACTCTGTTGGCTGGGTCCCACTTGCTTGGCATTGCCTGTAGGATGCAGCGAGTAAGAGGCACTTTTGCCGTGCTGTGTCGAGCCAGGTCGCTGACCCGGCGGTAGGGCGCCGTTCGGCGGTCTCGCGTTAGGCTGCGGGGGCCCTCGCTGGGAGAATGGCTGCGGCTGGGCCGGTGGCGCCATCGGCCTGGGTTGTGTTTGAGTATGCGAGGCGGCTGACGGGGGACTCATGAGTCCGACGCCCAGTCGAGTGCCGGTCTTTTCAGCTGCCTTGATGATCTCGTCGTCCAGAACATTGAGAGCAGCACAGAGGACAATCCACTCGACCATGTCTTCATTACCTTCGCCGAGTGTCTTCCAGACGGCTTTTTCGTCTTCAGTCCTGCCCGTCATGGCCACCCGGGTACCTCCGCCGCCTTTCCCAGATGCGTCTGCGACGTTCTTGGAGATCTTGCCGAATTCGACTCGCTTTGGGGGTATCAGATGACCAGCATAGGTAAAGTAGAAGAGCGTCCAAAAAGGCGATTGTGGCGAGGGTTTGCTGATCTGGAACAAGGGCTGCTCGTCGCCCCCACCTGCGCTACCATGTGCATTTTGACCGTGAGGATCATTTGGGTCCGACGCGTCTTGCCCAGCTGGCGGCAACGTAAGCTTGTAGATGGGCGACAGTACTCCGGTGTTGTAGATCGTCCATTTCAGGTTTCGACTGGCCTCACACTTTACGCCACGATGCGCGTTAGGTCCATGACCGTCGCCAGGTGTGCCGCGAGCAGGTCCGTTGGTAGAGCTGCCGGAAGAGATGGGCGGAAAGAGCTTTGCTACGCAAAGGTCGCCTGCTTCAGAGGGCGTCAAGAGATAGTCTGTGACGCGCGTCAGTGCAATTCGCAGTGTGCGATAGATGGGTCAGACTTGCTTTCCCTGTTGTAGCTCGTGTGCAGATAGGTATACAGGATCTGCTGGGGCTTGCCCAGCGGCGTCACGATCTAGAGAGCCAGCTCGCGCTGAGCAACGCGTCGTTGGTGGAGTTTACGGGCCGATACGTACTAGCGTAGGTAGATGATCTGGCACTGGCGGATGATGCGGCGACGTAAAGACTGTGTAGATTGCTGTGACAGATTCGCGATCAGGCACTCAAAGGGCTCGGGCAGGGGTGAGACTGACCTGCCATGCCGAGGGAATATGAAAAGTCAATGCCAGGGGCTAGGCTCAGTCGAACGAGATGTTGCGTTCGGCCCTGCGGACGAGCCTTGCGCTACCTATCTGACTCGGTGGAGTGTTGACCGCTGTTTTTACGGTTTTGCGACCGGCTTGCCTGGTCGAGCGCGTCAATCGAGCAGCAAAGCCCAAGGACCAGCTCGCAATGACGGATGGTGGACTGATCGATGCTATGCGCCAGGCTGCATGCCAACACCGCTGTTGTGTTGCGCGCACTGTTGCAGTGACGCGCGCCTGATGTGCGAAAGCGTGTCAAAGTCGGTTTGAGACGCTCTGTCGATGGCGAACCCTCGTGCGATCTTACTAAATGAAGCTCTGTAGCGCTCGAAGCCGCTCGTTGGCTGGCTGATGTGCAATCCTCGATGTCGCTGGTGATGCTGTTATCGCCCCACGAAATCAAGTTTAACCGGGGCATAGCTCTACCCACTTGATTTCGATCCCAAGGTCGGCTCAGCCCAGCCAGCTCGGCAGCAATCAGTCACAATGCCACGCGCAGAGAAGGGCTCTTCCAAGGGTGAGTGACATATCAATGATCAGCAGGGCAAGTTGTACTGACACGAGGAGGACGCAGCCTTGGCCAACGCCATGAAAAGCAAAGGCCTACAACGGCTGAGATGGTACTGTCAAGTCTGCGAGAAACAATGCCGTGATGCAAACGGCTTCAAGGTGCGCTCGCATGTGCTCTGCTCGTGTCAGGCTACTCACACGGCCGGATGTCAGTGCCACACCATGTCCGAGGGTCACTTGCGCATGATGCTCGTCGTCGGAGAGAACGCGGGAAAGCACCTGGACGCTTACTCTCAGACCTTCAAGTCCGACTTTCTCCGCCTCCTCTCCAACAGGTCAGCCTCTCGCGCTCGTCCTTCGGCGCCGTCGGGGCTGACACAACCCTGTGCAGATGGGGAACCAAGCGTGTCAGGGCCAACCAGGTCTACAACGAGTTTATCCAAGACAAGCATCACACGCATATGAATTCAACTCGTTGGGTCACCCTGACCGAGTTCATAAAGAGTCTTGGACGGCAAGGTGTCGTCAAAGTCGACGAGACTGAAAAGGGTTTCTACATTGCTTGGATTGACAATACGCCCAAGACGCTCTCACGTCAGGTAGGCTCATATCCGCTCATAGATCGACAGAGCTGACTCGTATGCATACAGGCTGCAACACAGTCAAAAGAGCGCGCCGATATGGACGATGAGCAACGACAGCGCAAGCTCATCAAAGAACAGATCGCCCGTGCGCAAGCAGAGGTTTCCGCCGCGCCTGTCGCCTCCGGTAGTGGATCCGAAAATAGTGGATCTCTGTCTCCGTCTGCAGATTCTAAAGAGCCCGCGCCACCGATTCAGATTAAATTAGACTTGCCCGCATCTGCGCCTGTTGCACCTGCTGCCGTGGCGCCCATCAAGATCAACCCGCTCAAGGTTGCTAATCCCCTCAAGGGAGCTAGCAAACCCTCTATCTTCAAGACTGGCTCTGCCACGCCGGCATCAGTCAGCAACAAGCGGCCGCTGTCTGCGATGGAGCAAATCGTCAGAGAAGAGGAGGAGCGGAAGCGGAGGCGAGAATCAAGACCGATGCAGATCGGCAGGATCGCTACATAGGAGTTGACAAAGCATCACTGTCACATGAGTCTTGTTGACTGTATGCCCCTTTGTGACAGCTCGCATCACAATGCAATCGTTTTCTGGTTCCATCAGCACCGCCCAGATGGCTCCGTTCATCTAATGGCATCTGGCTGCATGGAAATGACCTGAAACGCCGCATGCCGCTTGTCAACAGACGACGATCACTCGAAGCACATGTTTCCAGCCCTGTCAATCAGCCTGAGCGATGATAGACTAGTGCGCAAGAGGTCCCACCAACAAGCATGCACTGCAACCAAGCGTCTCAAGATCTACTGAATGGAGAGAAACTGGTTGCCCAAGCTTTTCACAAGGTCCATGGAGCCGCTGGCGAACAAGAGGACTTGAAGACTGTACGCGGCTTCGCGAGCATAATCGAGCTGAAGCGAGCGCGTCGATATCTGGTCGGTCGAGAGAGAAGTCGCCGCTGATCCTGCTAAGACAGCTTCATAGCGTCTACGCGCCCAATCATTGAGGCCTGTGCCATTGTATCAGCTCTGTGACCGTGCAAGGAAAAGCTGCTCGGACCAAGGTATTGAAAGACGCGCCCATAGTTAAAATCCACCTCTTGACACTGTCCACGCAACTCAGCATACTTGCCAAGGAATGCAAAACCCTGTAGTGACGCATTAGCTAGCTTCACTGAAGATGAAGAAGTTACAGACTTGTGCGATCTGATGGTGCCGATTATCACTTTGACGTTGCATAGATCGATGTATGTACGAGATCGCAATTGACAGAGCCGCGGCGGGACAATCGTCGAGGTCATCCCAACCAGCAAGAGAATGAACTGCCTCTGTGTCAGCTTACAACCATCAAAAGAACATGGACATACAGATTGATGCGCCAAAGCTTTTGCCATTGAGCATCAGATTGCCGTATAGAAATGCAAAATAGGGATTCTTGCGTGTCGGCTTCCATGAGTTATCATCAAAGACGTATTCTTCTGCCTCGTCTTCCTCTTCCTCTTCGGCTTCCGCCTCAGGCTCGCTTGCATCGTCTGCTTCCTCGCACCCTTGTCTTTTCCGTTTCTGCGTTCTTCTGGCGACCTTGTGAGCTCTCTCGGCGGCATGCTTTCTGGAGCGGATGTGTTTGACACTCGCTCGATGAGCATTGCCAGCTGCTTCATCTTCGATCCAACGCTTCTGTCGAGCTAAGAACTTTTGCATCTTTGACGCTGCTAGAGCTTCGGCGGCTTGATAGCCAGAACCGAGAGCTGCCAGCAATAAACGTATAGGTTCTGTTTGGAATTGGTTGTGCATCATGATCTGCCGGATTTGCACCACAATCTCGTCATATCTGCGCTCACGCAGAGCAACCGCTTCAACGATCCGTCAGATCGTAGCTCTGCGTGCCATGACAGTGACTTACCGCAATACGCGAGACGGATGCTTTGCATGCGAATCTTATCCTGAATCATGACAGCTGACTCGCTGACGATCTTGAGGGTCCGACGGGCTCCAGAACAGTCGCCGTATTCGCACAGTGCGAAAGCATACTGCAAAGTTATGATCAGATCGCGTTCAAGGCAGTCTATGACTCATACCTGCATGACAAATGCAAGCCAGCCGTCGAAATCGAGACCGCGAAAGACCTCCACTTTGACCGTATCTCTTTGCTCGTCCTCTGCAACGAGTTGAGTGCGATCGAGGTCCGAATGGAGCACACTCACCCGTCAGAGCAGCCAGCCGTTTCGGGAGTTCTGTATAACAATCGCCCAGCATGCTTATCGGGAGCCACCGCGACTTGAGCTCTTGCTGCTCCTTCCATGAGTCCCTCGGGAAGAGTACCTTGCTATTTTGATAGTCCTCTATGTGCCCAGCCGCCAATTCGAACCATGCGTTACGAGCCTCTATTCCACCTTGCTTCATCAGGGTGGACAGTCGATCGAGCTCATCAAGCGCCTCGCCGAAAGCAGCGCACCGTTCGCGCTCATTCTGTTCTCGTACATGAGCTGGCATCGGTCGTTGTCTGCCTCGTCGATCTCTTCGGTCACGTTTTCGTTGGGATGCGAGCGTTTGCTTGTCTGCCTTTCCGAACAAGCCAAGGTACTTCTCCTCGTCGGAGCCAGCATAATCCGAAGGATAGTACTCGTTGTCCGAATCTGGAGGAGGCTGACTGGCTCTTCGCACGACAGCAACCTCCTCGAGTAGCTGGACCGCGCGCTGTACGTTGCCTTGCTTAACCCAAAGGTTGCCAAGCTCTTCCTTGAGCGCAAGATCGTTCGGATCGTTGTCGAGCAGGGCAGATATTATATCTATTGCCTTGGGGTACAGTTCCAGACCCGTATAACATCGAGCCAGGTTTCTGTACAGAGTAGGCGAATTGTCGTCGATGAGACGCATCTGCTCGTAGATGACTTTGGCGCTTTGAAATTGCTGCGTAGCGAGCAACGAGTCTGCAAGCTCCCCACATACCGCCCAGTGATCGGCAACTGAGATCTTGTCGATCGCAAGTAGATGAAGCTTGCTTTCTGTCGAATTGTGAGACAGGACTCGGCAGATCGCAAGCCGCAAGCGGAGGCGTGCAGGCAGCGAATACACCGGACAAGACAGAGCGAGCTCGAGTATCTGTTGCGTTACGGTCGTCTCGCCTTTGATGGGCCTCGCTGTCATGGTGCGATCAATGTCGAATTCTCGATCGTCTTCGAATGCTGCCCAGAAAGTCTGGTGAGCACGCTCGCCGAGCCATCTCTGACCTTCGCGAATGTACCTGCAAGCATCGCGATACCGTTGAGCAGCTTGCAAAGCCTGGGCCATGAGATCAAGGTCGTCTGCGGTGAATCTAGCGGTGTCTTCCTGCCGCAGGGGCTCAAGGGTCTGCTGACGATGATGCTCGAATGCCTGCACCATCATGTCTGCCGCTTGTGTGAAGTAATTGTCGCGATAGAAAAGCCCTGTGAGTTTGCGGACAGTTGGCAGATCGAATGGGTAGGCTTTAGCGAGCCTGCGAAAAGTGGCCACCGCCGTGCGAGTATCGCCAATCTGTTCGCTGAGCTCTGCCTTGGCCCATAGCGCATCGACATCGTTCTTGTCAGCCGCAAGGACCTGACTGTAGCAGTATATAGCCTGCACGTTCTGATTCAAATCTCTGCAGACATGTCAGTGCGCTGGTGGAGAGCTTTCGGTCGCCTACCTAGACTGCTGCGCGAGCTCGAACCATATATCGACCTCACCGTCCAGCAGGTGAGCACCCACGAGATCAAACATGAGGGCTTTCTCGACATTGCCAAGATCTTTGTTGATCGCAGATAGCGTGTGCCATGCGGTCGCGAGATTGGGCTGCAGCCTGATGATGCGAGTGAGCTTGAGGATTGCAGCCGGATAATCCTGGCCGACAAAGCTCTCGTTGGCATCCCCGAGCAGTCGAGCTACCTCTGCTGTGGGCTCGACCTGACGTTTCGCGCCGCGAATGCGTGACTTGACTCGTGACCGTCTGCCTTTCATGGAAGTGCGTCTGAGTTCTTGACGAAAGTCGTCGATATCTCCAGGCGTCGTGAGCATAGGATCGATCTCAATCTCTGACTGAGCACGTTGGCGAGATCCCTTGCGGTCTGGGAGGCCGAGTTCAGGCGAGATGGCCGCTTGACCGAGCAGGCTTCTACTGAGCGCGATGGCCGATGGATCATTGTTGTCGATATCCTCTGCGATCCTGCCTGCTTCGCGGGCGAGGGTATCAAAGTCGACTGTCTGTCCGATAGCCTGCTCGTCGTCCGTATCGTCATCATCCGCTAGCTCTTCAGACTCCACCTCTTCTTCAGTGCCATCATCTTCGCGTCTCTTCATCTGTGTCGGCCGACTGGTGCTCGTCGGCAGGCTACGCCCACCTTTCACCTCGGGGTCATGCTCGATGTTCATCTGCATTGACTCGTCTTGCACGCTTCTTGCTCTCTTGCGAGGGCGTCCTCGTGCTTTGGCGGCGGGAGCATTGCGCGCATGTGTATCATCATAGGGAGTGCTTGACGAACTTGCAACCGGCTGTCGGCTGCGGGCCTGCTCGGGGGAAAGGTCGACGACGCAGGGCATGCGGGTGATGATGGTCCTCACATTTGAATTGACTTGGCCAAATGTGAGGACAAGTCAATTCAAATACCATGACATATCGGCCAGGACGCGACGGAATCATCAAGCTCTGACAGCAAGCCAAGGCAAAGATGCTCAAGGCTCGCTTGGCAACACGGCCAGCCTTGCGAGCTGCTCGTGTGGCTCATCAGACGAGACAAGTGAGAGCTCTGCTAAACACGTCGGGAGCCTCGTGGCTGATTCTTGAATTAGTATGCCGACGTGCCTCTGGCTGTAGAGCAGGTCTCTCGAGCAGGTCCGAAGAAGCGTAGAGGCTTCACTAGACGTCTTGCAACCTACTCTGCCATTCTTGGCACCGCGGTCTATACGCTTGGCACCTATGCCGCCCTTGAGAACGACCGCTGGCATGATATCTTCGTCGAGTCTGTTCCTCTAGGCGAGAAGCTGGTTGCCTACTTCGAGGAGCACGATGTCTCGTCTGAGCTCGGACAGCTCGGCCCCTACGTCCAAGATGCAAAGCGGGTCACAGACAAGGTGGTCGGCACGGTCTCGGATTCATACCAAAGGACGATCGGCCAGGTCAAGCAGGCTGCATCCACCGACTCACATCCCGCCGGCGGCGGCGTAGAGGACAGACTGACCAAAGCTGCATCTGATGTCAAGGAAAGAGCCTCCAAAGACGTCTCGACCGCAGAACGCAAGGCCCAATCTGCCAAGGCGCGTCTCTCGGAAAATGCGGACAATACGGCGGCGCAGGCCAAGGATGCCGTCCAAGGCGCGAAGAATGAGACGCAACGGGCTGCACAAGAGGTCAAGGCAAAGTCTTCTGAGCTGACCTCTCGCGCCTCATCGACGCTCGATGAGACGAAGAAGAGCATTGTTGACACTTCGAAAGATCTCGCCGCGTCTGCAGAAGCAGCACTCGCTTCTGTCACGCCCAAGATCAGCACCTCACCGAGCGATATACTGCCTCCTGCCCCTACGAAGCGGCCTTCTGATCCCACACGACCGCGAGAATTGGACGCTTCGCCTCAGGACCTGTACAAGCCACCTGCCGAGCTATACACAGGCTCACAGCTACCGCTCGGCTTTGAGCCACCGCCCGGCTATTTCGTACCTGCAGCGCCTAAGCGAGGAGAAGCGCCCAAAGCAAAAGTGCCGGTCGCTGCTCCGCCGCCACCACCGTTACCGCTTGTCGCGCCCGCTGTCAAAGAACTCGCCGATTCGGAGCCAGTACTGGGTCAATTGGCGACCACGATCGATCAGCTCGCTTCCTTCCTCAGTAGCTCTGCCGGTGCTGCTACTGCCGCTACTACATCTGCTGCGGGCGGCGCCAAAGACGTGCTCACGACAGCGCAGATTGATCTGCAAAACCTGGGCAATCGACTAGAGACCATCAAAGCCCAAGAGAAGGCCAAGCTCGAGAGCCAGCTCGAGTCGCAAGCGCGCGACTACTCGAACAAGCTCGTCTCGCAGGAACGTGAACTCATAGAACGACTTGAAGCGCAAGAGGACGACTGGCGATCTGCATTCGAGAGCGAACGCAAAGAGCTCGTACAGGCTTATCGCTCAAAGCTCGATTCGGAGCTCGAAACGCAGAAGGACATCATCAACCAGAGATTGAAGGAAGAAGTGATTGCGCAAGGTATCGAGCTGCAACGCCGGTGGCTACGCGAGATCAAGCTCAGAGTAGAGCAAGAGCGCGGCGGCAGATTGAGCAAGCTTGAGGAGCTCGAGGGCGGACTCAAGAAACTGGAACGCGTCGCGCTCGACAACTCCCAATATCTGGATGATACACTCAAGATTCACACCCTCTGGTCTGCCTTGCGAGCTGCTACTTCAACTGCACTCAACAGTATCGATAGAAGGCCGATTGGCGAACAGATTCGTGCCCTCCAGCACATTGCTGTGACGTACGACGAGCCTGAAAGCGAGTCCGGCAAAGCGGATAGTCCACTGTCGGCCGCTCTTGCATCTTTGCCAGAGAAGACCCTCGAGCAGGGCACCGAGAGTCTGCCCGCTCTCTCAGTCTGGTTCACGGGCAAAGTAGCGCCACAGCTCAAAAAAGCTGCCCTGCTGCCTGACGAGGGCGGTTTCTTGGCCTATCTCGCCTCTGCACTGTTCTCGAATCTGCTCATCACACGACAGGGCCCCACGCCCGGTGACGATGTGATGAGCATCTTGTCGAGGTCCGAGTATTTCCTCGCCCGTAAGGATCTCGACAGTGCTGCCCGAGAGATCAATCAGCTTCGCGGCTGGCCCAAGATTCTCGCGAGGGATTGGCTCGAAGCAGCCAGACGGCATCTCGAGGTTAAGCAGGCGCTAGAGGTATCTCCTTTCCGCTTCAAGTCTCGCTTGAGCTCATGCAGAAGCGAGCAGGTCGCAGAGACAGAAGCCACATTAGAATCGCTTCTCGTGCTGTAGAGATGCACCTGATATGAGGCCTGACCACTCGAGCGAGTGCTCCGTGTCCGTCGTGTGCGCGTGCTCGTCGCGATTTTTCGAGGCACATTCTGGCCTTTCGCAGCATGGAGAACGCAGTGTATACGACGTCAGTAGCGAGTCGTGTCTGTCCAGAGCACAGGACTGACGTGAGACCGCACAGAGACGAGTATGGGCGGCCATTCCTCATCGTCAGAGAACAAGGCAAAAAGACTCGCATGCACGGCGTGGAGGCGATCAAGTCACACATCCTCGCGGCCAGATCGGTGGCTACCATCCTGAGGACGTCCATAGGACCACGCGGGCTCGACAAGATCCTCGTCAGCCCTGACGGCGACATCACGGTCACAAACGATGGAGCGACGATCTTGTACGGCTCTTCACTTTGCAGAGGCCTGCCTGCTCGGGGCTCACGAGCGGATCTGGCGCAGGTCTGGCATGGAGGTCGAGCATCAGATCGCAAAGCTGCTCGTCCAGCTGTCGCAGTCACAGGACAGCGAAGTGGGCGATGGTACAACAGGCGTCGTCGTCTTGGCAGGCGCACTGCTTGAACAGTCAGAGGCCTTGCTCGACAGAGGCATACATCCCATCAAGATCGCAGACGGCTTCGAACGTGCCTGTGCTATCGCAGTCGATGAGCTCGACAAGGTGTCTGACAAGATTGACTTCTCCAAAGACAACACTGCCGAACTGGAGAAGGTAGCGACGACTTGTCTGGGCAGCAAGATGTCAGTCTGCCATCTCGATTGGGGTTAAAATCATTGCTGATACACAGTGATCAGTGTCTCTAAGGCTCATGGCCTCTTCTCCAAGATTGCGGTGGACGCAGTCATGTCAGTAGCAGATCTAGAGAGGAAAGACGTCGACTTTGAGCTCATCAAGGTCGACGGCAAAGTCGGCGGCTCACTCGAGGACACGACGCTCGTCAAGGGCGTCGTCATCGATAAGGACATGTCCCATCCGCAGATGCCCCGTTCACTCAAGAACGCCAAATTGGCCATCCTCACCTGCCCCTTTGAGCCACCGCGACCGAAGACAAAGCACAAGCTAGACATCACCACCGTTGAAGAATACAAGAAACTGCAGACCTACGAACGCTCCAAGTTTGAGGACATGATCAAGCGTGTCAAGGATACAGGCGCAAATCTCGTCATCTGCCAATGGGGCTTTGACGACGAAGCGAATCATCTGCTCATGCAGAATGAGCTGCCTGCCGTACGCTGGGTCGGAGGACCAGAGATTGAGGTACGTCTCACGACAGCTCTAAAAAATGCGCTCAATATGCTGTAGCTCATCGCCATTGCCACGAACGGGCGCATTGTGCCACGCTTCGAAGACTTGACGGCAGCAAAGCTGGGCAAGGCCGGCGTCGTTCGCGAGCTGGTCAGTTCGTATGGATTCGTATGAAATCCTGCTTATCCTCGTACCTGCAGTCATTCGGTACCACACGAGACAAGATGCTGGTCATCGAAGAATGCGCCAATACAAGAGCGGTGACCGTCTTTGTACGAGGAAGCAACAAAATGGTACCTATCGTAATGTTGAAAGTATGCAGCACTGACCCGCTCCGGCAGATCATCGACGAAGCGAAGCGAGCACTGCACGACGCTCTCTGCGTCGTCCGCAATCTCGTCAAAGACAATCGAGTCGTGTACGGCGGTGGAGCCGCGGAGATTGCGTGCAGCGTGGCCGTCGCCAATGCAGCTGACAGCGTGCGCTCCTAGCCTGTCTTCAGCCGACGCTCACTGCTGACACTAGTCTGCAGATTGCAAGCATCGAGCAATACGCGATGCGGGCCTTTGCCTCTGCCCTCGATGCCATTCCTGTCGCACTTGCAGAGAACTCGGGCCTGTCTCCAATCGAAACTCTCGCAGAAGTCAAAAGCAGGCAAATCACAGAAAAGAATGGACGATTAGGCGTCGATTGCGTGGGCAGCGGCGACAATGGTAAGCATTGGCGTCGCACCCGTCTCATCCCGAGCTGACACTGTGTGGCCAGACATGAAAGCGCAATTCGTTTTCGACCCGCTTATATCAAAGCGACAGCAGTACTTGCTCGCGACTCAGCTCGTTCGAGCGGTGCTCAAGGTCAGCAGCCACTTGAGTCATTGTGCGATCCCACCCGCTCATTTTACTTGATCGCAGGTGGACGATGTCATACAAGCAGGCGCGGACGAAGATTACTGAGCGACATAGAGATACTTTGCAGCCCATATATTGAGTGGCAGAGGTGCAATCTGGTCCTCAGAAGCAACATCGGCGGCAGCACAGGTGAGGCATCACAAGGCTCGATTTACGGTACAACTCGTACATGCAACTCGCGCACAGCTGTATGCCTCGCTGTATGGCGCCCAGAGAGTCGTGTCGTCGCGCAGGCAGTCGAGCGCGTCGTCAGACACCATCAGCTTTGAACATATGAGCCGTTCCGAAAGACAGGCAGAGGTCGTGAGGGTTGGGGTCTGTTTGAGTCTGTTTTGAGATAAAAGGGTTGGATGATCACACAAGGCAGAAGACGGCAGAGAGGGTATCTTTGGGTAACGAGCGCACAGAATGAAGAGCGCTTATTCGGCTTTGCCTTCATAGGCAGCCTTGGCATTGGTGTAGCGTTCCTTGTCGCGAGTCGCCATGTCATTGTATTGCTACGCAAGCGAGCGGATGAGAGTATGATCATGTAAGACCAGTCTGAGCTCACCTTTTTCTCAGATTCATCAAGATCCTTCCATTGGGCACCAAGAATCTTGCCAAGCTCGCCGAAAGACGCGTCTGGATTGTCCTCCTTGACCTGGGTACGCTTGTCCTGTCTATAGGAGCATGATTTGATCAGCGGGATGAGTTCGTGCGTCACGTGCAGGGACTCACGAGTAGAACATGTAGGCCGACAGAGGGCGCTTTGGCGCATTCGGGTCCTTTTCCTTCTTGCCCGACTTCTTCTCGACAGGGGAAGCCTTCTCCTTCTTCTCCTTGAGCACCTTGCCGGTTGTGCCTTCCTTTGCCATCTTGCGGGGGCTGACTTGAGATGATCTGCAGACAGACCGAGCAAATCAGCGCCTGTCTACAGCTTTGTGCGGGGCCAGAAGAGGCAGGAGGATGAGGCAGGATCAACGGCGCGTGTTGTGATCCAGTGAAGTCCTTGCTGAACGAGCCTGGTGCCAGCTGACGCGTGTCAATGACGAAGTACACCAGCGGGCGCGTCTCGACCGTCTCCGAACGCGATACGAGCTCGTCTTTGAGGGATGGTGACTCGACAAGGTGCAGGTAGATGCGCTCAATCGTACACACACTGTGCGAGGCGCGCGAGTCGATGAGCTGATTCTGAGCTGGAAATCCCGTCGATATGGAGCCAATACTGCTCGCCAATATGATGGTATGATGGTGTGAGCGGGCAGGAGAGAGAAAGGCGAGGCCGCGAAGAGAGGAAAAGACAGGGAGAAGAGTGCTGAACGAGACCTACATAGATTTCTAGATGTCTAGATGCCTTCTCTGTGAGCAAGTCAATGTCAGTTTGTACGTGGCAGCAACGCGCCTGGCCTCACGATTTTGGCTGTGCGCACAAACAAGGCAGAGGGCGGCGACCGCGCAGGCCAAAGGCCGCCCACCATTTGACTTAATAATATTAATCGTCACCCGTTTCTCACGCGACACGTATTGCACGGCAAGCACCACCAGTCGGATCAGTCAATCTTTCGTCCGTCTCGCGTCGACAAAGGTCAGGCACCATGGCGGAAGATGGCGCTGCAGTGCCCAGCGAGCACAAGGGCAGCTGGACGAGCTTCCTCAAGTCGTACGTCATTCATCGCCGGCGGCTACGCTGTCAGGCACAGCTTGGCTTTGCTGCTGTTTGCTGACCTCTGCTCATGGTCGTGCAGCATCAGCACCTTTTCAGGTGATCTCTCGAGCATGACTGCACCCTCCTTCATCCTATCTCCCACCAGTCTTGCCGAATTTCCGTCATATTGGGGCGAACCGACCGAGGCGTTCATCGCCATCTCTAAGGGCAAGACAGCCGAGGACAGAGCTTTGGCTGTGCTCGCATGGTTCCTCTGCACGACAAAGGGTCAATTCACGCGTCGAGAGACTCAGACTGGCTCGTACGTTCTTTCGATTCGGCTGCGTCGCCATCCGCTGACCAAGAGCATCAGCGAGAAGAAGCCCTTGAATCCGCAAGCGTTCCCTCGACGGCAGCGTCTGCTCATATACTGACGTCATGCGCAGCGTCCTTGGCGAAACCTTCCTCGGTCGATGGGACACGCCGCAAGGCAAGACCGAGCTCATCGCCGAGCAAGTATCGCATCATCCACCTGTCCGTCGCGTATTGACACGTGCCAATCGCACTGCTGACTTCTTGATCGCAGGTCACTGCCTACTTTCTTCACAATAAAGAATCTCGCGTGTCGCTACAAGGTCATTGTGGCCAGAAGACCTCCTTCTCCGGAAGATCGATCGTCGTCAAGCAAGTCGGCCATGCGCTCATCAGATTGTCCCTGCCCGATGGCGGCATCGAGAGCTACCTGATCACTTTGCCTCGGTTGCGCATCGAAGGCTTGTGGTATGGCTCTCCTTAGTAAGTCATCTGTGCCAAGAGCAGGCTCTGGCCGGACCTGATGGGCTTGGGACAGCATCGAGCTCAGCGACTCGTCTTTCATCCAGTCATCAGCTGGCACCCACATTGCAATAGAGTACAAGGCAAGAGTTCTTTATTTGGATGCCATCGCATAGCTCAGTTGCTTGCGACAGGGCAAAGGATATTTTGGCGGCAAATCGCACTCGTTCAAAGCGAGCGTGGCCAAGTCGGCAAAAGACATCAGCTCGCCTGATCATGTCATCGAAGGCCAATGGAACGCCAAATCATCGTACACAAAGGGCAGTCATAGCGGCAAGCCCTTTCACGATGCGACGAAAGATTTTCCAGAAATCGCTGTCGCGCCAATCGAGGAGCAAGACACGATGGAATCTCGGCGGATCTGGAAAGAAGTTGCCGATGGCATCCGCAAAGGCAACTTTGAAGCCGCTAGCGCGGCCAAGACGAAGCTAGAGGCAAGCTCGCCTTGTCATTCTTGCATTGTAGCTGACGATGCACCTGCAGAACGAGCAGCGACAAAAGCGCAAACAGGAGACAGAGCTTGGCAAACCATGGCAGATGCGCTACTTCACGCATGTCCCTAGCGATGCGGACTGTACGTCAAAGACATCCTCACTAATCAAAGCTGAGTGTATCTCGTTATGCAGACGGCAAACTTGTCAAGCAATTCGGCGGCCAGCCAGATGAGGAAGAGGCATTCTACTACAAAGGGCTGTGATGGCAGCAACAACAAGCATCTGTCTGTACATCAGATCGCAATCTAATCTGTCGCACTACTAGCGTCTTTTGTATGCCTTTGGAGCCGAAATTCTGCTAAGCATGCTTGACCTGTCTCAATAGAGCCTGGAACGTTTCTGCTTGCTTCTTTCTCGGGAGTGAATTGATCCAGGCATTGAACGAGCGCGGATCGGCGTGGTTCGCGGCCGCAATGAGCATCTCCCATTCAGATGCACTCAGCCTACTGCTCGTTTGCTGCAGTGTCGCTGGCAGATTCGGCATTGGCCTCTCCTCCTGGGGCTCGCTTTGGTAGTTCGCTGGCCTTGCAGTTCGCGATCGAGCGTCGCCCACTCTGCGAAGCTTTTGCGCCCAGTATTTCAGTAGTGCAAACAGCGCGACAAGGCTTGGTTTCCTACCTCCTGCTTGATGGCGTCTCTGGTCCTCTTGCGCTCGATGTTGCTCTCGCCAATCACAGCCTACCTCAAAGTCAGTTGATGCGAGCCAAGTAAACACGTCCCGACTTGCATTGTGCGCATGCGTATAGTTGATCCCGACCGAGTTGAGGATAATGTCAATTTGACCCACGTCAGCAGAGGCCGGGGCGAGGGGATCCTCGTCTGTAGTCTTCCGCAGCCCGGCTGCAAATGCGCCGGCAGCCTCGTCATCTTTCGCCTGATCAGCCGTTACCTTTGTATAGAGATACTCTAGTTCTTCCATGTTGCAGTCTTCGATCGACGCCTCGGTCATTGTGATATCATCGCCTCTGAACGCGAAGAGATTCTTGCAGCCGAAAAGGTCGCCTTGTTCGCTCGTTTTGCTCGAATCTTGCACGCCTGCAAAGTATCGCCGCTCATTCGCTGCAGTATAGGCCACATTCGTTTGTTGTTGCTTGTAGATCTGTCGCGCATAGATAACCTCCTCGAGCGTTCCAGAAGCCACGAGTCGGAAGACTTCTACATCGCGTATCTGGCCCCATCTGAAGGCACGGTCTTGAGCTTGCAAGTCAAGCGCCGGATTCCAGTTGGGATCAAAGATGATAACCTTGTTCGCACCGACGAGATTGAGGCCAACACCGCCAGCTGCGGTCGAGATGAGGAAAACGAACTTGCGAGCACTCGTATTGAACTCGTCACAAAGTCCAAGGCGATCTTGAGAAGGTGTCGATCCATCTAGACGGAGCCAAGCGGTGGGATAATCCTCGTTAATCCAAGTTTCGAGAGCATCGAGTAAACGCTTCGAGCGCGAGAATAATAAGACCTTATCGCCATCTGCTGACATGCGTCAGCTTTGCCATCGATCGCCGTCGGCCACGCACGCATAGAGAAGTGGTAGAGTAGCTGAGCTACAGGCTCCCATTTACCGCAAAGGCTGCGATCGGTCGTATGTATGAAGTCAGGACCTGGGATCTGCCCTGCAGCCGTCCCCGGGAACGCCGTGAGATACCAACCTCTTTCTTTCTCGTATCGCTCTGGTTTGGTCTTGCGCAACCTACGGTCTGGATGAATGAGTACGATATGATTGGCGATCTTAAGGAGCAGCTGGACGCCAGGCAGAATGTGGTGAAACCAATCGGCATCAATTGCCTTCAAGCAGCAATGCCTAAACTCGAGGCCGCTGTTACACATCGCACAAGGATCACGCGAGATAGCAGCATTGCGAAGTTTGTCCGAACGGAGTGCGCAAAGATACGCTTCGAGCTGACGAGGTGCCATGGGACAGAATATGATCTTATCGACTTTGCTGGGCAGCTGATCCGCGATGATGGCCTTGGTCCGGCGAAGCATGTAATGAGGCAGAAGGTTGTGCGCGAGTTGCTGGGCACGAATACGACCGGCGGAAAGCTCTGCAGGAGTTGCAGTCTTGCTCTGCGCAGCTTGGATCGGGTCTGTCACGAGAACCTTCCACTGTTCAGGCGTACCGACGCGAGCTGAGAATGCAATTTTCAGCCGTGCGAGGTGCCGATGGAGCATGCTTACTTGGCAGACACCAGTCGAGAATAGTGTGTAGCTCACTGAAGCGGTTTTGCATGGCTGTGCCGGTAAGGCCAAACCTGATCTGGCATGTGAATTGATGATATGCCACCGTTTTCTGGGCGTCTGCATTCTTGACAGTGTGACACTCATCCAGAATGATGCAAGTCAAGTCGAGATCAGCAAAGCTTTCGATCTCGTTGCGGACTGTATCCTGGCCAGCAATCAGGACATCGGCGTATCCGTTCTTGAAGTCCTGCAAAGCTTGCTTGCGTTCCGAGCCTCGATAAATTCCGATCGAAAGGAACGACCAAGTTGTGATCTCTCTCGCCCAATTATCGATCACACTGAGGGGAACAATGATCAAGGCAGTCGGACCGAGCTGCGTGGGCTTGTCGGGCTTGTCGTGCTCTCGAATATGTCGTGTTCGGCGCAAAGCGTCGCTCGATGTACCGTTTTGAGCCATGATAGCGGAGAGGAATGCTATCACCTGAATGGTCTTGCCTAGACCCATGTCATCGCAAAGCAGGGCCCCTTCGGTCTTGTTGTAATGTCGGAATAGAGATTGAGCGCCTTCGCGCTGGTAATTTCGCAGAAAGCGATTGATACTCGCCGGTATCTCGCATAGGCGGCCGTCTTTCGTCTGGCCAAGAATGAAAGTGCGAGCCGCTAGCGGCGCTCTCGTCGTGATTTCGAGTTGAGGGCGTTCGTCCGAAGGGGGGTAAATTTGAAGAGCGGCTGGCGTGCTCGCAGACAAGCCCTGTGACGAATTTGCAGGCTTTCTGTGTGTCAAGGCAGCGCTGAGCGTTATCCGACCCGTCTCGATGAGTCGACTGTTCGTGTCGTCGCGAACCGAGGTCTGCAGCAGAGAACGCTGCGCCTCAGCCTCTACGCCTGCATCATGTGTCTGCGCTCCTCCACCCAAGGTCTCGCGCGTGTCTGGCGGGGCAACAGCCTTGTAGTGATCCATGGCCATCATCCTCGTAATGCGCTGTATTCGCACCTCTTCATCCTCTTCGCTCTCATCGCCAGATTGCGGGCCCACGAAGCTAGGCAGTGTCGGTAGTCTGCTCGGCTTGATCATGGCACATTCGAGCATTGACTTGCGATTTGCGGGCGACGCTTGATAGTATGCTTCTGAGTGGGACATCTCATCGATACGAGCGTTGCGTATCTCTTCATCCTCTTCTGAGCTGCTGTCTAGCTCGTCTCGGCCGGAGCACTGCGCATGAGCCAAAGGTCCGTGTCGATTGGGTTCATTGTCTTCATCGTCAGTCGCGCTATCTTCCGATTCTGCCTGATCGATGTTCATTTCTGTCCCAGCCAAGGCTGGTGCGTCGGCAGCTTCAATGGCTTTGCCATTGCCGCCGTTGAGCTTGGCAGATTCGTCATCAGAGTCGCTCAAATCGTAGCATTGGATGTCGACCTTGAGCAGATCGTAGAGTGGATTGGTCTGGCGAGCGGCGCGTGCATCCTTGCGGGTCATGATCAGCCGTGCATGGGCGACTTTCGTCTGATTGCGCTTCTTCGCTGTCAGCTTGTAGGCACGCTCCATGATGCTAGGGCCGGCATGCTTGTCATCGCTGTCAATTACGTCGGACGGAGCAGCATCGAGCTCGGGCAGTGTGCGCCAGGACGGACCAGCGACAGGCGTCACTCGCTGGAGATCATATAAACCTTCGTCGCTGCTGGACTCCCGACGGACTCGCTTGTGCTGCTTGTGGGTGGCTGCAGAGCTCTGTCGCTTGGAGCCACTCTTATCTGTCTTCTCTGACTCGGTTCTGATGTTCTGCCGCATAGATTCCACGAAATCATCTTCGCTGTCGCTTCCTGGTCCACTGATCTGAGTGCTCCCGCAGTTTCTGGCTATCGAAGGTGACCCGGCTACCATTGCTAGCGGCGGCAGTCAAGTGTCGGTAATCGACGAGGCTCAACATGCAGTCAGAGCCTCTTCACTGAGTATTGAGTACTGGCACGGTGGGGCACTGGCGCGCAGTCTGGTACTCATATATATACGCAACGCGTGACAAGCCAGTGTGACAAGCCATGACGTGGCGCGTAGACAGTCATTCAGCCGCGTCGTGTATCCTACCGCGTTGTCTTTGATGTATTGCACAACTTGTCAGATATCTTAGCATTACAACCCAGAGCTGTCTGGTGCCTCGACCCTATACAAGGAGTTTCTAGACGAAGACCTTTGTTGATACCAAGCGATTTTCTCAGCTCTGCATGCTGCTCGTGGATCTTACGCTCATCCACCGGCACTCAGCATACGGACGAGAGTTGGGACTTGCTCGATGGCTCGAGAGGGAGCCAACGCTAGCTGCGCGCGAGCCCTCAGCCGGTGCCACCTCGGCTTGCCCTGAAGAGGCGGCATGTCCCTCGCGGAAAACTGAGATTTGCACTGGCGAGCCCCTTACGAGTGGGCTCCGTGTTTGTTTTTCTGAGTATACTTTGTTGGGCCAGCCTCGTGTGCATATTGGCTGCGAGTAGACTGACGGCAGAAGTTCGTCCTCGCTGTGCGCTTGCATGCTGTCCGCGACCTTAGCAATGCAGCTATCACGGTGAAAGCCGACCAGGCAATAGGAATTGCATCAATGGTGCCAGTAATTGGCTTGCATCTGACAGTCATCTGATATTGACGATGCTGCAGTAGTAGCCCTTGCGCATCCATGCTGCCCAGCCATCATGTCGTGGTGGTGATATAGACCTTCCATGATCGGCGCAATCTGTCGTTGCAGTGAAAGACTGAAACACAATGTGCACCGTAATGGCTGCGTAACCCGCGATAACGAAGCCAGTAGACTATTGAGGCCTAGCGATTGCAGCATGCGAGACAAAGGAGAGTGACGTCGGGCAGCCATTCGGGCAAGCCTCGGATCGCGATGAACCACAAAGTGCGGCCGTCAGTCAGCAAGCTTGCCGAGGAACCCCGTCTCAAGGCCGCTACTACTACAATGTGAATTCATGGGAGCGCTGTGCATCAGTTTGTGGAAGATGAAGCCATGGATCGCCGGTGGAACGAATGCAGTCGAGCGTCTGCTCGGCTTTTATTTGTAGCGCGGACTCCTCCTCTGCTTATGAAGCTGCATGCAACCGTGCTCGTGCGTTCGGCTCGACTGTGAAGGTCCGAAAAGCGCCCGAAGATATTTGTGGAGGAGTTCGTTGCGGGCAAAACGGGTATATATGCGAAACGCCAACAGGACCCATTAATCGCAGGTGACCTGTTCGTCAGGATGGACTAAGACCTCTCTCTCATATTGATGCGCGCAGAGGGTAGTAAGCGAGTGCCGTTGACCCGTTACGGACTTCGCCACTACTTGAGGGTTCTTGTGATGTTGTCATCAGGTTGGAGGGGAGCTCATCGGCGCGAGTATGGACGTTGTCACGGGGGCAACAGTCGCAGTCGCATTCGATAGTCCGAACTCGATGTTCCGATGTCCATTTTTGGACTGATCCTGTGCCTGCGACCTTGCGGCAAGTCTGCGGCTCTGCTTGAGTCGCTGCTTTTGCGGCGCCCTCAGGTCTCAGGCATGCTGACGGGATCCTCGGGCCTCGGACGTCGTCGACCAGTCGCGCGTTCCTCTTATCATCGATATCGTAATTGATCTATCCTACCTTGCACATGATTACTGCCCTGCCTGACTTTGTCAATGATAGCATAGGCGAGCGCTCTCGATACATCGTCAGGCGTAAACCTGACGGTGACCATCACAGAGGTTTCGAGCAATGCGCTCGGCTCGAGAGTCCTTGCCGTGTCAGACGACTTCTTTGCAGACGCTTGGCAGCTTCTCCAGCCTCACGTCAGTGTTAGCGCCTGTCAAAGCTTTCGCTACTGAATCAGCCATGTTGGCTCAGGATCCGGTGAATCTCAAAGGGCAATTTGGTCCAAAGGGAGCGCTATTTGACGGCTGGGAGAATGCTCGCCATTGCCCTACTTTCAATTGGTAAGCGAGTGCGACATCACTGTTGCCTGCGTGGACCTCACACTTCGATATGGCAGGGTCATCATCCGTTTGGGCTCGCCAGCAGGCGCATCTTTGCTCGGCTTCGACATTGACACGCGACCATTCGATGGCAACGAGGGTCCGGCAGGCTCGGTAGAAGCGCTCTTCCTGCCTGAATTGCCTGATGAGGACGTACCCAGCGCGAGCGACACACGCGTGCGCTCTTCGTTGCATGCTTTCCTCGCATGCCTGACGTTCCCACAGTGGGTCAGCGTTCTCCCGCGCAAGCCACTCGGGCCTGCTTCGCGACACTTCTTCAGACTCGACAGGCTGCATGGACCTTTCACTCACCTCAAGCTATGCATGTATCCAGACGGAGGAGTACGTCTTCATGCGCCAGTCATTACTTTGCATTGAAGAGCAAGACACAGTTTGGCCGCTTCCGCGCCTACGGCGTCATATCACCTCCTTTGCTGCGTAGCATCACGACACCTATCGACCTAGCACATGTGCTCAACGGCGGTAGATGTGTTGCAGTCAGCGACCAACACTTTGGCGTCGGCAAGAATCTCATCTTGCCCGGTCGGGGCAAGGATATGGGTGACGGCTGGGAAACGAAGCGCAGCAGGGGCGGCGATCATACCGATTGGGCCATTCTTAAGCTGTGTGTGTCGAGATGTGTCAGCTACATCGAGCTGACGTCGAGCCCAGAGGCGCGCCCTGTCATCTCTTACATGCCGAGATCGATACGGCTCATTTCAAGGGCAACTTTCCCGAATCGTGCACTCTAGACGCCTGCGTATGCCAAGAGGTAAGCAGCTGCATTGGGCGAGATCTTTCCTGATCGACAGCAGACTGTTCCAAGCAACGCCAGGTGGACATCAGTCTTAGGACGCGTCAAACTTGGCCCACATCGACAGCATCAATTCCAGCTCGAGCCTGCTGCGCGGCAGACTGCGTGGACACATGTGCGCTGTACAATCTTCCCAGATGGCGGAATCAAGCGGCTTCGCTTGTATGGGCTCCCATCTCGCGAGGATGGACGAGAGCCTGATTTCCTCGGTGCCATTACTGGTACATCGCAAGTCGCGTCATCTCTCCAAGCCGTGGCTCCTGTCGATGCGCACACACCGAGCGAGCCGCTGATCGTTGCCCTGACCCTGACGGCGGAGACGTTTGCGCCCTACGGAAGCGTCATTCAATCCTACGCAGATCACGCAGCCGCGCCAAGAGGCCTGAGGATTGTCCTGGCCAACGGCGGCACAGCGGAAAAGTTCAACAACCTTGCTCCGGTTCATTATGGGCGTCCTCGCTCGGGTGAGCAAGCGGAATTGAATTCTTGCGTATACCGCTGTCAACCTGAGATGTTCACCAAGCAAGAGCCGTGGACAGTCAAGGTCTTAGAACGACATCAGTACTCTTCTCAGTCATTTGTGCCCATCTCATTGCCCGCGAACGGTCGATATCTCGTCATTGTTGCTCAGGACAAGGGTAAGCCCGACTGTTTCTGACAGATAGAACACGACTGAGAACCAAAGCAGGTGGCAAGCCAGACCTGACAAGCTTACGAGCCTTCCTTGCTGGCGGTTCTCAGGGCATCAGTTATGCGGCTAATGTCTGGCACCACCCGATGATCGCACTTGACACTGTCACCGATTTCACATGCTTAGTCTACGAGACTGGCATTGCATCGATAGACTGCGAAATCCTGGAGTTCCCAGACGGTCTGGCAACCGTTGTGATGCCATAGAAGTTTGCAATGGCTACAAACCTAAGCGGTCGGGAGGCTCTACGCCCGCGGATGGACTGCTCTCGCTGCCTGTCGTATCCTCCTTGAGCACCTGCTGGGCTGACTTTGGCTTTGGCGCTGATTCGCTGGCCTCCTCGACCGGGTCGGGAGTCGCTTTGACTGGTTTTGGCGATCTGGCTCGCCTGAGGATGCGCTTTTGCACAATCTCTGGCGCGAGTTGAGTGGTCTTTGGATCCCGTGCAATGGTCAGCAAGTCGGACAGTATCTCTTCAGCTTGTCTGCCATAGGTGGACCTTTGGCGCTCTGTGCCATCAGCTGGCTCGAAGGCGTCAGTTGCCCGCTCGTTCCGTCAGCAGATTTATGGACTGACCAAATTTGAGCGTCAAGATGGGCTTAGGATTGCCAGCTCTGGGCTTATGGACGTCAAAGGTGATACTCTGGTTCGTGTAGATGAGTTGGGGTAGCAGCTCCTTGCAGAACTGTCTACGTTCGTCGATGAACCGTGAGCAAAGGGATGCTGGGAAATGAAGCGCGCACCTTGAGCCCCAGTGCTTGTCCTTCCCCTTGAAGACGAGGCTGATTGATCTCACATTTCGGGGCAGCGATCGAGCGCCTGGACCACTCCTCAGGCTGACGAGTCTCTGTGCAGCAAGGACTTTCTTGCGGGACAGGCGCATCGCATCGGCCTGTTCAAGCGAGAGTGTTGCCAATGTCTCTTGCGTCATCGTTCGGGGATCGAACGTAGGCGGCACAGTCGATGTGGAAGCCGCGGCCGCTCTTGCGGGCCCCGCAGTGCTCATGTATCGTCGCAACATTGGTGGTCTGACATTTGTTAGCAGTCTACACTCGAGTCAAGTCGATTCAAGTAGCAAACATATTCAAATAGTCGTCAAAGGGTCGGCCAGACCGAGCGAGTCCGTTTGAAGGGTCGAGGACAAGGAGGACGAGGAGTCAGAGGACGTGAGATCACCAGCCAAGTGATCTGACATCATCGCTACAGCCTTTGCGCCTTCAGTCCGACCGCGACGATCAGGCTGCCACCGAAGCAAGGCACCTGGAAAACTTGCGACCTCTCCAGGCAGTCAGGCTGTCCTCAAAAGCACCTCGTACGACATCACGTGCCGACCACAGCAGTCACCTGCTCGCTCCATACAGGGCCCACAAGACTCATAGAGACGGACCAGGGAAGGCCTTGACTGGTTGAATCCCTTGTTTGTCATCGCCGCTCAACCGCAAGCTCGCCCTTTGACCTCCCCTCTGCTCTCGCTCAAGATGAACACTGGCGGCTACGCTCTACCCGGTGGCGCGAGCTCCATGCCACCGCCATCGACGGGCAATGGCTTCGTGCCCATCTCCAACCTGTCGAGCCTTTCCTCCGCTGCTGCGCCCAACATGTCAGCAGATCAGACGAACATGGGAGGCAACATCAAGGGCAAGGAGATTGTCAAGCCTGTCGCGCAACAGCCCATCATCCCCAACGTGCACGGTCTGGTTCCTACGTTGCAGTAAGTAGCGTGCCCGCGCAATGGCAGACATTGTTCGAGTCAATGTTTTCTGATCCGATTGCTTCTTTGTTTTTCCTCTCTGCAAAGAAACATCGTCGCTACTGTGAATCTCGAGTGCAAGCTCGATCTCAAGACGATCGCTCTTCACGCGAGAGTGAGTTGACGTGACAGCTGCCCGTCAGGCTAGCTGCTGACTCTGGCTCTCTTCTTTCCCTCTGCAAGAATGCCGAGTACAACCCAAAGGTACGTGCTTGACGCTCCTAGCCTCGTGCGGTGCTCACATGCCTGCAAAACAGCGATTCGCCGCCGTCATCATGCGCATCCGCGAGCCAAAGACGACCGCGCTCATCTTTGCGTCTGGCAAGATGGTCGTGACGGGAGCAAAGTCAGAGGACGATTCTCGTCTGGCGTCGCGCAAGTACGCGAGAATCATCCAGAAGCTCGGCTTCGAGGCCCAATTCAAGGAGTTCAAGATCCAGAACATCGTCGGCAGTTGCGACGTCAAGTTCCCTATCCGCCTCGAAGGTCTCGCCTATTCGCACGGCCATTTCTCGTCCTACGAGCCAGAGGTTTGTACTTGCTGGCTCGTCTGCCTTTAATACTCATGCATGCTCCTATGCGCAGCTGTTCCCCGGTCTCATCTACCGCATGGTCAAGCCCAAGGTTGTTCTGCTCATCTTTGTCTCGGGCAAGATCGTCCTGACAGGTGCCAAAGTGCGTCGGCGTCGGCGCCCTATCGCGTAATGCTGGTGGATCTGACCGGTCATGACAGGTTCGAGAGGAGATCTACTCGGCCTTCCAGCTCATCTATCCTGTCTTGTCCGAGTTCAGGAAACCCTAGATACACGATCACACGACCGGGTCCAAGAGCCACAGAGCACTCGCTCGCTGTTGTATGGGGCTGCATGTTGATCTCGTCCTCGATCGCCCCGCGGGCGGCGGGCGTCCCTTGCCTGTCTCGTGCACGCGCCGACCGCGAGCTCGAGCCGTTCTGCGGTCTGATCTCACTGATGAGCGAGCGACGGGGCTCTCTCACCCGTGACGACGACGGCAACGATCACGGCGAGGCTATCGAGCCACCACGACGACCGTCTGCACGGCGGGCGGCCAGCTCCGGGGAGCCGCAGCTGTTCTTCGACTCTGCCGCCGAGGATGAAGACGAAGGGGACAGTGTGGACGAAGAGGTCGGAAGATCGGCGCCGAAAGCTAAGCGTAAGCCTCGAATGTTCAGCCTGCTCATGTATACTCGCCATGCTGTCCGACATGCCGTCGACTCGCCCGTCTCTTGGGATCAGCTCCATCAGCCGTCACTAGATCTCGCGGTCGTTCGTCCTCTCGTCACCCGGATGGGTAACACGAGGGATCCCGGAATCGTCTTTTGCCTGCTCCTCAACAGGAGCCGGTTCCTACAAGAAGCGAGTGACAAGCCAGGCTTTGCAGGCATCAACAATGCTCGCGCGAACCTCTGCGAATTGATAGCTATCAAACTGCTCGGCCAGTTCACACAGACTAGACTCGAGCTCGTCCGTGTTCTCTGCACCCCAAGGTCGCCCTTTTCGGGCGCGAATCCAGGTCTTTTCAACGAGGTAGACGCAAACGAAGTGCTCGAGCTGCGCAAATGGGGCCATAAGGAGAGAGCCTCTGCGCTCGAGATCGCCATCGTCTGCAGCGCCAAACATTTCATAAAGACGCCGCTATGTCATCAAGTCATCACTGGCATCTACAGAGGCGAGATTGAGTATCAACCTGGCTTCGCGGGCAGCGCTATCCTCAGTGATGCTTACAAAACCAGGCCGGTCAGGCTGTACGACTGGACGAGCAGCGACAGACCGCTTCTTGACCATACAAGACTACGAGTACCTCTGATCCGAGATTGGATATTTCGATTCACCTTTCTAGCCATGGTAGCGATCTACCTCGCCGTACTACGGAATCACAAGAGCGATCGCATAGACGCTTGGGAGGGCCTCTTCATTTTTTGGTCATGCGGCTTCGCCCTGGATGAGCTGGCATCGGTCGTCTCGGGGGGTACGGACGCGTATCTCAAGGAGTTCTGGAATTCGCTCGACATGGCCTTTGTCGCTTGCTTCGCTGCCTATCTAACGATACGGATCTATGGCTTCACAACGAACTTGCCAGAAGCGGCCGAGCTCGCATTTGATGTGCTCTCCTTAGCGGCTTGCACGCTCTTGCCACGCTTGGCAGGCTTATTGCTATCAGAAAACGTCGTCCTCATCGGCCTGAGAGCCATGTTCAGAGATTTCTCGGCCTTTCTACTCCTGGCTGTCATCTGCGCAAGCGGCTTCCTCGTCACATTCTGGACTCTCGGAAGTGGCACGTGGACGTTTGGTCAGACCGCCTGGCTACTCTTACAAATATGGTTTGGCTCGACGTATGTGGGCTTTGAATCTGCTTCTAGTTTCCATCCTGTGCTCGGGCCGATTCTCATGGTCGTCTTTGCCGCTCTAGCGAATACGCTGGTGCGTCACGGCCGACAAGCGTAATCCAAGGTACTGACGTGGCTGCACTTAGCTACTAACAATCCTAATCTCCCTCTTGTCCAACACATTTGCGATCGTAGCAGCGACAGCGGATCAGGAATTCCTCTATCAACAGGCGCTGCGTACGATCGAGCGGATCAGAGGCGAGGCACTCTTTGTCTATCCAGTGCCGCTCAATCTGATTGCGCTCATCATTATTGGACCGGCCAGCTATATGCTGACGCCAAAGCAGCTACACGCACTCAATGTAGCGCTGACAAGGGTCGCCAACTTCCCCGTCTTGCTCGGCATAGCAATCTGGCAACGCGTACAGCACCGTCTACGCACGCGCCCGCTCCAGCTCGAGGAAGCAAGCGAGCTACCACGCGATGTCTGGCTTGGCTCTGAGGAGGCATTGCGATGCATCTTTGAGCAGGATGTCAGTGACGAGGCCAAACGATGGGAGGACACCACAACCCGAAAGGAGGACGCTGTCAGCTCCACGAGCGTGGGCAGCATTGCGCAGATGCCGGACTCAGCAGCGCACACTGTGGCTACAGCAGAGCAATCAGGTCGTTTAGTGAGCTTAGGCAAGATGCTTGGGCTTGCACGACCGGGCCAAGTGCCTACGGCCAGCAACCTAGATGACAGACTGTGCGCGATCGAGCTGCAGGGCAGACGCATCGAGGATATGCTGCAATCGTTATTGGCCGCACAATCTCTTCGAGCTGACAAGACTGCCAAGTAAAACGTCAATACGACCTCCTAGGTCTGGTCGCCGAGCGCTTCGCTCAGGCCGTCGACTTGCTCGAGTCCGGCCAGGTGCCGGGGCAAGTGCAGAGCTCTTTGCCGTCTTTCTCGAGGCCTGACTTGACAGTATCAATGTGTCGGCCGCAGCCTCTCCACTTCATACCGGTGCATCTGAATGATCGAGGATCCTTGGTCAGCTGGACTGCATTGCTCGCTGTCGAAGGAAGCTCACGAGTCACATTGTACCGGCATGCACGCATTCGTTGGCTCCGCGTAGATGATATAGGTCATAGCGTGCAGGCTGGCAAGTATAAATCTGTTAAGCCGCTGTCAGGCTAGGCTCTGAATGACGGAGACTTGAGGAGATTTTCGATTTCAATTGACAGTGAATGCATTATTTGTATTACGCCCCTGCTGTGAGCTGCTCGTTTGCAAGATGAGTGCCTCACGTCTTGCCTTCGTACGCAAGGTAAATTCAGTCGTGCGGCTGATGTAACGCTACTGATGAACTGGATCGCGTCTCACAGGTCTGGCAGAGCTTCATTGACGCCAAAGGCTTAGAGACGACAATCTTGTCGGGGGCGACGATAAAGTCTGCCGATGCCGGCACGATAACGGCAGGCTTCAAGGTACAGAGACATCAGCTCAATCGAATGGGTGGTCTTCATGGTGGCGTCCTGGCTGCGTGTGTCGATACATTCGGAAGCATGGCGCTGAGCTCGAAAGGACTCTACTCGACCGGTGTCTCGACGGACCTGTCAGTCTCCTATCTGCGCGGAAGCAAGGAGGGCGACGACATCTCGGTCGTGGCACGTGTCGACGCCCAAGGGCGCAACCTAGGATACACATCTGTCGACATCTTCAACAGCCAGACGGGCAAATTGCTCGCCCAGGGTCGACACACAAAGTTTATCGCGCCTGCTTTGACAGACGAGCGCAATGTCGACCTCGGTCAGTGATTATATGCGCATCAGAAGATGCGCCGGCGCGAGTCGTGCCAGACTTGGAAAGGATAGCGCCAGTATCGCCTTTGCAAGCTCGGCTCAAACGCGTCGAATCGGGCTCGTTCGAGCAGCGTCAAGTAGGATCTTGCCGATGTCTGCAGGCGCGTGAGTACGACAAGCCTCGGCTGGCTAAGATCGTACCCACGGCGGACAGAAGAGCTGGCATGACGGGTACGGGTACCTTGATACGTTGATCGATTCCGAGCGTCTTGCGAGCCATCTCTAGCTCGACAAATGCTGTACCAGCAAGATCGTAGACTGCATCTCTCAAACCACCGGCACTGCCACCTGAGCGAAAGAGTTCCTCTGTCACGAGGCTATGTTTGCTTGCAATCTCGCTCGGGATCGGGGCTGCAGACCGTTTTGCAGCGTGATGAGGTAAAGCCCGCAACAAGGTCGTCAACGTCAGTGACACAGCAAGATGTGAGAGCGCGTGGTCGATTGTCGAGAGCGGCAGAGGTCGCGAGGGATCCGGGGTCTTGTGATCATGAGTGACATTCATATCGACTTGGTTGTAGGTCTCTTGCGTCAGGCTTTGCTGGATGTCAAGCGTTTGCAGTTGCAAAGACAGCAGCGAGTACTGAGTCGACCTGGCATAGGCCGCTAGGTCGGCCAGAGTATGATAGATGTCTGTAGTGAGGTCGGCCTCCTGTGTGCCCGCAGTCAGTCGAGCCTTGTGTCCAGACATGAGCCTTACTCGTGCGTCGATGAGCTTGGAGACGTGGTATCGTGTCAAGCGATGACGCCGTGCTGCGTGCGAGAGCTCCAGTGCTATCGGATGCTGTGCCGGTCGTCCCTGTCATACGCTGCCGGCATCAGCGCAGCACGGGCGCAACAGTAGAGGACGTACGGCAAAGATGCCTTCGAGCGCATCTCGCCAGAATGCGAGGCGCATCTTGCCTATCATCGGATTGGAGACATTGTCCTTGATGGATGCAAGCTCGATGTTGAAGGCCCTGATGGCAAGATACGCCCGTCTGGCGCTCGCCGGGTAAAAGAAGCTCGGCAGATAAGATACATAGTCCAGTCTCCTGACAAGCTCGGAGACATATTCAGGCGAGCTTTTGGCTGTCACGCCCGCAGAGGTGCTGACAGATCGGCGCTGCGATCGAAATCGTGCACAGGTACATCTGAGCATGATATCGAGGGCTCCGACTGTCAAATACCAGCCAAAGCGTCAAGCGTGTAGTCGTCGTCGTCGTCGTCGTGGTACGTGGTCATGCCAATTTGAGACCGTCAAAAGTTAATAGTAAGCTATTCTCACCAATGCAGATCTCACACAAGCTCCCTCATGATCATGATCATCTCCACACGGACGAGAGCTCCGCCCAGGTGGCATAGCATAGTTCGCTGCTCTCAAGGTGCCTGAGATGCTGACGCGCGAGAGAGACCTGCATTGCAAGTACGCTAGACGTTTTGCTTGAATCTGCGCATGTCAACCTCCTCGCCTACGTCGGCAAAAAGATGTCTCCTCGTGTACGGGTTGACAAAGATGTTGTCAGGATCGACGCGCTCACGTACCTCGAGGAAATCGTCGAGATGCTCGTACATCTTGTGCAATGCTGGCTTGTTGGTACGATGCGACTTTGCCCAGTGAGACCTACCGCCATGTCGAACGAGTAGCTGTTCAAAGGAGGCGAACAGCTTTTTGTATGGCACGGGAAAGCCATAGGGTCGATATTGCATGATGCCGATATATGCGCCTCGCATCCTGTACGTCGGACTGAGCCAGATATCGTCTTGCTCGACAAACCGTATCTCGACTGGGAAATGGTGCGTCAAGCCGCCAGACTTGACGTCCTCTTCCTTGTACCATTGAGCCAGCTCGCGAAGAACATCGGCAGTATTCTCGATCGGCACGACGCCTTCAAAGGTGTACTGGGGGAAGAGGCAGTCCATGTTGAAGATCTCTGGCGGCGTGCCGACGCGAGTGCTGACCGGCTGCTTGCTGTGATCATCTTTCGGCAGCGCAAAGGCAAACCGCCACATGATCATTGCGTGGTAGCCTAGGAGTAGGGGCAGAAAGGTCGCTACAAAGAGGCCGAATTGATGCCAGTGATAGCCTATAGCTCGTGCCTGAATCGCTGCCCAGGTTGACGGTGGTGGGGTGCGGTCCTGGCTGTCTGCATGAGCTTTGTCTTGCTCGTGTGGCAAAGAAGACACACCTCTCTGGTGCGATTCATAGTAGTCACAAGAGCCTTGTCGACATGGGGAAACCAGTGTATTTTGACATGCTCATTGTCCTCGAGCAGGCTGCCCTTTGTGGATCGATCTTTGTCGTCCAGACTTGCTTCGAGGTTGCCCATCATCTCGCTGTAGTCGTACTCGACGACTCGCTCGCGTAGATGAAACATAGGCTCGCACTGCAGCGCGACCCTGATGATAACACCCGTGAGCCCGAGACCGCATAGGCTGGCCATGAACAGGGGCGCGTCATGCTCGCGATCGATCGTTACAATGGAGGCATCGGCAAGCACAAGAGTCATAGAGCGCACATATGTCGAAATGTTGCCGAATCTGATGCCTGTGCCATGTGTTGCAGTCGATATGGCACCGGCGATGGACTGATCAGAGATGGAACCCATCACGGACATCGCGAGCCCGTTCCTTTCCAGAATAGGATGCAGCCGATCTGCGCAAGCCTCAGCCAGACTGACATCGTACATGCACAATCACGCACGGAGCTTGATGCCGCCCTGCACGGTGACGACGTTGGACTGCTGATCTATGTCAAGGACTTCTTGCATGTTGTCCAGATTGAGCATGAAACCGTCGGTGCAAGCCAGATCAGACGGTGAATGGCCTGTGCCATAGCAGCGTAGCGTTTCTTGCTGGCGTCTCGTAAGTTCCACGACCTGCTGAACCTGTCGCTCCGTGTTCGGCTTGAAGATCGCTCGTGCTCGACATCTGTAGGAGCCCGCCCAATTGGTGAAATAAGTGGATTTTTGCCGCAACGATCGAGTTGCTCGCATCAGTTCGTCCACAGACACCTTTTCCAGGTCTGCAGGGGTCAGCCTCACTGCGCCATTCGTCTTTGACATGTTTCGATCGGCGGCGAATGTCAAAAGAGTAAAGTCAATTTTCAAAGCCGAAAGTACGCGTCGACCGCAGAACTGTGTGACCTGACTGGATTCGGGCGTGTTGCGTACGTGCAAAGAGCTGACATGGCGACACTGCAGGACAAGGTGTACTCGCCTGCCTTTACAGGCCTGCTGAGTACAGTCGCCTTGGCCGGCGTCATCGCGGGCTTGTGCACAGGCGCCTTCGAAACGCTCAGGCGGATGCGCCGGAAAACGCCTGCTGGCACTCGTCTGCAGCCTATCGAAGGCCAAGACTCCGTGGAGGACTATGAGATGGGCTATCTGTATCAAATAAGATGCTTCGCTGCCGGTCACAAGTCACCGAGGCTGGCGAGCAACCCTTTGTTGTGGATCTGGCAGACCGCGATGCTCACCGACGATTTCTACGTGTCGAGGACGGGCATGGACGCAGCGACGTACGTGCGCTGGATCAGGGGATGCTGGTACATCATTCTTCTGCATCTCGTCACAGTCTTTGTCATCCTCATGCCTCTGCACCTGCACTATGCGCCTCCAACCATCTCACAAGGTTCGATGGCGCGTGCCTCGCTCTCCTCGCTCGTACTCTCGCCAACGGGCATCAACTATCTCTGGGTTCACACGGTGCTCATGTGGTGGGTCTCATTGACCTGGATGGTCATGCTCATCTGGCTATCGATGGGCGTCATCCGCCATCGCCGCAAGACACTCGATCAGCTCGCCCTCGACCTCGCAGATCCCACCGGCGATCAAGACTATCCTGAGCGATCGTCAAAGGGAGCCTGGAAATATCGCACTGTCGTCGTCTCCAATCTGCCCGCAGAGATCAGGCAGTCCGAGAGAACAGTGGCAGACTACTTTGAGACCTCAATCTCTCGACTTGTCGAGCGCAAAGGTTCGAAAACCCGGCCCGAATCAAGCGCGCCCTCGACGCAGCCAAATTCGGTGAGAGGATCGAAGCGCTTCTCACGCCAGACAGCAGCTCTCGGACAGTCCATTTCGCGATTACGCACCCATTCGCGCAACAACAGCAAGGCTGCGCTGAGCGATGAGACGACGCCGCAGCTATCGCCAACGACCGAAGAAGGCTCGACTTTACCCGAACGGCAGTTTGTGACCAGGGTCGTGCTCGTTCGCCGCACTGCCGAGCTGCTTGATCTGTGCAATAGACGCGAAGAGACGCTACACTTGCTCGAAGCTGCCCATCTCAAACTTGTCCGTAACATCATGGACGATGTTGCTCTTCAATCCACCCTGCGCAGAGCCAGCAAGATCGCATCCGAGCCATTTCCCACCAGTTCGGCTACAGAACTCAAGCAGCAATCCTCTCGCGATAGTGCGCCGACAAGCACTGCTCTCGCCTCGTCAGAATCTCTCGTCGATCTCGAAGCGAACGAGAAGGCCGAGCGCGAGCGTCTCGTTGACTTGCTTTACCCGTTCCTACCTGCATATGAGCGCGATGCCTTCGGTCCGGTCGAATCCGTGCACGCGACAATCTATGATGCCCTGCACACGGTATCGGCCCGCCTGCTCGATCGCTATCAGCCCACTATGAAATTGAAGCTATTCAAGAATGCCGAGGTGGCTTCGATCGACTATCTCTTGACGAAGCTCAACTTACTCTCCGGACTCATAGAGAAGCATCGTGCAACGCCTGAGAAATTTCAGACGTCTTCGCTTGCCTTTGTCACTTTTAGCGAGCCCAAATATGCGCGCCTCGCTAAACGCAAGCTCGGCTTTCATCTGACCAAAAGGATGACCTGCCGCGTCGAGGATGCACCTCATTTCCGTGATCTGCAGTGGGACCGCGTCGTTCGGGCGTCGTTCTCCCAGGAGGTCCTGCGCACGACAGTCATCACAATCTTGTTCTGGATCTTCACGATTATATATATCTTGCCAGTCTCTGCAATCGTGGCGCTCGTCTCTGTCGAGTTTCTGTCACAGCATTTTGCGGGCCTGAACGATTTTTTCCTGCATCACTCCATCGCAAAATCGCTCGTCTCTTCTTTCGTGCCTACCATTCTCGTTGCAGCTCTTTCTATCTCGATACCCCCGTTGATCATGCTTATCTCGATCAAGAGCGCTGTCTTGACAATGTCGCGCCAGCACAAGCTCCAGATGGCGCGCTACTGGAAAGTGCGCCGCTCTATTCTTGCTGCTTGGCGATCTAGTGCTAATGAAAGCGTCGCCTCAGTGGCTCGTGACAAACCTTCTGGTCTTCTTTTGCATCGGTACGACGGCAATCACCGCGCTTGTCAATGTCTTTACGACTCCGCTGAGCGTCTTAGAGCTCATTTCATCATCCTTCCCGCAAGGTGAGCGGGTTCTGCTGCATCATGTGTTCAACTGATCACTCGGAAAAGCTGCGGTCTTTTATACCGGCTGGGCTATCCTAGTCACCGCCGTGCATCAATTCATCGAGTTGGCCATGTTCGGGCTACCTATGATCCTGCATAGCGGCCTGAGGAAGGCACAGACACCTCGCAAGCGTCTAGAAAAGTCGCTACCCCGTTCCTTCAATTATTCCTACTTTGCCCCCTTGTCACTACTCGTCATGACAGTCTTCTTCGTCTTTTGCTTGCTCAATCCACTGGTCATTGCTTTCATTTTCGTCTACTTCTCCGTCACTTGCATAGTCGTCAAAAATCAGGCAAGACTGCAAGCACAGCCTCATGCAATCACTGATAATGTGTGCAGCTCTGTCACGTGTATTGGCGGCGATATTACGAGGGACAGGGCCGCGTCGTACTAAAACGGGTGCTTCGATATTCCTGTGACGGCCTCTTTCTTGCTCAATTCGTCCTCATGGCCTTTTTCTGGACACTGAAGGCGAGCACGTCGCTTGGTGTTGGGTACTGTGCTGATTTTGCGATCGCACAGAAAGGTAGACTTGGCGGCGCAATCATTCCCTTGCTCGTCATCACAGTCGTTTTTAAGCTTGTCTGGACGCGCGTCGTCGATCTTGCGCATTATCGCCTCATCAAGGAGGAAGCCGCTCTCCGACACACTCAACAAGTGCAGACTGTCAAGCCAGACGAAGACGAGGATGAAGGAGAATCCGGCGACGAAAGCCCTCACGATGCTGACCAAGCGACCGCCGATACGCACAGCGAGATCCGCAAAATATCTCGTCCGGGCTACTGGCATAGATGCGCTGCCTACCCGAAGCAGCTCATCGAACGTACCGCTCGCGCAATCTACACGCAGCTCAAGTCTCGTGCTGCACGCCTTCGCAGCGCACGGCCGACGCATGCTGACGTGACACGCCATGCCGATGACTTGGTGGCCGCAGACGGGAAGAGGAATCTTCCGGAGCCAGCCAAATTGAGCGAACTGGTCTCGCTACATCCCAAGCTGCTCAGGGACGACAGGCCTCGCTTTGCGACCGAATATGAAGACCCCTGTTTACATACGCCACTTTCGTATGCACTCTGGCTGCCTCGCGATCCGCTTGGACTGCTGCATCTCGACAACACGGTGATATATCATGGCAACGCGTTCGTATCGAGCGAAGGCGGCACGGGCGAGCTGCGTGCTGACGAGCCAGCTGCAGACGAGGGGAAACTCGCCGATGCAGTCATCCTCAGTGAAAAGGCAACACTAGATAAGGCCATAGGTCTGATCAACCTTGACGGTACCGAGCAAGTTGTTGTCCCGCTAGATCTGCCAACACATCAGCAAGATGACAGTAAGCGGCAGTCTTCGATTTCGGCTACTTTGTGGCGCTCCATTTCTTCGTCGTCTCTGGGTCGCCGACCCGGTCAGACTGTAGCTCAGCCAGCGCAGCCTGACGCTCCTGCTCACGGTGCGAATGACAACGGCGCGTCTCGCAGCGTCTCGCAGAGCGTTGCATTGCGTCGCGAAGTCTTGCAAGAGATTGCAGATGCGGCAGCGAGCATACGGATCAAGACAGAGCATCAGCAGCGCAAGGCTAGCTCAAGCAGCTGGCACCGACTCCTGCATTCGAACGCAGATCCCGACTCGGCACCGGACGCGCTCACCTAGATTTCCATGCAAAGCACAGAGCATTCGCAAAATATCGAGCGGCATACATCTCACGCCTGTTGTTGACAACAAAAAACATCGTCGATTTGCATGTACTAGGACCGCGAGCGTTTGCGTGACTTGCTTGTGTCTTCTCCGTCTGCCTTTCGCTTTTCAATGATACCAGTTTCGCGGTAATACTCTTTGCGCGATAGCTTTTCCCTCGATTGCCGGGCCTCTTCGCCCTTTGCAAGCTTCTTGAGACGCTCTTGCTTGCGTTCAGTCTGCTTCGAGCTGCGTTTGGCGAGCTTCTGTTTCTGTATTGCCTGAATTTGTTGTAGCAGGCCGATCGCCTTCTTTTCTTCCGGCTGCAGCACCACTGCCCGTTTCTGCATGTATGTTTGCTTTGTCTGTGGCAGCATTTCCTTTGGCTTGTTGGCGAACGGCAGAGATGCCTCGAGCTTTCGGGGAACTTTGAGCGGGTTAAAGCGGCGTGTTTGACGTTCAACGGGCTGCGATGCTAATAAGCCTTTTACGATAATAAGTGAAGGCATAAGCTACCTTGTAGAGCGAGTTGATGTTGCTTGGCGTCTTCACGCCTTCGTGTCGTCGCACTTCGCCAGTCAGACGCATGCCAGTCCACAATGACTTATCTTCGAGCAGAAGAGAGCCAACCGGATTGTAGAACTTGCGAGGATGGATCTCGTACCAAGCGCGCAAGAAGATGATATCGCTGACCAGCACTTTGTCTTCGAAGGCTGCTCGGAAGCATCCTTCGGGCTTGGCAAGTGCCTTCTTGATCTGGCCGCGAATACCAGAGACGGTGCGAATATTGGCCCCTTCAAATTTCGCTACCTCCAATGCTGTCGTGAACATGTCCTTGACGAAAGCAGTGTTCTTGAAGATCTTGTAAGGTATGCCGGTCAACTTGATCTTCTTGGTGATCTGCGTAGAGCCGCTGGCTTCCAGCACCACGCCGGTTGCAGACACGCGGAAAGCGCGCTGCTCATTGCGAATCGTGTTGAAGGCACAGACACCTGTATTGGGTGTGGCGGTGGGCCCGTAGAATGTAGCCAAGCAATGCATATGCTCTGGCGTATACTTGAGCATGCGATTCCGCGTGCCATCGTCAAGCGAGTAGATCGGCACAGTTTGAAAGCGCCGCCAGCCAATGCTGAGAATGAGGGGATCGCTTGTCTTGAGAATTTTCGAATGCCATCGGTGCTTCTTCAATCGCATCTGTACGAAGCCCATGTTTTCCTCGTGGGACGTCAGACTGCCGACGACCAGAGGGAAGGTAGGATCGAAATGCTCTACGAGCTCGCTTGGCACGCCCGAGATCTCCATGCGGACATATGTTCCAGGACGATGCCCCTCGACGAGAGCTCGAGTCTCCAGATCGTCGTTTGCAAATTCGATTCGGGTAGCTCTCAGACGCTTGGCCATCTCCTCTTTCTGCTCGGTGTAGAAGTCTTTCTTGCCCTCGTCATCGCTCGAGTCGTCGTACTGTTGGTCAAATTTGCGCTTCAATTCGGCTTTCTTTGCTTGCAACGCAGCTCGACTGTCCACTTGCGCGTCGGCAGCAGACTCGCTTGCTTCCGCCAGTTTGCTTGCGCTGTCTTCGCCTTCGAGATCTTCAAAGTCTGCGCCTTCGCCGTCAGATTCGTACGCATTCGATGCAGGCACCGCCGTGACGTTGTCGCCTGTAATGAATCGGCTGCGCAGCGCCATCAGCGTCTCAGGATTCTCCCATGACCTGAGACGATCAAGGTCGAGCGGCGCACGCGAACGGTCCTCCAATCGTTCAGCAAGCACTTCGGTCGGCTTGCGCACGACAAAGAGGTTGTCGTCGTCCGTCAAATCTGCGTCTCGTACGACCTCCTCTGCAGCGCCATAGCAGATCTCGAGAGGTGTCAATTCGCTGTCATAGATGAGCTTCATGAGATCAGGCTTGCGACGCGCGGTCGAAGAAGCGAAAGCCTGCGCTGCCTTGCTTGCTAAATCTTGCTTCCATTGCGGCAGGATGGGAATCTCATCTGCGCTGCTAGTTCCATGATCGGCCTCGCTCGCTTCATTGCCCAGCTCTGAGTCGCTCTCTGCGAACGCAGCTTCGTCGTCAGAGTCTGACTCTAGCTGCGGATCTAGCTGCGCGCGACCTGCAAGCGCAGGACGTCTGCTCTCCCTCAGGCGCGTGACATTATCATCGATGTCACTTTCGAGCACGTCCACATCGTCTGCACTGTCACTGTCGCCTATCTCGTTATCTTCGAGATCCTCGTCGTCTGAAGGATCATTGTTCTCGATCTGCAACGGGTCTCGCGAAGAGCCGAGAAGACGGATCTGGCTGCTGGCTATACCTTGACGCAGAGTCGAATTGACATCTTGGAGGTCCATGACCATGCGCTCGCCCTCACCGACGAGCTCCGGATTCGCACCATCTTCGTTTTCTGCCGAGCGCTTGGTGAAGGTGCCGGCAGTGTTAATCCAGATACGCTCGCCGTCAAAGACGACACCGCCGCCAGCACCGCCGCTCATCGGCGCATGGACGAGCTTGTTCTTCTCGCTCAGCTTCCGACGCTTCTCGCTCTCCTGCGTCGGCAGCGGACAAGGATCTGGCAGCGGCGTCATCTGATCGACTTGGAATGCATCGACGCCCGAGCCGGGGATGTGTACTCTGACGCTCGAGGCTGCAGAAGGCGCACGTAGAGGTACGCCTCGTAGGTAGCCCCAAAGGGCTATCGTCCGATCTTGTTCAGGTCGCGTGCGTATCTGTTCTCGAGGGGTGAGATCTTCCAGTCGATCGGCGACCATGTAGGAGTGTGTGTTGCGGAAAGTGAGAGGTCTGAATTTAGCAATCGAGATGAAACGGGAAAGGTTGAGGATCTCTCTGTCTGGATAGCGACCATTGATCACGCCCGAAAGATAGAACAGTTTGGCGCCATCATAGACTTCGGTCCAAAATCGGGTCTTGAGGCGCTTCTTCTGGGCTTTCAGCAAGGCAGGTGACTTGATAAGATCGATATGAGTGAGGACACCGATGAGTTTAGGCATGCCGTGAGAGGATAGCGCAGAAAGAGCCTCGAAAGTCTCCATCTCGAAACCGAAGCTACCGTCGATCAGAAGCAGCACGAGATCTGCGACCTTAGAGATGTCGATGATCGCGCCCAGGTCATTTGGGCATTCGACGAGCGTCAGCCTACGTGCCTTGCCTGTCACGACAGTGACGGGGCCGCGAATGTCGGACAGGGTCGTCTTTGTGTACCGTCTGACGAGACTGCGGACGAGCGTCGTCTTGCCGACCTGGCGGCGAGGTTAGGCTATAAGCTCTGTATCCCAAAGCGCGAGTCATACGCAAAGGGACGTACGCCAGGCGGGCCAATGACAGCAACGATGATGGGAGGCGGCCCTTCCTCCTTGTCTGCTTGACCGAGTACGCTGGACATCCCTTGACCTGCGCCATGTCCGCCAAAAGTCCTATCGATGGCAGGGACGTGCAGCCTCGTCTGATCCTTCTCGACGTTCCTCCTAGCATTCTTTTCGGCTCTCCTGCCAGATGCGGGCGCAAACGCCTTTGGATTTCTTCCTCTGAGCTCTCCGGTGTTCTCCTTTGCCTTGCCTTTGCTCGTCCGGTGTGGCTTGTTGCTCTGGTTGTCCATGACGGCCTCGACTCGACTCGAAGTTTTGTTCGCAACTTCAAATTTCATCAGTGATCTCTCGAAATTTGGAAGCGTGACGCGACTCGCTTTGCTTTGACTTTGCCAAACAAAACGGACGACACGGCCCGTCATCATCGATTGATCGACATTCACACACTCTGTCCGCCCCCCCTGTCGGGCTGCATATGACACCCACTAGCTCGGCAGCCACGAGTACGTCGTCCAGCACGAGAGGCAAGGACAAGCAGGGAAGAACAAGTGGCGCAGGATTGGGCGCGCAACCTCTCGAGTCTCGCTCGACCGACACGTCAGTGACGAGCAGCCCGACGACGGAGAGGGTGCCACTCTACGGCTCGTCGGGGGATAGACCTGTCAGGATGTCGGGCTCCAGTCGATCTTCCTCATCACGAGGCGAGCATCGCGAAAGAGGCACATCGAACAACATCAAGATGTATCCTCCTTCCCGGAAGCACACCGTCCTGCCCAACGGCGAGATACGCTATCACCAGGCGATTGGCGTCACGGGCGATCAGCCTGGTGATGAGGACGATCACAACAACTACGGAGGCTGGCACGCCTTTCCTGTCTTCATCTGTATCGTCCCCACCATCGGCGCCCTCATCCACGGCACTAGCGATGGCTGGTCCGACTTCATCTTCGTCTGCATCCTCGGCTTTGGCATCTATGTCCTCCTGAAGCGTACGTCTGCCCTGCTGAGCCGTAGAGACGCGTGCTCATCAGCCTGCACAGTGCCCTGGGACATGTACGCTCTCTCGAGACAGAGGATTCCGCTCAAGAAGAGTATGCTCGATCCTTCCATCCCCGTCAACGAGCAGCATGCAGCCGATGCCAGAGCTTCTGGCTCCGCGCTGGCGACTGCAGAGGTCATCTGGCTCGGCGCGACCTTTGTCAGCCCACTCATCGCGCAGCAGCTGCTCGTCTTCTGCCGACAGTATCTGAGCGATCCAGAGAACATTCTGTCAGACCGCAACATCGCTATCTTTGTCTTCTGCTCAGAGCTCCGTCCCACATGGAACTTCTGGAACCGAATCAAGGACTGGAAGCTGCAGCAGCACGAATACGTTCACTATCCTTCGCGTGAAGTACAAGAGTTGCGCGAGCGCGTCGATCGACTCGAGCATGATCTGGCAGTCCTCAAAAAGGCATTCGCTACCAAGACAGAGGTCAAAGTCATGCGAGACAACATCGACGCCCCGCTCACCCAACTCTCGAAGGCGGTCAGGCGGACCGAACGCAACGGCGAGTATATCAGACTCACCAACGATGAGCGTTTCGCGATCTTACAAGCGCGTCTCGAGGACAGCATAAGGGCCAATGAAATGCTGGTCGATCAGATGGGACAGCTCAGACGCGATATGGAGTCCTCGGGCCCTCTGACGACAATGTTCCGCATCTGTCGCTACGTTCTTCTGCCAGGACCGGACGGCGCGCTGAGCAAGAGCTCCGGCAAGTGGTATGAAAAGGGCGCGCTTTTCTATATCTTCCTCCCGCTCAACCTGTCCACGCTCGCACTTGACTATGCTGGCGCAAAAATGGACCCGACCCCTCAAGCATCTATGCTGAACGGAACGCGTTCGCCAGCCTTGCTCAATCAGAATGAGCACGACGAGGTCGAAATCGAGGACGAGAGTCTCGAGGATTCGCTCGACTGAGTTCACGCAGCTATCTTACGATCTGTAACCATGTGACGCAACTCTGTCTGCTCATCTCGAGACAGAGCTCGGATACCCACCAGCAGCTACGATTTACACATAACGGGGTTAGGCTTTCGATGCATTCTGTTGTCCGATCACGTCGTCTTGACGCCCTCTTGCTGCCTGCTGCGCGTGACGGAGTCATACATCGCAATATTGATGGCCTCTGCTCGGGCCAGCATGTTTCGAAGAGTCTCGTTCTCTGTCTGCAAAGCTCGCGTGCTCGTTCCGATAACCGTGCCGTTTGTTGACGCCGCTGCGTGAACCAACTTTGTCGCCGGCCGCGCGGTCAGTCCAATCAGAGCAGACGCCTGTGCTGCGATCAGCTACGAGCAGGCATAGTGGAGCCAGCTTACGTCGACTTGCGCCGGCATTCGCATGGGTACACATTCGACTGGCAATCTCTGGCCGTGAGCGGCGCGAGGCTGGGGGAGCGCTAGCACCGTTTGCAAAGTCGGCGACAAGCCGCACGTAAGTAGTTTGCCAGCGGCGCCGTCGGCTCTGCCCATCGTCTGCAGATCTAGCGGACGAACGAGAGAATGCAGGCTGAGGACAGGCGCAGCTGTGCTGGACCCTGTGCTATTGAGGAAAAGACTGCGCAACGTTTGCAAGGACGGGAGCGCGATGATCTCGATCGTGCCAGCTTCTGTGCCGACGAAGAGATGCAGCGAATGGTCACTCAAGCGCAGCGCAGATATCTTATGTCTGCAAGCCTCGTCAGTCGTGGCGACACTGACAAGAGGCACGCGCACTTGGTTTGCCATCGCGTCTCCCCTGTCATGTTACTGTCCGAGGGATGCAAGGCCAGCCTGACGACTGAAGAGCCCTCTGCCTTGTCGACTGACGCCGCTGCTGCTGGTCGCTTCGTCACGGGTGCATCATGGCAAGCGGCATAAGAAAATCGCTCCGAAGGCTCGATGGCTATGCTGTGCAGCTGACCTGTGCTGCGTTCGACGGCAAGGGTGTGCAGCAGTGGCGCCAGCGGCAAGCTCAGATCCCAGACCTGCATCGAAATGATGAGACGAGGAGAGTCAGGTAGGCAGCAAAGGCTTACCTTGATAGTATTGTCTGCTGCAGCAGAGTAAATTCGCAAACGCGGGAACCGTCCGCTACTTGCGTGTAGGTCGAGAATTGGCAGCGTGTGATCATTGAGAGAACAGTAGGGCGTTCTGTCGCCGATTGATCTACCGCCCGATGCCTCTGGCGGGCTCGCAAGACTGCTCCAGATTGGGTGAGCCTGCCTCTCGCAAGCTGACGATGCTCATACCTGGCTAGTGACCATACATGGAGAGCAGCATCCGCGCCCCCTGAGACGAGCGCAGCCTCGTCGTCTGTCCAGACGAGCGCTGTGAGCGCTCGGAAGTGTGCAGCTATCGTGCTGAGCAATCGACCGGACGCGGTCTGCGCTACGTCATGCTCTGAGCCCGTCTAGTGAACAGACGAGAGTGCATACCTCCCAAAGAAAGAGCTGCCCATCTTCCGCTCCAGCAGCCAGAAATCGTCCAGACGGCGAGATCGCAAGTGAGACGAATCGAAAGGGTGTAGCATATTTGTACGTTGCCAGATCCTACGATCACGGACGTCAGTGCAAGCCCAAGCACACTTTCGAGCTCGAGATACTTTTCGAAATGACCATGCACCGATGAGTCCCTTGCCGGCTTGGACTTGTAGCAAAGTCGTCTCGTTCCCATCTCGAGCAGCACAAATTGTCGCCGTCTGTGTGACAGCGAAGCTGGCTGTCTTTGAGGCTTCTGCCGAGCTTGAGCTGGCTTGACGATGCTGTTCTTGATGTTGCTGTTGCTGCGTCGAAAGCGCAACGAGGGGTCTGAAATTGCGCAGAGAAGGTCCACCAGCTACGTCAAAGACAAGAGAATGATCATGAGTGCTGGCCACGATAACCTCGTGTTGCATTTCGGGGGTGTAGGCGATCAGAATACGGCTTCAAAGTTGGAGAAGCTCGTGACGCGTGAGGCGTGTCAAGGCTTTTGGCCTAGGCGTGGCGGGCCGGCCAGTGCCACGCATCACTGGCGCGCGACGGTGAGCTCTGTGAGCGCGCTCGCTCTGGCACTTGCAACCAGCAGATGTAGCGTAGCCAGCATGCGAAGATGCAAAACAGAACAGACTCTACGCAGGCAGCGCTCCCGGAACGAGCTACGCTGAGGGCGCCTTCTCCGGGAGGACAGGACTCGAAGAAAGCCGTCGAGCCCGTCAGCCCGCGCAAGGACTTTCCAGGTCTGCGCATACCCCGTTCAGGCTCCTTCTCGTCTGCGAGAGGCGAAGGGAGCACCAGTCCATCTGGCTATACCTCTACGACGCCCAATGAGCGCACTGAATCGAGGGGCATGTCGATGTCCAACCTCTTCATGAACTTCAGACATCGCAAGGAGTCGACGGCCAGCATGAGCAGTCGGCCTGACTTGGCTTCTCAGCGACACGATAGCACTGACGACGGAGCTGTGACGCCACGGGAATCGCTGACAACTTCGACCGGCGGGCAATCGCTGTACGGCGCCAAATCGCCTGCCTCAGTCAGCACCGCGGTGCTGGTCAGTCAGTATCAGCAGGCCAGCCGGCCGTCTATGAACGCAAAGACTTCGCTATCGACATACGACTCGCGTACTCTGGCGGCCGTTCTAGAGAAGCTCGAGATCCACCGCCCGTCAATGTTTAACCAACTCGTCCCAGGTCAACATCAAACGACTCAAAGCTTGGGCAGCAGTACAGACGATGTCTGGCAGAACGTGTGCGTAAAGGTGCTGCCCATCTTGTCAGTCCTCGTGCGAGAAATCAAGACGAAGCTGACAAGCAAGCAGCAACGGTGAGGGACATCAAGGTTTCATTGAGGATCTAAATGACGATGTAGCGCGTCACGTCAAGCGCTCCGTCGAGCGCTCGCCCGTCCACGCTATCGCCAACCTCACATCTGATCTGGCTCAGTTGCTCGACATTGGCATGCTCACTCTCGCTTCGAAGCTCAACAACCCTCTCCATCCGCTCTCGTCTGATAAGCTGGCCAGCAGAACCGTAGAAATCTGGACGTTCTTCTTCGGTGGCCCTCTGCCTTATTTACAGGGCATCTTTCTACCGCTAGAGACCGACGAAGCTCTGCTGAAGATCGCCGCTAGGGGTCGCTCCGCTAGCTCACCCACTGCTGCATCTCGACGAGCTAGTAATGACCCGCGCCCGTCGTCGAGACCCGCAAAGCCCATCAACGTCCGAGGATTGGCGCTAAAGTCGTTTCGAGACAAGCTCATCCTGCCCAACTACGATCAATTGCTGCGCACATATGCTCAGGTCAGAGGCACCGCCTCTCGACGGAGTAGCAGTGTCGACGCCAGGTTGACAGAGGCGCATGGCATCACTCAAGCCGCCACGCTGTCCTCCACGAGCTCACACGCCCAGAGCAAACGATTGCAAATGACTGCAATGCTAGCCGCGCTGCGGACGCAAGACGAAGCGCAGCGAAAGCTCGACCATCTACTGTCGGCACACCTTTACAGCACACTCGAACGGGATGGCTCAGATGAGCCTGTCGACCCTGCACAATGACTCCTGTGATGCCATCATCGTGTCGTTGTCAATTCTTGCCATCGCAGGCCTGTCTGTCCGTTCGCTTTGCGCTCTCGTAGCATCTGCATAGTCACCCGAGCTGTATCGAGGGCGTCGATCGGCAAGCCAGCGATCTGAGCTACCCTTATGCCGTGCGAGTCCCGATTGATGCCGGGTCTGACGCGATGAGAATAGGAGAATGATCCGTCGTCACTCTCGATGATGTCAGTGCAGTAGAACTTGATACCCGGCCGCGCATCTGGACCGTCGCCGTCGAGGATGTCTGCAAGCTCATGAAAGTGAGTTGCGAATAGCGTGCGACATCGGTTGATGGAGAGCAGATGATTGAGCGTCGCGTAGGATATTGCCACGCCATCTATCGTTGCACTGCCTCGCCCTACTTCGTCCATGACGACGAGCGACCGTGACGTCGCTTTGTTGAGGATCTCAGCCACTTCAATCATTTCGACCATAAAGGTGCTTCGGTCGCGATAAAGATCGTCCTTTGCGCCGATGCGAGTAAAGACGCGATCCACCATGCCTATCCTCGCTCGCTCGGCTGGTACGTATCCACCTGTCTGTGCGAGTATCGCAATGAGGGCCGTCTGACGTAGATAGGTCGACTTGCCGCCCATATTGGGCCCGGTGATGATGTGGCACAGCATGTCAGGCGCAGCGAATCCAGTCGAATTCGCCGTGAAGGGTCGATTCTGGCGCTGAAGACCTTGTTCGACGGAAGGATGACGGCCCGATATAATATCCATCGAAAGGTCGTTCGTAATGGTAGGGCGGGCCATGCCAGTCTCGTGGGCGAGCTCAGCAAAGCCAGCAGCGACATCAAGCTCGTCTAACAGACTTGCGTTCTTGCGCAGACTGTTGAAGTGATCTAGTATATCGTCACATAGCTTTCGGAAAGCGTTTTGCTCCATCTCGCGGATACGATTACGCAGGGCTTGGATCTCAGCATTGAGTAGCGTCCACTGCTCCACAGAATAGAGCCGAGTGGATGCGTTCTTCTGCAACGGTGTTGCAGTGCCGGACTTCTCGATCTGAGCAAAACCATTGCGGATCGACCGAACATGAACGGCAGCACCAAATTTGGGAACTACGCGCAATGACAGGTGCTCCGACGCAAATGTCATACGGAGCTCCTGCGCGAGATCCGCTGCGCGGACAAATGCTGCCGTCAGGGCAGCGTGAGCATCGGCAAAGTCGGGAGAGAAACTGCCGCCATTTATTAGCGAGTGGGTTTACTGGCAATAAGCAGGGCTTACTTAGCGCGTATAACCCAATTATCTGACACACCGGAGATCTCGAGCGGCGCAGTAGCCCTAAGATCATTGGGCGTAGCTTCGTCCAGATCGGCCTCACCGGTCTCTGATCCATCCGCGTCGAGCTCGACAGCATTTGCTTCTGTAATCTTGCGATAGCCTTCGTCGTCAACCGCGGCTTCAATCGCGCGAGCTAGGTTTGTATGATCGTTGATCCTTTCTGCTGTCGAGATGATCCTTGTCCAGGCAACTTGATCCGCTGCAAAGCTTGCAGCTAGCAGTATGGTTTCTCTGATCCTGTTTGCAGACAAGATGAATGCGCGTAAGCTCAAGAGATCACTTGGATCGCTGCGATTGAGACTGATACGCTGCAATTTGCGCGATGTGTCGTCCAAGGGTCTCAAGAGATCTCGAACGTCTTCCCGGAGCTCTCTGTGCGTATGGAAAATATCCACGATGGCCTGCCTCGCTTCGATCTCTTGCAGATCAGTACTAGGCGAGCAGATGCGCGACTCCAGCAGCCGACGTCCGCCGCCAGTGACGACGCGTCTGATGTTCGAGAGCAGACTACCTTTGGCAGAACCGAGCAAAGAGGTCTCGCGGATCTCCAAGGCATCCAAGCTGACAGCGTCGATCGTCATCGACACGTCCGCTTTCCGTCGGATGGGGTTGTTCAGATCTGGCTGCACGTCGAGCAGAGTCTGCTTGATATAAGTTGACAGGAGACCGATGGCTTCCGTGACGCTGGCCTCCTGCGTCTCGTCATGCTTCTGCTCGATCTTGCCGTCAGGCTGCACGAAAGAGACGAAGACGCCCGATTGCTTTGCACATATTTCTCGCAGGGTCGACTCCGGGGACTCTGCCTTGCTATCGAGCAGTATCTCGCGGGGCCTTATGCGAGCGAGATCGTCCTCCAATGCTTCGAGGTCACTCTCTTGCACAAAAAAATCACCGGTGGAGACATCGAGCCAAGCCAATCCGACGGCATTTCTCTCTGAGGGTGCAACGATGGAGAGCAGAAAATTGTTTTCTGCAACGTTGAGAAAGGTCTCATCGATCAAAGTGCCTGGCGTGACGACGCGAGTAACTTTGCGCTTGATATCTGGAGGAGGAACCTGATGCGTGCCTTCTGTGGGCGGATGATAGATCTTGAACTCTTCGCAGATGGCAACAAAGCGACCGTCATCTTGTACGAGCGTCTTGAGGTGCTTGTCGAGCTGTGCGAGCGGAAAGCCACAAAACGGAAAGGCGAAACCTCCAAAGCGCTTTGAAGTCAGCTTGATGGACAGCAAGTCGGCAATCAGAGGTGCTTGATCGAAATAGCTCTGCGGACACGTCAGCACTACCAAGCCGAAGAGAGCAGAGCTTGCGAACTTCGTAGAATTGGCCAACGCGCGTGAGCAGGAGCGCATGAGGAAACCGGCGGGCATTTCTCAAGACTTCTTGAGCCAGACGAGAGCTCAGCTGATCAGGATCTGGGATCGCAGGTATCACACTCGGCTCTGCAGGATTCTCTGCCACTTTGACTTTCGTCTTTCGCTTGGCTTTCGGCTTGACGACGGGTTCTTGGGGCTCAAGGTTTGGCTCTTCAGTGGGTGCAGCCTTTCGCCGCCGCTTGCGTACAACGATAGGCTGCTCTAATACCGGTAGAGGCGCCAAGGACCTGCCGGAAGCATCTGTGAGCGTCCGCGGCAGATCATCGTAGGCCTTTTTGATGGTCGTCTTGCCAAAGAGGTCAATCTCTGAGCTGTAGGCTCGTGAAGGATGGACCTGTCTTGCTTGTACTGGTAATGTCGATCTACATTGGCAGCAGAAAAGGCGAGGGAGACTTTCAAGCGAGCGACATGCGTTCATATGTCGCTGCTCCTGATCAGATAAGTGGCGTGTCCGGCAGCAAGCAAGCACGCCTAGGCAAGTCGCGTCGAAGCAAAGCCAAATCAATCAATCAATCACAACGCCAAAGGGGACAGTCCAGGCAGCGCCATCACGTCATCAAGAGAGACAAAGGTACGCCCGCAGCTGATCCACACGTTCGCGAACTAGTCTGAGCCGCTGACGAGGTCTGCAGGCGCTACACACGAGCATGGCCTCCTCCAAGTCAAGCTCGTATGCGTTCGGTCACGCGCGAGCACTCAGCGAGGCCAGACTCCACCAGAGATCAGCGTCTGGCTCTCATCGTATCGATATCCCCACCACGCCGTCCTCTGGTCCGCTGTCCGCCTCGGCAGCGACAGTGTCCAGTGGGTTGAGCAGCATCGAACGCGACAATGCTCGGACGAGGTTCAACGGCAGAGCTCGTCAGGTGTCAGCTCAGGAGTCGGGAATGACGAGATCGAACTCTGCAAGACTGTTGACGGGTAGGAAGAGATGGCGACGGCGCTGGCTTATTCTGCTCGTGCTGCTCTTACCGCTCGGCTACTATCTCGTAGTCGTGCGCTCAGAAGCGAGGCAGCGCTCCGCCCGGAGACGGCCAAGGCTGGCCAACGTCTCCTCAGATATGCCGCGAGTGGACAGAAGCATCTTTGACAGGCTCAAAGCGCTCGAGGAGATGATGATGGCAGGCTCGACAGACGACGACGTTGATCCTGATCTGGCCCGGTACGATCGACCTGGCCGGACAGCTCAGTCGGCAGACGCTGGCTTCCTGCCTGTGGATGCCATACCGGACCCCAAAGCGCACAAAGCGCAACTGGATGAGAATGGCGAGGAAGTGTCAGGCTTGATATCCGCAGATCTGCTCGACAGACAGGTGTGCCCTGACAGGGGCGACCTGGGCTGCTCCTTCCTCGTACCTGCCTGGCTCGGCGAACAAGAGACAAAAGCCCAAGGACATCTGTATCAGCTCGGTCTGCTTGCACTGTCGCTCAACAGGACCCTTGTCCTGCCCAATGTCGATAGATCAAGGATGGGCGTCTGCTTTGCTCGGCCATTTTCATTCTACTACGCAGGTGAAGCGCTCAATGCGCTCGGCATACCCACAATCTCGCAAGCAGCATTCATGACTTGGGCTTCTACGAGAGAGCCCGCGCCCACGGGTCAGGTTGTCAGCGTCGAAGGCAACAAAGCAGGTTATCCGGCCGGCGCGATAGAGATTGATGCCACCTCTGACCCAACGATGGTGCCGGGCAAGCCGACTCGGAGACTGTGCTTGGCCCAGCCCAAGGCGCCTGTCGACTTTACTCCCTACTCACCCTTGTCCGTCGTTGCACCTCTCGACTGGCACCGTCAAGAATCCACGCGCCTCGGATTCGGCGAGTCGATCGTCAACACCTTGCGAGGCTCGGAGATCGACGTCAAATCTTCTCGAACGGACAACGAAGAATCTGACGAAGCACCACCGCCGCCAGACGTGCTCGCGTTCAATTGGGAGCTTCGCTTCCCCGTCCTGACAGCAGACAGCCTTCTGGAGATCGCAGGTCCTGCTATCTATGGGCTTGATCTCGTCCGACCTTTCGAGCACTTTGACTATGCTTCCGTGTGGATTGCTATTGGCGACTACATCGCCTCACAGCTTTCGCCGTTTATTGGCATACATTGGCGACAGGAAACACTGGATGTCAAGAATCTTTATGGCTGCGCAGAATCGCTCATCGAGACGCTCAAGGAGATGGCAGAGGCCGATCCGAGTTTAGAGACAGTCTACCTCGCGACAGACTACCCCATCGAGGATCTAGAGACGGGTCGCTCTGGCTCAATGGACCACAGCAGCACTTTCCACAATGTGCTCAGGCAAGAGCATCACGATGCGATGAAGATGTTCCTGACCGAATTCGAGGATCACAAAGTCGGTTCACTACGACTCACCACTTTCTCACGCGAGGCAAAGCGACTCAGTTTCCCCGAAGACATCATGCGCTCCCTCAATGCTGCCACCAACGCACCGTCGACAGTGACCGAGGCGCAGAGAAGAGCGCAAGCCAGGTTAGACAGACGTCCTCAGACGGCACTCGACCTTGGCGACATCGACCCGGGTCTACTGGGCATCATCGACAAGGCCGTCGTGATGAAAGCAGAGGTCTTTATGGCGGGCGAGCCCGATAAGAGTCAAGGCTGTGGGAAAATCAGCAGCTTCACGAGACAGATCATTGCCTCTCGAGGAGAGCTTCTCTCGCGGCAGAGCTCAAGTCAGGCAGAAGGCAGCGAGGAGCATAGGCTGCCAGGCATGCTCTGGAACGACGTCACTACGTGGCGACTAGCGTGATGCACTCGCTATTGTATTTGATTGCACGACATGCACAATGCCTCTTCAAGAGAGAGAGAGAGAGACGCGATTGTGAGTCACAAGGGCATGCAAAGAGATCGCCAAGGATACAGAGCGAGCACTATGATGCAGGAGCGCCCTGGAACATTAGCATTTTCGGTCAGCTCGGTGCTCAAACCTCTCTGATCGGTGGAGACTCACACGTCCAATGCCAAATCTCGGGCGGAAGCCTGGATCTGCGCCCTCTTTCTTCTCTGCGCCATCGTCTCGACGTCGGTAACCCTCGTCTGCGCCTCGAGGAGCACGGTAGGCTCCCGTGGCATTCTCGTCTCTCTGGGGTGGTGCGCCGGGACGTGTTGCGCGGGCTGCCTTCTTGTGTGTGTTCTGCATGTACAGACATACCTGCGATCAGCTGGAGTATGACCAGTCGAGCGGCGGGCACTGACGGGGATAATCTCTGATGGCAGATGGAGGTACTCGCGCAGGTACTCGATACCCTCGTTCGTGAGGGAGTAGTAGTAGTAATTCCAAGAGAACTGGGTCTTCACATAGCCGCGAGATGTCAGGGACTGTGCGAGCTTGATGACCTGCAGATTCGGCACATCCAGGTCCTGGTGCTTCGGTGCATTGTAGTCCTTCTTTGCGACGAGCACGCCCTCTGTAGACCGACACAAGTCAGTGCTCTGCCTGTGCCGATCACTGGCCGGCCTACCTTTGAAGAGGTTCTCATAGACGATGCGTCTGTTCTGCTTGCTGACGAGCATCTTGTGAAGTGTCTACTGTCCTTGCCAGGCACACTGTCGGCCGTCGTGGCTTGACAGTAACAGTCGGAATCCGACGATAGCCTGGCCAAACGTTTGACATGTGTGCTCCGACACGTCACGCGCTCGTCACACGCACCGTCGTCAGCTTTCTCGATGATGTACCAGTGGCCCAGATAGCGCACCCGGATCTGCCACAGAGCCCAAGAGTCGTTTCGGTGTCGGCTCATTGACTTCCTGGCGTGATGGCCCGGGATGCGCCACTGACAAAGCCGGTCATCAGCATGGCCATCGACCTGTCTGAGACCGGCTCGGGCTCACATCTTCCGCCGCTCATCCTATGGCTGGGTAGGGTCTAGCGAACGCTCTAGTCGAGGGAAGCTCTGATCTTATCGCTTTCAGCGACACTATCGGCGCTGTTCTCGACTGCATTGAGCATCTGGACGATTCAATTGCAACTCAAGAACTATCGCAAGGTCAGCTTGCAAAGATGGGTCGTTCGCATCCTCGTCATGTAGGCCCTCGTGCGTTGCCCAGCGTCGAGCTCATCGGACCGGAGTAGGGTGCCAATCTATTCAATCGCGTCCGCGGTATCGCTCTATTCTCTGGATGCGGCATTCTTCATCGACGCTATTCGTGACATTTACGAGGTATCCCATCATCATGTCGTCATTCTACAGCTACAAGATGAGCGCGTTGCAGGCCTTTGTCATCTACTGCTTCTTCTCGCTGCTGGTCGAGTACCTCGGCGGCGAGAGATCGCTCATCATCCTCTTGCATGGGCGAGAGCCAACACCTCATCCCTGGCCAGTCTCGGTCTTCCTCGAACCCATGGACATATCGGATCCATATACATTTCTTGCGCTCAAGCGGGGCATCTTGCGTACGTCATGCGACCAGACCAGCGAGCCTCGGCTAATCCGGCCAGATAGAATATGTCCAGATCAAGCCAGTCCTCGCTATACTGACTATGCTGCTCAAAGCAGTCGGCAGCTACGGAGATGGACAACTGAAGGCTACCAATGGATATACATACATTTCGGTCGTCTACAACATATCGCACGTCTTCTCTCACAGCTAAGGTTTGGGCTAACATTCGGCCTCATAGAATCACGCTATGTCTGTACTGCCTGGCGATGTTTTGGGTCTGCCTGAGTCACGACATACAACCTTTCAGGCCGCTCCCTAAATTTCTCTGTGTCAAGGGAATCGTCTTTGCTACTTTCTGGCAAGGTTTCATGCTCTCCATCCTCGTCAGCTCAGGCGTCATCTCCTCGCCATCCTACACCAAGGAGACGCTTTCTATTGCACTTCAAGACAGTTTGATCGCATTCGAGATGCCTTTCTTTGCCATCTTGCATCTCTACGCATTCTCGCATAAAGACTATATAGACAAGCACAATCAGTATGCCGGTCGCTTGCCGGTCATCTATGCGCTACGCGACTCCTTGCTCGGCTACAAGGACGTCATGCAAGACTCGCTCACGACCGTCAGAGGCACTGGCTTCAGCTACCGTACCTTTGAGCCGGCAGAAGGTGGCTTGCATCAGGGTCAAGGAAGAGATCGCCGTGTCCTCGCAGGCCTCAGGTATGCGAAAGGTGGTAAGCAAAAGTACTGGCTTCCCATGCCGGGTCAAGACGTTGGCGAAGCATACGGTCGACGGCCTGCGCAGATTGCACCGGGCGTGGACGACGGCGAGAGCAAAGCGCTCATGACCTGGCACAATGCCAAACACCCCATCGCAGCTGCTCGTCGGATCATTAGCGAAGCCAGACGGCTGCAAGAGGGCTATGCGCCAATATCGCCGGAGCAAGCAAGCAACGTTGTCCATCGCGACTCGTCCGCGTCGAGCCGTGAACGGCCAGAGACTGCTCACTGGGAGCAGACGGGCATAGATGGAAATGTCGCGCTGGACGAAAGTGATTCGGACGCGAGTGAGCTTGGCTTCGACAAGCTGGGCGAGGAGGAAGAGACTCTGTACCGGGAAGCAAAGAAGCTGGAATTTGGGGACTACAATTTCCCTGTGCTTGACGCGAGTCGAGAGCGAGCAAGGCGAGAAATGCGCCAGCAAGAAGACGCGCTCATCTATGGTCGTCGGCATCGCCACAAGGCTCGCAGGAACAGTTCCACGCCCCAGAGACCTCCCATCATTTCCCGCAATTCGAAGACGACCTTGCTTGGTAACGAGATCGTTCCAGAAGAGGCCTCTTCGAGCGTGTCTGGTTCATCGTTGCATTCTCAAGGAAGCAGCACGGTAGCAAAGGGCAAGGCGAAGCAGAAGGAGCCTTTGCCCGAAGGCTGCATCGACCTCCTCGTGGAGGATGCAGAGGAAGAAGAGGAAGAGGAGTCGAGGATCAGACGGAAAGGCGAGCCCAACTTCCGAGCCGGCCATCGCAAGAAAGTCTTCAGACGGCAATACCGAGCGCCCTCGCCGCCAGCACGGACAGAGGAAGAGACTGGCTTTGTGCGATCGCCAGGCGACACAGCTCTGACGCTGCCTGCAGACCGAGCCAGTCTACCGCCGCAAGGTGAGGCAAGTCCCAAGACGGCTTCTGGACCGGGTAACGAAGCCGAGAGCAAGTACGGCGTCCAAGGCGTAGGCAATGCAGTTCAAGTCGCGCCACCTGGACACGCACGCGACGGCGGAGGAGGCTGATGATGTGAGTGTAGCCAGCATGCATGCTTGTTGTACTGCTAATTACATGACGATGCATACAAGACTGCCTGCCAAGCACAGAGCTCTCTCTCTCTCTCTCTCTCTCTCTCTCTCTCTATGACACGGATACGCGCTCTCACGCGGACAAAGCCTCTAGAGGTCGTCAATATCCTCCTCCTCAAAGTCGACATCTGCATCATCTCCCTCCTCGCCGAATGCATCGGTCTCGTTGATCTTGGCGGTGTCGGGCAGCTCTCCGTAGGCTTTGAGATTGCGAGCCTCATCGGGAGAATATTTTTGGATGACATCAGCCTTGTCATCCTGAAAGTCTCTCAGGGAGATCAAGATGATGTCGCCCTGATTGATCCAGACCTGCCCAGTCCGATGTGAGCTGTCATTTTACCCGTCCGAGGCATGACTGGGCATACCTTTTTACGCATCTTGCCACGAATGTGAGCCAATCGCTTCTCGCCATCGAAGCATTGAGCTTCCAGTCGACCGTTGCCGAGCATCTTTGTCACTTGTGCATACTCTGCTCCATCTCAATGAGGCCATTCAAAGCGACAGGGCATCGAGCAGTGCTGACCCTGACCGTCCTCCTTGAAGACAAGCTCGCGCTTCTCGCTCTCGTTCTCGTTCTTGCCTCGCCGTCTGTTCTTGCCGCCTTTGCCCTTGTTCTGTTGGATGTGTGTGATCGGACATCAGCGAGTCGCTCTGTAGCTCCCAGTCTGGCCTTACCTTTGGCATCCTGTCGTCAGCCTCAGTCAAACGTCAAACTTTGGTGCACGGTGGCGCGCGCGTCGCCTGCTCACTCGAGCTCGACGTCTCCAGCTCAGTGAAGGCAAGCCATGTCTGAGGAATTCATCACAATCGTGTCTGGCGATGGTCAGCTGCCTGTCCTGACCCATCTCCTGTCCGCTCATTCAGGCGGCTGTTCTGCGCCTTCAGGTTTCCAATTCATCATCGACAAAGAGGCCGCCATGGGTTCAGGCACCATCAAGACGATGCTATCTGACCGTGTGTCTGTTCACATCAGCGTTGCGCGTGTGCTCACGTCTTGCGACAGCGGACTGGCTCGAAGCAGGCCAAAAGGTCATCAATCTGTCCGAACAAAGGTCAGCAAGCTCGGCCCATTCCATCGCGTCCTCAAAGGCTCATGCTGCACGGTTTTCAGCGGAGAGATTGTCGAGAAGTTTTGCGAATACTTGCTATACAAGCGCGAGGTACGCCACGTCATGATCCCAGTCAACGCATGCTGACCCTACCGCTGCATCAGTACGCAAACACAAAGGCAGGCAAGCCCATCCCCGAGTTCGCCGAACGGATACGGCCAGAGATTGCGCTCGAGCTCCTCATGGCGGCAGACTATCTAGAGAGCTGAGTCAAGCTCCTACGCACGATCAACACTGTTGTTGTACCATCCAAGCCCTTGCATCACAAACAACAAGAGTCTAATCACTGCGATCAATCGATGGGCGGTAACGTGCTTGGTCTCGGCCGCCAAGCATCCGAGCGAGTCGCAGCGGATAGTCCCAGCTTTGGCTCTGGCCAGGTACGCTGAACGCCCAAGAGTGAGGTGAGATGGTTGTGCGAGGGCGGCGGCCGTGTCTGCGTCGGACGAATGGGCGTCTCGCCATAGGAGGAATTGCTCGCGCCTGTCAACATCGGTCTCTGCAGGTTCGTCGCACTACCGAGCGGTCTGGCTTCCACCCTGACCTTCTTCGCCGTGCCGGGTGCCATGTTCGGAGCCGAACGCTTTGGCTGCGCAGAGGGTCGGACCTGGTGAGCGATGCTGCTGTTACTGCTGCCTGTGGCTTGCGCCCGCAGAGGCTGCTGTGAGGTCGTCTGCCCGCGCATTTGCTTTGGCCGCTTCGACGCTGAATCGCGCTCCATCTTTTCACTGAGCATCTCGAAGAGCGGCGCATCATCCACTGCGCGAGCATCAGATCTCATGACGGCACAGCCAGCAACGCGCATACCTCGAAAGATCGCACCATGCTCGGCTTCCCAGTCAGGCAGGACGCTCAGGAGGTCTTGCTCGAGCTTGGTTCAATGTGTCAGTTTCGACGCCTGCGCCTGGACCGAGGCAGCTTGCTCACCTTTGGCTTCTGCTTCGCGACGCGTTTGCGAAGCTTCTCCTCTTCCATCAGGCGCTTGTGACTGCCGCGCTGGGTCAAGCGTGAGGGGTCGCGCGATGCCTCGATGAGATCTGCTTCGTCTTGCAAGACGCCGTGATACTTGCGCAACAAGTCCAGGATGGGTTCTCTCTGGGTTGCCTCTCCCTGAAGTCGTGCTTTCTGCTGCTCGAGTGCGTCGAGAATCTCTTCGTTGGAGGCCTCCTCGGTCAAGACAGGCTCGAAGGTCTGACGGTCCTCCGGTCCCAGCTGGAGGTTTTCGCAAAGCCAGTCAATCTCGCTGCGCTCCTTGTCGATGAAGACTGCCATCGCTTCTGCCTTGTATGCTTCCAATCGTATCAGTTCGTCCTCGTACTGTAGCAAATGATGTCAGATATATTCGTTCAAGGGTCATGACGACGTGCAGCTCTGACAGATTGCAGGCTGACGCCCTGCCACGCGTTGACAAACTGATCGCAGAGCTCGTTCTCGAGATCGAGCTTGACCCAGAGGGGATAGATTTTGTCAAAGGTGATCTGTATCAGATCCTGCCGTCGTATCTTCTCCTTCTCGAGCTAGACGAAGATGATGAGCTCAAGTTTCATTCGACCTGTTGAGTGCGAACCTTGTCTCGAAGGGCTATCACGATATCAAGATTGCTTTGACATGGCAGGTATCGTAGCGCGGCGGTGTGTTCAGAGGCGATTCCTGCGGGCAAGGGCGCCAGGCGATCAAGCAAATCTGCGTCAAGCTGGATGGCTGGCGTGTCCGGGTCTTGTAGCTCTTGCCAGAGAGCGATGGTTGCGGCAAGTTCGCTCTGCAGCCCTTGTACGCGGCGGCTCTGTGAAGCACTCTCAGCGCCGCAAGAGAGCATTGAACGAATGCCTCACCAAGTCACCCTGACATCGCACAAGCTCTGCGTCAAGTCTCTCGATATGTGCCAAGCTGAGATCTGCGTGCGCTCCCTCGCCATCGAGCGCCACACTGATGCTCTCAGGGCCAAGCAAGGCCGCGATGGGCCTCAATATGGCGCGTTTGACGTCAACCAGCGCTGTACGTTCGCTTTGGAGTGCGTGTGCTGCGTCGAGATCTTCCTCAAGTCGTAGCTTGGCTTGCAAGATAGTCTGTCAGCAGTATCAGCCCTGTCGTGCTAAAGAGTCCGAGCATGACCCACTTCATCACTCTTGCTGACAGATGATGGTGGTAAGCTCAGAGGCCGTTGCAGCTCGAGCAGCCGTTTGTGAGTAGCCTCATTGTACTCCTTAGCCCTGGCAACCTCAGACTCTGCTTCTTCCAGCTGTCGGTCGACTGTGTTGACGAGTGCAGCTTGCAGCTCGAGGATCCTGTCCTCGACAGTGGCAGCCGGCCGTCCGAGCTGTGCGGCTAGCTCGATCAGGCGAGTGCGATGCGTCGAAAGCCGCACGCTGAGCGCCGACAGTGCGTCCATCTAGCACGATGGTCTGTGAAGCGGTGACGCGGTGACGACGCCGTCAGCCGTGCAATGCAACGAACAAAAGTCGCGTGCGCGACTAACAACACGTGCTAATCTGAAGTGCGCAACCAGTCTCGCTGTACAGCAGTGCTGCAGCTCGTGTGGACGTGTTGGACGTGTGAGGATGCATTGGAATTGCTCAAAAGTATAGCAAGCAGAGCAGCTATGTGAGGGTCGTCATTGGATCGTAAAGAGGTGAGATTGGGTATTGGCCGCGCGCTAGAGGTGGTGTGTGAATGTGTGTCCGAACGTCAATTTGCAGGGAATTGAACAAGCAATGTGTCAGAGTCGTTATATCTATTGCAACTGAAGCTGGCCGAACAAATTGTGCATTGTGGCAGGCGTGGGTGTCGTCGAGCCATCAGGGCGCGTTACGCGGTGTCCTTCTAGACTGCCAGCTCGAGATGTGTGCTGACGGATGGCATGCGCGTAGTCAGGATCAAATGAAGACCTCCCGTGAGAGCGGGGATCGCCCTGAACATGCACGTGAGACGAGCTTTATGACGGCATGCATGATCTCTTACCCATGGACTCGCGCTTGAATCCGTTACATTTTGTGGTGTCGACAAGGCAAGCAAAGTCTCGGCTAGTGGCGCATTTGCCGCGCTACTATCTCTGCGAGCGGTAGTGCTGCTTCCGGGACGCACAGAGGCAGGGTAAAGTGGTATCTGTGATGCCGTCAGCGCTGATCAGATTGTCGATAGACTTTCGCTTACATTGCGATTGAGTAGGTAATTCTCGAGACGGTTCCTAGCTGCTGGTAGGTGGTCGCAATGGCTCTGGTTGAGACACATTTGAATCACAGTCTCCTCGATGCCTCGGGTGCGATCGATCCACGGCAGAAGACTAATCGCAAAGTCTTGCTTGAGCGACTCGCCGAAAGCAAAGAAGTCGGGCGAGACTGCTAGCTGTGCCATGTCTGAGCTGTGAGGCAGGCGATACTCGGCTTCAGATGGAATGTGTTGCTTCAGTGCCGCGATAGCCGAGGGGATCTCGCTTGCAGGTCCATAGATTTCGACGTTGTCGCTGCCTGTTTCTCTGGCAGGGTAGCGAAGAAGACAATTGGTTTTCTTCTCGATGTCATGAACAAAGATGCTCTTCTCACCGGTTAGACTTCGCTGATAGCGCCGGGGAACGTCAACAGAGACGGTGACGAAGTCTTTGTCGCGTGCGTTGACAAGCTCGAGCACGCTCGCCTTGAGCTCTGCAAGACTAGCAGCATTCTTTGCTGGAGTGCGAGCGACGACATTGTCCGCATTGTGTCGATAGCCGCCCATCACAGCATGCTCTTCGGAATTGGCAAATTTTACATACACGCCGAGTCGCTTCATAATGCGCTGGATGTTCTTGCCGCCGACGCCAATGATGCGCTTATGGTATGTTTCCGGGACGTGGAAAGATAGCTCAGAGGGGAGCTCTTCCTGCAAAAGCGCAAGACCCTCTAAGATATTGGACTGATTGCCGGATAGGTCGATCAAGAAGTTGTAATCGTTGAAGCTTTCGAATCGTATCTTGACCAATGCTTGCTTCATGATCTTAGTCAGCTTGCCGTTCTTCTTGCCTGACAGGAAGTCTCGATGCTCATTGGCGAGCTCGATTTGGAAGCGGACTTCTGCATGAAATGACTTGACGACTTCATGGCGGATGAGCTCAGTGACCGCGAGCTTGACTTCTGACTCTAGACCGTGTATCTCGAAGCTGTTGCCTTTGAATATGACTTCGGCACCAGATTCGATGGCAAGGTGCCTGAGTATTTGCGGAATGTCGCTAGCGCTGAGACTGCCTGATGTCCCTCGGGCGTCGAATTGTAGGGGAAGCAGCCATACGCTCGCGACATAGTACTCACTTGCCAGCAACATCAGCGACCTGATCGTGCGCTCGATGTTGGCTCGGACGTCACCGAAAATAGACACATGACTGATCTGAGATCCGATAGGCGGAAAAGCGACGAAGGTAGCGTTATCCGTCATGATCGATTTTAGCTCGCCGCTTCTCTGCGTCAGAAGCCAGTCAAGCTTTCTAGGCAGAACCGCGGTGTCACGCGAAATGATGCACTTGCTCTGGTTGAGCGAGATTTGAAAGAGAACTTCGCGGGCTCGTTGGACGCCAAAAAAGTCGCCAGTGATGAAGACAAGGTTCTGGCGAGATTGCAGGCTCGGGTTCTTCGCATCAATGAGGCCAGACAGGGACGTTGGAAAGTAGATATTGGTCATGGTCTCTTCCTGTATGCTCTGCAATACGGCACGCTGACGACCGGCAATGATGTTGTGAAGCTTGTAGTCGATCTCACATACTTCCGAATGCAAGCCTGTGAGCTCGTCAAGGAGGACGAGCAGCCGAACGCGAGCTTGCTCGACGCTCTCATAAGGTCCCGTGATGACTATGGCCACTGTGCGTTTGAGCTCGAGACCATAATCAATTATCTGCGAAGCCTGGCCGACGATCGCAAGGTGAGCCTTTGTAAGCGATGCGATCTCATCCAATTTGCGGCGCATCTCGGTTTTGACTTGCTCGTCGGCGTCGAGCACGTCCGATCGGGGGACATAAACGACCGATTTGTTCTGCGTCCGGCTATCAGAACAGAACGAGATGATGTGAGCGGCTTACGGGCAAAGGCGACTTGAGCAGCAGCGCCATGCGTGACGCCATCACGCCTGGAAAACTGCCGCTGAGGTAGAGATTGAAGCGTTCGGGCGCAGCATCTGAGGCTGTAACGAGTTGACTGTTGACAAGACAGTTGCTCTGAGACATAAGCTCGGCAGTGAGCTGCGTCATTGCTCTTTGCGACTCAAGACTGATAAGATGGTCGGTCTGATCGCCCAAAAGAAGCGCCGAACTCGCAGAGTCGCCCTGATCCGCTCCTGACGAGTTGACCGATGAGGCAGAAGTCGATAGAACAGACACGACAGAGTTGTTCGAAGTATGCAAACTGCGCGCAGTGCCGAAAGATGATACGCTGACCCTGTCCCGGGCAGGACGAGCAGAAGCGCTCAGAGCAATATTCACGGGCTGGGTGTTTGACAGCTGACCGGAACCGACAGCAGATATCTGTTCCTCGCTTGCACGCTGCGGCACAAAGCCTATTGGGCCACTTATAGACTGATTGCGCGATGGCTCTCGCGACCGCAGCACATCCTCGAGTGGCAGCAGGTCGGGCGATCGGGTAGTTAGACCGCTGGCAGTCAGGCTGCGTATGTGTCGCGAGGCAGGGCTAGCAGACCCCGGAGCAGGATCGCGAGCGCTGCTCGCACCAATCGCGCCAGCGGCAGATCGCGATTCGGCGGCTGGCAAAGGAGGCAAGAAGGTCGAGACGGGCGATTGCCTTGCCGACTGATCGCGCGAACCTGTTCCTGATCCCGGAAAGCTTATATCGGTCAAGTTACTGCTGCTCCGATGCCTAGGCGGGGTAACTGCTGCGCCCAGACTGGCCGAATGACCGTGATGGTAGCGAGTCGCTCGTTGTCGATCAGGGTCAGCTTGGGTATAAGACACGCTGACCGATTGAGCCTGTCCATGACCGAAGCTTACTTCTCGACGTGATGGGCCGGCTAGTACGTCCGAAGCGGCTACTTTCGCCGAAGATTCGAGGAGCGTCTCTGGCGTGCTAACGTTGGAGAGCAAGGATGTTCTGCGCGGCCTGATGGCTTCGTCGCTGTGCCGAGGCTGAGGGAGCGCCTGCACTGGATCAGACGAAGTTGTGGCAGCAGCAGAGGCATATGATCCCGGATTTGACGCCAAGGCTGGACGAGTAGCCGACAGGCTGCTTTTAGGCAGAGCATGAGCAGGCCGAGACTCCTGCTGGCCAATTGATTCGCTAGACGAGCCACGCGACGAAGACACGCGTGGCATGCAGAACGATAAAGTGTATAGCTCCCTGAGAATGAATGAATGTCAATATGCGAGAGTTCCAATGACCGTCAGACTTACATTGTCAGAGAGTCAGTTCGGTGCGATTGAGTCAGCGGACCTGAGGGTGCTCGTACTCTCTGTGAGAACTCGAACCGTCTGAAGGTGCAAGACAGTCCCTCGGATGGGTTGATCAGGTCGGGTAAAGCACCTTGAGATGACGATCCTGTCTCGAGCTGGTTGATCAATCTTACGGACAGGCTGCAATGGAGGGCCTGTGCGTGCGAGGCTTTCACACGAGCGATTCGATGCGCAGGTCGACGTCCGGGAGTATGTGGGTATCGAATGGATGAACGGGTATGTCCTCGACCGACTTGGCAGCTGCGAGTGTACGGCTAGATGACTCCAGATCGCACGGCGATTGCCTGCTGTCGTCTCGAGTCTCGATGCCGGTCTTTGTGTTCGTGGTCGTCAGAGTGACATGACTCTTTGACGAAGACCGGCGGGTATGCACAGAGAGACCGTTGTTGGTATATGGCAGTGGCGACCAGGGCAGGGCTTCCCCGGCTGCTACTGCTCCAGCAAGCTGACGGCGCACTCCCAGCTGGCCCGGACGATCAGACCGTCAGCGTCGAGAGGAAGACGTTGCCGTTACCGGGCATTCATGTGACGATGTCCGCTCGTCTATGCTGCGTCGTCGATCAAGCTCGAAGCCTGATCTGATCGTTAAAATCAAAAGCCTCGGTTCAATGAGATCGACACGCGTCTGCTCAGCCAGGCGCGTCATCGGATTGAATGCACTACAGGCGTTACACATTAAGCTCGGCCGAGCCTGCCTGACTGAGTGCTCCAGATTCTCTGTACGGCTTCAGGGCAGGCTCGACGTGGTCCGCTAGGAAGGAGTCGACTTGTTGCGGTGCGCGGCCGTAGAAGCTCTTCGGATCTAGCAGTCCCTCGAGGTCGCCATGGATCGCCTTGAAGAAGTCATCGTCCCTGACGCGCTGGATGAGGTCATTCTCCCCTCCTTCTTCCTTGACGACTTTGCCGGCCTGATGCGAGAGGACTCTGATCTTCTCGTGGACGAGCTGCCTGTCGCCGCCCTTCTTGACAATAGCCATGATGATGTTCTCTGTCGCCATGAAGGGTAATTCCTGAGCGATATGTCGCTTGATGATGGCCGGGTAGACGACCATGCCTTCAGAGACATTCTGTAGCGTCGTCAAGATGATGTCTGTCGTCAGGAAAGCTTCCGGAATCGTCACACGTCGGTTTGCTCTGTGGCGACTGTCAGTAGGCACCGACAGCAGAGGCCATGGCGTACGAGTCATCAAGAGTGCGCTCGAACCATTGGACGCTGCTCGTCATGAGCGCATTCTGCTGAAGCACCATCAAGTGGCGAGCAAGTGAGCAGACACGCTCGCATCGCATCGGATTGCGCTTGTAAGCCATCGCGCTCGAGCCAATCTGATCCTTCTCGAAAGGTTCTTCTACTTCTTTGAGGTTGGCCAGCAATCTGATATCTGTCGCAATCTTGTGTGCAGTCGCACCGAAGGAAGCAAGCGGTTGCAAGACATCGATGTCAATCTTGCGAGAGTAGGTCTGGCCAGTTACGGGATAGGCATGATCGAATCCGGAAAGCTTGGTGACCAGGTGGTCGAGCTTCTCCACTTTGGCATGGTCGCCGTCAAATAAGGCGAGGAAGGACGCTTGTGTGCCTGTTGTGCCCTTGACGCCTCTGAACCCGAGATCGCTGTGCGCTCTCTTGATGTTTCGCAGGTCCCACAAGAGCTCCTGCAATTTGGGATGTCAGTCCAGCCCGAGCTGCTGCGACGCAGTAGCGCGCCTGTATCCACAGTGTGGCGCGTTTGCCGACGGTGGTCAGTTGAGCTGGCTGGAAATGAGTCCAACCGAGACATGGCAAATCGCGATGCTTCTTTGCCCAAGTCGCGAAGCGGTCAATGACGACAGCAAGCTTGTCGATAAGAAGCGCTAGACCTTCTTTGAGGAAGATGAGATCAGCATTGCTGCATGATGATGCGTCAGCTCGAGCCTCCGACGATAGCTATTGACGCACTCTGTGACGTAGCATGATGTCGCGCCAAGGTGGATGATGGGAGCAGCAGCAGGAGCGACGAGACCGAAGACGTGCACATGAGCCATGACGTCGTGTCTGCGCTTCTTCTCTTCGTCGTTTGCCTGCTGCATTTGCTTCGGGTCGAGCGTCTGTCGCTCATGTTTCAGCCACAGACATTGACGCGTCTCTGTGCGACTCACGAGGTGCTTGCGCATCTGGTCTATAGCCTCGTCTGGAATAGGCAAGCCGAGTTCCTTTTCAGCGATGGCGAGATTGAGCCATAGTTTACGCCAGGTGCCGAACCGTGTCTGCAGATCACTGGCGTTAGATGGGAGCTGCTTGAGAGCGAACGAGTCATATACGGCAGAGGAAAAGAGGCCAGACATCTCTGCGCTCGCATAGCGGCTCGATAAACTGTATGATGAGCCTATGAGCCCGTCGCCGCGCGAGCATACTCAACCTGGCTCACGGTGTCTGATAGGCGTACATGTCTGCTGGCGGCTTGGGTGTTGCCAGTCTCTTGCTTGAGCCCTGGGCAATCATCTCTGGTCGCTTTGCCGCCCCTTTAGGTGTTGCCTCTGCCATCAGACCGGAAGCCGGGTCGAGCAGAGTAGGCCACTTTTCCCCAGCAGACACCAAAATTCGCGTCGTCTTGCAGTCACGCAGCGGCCATCGTCATGTCAAGCTCTCACTATGCCATCAGCGTCGGCGTGCCCATCTACTCACTCGCATTCACCGGCAAGGAGACCGTCGTCCTAGGAGGCGGCGGAGGCAGCTCAAAGTCGGGCATCAAGAACAAGCTCGTGCGCGCCCGCCTTGCGCTCACAAGCCGAGCTCATGCATCCCGCTGGTTTGACAGATCTACTGCAGGCTCCATCCAGAAGCACGCACGCTCGATCGCGTACACGAATATGAGCTGCCCAAAACGGAAGATGCGCCAATGTCGATGGCTGTCTCGCCCGAGGTCAGTCACCGCGCGCCTTGGCGTGACCGGTCTCATGGCCTCTGAGCGAATGTAGAGACCTGTCCTCGTCGCTGGTATCAACGAATCTGTCGACAAGATCAACGCAGGCTCCAACAACAATTTGCGCGTCTTTGCTATCAAAGAGGACAGTGGCCTCGAATTCGAGTCTGCTCGCAATGGCATCTCTGTCCTTGCGCCAGAATTTTACCAGGTCAGGCGGAATCTTCGAGTCAGCTCATGTCCTGACGCTGACGAACGCTGCTGAACAGAAAGCAACGAGCTTTGCGCCAGATGGTAGCATGCTCGCTATCGGCAACACCAATGATCAGTTCTCAATCTATCGCTATCCGAGTCTTAGCAAGGTCTTTCGCTGCTACCACTTCGACGGTCAAGAAGTCATCGACGCTGACTTCAGCGAAGATGGCAAGCTGGTTCGTCGCAGTTTGTATCGCGCAGGCGGGAGCTTATGTACAGATCCCTTTGCAGGCAGCCGGCACCTCAGACAAAAAGGTCTGCTTCTTCTCGACCGAGACATCGAAGATACCGGCAGAGAAGCCAGATGAGTCTGGCGACGAAGACGAGGCGCCTAAGCCCCATGTTGCGCAAACCATAGAAAGACCGGTCTTGCAAAAGGATGTCGCTTGTTCGTTTCGGTCTGGAAGGCAGGTCGTCTCCGTTTGCCAATCCCCCGAATACTGACGTACGATATCGCTCTGCAGATTTGGGAGGAAAGCTACCTCAGGCCTGTTCTATACGATTGTCAATTCGTCTGCGCCTTCGACCGGCAGAAAGCGCAAGCGGGGCGATCGAAAGGCTTTCGTGTCCATATGGGATCTCAAGACTTGGCAACTTATCAAGACACGCACGATCAGTCAAACACCTGTCACATCGTTCGATATAAGGTTAGCTTTTGTTCTCCAATCTTAGAAAATCAGCGCTGAAAAGAGCCGTAGTCCGGACGGGTCGATGCTCGCTTTTGGTACGGCCGAGCTGGCCGTTGGTGTGTTAGACGCCAAGACACTACGTGTCTGTCTCCATCAGAGTCATGCTGCTTCGCTGACGTACGACGCAGCCAAGATTGACGATCCTCAGGGCGCATGACTTTGCGATCACTGCGCTCAGGTTCAACACGACGTCTGACATCGTCGTATCTGGGAGCGTGGACAGCAGCATACGAGTGATCCCGATCGATGCGACAGCACAAGCCTGTCAGTTCTCGTGTCTTTGTCGCAGACCAAGCAGCTGATGTGCATACTTGGCAGCGCGGTTTACGACGATGCAGACGCTCTTGCTCACCTTGCTGTTCCTGCTTGTGGCCATCTTAGTGCAGTATCTCGCAGACGGAGATCTGCTCGCTACAGCTCGACAGCATCTCCATTTCTAGTCGACATGGCGATCCTTGGATTTGTACAAAACATTATTACGTCGTAGAGTGCATCATACAGGAAGAAGGCTGCTCGCGCCTCGCAGTGCTATCCTTCCACCGAAGAGGATCGTCTGAGTTCCGCCTGGGAAGTAGCTGAACAGGAATATCACGAGAGCGCCCACTTGGATGATGGCACATATCAGCGTTCCCAGGAATGCGTGCCTCTGCGTCATCATGAGGCTTGCCGTAAACACAATCGAAGAAACGTACAGCGACTGCAAAGTAGAGCGTGAGGACGAGACTGCCCAGATATGCTATTGTGAAGGGCAGCCTCTCTGTCTGCAGCAAAAACTTGAGGTAGTTCATTGGTCCTTGGAGGATCATGAACCTATCTCGCCCGTGCTTGAGCAGCGCTCTGCTCTCACAAGAAGACTTGACTCACCCGAGCATGAATAGTAAGGAGCCCGCGCTGAAGCTGACGGCGAATTTCCTCGGTTTGATGGCGAGAAAGGCGACGAGGAAGAAGGAGAGTGTGAAGCAGACGGATGCGCCTGCCATGCATGCCATGAAGCCGATCAAACGTTCCCATCTGGAGAGCGCAAGGAAGCTGTCGAGGGCCTACGTCAGCATGGCTGTCGCGTCACTGGCTCCGATGACTTGCGCTTCTTCTTCATTCGTGCGCTCTGATGACCGCAAAGGAACATAGCTTGACAGTGACCTATCCGACCTCCAGATGAGCTCGCAGGAGGGGCGCAGAGACAGGAGAGACGGACGAAGTGAAGGTGCTGAATGGATTCCATGTCGTTGAGTCTCCCGGACCGTTTGCTGGCGTGCTGAGTGAGCCGCCGCCGGCCGCCGGGGTAGCATTGGCCCACTTGAAGCCAGAGAGGCTGCTTCTGAACGAGGACTCTGCCCCTGCTGACATGTCGTGTTCGCTGCTGTGTCGACCGTCGCGTCACAGGTGCACAGCGACTTGCGAACTTGCGAGTTTGCTCCTTCTTATTCCCACGGCCGCTGCTTCCCCGTCCACAACAGACCCTTGGGAGACGGAACGGCACGAATCTCTGTCCGCTTCCAGATCGTCACCCTCTCGCAGCAGATCTCGTGGATGCACTCCTCGAATGCCTCTCGAGTATCGATTGGGGCAAAGCTCAGGTCATTTTGATCCCATTGAGGCACACCTGCAGACTTTCCAGAAGACTGCCTACGATCGACATGCTCTCAACCATCTGCGCTCTTCTGAGGCTCTTTACGAGCTTCGCTTCAGCCAGGACAAGCCACGGGCCCATGTCAGACACTACTACCTCAGCAAGGACAGCCGTACCCACGGCGAACACAATTCGCCCTGCATCTTTGCACGGTATCTCCCGGCTACTCCGTCAGAGAGGAAGATTGTCATTGTGCCTCGTCCGAAGTGGCTAGTTGCTTCATTCCAGGTCCACCCATAATTGTCACGTCGACACTATCAGGAGCATTCGCATCCGAGGTATCAAGCACCGACCGAACAAGGTCAAGCCGTCGGAATGGCCACAGCACATGAAATACTACGACTGGCAGAATAACATGCACATCAAGGCTTTGCGCGCTACAGGAGCTACAAGAACAAGACTGGATTCACACTGATTCAAGCCATGCGTTTGACAGCCGATCTCTTCGTCGACGAGACTTGGCAGTGTCCAGTGGGTGTCGAGAGCACAGAAGGAGCCCTTGGCTTCACAGTCTGTGTTCCGTGCCTCTGCATGAGTCATGCTGACACGACTCCCCTCGCTCTAGCTCGATGACGTGGCGCATATCGCGGCCATTCGCGAGCAAATCGACGGTTTCAAATGCCAAGGTGCCACGCTGCAGATCCACACAGGCTGCGTCAATACGCCTGACATCTTCTCGGATCCTCATGAGACCTGCTCGTGCTGTCACGGACATGATCTGACTGGCAGCGAAGGAGGATACCTGGAGGAGGAAGTTGAGCTGGACGCAGGGGGATTCGTGACGGATATTCACAACAACGCAGTAGTTGCCAGGCTTCTCGAAGAGGTATCCGATACGCCAATTGCCGATATCACCTCGGCCACCATCAGAAGCCTTGTCGCGCCATTGGACTAGACATGGAAGCTCTTTGGCGCAACGCCGCATTTCATCGCGGACTCTGCCTTCAGCGCGTCTTCAGGGCAAGCCATACCGAACCAGCTAGAAATAGACTTTCATAGGACTTGCGGGCTGCAGCCTGCCAGAGCATCATCATGAGCCAGTGATTTCAAGTGAATGATTAATGATGAGCTTCGCGGCACACGACGCGTCGCGCTTATCGCGTCAATTTATAGTGTCTAGTGACGTCGCGCCCTTGTGATCTAGTGACAAGTTCCGTTCGCGCACGACTTGCTACGATGGCGATGCGTGACAGGACTCAGAAGCAGCGCAATGTATACCAGCAGGCTTGCGCAGTCTTGTCGCTCGCTTCGCACCAGGCAGACCACCTGCCTCTTCTTGCGCGCGATCAGCACCTCTTCCAACTCGAGACTTTCTTGATTCAGGCTTGCGCGGCCACGGAAAGCCAACAGAATGTCAGCAAGGGCGCTTATATCTCGGGACAGCCCGGCACAGGCAAGACTGCGCTTGTGAGCCGTATCTTGCGACCTGCTCTGAAGAGGGGCAAAGAACCCATCGCATCCTCGTCGATCGCTGCCGCTCCCAGCGCGAGCTCAAGCGGCACACCACAAGCTAATCAGCTCGAGACCTTGCTCTCGGACTCGGTTTATGTCACGCTGAATTGTGCCGCGCTAGACACGTCCCTGTCGAGCTCGATCTGGGAGCAGCTCTTGCATCACACCTTGGCAGCGAGGAATGGCACTCTCGAGGAGCCGGTGGACGAGTCGCAAGTCAGGACACCCTCGAGGAAGCGTGTCCGCGGGCACAGCTCGACCCCGATGCGCAAAGTCTCGACGCCTTCGCGCAAAGTGTCAGACAGTCGCGCAGATTTTGAGCAGCTCTGTTATTCTACAGACCGCGCCAGGTACGCTCACGGCTGCATTCGTCTCGTGATACAGCCTGATGATAGGCTTGGAGTAGGATCATACTCGTACTCGACGAGATCGACCAGCTCCAATCAGCGCGGAACACTCGGTCGACAGCAAGTCCCTTTGCCTCGCCACGCGCTAGCCCGATGCCATCGCGCGCTCAGACTCCATCAGGACGGTCAAGCACGCCGACGAAGCGTTCAGTTGAGCCAGAAGCAAGACCTGATCTGCCCATCATCACGGAGCTCTACCAGCTGGCTCTTGACCCCAGCTCGCGATTGGTACTCATCGGCATCGCCAACGATCTCACACTCACTGCATCGACTGCCAGCAATGCATTCCTGTCTCCCACAAAGAGGGCCAGGCCAAGCCTCGATCTTGACGACCGGATTGTACGCTTCAATTTCGAGCCGTACACTTCGGACGACATGACGACGATAGCGAAGCAGCGGCTTTCACTCTTGCGATCAGAGAACGAGCCAGTCAGCTTGTTGCCACTGTTCATGCCACCTGCGCTCAGTTTGGCAGCAAAAAAGTGTGCAAAGATCAAAGGTGACCTCCGCCAATTTCTCGGCCTTCTTGCGCAGATTGTACGCACGCTCGAAACAGAACAACTTAAGGCACTAGGTATCTTCGAAGAAGGCGACAGCAATAGCTTGCCTACGCCGTTTACAACGCCGACGAAGCGCCGTCATCGTCTCTTGCAGCTTGATATGAATATCCACGAAGGCGAGCCAGCTAGCCCAAGCAAGTCAGACGCGTCCTGTGCGACAGACCCGCTCGAGCATTTGACAGCCGCTTCTGCTCCCAAAGCTAACCCAGGTCACGTCACTGCCGCATTCGCTATATCTCAATGCGACTTTGTTGTCAGTCGGCCCGGCGGCAGTGCGGAGATATCCACGAGCAAGACTCGCGCCATGGCAGATCTGAATTTACCTCAGACTCTCGCATTGGTGTGTCTTGCGCTTCTGGTCGAGACGACAGAGGAAGTGCGGTCGCCGACAAAGAAATTGCCCAAGAAAGCCAACTCGACGGCTTCAAAGGGCTGGCAGACGGTCACCTACGATGCCGCGATCGCCTTCTTCGCAAAGAGGCTCTCAGATAGTCAACGCTTTCTTGCTGTCGGATCGAGCGAGACGGCAGACTATCCGGAGCATCTGACTGCACTCGAGAGCACTGGCCTGGTCTCTCGCGTGGGCCCAAGCAACGATCTTGTCAAGCTCGAGGATCCTGCCAATCTTATCATCGAATCCTTCATGCAGGCTCTCGATGGCTTGGTAGCTTCTCAGGCGCAGAAGAGGGAGCATGCGCAAGTCATCATCCGACGAGAACGCGAGCTCGAGGCCAGACGATTGCAGTCGCTTGAGAACAACACGATGGTCAGGGAGGACAGTATCGCGCCCATGCAAGGCTTCAGTGGACACGGTCTCGATGACCATGATGAAGATCACTGGCTGGGGAAACGTCAGCGGCGGTAGTTTGCTAGTCAGCTGTAAATTGCAATTCCGAATTGAATTGTTCTTCGAATTCACTTTCACGCGCGAAGGCAGTCGGCCCAAACCAGCGGGTCAGGCGAAGATCTGCTCTTTGTAGGTCGATCTGACCTCGTTCGGCTGGCTGTAGCTAGCTGTGACGGCGCGCAAGGTCATCCGCTTTGGTCTACCGCCGACGCAGCTGCCAGATGCTCTAGCTCGTTCCTATCTGCACGTCGTCCTAACCACCAGAGACGACGGCGCATAGAGCAGTGCGTGGAAAGATGCCAGTCCCTTTGACGGAGCCCCGGCGAGGGCAAGCAGATCCAAAGTCGAGAACAGTCAAGATGGTGCGATCAGTCAGCTCGACCAGCTCGCTCGGCGCAGGCAGCGTGAAGTCACCGTCAAAGTCAAAAGTCACGAGGCGAGTGCAGGGCGAGCTCTGAGAACTGCTCAAGCTGACACTGCTAGGCTAGATCGCCAGCGTCCACGGCACACTATTCGTCCAGACTGATCCCATCGAGGCCGCCGCCATTGTCGAATCCTAACGCATCGCTCAGACGCAAGCCGGCCGTTCAAGCTATGAAAGTAGAGGATGAAAGCGATTCTGATGCATCTGCTTCCTCCGTGTCTTCATCTACCACGCCTTCACGGGCTAGACAAATCGATACGAGATACCCTGGCCCGCGCGTGTCCTCGCGAAAATGGGAAATGGACGAAGATGTGCACTCAGTCCTGGCGGGAACCTCGCAAAATGCCAACTGGCTTGCGCAAGACGATCTGCTCGGATCAATTGGTCTCTCGTCCGATGCGCTCGGTCTTGATGAGATTGCCGCCTCACCCACGTTTGCTGAGCTTGGCATGAAGCCATACGACGACCTGTCCGACGATGATGACTACGATGACACGCTCCCTCCGCAGACGGCGATGCGAGGAGTTGCCTCCCCTGCCGGCCCGCAGGGATCGCCTAGACAGTCACCTTTGATTGGCTCTCTCTCGAGCTTCACCAATTTGATCGGCAATCTCAGTCGACGCCCGTCAGAACAAAGCTTACACGAAGACAATGCGCTGAGGCCACAATCAAGCCACGAGTACCTCAGGCCAAGCCGACCAAAGGTTGCGCAACGGCCCTCTCGTGACGACCTCCGGACTCGAGTGCTATCCCGACAGGGATCGCGCGATAAATTATCCAGCAAGCCTGGCTCGCCCGCTCTCTCACGCCGACCGTCGAGCGACATCTCGTCTGTGTACGATGATCGGCGCGCACAGCGCAGCCGTACCGCCAGCGGCAATCTCAATCTCGGGGTCGCGGCCGCCGATTGGATCACCGCAAAGGCATTCGGTCAGGCCGTCAAGGAGCCCGCTGCCCAGAAAGGTCTGCCGACACCTGTGCGCTACGCTCGCAAGGGAGCTGTCCCAGTGACGACTCCACAAGAGACCCTCTACACTCAGCCCGGGAGAGGATCAGTTGCGCCCGATCAGACCGCGCCTTCATCTACCTCGGCAGGCTTTGCGCCTGCCTTTGGCTGGTCATCCACCGCTGAAAACGCCTTCCTTGCCGATAATGGGCTACACAGGGCACGCTCATCCGAAGGTCTCAGGCAGCCGTCTTCACGCAAGAAGCACGTACACGGCACCTCGAGCGCCGCGCAGTCTCGTCGACCGAGCGCATGGTCTGAAGTGACTGCCAGCTCAAGTCTACATGACGAACACGGCCCGCGACACTTTCCCGCGCCGCCCAGTCGGTTCCCTTTGGATATGCTAGACGCCAATGCACGAGGTCCGTCGATGCTGCGTCGGGCCTCATCGAGTGCAAGCCTGTCCGCTGCAGCAGCACACGGGGAACACACGACGCCAGTGCAGCCAGCTCGTGCTACAGAGTCTGCGACTGCACATGAACGACGTCGCTCGGTTGTGGAAACGTTCCATGCCGGACTCGCATCGTTGGCAGAACGAGAGCCATTTGCGAATATAAAGCGACCCGAGTATGCTTACGATCAGGTGCCAGCCTTTGTGTCTCCCTTCTCGAGCGTTCGCACCAGCCCGCCCAATCGTTCGAGGCGCACGAGCTCAAGCGGGTCGTTCATTGTCACCGAAGGCCAGGATGTAGACTCACAGCAGACGGGCAGCACGTCTGACCATAGCAACGCTCGACCCGCTGCCGCTCAGACCTACCAGCGTATGACGGGCGCTCTCGTCCGTGTATCCGGCGGACTAGCTGCGCCACTGCGACCTCTGGTTGCGCTTGCGTTCTTCCTGTCAATCGCTTGCGTCGCAGCTGCAACGCTCACTTCAGTCATGATGGCTTCATACGGTCTGACGATTTTTGATGATGTCGCTCTACGTGCTATGCGAGGACGCAAAGCGGCGGGACAGTATGGGCTCAAGTTGGGCGAGAGCGTCCGATGGGGACGCGAGCTCGTCGTAAGCGCGGCAGAGAACGCCAGAGAGACGTTGGGCGCAGTAGCCGACAAGGGAAGGTCTCAATCACAGCATCATCCTTCACGTCGGCACTCGAGGCGCACGCCCGCCAATGACAAGCATGAGGCGGAACGCATTGCTATTCGAGCAAGGCTCTTACCTCGCAGCATGCAAGAGATGCTCGATCAAGGCGAGCTCACCAATGGTACGGTTTCTGATCTGATATACTGCAAAAGCACTGACAAGCGCTCGTCAGCAGAGATGCTGGCAGATGCAGAGCGTTCCACACGTCGACGCCGCGAGCATTTCGAGCGGACAGACTCGCATTCTACGACCTCGGACGGGTCTGATAGCGGCTCAACGGACACGCCGGAGACTGAAGATACAAAGCCAGGCTCGCCGCGATCTGGTCTACCACCGCGACCGCCGCTGGCGATCCTCTTACCGTCTGTAATGGTGACGCTTCTCTTTACGTTCTGGCAAATCTGGACGAACTACTTTCGCACGCTCCGAAGACCAGCCGCTAGATCCGCATAGACGCACACACACGCACATGATTGTTGTAACCTCGCAAGAAGTACACACTAGCTAGACCCTTGCGCGTTGACTGCTGCACGCGAGCAGGCAGGGAGAAATTAAAAAAGATGCGCGTTTCATCTCGACAGAGTTCTCAGGAGCCCGCGAGACAATGGACAATGGTCATCAGCGAGATGGGCATGTCGGCCGGCGGCAACAATGGGCGGGAGCATGCTTGGCTGCTAGCGAGAACAATGGTGACCTGCTGCCTGTCCCTTTCGCCAGCTTGCAATGCCGTTCAGCGCTTCGTCGAGCGGCGAGACGGACACGGACTCAGCACCAGATCTCGAGGTAGGCCACAAGGCGAGCAGCTACCTCTGCATGGCTGATGCTGATGATCCCGTGATGTCTCCAGACCAGCGATACGTCGTCGGTCATGTCGAGCAGCGCCGATGACTACGCCAGTGACACGGACACGTACAGCACTGACGCGAGCTTGAGCGAGACCACGGGCACGAGCACGAGCAGGAGCACGAGCGATGACGGGTCGGGCAGCAGCAGCCATGCTTCGTCGAGAACGACGAGCGAAGAGAGCTTCGGCTCGAGTGATGATGACTCTTCCGCCAGCTCGGTCGTTGCCCCGAACGTCCTCCTCGAGGACACGAAACATGTTTCGTACGATCGGAGCTCCTTCGAGGACGACGATGGTGTGTCACCGAAGCAAGTGGCCCACGACCGAGTACGAGCGATCAGGAGAAGCTTCATCGTCACAAACTGGAGGTGGCCGAGGCAGAGACTGAGCTCGAGTGATGCTCACATGAGCCCGCTGTCGAGCCAGACCGTCCTACCTCAGACGAGGACGGGCAGGAGAGGCTCGATCTCGCTCTACTACGAGTCCATCAAAGTCAAGTACCTCGTCAAGGATGAGAGCAGCAAGTGGCATTTTGTGCTCCTCATCTCCCCCAAAGCGGCGTCAGCGTCGCCCAAGTTTGCCAAAGAGCTTGCGCAAACTCAAGATGGCTTAGTCAGCGCGATCCCCGAGGAAGGCCTCGCAGCAGACGAGCCGCCTCGTCTCGAGCTGAGTCCAGGTGTCCTCACCTCGCTCTCACTTCTGTCGGATGGTCTGCTGCCCGGCCAAGAAGCGGTGACAAGGCGAAAATCGCGTTGGTCGATCTTGGACGAAATGTCCTTCCGACGGGCGAGCGCGGTCTCAACTGTACCTCTCCCGGCGAGTCATTCCGCGAGCTCGTCGATCTACGCGCCCTCGACGAATTTGGCCCAACTATCAGGCAGCCATCTATCGACGATCACGTCGGATTCTCTCGACAGCGGTCAACTAAGTTCACTGCCTAGCGCAAGCTCTGCCGGCAGCAATCAGAGCTCACTTCCTGTCGAGTTTCTCATCTGGCGAAAGTGGGAAGAACTCCAGTTGATGTCTGCAAAGTGAGCCTTGCACGACTCCCTTCATTGATGACACACTGAAATTGTGCAACAGTTTGATCGCGGCTGCTGCAGGAGAAGGCAAGAAGATCACGCAGGGTCTGCCCGCACTCAAGAAAAAGATGTCTGTTTTCATGAGTCACTCGACGATGGTCCAGCGTCGAGCAGAAGTCAACACCTATCTCGAGGATGTCTTGAGGTCCCCGTTCGCGGATCATCCGATCCTGCACGAGTTTCTCACCATGAGACCAGACGGACATGACACTGTCGCCACAGAAGAGGCCATCTCACGCCTCGTCCGGCGCGCCGCGCTGTGCGCTCAATCAGATGCCAAGCTGCGCGCGCCGCTGGCAGGCACGGGCGGTCAATCTGCTGACGATGCACCCATCGTCAAACGAGTCAGTTCAACTTCGAGCCACGAGCATGCCCGTCAGACGTCCTTCTCGTCCAGTGGAACGAATAGTATCACAGCCAGCGTCATCTCTGGTACCAGCTGGACTTCTCAACCGAATCAGCCGCTATCAATCGGCACTACACCTGCTACGCTCGCAGGCTCTGTGCGCTCTGGCAACAGCAGCGTGGCAAGTTCTCCTCGAGCTATCCTACGCCCGATCGAAACTGCCACAGTGCGCACGCTTCCGCCCCTTCCGAACGACATCGAAGTCGACCAAGACGATTGGTCGAGACACTCGCGAAAGACGACCATCTCGTCCTTTTCATCGGACGAAGGTTCATCAGGCTCGCCCAGCAGCCCTGTACCTTCCCTAGCATCTCATGACAGACACACTCATCAAGCTCTCTTCGAGGCTGCTCTGGCTACAGCAAGCGTCGAGCAGCACACGCCGTGCCCGAGCGGGCCGCCGACCCCAAGGCGAGACCGTGCCGAGTCGGAAAGAAGTAGACAGTCGCCACACGCAATGGCCGCGCCAGAACCAGAGAAGAAGATGGGTCTGAGATCAGTAAGAAGCTTCGGCGACGTCAGGAGAGCGTGGCGCAATAGTCCGCCACCAGCCTTGCCGCCCAACGCGATTGCAGTCTCGCTGCCGCCCTCGAAAAGCTCTTCCCCACGAGGCTTACCGCGGGCACCTTTGCCCTCTCCCAAGGCTCCACCACCCGTCTCCCGTCGGCCTCTACGCACGTCTCTCGGAAGCATCAGTCCAGAGCCTCGCGGAAGCTCTGATCGTCGCTCTTCATTCCAATCGTCCAGGCCATCGTCCGAACTACCGAGCGGACGAGCTAGGTCCTACTCGAGCGTGCCGCTGCGGCGTGAAGCCTTTATCCTGCCACCTCCGGAAGAGGTCAGCAAGCTGCTGGCATCGCCGGACGAGGCTCGCTGCAAAAGTCAATTCCCACCTCCTTCAACGGCATCAGATGTGTCAACGACTTCACCCGTGTCTTCTGCCCGTCTGAGCCAACGCTTCAGCTCTTCCTCGAGCGCTGTCAATACGCCTCGATCGTCCACCCAGAGCAGTCCCAGTATCGCAAGCAGTAGTCGCCCGTTTGCGAGGCAGAGCCTCGACATAGGCAGTCCGGCTGCAGCTTGTTCGACTACCTCATTCATCCCGCCGAGCACGCCCTCGACGTCCTACTTTGACCAGATGGGAAGCAAGTACTATGTCGATCACGCAGGTGCGCTGGTCGCCAACAACACCGTTCCGGTCCATTGCTTTCCTACACCGCCGATCAGTAGCATATTGACGCCAGCGCCGCTCAGCAAGGGCACGAGATCTCGTGCTGGTTCAGCCGCCCGACCGAGCCTCGATACCATCACTGCCTCTCCGCCTGTGACGCAGGTCTCTCATACAATGTCAACGCTAAGCGCAGAAGACTTTGCAGCGGCCATCGCTCACCGACAAATGGTTTCTTCGAGCAGCTTGAGTTGCAATCTGCCCTTATCGATCGATGAGCAAGCAGCTCCGGTCGAGTATCTGACGATGAAGATTTTACAAGATGCTGGCAACATCGTCATGCGTGTGCCGCGAACTTGCAGGCTCAGAGATGTCAAGGCGCGAGCAGAACTCAAGTTTGCCGACGCGGGCATCCAGCTCTCGTCAGCCCAAGTGGGCAAGACGACTTCATCCGGGTGGTCTCTTGCTGTCTCGCATGCTTCTCGCGGGCCGGTCAAAGGATCGGCGGCCATACGGACCGAGGCAGACTGGCAGCGAACCAAGCTTGATCTCGGCTCAAAGGCTACCTTTCGCATCCTGCCATGCTAGTCAATGTACACTGTTGTCCATAGAATAAAGAAAACGAGGATGCGTGGGCCTTGCAAGATCGTCCCTGCCTCGCTCTGGACAGAAGTGAGGCACCCTTCGAATATTGCCGCCAAACTGGCTGGGCTGGGCGTCAATAGAATTCGACGCGGCCGTTGTGAGCACGGCGCAGACAGCGACGACGCCTTGTGAGATGTCGCTCATCCATGCCCTGGTAGCACGGGACGACGTGATCCTAGCAGAGCATAGCACAGATCAGGGTCGTTCCTCCTCGGCAGCCTCACTCGTGCTTTCCAAAATCCCACCGAATGACAGCAAGCTCACTTATGGTCAGCAGGCCTCGTCAGCTGCCCGGCTACGTGCTGACCGGCCGGCTATGTGGACACAGCTGCCGATGATGTTCTGTTCCACTACATCAAGCAGAACCACGTCGTCTGCCTCGTCATGGCTGGCGAGACACTCGGTCGCAAGCTGCCGTTTGCTTTCCTGACCGAGCTGCACAAGCGCTTCACGGCCGCCTACTCCCGCGAGGAGATCGAAAGTGCAGCCTCACATGGCATGCACAACTGGTCGAGCTCGATCGAGAAGCTCATGCAGCAGTACGCCGACGGGGAGGCCAATGACCCTTACAAGCAGGCACAGGCCGATATTGCAGACGTGAAGAAGATAATGGTCCAGAACGTGGAGCAGATCCTCAGTCGGGGCGAGCGCATAGAACTGCTCGTCGACAAGACAGACGCAATGTCCACCCAAGCTCGTGCCTTCAGAAAGCGATCACAGGCTTTGCGACGAAAGATGTGGTGGAAGAACACCAAGCTCATGGCTCTCACGGCTTTTGTCGTGGTGCTGCTCATCTATTTACTCGCTGCATCACAGTGCGGCGGAGCTCTCAATCATTGCTAATGCCAGCACTCTTGTAGACTAGCCATGCATTGTTGTTGTGGCCTTGCCTACTTAGCCTTGACGTTGATCGAGAGTGCTCTCAGGCTTGCCCGAACATCGTGCGCCGTAATGGCAACACTGTTGATCTGTCCTCCCTGCACGGTCGTTTGCTGCTTGGCAAGCGAGGCAGCAGCAAGCTGTCGACCTTCGTCCGGGGCGATCTCTCGGGAGATCTGGCCGACAGTGATGTGCGATGTCTTGAAAGACGTCAGACCGAGCTTGTCGAGCGGCTGCACATGTTCTACCTGAATGACCATGACGCGCTCATCCCAGATCACACGCGGACCAAGCGTTATCGTGAATGCGTTCTGCGTGGGATCTCCAGAGCTAGCGAGCGACTTGCACACATTCCAGAGACGCTGCTTCTCCTCCTGGTCCGGTCTTGCTTTGTCGATCTCGCGACGATGTACAATCGTGACATGCGGTTTGATCGTGATACCTGTACCTGCGACAATCGCAGCCACCATGGCTTGGTCCACGCCAGGCGTTGCTTCCAGAAAAGCTTTGAGATCGACCTCGCAGAGCAGTCCGTAGTAAGCTGTCGCGGCTAGTCCAGTGACATTCATCTCTTTGCGTAGTTCGGGCCGGTACGATCTCGCTGATTTCAACGCATGCTCAACTCGTTCAGGAGATGGCCGTTCCAGCTGCAGCAGGGGCTGGAGTGAACCTATGGCATGGTCGAGCATATCGGACAGGTCATTCCGCAAGTCAATGTTGATGACTTCGCCAGGTCCATCAGCAGGGTTGAGCACAGGATCGAACGGCTCGTAGGAAGCCATCATGCGCCAGAGAATATGCTCGTGCGCACTATCCTCTTGCGCTCGAAGCGTCTGATGACGATCGCCTCTTTCTACGATGCGGTCAGCACAGAGTCGATAGACTTCGTTACGCGGTAATTGCTCGATATTCCAGAGCACCGTGATGATGTTGACATGGAAGTGTGTCTCTAGCCGTCGCGCAACGGAAACGATCTCCTCTCGATGCTGCTTCAGGTGATTGTTGCGATCAGCGTACACGACATCATTCGTCCTGAGGGCGTCCGCAATCGAAGTCTGATAATACGAGGCCGACTTTTTGCCTGGCGCATTGTCGCTCTGCACATGCGCCCAGCCGTACAGTTCTGAGAGCGCTACGCCGAGAGATGTCTTGCCTGGTACGTCTTCGTCAGCTCGTGCGATTCATGCCAACGTTTGTAAGCGCACCGCTTCCTTGCACAGCGATTGGGGCAATGATGGTCTTGACGAGCGCATCTCCGCTCGCTGTCTTGTGAGCATTCCCTTTTGCTGTGGTAGGCTCTTGTGCTTTTCTTCCGTCCGCAGAAGCTCGCCAGTCGAGAAAACGCTGTCGCACAGCTATAATGCCACGTCCCTCTGCATAGTGCTTGAACCAGTCTGGATGGTCGTCTAGCATATCCAGTGTCCAGTGAACGTAGAGGCGAGTCTCTGGCTCTTTGATCTTCGCAATGTTGATGACACCGCGCGAGTCTTGCTTGATCTGCTCCGGCGATTTGCCCGAATCTAACAACAACACTTCGCGCTTTTTGATAATCTGCCGGGTCTTTTCTCGCCAATCTCGCCACATGAGATAGGGATGGTCGAATTTGACCTTCCACATGAACGTCACGAGCTCGCGATGAGATTCGGGTAGCTCGACCGGCTTCAGAGCCTGACCGCGAATAACGAAACCTTCGACCAGCTCCCCTTCCCAGCGACCGGTCTCGGCTGCCTTGTCTGTAAAGGCTTTGACTTCTGACAGCGACTGTAGAACGATGAAAGGCGTGGGGATGAAGCCCCACTCGGTTGCAAAGTCTCGCACTGCTTCTGGAGGCAGGGTACGCAGATGGGCAAGGTTGTGATTGAGGCCATGGAGATGCAGTCCCGTCTTGTCTGGCGGGTACGGTAAGACATGCTCTTCAAAGTCGTCATCACACAATTCCGCAATTGCCGTCAAATTGCTGGACCACAGTCGGCTGGCGAGTTCTGGACGCGTCTTGCCAACCTTGGCGAGTGTTTTGTCGAGCCAGCGATCGCCTGCGCGCGCATGGCTCTTCTCGACTTTGGCATCGCTGTCATCGATGGCATGCTTTGAGCTGACGATCAGACTGTCTTGGTCGAGCGCAGAGATGAAGATGATACAGCCGTTCGATTTGAGCGTCAGGTAGAATGGTGCTCCGGCATATTCGGGAAGATTATCCCACTGGCATGCGTGCAGTATGAGTGACGGAGCAGTCTGACTTAGGCGAGGCTGACCTTTGTCGAAGGAAGCTCGCCGACGTTGAAGAACTTGTCGTAGCCTCTCAGGACGATGCGATGCTGCGATGTACTCGCACGAGGCCTCCCAGGCTCGTCGGACTCAATCTGTTCAGTGAACAACCCTCTCGCTTTTGTAGGGATATCGAGCTTCTCGCTTCGGTAGGCATGCTCGGCGACTTTCCAGCTACTCAGTCGATGCTCTTTTTGCTTGCCTTTTGAGATGCACCTGACGCGATATGCTGTGGGACGAAGGAGCGCACGCTGCTTGTTATCGAGATCAGCGTACGGCAAGAGCTTCTGCACGAGCTCCTGCACTGCCGACTGCTCATCATCGCTCAAGCAAGGATTGAGCATCACTCCGACGGAAAAGATTTGACGCCAATATTCGCGCTGCCGCTCTTGACGACGATCCAGTAAGTGGCACATGCGGTGCGCTGACAGGTCTAAGCAAGGCGTGTGACAACGTAGACGAGGTGCTTCGGAGCAGCTCTCGAGCCAGTCAAAGCGGTGTACAGACACACGGTGAGGCCTACGTGCTATCAGGCAGATCAGGACAACAAAGACTGACTGACGTGCCTGGCCGTTCCTTGCGTCATCTTTCTCGGCCTGACGACAGACCCGCTAGGCTTCCTTCAGCACCGGTCGGAAGAATCATAGAGGGATCACATAGAACCAAAAGCGAGCATGTCTGTCGATCTCAGCCCGAACGGCCAGCTCGGCTTCCATCGTCAGTCTGATCCCTTGTCTCGTCTGATCCCTCATCCTGCCCCTCCCGTCGTCGGCGTACCGTCAGCTGCTTTATGCTCGGCCAGACGGCCTTGCGCCTGAATTATCAGCCTAGTAGATGGCCCTTCCCACGGCAAAGTGAGGGGAAGGAGCTGACCTTGCATGCCTCGCCTTTGCTTTCATCTGCTTCCACTTTGGTCCGGCTATGCTAACCGACACACACGACGCCCACAGGGCCACTGACCCAGCTCGTCAAGCGCACCCTCACCGTCGCCAACACAAACTCTCAACCGGTGGTGTTCAAGGTCAAGACGACGGCGCCCAAGCAGTACTGTGTCCGTCCCAATAGCGGTCGTATCGAGCCCGGCGAGCGCGTCGAGGTCCAGGGTGGGCAGACCTTCTTCGTCGACAGAGCATGCCTCGTGCTGATGTATCGGTCGGCATAGTCCTGCTTCAGCCCATGAAGGAGGATCCCGCCCCGGGCGCAAAGTGCAAGGACAAGTTCCTCGTCCAAAGCGCCATCGTCACTCCCGATAAGGAGACGCAGGCTCTGGCCGATCTGGTGAGGCCTCCTGTGTCTCGCACGCTTGCCATTTGCTGATTGTGACGGGTCTGCAGTGGTCCCACCTCGAAAAGGAAGAAAAGGCGTCCATTCACGAACAAAAGATCAGATGCGCCTACCTGGCTTCCATCGACGGAGCAGGCGCAGAAGACACCAACGCAGCCGACATGACCCAGAATGACAGCACGCACAACGACTCGCTCATGGCTGCCAACACCACGCTTCCTTCGCAGGTACGTTTCTTTGGCCCTTGCAAGGCAAACGCGCGCTAATCTCTTGCCTCTTCAGTCGCCACCTGTGACGACGAATGGCTTCAGTGATTCGACAGACAAGGATTATTCGAGCTCGCTCGACAACACTGCAAGACCTTCTGGGTCTGACAACACGACTCGCGATGCTGCGCTCGCAGGTGGCGTCCTCTCTGCTGGCGCTCTCGGCGGCGGCCTGGCTTCCCTCACAAGCGGCTCAAACGCTGCCACCGCATCGCCTGCTGCGCCTGCCGCTTTCGCTTCGCGCGGTAATGCCGAACCGGCGTCTCTCTCTGTTCAGCTCGAGCAGGCCAAGGCAGAGATCCAGCGTTTGCAAAGTCAGCTCAGCGGATCCTCCGAGCTCAGACAACGCAATGTTGCCTCGAGCAGCAGTCCCATCGAGTCGGCAAGCTCGAGCGATGTCGCTTCACTGCCACCACCAGGCCATGTCACCCTCCAGACGCTCGGTATCGTCGCCTTCCTGACTTTCTTCTTTACCTGGTGCGCTTCCGTGATCCCGTGGAGCCTCTGAGCAAGCTCACTCTGGTGTAGGCTCTTCTTCTGAGTGGGTCCGGCCGCTCGTGAGCCTGCAAGCAGTCGCTTTTATACACCAATCCTACACCTCAAAATTGACGGATTCCCTTTGCGATCTATCTCTATGCCAGACTAAGCACGAACGAACGGGCGATCATGAGCGGACGGGTGCGAGACACGAAGAGACCGATCGATTGGCTTCGCTGACTAGCAAAAGTTGTACCAACTCATTTTTTTCATTGAAGAAGTCTACGCATCCACGTTGTCGCGTCACATCGTGCACACTGAACTGCAGTTCTTTTCATTGTCTGTCGTCGATCTACACTTGCTGAGCTGTCACTGCCCATCTCTCTCCTGCGAAGGGGCCTATAGGAAATAGTCAGGCACCCTGCGAGATACCAGCGGCAGCTCTGCTCGCGGCGCCGGATCGAACTGTAAGCTACAGTTCAAAGCACATCAGCGTCCGGGCGGGGTAGCATCGAGGAGGGACGACTGACAAGGTATATTTGAGATGCTCGTCGATCTCCATAATGGCTGCCTGGTTGCCGCATCGGTAGCAGTAATTTGGTGCAGAGAAGATGGTGACGACGTTGCGTTCGTGTGACCAATTGAAGCCTTCCATGACAAGCTGATGTGCTCGAGCTGTGCGTTTGGTCAGCTCTGTCCTAGTGAAGCAGTCCTAGTGTCAGACTGACCAACGAGAGTCAGGCCGTTGTTATGATTGAAGGCTTCCGAGATGTCCTGGCCGAATGTATAGCCAGCGCCACGGGGCGAGATACCCCAGCCGCATCTGTCGTCTGGATCTGACCAGAGCAAGTCGCACATGGGGCCCTCATGAGGGACCTCTTGCTTTCTGTCGATCGATCGGATGTGGTCTAGTGTGTCGATAGACGGGGACAGGCCACCGTGCAAGCAGAAGATCTGACATGCCCGTCAGAACGGGCAGTATTAGTTGCAAGAGGAGTCTCACTTGATCGTCGATGAGTGCGGTGAGCGGTAAGAAGTCGAAAAGATCGGTGAAGAACTTCCAGACGCTCGCTGAGCCGTACTTTCTCAGACATTCGTCGTAGAAACCGTAGACTTGGGTGATCTGGCGCGACTCGTGGTTGCCTCTGAGGATGGTGACCCGTTCGCGATACCTGACCTTGAGGGCGACGAGGAGGGTGACGGTCTCGACACTGTAGTAGCCTCTGTCGACATAGTCGCCCATGAAGAGATAGTTTGTATCCGGTGAGTTGCCGCCTATCCGAAACAATTCGGAGAGGTCGTGCTGCACCGGCTCGCGGAGCTCAGCCCGACATCAGCAGATCCACGCGAGCACGTACGAACTGTCCGTGTATGTCTCCACAGACGGTGACCGGGCACCTGACTGGCTGTACGTTGGACTCTGTATCTAGCACTTCCCTCGCCTGTTATCACACGAGCGATGTCATGCGTCAGCCCATTGATGGATGACAGCCCTCGGTACAGGGACAGCACGTCAGGGCTCAGAGTTGGAGGACGTGCCTTGTCGCATAGTCGCTTGATGTCTGCTTCGCTCAGTTGCTTGCATTGGCTCAGATGGGCGATCCAGCCGTCTATCTCTGCAATATCGGCCATCTTCCCCACTCGCAAACGATGTCGCGATCTGCTGCTCGAAGCACGTCGACCTTTACAATCGAGCTGTGACTATGTCTCGAAGGCACAGTGACCGGTCCTGCGTAGGCCCGGAGTCGAGCTTTGGTCGCCGTGATGCGGACTGGACGAGGTGACAATCTTTATCGACTTTGACTCTTTTCAGCGCGCGGAAGGGACTACTTGCACACCGAGGCGATGGCTCTGTCGGTCAAGTCGACCCTCTGATAGCACTGCTGCCGTGCGTGGTTTGCTCCTGGACGTGCCTGGCTCGGCCTGGCTCCTGTTGAGTCAAAGTCGCGTGCAGGCCATAGCAGTGACAACCCTGAAGCGCGGAAAGTGTATGTCCCCTGCCTGCGTTGCCAGGGCCAGTGCCACCGCGCTCCTGTCCTGTCCTGTCCTGTCCTGTCCTGTCTGTACCCTTTCTTGCTCTGTCAGCAAAAGACAAAGATGTTGTTGGTGGGTTGTGCGCTGCTTTGTGCTTCTTTCGGCCTCAGTGCGTTTGCCGTGCCCCTCAATCCGGAAGAGTCTCCTGCAATGAGTGCGTTGCTCCATATGAGCAGCTTGCATTGAATCGAGCCTCGACAGTCGCCTCCACGCCGTCATCGTACCCTTTCTCGTCGAACATGCTGCACATCATCCGCATGGTGGCGCAACATACAGAGCAAGCAAGCGAAACGTCCTCATAAACGATACCCGCCGCTGATCACCTCGTCTAGCTCGAGCCATTCCGTGAAGGCGCCTTTGGCCTTGTGTACAACTACAATGTCACCGTTGCGCATCTCGAGACTCAGACAATCTGCTCATCCACCGCGCAGGAAGATCGCATGATCGGCGTCAGGCCGAATGCCGAGACTCACGAGCCAGTCAGGATAAGTAAGTAGGCGGCAACCTCTCGTGCACACGCCTCAGATACACCGCAGTCAAGGCTCAGAACCATTGCTTTCACCTCTTCTACGACGACTTCCAGCGAGCCGCTCCTGTGAACGATATCGTCTGCCACCTTATCTTGTGCTTCGAGTCGGTCAAGGTCCGCTTGCAATACGGAGACGTGCGTGTCACCGGGCCATTTGCTCACCGAGATTAAAATTGCAAGCTAGTGTTCTCTCGAGCCGCCAGACCAGGTTCAGCCAAAGACGTCCATCTACGCAGATGGAATGCTGCTCGCGACCATTGGCGGTGGCTACGACCAATGATGAACCTGGATTGTAGCTTTGCGGCAAATGCATGTCTCCACTCGGCATGACGTTCATAAATCAATTTGCAATGCATACAAGCATGTTCACGACGGAGAGGCCGCCTTTTGTAATTTACTGCAACGTGTATGTCGTGTTTGCGAATCCAATTCGGTGGTTCGTGGTGTCAAAGACGGTGTAATAGCGCTCGATGAACTTTTGACCAAGGATAAAGTCTAGACCCGTGCCGGTGCTGCCGTAGTTGTTGACATATGAATAAGAATATGCAGTCGACAGACCGAAGTAGGCATAGTCGGCAGCGGGAACAAGCTGAGCATTGGCGGTCAACGTGAGAACAAGACCGTTGCCAAAGTTGATGTTCAGTGCCGGTACGCTAGCGGTTGAGCTCTTTGGGAATCGGAGCAGGCCAGACGTGCTGTCGATAGCGGCGCCCGGAATCTGAGCTTGGTAGTTCGAAAAGCCTGTGCTGGACAGATAGACCAGCGTCGTGCCACTGCGATTGCGCGCGTCAGTTCACGCACATACTATCAAATATAGAAATCTGAGCTGACCTGTCGACAATGCCGCTAGTGGTGCCCTCGATGGTAACACCCTTGGTTGTCGCGATCGTCGTGGTGACACCCCAGTAGTAAGCAGCAGGCGTGACGCTCGTCACGGGTGTGTATCGGATGGCGGTCGTCGTCTTGCTGGTGTCGACACCGCCGAAAGTTGCCTCTCCATTAGCAGAAGTCTGGGCTGTGGTGGGTGCAAAGTAGAGGGACAGAATGCGCGCGGGTATGAAACCTTCGGTGTATGCTGTGTCGATGACGGTGGGGATCTGCTCGCCTCGAGACGTGGTACCTTGCGTAAGGTCAACTGGTCCGACGCCTATCGAGTTGTTCTGGAGATGAGCTATGGCATAGCAGGGGACAGGTATGGCACGTACCCATGATGCCATTGACACCGGTGAAGCCAGTCGATCTCGTCGCGCTCGATACGCCTTGCTTCGTGACGGTCAAACCTGATGCAAGGTTGACGCTGTCCATGTACTCCCTACCGGAGTAGCTGCCGGAGCCATAGTTGACAGAGACGGTCTCGCCGGTGTTGACGGTGGTGGACGATGTTTTGTAACCGATGAAGAACGTGTTCGAGCTGCCAGTATCGATAATCATCTTTGGGTAGGTCGTCGCTGGGCTGCCGAGACCGAGCGAGATGTAGTAAGACGATTGTGCATTTGTAACTTGCTTGCTCGGTGTGGCACGCTTGTCGAGCTTGATCCTGCCGAAGAGCTGCTCGTGTCGGCTACGATCCGTTACGATGAGATCGCTCAGGCTGACATTGGACAAAGCATCCTGTACAAGTGTGGATGTGAAGACCTAGCACAGCGCTTTTAGCTCATAGAGGCAATACAGATCGAAGAGGCGAGTCACCTTTGGCGTCCTGCGCTCAAGGGTCGGTGCGGCGGTGATGCCATTGAGAAGTGTTGCCGCTACGAATGCAAATCCAACGGTCTTCATGTTGCAACGGTACTGATAAGAAGATGACCCCAGATGCCGACTATATACTCGTTCTGCGCCAGCGCAACTAGATTGGTGGCAAGCGTGGTTTTGCGCAACTAGTCCGGCTAGCAAAGGCGGATTTGATATTGCGTGTTGACTAGGCTGGACTGGACCGCGGGATCGACGCGCTCGTTTGATTTATATTACAGACACGCGTTGACCCGCATTCTTGCCACTTGCTGCGCGATCAGTTTTCATTGATCAACTGAGAGTGGGCATACGGAGACCGAGCATCGAATTTGCGAGAACGTCATCATCGGCGTTCTCAGAGATGGGTGGCATTGGGCCGGTCGAGAGCGCCCGGCGATGTAGACCCAGCTCGTCTGGGGTAATGACCGGCGCGGGATCATGGGAAGCTATTTCGAGCTCGGCCTCCTGTCTCTCGCCTTCGCCCAAGCTGACCGCTCTGCTTCGTGGAGAGCGTGAGGACAGCTCGATCTTGCCCGAGCGAGGCGAGCAGACGACAGCGCGGACCTCGCGAACTGACCCGTCAGAGCGCGATCTGCTACGTGACATCGCCCTCTTATCTGACATGTGCGGCGAGGTCTGGGCATGTCGGTCGATGCCCAAGATCAGAGCAAGCTGCGGCCATTGTCGTTGCTCGCATAGGAGGCTTGCCAACCTGATACTCCACGCTCGATCAGGAAGCTCGTCGCGTGTCATTGCAAGTAGTTGCTCAAGGCTTGAGCGCGTGTCTGTGGTCAAGCTGGCTCTGAGTGTATCTAAGCACAACCTATGCTGCGGCAGCGCAAGCAGCTCTGCGACCTCCGCCTGTCGTTCGGCATATGGCAGGAGAACCTCGTCGTCAATCGACTTGATGCCCGACGGCGTGGGCAGAGGGGAAAGGCTGACGATACTGAACAAGCTGTCCTGACTTCGTCCTCGTGACATGCCGCTCGGCGTGTCTCGACCATAGACGAGTGCTCGACTCTCTTCCCAGCGGGCCAGGACCTCATGGGAGTCAAGTCGTTCGTGAGTCGGGCTGTGCAACGGTGACTTGCCTGAGTCGGGACCGAGTGCAAAGCCTTGACCTGCTGATGTGTGCACTGGCCTGCGCTCCGTCTTGGACGGGCTTGCATCAAAGTAGGACATACAGGAGGGACACTGCAGGGGCTGAGCCAGCCTAGATGGGCTTGTCCTCCTTGGCGTGTCGTCGCTTCAAGGCCAAAGCAGCAGCGAGTGCCCCGGGTCGGCTCCGTCACTGCCAGCTGCATGCGCCTTGCCTCCTGCCTCGGAAAGCGACAACAGCACACTCTGAGACTAGCGCACAGCCAGCGAGACACCATCTATGCGAGCTCGACTGCGCCGGGCAAAGCGGCCATCGCTATCGTCCGCATCTCGGGCAGTGATGCTCTCCAAGTCTGGCATCAGATGACTCGCTCCCCTAAGGCTCATCGAGCGCCCCCCGTGCGACCACCTGTACCGAGAAGAGCAAGCCTGAGGCAAGTGGTTGATCCAGTCACGCAAGATCCACTTGATGAGGCGCTCGTGCTCTACTTCCCTCGTCCGTTCTCAGCGATTCTTGAGCGTCGTCTTCATCTCATGCCAAGCGAGCAGGCAGCGTGGCTCTGACGGGTCAAGATCTTGTCGAGCTGCATCTCCATGGCAGTCGTGCAGTCACGCGAGCAGTGCTCGAGGCCCTGTCCAAGCTCTCCGATCACTTTCGGCCTGCAGAGCCAGGGGAGTTCACTCAGAGAGCATACGAGTCTGGCAAGATGGATCTGACGGCAGTCGAAGGCTTACGTGATCTCATAGAGAGCGAGACCGAAGCACAGCGACAGCTCGCACTTGCACAGGCGACTGTATGCCTCCTCTCGTCGATATGGGCGCGACTGATCCACCAGCGCGCAGGGCAGTCTGCACAAGCAGTACGAGCTCATACGACAGCAACTGATAGAGGCAATGGCGCTCATCGAAGCTATCATCGACTTTGGCGAGGACGAGAACATAGAGGATGGCGTCATCGATCTGGCGCGCGCCAAGGTCGCCTCTTTGCGCGAAACCCTACAAGCTCGCTTGACCCGGTCGAGAAGCAGCGAGATCGTTCGTCAAGGCATCCGTGTGGCTATACTGGGTCCGCCCAATGCTGGCAAATCGACGCTGTTCAATTGGCTAGGTCTGCTTTTTGCCGCTGGAATCCTGCAGAATCAAATTCATTGGAACCGCAGTCCAGAGGGAAGCCTCCATCGTCACAGCTCATCCTGGCACAACGCGCGACATCATACAGACTTCACTCGACTTCCACGGCTACCCGCTCGTCCTCCTCGACACTGCTGGGCTGCGACAAGGTCAAGACGTGCACGAAGTCGAACAGATCGGCATTACTCGCGCTCTAGAGGCGTCAGTCCTTCCGCCATGCAGATGACTTGCATTGCTCTTAACCATACATGCATAGGGCAAGCTCGGCCGATCTGAAGCTTTGCGTACTACCTCTCGACCAGCCCACTGCCATTCCCCGCCTTGTATCAAGCTCGACGGAAGATGCGCTCGTTGTCTTCACCAAAAGCGACTTGGTCGATAGTACTTCGGCGGCATCACAAGTGGCGCGCTACTGCGCTCTCTACGATATCCGGGGCTCGCACTGTGTCGTGAGCGTCAAGACCGGCGACGGACTCTTCGATCTGTCACAATTTCTCCAGAGATGTTGCGAATCCCGCTTCGGACAGCATCAACCAGAGGCGCCTCTGGTGACGCAAGCCCGGCATCGGCATCATCTCGAGGACTGCCTCGCCTGCCTTGCTGCATTCGAAGGTGCGCATGCTCTCCGAGCCTTATGTGTATGCTGCTGATTGGGCCATAGCCTCTTGCAACGAAGAGGGCATCGTACTCGCAGCGGAAGAACTTCGCTATGCTGCTCAAGCGATAGGACGGATCACAGGTCGTGTCGAGGCAGAAGAGGTGCTGGGTCAAATCTTCAGCAGCTTTTGTATAGGCAAGTAGACTTCATCAGATGGGGCTGATTGCAAACGCCTTGCGCAATTGCTCATAGAGCATCAGCGAGACGACAGAATGGGGCCAAAGTCGCAGGAAACACATGGTGAAGCCTTTGCTGAATGCGAGCAATCCCTCTTCGCGGAACGTGATGGCGGCACACGCAAAGGCGCCACTGTATCGGTTGTGACTATCATTCATGAGTCTGACCTTGACGACATCGAGCCCGTTTGTGGCTGCTGAACAGATGAATCCGGCAGCGGCAGAGCTTGCTAAGTGAGTCTTGATGCCTTCTTTAAAGTCGAGATGCTTGACGAGACTTCGCTTGATGATGTCATACGAGCCCAGCTGGGAAGCGGTCAACACGCCGGCACGTAGCGTCGTAGGCCAGACGGCCTTGTATAAGCCAGCGACTCCACGCTGAGCAATGACAGCTCTCGCATGGTCTCTGAGCGTGCCAGTAGCTGATAGGCTTTGCGTTCTGATCTTGAGCAGGTCAGCAGGATTGGCGAGGCCTGCGCCAAGCATGCCGGACATCATGCCAGCGCCCAGCTTGACCAGCATCGCGTCTGGCTCTCGTTGTGTCACACGGAGAATCGTCGACTTGCAAACGTCATAGGTCGAGAACCGAATAGCACCATATGACGCTTCGCGTAGCAAAGAGGCTGAGAGACCTTTGTAGAAGCTGAGAAAGCCTTCTGTACGAAACATTCGCGCAGCCACCGTGACGAAACTTTCTGATGTCGATGTCGAGAGTTGCTGCCGGACCTTGAGCAGATCCGACGGATTGGTGACGCTGCATAATGATGTAAGCTTGCCCAGTGGGAAGTCTGCAGATGACTGACCAAGCGGCGCCCATGTTAGAAAGAGCCGCGAGCATTAATTTCGTGCCGAGCTGATGTCCTTCGACGGGCTTCGCTGACCCGGGATCAATAGGTGCCGGTGCCAAGGCGGCTCGTGGACGAGACAAGCTCATGACTGGGCGAGTAGGCCCGAGCTAGACCTGAGCGAGGCTGCAGGAACGGATGCCGGGAAGTTCAAATCGCATTAGCCGAGATCGAGTCGCGTGCTGCCACAACGACGATGATATCGTTGACAGGCGCCCTCGCGCTGACGTCGCTGACCCCCCTTTCACTGCCTCTGCAGTCTTTCTGTGCCATGTCTCGCTCTATTGCAGCAAGAATCGAGACAGATGAAGGTCAGCCTTCTTGAAGCGCAGCACTCTCTGGTCTATGACAGGCTTGCCCTAAGCTCCATATTCGCGACGGTCTATTCCATCCTGACATGCACACTCATCATGCTCTTATGCGTTGTATGTGGACACAAGTCTCTCGACTCCGCATGTCTAAGCAGTGCATCGAAGACGAACGACCAGGAGCCCTATGGCCCCTCACTGTCCCTCTTTGCACCATTCTGCCATCGTTATCGTGTCGTCACTCCCCTCCACACGTGCTCCTCCGTCGAGAGGCTGCCAATTGATCGAGAGATGTTCCTGTGTCTATTCGCGACGCTTGCGCTGCTGGGTCAGGCCCTGTGTCTTGTCGGATACCACATTCATACTCATCTGGAGGCCTATTGTGATCTCTCGGAATCGTACGATCTGTTCTTTGAGACGTCCCAATCTCGACCGCCATTCGCCAATCTACTTATCACGCCCACGTTTCAGAGCTACACAATCGAGACAGCAAGCGCACCTAGCAGTATGCAGGCTCGTGCTGACGATGCATGCTCAGATTGACAGCTTTGAGCTGCTGCGCCAAGTTCGCGTCGCCCCTCGTGAGCGCTCGGCAACGCTGGAGGTCGAATTCATCGCCAGGCCCCTGAATCCAGGCTATCATGATTGCTGTCACGCAATAGTCAGCGCTAATGTGCTTGCTAAAGCTTATGAATGCTCGTTCCCCGGATCTCGCCATCGTGACAGTCTGACATTTGGCAACAGTCTCGTACAGCATCCGTTCGACCCACGTCGAGTTCATCTGCTGGCCCCATCCACGAGCAAGATCTCTGAGCACTTGCAGTCCCACCGAGCTGATTCCGGAGCTGCCTCGTGCGTCACCTCCTCGCGTCGTTCTGCTTGGAAAGGGCATTGACGCGGATCACAGTTGACGGCAAGCTGACTTGCGATCATGTCGATGTTACATGGCATGTCAGAGATCTATTTCGCCCGGATGACGGGCAAAGCAACGAACAAGACTCGCTAAGAGTTCGCAAGTTCGCGCGCCATAGGCAAAACAGGAAGACAATCAGATCCTAGGGAAAAGTAAATGCCCACGAGGCTCGCACGCCTGCGCGGAGCGTACAATGCGAATGCACAACAAGTCTGGCCCAAGTTCATGATATCATCTCGTCCTGTAGCTTAAGCATTGATCCACATGGACCAGTTGTCGAACCAAGCTTCTTCATCGACAGTGGGCGCCCAACTGATTGAGCTTCCGCCATAGAACGTATCCAACATCGCGCCCTTGAAAGGTGCCAATGCAGTCCTGGCGGGCGGCGCTGAGTAAAGCGTCACTGTTGACGCTGGGATGGTCGAAGTCGAATAGCTCGCGCTTGGCGTGGGTGTAGGCGTGATGCTGGGGGAGCTGCTCGTCGACGAAGACGAGCTGCTCGCAGAAGTTGTCGAGGACGAGGAACTTGACTTGCTGCTCGACGATGAAGATGAAATCGAGCTCTTGCTCGATTGTGACGACGATAATGAACTCGTTGATGTCGACGTCGACGATGAGCTCTTTGTGGTCGAAGATGAGGATGAGCTCCGGGACGATGTTGTTGACGATGAGCTCTTGGCGGTCGATGACGACGAGCTGCTGCTTGATGATCGGCTGCTTGAGGAGGAGAAGGACGAACGAACAGAAATCGAAGACGACGAGGATGTTGTGCTTGTACGGACCACAGTCGTGGTAGCCAGCACGGTCGCTCTAGGCGTGACGACAGCTTTAATGATGTTCGTCAAAGTCTGCACGTGAGGCCGGGTGACTGTAAGCATCGTCGTGCTCGTGCTGGTCACAGTGATTGTCTTGTACTTCGTGACCTTAGCCGGGCTCGAAGTCGGACTTGAGGTCGCGACCGCACGCTTGACCAGGGCTGTGAAAGCATGAGTACCTTACAATAGAACTCACTTAGTCACTCACTTGTTGTAGAAAAGGCTGTTCTCATAACCGTTGTCGTCGTCGGCTTGGTAGTGGACGTTTGCGTGACCAAAGCTGTGCTTGTAGCTGTGACGTCGACATAAGTCGTCTGAGTAGCGATCGCGTAGATCGTGCTCGTGCGAGTCTTCGTTGTCGTCCTGCCTTTGGCAGTCGTCGTCTTTGGCTTTGAAGCTTTCTTGGTCGTCTTCGAGCTCTTTTTGGTGCTCTTCTTACTCGATTTGGACTTCTTGGCGTGCGAAGCCTTGCGAGCGACTCTGTGATGGTGGTGCGCGGCGCGCTTGTGATGAAATTGGCTTTCCTCATCAAGCGAGCGACGACGGCGGTCGTAGACGTCGATGCCGACAGGGTGTGCTTGACCCCACTGATCAAGTGTCACGGGCACGAGCGACAGCGCAGCAGGTGCGACAGACTCGGCAGCTGCAGCAGAGGACTGGACGGCATGTGCGATGCGCACAATCTTGCCAGAGAGTCCAGCGAGCAGCGCATTGCTGTTTGGAGCGGGCGTGATGGTGCTCGTTGCTGTGGAGCTTGCCAATGTCGAAGGCGGGTAGGTGATCGTTACAGTCGATGCCGGAACGGTGTAGGTCGAGATGGGTATCGGAGTCTGGTTCCAAGTAGATCTGTTGTCAGGGTTCTGGTAGTAAACCTGATCGGAGTGCGTCGCAAGTCTTCCATTGATCCTGCAGGCGGGAATCAGCTCTTGTCGGCTCCGGCCGGCGGACGCTCACCAGATGTTGAAGCCGCCGTTTGCGATGCCGGGAGTATTGAGCCAGATGTCTTGTCTTATATTGGTCCATGCCCCGGGCGTAAGTTGCCAGGATCCTCTGCCGATGCTCATCCCGTCTGTCGTATTGCAGATATTGTTGGGCGTCATTGCGCAGAAGCCGGCTTGCTGCTTGCCACGAGGGCCGTAGAAGTACAGCTCGCCGTTACCTTTGCCACGCCACATCATCCGCGTGCTCCAACAGTCTTCCGCAACGTATCCACCGCTGCAAGAATGACTCTTCGTGCCTGTGCCCATCAAGCCCGGCAGCTTTCCTCCCATCACGAAGTTGAAGTCCTTCGGAAACAGCACAGAATAGCTGAAGCTGACGTTCTTCGCTGAAGCGAGATTGAGTGGCTGTGCATACATGCCAAATCCGCCTATGGGCTGATTACCGGGCGAGAAGGAGCCAGCGGGATAAAATGCGCGAATGGCAGAGTGATTGTTTGAGCCGGCATAATTGAGCCCCACAGCCGAATAGACGGTGGTAGGCACGCTTTGGACCAGCGTGGTAAGAGCTTGTCCAAAGCCCCATGCCACAATCTTGAAAGCGTTGACAAAATCGTTCAGAGTCGAGAGGTTTGCGGGTACGGTCACATTGGCAAGAACGCCTGTAGGCATCGGCGGTGACGGCAGGGTGAGCGTAGTGGTAGGTACCGGATCGGGAGATGTCGTAGATGAAGACGTCGTGACACTGGACGACGAAGCATTGGTCATTACGCTGCTCGAGGGAGAGACAGTAGGCGCGCTTGTAGTCGACGAGCTCGAGCTTGTGGCTCTCTTGTGAAGGTCTGACAGCTTGAATGGCTGAGGAGCGTCACGTCGAGCTAGCTTCCTCTGTACATTGCTGTCATACTCTTTGCGCGGCATGAGTGTCCACTGCGCGCCATCGAAGATAGCGATCTCTGTCACCGCAGGCGGCAGAGCTGATGCAGCTTGGGGCGCTACAGCGAGCGCACTTGCGACGAACGCAGATGCGCCCAAGAGGAGACGCAATTGCATGGTCTAGACGGTGTGTTGACAAGGAGCAGATACAAGCTCGACCGGCGAGCTGACAAGTTTATATAGTCAGAAACCTGGATGCCTGCGGACGACAGGTGCGTGGGTGCCGGTGGGCGTACGAAGGTCGGTCTAGTGCACAATACGCCCCTGGCTTCGACACAGTCGTCTCTTGCGAGTGGGTGACAGAGAGCTGCTAATTCGGCGCTCGGCAGCCGGACTCACAGAGCTTAGCGCGTTATTTTGATAATCCACGCGACGCGTCGATTTGTATCACGACTTTTTGAGCCAAGAGAGCCAAGTTGAGTTTACGTCGACGGGATGTGGCTCTCTGATGCGGAGCTGGTCGCCAAGCAGATCTTCGAGGCCGGTCGAGCGAGCGGGAGGGAAGAACGTCTGCTGGGCGAGAATGAGTTCAGATTGCTCCCTGGCTTGTATCGGATCGGCAGATTCCATGACAACATCATGAGCCAAGCTCTCTGCAGCAGACGGCAGCATTGACGACTCGCCAAATATGGCTTGCGGTCTTGGCGTGTCAGCAGGCAAGTCTCTCGCTGCAGGTCTTGGCTCCCGGCGCTCTGGGGCAGCAAGCGAACTATGGCCGACACTGAACCGCATACGCACTGGTCTGATCGCGCGCGGAGCGAGATATCTCTCGAACGTCGTCAAGCAAAACGTCAGCATCATGCCGAGATTGGCAAGCAAGCGAGTATGCACGCCTGACAGGTGGTCTATTGCTCCGAGCCGAGCTACTAGCCCAGCGAGACATAGATGCATGACGACTTGGAGCCATCGCATTGTCTGTCCGGCATGCTCAGCTTCCATTCAGACCGAGAAACCTTGAGGACGCATACGAGCAGCGTTGTAGGGCTGAGTCTGACAAAGTGTATGCCTTTTGCGCGGAACATCTGTAGACGGGCGTACTCGGGATCCCAGAAGAAGCAGCTGATGGTCGTACATAGCAGCGAGGCGATCGGGGCGTTCCGCTCCAAGGCTGACAACCGCGCGATGATCTCAGGATCGAAAGCAAGCACGGCAAATCCTGCTAGCGCCAGCATCTGGCAGAGTGTGTGCACCACTGTCGACGGATCGTATGCCGTGCTTCTGAGCGCAGGCTCTCGAGCCCTTGGCAGACGAGATTGGGAAAGCCGTGCGCCTAGTGATGCTGCTTTGACTTTGTAGTCTCGCTTGTCGAGCAAGTCTTGCACTGCAGGCAGGCAAGACCCGCAGACGAGGGGGTATCGCCTCGACAGGGAGACTTTGTAATCGTCTAGCTGATCAAGTAGCCGTGCTTCCTCCGCAGGCGTACAGTCGGCAGGGACATAGCTTGACAGGAGATGCAAGTGCAACGCTTGATGCGACAGGCATTCTCTGCAGAACAAGCCGGTGCTTGGCTGCGTCTGCAGACTTGTGCTCGCGGGTGAAGCCCTGTGCGCAAAGGCAGCTTCATTGAGAACGGCATCGTACCAGGCCGGGTCGGTGTCGACTGGCTTGCCGCGAAAGAGCTTATTGGGTGCCTGGCACGAGTTGCAGACGAAGGAAGCCGTCTGTGAAGCCGCCGTCAGCTGTCCTGCCGGCGTACCACAGTAGTAGCACTCTATGATCGGGCGTCGCAAGCTGAGCAAGCCCATGAGCCACGGCGACCTGAGGCCGAGCACGATGTCATTCGACGCGATTGACATTGCCTGCCAAGCTGGACGAGGGCGCCAGTCAGGCCGAGCAGCTGCGATGACATCCGCCAAGGAGGCCCGCATCTACACACAGGCAGACAAGGACGGCCAGTTCCGACGTCAGAACGCCTTCTTCCGGGACACCATCTCGGCTGATCATCCGGTCTTCAAGCCTGACTCGGGCAGATACTTGCTCTACGTCAACACAGGATGCCCCTGGGCCAACCGGACCATCCTCGTTCGCAACTTGCTCAAGCTCCAGGATCACGTTGACATCACCTATCTCGCGCCCATCCTCTCTCCGGATGGCTGGTACTGGGACGGCAAGGACGGCGCGGATGAACGAGATCCCATCTGGGGTCATCACCTCATCAGAGACGTCTACCACTCCGTCGAACCAAGCTACGACCTCCGCTACACTGTGCCTGTCTTACTTGACAAGCAGACTAAACGTATCGTCAGCAATGAGTCATCAGAGATCATCAGGATGCTTTACACTTTCCCCAGTGCGGACAGCAAGCTGGACCTGTATCCGCTTGCCATGAGATCCGACATCGACGCCCTCAACGAATGGATCTACAACGACATCAACAACGGCGTGTAAGTCGAGATACACCTGGCCCGCGCCTCAGTCTGATGCCCGCGCAGCTACAAGACTGGCTTTGCTGCCAGTCAGGCAGTCTACGATGAGCACGTCCGTACCCTCTTTCGCGCGCTCGATCGACTTGAAGCCTTGCTCTCTTCCGACGGCAGGCAATACCTGCTCGGTTCCGAGCTCACAGAGGCCGACGTACGGCTCTATCCCACGATTGCGAGATTCGATATATCCTATCACTATGCTTTTCGCTGTAATTTGCGCAAGGTTTCAGACTATCCCGCCCTTCAGGCATGGTTCAAGCGGTTGTATGCGCAACACGAATTCAGATCTGCCACCCACTTTGATCAGATCAAGGTCGGCTATACCATGGCTGCCGCCAAAGGAGGCTGGGACACTCAGACTGATCGTCCCATCGTGCCTGCCGGTCCAGTACTGGATCTATAGGCTGTCCATATACGCTCTTGTCGACTTGCGATCTTCAAGCTACAGATTATGCATGTGCAAGCAGAGCGAACCGTGTACAATAAGTCAAAATAGCACAGATGCGATGTGTGCGCAAATGTGTGTCACACTCGAGCGAACGAAAGACCCGCATTATGAGTATCGAGTCATCTCGATGACCTCTCTGATCCCGGCATAGCAATCCTGAGGCGCGTTGACGGACCACAGCATGTCCAGATGCTCGTAATTCGGCAGCATGCACTCGTAGACCAGGTTGACGTCTGGCTCGCTTGCTTTGATACGATCTAGCAGCGGCTTGCCAGACACGAGCGTATCGATATCACCCCACCTACGCTGGGAGTCAGCGCGACCATGCACAATGAGTGCGGGAGACGCACCAGATGGCAACAGGCGGGATTGTCGGCGGGAACCAGGGCTCGGGGCTTTGTTGGTCGAAGATGCAGCCTGTATAGCTCTGATTGGCCATATAGAAGTACACTGCGCCTCTTTTATTAGCTCGACCCATGCTTCTCCGATGAGAGACCTACGCAATTCGCTGGGGTTCGGAACGCCTGCAGAAAACAAACGTCAGCAACGTAGACGCTCGATGGTGAATGCACTGACCGACTGTTCGGAAGAACTTAGGAATCTGACGCGGCACCCAATTGTGATCATGGAAGCCGAAGAGGAAGTAAAAGACTGGGAAGGCGAGATGTCCGAAGAGCCAAGATGGCAAATACTCTTGAAGCAAGCCAATGATGGGAATGAACTCGCGCACGCCGAAAATGAGCGACCACACTTGGCGATTAGTGAACTTGCGCATGAGCGAGAAGGGGAACGTTTGCAAGACAGGACCGACGTAGACCGACGGACCGAGCGCGCAGAAGCAAGACATTTTCCGCCCGAGTTCCGGGCGCATACCCTTTGACAGCGCGAGGAACATCGACCCGGTACCTGCATCCGGTCATTAGCTGTGTCGAGTAACTCAAAGGCAGAGCACGAACCTTGGGAATGACCGACGTACGCCACTTTAGAGCGTGTTCGCTGATAAATATACTCGACGGTTGCCGTGCAATCGTATATGCCAATCTCCTTGACGGCCCAGGCCCAGTACTTGGGATGCCAGCGAGGAATGTTCTTGTGTGGCATCTTGTAATTCGTGCGAATGTTGCCTAGCCAGACATCGTAACCGCGCTCCATGAGCCAGAAAGCAAGCGAGCGCTCTTCGTTGACTACGAACGTGGCGCCGTTTGACAAGATACCGTGCTGCAGCAAGACGGGGTGACCAGCTGTAGCCGAGCCGGTGTCAGCGCATCACTGGAGATTGCAACATACTACGCACTGCGACGATGCTTCTTCGAGGTGAGCCGGACGACCTTGAGGATGAAGCCATCCTCGGTCTCGACATCGTGATACTCATAGTTGTAGCCCCAAAATTCTGCGTAGTACTCTGCACGAGCCGAGAAGCGTTCGCCAGGAATACGGTTCTCCCAAGACTTGTCTCGCTTGCCGTAAGGCGGACGGACATGGTATGGTGAGAGAAGGGAAGTGATATAGGCTGGATAGGCGATGAAAGCCATGACGGCGAACGATTGTGCGGTGATGAGGAAAGACAAGGCCTGCTTCATTTCAAGGATGATCCGCCAGAAGCCATTGTAGCCATCATAAGTCGGAGGATCGTGGTCGTTCAAGAAATTGACGCCATTGTCGACGTACTGCAGTCCTCGCTCTCGCCTCTCTGCCTCTCTGGAGAAGCTATGCATTAGCCCAGCGATACCACCGCGGACAGGAACGCACTCTGGACCGCCGAATGTGCGGCGGGAAGCGCCAGTGAAGGAAGTGCCGGTCCTCGTCCCGGTGAAGCTGGTGCCCGTGCCAGTATATTCGCTTTGTGTGCCTGTGCCCGTGCCCGTGCCGGACATGACAGACGACCTGTCGGACACTGTCGGAGGTGGTCTGACCTTCTTGTCCTCTGGATAGGGCGACAGAGCAGAGGACACGTCCGAGCCGCCATCGCTCGCGACAGATGATCGGCTCAGTTTTGATGCGCCTGCAGTTCCTCTCTTCTCTCTCGGTCTGCGATCAGATCTGCTTGTGATGCTCAGCTCGTGCCTCCGTAGAGGCCTGTGGAGACCCACGAGGCAGCCGAACTGCGTGACCGTGTTGATGCAGCCTCCTGGTCTAGATGATTCGAGTCTGCGAGGTACTCCAGCCGGGATGAGTCTTGTGATGCCTGGGAAGCATGCTTGGCATAGTCGATATAACCTCCGTCTGCCATTGTGAATGGGAATCGAGCGTTTTGGGATGTTCAAATCGCTAGCAATAAAGTCTTTTGGATCCGCTCAATGGGATGATAGATGGTCAGGCGAGCAGGCTTCGAAGACGACGATTCACAAGCAGGCGCAGGCTTGAAGAGAGACAATGGCAATCGATAGATAGGCTTCGCTCGTGAGTCGGCGCACGAGAGGTCGACGTGGTTTTGGTGGCCCGTGAGGAGTAGATCGGCAAACCCCAGTCGAGCGGCAACCAGCGAGATACAGAATCTAGACAGCACCCCCGGACAGATGCTGCGCCAAGCCAGGTAGACTGGCCTTAGCGATAGACTACCTGAGCAGCGTGAGACTGTCGGCTTCCCTTCCTGCTGTCCTGTGTCTGTGTGGCAGGCGCCCTAACAAAGCTAGCAGCTGTGCCAGGCTTCAGTCCAAAATGTCTTGCAACCAAAACGGGCAGCCGCGTTTGCCGATCAGCGCGGGGTTTCTTCGACTTTGCGGCAAATTCGTCTGACTGACGTAACTTAATTCTCCGCCTTTGCCTTGCCGCTCACCGTCTTTCTGACAGGACCTGCTGAGGAGCGAGCCGGACAAGATGGCCTACTCGCTCGACTACTACACCTCGGTCATCAAGAGCTCCGTCAACAACTTGACGGTGCAGCGCACACATGATCCCATGCTGGTCGGAGCCAAGAAACTTGGCTTCAAGATCACGCTCTACACGCCTCGACCTGCGCCATGGGGCAACTTCTTCACGGCTGCCTTACACCAGCAGATCTTTCTATCCGTACGCCGGCTGTTCATCTTTTGAGTGGATGCATGACCTGACCGAGCCAATGTCCAGATCCTCGTCGCTTTCATGTACAGCCAGCGCGCTACACCCAATGCGCTCTCTAGACAGTTTGTCTGCGCTGTCGGCGTAGGATCAGTCCTCCTCTGGCCGCTCTTCTACGGCAAGACGGGCCTCGGCGTCATCGATTTCGGCATGCCCGCTTACGGCTTCCTCGGCTCGCTCCATATCGTCGAAGTCTTCCTGCTCAGAAACCCAAAGGAGCTCGAAAGCTGGTCTTTCCGTCAGCGCTGACCTCGAGCTGTCCATGACGGGCGCTGATGAGAGGAGGGCAGGCAAATTTTATACCACCATCTTTACATTCCCGCGAGAAGAGAACCTGTCACCCAATCCGCGATGGGAGAACCTCAAGGCGCTCGGCGGCTGCGGTCTCAAGTTCCTCATGGTCAACATCCTGCTCTATGCAGCGCCTCCTCCCGAGATCATGGCCCAAGTTGACAGCAAATTTGCGTTTATCGGTTACAACTCTATCCTAGGCCTCTGCGTTCTCGGCACGCTCGGCTTCCTCATCGAAGGCATCCTCAGACTGCAAGGTCTCATCTGGGGCGTCGAGCAACACGAGATGTTCCACAACCCTCTTGGCGCCACGAACATTCGTGACTTCTGGGGCCGATGTCAGTCAGATGAGAATGTATTGCACACGGACTGACTGCTTAGCGCAGGGAATCTGGCCATCAAGGTTGCGCTGCATCGTGTGATCTTCCACTTCAAGCAAGCTCAGAAACAAGGCGGCACTGCAATTTCCAAGAAGCCTGCCAACGGAGCTGCCAATGGATCGGGCAAGAACGGCAAAGCGATCCGACACCACCGCGACATGCTGTCAGAGACCGAGGCGAGCGCAGACGAAGCTGGTATGGACAAGATGCAAGCTGCTAAGCGTCAAGCGGTGGAGAAGAAGCGCTCTGAGCAAAAGGAAGCCAAGGCAGCGAAGAAGCGCTCCTCGTTCGCAAAGAAAGCTTTCATGGCCATCATCACTTTCCTCGCCTCTGGCCTGTTCCACGAGTGAGCTCATCCCTCTGTCTTGCATGCTTAGCACAGCTCTGACTGCATACAGATATATGAATGCGCTTGCCTTTGGTGGCGCAACAGGCGAGAACGTCACTTTCTTCCTCGTCCACGGCGTCGCCACCGTCGTCTATACTTACTTCAGTCGCACTTTCCCGTCAGCAAACAACATGATCCCCTCACCCGTTGCGATCATCGTGACCAATGCTCTCGTCTGGTCATCGGCGCCACTCTTCTGCATGCCTTTCATTCGCGCAGGCTTCTTCGAAGATCTCAAAGCAATCGGTATCTTCGGACCGGTCCGCGGTTTCATCCATCTCTATGAACATCCCGTGAGCTTCTTCTTGTCCTCACAGCCTTCGCGTCTGACTCCTGGCTGCAGATCTTTGGCGGCAAAGCCTGAACAGCCCACTGGTCCGAACACGTCTAGATGAACTCCGCCGCGAGAAAAGATACCCAAGAGCATGACACAGGGGAAAGCTTATCTATCGCAGTTCTTCCCTCACGAGTCTGCGTTGTTCAATGTATCATCGTCGATCATATCGCGTGTCTCGTCCGCTCGTGGCTCGATCAATTCGCGTATCATTCACCTCCTTGCTCGAGTGCTTGAACGGTACCCAAAGAACCTCAGAGGCTTCAGGCTGCAAGCGATAGGCGCCCCCACAGACTTTTGTACGGTGCCGAGGCATCATAGCCCAAGTGCTGTCCGTTAGCAGCCTCGAGACGCTTGGTCATTTCGTCGCGCGACCTACTGGACGACATCGACAGCTCACAAGGCGCAGCCTGACGATGACCTGCATCGCATGAGCCACTGTCGCGCCCTCGCTCCAGCATAAGAATAGAGACGGGCCTGAGCAGGCCTCAGGAGACCGTGCGCATCTCAAATGCCCGCGTAAAGCTAGCGTGCAGCGACGGCTTCAAAACTTCATCGACACCCAGAGCTGAGCCGGTCGTCGCAGGCTGGCCGATCAGACCAAAATGACTTCAAGCGTGTCTGCGCCAATGAATACCACGGCGAGCAGCACAGGCTCAGCTCCTAGCGCGTCATCGCCATCCAGCCAGCGCCTCCTGTCTCGAAGCCCTGAAAGGCTCAGCAGAGACAGCACGACGCTCAAAGACTCATCAGCTAAGGCTGTCAATCGCGAAGGTTCTTCTTCAACTCAGAGCAGCCGTCCCAGGGTCTTCAGGAGCCTGTCGGTCTCGCTGTCCAACAAGCATATCGCGAAAGCTGCGCCTAGAGCAGACATAGATCTGTACTCGGCTGGGGAGCATCCTCAGCCAAGTAGCGATCGACCCAGTTCTTCCCGACATACAAGCATGACGGCCATACTCAACTCTTTGTCTACAACTCGTTTACCGTCAAGCTTATCCGTCAGAAGCAAGCCCTCTCGCGCGCTCGATACTAACGCTTCATCTGTGGCCATGTCACCGGAGAGTTCAAGTCAGTCTGTCGACTTTGTAGAGACTACCAGTCTGGCTGCGGCAAAAGCGCTCGCAGCTTACTACAATTCGCACATCGACACCGCCCAGCACCCTTCACGACCAGTCTCGCCTCCGCAGCCATCTACCCCAGAGCTCAATGCTTCCAATGCGTCGAGGGAGGTCCTCGACAGCGGCGCTTCGTACATCGTCTCTGTCCGCAGCATCGACGGCGGCAGACCCGTCTATCGCATCAGGTACACATCTTGATATTGCCAGACAACATACGCTAACCTTGAGCGTAGACCTCGATCCCCACCGACAAGCGTGACCGCACTCCCTGGCGATGTATCTCCACTTCGTCCAGACACTTTCCTTAAAGGCAGCGAGACGACGCGCTCGATACTTGGCCACTCCTCTGAGCCATACGTCCGTCCTAGACGGACGAGCAACGGTCTCGCGGCAGCTGCAGCTCTGCGCAAGCCACTACGCATCTATAGATCCATTCCAGGCCTTCGTGGTCAAGCTTCGCGCGACAAGGTTGGCCGCGAGCGCGCGAGCGACGAATCTACCGGCAGCACACAATTTAGGACAGTGCCGCGCATCATGCCGGATGCTGCCGGCTACTTTAGGCCATGCCAACATGCTGACGCTTCAGAGCCAGGCTCGCCACAGCCTATCGATGAAGCATATGCCCCTGCTACCGGCATGCTCACGCCTGCTTATAGGTTGCACCGTCGACGCAGTGATACGACTACGTGCGATGTCTTCGGTGCACTGCTAGGCTGGCAGCAATCGGATGTACAAGCGACAGCGACTGAACCGGACGGGCCCCATAATCCGTTGGCTGCCTGTCATCAAGTCAAGCCGGCGGTTTCGTCAGACTCAATGCGCACCGCCAAGGCAGATCCAGATGCTCCTGCAGGTGTATCCGAGTCCACTTATCAGGCTTTTCGCCTCTTCTCGGACCTTGGCGCAGCTGATCCTTCGGGTCCTGCGCGCATATGGGCGGAAGACGGACGCTTCGCGGTCTACGCCCTCAATCAAGAGAACGATACTCGCATCTCGAGCGAAGAGGCGGCAGCTATTGCGCCCTCGCGACGCTGGAGCGCCATGCTTGCCCTCTATGCTCAAGCACGTTCGAATCATCGAACGCGCGACAGAGTCGCTATGATGACTAGTGACACAAGTTTGCTCGCAGCTGCAACTATCGAACGATGGATCGCAGAGGTGACTAGCAGGTCTCATCCCGACACGCTCGCTACGTTCTTCCTTACTTATCGCCAATTTTCCACCCCAGAGACGTGTCTGGATATGTTGCTCGCTCGCTTCGATTGTACATTGCTACACGAGCATGACTCCAGCGCTCACACTATCGTTCGTATTCGCACCTTCGTTGCGCTTCGCTTCTGGCTGCTCAACTATTTCCGCGAGGACTATCTGCCGAACCGATATTTACGCCTAACTTTAGCAGCCTGGATCAACGACATTGCGCAAAATCCGAAGATCCGAGAATCTGCGAAAGACCATAGTCTGATCAAGAACCTCAAGAAAATCATAAGACGTCTGCGCGAAGCCTTTGCCGGCTTGCAGTATAGTATAGATGCGGCCGGGATGCGCTCTGCATCCTCTGCTGGCTCAGCAAAAGCATCGAACAATGCTCCGGACTTGTCCACGCTCGAAGAAGAGGCCTCGGCAGATCTAGACTTCGACATGATTTCCGAGCAACCGACTATCAATGCTGGTCGAATAGTAGGCGGTTCATCCTCGGCTGTAGCGTTGCTGATGCTTCCAAATACAGCCGTATGTCACTCTTATCGGTATTGAAGTAGACCAGGCCTCGTCTACTCAGACGTCGCCGCTCAGCAGGCCGAGCGTCGACTCGCAATCAACGAATAGCTACACAGACATCTTTCGTCCGTCAGACTTGCCCAACCAAAGCAGGCTCGCATCGACAGCGGTAGAAGTGCGCTGGAGCTCGTCAGACAAGGGTAAATCTTTTAGCGAGCATAACACGCCCGCTACTTCGGAGAGTGAGCGCTTCTCCTCCGACAACGATAGACCCAACGAGATCTGCGGTGCCCCAGAGTCGGTAGGAAGCAACAACGTTGAAACGCGAGGCAGCGTAGAATTGCCAGGCCTTTTTGCCGCCTCGCGATGGAAGACGACTCGGCAGACTGACAGCAGGATTGTGCAACTAGATGATCTAGACCTGTCCGACGATTCAGACATTGATTCCGCTATCTTGGAAGAGTCAAAAGTACGTCGCAAGCCAGGCATGCAAGGCTTAAAGCTTCGGCGACTCGACGCAGCTTTTGAGCAGGATATAGCGACGAGCAGGTCCGAAAGCGCAGACGATGCTAGCATCAGCAGCAAAGCGGACAGCTCGCAAGGATTGCCAAAGCCACAAGCCCCAATAATTCCCAATTTTGTTTCCGAAGGCCTATGGGATTCCGACGAGGAAGAAGAAGGAGACGTGCAGGCAGCTCTGCGGCGACTTGAGGGCGACATAGACCCTTCTGCACAAGAGCAGAAAGCTTTGCGCGTGGAAGCACAAATGCAAAAGTCTCAAGATGCCCTGTTGCCTAATGCACAGGCTCGCGGTGCTGCCATGCCCAGCTCTGATGACGATGGCGATGACGACGACGACGACGAGTACGACGAGACTGTGGAAGGTACGCCGCAAGGTGACGACATTACGTCTGATGCAGACCCCAACCGAGCCGACAGCGCAATTGGCTTTACGCCTCGACGCGCAAGTGTTACCGACGCGACTCCCGCAACGCCTTCATCGCAGAGTCTCACATCAAGCCAGTCCAGATCCGCCTCAGTCGATCTGCCCAGTCAGAGCATTATTCCTCGGCTCGACGCACCCTTTCAACAGCGTAGGACTATTGCGCGGCTCCACATACTCGCTTGCAAGACTTCTGTCCTCGCTGAGCAATTCGCGCTCATCGAGGCCGACTTACTACAAGCCGTCACGTATCAAGATCTGCTCGGAGGTGACTGGAAGAGTGCCACTCCTCGTGTCTTGGACTGGGCGAGTTACCTCAAAGAACGTGCACGGGCGAAAGCCCAGGGCAATATACAAGACAGCGCGGTTGCTGCCATCATAGCGCGATTCAATCTAATTGCCAACTGGACAGCATCCGAGTAGGTCTGCTTGCTAGCTGCTTCTGGCACTGACACCTGATGTAGGGTCACAAATGTCGTCAATCTCGAGAGCAGAACAGCCGTCCTGTCCAAATTGATCAGACTGGCATGGGTAAGTTGCTTTACCGAAATCTGTCGCCGCGTGCTCACATTCAAGGCGCAGAAATCGTACCAGTTATCAAATCTGCAGACGATGACGCAGATCATACACGGACTGCAGACAGATCCTGTCATTCGCCTGCGCAGGACGTGGCACAGATTACCAGGCTGGGAAACTAAGCTCTTCAACAACCTCAAGATCCTGGCATCGTCATCGCATGACTTTCGCCTCCTTCGCCTTAAGCACGGCGAGCTCTTGAGGTCCTCGCAACCGGCAGCGATGACGAAGCAATCCTTGAAGAGCGCTTTACGGAGTCCGAGCACAGCTTGCATACCCTTCATGGGTGCGTTGCCTAGGCATGTGTCAGCTGATGCTGATTTTTACGGGCTAGGCGTGGCTTTGCGCGATCTTGCCTCTCTCGCTGAGCAAGAGAACACTGTGACGCGGTGCACAGCTCCAGACGCCATGATAGCTCCATCGGTCGAGCCATTACCTCCTGGCTGCTCAGATGTCGCGGCTTCTCTGACTCTCTCGCCATTGCTGAATGTTCAAAAGGCGCGTCAGCAAGCCAATTTGATCCAGCAGACCCTCCTTGCACAGGAGCTCGCCGCTCTTTATCCCTTCGATCCTGAAGCGCAGCTATTCAGGCGCTGCCTAACTGTCACTGCGGTCGACCGCAAAACCCTCGCAAAACGATCGCTAGCTTGTGAACCGTAGACGTGAAATCAACGACTGTTGTGCCAATATTATGCCTTAGACGAACAACTTGAGCGAAGAGACGCTGTGCTCGTCCACGCTTGGAATGCGTTCCTGGAGCAGGCCAATCACCGCGCGACAAAAAAGCTCGTAATTGGCCTGCCGTTCTGTACTAACCGTCGTCTTTAGGTCCTGCGACGATGGCATAAGTAAGGCATGATCTCATTCGTGAGGCTGGCGCACCTTGCGATAGTCATTCATCGACTGCAACAGACCGTGCATGCAAGCGAAGAGCTGACCGGCAGGCACACTCGGACGTCCTTCTGTAAGCTCCCTGTTGATGTTCTTGAAGATGCCTAAGTTCAGAGCTCAGCGAAGGATCTGGTAAAGTATGGACGCAAACCTGATAGAAGAGGTACACGAGCGTATTCGAGATTATCGGCAAGCATGTCCATGTCTTCGCGCTCGCTTGAGCTTTCGCCCTCAGCAGCAGGCACTGCATCGAGGAGAAGGGCGTGCATGCGCAGACGCCCAAAGATCATTCTCGTGAGATTGCGATGGGCCTGCGTGAGCGTCGGCCGAGATATTGCTTGCAGCCAAGCAAGGATGATCTCGTTGCCAAAGTGTTGTAATGTGACTGGCTCCAGACATACCATCTCGTTGATGAAAAGCACTGCAACTTCCCGACGATGGCTCTGCTGAACGATACGATGCAGCGAATGAGGACCAGGCCGGACATAGTCTGACCACTGTCGAGAATTGTGTGCCACAGCGAGGTGACAGTATCCAACCCAGCACTTGACGAGCGCCTCGAGATGAGCTCGCGCCACATGGTCATCGTTGAAGACAGTCATCACAGTTTCGGCCGACCAGTGTCTCGATTGGGGAACAAAGTTTACCACGTTCGACGCCAGACCGGGCAAGATCATTCGAGTGGCAAACTCTATCAGTCTGTTGTCTTGTGTGTGCAAGCGCTGTGCTGCTGTCTCCTGGCTTGGCATCGGAGCGCGCTGTGAGCCGGGCGCACCGAGCAATTCAGCAAGAGCTGGATCATCGAAATCTATGTCAAGAGAGCCATATTCGTCCTGGCTGCGTTCAGCCTGGGAAAGTTGCTTGCAGATTGCGGCGCGTCGGAGATCAAGAACGCTTTGTAGCGCGCCAATGATGACAGGGCCCGCAGAGCGATGAAAGACGAGCGCTGGCCTGTTCAGGGGCGAGGATGTCCAGCCTGCCGAAGACCATCAGAACAGACCCACCTCTAGCAGGGTTGCTTACATTCGTCAAATAAAGCTTCGGGAGGATAGGCTGCATCTTGGCCCGATGAGTTGCAGGCGATTTGCAGTATTGATCCAATCAGGTGTTGCACGATAGCAAACATCCTCGCAGCATCGGCTGATCGCGTCGATAGCTTTGCGTAGAGGCGAGCTTCATCGTTACCGAGCTTGCCAGTTGCAAATCTGTCGGTGCTAATCAGATCACGGTGCAAGTTTTCGAAATCTCTTGAGGCCGTCTCGTGCTCATGAAGTAGGGTACGCATATTGGCAAAAACAACGGCGAGTATAGGTTCGAGTGAGAGTGTCATACGATGGAAGGTGCCAGCAAGTAAGAGAATTGCGCGCAGCTGAAGCTTGCGCGCCGCCTGATCGGCTTTAGGGAACGCAGAGACGGCCCAAAAGCGTCTTAGGTGGCTGTTTGGGCTACCAAGCTTGAGGCTCATGATGGTCAAGAAGAGACAGTAATGATTGACAAGCATTGAGAGCTGTTTATGGTTGAGTTGGTCCGTCGTCGATGCTGAGCTGATCGTCCTCATGGGCGAAATACGCATGAGCAATGGTGTAAGAGTCTTCGCCTTCCGAGACGGCGAGAGCACCTCAAGATCCTCTGCTGTCTTTAGTAGCAGCTTGAGTAATATGTGCAAGGCAGAGTCGCGATCAGGATCAAGTCCAGGCACTGATTTGCAGGGTAGGCTCTGCACAAGCACTGGCAGATCGTGTCCTCGATCAGTCGCCAGTGGTGCAAGCTTGCGAGCGTTGAGCATATCGTAGACTTGTTGGATAATGCCCGTCTGCATCTCCATAGACCAGCCCCAGCGCTCTGAGCAGATCAGGCATCGTGCGCAGAGCGTCCATATGTAGCCATCGCGTCGGGATAAGGCTGAATGGCTGAGCATTGACGAGCTTGTCTCGAGATCTTTGATGTCGATGCTTGTGAAGGCCACATTGATGGCGGCCCAGCGCGCTGGCAGGCGCGGCGGAGAGTCTGACATGCCCCACCTGTCAAATTGCGATAATGCGCAGAGTAACATAGCAGTGCAAGCACGAGCTTCATTAGCCGCGATGCGCGCCGCGAGCGTATCTTGCTGCATACTCGATTCTGCCAGATGCCATTCCAGTTCGTCCTCGACCATGAGCCAGAACTTCTGCGGATCGCACAGTTGACGAGTGCTGGGTGGTGCATCGAGCGCAAAATTGATCAAACAAATCCAAAGCTGCGTCGTGTAGTCTTCGAGCGATGTCTTGCTGTTTGCCTCCATCTGGTGCAAACCTTTGACGAACGCAGCCAGCTTTGTAAGGCCGATACCAAAAAGCTGTCGCAGCAAACGCGATAGCGCATTGGTGACTGTTGCTTCCAGCCTAGCGAGCAATAGAACACCGTCTTGGGATTGCAGATCCGTCAGTGCGCGCACGGCCTGCAAGCTGAAATCGATCGTTGCCCACTCGAGGCCGGCAAGCAGCTGGACAAGCTGCGGCGTGGATTCGGGCAGAAGACTTTGCCGCTCTTCAAGATGCTCGAGGCTGCCCAGGACTGCATCGATCAGGGCGATGTGCCGATAGCTTACACTGGTATGAGATCCAATGGCGAGGCCGAAGAAATGCAGTACGTCGAGGATGCTAGAAGCCGCTATCGCACAGTCATTCGAAGACATGCCATTGATTGCACTCGCCAGTTGTACACGGTCAAAGACTGCATCGAACATAGCTGGCAATGCGCTCAGCAATGCGCGACTGTCCATCGATATGTCGAAGAACGTATCGAACGCGAACAGATGACGCATACCGATACTTTGCGAGGCGTCGAGCACCTCCTGCAGCGAGCCTTTACCGAGATATGTGCTCGCCGAAAAGGCGCAGTGCGCTGATATGCGCTCGAGCCCGAAATCATATGTGAACCCGGTCACGCTGAGCCAGTCCTGAGAAGGTGACTCGTCTAATGGCCGCGCTGGCGTATTGTTATGAAGCGTGTCAAGCTCCAGCAAGCCATTGCTGGTTCGTGGGGTGACCGACGGAAGCGATGTTTCCAGCCGGTGGTCATCATGAGCCTCGGCTCCGTCGAAATCCGCAGGGGACTGCCGCTCGCGGTGTGCGGATCCACGCTGCCTGCGTGTCTTTGCAGACCGCGGACGAATTGAGAAATGTCCGAACAGACTCTCTTGGGTATCGAGACGCAATGGCGGTCGCTTGTGATCGTGCCGGATGACTTTACGCACAGTCGCTCTATTGGGCTGCCTCGGGCTTGTGTCAAGATTGATGTCGCGCGCAGCGAGAGGGGAACGATGATGATACTGACGAGGTCTATGACGCTTTCGTTTGCGGCTGGATTGGGGCGGCGCTTGCCTTGGCTCAGGTCTACCTTGGGCAAATCGGGTGATCCAGGCCATGTCATCTTGTTCGGCGAATCGCTCGTCGTTACTGCTGCCACTATCGGTTGATAGCGCTCGTGGTGGTCGTTCGTCACTGTCAGAATCGTCCGTGAAGGCCGCGCCGTCTAATATGATAGGCCGTGCTCCCTGGGCAGGTTTGCGTTTCCTGATGATCACAGCCCGCTGCAGGCCGTCGGCACCGTCGAGATCGTGATTCGTGGAAAGGTGAGCATGTTTCTGTCGTCGCTCATCGGCCATCCGCTTGAGGTCGTTCTGAGCTGATCTGAAGAAAGTAGCGGGCATCATACCGCGAAGCGCTCTGCCCTTGCTGCCTTTGAGCTCAAATCGTGACGCTCTGCCGCCGACCCGCATGTTCACTTCTTTTGCCTCTAGATCGGAGTCTGACAAGCTGACCGCCGATTGTGGCGAGGTCTGTCTGCGCTGGAGCCGGCGCTCTGCGTGAGTAGCTTCGTCATCCGACTCATGATCGCTCGACAAAGGGACGATCGCTGGGCGAGCCGGGCTCGGCACATGTGGCGATGATACTCCATTCAGTAGTGGCTCAGTGGACGGTGCTTCTTGCTCAGTTCGCAGAACAGGTCTCGGCCTTGGCCTCTTCCTGGCTGGCTGTGTGCTTGCTCGAGCTTGCGCTGCTCTCAGCATCAGCAGGACGAAGGGGTTCTACATGATGAGGACGCGTACGCGGCTTGCGTCTAGCGAGCACAGGTGCTGCGAGGCCGCAATCGTCATCGCTGTCCGAAGTAATGAGACCGCCCGCGTCTTCGGCTGCCTTGCGAAGTGCCTCTTGTTTCCGTTTGGCTTCTGCCTTGCGCCAAGCACGAGCTTCGCGTCGACGTACGAGCGCGGCTTTTCGCTGCGCCTGCATTTCCGGCGTGATGACGACAGATTCTTGGCTCTCGCGGACGATGAAGTCCTGCAGCTCGGGCGCGACACGAGTACGAACCGTCTGATCCTGCGTCGAGTCTGGTATTGAGGCGCCTTCAGGGAGTACATCACGTATCCGGGGCAGAGTAACGACAGCATCACTCCAGTTGTATCGTTTCAGGCTGGCCTTGTATTTGAGTTGCTCGAGCGAATATGGATTCTTTTGCATGGCTGTGCGTTTGCGGAGAGCATGTGCATAAGGACCGCGCTCCTCCTCCTGTTGGTGCACGAGTAACGCTGCAGCCTGATCGAGCATGACGGTATGATCGTCATCCATTCCTGCCCGCCTCGGAGTGCTCCTCCTTGGACTTGTAATCGGGCTCAGAGCAGACACTGGCGTGAGAGGCGAAGAGGCTGGCGGAATCTCTTGGTCGCCAACGGGAGTCCCTCTGCCTGAGCGCGGGCCAGCAGAACATCGCGAGCTTGACCGTTGCGGCGTGTCCGAAAGGACTGCAGCTATATCGTATCGGACTACTCCTGCAATCTCGAGCTCTTCCTGTGTGAGCGGAGCGATGGAAGGCAGCGGCTGTGACAAAGTCTCCCTATCAGCAGCGATTGGGGAGTCGAGGACACCAGCAGGCAGCTCGTCGTCCAAAGTCATCTTGGAGCTGGAGGCGATCGTGCTGGCTTGAGAGGCACTTCTTCTCGACTGCTGCGTAGTCCGAGCAAGGAGACAGTCATCGTACGGTGTAGCTTCCCCTGCACTGCCATACCCATGTGTGAGCGGCAAGGGCGAGTGTCCGTGACAGAAAGTCTCTGAAGAGGCGATTGGATGCATTCGCGTTGGCCGGTCTTGCTGCTGGGCCAAGAACTCGAGCCATTCTCTCGCGTTGCCAGGTGAGGGGGGTATGATGTCCTCATCGTCGTAGGACTGGCTCATAGAGGGTTAAGGGGCCAGTCTGGCCGCCGACGACGGATCACGAGCCAGAAAGCGGCGAGCACGCGACCGGATCGCGTTCCTTCCCCTCGTGACGAGTAGGCAGGCGGTCCAATGAAAGCAGCCCTCAAAGTCTACACGGCCGGACCAGGGGTCTTCTTGAGCGATGCGATAGGAGAAGCCAGACGGGCGCGCACGCTATGCGCTCAGCACGGTCTACAGGCCATGACGCCCATTGACCCTGAGCTCGCGGCTGGCCCGACTCCCCCGTCAGCACAGGACATCTATGTCGGCAATGTCGCACTCCTCAGTCAGTTCCCTGAGGGCAGGTGATGAGTTGCTCATGGGTCTCAAACAGACGCAAGCGATGTCATGGTTGCGGACATCACACCGTTCAGAGGGCCGAACATGGTAAGCGTCGCCGTTGATGGGCTGACGAAGCTCATCCCGCGTGGCTGGAGGATCCAGGCACTGCGTGGGAGATAGGTTACGGCATCGCTCTGGGCATGCCCGTCTTTCTCTACAGCGAACAAGCTCAAACGACACTCAAAGATCGCACACCTGACTCGGGCAAGTGGACCGTCGTGGAAGACTTTGGCGCGACAGAGAATCTCATGATTGCCAGAGCGGGCATGCCTGTGTTCGCATCCTTGGAGGAAGCAGCTCAGCATGTCGGTCAGCTGGCCGCTCGAGGGGAGCTCATCGCGCGCTCGCATTGATTGGCGCGCAAGGATCGCATAGAGGTTTGGGAATGGCTGTTGTTGCATTGGTACAAGCTCATGCGAGTCAGCATTGCGAGTGAGATCAGTAGTTGATCTTCTCCGTCTGCCAGACCGAATTCGTCTCGAATTCCGGCGGCGCATCAGGTGCGATCTGTAGAGGGCCATGCCAGGTGAGCTACGGATGAGGCTGACCGTGTCCAGTGCAGACTGACCGTCTGTCCTCTGAACTTGCCCGTCAGCCGCTCGTCTCTGGCCATCATCATCTCCTCCCATTCGTCCAGCTTGTAGCGAGGCGGCTGCAATCCTCAGTGCTGTCTTTAGCCCGTGACGCACGATGACGACTCGCTGTGAGCTTGCCTTGCCACCGTTGGTGATCCTCCTGGCTGCAGAAAAGCCGGTGCCCGTGATGGCGAACATGGTCGTCAGCAGACCTGCGAGACGCTCACACTCTCTCAGCACAAGGATGAGTTGCTGAGGGCAGGGTGATCTACCAAACGGGATGAGGGCCTCCCAGGGGACCTGCACGCCCGAGATGAAGATGATCAGCACATCGAACAGGGGATCCACACTTCGCTTGCCGGCATCTTCGACCTGACTCAACCGAGCTCGACGGCGCAGTGAAATCGACTTTGTCAAATTCCGCCAAACTGCCAGGCAAACGCGCCGCGCTGTGTGTTTGGCCAGCCGGAGAGCGGTCTCGCATGGGCCTGTCGCTGGTCACATGGCTGCTCAAGATGGCCATCACACTGTCCAGCATACACTCGAGCTTCAAAGTCCTGCGCAAACATCAGCCCCAGAGGCAGCAGATCACGCGGCAGAGGCGAACAACAGGCCCTCTGAATGAGAAATTGAGACGGCGCAGGATACGGGAGGAAGCCAATTTCTGGCTATGTTGGGTATATAGACCGGCTACAGGGAGCGTGTGCGATGCTCATGCAGCCAGGCAGATGCTGCTGCTCAACTTTGTCTTGCCAGTCTCAGACACGCTTTCCTGGGCGATCCCTTTCTACGATGAGCTACTCTGCCTTTCACTCATCTGTCTCGCATCCAACCGTATCAGTGTGAGCTAGCGCTCCTTCTCCGCTGGACGGACGGCTGAACTCACCGCAGCTGTCGTTGTGGATCCACACGCGCTTTCTCAGGCGGACACTCGCGCCATACGAGAGAGCAATCGACGGCCTCCTTCACGTCTCACAGGCCCTTTCAGACAGTGTCAGCGCGCTTGCGACCGCTCCGATGGATCTGATGTATCGTTCAGTCGATCGCTTCAGGCGTGCAACGTCATGGCATGCAGAACGAGTGAACCGAGAAGAAGTACCCGTCAATGCCGTCATACTCCAGCTTGGCACGCGACTGGATAGCTTGTCCGGGCCAAGAACGCCAGAGAAGCAGCCGCTTCGTCGCTATATCGCCACGCCAGCTCCCGTACCTGGAGCGCTGCCCCTGACTGCCCGACCGGCACGACGGATCAAGAAACGCGCCTCTTGGGTCCAGGAATCCGCATTCTCACTCTTAGGTCTGCCTCAGGAGAGTGACATGCAGCTCGCGACGCCTTTGTCAGCTACAAGTACGCTTCGCTCATTGGAGCCAGACACGAACCTATCGATCGATATAGCGGCATCGCATCGACCTCGTCCGTTAGAATTTGGCACCATAACATCGGCAGAAGAGATCATGATGCCTTCAGCGATTCCCTCCGCTAGCCGGTCATCATTCAAAAAGGTGTCTACACAATCGCCGGCTCGAGTAAAGCGTGTGCGGGAGCCGCATCTACCAACACGATCCTCGCCTCGTAAGCGAGTCGCAAGAATCGCAACAGAGCCGACTCCACAGCTGCGGCAACCCAGACGGACTTCTCGTCTGCCCGTTCCCATCAGGGAGACGGCGCGGCATAGCTAGTATGCAAACATCCCGATGCAATTAAATAGATAATAGGAACATGATTTGTGTGTTGTTGTTGTATGACACAGTGAGCCTCTGGTGGAAGAGCGCTCGAAAAAAGTCTAGCGCTACTGTTTGCGATTGGCCTAGTCTGATTCGGTTCGCTCGGTGCCCAGCTCGGAACGCTCCTCTTCCTCCTCCTCTTCTTCCTCTGATGGTTCCTCCTCGCTCTCTGGATCTCTGTGGGACCGACGCTTGGAGTACCGGCTCTCGTCATCGTCGTGAGTTCGGCGCGAGTGACGTGATCTTCCGGACGAGTGTGGTCTGCTGCGTGATGAGCGATGCGAACGACGCGATGAGCGATGGGACCGTCTCGAATAGTCGCCCGATCTCGAATAATCGCCAGAGTGACGGGTGCGACTGCCGCTGTAATCGGCAGGATGGCGCATGGAATAGTCTGTGCCGACGTCCTTCTCACGATCGAGCATGGTGTTGTACATGTCTTCGTTGGCAGGCTTCTCTCGCTTGGGCGGCATGGCGATCATCAAGAAGAGGAACGCGCCGACCTCCACAACGACGGCGGCGATGGTGAACCAGAGATTGAGGTCGAGCTTGGGCGATGCAAAGCCTAGTGGTGTGAAGAGCAAGCCGATGCGAGAGTTAGCTTGTGTGAAGGCATTGAGGGCGAGGCCGAAGCTGATGCCAGTCGCGCCAATGGAGAGGAATGTCATGCCAATGGCCAAGAAAGTGACAATGCGGAACGGCAAGAGCGAGAAGAGCAGAGCGAGCAATGTCGAGCCGACTGGTATTGAAAGCATCAGCCTCGCTCTATGCTGAAGTGGCCACGAGTGCGTACCGGCGAGCGGATAGAAAATCAGACTGGCCGTGATGGGCGCAAAGACGACTTGGGGCGCCACGCCTGGATTGGCTGCATAGCCTGGGAAGTTCTCCAGTGCTGCAAAACTTGCATCAGTCACGAGCTCCGGGACATCTCTAGGCACCTACTGAGAGAGTAGCCGACGTTGGTCTTTGGGCACGTCTGCACCCCCGCAGCATTTGTATAGCAATATCCCCTTTCTACGCATCAGCCCTGGCGTTCTGCAGAGAGACAGAGTGCGACTCACCACATGCCAAGTCTGAGTACGCCGCCATCACCAAAGGTCGTCGTCGAGAAGGAGAACTTGTTGAAGATGGGCGTTCCGATGGTGGTGATGAGCAAAAGAATGGCCGCGCCCGTCAACGCTCCCATGGCATTGAGCCGGAAGAAGGCCCGACTGTCTTGACCGTCAGCAGAAGTAGATGCTGCTCGTACAGCTAGACTTACATGAGCGAGAAGCCTTGACCCTGTTCGTGCATCAATCAACGTCAGCGCTGCACAGACTTGGATCAAGCCTCAACCCCGCATCAAGGTTGGCCTGATGGCGGTGCCGGGCCGAGTTCGCAATCATGCTTACCATCTCGACTGATGTGTCTGCTCACTCCTGATGATGAGCGAGTGCAGCCTTTGCTTGCCTGCCAGTCTCGTTCGCAGCAGCAGCTCTGACACAATTGTTCGACCCTAATCGAGACATCCCCGGGCGTGGCTCGGCTGAGACACAAAAAACCCACGCGCGTGGCTGCGACGATCAACGCTGGCCACGCTCGATTAAATGACGATAGTGATGAAGAGCGACGGCCAGCCTCTTTCTGACAACAGAGATGGAACAGTATCACAATTCGAGGGACGATGCAAAGGCTCCTCACCTCGCTTGTTGCTGCGTGCTCAGAGCGATGAGCGTATGCGCAGCGTGGCGTGTATCAGACGACAGACCTTTGCAGCATCGAGCGAGGCCCAAGAGCGTTGGCGGCAGGATGTATATGTACTTGCGTCAGAGAGCGCTAGAAGGAAGAGGGACGGTCGTCAGATCGAGGCAAACATCGCGAGACGTGTGAATCAGCCGCCGGGAGGTGGCAGTGTGAGCTGCTCAGCCGCGACTGAGCTGACTGAGCGCTTCGATGACTTGCATCTCATCAGTCGATAGAGGACCTTCGTCTTTGACTTTCGACTTCTCCGGTGTATCGAGCAGAGCGCCAGATGGGCCTGGGACGGAAAGGCTGAGCGCAGGGTCGGTCGGCACTTCGCCGAGATACTCAGATTTATATTCAGACTCGTTGAACTCGTGCAGCTGATGATGTTGTTGTTGTTGCTGCTGCTGCTGCTGCTGCAGCTGAGTTTGATGCTGCTGCATAGCCGCACTGTGAGCGGTGGCAGCCATGATGAAAGGCGCCAGAGGTGGTACCGGCACGTCCTCTGTCAATTCAGGATCGATCTCCGTCTCTTCTGCGCCTTGTACAGGCATGGTAGGTGTGAGCATACGATCAGGCCAGTTGTAGCCTTGCCCGGGCTGCATGCCTCGGAGTGGGTCCGGCAGTAGCTCGAGCACGGCAGGCCAATCGGGCGGCAGCTTCATAGGCAATAAGCCTCTGAACTGGAGCAGCTGTATGCGAGAGCGCTGATGGGGTGTGATGTGGCCGTAGCGAGCGCAACGAGTGCGGCTCTTGCGGTGATCGAACAGACGATGGCAAACACCGGGCTTGCAGACCTCGAACGTCATTTTCTGGCCGTTGACATAGTGTTCTATCTTCTTGGGCAGCACGCCTCTCGGGCTCTCATACTCGAACAGCAGCTTGACGCCTTGCTGCTCGAAGCGGTCCGGCAGAACGAGGCTGTACGTCGTCTGAGGCTGATTCGGGCTGGCCGCCATCCTGCTCATCCTTCACTTAGCCTTCTTGGGTTCGCTGGCCTGCTGTGGACGTCCAGTGAGGTCTGTGAGCTCGCTTGTGGGCCTTCTCGAGTTCGGTTGACCCTTCAGGACCGTTCACTGACCGTTGCCGCCTCGGTAGAAAACAAGCTGCGCGGTCCCGGCCTGCCCCCTTGTGGCACCAATGGCCCCAATCCCAGTCAGAGCGCCCCCGTCTCGAGTCTTGACAGGATCGGCTCGATGACGCCAGACGAATCACAGCCTGAGTACCTCATCGATGCACTCGCCACTCGCCATCGTTCCGCCACGCTGACGTATGCTCAGTCTCGCGATAACAAGATTGCCGGCCCAGGCGGGCAGATGCTACCTCTCAGCTGTCCGGAGAGTATGCGCATGACTCACTGGTAGGTGACGATGACGTCGATTGGCTCCTCTTGACCATTCAGTCGTATAGGATGCGGTATATGCACGACGCCATCCTCGTGGGCGTTGGTACCGTCTCGGCCGATGATCCTCAGCTCAACAGTGCGTTGCCGCTGGGGACGCATGTCAACCCGTCTGAGATGCCCTCGCACAGCTCGTCACTTACCATTGACGTCAGACAAGCAACGATCACCGCGACCTGTCGTGTTAGATACTTTGCTTGTCACTTCGACTGGATGCCGGCTGCTGCTCAATTATCGCACCTCGGCAGGCCGACAACCCCTGTTCTATCACTCGAAAGATGCTCCGGACGACAGACGTGAAGCTTTGTCAGCGGCAGGCGCGGAAATGGTAGCGATGCCTTTGCTAAGTACGTGGCTCATTTCAATGCTCGTGTGAGCTCATGCCCGAGAAGATGGTCACATCTCGATGCACGCCGTTCTGGACGACCTCGACCAACGAGGCTACCACAGCGTCATGATCGAAGGCGGCGCAAAGATCATCGCAAGCTGTCTCGCTGCACCCAACCTGCTCGATCGCATTATCGTCACAGTTTCGCCTTCAATCGTGGGGCAAGGCATAGAAGTCGAAGATATCTCCTGCAACGGAGCCTACGAAAGATCAAGATCTGATTTGGCACTCGGAGTGGACACCATCTCATTTTACAAGCCAATCTGATGGCTACAAGGTCGGTCTAAGCGTCGGCAGCAGAGCCAGGCTCCTTGAAGCGGGCCAAGGCACGAGCGCGTGCCTTGGTGTGCTCCACGATTGGTGCAGGATACTTGAGCGCACGGAAGCGACCATCGCTCAGCTTGCCATGGGGATCGTACAGCTCTTTGCCTTTGAGCGATTTGAGCTCAGGCACGAAGAAGCGAATGTAATCGCCCGTTGGATCCGCCTTTTCGGATTGCGAAGTGGGATTGAAGATGCGAAAGTAAGGTTGGGGATCTGTTCCGCATGAACTTGACCATCCCCAGCCGCCATTGTTGGCGGCAAAGTCGCCATCGATCAGATTCTGCATGAACCAGCGTTCGCCATGTCGCCAGTCCATCATGAGGTGTTTTGCGAGGAAGGAGGCGACGTTCATGCGTACGCGGTTGTGCATATAGCCTTGCTGCTTGACTTGACGCATACCAGCATCAACGAGAGGATAGCCGGTACGTCCCTCCTTCCATGCCGTGAAAAGCTCCTCGTCGTGTTCCCACTTGACGGCTTCATACCTACGCAGAAAGAATTGATTCATGCAGATGCGTGGCCAAGCGACCAGAACATCTTGGTAGAAATCTCGCCAGGAGATCTCCTGAACCCACATGCCAATGTTGCTGCCTCGCTCTGCATCGAGCTTGCCTTTATTGAATGGCAAGGTCATTCGGATGCAAGCGCGCGCAGAGATGACGCCAGCAGCAATGTAGGGCGATAGTCGAGACGTCCCATCAATGTCAGGGCGATTGCGATTCTCTGCGTATTGGCCAAGGCGACTATCTTTGGCGCCAGGCCCAGAAGCCTGCTCTGAGCCCTTGGCCATTGGCTCGAACTCGAAACCATGCTCGCGGGTCTTGTACGCAACGAAGCGGTCAAGCACTTCGTGTGCAGTCTTCTCGGATTCTGGCCACATTGTCTGCATCCGCTTGGCGTCCTCCTCGTCGAGCTTGAAGCCTTCTACGTAGTCGGGAATCTCGCCCGTCTTGAAGAGATCAGCGCAGGCTTGAGCGGATATTAGCTCGGATCAGTCAGAATCGAGATACAGCGTACTGTCGTGTTTGTAGATGCTTTCGTCGTTCGCCGCAGGCTCGGGCGACTCATCAAGGTATTTCGATTGATTTTGCTTTACTGTAGCAGTCCAATTGCGCGCCCAAGGCGAAAAGACAGAGTAAGGCTTGCCTTGCTGAGTCCTGATTGTACCAGGCGGCACGACACAGAGATCATGAACGAACGAGACGTCGATGTTGGCATTGGCGCCCTCTTTGACAGTTGCAATGTCGCGTCTGAGCTCGTCTACCTCGTGCTCTATGTTGCCGAACAGATGCGAAGCGCGAATTGTGCTACACCATTTGATGATCCGTTGAGGCACCTCCTTCCGCTGGTCGACTGTGAAAGTGTAGAGTGGTATGTGCAGGTCCTTAAGGTCTTTCTGCTCGATAGTTTGTCAATATTATGCTCGTTGGCATTCAGCAATCTTACTCTGAGAGCTCGCAAATTACGCAAGACAAAGTCGATGCGACGTGCAGAGCGATCGTGAGCTTTGTAATCGCCAGGCGCTATGACGAAGAGCACGACGAGATGCTTCTTGGTCTCCTGGGCAAGCGCACTGGCCTGGCTGAGACCTCGCGAATCGCGCAGGCGCAGATCTTTCATGCGCATGCTATACACTATCACGTCCCCTTTGGGATCGACTTGCTTCTCCTTCATCACATCCAGAAGCTCTGGCAAAATAGGGGCTTGACCCTCAGACAGCTCTGCGGCCGTTGCCTTGTCCCCGAGATCGCCGCGAGCATTCTTGCTGCCAGAGCTGGTACTCGCCCTGGGCTTCTTCGCTGAGCTAGGACTACTCGTAGATGACGCTGGACGCTTCGGTGCCATGTTTGGGCGGGGCTGCGCCGGCGATCGGCCAAAGAACCCGTCTAGTGTGCCCTGCTGCTTGTCAGGCGACGACAGTTTGACAAAGGTACGGGTATAAAGAGGCAGGATGCGTTTATACCGACTCTGCAAGATTCGCTGACAGCTGCGCTCTTCAATTGGTAGGCAAGCTCGAGCCTTGTGCATTCGATCGAGAAGCGGCGATGGCCAAGCTTGATCATTTAGCTCGCTGCACAAAGTTTATTTATCCATTTTCCTGACGCGCCAAATGTGTCGCTTTGGTCTACCGGTATGATTTGCTCTTAGGGCCTTCGGTAACCTGGGCGAGGTACAGGGTGAGCATGTTCGCAATCTCTCTAATCAACTTTGCTCATCAGACGATAGGTTCGACTCCCTGAAGTGACCCACCTCATTTTTTGCGCGACTTGCCGCCTTGCGTGGATAGAGCGGTTGCGTTGCTGATTTTTGACTCTCCTCGCTCCGTCGCTGCTGATTGGAGTTCAACGAGTTTATTCACTTTTATGCGTACACATTGTTAGACTTGTATGCACCTCATAGGCGTGCAGCATCTTGAGACGAGAGGATGCAGGAGATCATGATCTGAACATGCTGAAATCATACCTGCCCGGTCGAGACGGGAGACGATGACAGAACAGACCATGCGAAGGGTGACACCCGTGCAGTGTGAAAGTACATGTCTGTCTTTGCCATTCCACTCACGCGAGGCTAGTATCTCCGCGTGCCGCAGCTCAAATCCGATCATGAAAAAAATGCTGAGCCTAGGCAGAGGCCTCGACAGAACATATTCGTCGGGCCGTCAACAGCATTGCGAGGACTAAGCCACAAAAGTGCATACCCCGGTCGATGTCGTATGAACAAATACTTGGTCTTGATGGAGCCAGCATCAGATGCCGGTTGGTGAAATCGAAATTCTGTCTTGTCCGGAATCGCGAATTTGCGACGATCGACAAATAGACAATTGCAAAGTGGGCGCGCGAGGCCGGCCATGTTGCCATTTGCACAGCGAAACGCTAGTTGGATCTTGGCGATGTGGAGGTTTATTCCGTCTAGGAGACCATAGTCTGCTCGAGCGCACGGATCGTGTCCAGTAGCGCACAGACGTCTTCCCTCGCGACATAGCCAAGCACGAGTTCTTTGCCGACGCAGCAGACGTAGCATCGATGTACATCTCAACGGAGATCATCGGCCCGGATTCTGTTTGATCTGACTGTACTCACACTCAGGATGAGTGTCATGTCGAGGCCATCAGTAGCCAAGATCTTGACCAAAGGGCTGGATAGACCCGAGATTGGCATCCGGACGTTATCGCTTCGCACAGATTATTTCTGCGATCCTCGCTCTGGTAGTAATCCAGCGATCTGTTCAGCTGGTGCGGGAGATCAGATCAGTGTCTCGGCTGGCAAGCGACCTGCATTCTATGTCGGCGACGACGACGGATCAAATGCTGTTTGGAGCGCGCATCAGGATGAGCGAAGGAGGCTGGCACTCGACGAGCTCGTCGAGTCAGAGGAGGGCTATCTCAGAGATTTGACCGTCTTTTGCGATGTGGGCTCCTTCTCTGAGAGATCTGCGTGGGACTGAAGGCGCCAGCAGGTCTATCTGGCTGATCTGCCGATGTTCTTGCCAGAGGCTGCTCGAGAGCTCATCACTAGAGACGCTCGCAAGCTATTGGACTTGCACAGACGCATAACCGCTCGCTTTCTTCTGAATTCTGACGCACGGCATATCATACAAGTACTGATCGACGAAGGTCCCAATCTAGCGATCTACCAGGACTTTTGCGCTCGGCACTCTGACGCAATGGATCTGATTCGACAATTTCGCCTCACGCACAAGGCAGAGTGGGAACTATATGAGCGGCAATGTCGATTGGCAGTTCTGCTCGCTCCAAGCCAAAGCAGCTCGAGCACGCTCCACCGGCCGACGTCAGCGATCACGTTCAGCACCTATGGCGCAGCTCAAGCTGATCAGGCGTCGACGCCTCAACAAACCTCTGCTGCGCTCTCTTTTTCAGACTATGCTATCAAGCCCATACAGCGCATCTGTCGTTACCCTATGCTCATCTCCGGACTGATCAAGTTGTATAGCCAAACACGCGATATGCCAGACTCGACACGGCTGCCGGACTCTGACTTATTGACATTACTTCAGCATGCGCGTTCGGTCTTGGCGGGTGCAGCCGAAGCTGTCGATGAAGCCAGACAAGTCAAGCAAGCAGAAAAGAGGAGCGCGCTCATCGCGCAGCGCATGCATTTCGCACAAGTAAGATCCTGCTTGTTTTAGCATGGTCGGGCACAGGCTCAATGACAATCGGCAGGCCCCACGCGACCGCCTCGTATCCGACTATTTGGGCATCGTGCAATGCGTCGGGGCACTATACCATCAGACGCAACTGCACGCTGTGTCCGGGCCTGCGAAGGTCCGCTACATGGCAGCCATGCTCTACAAAACGCACCTCGTCCTCGCAAAGGTTCACAAGCGCTCTTACGAAGCTCGCATCTGGTTGCCTCTGCGCGCACTTTGCATACGCGATATAAAAGACGACGACTTATCAGACAGTACGTCCTTTCCCTGACATATTGCGTGGGCTTCGGCTCATTTCAGTCGTAGTCGCAGTGCCTTGCGCCATCCAAGTCCAGTGCCAGCTCGACAACAATTCAGATGCAATGGCAGCGACGTTCTACCTCGGCGCGACATGCCGTCAAGAGAAGGCAGTCTGGCTCAGGCGTCTCCAGGCTGCCATAGATGGAGCCCAAAGCAACTGGGACACTGCTGCAGATAGTCACACCAACAAAATCGACGATGCGCTCATTTACAGCCTGTACGCTGGCAAGCCAGAAAGCAAGGACGACACGCTAGTCGCCAACTCACGTGCTAGCATACTCCGAGACGATTTGGACCAAGGGCGCCCACAGCTGCGTCATGTCCGAGCCCAATCAGCGACAGATCTGCCACGATCGCGCATCAGCCAGACAGCAGCTACGCTACTGCTCGGAAGGTCACCTTCGACCGACCGAGCAGACGTAGATGCTGCTCTCGAAGATGTGTTTTCAGATGAGCTGCAGACCGCTCGTCGCATTGGCTGCCTCGAAGTCAGAGAGCCGCCTCGTCGGTATTCGTACGCGGGATCCTCTTTGAGCAGTGCCCAATCGCTCTACAGAAATCGCAAGCTTCGACGCAAGAGCACGCTAGAACTGACTTCGTTGCCACCTTCGAGGTCGATCTCTGCAACAAGGGAGTCTTCCGCAGCGAGCTCGCCGAGACATTCCATGTTTGCGCTGGGTGAAGACGCAATCAGTACCTCGGCTATTGAGCGATCTAGCGATGTGCACAGCTTGTCTCCCGACAATACCACCTCTGTGCTCTATTCAGCTGCCATGTCGAGCTCCAACGTCAGCGTTCTGTCACTCGAGCGATACCCAAGCGCGCCATCTAGTCCGCTGCAGTCTTCTAGCCGAGCATTATCAGACGTATCGCCGCTTCTCGCGAGCTCAGCTAGGCTGCACGAGTACGAAGATGATAGCACGTTGCGCGCGGCATACTTGCGTATCTCTGAAGATACGACGAGTGATGCCGATCTTCTGATCGTGCCCAGCGCATCTCCGCCCGATGTATCGCAGGCCTCGACGCCAATGCCAATACAAGAAAGCGGCCGTGGCTTGGTATCAGTCTACGACGAGACCCATTCGAGCCAGCTTTCGCACGAAGAGCTAGCTCGACAGCTCTCACGCGATGTCGAGCGCAATCTCTCGACTTCCACGACATCATCGTCTCGATCGGGATCGAACTGCTTGTCTGATGTTTCATCTATGCCTTCGAGCTGCGATTGTGCCGCACAAGCTTCCTCGCTGCCGACATCGGTCGAGAGCGAGTCCTCGCACTGGCATGGTGTCAAGCAAGCTCTTGGGTCTCTGACTCGTCGAAAGTCCTCACTCCTCCGCGAGACTATCGCAACAGCGCCGCTCACACCGGTCATCAGTCCCGACTTCGCAGACGCACAATCTGTCGCGGCACAGAAATTTCTGCTCGGCAGCCCCGCCACCGTCAAGCCATCGCCTCGCCCTACTTGGCGACCATTCGTCAGAAGTCAGAACAGACCTCTGCAACCCAAAGCTGACGCTCTCCAGATTTCTGTCGAGGGCTCGGCCAAACTCGAAGATGATTCCACTTCATCACCGACTTCCTCACAGAAGCCCACCTTGCATCGCAGCAGGAGCCGGTTTGGCAGCTTGGTGCGCATGACGCCGCTCACCAAATCACAAGACGAGCTTCGCTCCCCTGGTCACGGACATTCATCATAATCTCACTTCTGTATACGTAGCATTGTCACCATAAGACACTCATTGCATGCTGCATCTGACAGAGAGCTCCGCTAGGCATAAGCATGTGCGGCACATCCGGGCAGGGGTTAACTGTCCCAGCGACGCGCGCCGACTTGCCATTCTCGCTTGAATATTCGCCTCGCCAAACCGGCAGCGTCGCCGTACTCGCAGCGAACATCCAGCATGGCTACCGTCGTCTACGGACTGCATGCATTCGATGCAGAGAACCCAGACGAGATATCATTCATCGCGGGGGAGAGGATAGACGTGGTCGAGCGAGACGACCAGTACAATGATGGCTGGTGGCAGGTAGGCTCGAGCTCGCTACCAGTCGGGACTGAGTTGACTGGAGCGAGCGATCGTCGTTAGGGTCGCAACGCCGCCGGTCAAGTCGGCCTATTCCCATTCTCCTATACAACAGTAGACGCTCCTACACCGGCGCCGGCAGCGGCAACGACGGCGTCGCCTCGCAAGTCTGACGCTGTCGAGCGGTCGCCAGCGGGCCTGCCGGCACCGCTCAATGCGCAAGCGCTGAGCTCAAACAAGCCGCTTCCTGTACCCTCGGCTGACTCTTTCCCGATGTCAGTCAGCTCGACGGAAGAGTCATTGCCCGCCCTGGCGAGTAGCACTGGTGCGCTTGATCGTAGCGGTCCTCGAACGAGTTCAGAGGCGACACCAATCCCAAAATCAAGCGCCAAACTCGGCTTCCCTCTGCCGACAGATTATGCCAACGATACCCCGCCGGCGAAGGAGAAGACGGAAGCCGAAGCTCTGTCTGCCAGGTCAGGAAGCGAATTGCCACGCTCGGCAGATCACGTCGACTCGCCTATCATGCAGGGCACGATGACAGAAGTTCAAAAGGCCATTGCTGAGCTGCGCTCACCTCCCGCTTCAGCCGCAAACGGGCCCGGCCGGCCGCGCAAAGGCACCAATGAGACGACAGAGAGCAGCGTTATATCCAGCCGCGACGAAGATGCTAGTGACGCAGACTCAGAGTATGAAGCGGGACCACGTAACCGCGCCAAGCTAGCCGAGCGTGCTCAGGCTGATCTACGGCGACAAGAGGAAATCGCACGAGAGCGGCAGGCCGCAAAGGACCGCGAGGACGAAGCAATACGTGCTCAAGCGGCCAACAAGAGGCGAGAAGGTCAAGCCGTCTTGCCAATTGAAGGCCTGCAGCTTAGCGATGATTCTGGTGACGAGGGTGATGAGTCGCCTGTCATCCCTCGACCAGTGCCAGCCTCGGCAGCGCCAGGTAGTGAGCACACGGGCTACGGCCTCGCAGCTGCAGGCGCAGCAGGCCTACTGGCAGCGACCTCTGGCGCGGCTGTCCTGGGCGCGGCTGCCATAGGAGCTGGTGCATATGTCGCCGGGCAGACTGCTGAGCCCGCGGACACGACCAAGCCCACACAAGACAATGCTGCTTCAGGCACATCAGACGCGGCAGCAAGAGCTCAAGCCGGCTCACGTGCCATCTCTTACTCCGAAAGGGCTCAGCCTACATATGCCGAGCAAGGCATGCCGCAACACTTGTCAGCATCTATGCCGGCAAAGCCGTACGGCACCGCCAATCAGACACATGCGCTAGGTTTGGCGGGCACCACGGGCGGCTCGAGTTTGGTTCACGCCGTCGGCAACGGGACCATGTCTGCTATGACATCAGAAGACAGTAGGCGAGATTCTCAGCCAGGAGCATTCGGCAATGGTCAGGCATCCGGCATGGCCGCATCAGGCGGTATGCAAGTCGGCGGCGCATCTTCGCAGAACGGGATGTCGAAGATGCAGGGACAACACCGCCCAGATGACCCTCGAGACTGGACGGTCGACCAAGTTGTCGAATGGGGCGCCTCGAAACGACTGGACGCTTTCACGCTCGAAAAGCTGCGGGAACACGAGATCACTGGAGACGTACTGCTTGAACTCGACAAAGATACACTTGTACAGATGGACCTGCGCGCATTGGGACCACGCATGAGACTTTCGAGAGGCATCCAAGAGCTCAAAGAGGCTCTCGCATCGCCCAATGCGTCTCTCTTCATGGCCTCTCAGGGTCGATCGGACAGCGGGGGCCTTGCATCGACGCATATGCAGTCACTAGGCTCGAACATGACGGCAGGACACTCTATTGATACCCAGCGTCAGCTCAATGGCGGCTATGCCGCCCCCAGTATGGCCCCTAGCACCACTGCCGGCAACAGCGAGCTCTATATCGTGCCTTCGCCCCAAGATCTCCGGACGCGAGAACCCACGCACTCTCGAGAGCCTTCGGTACGCGCTACAGAGCCCGCTTCGGTAAGCAGTCTCCCATTGATGGCTTACTTGAGCTAATCCTTTCGTCCAGCAACCTGCATCACGGCCTGTCTCTACGGGTCAAGCGTTGAGCTCGGCGCTGGCTTCGCCTGCGCTACATCACAAGACACCGGGAGGATCGGTGGATACATTCGATACCGCAGACGAGCAGCCGACGGAGCTTTCGCCAAGGTCGATACCGTCGACAACCACGACGGACACGGCAGCTGCGACAGCTTCGACTCTGAGGCATGTCAAATCAGACCCTCGTGTCACGACAGACAATGCGAGCGAGCGATCCGGAACACCCACGAATGACCTCAAGAGATCTTCGTCGAGCACCAAGGGATTCTTGGGTACAGTCTTGCGGCCAGGTCGAAAAGCACCGCCTGCTGCCGGCAGTATCAGCTCGCTCGAAGGCGTGCAGCCTGACACTGTCAGCGCGACGAGCGGCTCGCCAACGAGCAAGGGAATCAGGCCGCCGAAACGTTCCACCCGCTTGTTCGGCTTTGGTCAACAGCCGATACCTGCCGAGCCGGAACGGGCTCGACCGATGATATCGAATCCGTTAGAGGCTAATAACGGCCTTGCATCTGTCGGCGAAGACGGCGAGCCCAGCTCAACACCTCGTAGCCCGCCCGCCACCAAGCCACTTTCGCCAGCGCCAGCACCGCCGCCTAAGACGAACTCGGACACTAGCATCTTCCGGTCCGCGAATGCGTTAAAGCAGATCGGCGTGCCAGATCACTCTGGCTGGATGCTGAAACGAGGGCGTCAGTACAATATGGCCAAATTGCGCTACTTTGTCCTCAAAGGCCAGGACCTATATTACCTCAAATCCGATCAAGAGCGGAAGATCAAGGGCTGGATACATCTTGTCGGCTACAAAGTCTTGTCGGATAGCGACTTTTCTGGCGGACGGTTCGGCTTCAAGATTCTGCACGAAAGCAAGCCTGCACACCACTTTGGATCTGACGACCCGAGCGTGATCCGTACATGGATGAAGGCGCTCATGAAGGCCACCATCTCTCGCGATTTCTCCCGTGAGCTTTTCTCTGCATACTTGTCGGGATTGAGCTCATCCTGTCACAGAGCCCATCATTACCTCCTCACACATTGCTACGATGTCGCTGGCAGAGGCGCAAGCGATGAACCCGCCGATCAGGCCGCCCTCTCCTAGCCAGCGTGCACAGATCCAGAAGGCTCACTATACGACGAATCCGAATACGCTGACGCCAAAGGATGCAGAGATACTGATGTCGCTCAGCAAGCCAACGCCCGCGCCGCCGATCAAGAATGCGTCGCGCAAGCGACAGAGCCAAGCTGGATCAGTCATCTCACCCCAGAGCTCGACGTTTGGCATTTCGCAAGTCGCAGAGCAACAGGGCGGCCAGCCGGGCCGGCCGACACGGCGGAGACCGAGTCAGCAGAGCGAATCGCCCATTGTACAGCGACGACTATCCTCGTTACACTCGCCCGCCAATGCAGATGAAGGGCTCATCGACTGGGCCAATTCGCATCTGCCTGCAGATTCTCCCCTGGCGGTCAATCTGGGATCCTCTTTCCAATCCGGTCAGCTTCTCACACGACTCATGGAAACGCTCTCTGGCAAATCGCTTCATATTGACGAAGCTCGCTTCCATGCTGCGAACAACGAGATGGATCTTGACCTCTGGCTGGACATCTTCGACCTGCTCATTGCGAGCGGTGTCGATGTCAAGGACATCAGTCCTGCCGACGTTATGCACGGTGATCGGGCAAAGATCAGCAAGCTGGTCGGCTCAATCAAAGACACTTATTCGACTTGAGAATTTGAGACGTTGTCGTTTGCTCCTTTCTTATGCAGTCCTGCCTGTTTGCCCGCTGTCTCGGATCTGCGACTGTTGAACAATGCAATGACACAGCAAGACCGGGCAGGCTGTCTACTTCTTGCCCTTTGTCGCCTCTGAGCCCTTGATCTTCTGCGTGCCTCTGAACTCTGCGGACACAAGGTGAGCTCGGGCGGGCAGGCGGTTCGTGTGAGGGCGAGGAACATACTCTTTGCACGGTTCTTACGCTCCTTGCGCAGCTTGCGGGCTGTCCTCTCCTTCTTCTCTGCGAGTCCGAACTGGAGAAAGGGCGATTGTCAGGTGTGTCGGCTTTCGAGGCAGCAGTCGACTCACTCGGATCAAACGGTACTTTGGCTCAAATTTGAGTGCATCCTTGGAGTCGTAGATGAGCGCATAGCCAGTCGAACGACCACCACCGAACTGGGTCCTGAAGCCGTAGACGATGACTTGCTCCTTGGGCGACTTGTAGATCTTTGCTAGCTTGTCCCTCAGTTCGTCCTTTGAGACGTTGGCACGAGTCGGGTGGAGGACATCGACGACCATCTGCTTGCGTTGCAGTGGTCGGTTGGTGAGGAACTTGCGCGTTCGCACTGTCACTGCTCCTGTCGGGTCCTGTGCATTCCATGTCAGCTCTGGCAGGGGCACGACGCTTCGAGCAGAGTGGCAGCAGCTCGCTGTGTCTGTGCAACGCTCCATGCACTCTCCGCAGATGCTGCTAGGATCGTTCAGACAGCGCCAGACGAAGCCAACATGCGGGATCGTATGATGCCGCTAGCTGCTGCCAACACTGCTGCCACAGCAGGCTGTGTACTCACCATCTTTGCTTGCTGCAACGCTCGCCTACCGCAAAGGCTGGTGTGAGGAACTTTTGATCGAGATTTACTTTGGATTTCACCTTTGCGTTTGACGCGATCCGAATTGCCGAGTTGCCACTGGCGCCGCGCCTTCGAGTCAGACCCCTGCACGCAACGCACAAGAGTCACAGTCAAGCTACGTTATGCGCAGAGGGCAATGTCGACGGCGCAACCGAGACCAGGCCGTCCACAAGGGAAGCGCAGCGCCAGCACAGGCGCTATAGCAGCTCGTTCAAGCAAGAGTGACTCCGTCTGTCGGACCGTCTCGGCAGACGTCTATCATCCTCACCACCACGACGGAGACGACGAAGGAGGAGATAAAGTCGCAGACGGTGCTAGCAAGCATGTTTTCTTCGAGCGAGAGTTGGGCAAGCAGGGCGAACCGGAGCTCGACATTGAGCACGTCCTCGTCGCCAATGATCCTCGCAAATGGTCATGGCGCAAGAAGCATTGGGTCCTCTTCGTCATCTCGCTCGCCTCGATATGCTCCTCGCTAGCAGCCAACATCTATTTCCCCGCGATCGCACAGATCCAAGCGGAGCTCGATATGTCCAATCAGATGCTCTCGCTCACCGTGTCGCTCTACATCTTCTTTCAGGGCTCGATACCGATTCTCTGGAGTGCCCTGGCAGAGATCTTCGGACGAAAACCCATCTATCTCATCAGCTTTGGCATTTTCATCGCCGGCAGCATCGTCTGCGCCCTCGCGACGAATGATGTCGAATTTCTCATCATGCGTATCGTGGCAGCATCTGGCTCGTCAAGCGTGCTTGCGCTCGGTGCAGGCTCACTCGCAGACGTATTTGAATCGGAAGTACGCGGACGAAAGCTTGGGATCTACTATATGGCGCCTCTTATCGGCCCATCGCTAGGAAGTCTCATCGGAGGCGCACTCACGAGCGCTTCGAGCTGGCGGGCGACCTTTTACTTCCTCATCGGCTACGCTGGCGTCTCTCTCATCGTGCTGGCTTTTTTTCCAGAGACGTATCGTAAGGAGCGCAGTCTCGCCTGGCTCACTGCAATGTCAGTGTCTCTGCATCTGACAGAATCCCCGCTCAAGTCGTTTGCAGGAAACAAGCACAGAAGCATGCCCAAAAGCGCTCGGCAAGAACAACGCCTGCCACGAGCATCGACTTGCCTCGTCCGCCATCGGCTGTCCGACAAGCCAATCCGGTCTTGTCAGAGACAGACGTAAAGGCGATCATGACGCCGCCAGAAGCGAGATCTGCCTCCGAGACTTCTTCGACCACCGTACATGAGGAGGTAATCACCAAAGAGGACATTGAGGCCAGCACGGATCAGCCGATCCGATTAGGCCTGCGCGACGTCAATCCGCTCTCGGCAGTGGGCGAAGTGATGAGGAGGCCAAGCAACGCCATCGCGTTGATCTTCTCCGGTCTGCTCTTCGGCGCACAGTATTCGCTGTCTTATACTGCTGCCAAAAGCTTCAGTGCCGCGCCATACAGTCTGTCGGCCATCCAGATCGGCCTCGTCTTGCTCGCATTCGGCGTGGGCAACATCGTTGGCTCTGTCGGTGGTGGCCGCTACTCAGACTATGTACTCAGACGGCTCAAGGACAAAGCCGGCGGCAAGGGCGTACCTGAGATGCGTATTCGCTCGACGCTCATCGCAATGCCCATCCTGCCCATCTCGTTCCTTGCATACGCTTGGGCGGTCCAATATCACCGTAGCCTGGCCGGCTGCGTCGTCATTCTTTTCATACAGGGCGTCGCTTGCATCTGGATCTACTCCTCAGTACTCGCTTATGCTGTCGATAACAACAAAGGTCGCGCTGCTTCTGCTGTGGCATGCAACAGCGTCTGCAGGGGCACCTTTGGCTTCCTACTGTCCGAAATAGCGACGCCCATCACTGACCGCATCGGCAATGGCTGGTATTATACCATCATTGCCGTCTGTCTCGCTCTCGGCGAGGCAGCGCTCCTACTGATCCTCTGGAAAGGCGCAGCCTGGCGGATAAGAGAGGGAGCGCGAGAGGAGCGCAAGAAGGCCAAGGAGGCTGAGCACCTCTAGACCATCGCACTCACTAGAGACACTGTTGCTTGTCTGTATCAAAGTAGATTTCTACGTGTCGCGCCGATCGCGTTCCACGGCCTCGTCTTGCATGAAAGTGAGCCGGGTCATCTTGCTCAAAGAGCCTCGCAACGATGAAGACGAGGATCCTTACATGCTGCTCTTCGCCAACGCCGGCTACGAGACCCGATTCGTAGCTCCTCTGTGTGCGACGGCTGTCGAACAGACCCGTCTGCAAGAATTGATCGCCAAGGGACCAGCGACTCGCTTCTCTGGCGTCATCTTCACCAGCAAGCGAGCAGTCTCGGCATGGAACGATGCCGCAAGCACTCTGCCATGCCCTCCGACCTCGCGCTGGAGTGAGGTACCCTTCTTCGTCGTCGGGCCGTCGACCGGCGAGATGCTGGCCTCGGTTCATTGCAACGGCAGGCCAACGAGGATCATAGGCAGTCAGCGATCAGGCACAGGCGCGCTGCTCGCAGACTTGATCATCCGAGAGCACGCCACAGAGCTCAAAGGCACAGAACGACCACTGCTGTTCCTTACCGGCGACAAGACTCGCGATACGTTACCGATCAAGCTCGCTGCTGCCGACTTGGCCCTCGAGCAGATGCAAGTCTATCAAACGACAGACTCGCCGAGATTCCAAGACGAGCTTGCAGCTGCTCTACGTGAGCTCGGCAAGGACGAGCAGACTTGGCTTGCCTTCTTCAGCCCATCGGGCGTCAGAGCTGTGCGAGCAACATTAGAATGTAGTCCTCGGACAGCAGTGGACCAGGCGAGTCTGAGAGTGGCCGCTATCGGTCCTACGACGGAGGAAGCGCTGCGCAAGACAGACCTCTTCGAAGTCCATGCGATCGCGGACCAACCAGAGCCAGAAAGCTTATTAGAGGCCATGCAGCGCTACGAGTCATAAAATGTTGTTGTGATGCAATCAAGGAGGTACAGACGCGTGTCACAAACATCGTGACGGCTTTAGAGCTTAGCCTGCTCGGCACCAATGTACTTTTGCGATTCGCGGATGACAGAGACTGCCTCGGCAACCATCTCGTCAACGATGGCCTTGGCTGGCTTGATGTCCTTGATGATGCCAGCCACGGCACCGCAGAGATGAGGTCGCTCTACGCCGTCATCGCGCATGTACATTGGGATCTTGCCTTCAGAGAGCATCTTGCGCAGCTCGGTCGAACGGTTTTGCTCCCAGTCGACGGCATCCTTATTCTTGATGATACGAAGCGGCCGTCCGGTGTAGATCTCCGAACGGAGCGTGTCCGAGTAGCCAGCAGCGACGACGGCATCCTTGTGTGCCTTGGGCGCGCCAGACTCTGCAATGCTCTGACTCAGCACGGCTCGACCTTGATGAGCGTGAGACATACCCTCTGACGCGACAAATCGCGTGCCGACCCAGACAGCAGATGCACCGTAAGCAAGCGATGAGGCGAGACCGCGACCGTCAGAGATGCCACCGGCAGCGATGACGAGGACGTCTTCACCGGTGAGTGGCGATTTGCGACCCTTGCACAGATCGACACAAGCCGGGATCAGGACCGAGAAAGGCACATCGCCCGTGTGACCGCCACTGATACAACGATACCACATCGTCAGCGAATGCGAGATGGACACCATCGCAGACAATGAGACGTACCCTTCACCACCTTGAGCGCAGATCATGTCAACACCCTGGGCAAGCGCCTTCTCGACATGCTTGGGGTGACCGATCATGTTCATGACGGGAATGCCCGCCTTGTGCAGCTTGTCAACGACCTCTTTGGGTGGCACGCCGACGGCGCAGACAAACAGCGATGCCTTTTCGTCGATGATGACATCGATCAGCTCGAACAGCTTACCGCCTGATGATCATGGCTCAACGTTAGATCTATCGCACTCCACGAGTGACCCGAGGACTCACCGGTGTAGTCAGTGTTCGTCTTTCTTGCGTTGCCGCCGACCGCGGGTAGCAGGAGATCAACGCCAAATGGAGCGTTCTTGTCCGTCAGATCGTCCTTGAGTTCCTGGATCATGTCCCTGAGGAACTCTGGCGTGTATCCGACACCACCGATGACGCCGAGACCGCCAGCGTTGGTGACTGCTGCCGCCAAAGCAGGTCCGGCAGCCTGATTCATGCCGGCCAACATGATCGGATGGGCGATCTTGAGTTGCTTTGTCGCCTTCGTGGTGATCTTTGCTGCGGGTGCCATACTGATGATAGAACTACTGTGAAGCGACGCTGCGACCGGTTGTGATGGGCAAATGCGATGGTCTCGGATTCTTTGCGGCAACTTTCCGGCAAAAGTACGCGACGACGATGTTGTCGACGTGGCATGCTGCTGCAGCATCAAGTACCCAGCACGCACTCCAAGTAGACTCGGCACGATGAACCGCTGGGATCAGCCGACGTTGGGCGGCGCAGAGCTCGCTGCACACAAGATCGAGCAAGCCCGACAAGCGAGCGCTTCGCCTACTCATCAGTCACTCGCAGCGTTCATGGGCGGCAAATCCTCTGGTCCTCGACTCAACCGTCCGGTCGTGCATGATGTTCCGTCTGATCTGGTCGAGCAAGCTCGGGTCCCGACCTTTCTGTCGCAGCGGCCGGGCGTTATGAATGATCTGCACGAATCTGCCGCGGCTGATCCCAATTCGCGCAAGTATAGAGGTGTGGCCTTACCCGGCATGGTACCAGCGCGCTCGATGACTGTCCCAGGCACATCATCCGCGATAAGCAACGACGGCCGAGCGTCAGTCGCGGATCTTGCAGCGGGCAAGCCAGAGACGCCCATCAAGTCGACTTCCTTGCCATCGAATGCTACGCTCGACGCGCCAAAGCCATCAGCTGCTCGAGCCTTTGTGAGAGACCGTTGGGTACACGATGAACCCGTCAAAGCCGCAGAAGCTCCACAAGCATACGAAGAGCCATCGTTGAATCAAGAGCAGGCTGACGATCTCGACTGGTGGATGCAGAAGCAGCTCGAAGGCTTGCCGCCAAGCGACAGTGAAGAAGATGATGCGCCTGAAGAGCCTACCACTCAGCGGGTCGCACCTCCTCAGACGTCCGTCGACGCCAAGCCAGCGTCTCCCACACTGTCTTCAGTCAAAGATTCGATCAGATCCTGGGGCAAACCGACGCAGGCCGAAGAGGACGAGGCAGCAGCGCGAAAGGCCGCTTACAAAGCAAGCTACGGCGTCTCGGCACCAGTACAAGGCTCAGCATCGCCGTCGTCATCTTACAAAGTGCTCGAGCAAGTTCCTGCAGGGAGACCTACTGATCTGCCCATCGCTCGCTCGAGTGAGGTGGCTCAGCCGTCAAAATCGACGACGAGTTCGGCGCCTTGCTGCTTCTGCATCCGACACACGAAAGGAGGACGCGTCATGCGCAAGAAGATCACTGATGTTCGTCACCCACGTGCTTCAGAAGGGCGCACTGATTTGCTTGCTTGTTTAGCCCCGGCCAATCATTAGCTCGGGATACTCTTACATCCTAAGTTCGGATGGTCAGATACTGCTCTGGCATGGTCGCGGAACGATGCTCGATGAGCAACGCGCGTCCTCAAGGGAAGCGACCGCTTTCAGCAAGGACAGTGAAGTGGAGGAGCTGCGCGAACTGCATTCAGACGAGAACAAGCGCTGGTGGTCAAAACAAGCTGGCAAGCTCGCTTCGGCTCATGTGTGTCGTCATCATCGGGCCATGAGCAACAACTGACTTTGCATGCACTGGCAGTATTGGCGCGCGAAGCGACCGGGCATGTCGACTCAGCATGCAGTCTACCACATGAGCAGAAGCTCGCTCGCGAAAGTTGACGAGGGATCCGGTGACGAACTGTCACACATCTCTACTGCGACCGTCAGCGTCATTGATCTCGCTTTCGAGCTGTTTGTCATCGTTCCTACGAGCATTGCAAAGTCGCCAGCGAAAGTGCAAGACATACGTAGCGCACTTCAGCAGGCATCTCATTTAGCGCAAGCACGTCAGTCCAAGCAACACTGGCCCTACCTGCCTCCTGTGCATGCGCTCGTCTTCCCCACACTTGTACCGATGGAATTGGCCGCTGTCGACTACAGTGGCAGCCTTCGACAATTAGTAAGCTGACGCTTGACTTTACCCCTTCTGCTTGCTGACACCCGAGCAGAATGGGTCAGATGAGCCAAGAGAGATGAATATCCTCACGCATGAGGAAGCGATGCAGGCGTTTGCGTGATCGGTCGAGGACGCGTTGCCCTGAAGCGCCGTCGCCCGAAAGCCTTTTTTCATTGCAAGCCATCGCATAGTCTCAGCTCCGGAATTGATGCAACGAGAGCGGCCGTCTCGCGAGTACGGTGCGAGTTGCAGCCAAGTTGCGATCAAACGACTTTTCATCGCATTGCGCACTCAGGCTCTGCGAGAATCGGCATTGTTTCGTACTCCTCCTGTGCGTTCGCTCGCAAGCATGGTGGCTGCCGATCTGCTCGAGTCCCAGACGGAGCCAAGTACTGCCTTGAGCTTGTGTACAGGCACCTTGCCTCATCATAGGCCTGTCACAGTCGTACAACTGGAGCCGCTCACGCCAAAACAGCAGCAAGAGGCCAAGGCACTGGCTGCATTGGGCATGCGTAGACCCTCAAGCGCTATCGTCATCAAGCTGCCTTCATTTTCTTCCCCACCATCCGCATCGACTCACGCGAGCTTGTCTGATCGATCCGTCTCATCTTCGGATGATACTCAGGAGAATGACAATACGGCCGAGATGGAGCTCGCGCTCGTTCGCACACGCTCGCCTGCGCCGGGCCATGTATCGCCCGAGACACCAGCTCAAGTGCAAGTGCTACGCTTGTGGCATGACTTGACTGAACGAATGTGCATGTAGTTCTCTACCTCGATGCGAAAACACTGCCAACCTGCACCTCTCGTCCGAGCGACACAATAAACTCAGACCACGCAGCGCTTCCGACGTATCTCATCGTGCGACACGACGCAGAGGTGGTCGTCGAGGTCATTCCGTCTCAGCGGCGCCCAACATCAGCTCCGAGGCCTGGCGTGGCACGCAGCTCACGCCACTCACAGAAAAGGAGGAATTCATCGACCTCATGACGCCTTGTTGGCGTCAAGCTGACGACGGTGCTGCTCATGCGATCGTCCTCGCAGGCAGTCAGTTGAGAGCTGATGCTCCTGCCTTTGCACCTGCAGCTCAGTCCGAGCAACCCTGTTGTCCGGTCACACAGTCGGCTGAACCGCGGTCAGGCTCAAAGCCGCAAGCAAGCTGCGACGCACCGTACTCACGAACGGCCAGCTCAGCTTTGCCTGCCGCATCCTCCACTGTTCCGGCAAGAGGGCCGATGCCTTGGCCGTCGCGCACGCAAGCTGATTTGCGCCCAGTCAACTCGCCGCGCGAACCGTCTCGCGACAGTGGACTACGCCCGCGTGCCAACACTGAGCACAGTACTAGAACCTCGCCTCATGTCAAATCGCTCATCGAAAGCTTTCACCAGCTTCATCAAGCGGATGAGGGTGTTCCTGTCAGCTTGCCTATTCATACTCGCGCGAGAACGAGAACAGTGTCAGATGATGCGGGCGAGAACTTCCTCGCTCGACTCTCGAGATGTCTCCAACCTCAAGCGATCTCGCACGAAGCACCTCCAGACACACAAGGACGTCTCGAAGCTAGTCAGCGGACCATCATCGATCTGCAGCACAAGCTGCAAGTGAAGACCGCCGTCGAGCGTGAGCTGCGCCAGCAGATCAGCATCCTCGACTCGCGCAACTCTCTGCTGACCTCTGATATCGCCAATGCCACGGCCACTATGAAGACGCTGCAGCACAGCTTTACCCACTCGGAAACAGAGATACAAGAGCTGCGAGCGAAGTTGGTCCAGCTTCAGCATCTGAATCAGCAAATGCAGGCTATCCAGTGCAACGGTCATTCCGATGCCCATGCTGGCCATTCGAGGGCCTCCGAATCGCACATTGCCGTCATCTTACGCCGTGTCAGTGCGCAGGTTAGATGGCATCCCTGTAGCTCCACGTCCCGCTGACGCCTCTCGCAGGATTCGCGAATCGCAGACTTGACTCGGCAGCTACGAGATCGAAGTGAAGCTGATCACTCGTCGCTCGTCTACAACACACAAAGCCCTTTGTCAGAGTCTCTTGCATCCTCGCAGGACGAAAGTCCGTGCCAAGTCAACGGACAGGGCGAGAACAGTGATGACGTCGAAGAAGACGCGACTTTGACGCATGACAACGAGCATCTCGTTGACGCACCGCGCTCGCCTTACGCGCCTGAGAAAGCGCCCTTCATGCTTCAGGCACGGCCAGCATATTGCGCATCGTCGCGTAGATCCTCGCTGCAGGGTCTGCCCTACATCGTGTCCAGTCATGATTGCAACTGAGGCATAGAAACACAACAACCCATATCGTTCATCAGTGTGTCATCAGTGTGTCGTGATCGTCAATGCCGTGAGACTCGGAAGCCATCCGTCAGATTGCGAAGCCATAGACTTCCAGTACTTGGTCAGTGGCGGACTGGTTCTGCCAGTCGTCTTCGTGCTCTGCCTCCTCGATGTAGAAGCTTCTTTTTGGTTTGAGGCGATGCTTGCTCTCTTCTGACACGGTGTCTATCGGTGAGGCACACCAGGTCTCGCTAGCGCTGGGCGACGCTATGCTGGAGTCCATTGTCGAGGCTGACGAGCTTCTGCTCCAGATCTCAGAGGACGGACTGGTCAAAAAGCTGCTTGTGCTGGCATAGCCCGATTGAGCGAGCGAAGGTGCCAGGGAAGAGACTGAGCTTGTCGAACCAGAATTATTGCGATGGCTATACTGCCGCGAGTGCAGATCTTCAGATGAGATCCACTGGCTTCGAGCAGGCAACGGCGCTGTCAGTGGAATCGCTGTGTCCTGGAATGTGACATGTCTCGCTGCCAGCTGCAATGGCGGTGGACGATGCTTCTTGCGTTCCGCTCGCTTGGGCGCGTCTACCGCACCATCAAACGGAGACGAGCTAGTCTGCATGACATCTTCGAGAAAGCTTTCCCAGATGGCATCGAGGACGAGCTCGCCATCGGAGGAAGCATCGCGCTGTCTAGTGTTTGGGGCTGCCAAAAGTCGCCGTTTGCTGAGTTTAAGCGGTTCTGTGCTCCGGCGCAGCAAGACTGGCGCCGACGCTTCTTCGATCGACATGTTTTCGAATGCGTCGAGCTCCTTCTGCCATTCGCGTGTTTGAGCAATCTTGGATCGAGGCGAGGCAGTGCTCGTTGACTTGCTTGCGGACGCCTTTACGCCTATATGCGCGATTGATCAGGATCAGCTGCGAGAACAATATCCAAATTGACTCACTGTCGGTATGACTTCGTATTGGCTGAGGACGCCTTCCATTGGCGGGAGAGGAAGGCATGCGTGAGGCTGTCTCGTCAACGTGCAGAGCACTGGTGCTCGCTACTGGCGCCTGCGCTGTGGACCAGCTGAGACGCATCTTGCACGCTGCGCAAGGCCTTGTAGAAATTGCTCCGCGATGATCGGTCTGCGTGTGCCCAGACGGGTTTTCTTCGGCAGTTGAAGAAGCTGTGTTTGTCCCGTCCACGCTGGCAGTGACCGTGCTTGTGGAACGGCAGCGTGTTGATGTTGGTGAGTGACCCAGGCTAGTAGATTGACGCCCAGCCTGGCCGAAACAAGTTCTGTTGTTGGGCTTTCTGGAAGAAGCTCCTCACTGCTCGTGCACACTCATTCGAGACCGCCCAATAGGTAGATAGACAGGAGGGCGGAGCAAGGTTTTGCTTGCACACTCCTGACGGACAACTCCGATGCATCGCGATGAGGGTTACATTCGCAGTCGCATAGAGCCAGATACGTGTATGACCGATCAAACGGGCTAATTTGGTCGCCAGCAATGATCGCGGGCTGGCTCAAGCCGTCTGTACGAACCAAGTAGATTAGCACTGATCATGACATTTTCGGCGGGATGCGATCGACGGTCGCGTAGAGATCAATTTGATTATCGACGCGTTCGGTATCTGATTCATCAAAGTGCCTCGTCGCCGGGCGCCGACGACGACGGAATTGCCCCCAGCGATCGCAGCCTGTGGGCACTTCAGGCCCATCTACTAATGGACAGCACCTTGCTTAAGACGCTGAACAACCCGAACTACGAAAAGCGAAAAAATGCGGCGCTTGAGATCGAAAGGCAAGCTGGCAGATGTCAATTGCAATCTCGCCGGGGTGCTGAGGTCATTGCAGGCTCATTCGGGACCATGTCGTGCATCAAGAGACTGCCAGGATGGCAGCAATCGTCGCGCAGCTTTGTGATCTCGCTACATCGACCTTGTCAAATAATCGTCTGGGTGGAATCTTGGGACTCGCAGCCGCCTCGTACGCTGTGCTCGCTTGCAGTCCTTCGCAGTCTTGCTCACACACAGTCGCAGGATCGCACTGGGTATACATATAGCAGGGCACCTCGATGAGATGGTTCCACCAATACTGGCATGCTTCAACGACCCAGACAGCAAAGTGCGCTATTACGCTTGCGAGAGCATGTACAATGTCGCCAAGGTCAGGACCATGTCGAGCGCACGTATGATCAGCTTACTCGATGGCAACAGGTCGCAAAAGGCGAGATGCTCAGGTTTTTCAATGAGCTCTTTGATGCGCTCAGCATTGTAAGTCCTGCTCGCGCACAACTGGTTTTCGTTGGCTGACTTGCTGAGCAGCTCGCGGCCGACGTCGAGGTGACCGTCAAGAATGCGGCAGAACTCGTCGACAGACTTTTTCGCGATATCGTCGTCGAAGAGGCCTCTTCTTATGTCTCCGCACTCGACAGGAGGAGATCGATGTCAAGGCAGACTTCAGAGGGTCGAGAAATCATTTCGCCGGGCTCAGATCCCATTGATGATCCGTCACCCTCTCCGTCGGCTCCGGCAGGCGATAAGATCGCATCGCATTTTGCTGACGCTCAGTTTCCACAGCCGCCAATGGCGTTCTCCCTTGAACGTTTCGTGCCGCTGCTGAGCGAACGCATCTACGTCGTCAACCCTCATTCAAGGATCTACCTGATTTCTTGGCTCAGCGTGCTCGATTCTGTCCCTGGCATCGAGCTGCTCTCATACCTGCCCAGCTACTTAGACGGCCTGTTACGCTATCTCGCAGATGAGAACTCGGACATCGTTACCGCTGCTCAGAATCTGCTTGCCGAATTTCTTGTCGAGATCAGAGAGGTAGCAGAGGTTAAGGCGCATCGCGATTCACAGAGGATGCTTCGCCAAGCGCAGCGAAAGGCTGATTCCGAAGTCAAGCGACATCGACGTGAGCAAGAAGGGCAGGGTGACGACCTGCAGAACGATGGAGGCTCAAAACCGGTCGAGGAGACCAATGAGATGGACGCCGACGACGAAGGCCACGGCTATGGTCACTGGGTACCCGGTCAGAACGTCGACGTTGATCATGCAGGCATCGTAGAAATCCTACTCAGTCATCTGCCGTACTCAGGCATGCTTCATACGCTTCCCGAGAGAGCTCATGTTGATATTTGCAACAGATCCAGAGATTCAGGCCACTTGCTTGACATGGCTGACAGAGTTCTTACGGCACCTTCACCCGGTTATGATCAAATTCACTCCGCGGTTGTTACCGGTCATACTATCTTGCTTGGCACTTGAGCAGCCTCAATTGCGCAGCCTGGCGTCGCAAGCCAGTCAAGAGCTGATGCTCATCATACAAGATCTCTCACCGCCACCAAAGGACGTACGAGACGGCAGTAATGTCACGGCCGACATGCTCATCGCATCGCCTGATGCTAAGACCCGCACTCGTGTATCCTCGCCGCCCAACGCGCCTTCGAGCTTGCCCTTTCCAACGACTGAAGTGCGCAAAGAACCCGGTCAGGATGCACCACGATCAAGCGAGGACGAACCTGGCCTCATCAGAGCAGATGTCGATCCGGGACAGCAACCCGACCCTTTCGATTATCAAGCGACTGTCAGCGCGTTAACGTTGCAATTTCTGAACGAGTGTGTGGAGACACGTGTCGCTGCACTCAAATGGCTGTCAATGCTGCATGTCAAAGCGCCGCACAAGATCTTGTCAATGGGCGATGGAACCTTTCCCGTCTTGCTGAAGACGCTGTCGGATGCCTCAGAAGAAGTCGTTCGCGCAGATCTCCAGCTTCTCGCACAGATCTCGTCGAATTCAGAAGAAGGCTACTTCAAGTCATTCATGGTCAATTTGTTATCATTATTCAGCACAGATAGACGTCTGCTGGAAACAAGGGGCAGTCTTATCATTCGTCAGCTTTGCGTCTCCCTCAACACAGAGAAAATTTATCGAACGATGGCCGAGATTCTGGAAAAGGACGAGGTGGGTGATCTGCCTCACTCAAGAAAATCGTTATTTATCTGCCAATAGGATATCGAATTCGCAAGTAACATGGTCCAGAATCTCAATCTCATTGTCATCACATCGCCTGAATTGTCCGACTTCCGCAAACGACTCAAGAACCTTGAAAGCAAGGTGCGCCCTCGAGCTTTCGAGCCACCTCCGAGACTCACGCGGATCAGCAGGATGGCCAGACACTCTTCGTCATACTATATCGATCGTGGTCCCACAATGCGGTTGCGACTTTTGCTCTTTGCCTGCTCGCGCAGGCTTACGAACCTGCTTGCAGCTTGCTACAAATCTTGTGCGTACATTCGAAGAGCTCAAAGTCTGGCTGATGCGTGCATTAGCGCCGAGCTTGAGATCACGGTCAATCTGCTGATCCAGATCGATAAGCTTGTTCAGCTGCTCGAATCGCCCGTCTTCACTTGCACGTTTTTCACTCAGCTTTTCGACTGCATCCTGACTTTGCACGCAGCTCTTCGCCTCCAATTACTCGAGCCGGATCGCTATCCTTACCTCTATAAGGCGCTGTATGGTATCCTGATGCTGCTGCCTCAGAGTAGCGCCTTTGCTACCCTCCGCAATCGATTGTCAGCTGTCAGTAATCTCGGCTTCCTACATGCTGCACCGAGAATGTAGGTCCTGCTGATGGAAAGTATCAGTACTAATACCGTAGCAGATCATACACGGCAGCTGGAGCATCACCACGCCCTCCTGGAGTACGCCGACAAGATGAGATCAAAGACGCGATTCGATGGCAGGATTTGCTCTCGCATTTCCGTGCCGTGCAGACTCGACACGAGCGCGCTCGGCTCCACATCGTGCAAGGCAGCACTACTGGTAGCACAGAACTCGAGCCTTCATTCAGCGGCTTGGGCATACAAAGTCATCGTGCGGCTGGGTTGCCAAAGCGAAAGCCGCCTCCTCTCAAAGGCCTGGACGCCGATGCTAGTAGACAAGTGTCACGCTCAGCGCCTACTACCGGTCACCGTATAGTCAGTCGGGCCAAGTAGGCTTTGATGATGAGCCATCAACTCCTTCCACCGAAGCATGCTCGGATTGACATCGAGATCGATCTTCGGTCTCGTTGTCTACCCAACACTGGCGGTTCCAAGATGGTCCCTCGTGCGATGCCTTCATTCGTTGCGGCAAAGCTATTGTGCCAGCATCTGCTAAGAAGGCAAGCCCGTGAGATCGGGCAAGCAGGTACGGCCCACGAACGGTCACGCACACGCCATTCCAGACGCCAGCAAGAGGCGCCTGTTGCCAAATGCGTGCCCGAGCGTATGGTCACCTCATGCTCAGCAGGAGATCTTCGCAGGCTGCCGCCAAATCGAAGCAAGACTTTTGATCGAGTTGACCCGATCTACCAAGATTGACGCGTTTTGACCCAAAGCATTATGTTACGCTCGCACAAAAGTCCGCTCTTTGACGTGTCAGAGCGGTTCCTTCCTGCCTTACTTAACGTGAAGCACGTCTGTCGAACGTCAGATCGTATGCTTGCAGAACAGCACTTCTTTGCTCATCGACGCAATAATGTCATCATTCGTTTGCGTAACCCCGCAGATGTCCACACTGCAAAACGATCAACAGGTGTGTACCTCGACCTGCTTCAATTCCGCAGACGGAGACTGACAGACTTGTAGATTATGCTCGAGGACTCGCGGCCAATTTCGGTCGAGGAGACACGATGGCATGCGTCAGACGAAGCAATAGTGCCCGCTGAGCTTCACGAAGAGCACTACCAGCTGTGGACCCCTGACGGCATGTCGCAATCCTGCTGTACATCTCCGAGCACATCTGCGGGCAGCTCACCTCTTCACGATGCCGGCGCATTCTTCCATCGCGAGCTTCAGTGCAGAGCAGACGCTTTCGTTGCAGCTCTGTCGCTCTGGGAAGCAGACAATCACAATGACGCTCATCGTAAGACGGCGCTCGCTTTCACAACGCCAGAAGAGGCCCCCGTCGAATGTCCTGACGAAGCGGGAGAGATCGACATCATGCTAGAGCCTGCGCCAGGTCAAGCGCGTCGCGCGAGCTGTCACTCACTCGTCGATGACCAGCTATTGGCTCGCTTTGACCTCGGCCTTGCTTTGTCAGTGTGCATGCATTGTTAAAATGATGCGCTAGAAGATTGCGCAGCCACGTCAAATGAAAGTATGAGCTACTGAGCGCTCGTATAGGTCAGCTTCGACCTGTCTGCCAGCGCAGTACCGTGCATCTTGGTATCTGCTAATTTGAAGACTGAATTTCTGCATCGCAAAGTGATTTCAACAACATTGTACAAGCGTGTGCGTAGTCTAGATGAGCCAGGCGGGGACGAATCGCTCGTCGATCTCCATCCAGACCTGCGGATTCACGTCAGCTTTGGAGTGGTGTCGACGGCTGAAAAGCTCACATCACGTATATCGAAGAGCTCGATGAACTGTTGGTCCATGCTGCGTGCTTTAGGCTCTGAGAAGCGCCGATACTCTTCGAAGATCGAGGTATGTGACCATTGCTGCATCTTGCGGATGCAGCCTACGAGGCAGCCGGTACGATGCTTGCCCGCTGACATCAGCCTGGTGACGAATGACGAGATGCGGATGCTCACTTTGCCCTTGTTGCAGTGGATTAGCATCGGATGATTGCGCGTATCGAATATCGCAACGAGTGCCTCCTTGATCATTTCATCTGGGATCTGCACGAATGGCTCCTGTATGTGTGGACAGTAGTCAGGCCATGCGTATGTCTCTCGCGCTAGTGAAGCGTGCCTTGTTGCCTGGTATGCCAAACTGCAGGAATTTGATGTTTTCATCTTGCAGGAATTTGAGATTCTGCTCGGGGTATTCCTCAAGAATCAACGTCCTGTGCGTCTATGAGCAACGCGCGGCGATGCATCTGATGGCGTACAAGACACTCTTGAGACCGAGACTCTTCAAGAAGGGGAAGTTCTTCTTTTTGGGGAAGCTGCTGCGATAGATGCAAGGCGCAATCATGGCGTAATTCTCTGGTGGCACGAGATCCTCTTGCGTGTCGTCCTGCACGGCCAGCGCCGCAGCGCGCAACGAAGCGAGCAGTCTGTTGGCTCCTTCGCTCGCGTCATGTCCGTCAGACAGCTTGCTAGGTTCAGACTCGTCTCTGGACACGGCGCCGTTGACGGGTGTCAGTACCGCGCTCGAGCTCGCTGTATGACCATAGAAACGCTGCTGTGATGCCCTGTCCTGGATGATGGACTGCAGAAAGGCAGGTACTCTGGGCGGATGGGCGCCCAGGCCGGCCGCAGCCATAGCTTGCGAGTGCCTTGACCAGCTGGGAATCAGTTGAATAGAGAGCAATGATGCCAATATTCAAGTAGAGACGCTCACCCTCGCGCGTGTGTGCACACAAAAAGCAGCTGCTTCATTGGGCGTCAGGCTAGGTCAATCAGCTCGCGAGACGGTATCGAGAGGGTCTCACAGTATCATGTGAGTCATGATGGCTATCTCTTGCAACGCCCTGCAGCCTTACGAGCGACCTCCTTTGCCCGTCAACGGCCAATCATGCCATAACCATCATGTGTTATGGGACTTCCTATCGCCACTCGTGAGCGGCATGCCTAGCAGCGGACGATTGTGTCTTCAGCTTCAACACAATTATGGCCGCGCAGCCGCCGGGCACGACGAAAGTTGGGCTGGTCTGACGACACGAGCTTGCACCGCGCGACGGTCGAGCCTCCCTCGACCGATCATAGTCGTCTCGCCATTGACACGTCGACCTACCGATTGACCTCTCTCTTCATCGCGGGAGTCGTGCGCAGACGTGGGTAGCACGCGAGCACGCTCAGTCGCGCTTATCCCATCGCGTCGATGATCTCACTCCTCACTCATCCCCATCTTGTGCTACAACGGTCCAATCGAACGCGGAGCTGACAATGAGTACGATTGCAGTGATCACCGCTAAGGCTTGCAAGGTCACCAGCCGACAAGGCTCGCTCAAGCATGTCCGAAATCCGTCGCAAGCTCGTGATCGTTGGAGACGGTGCCTGCGGTAAGACCTGCTTGCTCATCGTTTTCAGTCGCGGCACATTTCCAGAGGTACGTTTGAGCATGATGGTCTGCCTTGCAAGGCTTACAACTGCCTGCAAAAGGTCTACGTGCCCACTGTTTTCGAGAACTATGTAGCCGATGTCGAGGTGGACGGGAAGCGCGTCGAGCTCGCTCTCTGGGATACGGCCGGTCAGGAAGACTACGATCGACTCCGACCGCTCTCGTATCCAGATTCGCATGTTATCCTGATCTGTTTCGCTGTGGATTCGCCCGACTCGCTCGACAACGTCCAGGAAAAGTGGATATCCGAAGTGCTCCATTTCTGCCATGGTCTGCCCATCATCCTCGTCGGCTGCAAGAAGGATCTCAGGAGGGATCCCAAGACGATCGACGAGCTTCGGCGAGTCTCCCAGCGACCTGTCTCGCCTGAAGAGGTCAGCCGAGTGCCCGTTTTCCATGTCCACTACTGATATTGCGTCTGTCCGTCTCCGCAGGGTCAAGCAGTGGCGCAGAAGATTGCCGCACAACGATATATAGAATGCAGTGCCAAGACGGGCGAGGGCGTCAAGGAGGTCTTTGAATCGGCCACTCGAGCGGCACTGCTGAGCAAGAGCAAAAAGAAGAAAGGCTGTACCATCCTGTGAACAAACCTCGCACGCTCTCTTTGACGAAACCACTACGGACGGTCAGTCTGTCGGTCAAAGAATGTCAAACTATTACCATCTGCAACGAATCTGGCTATGGCGCGAATCTCAGTTCATCCTATGCTCCCGCTTCTCTCTTTCTCGCCCTCTCTGGCAGCCACGCTAGCTACGCAAAGGTATGCTGCACACACGAGCGCACCCTATCGACGGCGACATACTCTCTCGATGGACGTAAGCGCAAGTATACTAGTCCAGCAGAACAATAATCCCAGCAGTCGGCTAAGCTCGTGTCGCCTCCTTCTTCTCGCTTCTTTGTACGTGTGACAGATGCATACAGAGTCCTGATAGCAAGCCCTCCTGGCGTGCGGGCTAGATACAACAGTGCGAATAAGGAAACGAGGGTAAAGTGATGTAATGTCGTGTGAGCATATCACCTGCTCTTCTTGCTGTCCGACCCCTTGGCAATGAGCATAGCCCGACCTGGGGTTTGTGATGACTACGTACGCGTGCTTGGCGTCATATTCTGCCTTGTTCTTATCGTGTGCTGTGCCTCCCAACACGGGCTGCATGATGCCAGGCACATTGAAAGTGGATGCCTTCCAGCCTTTCATCATGCCCCTGTGAGAGTCATGTCAGGCACGGTTTGATCAATTTCAGGGCGATGACGCACGCTTGCATAGCATCTTGAGTTTCCTCTTTCGTGAGGGCTCGCTTGTCTGTCCTGACGGCGAGCGTGTTGCTGTGTACGTCATACCCCTTTGCCTTGAGGTCTTTCTTCGTAGCACTGTTCGAAGACTGCAGATCTCAGCTGGTCATGCAGCTGATCCTGAACGCTACGAACGCCAAGGCCTCTTTGCTCTTTGTGGTCGCGATGTAGACCGCAATGAGGATGCCGAAAAAGACGAGACCGGTGATGATCGCTCCTGCGATGTCGCCTGCTTGTCATGTCAGACCTCTCGTCCAAGGAGGTGCCACAGTAATGGAGCCCACCTGCTGTGGCCATGAAGGTTGATGGATGTGTGGAGTCTCCAGGGCTGGAGAGAATGCAACGCGTCGATCGGAAGCCCGACGATGCATGATATGCGATACATTCACTATACAAAGGCTACCAGTGCTCGTCGAGTGTCATCTGCTTCGCAATGTCCTGTATGATATCGTGCTTAGCTCGTTTGACGAGCTGGGCGAGCACGGCACTGACCGTATTGGCGACCATCTTCTGGAATTCGTCAAAGGAGATCTTGCCATCCCTGCTCGCGGCAAAAAGCAGTCAGTCGTGCGAGCGTACCACGACCAGAGAAGCCTGACCCGTCTAGGTCAGCTTCGAGTATCGTCTTGTCGACAATCTGTTGCAGATGTTGGTCCTGCTCGACCAGACTGAGCTCGTGCTGACGAGACAGTCGCGTCTTGCCTCACCTTGAGATTGTTGCCGACCATCATCTTGAGGACGAGGAAGAGCTCGCCGTTGGAGATGAAGCCGTCGCGGTCCATATCGTACACTTTGAACGCAACTGGCGAACGGAGCTGTCCTATCAGCCCAGTGTGACCTTTGGGCAAAGTCCAACTTGCATTTCAGCTTTTCTGACCTGTCGCCTCGATTGCTAAAGGCGCTGAGTCCGCCGACGAATTCTTGGAAATCGACCGTTCCTCCTCCACTGTTGTGTCATGACGTCCATAAGCGAAGCAACCAGACGAAGCGACAGTGAGCCGACTCTTCGTCAAAGATGGCAATCATGCGAGATGCTAACGGGTTATTCGCGATCTGCGGGATCTGCAGGAACTCTTCGCGGTCGATTGAGCCGGAGCCGTCCTTGTCGAGCTTCATGAAGCGTCGCTTGAGCCGCTGTATCTCGCTCGCAGAGACTGCAAGCCAGAATGAGTCGCCCGACAAGTCGAAAAGGAAAGGCGGCGACGTACAATTGGAAGAAGCTTCCATCTCGTGGAGCAGCTGACTGCCTGTGCATTCATGGCCCGTGTCAGACACTGCGAGGTCACCTCTCTGAGCTCCGTCCCCGTACCTGATTGACCCATCTTGGCTCGCAGCGCTTCGAGCGAGTCGCGACGAAATTCGGCGCGAGCAGCAGCAGCGAACAGCCAGGCGGGCGCGCACGTCACTATGACGATATCGTCAGCCGAGAAGGCGCTCATCAAGAAGCATGCAGTCCTCTCCTCCTCGGACAAAGTGCGCCTGTCGTCTGCCTGGCACACCTCCTGGCCTCATCCCTCTTGCTGACACAGATCACAAGCGGAGCAATTGCACGAATCTATTACGCCAGTCCCGACGCACGCCAGTGGTCCTTCTCTGGCCTGACGGGGGCTATCGTCCTCGGCAAGAATGACAAGACATGTTGGTTCCGGATGGTCGACTTGCAGGTAGGCTGCCGCGCTGTCCTTTGCCAAAGGCGCCAACCGACACCTTTGACGTGGGGCAGGGATCTCAAGGACTCACGTGGACGCATGAGATCTACAACGACTTCTCATATCACCAGGATCGCACTTTCTTCCATTCGTTCGAGGGCGATGTCAGCTCAGCCGTATCAGTACCACGTATGGAGCTCATGACGCGCCGCGCAGTCCTGTATGGTCGGCTTCGTCTTTGCGGACGAAGGCGAAGCGAGCGACTTTTACAGGAAAGTCATTGCCAAATCCCATTTCAGACGTACGTCTCCTTCGTTGCGCCGGCGTCCCTCCTCGCCTGACTATGAGACATGTAGCCAAAAAGTCAAAAGCTGTAGCGACGCCGCAGTCATCGCCCACAACAAGCAAGAGCACCAAGAAGCGCAAAGGTGCCATTGACAAATCGATGATAGGAGCACCATCGAGCTTTAAGCATGTTGCCCACATGGGCTTCGACTCCGACAAAGGCTTCACTTCCGAGAATGTCGATCCGTCATGGAAGACACTATTGACTCAGATGGAAAGTATGGGCGTCAGCAAAGTCAGTCCCATTTTCGTATAATCCCCTTTGGGCTCACAGCCAGTTCAGGCCGACATAAAGAAGAATGAAAAGTTTATACGCGATTATGTCGCAAAAGCAGGTGGACCAGAACAAGCAGCTGCAGCTAATCGAGCTTCCACGAGCTTACCCGCTCCACCACCACCGCCGACATCGACAAGTTCCGTCGCTAGGGCGACTACATCAAAGCGGAAGCAGCCCCCGCCCCCGCCTGCGTCTCGCAAGGCAGCCATACCCGAGCCAGACGTGCAAGCCCCTCCCCCGCCTCCGCTGCCACCAAGTCGTGCGAGCGTAGCTATACCGCCTCCACCACCCCGTGAGTAGCTAAGGCACTCCCGCGTATACGGTGGTTGACGTTTTCATTAGCAGCGCCGCCAGGGCGAACTTCCGTCGCTGCCCCTCCTCCGCGTATGCATCCCTCTGGCTAGTAGCTGCTCGGCTCTGATGTACACGCATGACAGCTCCGGCATCGGCAGCCAGGAATAGCGTGATCGCTCCACCACCTCCACCACCTCGTGCGTCAAATGGCTCCAGCCTGCTCATGACTGACTTCGTTCAGCAGCACCACCCGGACGCCAAGTAGCGAGTGTGCCTCCTCCCCGTAAGCACTGCATTGTGCTCTGCCGCGCTCTGCTGACGCCCGCAGCAGCTCCGCCAAATCGCTCGAGTGCAGCAGTACCGCCGGCCCCTCCTCCGCGTGAGCTTCCTGTGCTGCTGAGCCTCCCGCAGGAAGGACTGACATGCCAGTAGCAGCACCGTCTACGCGATCGGGTGCAGCACCGCCGCCTCGTGAGTACAATTTCGCAAGAAGTGCAGCGACCGCTCATATCACTGCAGCACCACCACCGCCCTCCAGCAGTGCGATACCACCGCCGCCCCGTGAGCTCTTCTTAGCTTTTTGTCATTTGAAGACTGACCTTGCATATGTAGCCCCTCCGCCCACTCGAGCAGGACCTGCAAGCGTAGCACCTCCTCGTGAGCTAATATATTCGATGCCAGATCCATACTCACGCTGCATGACTTTGCAGCGCCGCCTCCCCCGCCCGCGCCTTCTGGCGGTGCTGCAGCGGCTATACTACCTCCAGAAGCAGCCGCTCTGCCTGGAAGGTCTGACCTACTGGCCAGTATTCAAGGCAAAAGTGTCGCTAATCTGCGAAAAGTAAGCTCATGTTCAGCTTTCAGCCGTCGAGCTAAGCCTTGTGATCGCAGACCGATACGAGCACAGCGGACGCTCGCGAAGCAGCACCTGCGGCCACCGAGGCAGCGCCTGCAGATCTCGCCGCTACGCTTGCACTTGCATTACACCAGCGCAAGGGCAATATGGGCGATAGCGACGAGGAAGCTGACTCAGACGACGAGGAGTGGTAATAATGTCAGTTTGTTGCACTCGCATACTTTCACAGTACAACAACATGATGCTGCCAGATAGGAGAGTCCTAGCTGATCAGACAACGATGGTCTAGGCCCATCTCTTGAATATCCTCCATGGCACTTTCGCTGTGATCATCCTTGAGCTTCTGCTTGACCTCTCTCGGGAACCAAGTCTTGAGATAGTCGGTAAGTGCACTGTCTAGATTGCGAGCATTGGCGCGAAGGACAACTGGCGCACGGCAGGTCGGGCACTTGTCCTGGTCAAACTTTTGCATCTTGACCAGATCGCGGACGCAAAAGCGGTGACCGCAGTCGAGCTTGATAGGCTTGAACGCGACATCGCCGCAGATGACACAGGTGTAGTCTTCGAGCGAGGGTATGACCGGCAAGAGCGTGGTTGTGAATGTCGACAAGAGAATATGTGGTAAAGACGCCTGGCCTGGCAAGAGCAAAGTGCGACTATTCTCGTCTGTTGACTGTATGGCATCGTGTGAGATGAGACTCGGGTAGTCTGAGGATGCCGTCAATGCAGTCCTCTTGTCGTGTTTCTGCGCACGCGCTCAAAATCTGTAGTGGACTTTCGGTGAGACTGCATACCTTCAAGATCTTACGAGCAGCTTCTTGATTGGCTGTCTGGAACCGCTTCAGTTCTAACAATGTCGTGTTGAGCTTGATAAAGTTCTCTAAGGCAGCTCTGGATTCCTTGTGCTTCATCTTCTTGGCCAGACTGCGTCGACCTATTTGATCTGCTAGCCATTGAAGCCGCTTCTCTGCTTCCTGTACAGAGTGTTCGCCTCGATCCGCCTCGACCTCGCCCTCGAAGACTTGCGCTTCGACCCAAAGTGAGAAGACTTCTCGCCAAGCATAGAGATCTGAACGGTATCGATTGGGTGAGGAGACTCGGGAGACTATGGCAGCGAGTGAGGTGACCTGATCTACAAAGGCGCGTTTCTGTGCTATCTGCAAGGCTTCGAGCGAAGCGAGTGCTTGTGCTAGCAGCTCGAAGAATTCTTGGTCGTTCTGCAGGGGAATGAAGACTTCGCGTCGGTGTCTCCGCTTCCGCTTTGCTCGTGCAGGACGCTCGGCTTCATCGTCCGCTTCGTCTGTGTCCTGCTCTGAGCCTGGAACTTGCCCGGAGGCTCGGATTGTGTCGAGCATGCCAGCAGGTAGAACGACAGTGTCTGGAACGTCCTCCTCGACAGTGACGTTACCACGTAGTTGAGGCGAAACAGGCGGATCGTCCCCCTTGAGCGTAGCCGGTGATCCGGGGGCAGAGACAGTCTGCGCTGGCGGGTTGCCTTTGCCGTAAACCCTGTCCATCAGACTACGTGGTGAGAGCCGTTTCTCTGCAATATCAATTTGGTCAAGCTCGAGCGCGTGTGTAGCCCGCTCAAGCTGTCCATCATCGTCGTCAGTATCGTCGCCGTTGCGCGATAGCTCCTTGAAGCGAGGCGCTCCTTCGAACGCCTCGGAAGATGAATCGACCGAGCTATTGCCTTTAGATCTCGAGCTCGTCGAGTTGACGCCGTGCAGTCTGCGCAGGTATGCCGAATCAGAATCACTATCGCCGAGGCCAGAAGAAGCTGAAGAGGAGGAAGCAGATGAAAAGACGATCCTGATGCGCGGCTGAGGATGTTCTGCCGTGCCAGACAACTCATATTCTGCCCTCGCGCGCAGCTTGCCTTTGCCGACACGGACGGCGGAATGCTCGAGTGCTGCTGCATGCTCGCTATCTGACTGATCGCTGCCTTGCGCTGCCGAATGTCGTGCGGCGAGGGCAGAGTGGCCGTTGGTCAGATCCGTCGGCGCAGAGCCTGGCGGTCTCTCGAGTAGCTCCCTGAGCAGGTCCGAGCTGAGGCCTATCGAGTTGAGCTCTGCAGCGACCTTGTTGATGACTTTCTTGAGCTGCACCTGACGAGCTAAGGAAGATACTACGCAAAAGAGCTTCAGAAGCTGACCTGCTTGTATTGGATCGCGCTGGCCTTCCACTCCGGTGGCACCGAAGGCGAGGACAGCAGCTCGTCAAGCTTGCGTCCATACTTCATCACGGGACGCGGTCACGCGAGGGCATCGAAGGGCGTGACAACTTCGAGCTTCGAGGTTCGAGGCACATTTGTCGCGTTTTAGCGCGGAAGCCGAACGTTCCTAACTTTCGCGCCTTGCATAACCCCTGCGCAAAACGAGGTCCACAAACCTGCAATGAAGAATGAGCCTCGTTGACATCGAGGTATGGTCCATACGGGCGGCTAGATGCACTAGCTTCAACGACGCACGAATTCAGTCATCGGCAGGCTCCTGTACATATGCAATCGCGTGCAGCAGGCTCGCTGATATGCCACAGCAGCACATTCGAGTTATCCCTATGATCTGTAGTCTTATGCATTGCTGATGCCACAAATCAGCAGCCAATTTGAACGGACAGTGAATATTTCGGAGGACGCGATAGGCAGATCCTGCAAGGCCGTCTTTCGCGCAAACGTAGCTTGGTCTACTCGACTAGCTCGCTTCAGCATGGTGAGTCGGATCTAGTCCACGTGCTATCGGAGCTGGATACGACACTATGGTCACCGTAAGACCCAACACGATTGCCTGCGCCAAAGCTGAAGCCCGGACGAGCATACGGCTGTAATGCACACCGATCTGCTGAAAACTTTATCAATCGGTGGTGCTCAGACATGGTGAGACAGGAAGATGCGTGCGCTTGCCAGTAAGCCTTTGGAATTGCCAGCAGTCTCTGCTTCTCCGGGCGGAGCACTATTAAATTTAATTTTATTCCTTCTGTCGATCGACAATGATATCAAATCACGCTTCTCTGTCATTATCATCACCACGTCACGCAGCCATCTTGCGTCGCCATGGCAGGATCCGAGTCTTCTGGCGGCCTGGGGAGCTACCTACCGTCGCTACAGGGCATTCAGCAGGCGATCGTTGGCAGCTCGGACACCGACGGGGGTAAGCTATGCGGATGGATGCATCATAACAAGGTGCTGATTCTATTTATGTTTGTAGACGCTGCGCAAAATGGCGGCATCCTTCATAAAGTCACCGAAGCCGTCTACGGAATGGCAGGCTACGACACATCGACTGAACAAACCACGTCAAACGATCCTACTGCCGCCACAGCAGCTTCGACGGAGACTAAAGAGCCAACTGAGCAATCTGCAGGCACAGCCGCGGAAGCAGACAGGTCAGATGATGACAAGCTCGACAAGAGTCTCGCGAATCACCAACCCCATCCACTCGAGGGAGTCACACGAGCGCCTGACAAGCAATCCCTAGAAGCAACTGCAAAACAGACTGACAAATCACGCAAAGAGCAAGAGGCCGAATTGGCAAAGGACAATCGACAAGTCAAGAACACGCTGGACGATCCGAACTCGAAAGAGGGTGAGCCACACTTACGACGCAATTGCACCGTTCTGATCCTTTGACGGCTAGCAAAAGCATTCGCGACTGCAGGCACGGGTCAACAGGGGCAGGAAACTGCTACAGACGATCAGGCTCCTCCTCCCCAAGCGGACCCACCTGCACCCGGATCAGAGCCAGCCAAAGCACCCAAGGATGTCCAAAAGGATGCCTCGCCCAAGCAAAGTATCCTCAGCAAGCTCAAGAGCAAGGTGACTACGCCCATGTTCGTGGGGGCCGTGCTGACCATTTCTGCAGCTGCTCGCACGCTGGTCAAAATTAAAGCAAATGATAAAGTCATAGATACGCATCATCGTCGCCATTCGTCCGTCATATCTTGCTGCTTGTTGTTCAAAGTAGGTTCAGTCGCAACTCCGGGCTTGAGCGCTTGACGCGCATCCTCGCGTTTCCTTAGCACGTCAACTGCCTCGGGACCAACACCCGTTTGTTCTGCGTATTGCTGCGCGGCAAGACTGGCCGGTGATCTATCCGCGTGGACGCGTTCCTGGGGCCCGGGGCGTGGTGCCTGATGCTAATGAAAAGTGAATATCGAAAAAGAATGGCCCACGCTTTGTCGCGTTAGATAAATTTGCGACCTTGCCACAAGCTCAGGCACCTCTCAGATGGCTCAATTGGCGCATTTCAAGCTACCGGCCATCGAGAATGAGCCCAATGTGAGCGTCGCGCAAGCTCATAGAGAGCATCCTCGCTCATTTTATCGTAGCAACACTATGAAGCTGGTTCATCGTCTCGCGCCGGTCTCTTGGCTGCCTTGGCTCAAATGAGAGCTGCCGCACCTTTCGAGATACCGTGCATCATCAATGGCAAAGAGGTGACTTAGCTCCGCTCGACTTGCGTCACCGTCTCCTGACAATGCAGGGGCTCAGGTCAAGACAGGCAAGAAGCAATCCCAGCTCATCCCTGCAGACCATGCTAGCTCGCTGTGCACCTACCACGAAGCTACGCCGTCGGATGTAGACTCGGCCATCAAGGGCGCGCTGGCTGCGAAAGTCAAGTGGGAGTCCATGGCTTGGGCAGATCGCGCTGCCATCTTTCTCAAGGCTGCCGACCTTGTCGGCGGCAAGTATAGGTATGCAAATATGCCGTATCGTACTGCTTAGGCTAATACGTGCACGCAGATATAAGATCATGGCTGCTACCATGTTGGGCCAAGGCAAGAACGCGTGGCAAGCCGAGATCGACGCTGCTGCAGAAGTCAGTCTCTTGTCTCATCGTGTAGCAAGCGTCGCTGATGGCATCCGACAGCTTGTCGACTTCCTCCGCTTCAGCGCAAAGTACACTGAAGAACTTTATGCCCAGCAGCCACCCAAGAATGCACCTGGCGTGTGGAAGTAAGCAACAGGAGCATGCCAAGGCTGTCTCAACAGCTCACACAATGGTGTGCACAGTCGATCAGAGTACCGCGCCCTGGACGGCTTCGTGCTCGCTGTTTCTCCCTTCAATTTCACCGCCATTGGCGGTAATCTCGTCGGTGCACCTGCTATTGTAGGCAACGTCGTCCTCTGGAAGCCTTCGCCCATGGCAGTCTACTCCAACTATGTGCGCTATTATGCTTTCGGGCTATCCCACACCACTGAAAGGGAGTCTCGCAGATCTTGTATCAGATTCTGGAAGAGGCAGGCCTGCCGGCGGGCGTCATACAATTCATCCCGGGACCAGCAGAAGCAATCGTCGCACAGTCGTTCAAACATCCGCTCTTTGCCGGTCTGCACTTTACAGGCTCGACTGCAGTCTTTAAGAAGCTCTGGAAGGATATTGCCAGCAATATCGAGATCTACAAGAGCTACCCTCGTATCGTAGGCGAAACGGGTGGCAAGAACTTCCATCTCGTCCACAAATCTGCCGATGTGAAGTCTTCCGTCCTGCAAGCTATCCGAGGCGCATTCGAGTATCAAGGCATGTTGCTCCAATATGCCGATCAAGCTTGCTGACCTGGGGCGCCATCTGACAGGCCAAAAGTGCTCGGCTTTGTCGCGCTTGTACGTGCCTCAGAGCTTGTGGGAAGGCAAGGGCGGCTTCAAGGAGCAGCTCATCGACCAAGTCAAACTCATCACCTTGGGCCAACCCGAAGAATTTGAGCATTTCATGGGTCCCGTCATCGCACGTCACTCGTACGATAAGATCACGAGCTATATCAAAAAGGCGAAAGCAGCTGGTGGGGAGGTGATTGTGGGCGGTCAAGGTTCACTCAGCGCTTCTTGGATAGACTTCCGAAGCTGAAGTTGCATGTGACAGCTGATGACTCAAAGGGCTTCTTTGTGCATCCGACGGTCATCGAGACGAAGGATCCCAAATCGGTCACCATGGTCGAGGAGATCTTCGGACCGGTCATCACAGCCTACGCATATCCTGACGACAAGTTTGAGGAGACCATCGAACTGGTCAAGGAGACGACAGATTACGCGTTGACGGGAGCAGTGTCAGTCCGGGGCCAAGTCAGTGCTTCTCTTGTGTCTGACCCTGGAACATCGCAGATTCGCGCAGGATCGCGAAGCTGTTGCCTACATGGCCGACAAGCTGCGAAATGCTGCCGGCAACTTCTACATCAACGACAAATGCACAGGTGCCGTCGTTGGCCAGCAACCGTTCGGCGGGTCTCGAGGCAGTGGCACAAACGACAAGGCGGGCAGCATCAATCTGCTCTACCGCTTTGTCAATGCTCGTTCGATCAAGGAGACTTTTGTGCTGTAAGTGCACGGCATCGACGTCGAGGTCACAGGGAGCTGATGGTCAGCAAGCAGTCCGGAGCAGTACCTGTACCCCAGCAACATGTAGAAGCGCAAATCAGATGCAAAATTCATTTAGACGATTCAATAAATGATGACACGTTCCCGATATGTCCTCGGACGTCGCGGCCGAATGAGATGAGCAGCGACAATTATCACCTTGCCGGAATGTCGGCTGCTTCCGAGCTCCCAGGGAAGCCGACACACACTGCCAAGGACATCGGCATCCACATGGCGCTCCCATCAGTCCTCAATGAAGGCACGAGCTCGTTCATAGACTTGCTGAATCAGCTCTATGCCTCCGAAAGCGAGCGCAAGCTCACGAGACCGAGCGGGGCCGCTAGCTTGTCCGATGCTTCGACAGGCACGCCGGCTCTGAGCTCACCTACCACGTCGAGTGACGGTCACGGCGACATCTTCTCGGACGAAGAGGATGAAGAGGACGAGGAGGACGAGGAGCGGAATGCTGATGTCAGCACGACCGCGACGACCCCAGCTGAAGATGCCGTCGCCAAGCTGTCACTCAAGCCAGACGACGGTGACCAGCATGACGTCGAGCTCGAGCACGATAAGCGAGCAGATGGCAAGACACGGCGAGCAAACGATCCCATTCGGGGCATGTCATTGCTCGCTGACAACGAGGAGCTGCTATCAATGGACTATGCAGCAGAGGAGGCAGAAGAGTACGTAGAGACGGCATCACTTCAGTCTCAAGCGGCAGCGCCCAAACCGTCGGCAGAGCAAGCCGAGGTCGACAACGCGACCAAGCTGAGAGCAATCGTGAAGGACTTTGGCCCTTGGCCTGATGAGATCACGCCGGGCGTCAAGGAACCACCAGAGGAGCTCATATTCGATAGCACATGTGCTCTCCTGCGATCCGTCGTCGTCAAAGGCAAGTTTTACATCACCAACCGGCGCCTCGTCTTTTTTGCCCTTGTCTCGGGCGGCGCCGGACCTTCTGGTCCTCGCCAGGTCATCAAGGCGGGACCTCTGACTATGCACATTCCCGGTATATTCAAATCGAAGCGGCATGCCTGGTTTGAGATCTACGAGGACAGCGCGGCGCATTATCCGTCGGCGACGAAGCTCCACAAGCCCCTCGGCGTGATCAGGCTCTCCCAGATTGCCGAAGTCATCGCTCCAGATCCACGACAGGCGCAAAATACCTACACCGTCAAGATGGTCTCCGGCGCAACGCGCGTGATGGAGTGTGACACGCCCGAAGCCGCAGAAGAATGGCGTCTGGCGCTTACCAAGGCGGTCTTTCGTGTGCAGACCGATTCGGACCGAGTCAAGATTACTGTACCCCTCGCAAGGATCGCCAGGACGTCTGTACAACGTCAGCTCACACATGCAACACAGCTCACAATGACATTGGACGTCACCGGGCCCAATGACAAGAAGCAGAGATTGGACGAGATCAAATTCGGCTTCCTCAACTATTGCTACACGTTCGAGGGTTTGCTGGGCAAGACGATCACTACAGAACGAGACCGTATGGGATTGAGTTTGCCTAGAGCGCCGCCGGCAGACATACACATGCAGCGCTGCGAGCTCGAGATGAAAGAGATGGAGCGCGAGCAGCAGGAAACGAAGAAGCAAGAAGCGCGCACCTTTGTCATGCAATTCGGTCTCCTCGACGATCCTGACTCACTCTTCATCACTCGGTGCGAAATCGTCAGAACTGTTCCTCTATTGGGTCGCCTGTGTATCAGCAAAGACTGGATCTGCTTCTTTCGTACAGCCATCGCTGGCGCCAATACACGAATCCGCCTGCATCGCAACGAGGTCAAGAGCGTACAACGATCTCGCGCCTTCATGCTGCACTCGTATGCTCTGTCAATCTCTGTCACAGCCGCGTCGGACGTCAGCTTTCAATTCATCGACAAGGCAAAGCGGAATGCGGCAATGGACCAGATCCAGGCGTTCATTGACGACACACACAAGCTTGTCGAGACCGTTGCGGCCAAGACTGTCGCGCCTGCGACAGCAACGGAAGCCGAGACAGAGGTGTCCTTGACGTCCTTGTCGCAGCAGATGTTCAAGAACTATGTGCCGCCCGAATGCCTGCCTCAGCTCGAGAAGCTGAAAATGCCGATCATTAACGGGATCCAATACGTCCCTCATGCGCCCCGGAAGATGCGATTCCACTGTCTTACTATTGGCTCCCGCGGCGATGTACAGCCCTACATCTCGCTCGCTAAGCAACTTCAAAAAGACGGTCATGAAGTCACCATCTGTAGTCATGGAGAGTATCGAGGCTGGGTAGAAGGACATGGCATCTCATACAAAGACGTCGGCGGCGATGCTACCGCCCTCATGAAGCTCAGTGTTGAGCACAAAATGCTCAGTCCTGGCTTTTTCACCGAATCGCTGGGCAAATGTACGTACATTGCCTACCACGCTGATACCCGAAGCTTACATCCATTGAGCAGTCAAACAATGGTTCGTTGACCTCTTGAATGATGCTTGGCTGGCCTGTCAAGACGCCGAAGTATTGATCGAGTCGCCTTCGACCTTTGCTGGCTGTCACATTGCGGAGGCGCTGCAGATCCCTTACTTCCGTGCATTCACCATGCCTTGGACTTCAACGCGTGTCTATCCTCAAGTAAGTGAGCTGGCATTATCCCTTTGCTGTCGCTCATGGTCTTGCAGGCATTCGCTCCATCCGACTTAGGTCCAATCTACAATCTGGCCACCTACGAGCTCTTCGACAGTCTGATTTGGGGCGCGTCATCTGGAATGATCAATAAATGGCGACGCAAGACTCTCGGCTTAGCAAGCACGAATCTCGCTCAGATCAGAGCCAACAAAATCCCTTTCATCTATAATTTCAGCTCGGCAGTCGTACCCAAGCCGACTGACTGGTCCGACTACATCTGCCTGTCAGGCTACTGGTTCTTGTCGGCGTCCGGAAAGGATGGCAAAGCGTATGAGCCACCCGCAGAATTAGATGCCTTTGTCAAGCGGGCCAAAGCTGACGGCAAGAAGCTCGTATCCATCGGTTTTGGCTCGATCGTCATCCCAGATCCTGCAGGACTGCGCAAGAACATATTCGAGGCTGTCAGTCGCGCGGACGTTCGTTGTGTCCTCATATCCGGCTGGTCTGCGCGTGGCTCCGCGGATACAGACGAAAAGTGGACTTGTCCTGACAACGTGCACATGATCGACGAGGTACCTCACGACTGGCTTTTCCCAAACGTGAGTATACTTGCTTACAATCAGGTATAGTGCTGACCCTTCCATTGATCTCAGGTCGATGCTGCAGTGCATCACGGCGGCTCGGGCTCGACCGCAGCCTCGCTCAGAGCGGGCGTACCGACAATCATTCGCCCCTTCTTCGGTGACCAGCACTTCTGGGCCAGCCGAGTCCAGAAATTACATGTTGGTCTGAAACTCAACTCGCTCGAGACCTCTCGAGAGCTGGCAGAGGCTCTCGTCACTGCGACCAGCGACGTCACGATGAAAGAGGTATGCACATATATGCTCTTCTTTGGCGGCGCTGACACGTTCCCTCATAGAAAGCAGTCGCTGTCGCGGCAGAGATCAATGCCGAGGATGGTCCTCGCAAGGCGCTGTCATTCATCTATACGATGCTCGACAACGCCCAAGCTCTTTCGCGCTCGAAATTTGAAGCATCGCAAGCACGAAAGGGTCGCAAAGACAGTTGCCCGTCGAAGCGCATTAGCAGCTTCGGTCCCAAGATGCCTAAGACGGATACAGGCTCGAGCATCACGTCGACTGTGTCAAGCTTTGGCGGCTCGATGAGCACGGTGAAGAGTCAGTAAACTGCTTATTTATACGTGTCCTCATCGCATCGATTAATAAGCTCAGACTGTTGTAGCATAGCACGCAAACTCGTTGATCACAAGTGTGTGCATGCTGTCGTCGTACAATATACAAGCTGCCCTAAAGAAGATTCTTCATCAACATCAGCGGATTGACTTCTGTGTCGGCGCCGGCTGGACCGAACGCGAAACCTCCCATGAGAACAAGGTAACTACGCACGAGCATGAGTTGGGACTTATTTGAGCGTGCGGACACTTACCTCAGGACCAGAACCGAGCCTCGGTAGTAGTTGCTTCGCGCTTCGATGTAGACATACGTCAAAAGGAAGACGGAGCTGCGTGTACAGGTCAGTCATGCGTCGCGCCAGTCTTGTCGAGAGACTCACAACATGATGGCGATGACATCCCATCGGGGGAAGACGAGCGTGAAGGCGTGACCTATCATGGTGCTTCGTCGCGAGCTATAGAGCGCAGTGAATGCTACCATGGCTGGGATCTGAAGTAGACAGACTTGAATCGCGTAGGCACTGCCAATCTCCATGCTGAGCGCAATGTTGCCGTTGATGGCGAACGAGATGGCATTCATGAATTCAGTTGTATTGGGTACGAGTGCAAACAGCGTCACGCCGAGCAACTTCTCCGGTATGCCCGACCCCTCGAGGACGACATCGACAACGCCCACCAGGACCTCTGCAGGGACTGTCAGCAGATACGATGGTAGCAGGTGAGGAGCTTACCTGCAATGAGAGCGTAGAGGATGGTGCATGCAAGTAAGACGCTGTATGATTTGACCCTGCTCCAATTTGGTGCGTCGTGGCCAGCAGGTTCTTCGGCTGCTGCATCATGCGCTGCCGCCAGTCGGGTAGCCTCGTGAATCGGTGGCAGCTGACGCACTCGCTCGCCAACTCGCTGCATGAGCTCTTGGACTGATTCGCGCAGTTCTGGCGCTTTGAGACTGTCGGGAAGATATGAACTGACAGGATCAGTCAGGAGGGCTTCGATGCTGCTCGGATCAGCCTTTTTCTTGTTGTAGTGATTTGCGTCCGCGTGCCCGTTGCCTGGTGATAGAACTGTCGACACATCGGCGCCCGTGGCTGCGCCGGAGGACACTGCTGTAGCGTGAGATCGCTGTGAATCGTGTATATGATCCGGACGTGCCGGCAAAACCGCAGGTGGCAGAGCATGTGCGTTTTGCCAAATCTGTGAAGCGTGTGTGCGCAGAGAGAACCAGAGACCGATGAGATAAGACAGTAGTAGGATGACCGAGCAGTAGTATGACAAAAGTTTGACAGTGCCTTGGTAGAAGGGGTCGTCGACGGGATCGATATGGGCGTATGAGCACCGTTTGCACTGCCAGGATTCACTGTCCTGTCTATCTGTGGGACATCCGGTACAGGTGAGCTCGAACTGCCATAGGTGGTCAGTATCTCGCATCAAAAGGGCTATGAATGACATACTGTGCCGTAGACCTCGTAGAACATGGTTGGTGTGAGCGCGCCGATGATAGCCATGATCAGCATAGTGCTGGTGACGCCTGCTGATCGCGCGTTGAAGCGCTGCTCCTTGCGCCTGAACGCACCACCGATCATGGACACGCCTGGCATGAGCAGTACACCAGCAAGCAGACTGCCCACGATGCTACCTTCCACTAGCACGCTTTTGCCTCGAGTAAGAGCTATGCCGTAGAGGATCACTTCTATGATCGAGCCAAAGGTCGCATTAATGACGGCACCCATGCCAATCGATGATTGTGCACTGATCGAGGCGACCGCCATGCCGATGAAGTAAGAGAGCGGAATGACGCTCAACAGAGCGAGCACAAAAATCGTGGGTTGTGCTGCCACAAAGCCGATAAGGCCTCCGATCTGATGCCGATGGACGTATGGCTCGAGAAAGAAGTCATCGAGGATTACGAAAATGATGAAAGGCAGTAGGTTGATGAACATAATATTGACACCATCAACGGTGTACTTGTAGTACTGTAGACCAATTGCGCGATATGTGCAAAGCAAGATGGTCGAGCCAGGTCCGTCCAGCCGTCCCGCCGCTTTAGAGGCAGCATAAGTCTTGTGCGAATGTATAGGTGCAGGTTGTCCCGGTCTGAACTTGCGCCGATACGATTTCAGCGTACCATCGCCCTCTGTAACGGCTTCAGGATCGAATGGTTTGGGCGAGCGAAAATGCAGTGAGAGAGGTTCTTTAGCGAGATGACAGAGCAGCACCCAGAGTAACTTGGCCATTGGAATCGTGAAGACCAAGCCCCAACAAAGCACACAGATGACCAGCATGACTGGCGCGATGACGAGCCAGAAAGCGACCCAGTAAGTCAGGCGACCGAGCGCTCTGACCCGTATGGTCGGTTTTTGCCGTGGTCGCGGCTTGCCTGAACTGGGCGAGAAAGTGCCATAGTGAGACGAAGAGGTGGAAGGAAGCGAGCCTTTGGGGTCATCTTCTAGTAACGAATGCGACGACAGTTCCGGATCCGTAGCACACCGCCGAACCAGAGGCGAGCGCTCATCAGAAGGCTCTGCGAAAGCCAGCTTACGCGCGGCCACGACGCTACTACCCGATCGGCGGATCAGCGAGTCCTCGGCCGTGGCCGGCGCATTTGATGGTAGGCCTTGTAAGGTACCGTCAGAGTCGCGACGTGTGCCCACGACCGAAGTGTCGGTGCTCTGCGGCTTGGATGGTGACGCAGTTGCCGAACGGTCCAAAGAGCCCTCATCAGTCTCCCCTGACTGATCCTCGTCGTGTCCTTCCACATAGCGTCCGAAAGGCCAGAAGAGGTAAGATGCCAGCTCCCAGACGACGCGTGCGTACTTTGCGCCGCCCCACGGCACAATGAAGAGCACACTGCCGACGATCGCACAGACGAGGAACAGCACAAAGCCAAATAAGATGGTCCAAAGAATGTTGCCGACGAGCAGGTGACGCTCCGCTTGAAGCGAAGGTGCTTCGTGTAAGGCGGTCTCGGCATTGCGATGTACAGAGCGGCTCTTCTTGTAGAGCGCTGGCTTCCAAATGGGCAGACCGAAAGGATGCTCGATGTTGATAGCGTCTTGACGATCTTTCAAGGTGTATTCAACATCAGCGTCGTCAATGTCCTCATCATCGTCCTCGTCGATATCGTCGTCTTCCAGCGGTTCTGGCTCGGCTTCCATGTCTTCGTCGTCACTCTGAAGGGGCTTGTCCGATGCAGAGCGCTCAGTGGTGCCAGCATACGAATGCGCATCCGAGGGTCGCCTGGACGAAGCCTGGCTGCCCGCAGCAGGAACAGCTGCGGAAGTGGTCTCATGTCTGCTCATGGGCCTTGCTTCGGCTTGCCGGCTCGCTGACTCTTGGCCAATGGAGGATCGTGCGCCGTGCGCAAGCCTGGTAGGCGTGACACTGCGATCCCGAGCGGCTGCTTCGGCTTCGTTGAATGTGACGGAAGAAGCTGGCCGAGTCTCTGGATCGGCATCATCTGCCGTCAGCTTGCCTTGCCAGCTGGCTACACTAGCATCGCGAGAGCTAGAGGCTTCTGCTGACAGAGCCTGTATATCTCGCCAGCGCCCCCGAAAGGTAGCAGACAGAGGTGAGACGTTATCTCGATCGTCTTCCATCGTGCCTTGCGAAGCCGTCGACAGGCTTTCTTGCTGATTGAATGTCGACTTTGGCCGACCGGGTGGCATGCTCTCGCTGCGCCATTGAGACGACGGCCCGGGCTCTGACATGCCCCGTGAGATCGCTCGAGGACGAGCGTTTGCAGCCTTCTGCACCTGCTTTTGCTCTTCGTCTTGACGCTTCTTCTCCCGCTTTTCCGCTTCCTGTCATGGGACCGATCAGTAGAGAAAAGAAGCCAGATCAGGGTAGCTGCTGACTTTGCGTTCCTTTTTGCGCTCTCGCATGCGTTTTCTGACCAGCTCCTCACCTCGATCACGACGATGAACCTCGTCATCTCCTTCGAGCTCGCCGGTGTTCGAGACCATGCCGAGTGCGCCGACACTGACATTGTGCGATCGGTCCGGGGTGGGTTCCAGCTGCTCATCGTCTGAGCCGCTATCAGAACCCCTGCGGCGCGATCTGGACTTTGCACGAGCTCGACCTTTCGGTGCCTGAGAAGCTTGCCTGGACAGAGGTGGCGCAGCAGGAGGACCTGCTACGGCGGCCTTGCCCTTTGCCCTGCCTGACGGGATCTGTCCCGTGGTGCCAGATCGCGTTCGGCTGTCACTTCTCGGCTGATCGTAGGCATTTGCGAATTGCGCCGTCCTTGCAGGGCTGGAGATGTCATCGCTCAGGATGCTGGCACCGGCATCAGACATGGTCGAGCGCGCCCAGGATGCGCTCCTTGCGTGATTTGGTGCAATGGTGGCAGAGGAGGGCGCCGTGAGAGATACATTGGCGAGATTGGGCGAGCGACCGGCCTGACTCGGATTGAGGAGGATAGATGGTCGTGCGGAAGTGGAGCGTTGTGCAGCCCCGGCACCTGACGGCGCTCTGCCTCGCCCTAGGAACGTCTGATTGAAATCCCTTGATCTGGGCGATGCGTCGATGCTCGCGTTGGGCTGATCGACAGGCAGGAAAGTCTGCATCTGCGCAGGCGAGTTGAGCGTGCTTGCTGAGGTGAGCGGGATGTGATCCAGCCGAGGCGAAGGCTGCTCCCCTGCAGTCGAGCGTGGGTTGTTGCGTGCGTTGCTACCGAAATTCATCAGTGCGCTGCTTGGCCGTGGCGTGGATGACAGTCCAGCGTCGTACTGGCTGCCTGACGCCTGACTGGCTCGCGCAGGAGAACCGTTCCCGGACTGTTGCGGCCGATGCGCAGTGATGCTTGACTCGTCAGGCACGTCCCTCGCCGGAGCGAAGTCCCGATCAAAGGGATCACCTTCATTGTCTGCCATGTCTGCCTCTCCTCGTACGATCAGAGCTAGTGCAGCATAAGAGACTGGACCGATGAGATTCGGAAGCGCCGCTGGCCAGTGTTCTGGCGCTGGCGATGCTGCTTGACGCCCCTTGCGGTGATTTCGCGAAACGCGACTTTGCTGTCAGCGCGAAGTCAAAAAGTATCAACAGCGCCGGACAGGCGGCAGCAGTCATTCCATCATGACATACCCTCTGCTGTCGACGCCAGACCTCGTGCAGGCCATGCAAGGCATAGGCCTGCAGATCACGTCGGATGCGATCGATCAGCCCTCGACGGCCAAAGTGATCCCGCTCTATGTCTGGTTCCTGAGCGAGAAGACTCAGCTCAATCTCGAGGATATCAGCGTTGCAAGCCAGGCTCAGCTAGATATCATGGATGACCAGGCAAGTCCGAAGTTTGACTTTGTTATCGCGCTTATTCATGCTCGCACAGGAGATATTCAAGGAGGCAATCTATCAAGGCACACTCTTTGAGACGCTGTTCGTTCCTCCGTCTTGCTGCCGGAGTGAGCTTACGTCTATACGCGCAGTGATCAGATCATGAAGCTCGCCTGTATCGAAGACTTTACCTTTCGCGACATCAGGGATCCTCGACCGACGCGCGTACGCAAGATCCTGAGCGCCTTGATCAATTTCCATCTCTTCGAAGCCGAGCAGCTCGACGTTCTGGCAGCGCTCGAAGAGCAAGCCGAGGATGTTGTGCGGACCGAGCAAGATCTCATCAAGCGCAAAGCCGCCATGCAAGCTGCTGCTGCACGCCGAGAGTGCGTCGTCCTCTGGCTCTCGCGGTCACTACTGCTGATGAGCATGCCAGAGCGGCACTGGACGAGCAGCGAGCCCAAGCAGCTGAGCTTGAGGCACTCAACAATGATCTGAAGAAGCAATTGTACGAGATACGCGTACAGGCGAAAGCCAAAGAGGGCGAACTCAGCGAGAACAAGAAACGACGCGACAAAACCCAAGAGGCACAGGTGAGCATCTGACCATGCCCGTCGATGGCCATCCTGAATTGTGAGACAGCAACGCGTCATGCGGCTAGTCGCAGAGCATCAAGCGGAAGCGACGAGACTCCGAACACGGATCGTGCAGTCGCCAAAGCGAGTCAAGCGGACGCTCAAAGATCTCACTGCCTCTCTTGCGCAAACGAAAGCACAAATCACTGCTTACGAGCTCAAGAAGCGTGACCACCTTGGCCGCTGTGCCGCCCTCAAGCGCTACGAGGCTGTACGTCTTCTGACTCAAGGGTCAAGAAGTGTGCTCACGTTACGTAGGACTTATCGAGCGTCATCAAGCTGGCAGATGAGTGGGCTACAGAAGCAGAAGAGGCCGAAGAAGCTTCTCTTGCGCTGGAAGCTGTCATGCAAGCCAAAGAACGCGGCGACGAACGCTCCAAAGAGCTCAATCTGCGGCTCTCGCAAATGCAGCGGCGGATAGGCGGCACGAGAGAGCAGCTCGAACGTCAAGGCAAGATTGCAGAAGACAACAGGAACAAGATGCGCAAGCAAATGGCATCACTGCAGCAGACCTATGAGGGGCTTCTCAAAGATCGCCAGACTGCAGATCTCGAGACTGCATCTGTTCAGAAGGCCGTCAACGTCAAGGAGGCAGAGGTGTGCCACCCGCATCTCACGGCACCTCGTACTGACTTCCGCGTAGATCAACGAGCTCGTTCGATCATCCAACGACGACACGATGCAGAGTGAAGCCTTCTATAGCGAATTGAGGGATGAGCTATGTACGTCCCTGATCTTTCGCTTGATATCACGCTGACCTCGCAAATGCAGTTGCATATGGCGCCAGGTATGCCTATGGATCAATATGAAAATGTCCCGCTGACCGCGAGCCGCAGATTACACAAAGCGCTTGACCAGATAGGAGCCTACTGTGCCAAATAGGTTGTGCCAAATAGGTTATTGTTGTATGCATGTACATTTCAAGCTCGGTCTTACAACATCGCTCCGTAGGTATCGAGCGAGGGTCTTGCTATTAAGTGTCATCTGGAGACATATCAAAGGAGCTGTGCGACCAACAGTGATGAAGTGTTAGGTGAGCGCAAAGCCGTCGAAAGAAGCTGAGCTGCTTGAGACGGAGGAGCACGATGACCCTGATTTCTGGCGAACGGGCTGCCTGCCCACACGATTTGTCAATGTACGACTCCAGGTGCGTGCTTTGCGATACGTCTCTCTCAGCGACGGGTTACCATGCAGCCGAACGGGCGCCTCATCAAGTATATTGAGCGCGTCAACTGAGCTGATTGATGCTCGCTTTTGATGCCACCGTTTCGTATAAACTGGAGACCTTAGTGAGCTGGGCAGGGCGAATGTAGAGGTCCCAGCTTGATCGACATGCAAGGAATCCCGCGATGCAATTTCTGAAAGGGCCGAGCCAGATGTGTTCTGGGGCGAATCGAACGCCAGACCTAGCTCCTTGGGCGACCCTGAGGTGTTGGCTGTATAGCTAGCTATCGTATCATCCACAGAGATAGGCCGCTCTTCGAGGGCAAGGCGAATCTGAACGAAAGACCTCCTACGCGTGGCGTTTGGATCATCACCTGCGGGTGCCTGAATGATCAAGACCAAGCGAGCCACGAGTGCCAGTAGACTGAGTGTGAAGCCGAGTGCAACGAGTAGCACATTCATGTATTTGCTAAGGGCGCTGATGGTTGCTTCCTCTGGGCCACACAGGGCCGTTGCTGGCAAGAACAAGTTCTGTATCAAATCGTCTTCACTCGAGCCGCCTGGAGTAGGCGTTCCGTTCACGTTGAGAGGCAAACATGCCTCTGGCGAGAGCAGGCATGATTGCTTCGTGAAGGGCAAGGCCACTGCCGTGGCCGAACCTCCGACAAGCATGGGATACCATGGTGCGCGATCCTCGACGACTGACATGAGACTGTCGCAGAGGCTATCGCTTTTGTAGAAGGACCGCCAGCAGGCTGAGAATGAAGCAGCTGGCTACGTGTTTGCGCTGTCTCTTCGAGCACCGTATCACCACGCGTTGCCTTTGCGCGTTACACAAGTCGAAACGCTGCGATATAGCTTTACTCCTGCTGGGCTGCGCATTCTGTGTCTGCTGACGTCGAACTCTCATAGCGCGAATGGACCCTTGTGAGCCACGCTCACTGTTGAGCATCGAAATTGCTTGTTGCAAAGATCGGCGATATCGAGGCCGAGGAAACGGCGGAGCGGAGCTCGAAGTAAGTAATCTATTCGCGTTGCCCGTGTGCAGCGCGCCCCGCAAGATGGCATGGCGTGCGTATGATATGAACATGCTCCCGTGATGATCAGGGTCATGCGCAGGTATGATACGTCCGCACGTTGGCCGGTAGATTGCGCGTCTCGCCCGACATGCCGACAAAGTACAGGAACTAAGCTGTAAAACCTACGATGCAAACGCGATCACCAAGCGAACAGCGGCGTCAGGGATTGTGTGTGAGCCAATCGTCACCGTACGATGGATGCATCGCGGCTCGAATCTCTGCGCCAACGAAGCGAGAAATCTCGTGTTTGGGATCGTGTCACCGACTCATCGACATCGATGAGAGCGTGGCGAAGGCGCCGATGCGGAAGCAGAACGATCTCGCCGTGTGCTGTTTGTGACCTGGAAAGCGATCGAAGCAGTGGCCTGCACAGTGCGCAACGGCGCGCATACGTCCCAAGGATGGAGGCGCCCAGCCCGGTCAAGGCGCATTTGCGACCGACGCGCCCTAAGAAGGAACCACACGCTCGTCCAAGCCCAGTCACTGAGATCCGGCATGAGGAACCATCCAATATCTGGGCATCGTCTGCCAGTGCTGTCAGCCTGTCAGGCCAGTCAACGCCCGAGAATACTGCCTGAGGCCTCATTTCGTCCTTCCGAGGCATCGCATCCTTGCAACGAGCGGAAGCAGCACGACGACCATGGGAAGCAGCAGGCCCGAGATGATGCTTCAACAGATTTTGCGAGGTGCCAAGCGCTACAAGGGGAAATCACTGCCGATTTCGTCGTGCTAACTTGACAGCTTGGCATCGCCCTGCCACTGTCCGTGGCTTCGCTGGCCGAACGTAAGATCCGGAGTCCGGGGGGTGAGATGTCATCTGCGGAATGCAACCGAAGCTGCAGCTCGCTATGAGGGTCGTCGTGTTGATGGAGCTGGTGAACGTTCACGGGTGAAGTCATCGTCGCGATATTTTGTGCCCTTCGAGATTGCCATCGCGAGCTCGACATCGTCCCTTTGTCCACTCTGCAACCCTCATCAGGCTAGATCTGGTCCTTTGATCGTCCGTACAGACCTCCGCCTCCACTATCTGATATCTGAGGGTCATCTGACCTCACGGCCATGCAAAGAGCTAAATTTCCATTGCCGCATCGCACACACACGAAGTGTCATTCGTCAATCTTCTCATCGCAGCACAGCGGCCATCCTCAAGACCCACACACTGCTTCGTGCGCATACTTAAGCGACACCAATGCAAGTAGTGGCACAGCCATACTGTACACCGCAGAATACTCAACCAAACTTCTTTACGGCCCGCTACACACACACATGACGCAAGTGCATCTTCACTGGGACGGACTGTGTGCGATCAGGCCTGCATCGCCTGCGACACACGACTTAGACCCAAGTCTGGGCCAGCTTCTTTCGATCCTTGCGTCCAATCTAGCCCGTCCGAGCCGGCCGACCCTGACGCCACTTAATTTAACGGATCAATTGTTGAACACGACGCGACTTCTCCGTTAGCAGCGTCCATTATGTTCGCAAGCCGAAGCGGGTCGATTGAGGTGTGTGGATCAAGCTCGACGATGATCAGTGGCGGCGACCGAACAGTGACGTGCCGCGCGATAGCTCAAAAGTACAAAGAGCTTGAGTTCCGTTCGGATGGCTGCTCGGCGTCGGTGTGGCGAAGCGCCTACAACACAATTTGCTCGAGCCATGTATGGACTGCCTGGCGCGCGCCAAGCAAGCGCCAATACTCCATCTTCGGATGAGCCTGCTGCTAAGAAGCAACGTAACCGACCCATTTTGTCATGTGCGGTAAGTCTCTCGTGCTTTGTCAGAATCGTGACAATGCTAAGTGACGCCATGTCAGAATTGCCGACAGCGAAAGCTGCGCTGCGATAGACAGACGCCATGCGGTACCTGCGTCCACCGACGGGTCTACTGCGCCAATCTTGAGCCACTGGTACAGCCTCTAACAAGAGACGCCGTCTCGAATGTCTCGACAGGCGCATCGCCACGCCACTCGACGCTCACGAATCCAAGGCGGAACAGTCAGCGTCACGATCACACTATCGTGCGACCGGTGATCCTCAGAGCCAGCAAATCGCAACCCCCTCTGTTGACATCGAGGCTGGCGATCGATACTTCGATGGCGATCATGTCTGCCCCCTCTCTTTCGTCTGCGTTCTGGTCCAATGCAGAATCCGCCAGCTTCGAGTCAGAGCTACCCGGTACTTCAACGCGATCGTTAATGTTGCAACGCTTCTTTGCCAACGTCAATACAGTCTTGCCACTCGTCCACCCATGGCATTTCGAGCGAAACTCTGGGCTGGATCCTGCCTTGAACAGACCATCTCTTCGAGCTTTGACGCTCGCGATGGTTGCTCTTGGCGGTCTGACGTTCGATGACTATGCCCCCATCGCTGCAAGGTGCTTCAGGATTGCAAGGAATTTGCTTTCGGAGCGACGAGACGATCTTGATCTCGAATGGCTGACGGCATCCACCCTCATGCTCTTCTACGCTTCCTCTCTGAGCCTGCCTTGTGCGAGCTACATACTTGCGCTCACGGTGAAGGCAGCCATGCAGGCCAGAGTCCATCACAGGTCAGCTCTAAAGCATGTTCTGCATGTGCTTGACTAAGTAGCCGCGTTTGCATAGTGACGAACCTCGATGGACGTCGACACTCTGGCAAAGTGAGCTCAGGAAGCGCATATGGTGGTCACTTGCGATGGCAGATATGCTACAAGCATCGCCGTTGCATGCACTTGCCGCGTTTAATCCGCGTGCTGCAGACTTCGAGTTGCCATTGCCCATCGACGATACTTCACTTGATCTTGGCCGGAGCAGTCCAGCAGCTATACTTGTCAGCAGCAGTCCTAGTGGGCTCTCTATGTTACGTTTCAACGAAATGATCAGATTCCTTATCCTTGCCAGAGACGCACTGGCCGCGATCCGACTTGCCGCTTCCGCAAACAATCTACAGCTCGCTGCGCACTGTATCGCCCAGATGGAAGCTCACGAGAACCGTTTCGCACAGACGAGATCTCAGGACGATTCGGATAAGCGCTATCTCACCATATACAGAGCCGTTCTGCGTATAATCGTACACCGCTCCTTAATGGCATGCGTGGTCGACACAGCACAAGACGCCGCCGATGCCAGCAGACAGATCGTGGCGGCTGCTTCTCGACGCGTCCACCGCAACATCGATGTCTTGTTGCAGCGTGATGAGGCATGGCCTCTTCTCGCCTGCTTTGCAAATATCGCCGACCCGAGGCAAGAATTCATGCCGAGTTCGCAGCGACAGCCACCGCGAAGCCCCACCATTCCGCAGCAACAGGGACAACAGCATCAGTCATCCCCAAGCATCCGACAGGAAAGCACAGAAGACGTTTCTGTTCCGTCCAGTCGCAGCGAAACGCAGGAAGGACAGTCGGTGACCTTTTTGGGTGCTGTTCCCGATGATTTTGGCTCGCCAGACAACTTCTTCGTTGCTGATCAGGTGACAACAGACCTGGAGCCTTCAGATCCCTTCGATACTTTGCTTCTGCTTGGTGAAGACAGGTATCAGGCGCTACGTACGCACACCGAAGAGCTTGATTAGCATGCTGGATGCACCTCCGCACGAGCAAAAGCTCACGCCGCGTAGGCTTGAGAAGTTAAGCTGTTGAGCTCTTGAGACGCGTGACGCGTGACATCGCGCAATCGTGCGACCGCGGTGACGTAAGCGTAGAAATAGATAGTCCCACAATGTCAGGCAAAGAAGAGCAGTCCTTTACTATCCAGGTAGGCTTGACAAACTCAATGCAAGGCTGTCTGATGCGTGGCATGCAGCCCCATCCGGCTACCGATAACACTGCACCGCATGAGAAGTCGGGTGCCAATGCAGGCCTAGCATCGCAAATGCAAGGGAAAGGACCGCACATTCTGGACAAGGAAGTGGCAGAAGGGTACGTTATTGGAGCTCTTCAAGTCTGTGACTTCTTCCTGACTGCAGGAAACAGCCTGGAGAAGCCAAAGAGCGCAGAAGAGCTGGCCAATCTCAAGGCAGCACTCAACAAGTGACCTGACGATGCGCTGCCAATGCTTGCATAGTAGCAACAACACCTATAAATAGTACAGTGATATTTTCATGCAGTGGTTGTGTCCTTGTTGAGGAATGTCCACAAAGTTTTGCCTGCTTCCACGCCAATGAGAATGCCTAACTCTACTGCTGACATCTGTGCCAGCTCGGCGAGATTGGTCACCTTGCCCATGACATAGCGATAGTTCTTTGTGTTGATGCCAGGAAGCGACAGAAGGATCTCAACAGGTGTCTGATTCTGCGAAAGCTCGCGATATTCGCGTCGCACCGGCGCGCCGGTTGGCCCGACTGCGAGTCCTTGCGCATTGGTCCTCAAGGGCTCATTGTCACCTTCCCATTCTTCCTCGCCCACTAGCTTGATCTTCTCGGGGTCGGGCTCGGCCCGTTGCTGTTTGAGCTCGGCGAAGATCTTCGCTGTCTGATAACGCGAGCTGGACCAGATGATTCGTAGACGAGGCAATTGCATCGTAAGGAGAATCAGCTTCGACTCGAGGTCGTACTCGTCAGCGCCGTCGCTGAACTTGGACTCGACATGGGCCTGTATTGAGTATGAGTACGACCTATGCAGCGTAGCAGTAGACGGACCGATAATCTGAACTCTCGTTCTTCAAAGTCAACGAGCAGTATAGGCAGCTCGTAATACGTGCCCATGTGTTCACACTGGGCGTAGCTGGAATGCTGGCGTCAGCAACGCTGGAGACAAACGACAGCTCGCTCACAGCCTGCCTTCGTTCATCGATGAGATGAGGTCGGGTATGCTCTTGCGTTCGACAGCGATTTCAGGCGACAATATGTAATCACCGACAGCCAGTGTGAGTGGCAGTAGCTGTACTCCCTGGGAGTCAAGAACATTGTACAGATGTGCTCTGTTTTCTCGGCGATCAATTATGATCTGAGACGCATAATCAGTAGTCATTGCAAAGTGAGGATCGAGCTCACCTTGGGCTTGCCCGTAGCCAGTGTGACACCACCTCCCCCTATACGGGAAGTGACTGTTCTGATGAGCTCTTCGTTGGTCTCCTCGCCCGGCCTCACTTCGGCCTCGAGCGGGATGACCATGCTCGCCCGCTCCCTGATGAGTCGCTCGAAAGCATCCTTCTCAGCTCGTATCTCCGTAAGATAGAGAGATTCCTCCGCCGAAGTGTCGTAGGTCATCCAATAAACTCGGATGTTGACGCCTGGGTGGGAATTGCGATACGCCTCGATCTGTCGAACAAAGGAGAGGTTTGGCTCGTACATGATAATGAACTTTGGCATGAGTTCTTCTAGCATGATTGTGTCGTCTTCGCCAGCGTATGGTCTGATGATGACGATATCTTCTCGATCTATGAGGCCAAAGTAGTCATCAAATGCCAATTTGTCGAAATCTTCTATCATAGAGTCGGCCAATGCGGGGTCGAGGTCCTTAGCAGCAATCGTCGGCCTGCCTAAATGGTCAGCCTACCATTGCAGAGCGCAAGAAGCGGTGCGCACAGTGCCGCAGCTTCTGCGTCCAAGTCGATGACGCTGTCTGTGTCGCCGCGTGGCACGGCGACAGCAGCGCCGCCGCGGGTCCGCCGCCGCTTGTTGGCAGGTGCGCCTCGCTTATATTCTTGCTTGCGCTGTAGCGCCGCGCTCGTCTTTGGCCTACTATCTACACTGCCGTGATCGTTCGCCGCTGTCCCATTTGCTGGCTTCTTTCGCAAGTTTCGGGTAATGTTGTTTGCCCGCTTCTTGTCGCGCAAATAGTGCTGGTACAGCGTCAGCATGACTTGGTCTGCCATCGGCAGAGATGTATCTGCGTCTCGATCGGCTGTCACGTATCGCTTGAGCAGACTGCTCGTTTGACTATTCTTGCACATCACTAGGATCGTATCGGTCGAAGCGATGTCTGGTTGCGGGTCTGCGTCGAAGAGCAGATTCTCGCTTTCCGCCAGTGTCTGTGCGAGGACCTCCCACTTTGGCTGGACCTCGAGAATAAGTTCCGTGTCTTTTGGTATCCACCAGGGCTTGCTGGCGTCCTTGAGGTCCGGCAAGCCGTTTGCGGGCCGTGTCGTCAGTCCGCTTGCGCTCATGGACTGCATAGACTCTCCCGGTGCGGGATCGTATAGTCGCAAAGCTTCTTCCTCTTCCGCTGTGATTCCGTCGAACTCGTCGGGCGAAGGTGATTTGCGCGTCACGGCAGGTTGTGCACTGGCTGCATGTCTGACGGCCACTCTGCGCTCGGCGATGCTGAAGATGAGATCAGCAGCAGGCAGTGTGAGCCAGGGTGATACGTTTTGCCGAACATTGCCTGCCGGATTCCTGATTTTGGTCATCTTGATCATGTCTAATCTTCGCAAAAACGAAACAGAATCTTCAGTCAGCAGACAGAGTAGCAACCCTCTGAGTGTGCGTATGTCATCGAGCAAGCCGGCCGTGTTGCCGGAAGACTTTCCGCCTGACGAGTACACTTGTGCGCGTGCGACCTCGTCGAATCTGGGGACAAGGGCGTGCTCAAGCGTGAAGGACTCTATGTCAATCTATGTTAAGCTTCCATCAATCCCAGCCGTCGTAGACGCGCGATGAATAGAAAGCGTACGGTAAGATGACTGCGCTTGAGCTCATTGATCGTGGCGGTCATACATTCAAAGATGGCCTGCTGGATCTCTTGCATCGCTTCGCTAAGCCCGACGCATAGCTCGGCTAGATCGGCTTTCCTCGTCTCGAGGTCCTTCTTGATAAGCTCGTGGAAGCGAGGGTATAAAAATACTTGTCTAATCTTGAGTGCTTTGAGCGTTCCTTCAAGCGGCGCGATGCCATGTGTGAAGAGTTCCGGCTGATCGCTGAATGCTTTCAAGAAGCCGACCTACGCACAATGAGCGTCACATCGGCGCGCATGAGATCTGAAACACCTTGTTCTTCTCCCGGAACTTGCGCACGATGAATTCGATATGCGACGGTTTCCTGACTCTGCAAGAGAGCGCGTCGTTCAGCCGCGAGATGACGCCGTGTGCGCAGACCAGCTTACTCGTGCGCATTCCAGATGACGATGCCGCTGCAGAGCTCGATGGGGACAGTGTCGTCCATGAGGTCTCCGTTCATGACGGTATCTGTGACGCTGAGTATGCCGCCTCTTCTATACAACTTTGCTCTTTCGAGAGCCGGCGTGGTGCCAGTGATGGTCTCAAGGTCAATGCCTCCCAAGCCAGCCAGCTCATCCTTGATCCCGTCCTCTTGATGACCCTCGGGCAGGTTGAGCAGCAGGATGAGCTGTGGGGTGCCCGATCGCTCATTGAATTCTTTGAGGAAGCGGCAGACGATACGGCGCAGACCAAGGCCACGGGCGAGGATGAGCAATCCATCGTTAGCAGGCTCGAGCAACTCCTCGATGATCTGTCGCTGGAACGGCAGCAAGTCCATGTGGGCCGGTCTGCCAGCTCTGCGTGCCTCGTCGCTTGTCGACGCGCCAGAGGAGCTGCGTAACGAAACAGGGAAACACATGAACTCCTCATCGCTCCCACTCCTATGCCGCCTCTCCTCCTCGACAACTCACTCTCTCGCATCGACAAGCCAGTGCAAACACTATCGGTCAGCTCACTTGCCTCGGTCTTGTCCCCTTTGACGCCTGGCCGTTTGCGATCAAGCAGACAAGATGTTCGCCAAACTTGCGCTCTGCCTCATGATGCTGGCCGTTGCTACGCTGGCCAAGACAGCTCACAAGGTTGTTCTGCCTGCGCCTACCGGACCTCTTCGAAAGACAGGTCTGCACGTCACGATCCGTAAGCAGCGCACCTCGTCTCGCGCGGTGAGTCCGGCTGATGTTGCCATGGCACAGAGAACGACAGCAAGGCATGGGTGCGCGTCAACTGCAATGCGGCCACCGACCTCAAGGCATACCAAAAGTGCTACCAGTATGATGTCACGTGCAAGTACGCCGTCTAAGACTATCACTGCATCGCAGACGCTGACGCGCTCGAGCTACAGCAAGGCGGGCGAGGCAACTACGGGCGGCCGTGTGCTCATCTGCGACAGCAACAAGAAGCCCATGGGCTGCAAGGCTGACAGCAAGCCCGAGCAAGTTACTCGCCTCGCTCGCGCAAATGTTCGAGCTGATCCTGTTGCTTCATAGCGGATGCTTCATCCCCAACTGAGCTCGATCCGGGACGCCATTGCTGCACGCCTTGTATTGCAAGCTCTACCGTCTTTGTCGTTGCCTCACACGCGCGCTCGAGTCCTTGGCCATGAGACTGTCATGAACTGAGCCACACTGACGACGTATGCATGACCAGCACGGGATTTGCCCGTTTCGATCGCAGTATCTCGGACCAGGCGTGGGGAAGGGGACGCGCCCGCGATCAATCCTGACGAATGTCTTACAACATTGAGCGTGATGCCAGCTAGTCTGACGAGTGTGCATGCGAGGCCATACCGCACGTAGCTCCTCGACGGGCTACAGGCCTGTCAATCTACAGCGAGTCAATTCTGCTCAGTCGGATCAATACGCTCGCGAGGAAGCGTTCAAGCATCCGGAGCAAGTCAGTACACCACTCGTACGAAGTCGAACGCCATCCTGGGATCAGGCCATAGAGCCTCCAACACGTAGCAAGGGGCGGACACGGATACGCAAGAGCTTGAGGCAGCGGTGTTGCTCCAGGATAACTTGGACTGTACTGCTCGGCCTTGTCTCGCTCTACTTTGTCGGCCAGATCCGCGTCTCCGTCGGCAGGGAGCCATCGGGCATCAATCAGAAGATCAGAGACATTGTACTTGCCAGCAAGGGCGCCAATCTGATCAGCGTCAGTCAGTCCGACCGGATCCTCGAGGAAAACGACATCACCGTCTGGCGCTACCTCACCTCAGCTTTCGACCTTTACATGTTCGGCAAGCCTGCAACAGTCGAGCCGACGACCGAGCATACTGCCTCTGTGATTTTCTGCCATGGCATCACAGACAACGGCTACGGATGGCGCTTTTTGGGCGAGGAGCTCAAAACCTACATGCCACACGTTCGATGGATCTTCCCTCATGCGTAAGCGCGTCCTGCAAGATCGGCTGAGCATACTGACATCTGCATTCGCAGGCCGAAGTCGCCCATCACTGCTAATCAGGGTCAGATAGGACACTCATGGTATGTCATCTCGACCGCCCCCGGTCCTCGCTAACGCCTGCTATAGGTTCGACATTGCGGCGCGAGGCGCAGAGGCTGGAGAGTGGCCTGCACACGAAGACAAAGCTGGTATGACTAGCTCGGCTGAGACGATCGAAGATCTTATCAAGCAAGAGATCCGAAGCGGTGTCCCCAGTACTCGTATCGTCGTCGCCGGCTTCTCCCAAGGCCCGTACAAGTTGCTAGGTTATCCCGCCTACGCTCATTTACGCTGCGTGCAGGCTCGATACTTGCTCTCCTCGTAGGACTGACGAGCAAGACACCGCTAGCGGGCACAGCTGTCCTCGCGGGCTACCTCCCCTTGAAAGATCAAATTGCTGCGGTTGGTCTCGCAATCTGCTGAACTCACATTGACTAATGCGAGCCCAGCTCGCGAATCCCCAGGCGCGCGCCAGACCACTATTCTGGGGACATGGCGTCAAGGATTCCACTGTATTGTGCGCACGTTGCTTTCGACCGTCAATCCCACTGATCCCATGGATACGAAGATATAAATGGGCCGAGACGTCCATCGCATATCTGCGCAATACGCTGCATCTCACTCAGATCTCTGATCACGCCTATCAAGGTGCGGCACCTTGCTCCTCGACCGCGTCTGTCCTGATAGCTGTCCAGATCTCGCCCATTGGGTCAGCCTGACCGAGGTCGTCGATTTGCTTGATTGGCTACAGCTCACCCTACCCGACCCAAGCATGTCGAGGCACGCACTCCAGGATACGCAATTGCATGTTTAGACGTTAGCTGCGTGCCCGTGGCGAATGAGCGCATGATCGTGAATCTGGATGATCATGAATTTACCGTGCCTGGCCAGCTCTAGCTGGCCCGCCCGATCATCGATCAGGCACGGAGAATTAATACAATGGAAGGATTTCTCAAGCTTCCGCCGTTCAGCTCCAAGCAGCTCGTCATTTCGACCGAGGCTGGCCCTCACTTATCCCGTGTATTATGGACATTCCCATGAGCTTTTCACAGATCTGCAGAAGCAAAGGATCGAAAGCAGCGGGCTCAGCGCTCACCGCAAATATCCTGGCCAGACGTCTGCGCTATCTGCGGCAGACATGCTGGCTGTCATGCTCGATTGTTGGGTCAAGAGACTGTACACCTAGGAGCCATGTCTGCACCTGCTGCGACAGCCATGACCGAATATTTCGACGATGACGAGCCCACGTTGGTCTCGTCACCCCTACGCAGCAAAAGTCCGCTGCTGTCCTCACCAGAGAAAGGCCGCGACCTTGAGGAAGGGCTCACCGTGCACGCCGATATCCAACATAAGCCCGGGTCGTGCTCCGCCAAGAGCATCTATGTAGTTCTCGGGGTCCTTGTCGGTCTCGTTATCGGTTTACTGCTTGCTCAAATCCGTGTATCGGCCCGGCCAAGTTTGCAAGTAGCAGCAGATCAGCTGAGAAATATCAGCTTTGCTGCCGATAAGATCCCAACTGGCAGTGACGGCACATTACAGGCAGACACGGCACTGTGGCAATACGTGGCGCGAGTCTTCGACTCGCGCATTCATACAGCAGTGAAGCTTGCACAAGCGATAGAGCTTGACCCTTGGACGGAATGGGAAAATTACGAGCAACCGGTTGTGCTTGATCCGACAGTGCAGCACACTGCCACCGTCATCCTCTTGCACGGCCTGACGGGCACTGGCTGGAATATGCAGCGATTAGCGCAGCCCATGCGAGAGCGCCTGCCTCATGTCAAGTGGATAATGCCTCATGCGCCTGTCGTGCCCGTCACGCTCAAGAAGGGGGAGATGGGCCATTCGTGGTTCGACATATCCGCGGCTGGCGAAGCAGCTGGCGAGTATCCCACAGACGAAGACGAAGCTGGCATGCTCTCGTCTGTCAGCTACATCATTGCGTTGGTAGCGAACGAGACATGGACCAGCTTACCAAGCAATCGTCAGCCCTATTGATCTAGGGCGGGGATCCTGGACTGATCACTTCACAGGCATTGTTCTGGCTGGCTTCAGTCAAGGCGCAATACTGGCTTTACTAGCAGGCGCGATGCACGACGAGCCATTGGGCGGCGTTGCTGTGCTGTCGGGCTATCTTCCGCTGAGAGCCAAGATGTTTGCGCTCGCCAGCTCAGTGGTCCGGACCTTGCCAATCTGGTGGGGACACGGCAAGTCGGATCAGGTTGTCCTGTGCGTTCCTGTGCTATTTATCGGCCCTCGGGGCTAAGTAGTAGAGTAGATTCAATTGGGCGGTGAAATCGCTCGACTATCTGCGCAAGGCATTACACATGACGAGAGTTCGGCTCCACGCCTATGATGGTAAAAGATATTCCTCGACGATACAGGCCGCTGACACGGCCACTGCAGATCTCGGTCACGGCGTTGGTGAAGGGGAGAAGGCGGCGCTGCTTGACTGGCTAGCGATCGTCTTGCCGGACTCCAGCATAGACCAGTCGCACACTCCATAGATCATGCTCACACGATGAAAGACGCATACGCACTGACAACATGTACGACACACGAGCTCATACGACGATAGAACATGATATACCCCACGAGGGCCATTGTTGTAGAAGCGTTCAACTTGATTATGCTCCCTGCAGGACATGATCTGACTGAGCACATGGCACACGCGACGCGTTGCCTTCTCCAAGAGACGCGATTTCTTGGCATTCTGGGCTGCGGGCGCATGTTGCTTCATCCGCAATCAGTGCCTTTGCATCAGCGCCTCAGATACCATCGAGCAGGCCTACGCGCCAGCGTACCACTGTCAGTATGACAGCTCCAACAAGACCTCCGCCATCCAACTATTCCTTACTTTTACATGGCATCGCCTTACTCTTCCTCTATTCAATGTATGGCGTGCTGCAAGAGAAGATCATGAAGACCGAATATGGTATGTTGGTGCCTTGATATGCTTGTTGAAGCTCCCTCAACCTCCTTGGATCTGCAGGAGCGCGGCAAGAGAGATTTACTTCGAGCTCGGTGCTCGTCCTCTGCAATCGCTTGCTCAGCCTTACCGTCGGCGTGCTACTGACAATAATGCCACGCAAGCGCAATAGCACGCTGAGCGATGATTCTACCAGTATGCTTGCAGCGCTCGCGCCACAATCTGCTTGGACGGCCTATGCAGCTGTCGCTGGCTGCAACTTTCTGTCGACCTTTTCGCAATATGAAGCGCTCAAATATGTCAGCTTCACTGCGCAGAGCATCGCAAAGTGCTCAAAGATGGTGCCTGTCTTACTTGTGGGAGCACTGGTCTACAAGAAAGCGCACAAGACCCGAGAATGGGTTGCCGGCGCGACTGTGCTGCTGGGTTGCGCATGCTTCGTCGTCTCGCGACCCGCCTCCGCACAGACATCTCACCACGGCGCGGCTGCATCGGGAGAGAGTACTGTGTGGACAGCAGCTTGCGGCATGCTTCTGCTGCTGTCGTATCTCTTCTTCGACGCAATGACCTCAACAACGCAAGAGTCTGTCTTTGGCAAGATGCCCGTCGCAGCAAAAGCCAATCCCTTTGCGCGTGGTGGACCCATCATCGATCAGATGATCTACGTCAACATCTGTTCGGCTGCCATCGCGTTCTGCGCCTGCATCGCTAGCGTCAAGGCGAACCTATTACCCAGCCTGGCGTTGATAGTGTCAACACCGGCGCTCGCTTTTGATGTGTTGATGCTCAGCATGACTGCTACTTGCGGTCTGATCGTCCTGTTCAACACGATCGCGCTCTATGGCGCGCTTACCTCTGCCATGATCATGACGCTTCGACAATTCATCTCGATCATTCTCAATGCGGCGCTCTTCGGCAACTTTGCCGTCATTGGTCTGCTTGGCTGGGCAGGCGTAGGATTGGTCGCGAGCGGCGTCTGGATAAAGATGGATCGTCGTTGGGACGAAGCAACCCTGGTCTTGCCTCCAACGCCTGCTTCCGGCTCCTATTCGGCCTTGCAGAGCCCAGATAGCACTCTGAACGAAAGAGAAGCAGAGGCACAAGCGGCCGCCATGCTCAAGGAAGTCGATGAGGGCGCCGGATATTCACATGATGCGCCGCGCTACACCTATACCAGGCGATGTCAGTCTTGCGTCGTACCGCTGAGTGCTGCTGACAATGATGCTTGCAGTGTTGAAGCAATACTTGCCGCCATACACGTTGCCATTTGTGTTTGCGCTCATGGCGAGCATTGTCACGAGCCTGACAGGCTCAAGTGTGACGACTCCGACGACCGCGCCAAGCTTGCTTGCGACCAATGTGACCATCGAGGGAGGCAAGTGGGCGGAACAGCTTCATTCGGCTGTCCGGCCGGATTGCGCTGCGCTGCCCCGGTCAACGGTCAACTATCCTCATATGGATGCGATTCCCAAGACAGTCTTTGCCAGCTTTCCCCGCTCCGGCAATTCATACCTCCGCAGCCTCGTTGAGCGATCTACAGGCTACCGCACTGCATCAATCTATTGCGATCGGCCACTGCAGAAGACATTCCGAGCAGAGTGCGAATCCTACAACAATACCTTTCTGCTCAAGTCACATTACGTAAGTCCTGCATGAGTATCTGTCGTGCACATGCTGATCAATGTCGATAGCCGTGGGGCCACGACGCAGACAAAGGTGACGCGGACATGCACTGGCAGCTATTCGATCGCAGCGTTCGCATCATTCGCAATCCACTCGATACCGTCTTCAGTCTTTACAACTTTGCGCTCACGCACAGTCACACCGGACGGGTCGAAGATCTCGCGCCGTTCGGCGATGCGGACCGCGTCCATCTCGCTCGGCATCTCAACTTGTGGTCCTCGCACGAGGACTACTGGTCTCGCGTGCCAATCCAAGAACATCTGATCCGTTACGAAGATTTACACGATCATCCTCTGCCGGAAGTCATGTCACTGCTTGCTTTCTTGCTGCCGAAGGAAGAGATGCCGAGTCTTCAGAGGATCTCGTGCTCGACAGAGCTCAACGCTCAGAGAGAGGCCTATCACTCGAGCAAGAATCCTCCCTTCTATACCTGGGACAACTACGAGCCAGCCACGAGATCCTGGTTGATCAACGAGGTGAAGTTGCCATGGTGCAAATACGGCTACGAAGCTCTATTGAGGAAGACACGAGGCGTCAGCGAAATCGACTGTAACTCACTCACCGATGGCTGGGATCCCAACGGCGCCTATGCACACACAAAACGATCTAACCCAGGCCGAAGAAGTCATTCACGCCGAAGTCTTGCGAACCACTAGATCATCTCTGAATCTGGATCAGTCTATGTATGTATTGCATGTCACAACAGATCACGAACTTGCGATGATGCCGGCATCGCGCGATACAAGTATAGCATTCTATTGTGCTGCCGCGAGGAGCTTGACGCATATGCGGGCGATGTCTACGCCATCGTCGTGAAGAGCAGCATCCTGTCGACTTTGCGCTGCCAGTGCGCTATCGATGACGCCTGCCTGCTCTCGTACGTCGATGATGTCCGTCACGATCTCGGGGGAGAACTCTGGATGCCCCTGAACAGTGAACATATGTATGTTAGCCAGATCTGGTCGTGCGCCGGGATGGCGGAGCTTGATCATGCCGTGGCAAGGACAGATTGCAGTCGAGCCGAGATTGATGAATCCGGTTGGCGGTTTCGGTACATGATCCTTGTGCACCTGATGTATGTCCTGCTCGATGCGATCAGCGCGGTCGTGGTGAAGCAGCACGGGGACCTACTATCGTTTGCTGCTTCGTCTGCGATGGATAAAAGACCGCGCGACCGGCTTCGGTCAGATCGATCGTTCGCACACCCAGCTCCCAACCGAGGTCGTTCTTGGTGACGTTTGCACCGAATGCTTGTGCTATGATCTGATGACCGAAGCAGATACCGATCAGCTTGAGATCGGGCTGCGAGCTGGGCAGGGAAGCGATGTAGCGCGTCAAGTCGTGTATCCAGGATATATCGCTATATGCAGAGGCTGCGCTGCCTGTTATGAGCAGTCCTTGAGAGCGTCCGACTCTGGCTTGGTCAGGGTATTCGCCTCGGACAACATCGTAGCTATTGACGAGGAGGGAGACAAGTTGACCGTCGATGGCACGCTCAAAGAGATGGCAGAATACGTCATGGTAGGTTGGGTAGCGCTTCCGTACTGGCTCGACTGGCGTGTCAGCGAGCAAGATGATGAGTTCCAGTTGAGTTGCGGCACTGTTCGGGCCAAGCTTGCGCTCCAGCATCGCCCACGAAGGCAACGAGGTGGCAAGAGACGCGCGCACCTTTCAGCTTCAGGTGCTGACGCTTCCTCGCTCGACTCGACTCGACCGGGCTTCAAGATGTCATGGCAAGGTCAGTCAGACGATGCATAGGCACGCATCATCTGCTCATGGCTTAGCGGGTCGACAGCGTACGTCGACAATAACCTAGTGGGCACGGGCAAGATCTCCAAAGCAGCCATCCTCGGTCTGCAAGGAGGCGTTTGGGCAGCTTCTTCCGGCTACACAGCGAGTGTCTTGACTCCTCTCACCCGGATCATAGCTCATCGGACTCGATACAGATCTCACCAGAGGAGCAGAAAGCGCTCACGGCGGGATACGTCAATTCGGATGGTGTGCAGGCCAATGGGGTCAGGCTAGGCGGTCAGAAGTTCTTCTGCCTGCAAGCCAACAAGGAGAGCATCTACGGCAAGAAAGGCGTGCGTCCCTCGCGTCCACTTTGCTGGTGTCGACTGAAGACTGATCCATCGTGTCAAATGACAGGGCGACGGTGTCGTGACGGCAAAGTGCATCCAGTGCATTCTCGTGGGCGAGTACGCTGCGCCGACTCAGCCCGGAGAGGCGACAAAGGTCGTCGAAGGTCTGGCAGACTACCTGCGAGGTGTGGGATACGTCAGTGTTCTTTCATTATCCTTTAATCCGTCTCAGGTGCTCATCATGTCGACGACGTGCAGTGAGCGAATCATGACGGCTGCCGACAGTGCACTTTGTTTGATCTACCTACAATTCCAATGCATTCAGCCGGGGGATTCTAGACCTCGCTTTCAGCCCCGTCCTCGCCCGTGTTTGGCTTTGCTAGCTCTGAAGGCTGAGGTTCGGGCGCGGCAAGTCGCTTCGATCTCGCTTCTCGCTTGCGCTTGCGTTTCTCTGCACGGGCAAGCTTGACCTCTTCGCTCGGTGGCTCCCTTGGCGCACGTTTGGGTCTCGCAGCTTTCTTCTCCTTCTTCTTCCTCGCTCTTCGCTCCTCTTTCGTCTCTGACGTTTTTGCACGCGCCGAGTCCTCTTCCTCGTCCATGAGCTCGACGAGCATCGTAGGGTCCTTATCGTACTGCTTCCTCTCGCGTTTCCCAAGCCCTTCGACTCGCTTCTTGAAACGTTCGAGACGACGCTTGTGTGGCTGTCAGCCCTCGGTCAGCTTGCGTTCCTTGCACATCCTTGTGCGAGGCGACGCACTTTGCTGGACAAATGCAAATCTCTCATTCGCTCGTCAGTGATCTGTTTGAGCAGACAGACGATGCACACGATGCGATCCCTGGGCTCCACCTCTTTCGTCTCTGGCTTGTTCCTCTTTTGTCGTTTGATTGCACGAGCAGAAGGGCCCACCTCTGCCACAAAGATAGGGTCTTGCAGCACTTGGGCTAGTGTCGGCAAGCCAGACGGACGATCATCTGACGCCTCGCTCGACTGTTCACCGTCGCTTGCATCCTCCTCCTCGGCATCGTCTCGCTCTGAACCGGACTCATTCGAGCTTGAGTCGCTCTCGCTGTCCGATGCGTCCTTGATGCCTCCTATGGCGACGTCGGCTTGTAAGTCTCGTTTGACAGACTTGAACAATGTCGCCATTGAGCGACCGTGGGCAGAGGGAAGTAGTGCTGCTAACTTTTTTGGTCAAAGCGAGCAGCTCGATCAGTCGCGTTAAACGATTGACGCGCTCGAGGTCATCTACGCGTCTTGTCCACGAGAGCGTCGCCGAGCACGACATGCGAGTGTCGAGCGTGAGGCAGTCGATCTTAAAGGTGCGCCTGTTCTCCTGCATCGTGTCAGATGACTCTCATGGACGTAGCAGGTCTTCACGCGGACATACTCGCTCACGCTCAAATCAGAGGCGATAGAATGGCTCGAAGATCTCGTAGAGCAGTTCGAGATTGCCGACCAAGATGTGGCCGACACGATGGACCACATTGCTTCCAGTTTTGTCGAGGGCGAAGACAATTCGAGCATCGTCACGCGAGATGCACTGGACAGAGTGTACAAGAGACTACAAGCGTCCAATGGACCCGCTGCACCCGATTCTCCTTCCATGGCAATGGAACAGGATGACGAAGACTCAGACACGGCTCAGTATCTCAAAGTGATCAACGCATTTGACATGCCTCGCATCAATTGGTCCTTTGAGAAGAAAGCCTTTGAACGGTCAGCAAGTCTTGCTAGATACGCGCTTGAAGCTAAGACAGAGTCGGCAGGGCGGCTGCAAAGCCATCCATGGTCGGAGCCGCCACTTCGAAAGCGCAGTACTTGCGCGATCGGTTCGGGATAGCGAAGCAAGTCATCTTACGATCAGAATATTTCTGCCCGCCGGCCGTGGGTGGGCACGATCGAAATTCATACCCAAAGGTGCGCTCTCCACAGGTAGACGGCCTGCGCTGCTTGCTCACCAGATGGACAGATCACATCGGTCAAGAACTTGCTCGGACGGCAAGGAGGTGACTTTACACTCTTTGGCTTGCTAGCGAGGACAGAGATCGGTCAATTCTGTCTGGAAGACCTAGACGATCGCGTCGTACTCGACTTTTCAGAAGCGGTCAGCCAGCACCACGGTATGCTTGGATGCCTCTGACCAGGTGCTTTGACAGAGGCAATTGGTCAAGATGATCACACAAGGCTCATTCGTCCTCGTCTTTGGCCGCTTCACATCAGAGTCTATCTTTTTCGTCTCGGAAATCACACATCCGCCTGCAGAAGGCCGGAATGTCACAAAGACCATCTTCGGCCATGTCGATTTCCTTGGCACCGGTGCACTGACACATACTGAAGAGGTCCGCTCACCCTTCTGCTCATTGGACATCGTCTGACGCGATATGCAGACGCGCTTATTAGCGAGCGAGAAAGCACAGCCGAATGCTTTCGTCGTCATATCTGATCTCTTCCTCAATCAGCCCAAAGTCCTCCTCAAGTTCAGAGCAATGCTACAGGCCCTCGTCACGGCAGACGCCATACCGGCCGTCTTTGTGCTTTGCGGCAATTTTTCGAGCATACCCTTCTTGCTCGATGGCAAGTCAACGCTAGCCTATACCCAATACTTCAGCGCGCTAGCAGAAATTCTGCTCAGCTTTCCGCAAGTCCTCCAGCAGGCACACTTTGTTCTCGTGCCCGGCCCACATGATCCGTTTGACACGATGACGTTACCTCGGCCGCCCTTACCAGCACCCATCGTCAAAGCTCTGATGAAGATACCCAAGATTACATTCGCGACTAATCCCTGCCGTATCACGTACAAATCGCAAGAGATTGTCGTCTTGCGTGACGACCTGCTGAGTCGGGTCTTGCGGAATTGCGTCTGGTTTGATGAAGTACACCCTACGGGAGAGATAGATGACGAACAAGGGACCGGTCTGCACGCTCAGATGGCTCAAAATTGGCAGCCAGAGCATCATGTAAGGGTCATCGTAAGAGAACTGACGCAGCTTATCGCGGCGCAGCTCGCACAATTGGTACTCGATCAGGGACATCTCTGTCCGTTGCCTATATCAGTCAGACCGGTCTTGTGGGAATATGATCATACTCTGAGACTGTATCCCATGCCAACAGCAGTATGTGCTTCCTCTGGGCGCAGCAGCAAAGCTGACATGCAATGGCAGCTTGTACTGGCAGACAAATACTCACCATACGAGATCACGTACGACTTGGGGCCAGACGGCGAAGAAGGGCGGTGTCACGTCTTCAATCCGGGCTCGTTTGTCAGCACCGGTTATGGCTGGTCGACTTACAAGACCGACGAACGTATCGCAGAGCAATGGCAAGTCCTCGCATCCTATACACTTCATAGCTAATCCTCCCTTCTCCTCAGTGGTCTGCCACCATGAGGTAGTGCGAGAGAGGACGATGCATTGTTGTACTATTCATCCTCTTCGCTGCTGCTGTCGTTTGCGCTCGCATCAACCCAGCCCTCGACGACGAGTGAGCCAGAAGGCATCAGATCGCCAAACTGTCGCAACGTGACCTCTGAGCCGCCTTGATACGGCACGACTTTGCGTGGGAATGTGCAAGCTAGACTGAAAGGCGGTGTGTGGACATAGTCTGTTGGCTGCATGCTACCTGGCTCGCCTGTGACCTGTGCAGCTTCACATTCGACCCAAGCATATAGATTTTGTAAAGTTGCGCTGGCTGCAAATTTGCGAACGATGCGCCTGCCGTCAGCCAGTCTGACGCTAATGCGAGCAGTATCTGCATCTGTTGTCGGTTCTGGCGGTATGAGGTGATGCTTTGCATAGACTCGCCAAGCTTCCTGATTAGCCGCAAGCGTGGCCGCGGCCGTCGCAGCTTGCAGAGCTGCAGTCTCTCTCTGTTTGGTTGCGTTGAGTTCGGCTTGCTTGGCCTGTACGCGCTCGCGGTCCCTCCTGCCAGCTTCCTCATAGGCTCTGTCTTGCTCGGCACGCAGTTTGCGCTCCTCCTCGCGCTGTCGCTTCTCTCCGCGCAGACGGGTGAGATAGGCATCCGTGCGCGGGATGAGTGTGTTCGTTATGTGTGTCGTGATGGCGTTGGCAGATGTAAGCGTGCCTGGCGGGCCTGATAATCGAGAAATGACGCTCATGGCGGACGTGCTCGTTCTCGATGACACGTTGGGCTCGCGTACGGGCTGCAAGGCAACAAAGGCGATGCAAGGATACGTCGTTGCGTGCAGAGTCATTGCGCCTGCTAGACAGTCAGGTCAAGTGCGATGACGAGGAATTCGTCTCACATTGGTAGGCGTCACGATCTTGTATGCTTCCGATCCAGCTCGCAATCTGATATTGTCGCAGAGCTCGGCGAAGATCAGGATCAGGCAGAACCGTCCTACATCGCGACGTCAATGTCTGGAGCTGGCAAGACCAATGTGGCACGACTGACTTAACGAATTCGTCGTTATTCTGATGCTCTGTACTAATGAGGATGACCATGAGCACGCGAATGTCTTGCTGCGCAGCCTTGACGGCGCTCGTATAGCTCGTTATTGCGAAATCGGGCAGAACGGGCCGAGCAGGATCAGAGAGCCGCCTGCGACTGGTGCTGCGACTCGAGCTCGCTGTTGCCGAGGACCCTACAGCCGATGCTGAGCCTGATGGTTCGAGAGGCACGCCTTGAAGGGTGCGACAGGTTGCGCCAGATTGCTCTTCGAGTAAGCGGACGAGCCTCTCGGCGCAAGAGACCGGATCGGTGAGACGGTGCTGGCCCGAAGTGCCAAACGGTCTCAGCGTCAGAGAAGGCAAATTCGGTCGTAGTCTGAGAAACCTCGCTGCTCGAAGCTGATGAGCCTCTTGATCGCTTGAGCGCGGAGGGAAAGCTTGCCTAGGAATGCGAGCGTCGAGGAGAGGAGATGATAAACGAGCGAGAGGGGCGCCATTGCGAGATTGAGCGATCCTCCGAGCATCTAGATAGCTTGCATCAGACGTGCTGTGCGAGCGCTTGCAAGGTGTCCACTCACCTGACGAGCCCAGCCGACCAAAGTGCTGGCAAATGAGGGCGGCGGCCTCCTCCTCCGACCATCGCGCTGCGGGAGCTGATCGTCTATACCCATCTGCTCCATCCTGCTCGGTCCAGCCTGCGGAGCTGCATCTGGCGCCTCGTAGAAGGACTCGATAGCTCTATCGACTGCCCAATCTGATCTATTGAGCAGTTCGATAGATTGGCGCACGCTGTCTGTTGCCGTGATGGAGCGGAATTGCTCGAGCGAGTTGCGCTGCTCAGGCGAGAGTGATTGCGCCAGCGCATCATCCATCGCTCGACAAGTCGGGCGATCACCGGTCGACGCCAAGCGCGAAAGCCGAAGAAGAGTCGCGACGAGCCAGGCCAGGAGGGAAGTGCGTGGGTGGCAGGACAGGCTTACCCTTCTGTGGTGCGATTGTAGGACCAGATGAAGCGTGTGTCTGCCTCAATGGTGCAATGCCAGGTGGATCAGTCGATCGCAGCTCAAGTGAGTCATGCTCGTCGTGCTGGTACATTCATACAGGCGTCAGGATGGGTCTATACAGCATACTGTCTCGTCCATTCTTTGGAGACCCGTATCGCATCCTTCTCGTTCGTCTTGTAGTGTTCTGCAACATCGTTGGCCAGCGGATCATCCTGCGCTGGGTCAGTCGAGGCGCACAGTGTGTGGACAGCGTGTCAACTCACTGGATTCGGCGCAGACAGTAGTGCTTGGACTGAGAGTAGCACCGTCCTGATCTGTAATGCCGGCGACCATTTATCTGCGGGCTCCCCATGCTCAGCCTCCTATGAACGCCAGAGGAGGGGGACTCGCCTTTGAGGATGTCGAGGCAGATCCTCCCTAGCTTATCTGTTCGAGAGCCGATCGGTCTCAGCATGGAACGGCAGACGACGCCGAGGAGAGGACGGACCGATGTTGGGGTGATAGATCTTTGTGAGAAACCTGACCTTGGGTGGAGCCATAGGGTACTCCTCTGGCAAGAACAGCTCAAGCTTGAACACGCCTCCTGTCGATGTGATGCCACTGATCAGCTAGCAAACTGGTTGATATGCGCTCCAGCGACCTTCAAACGCTGATCCGTCTGGGCCCGTCATGAGGACGTCAAAGTAGCGCAGGTTGTCATCGTGCGGATTGGCAGATATGCCGGGCGGTGAGTCTGCCAGCAAACGCTCGGTCTCCTGCGAATGGCACGCCAAGTCAGCTGGCTGAGCAAGCTGACTCTGATGGACGGGCTCACTTTGATGATCCGCTTGGGTAGACCGCCTGCCATGGTTGCTATGCTGGCCCAATTGATGTGGCCTGTCTGTCCGCTTGGCGCGAGATTTCTACAAGTCGATCGATTGACTGGTCGCCAGCAGTCCGCTCGCAGACGATGGGCAAGACAAAGACCAATCGTGCGCAGAGAGCACTGAGCGCGATAACGACGTTCTGAGCTGTCTTTGGAGCACAGGCGCAGCTCGAAAGGAGCAACCGCTGCCTCGTGAGATTGAGCTAGAGAGCGGAGAGAGCAAAGAGCTTTCTGCAGCTCAGCAGAGCTCGTATGCCGTCGCATCCACGCCTCAGGTCAAGCGAAAGAAAGCATCAAGCTCGTCACGCAGTAAGAACAAGACGCTAGCCAAGAAAGACAAGGGGATCGAGTTGGCAGAGAAGCTGAACAACCGCGTCCAGAAGCGAGAGATCAAGAGCGAGAAGAAGCAAGTCATCCTCACCCGCTTGCACTGCTTGCAGGCGCTGTGCTGATACAATGCAACAACAGGAAGCGAGCCAAACAGATCTACTGAGCATGTGTTGCTCCAACCGAGTTGCGTTGTCGATCTGAGCGAGAGACGCACGCGACTGGCTGGCAACGTGCAGCCACGTTATCATCGTCGCCGCAGATCAGGCGGCAGTGCTCGAGCCGGCAGATGCTTTCTCGCCAAGTGTTGTGCGGCCTCTTCTGCCGGGTCGTGCGCAACAGTGATGCTCATGGGCTGTAGCTCCTCACGCTCGGCAAACTTGTACGTGACCAAGTGAACAAAGTCATTGCAGAGCCACAAGCCTCCCGCACCACAGATGAGCGTGTTCGTCGGATTGAGCTTGTGCCTCAGCATGAGCTTGTACCCGGAATTAGCGAGATGGCCTGCTGCGCTCTCTGCGATCCTGATCGCGACAGGACATCGAGACCAGATGGCCAGGATGGGCTTGCACAGCGCTGCAGCAGCAGCTTTGACTGCCTTTGTATCTTCAAAGTCGTAGATACAGTCTATGAGCTTGCTCGGCTCCTTGAATGTGCCGTAAGCGTTGAGCACCAGTTGGGCAGTGAGCGAGAAAGGCGGGGCAGGCGGCCTTGCAGCTGCGTGGACCTCCACTTCCGCCAGCGTGGCCCTGATGGCCTCCCTGCCGATCCACCAGCCCGAACCTTCATCGCCAAAGAGATGCCCGTGGCCACCCGTCTGGCCGATCTCGTAAAGACCGCTCGGCAAGGGCGTCCTGCCCCGGTCACCTTGGGGTGGAACAGTACTGAGAGCACACGCATTCGAGCCCGTGCCTGCAATGAGTGCAATGGCATGCTTGACCTGAGGCGCAGCACCCGTCCGGTCTACGATCTCATCGTGCAACGGTTTTGCAGTCTCGCCAGCAAAGGCAGTATGGATCGTCGTGCCTAACAAAGCAGTATCGTTTGTCACGAACAGGTCGGGACAACTGACGGGTACGCTGAGCAACTCGGCGAGGATGGCTCGCATCTTGGAGATCGTGGCGGTCGAATCTAGTCCAGAGATACCGAACCATGCCTTTGTGATTTGGAGATCAGGTCTGACGTAGCCGAGTACAAAGATGATGGACACGAGCGCTTTGGTCCATGTGCTCGCGACAGGATTGGCACAGTGAGGGAAGTCTTGGGCGATCGTCTCCCCATCAGCAGCAATGATGTGGATCTTCGTCTTGCTTGCGCCGCCATCAACGGCGAGCACTGCTTTCGTCTGCGTCGCTGTGAGTTGGTCTGCAATTCCGGGTGGCAGCGCTAATGACCGAGCTCCTTCGCTTTCTGCTTTGACAAATCTGTCGACAGTCTCCGCGACATCGCTAGACAGGATGACCCAGATCTTATCGAGCCGCATGCTCGCTACCCGGTTCACCCAGGCCGGCAATGCCAGCGCTCAAATTCGATGATAGCAATGCACCTGCGTTTCTCAGACGCGACGCGGACAGATCAAGCTTCTAGGTTGCACACGATGCGAGCCAGGAAGATAGGCTTGCATGAAGGTCAGATTGACTAGGTCACAAGCTTCAGCAGATCGCGGAACCGCATCGTTCCCCAACCAGACGCTGCGTCCCATCTGCAAGCATTGCCATTGGTTATCAAGTACGCATTTGGAGGAACCGATGCCTTACCCAGGTGCGGCCAGGAAGCCAGGTGTATCGCATCCATCGGTCGAGCCCGTCACAATGTCATTGAAGCCCTTGCCTTCGAGCTTCCAGATGAGCGGATTGATGAAGCCCAATGGAGGCAAGCCCTTTGCGAGACGTGCATCGTTGAGCAGCGTAACGACAGAAGCTGCCGTAGGCGTGCTTGCGCTGGTGCCTTGTACTGGTATGATGGCCGAACCCCACCAGATCGGGAAGCCGTAGCCTTGAGCCGATAGATCGGGATAAGCTCGCCCTCCTTTGGTATATAGACCGTCGTATTGTCCGTCGAGTGATGCGATGTACTTGGTGACGACCTTCTCTTGATAAGCGGGACGTTCGAATACGTCTGAGAAGCCAGAGCCGGACCAGAGTTGCTTGGTCGCGTTAGCCATCATCATCTCGGGATGTCGCGACATGGTCGCACCCACGGATGTAATCCAGGGACACGAAGGTGGGAAGGAGGGTATGAATTGCTTCTTCTTGGTCTCTGTCCTGATGCAGTGCTGGCCACTGCCGTCGGCCACGCCCGAATCGCCTGTGCTGACGAATACGCTGCTCCCACGGGCTCCGATAGCAGCAAAACCACTGCACAAGTGACGAGCGTAGTCTGCAGGCAGTGTTTGCTCGTCATCCGAATAACTGATCGAGATTGCAAGCGGGAGCTCGGCGTCCTTCTTGCCCTGCAAGACCTTCATGAAGACCGCCCAAGGCTCGTTCTGTTGAGTGTCTGCAGGCCGCCAAGTGTCACTGACTGCAGGACCATAGCCACCGAACGACATGTATGTAGATGGAATTGGCGCGATCATTGCTGCAACTGACTGAGTGTCCAGGTTGGCTTCCATATTTTCGCCGAGCAAGTAGCGAAACTCTGTCATCGTCTCATCGAGAGCTGCGCCACTGTAGAGCTCAACATCGAACATGTACGAATCATCGAGATCCGGTCGTTCATGCTTGAGCATCTGACGCAGATTAGACTTGATAGCATTTTCGCCAAGGGCGCTGAACACTGCAAGACGATTGCGAGGGTGATTGAAAGGCTTGTAGTCGATTGTCTGAGCAATCTGGCGCAGGCAGGCATACGAGTTGAAGTGAGTATGCCAGTGACATTCCTTAGGATTGAGTATGCCAACGGTGCGGTTATCTAGACCGTAGTCACGCTTTGCTAGCTGGCTGTGCTGCTCAGTCAGAACGGGAACCTTGATGCTGTGAAAGTACGTCGTGGGCTGGATACCGGCAATGGCAGCATGCAGATGACGGGGTACGCTGTATGCCAACGTACGCGTTGCCGTTGCTCCGTTGCTATGCTCGTATGTAGCGAACCGGGCCTTGAGCAGTGCCTCGGCCTTTGACACGGGTAACACGATACTGACCCAATCGCCAGCATCGGACTTGCTGATCTGATGCTCTTGCACACCAGACTGCTTGAGCCAGTCGTCTACTGCTCGAGAGTGAGACTTGAGCGGCTTAATGAGTTCGTTGGCCTCGTCCTGCGTCAGATGAGCACCATAGTCCTTGCTGTCTGGATCGGACACGCGATAAAGTCTATCCTCGAGGGTCTTGGTGTCGGCATGCTTGATCGCGATCGACAGGGCGAGTACTGTCTCTGGATGAGCATCTCGAGCGCGTGACCACCCCCTGGGCGTCTCCGAAAGCGAATGGTGCGTCTTGTAGGAGTATGCACTCAGGTCGGCCAGAACGGCGCCAATAGCCGATACATGAATGAAAGCTCGCATCTCGGTTCTGTCTTACGACACGACGGGCGAAGTGATTGGAAGGCTTGCGATGAACGATAACAAAGGTTGCCGAGACATGCATGAGGACGTATGAAGATAGCAGTCATGGGGATCGAGCGGTAGATCGCGTCGCAAGATACAGCTGTCATAGCAGCAGGATTCAGCAAGATCGACAACTGTCGACGTGTTTGGATGATCGATGCGCCAGCATGATTCGGCCGAGTGGCGGCTTCGCCACCGTCTTCGTTTGCCGCGGAAAAGCAGGCCGGGGATGACGTGGCGATGACGCCTTTCGCGCGTTTTGTCAGCATCGCGCATTCGCTGGTCTGATCCACTCTGACTAAGCGCTCGCACGCATCACTCGCATATAAGGCTCTGTATACGGGAAATCAGTGGCAGGCGGACTACACCAACACAATCGAGACGTGACTAGACGGCAATAGCGAAAGCAGAGAGCCAACGACTCGTACACAAAAATTTGCTCGCCATTCCGAATTGCGATCGAAAGGACATCGTAGAGCGATAAGATAGTCGTCATGGCACTTTTGCAACCCCAAACGTCGTCTGTCAATGGTGCCGCTTCGCAAGAAGCCTATGTGCCTACTGCGTCGACCTCTTCGCCCGCAAGGCACGCTGCCAAGCTGCCGAGCGTGGCAAAGGCAGTCGTCTTTACAGAAGACGAAGTCGCCGAGTACAACAGACAGCTGCAAGATGCTACACCCATGCAGATTCTTCAATGGGCGACCGAGCACCTGCCCGGCTTGTATCAGACCACAGCCTTTGGTCTCACCGGGCTGGCAGCCCTGGACATGCTCAGCAAGATTTCGAGGCAACAAGGCTACTCAAAGCATCAAGTCCCCCTCATTTTCATTGACACGCTCTATCACTTCTCGGAGACGCTCGCTCTGGCAGAGCGAGCGAGCCAAAAGTACGGCGCGCCCATGCACGTCTACTACCCACCCGGCGTTAGCTCCGTCGCTCAGTTCGAGTCGATGTACGGCAAGAACTTGTGGGAGACAGACGAGGACACTTACGATTACGTCGTAAAGGCAAGTCGTCATCACTTTTGTTTCGATACAAAACGCTGACTGTCTTGAAACAGGTTGAGCCAGCCCGCCGGGCCTACGCAGAATTAGACGTCAAGGCTGTCATTACCGGCAGAAGGCGATCACAAGGCGCACAACGCGCCAATATACCCATCATCGAGATCGATGAGACCGGACTGATCAAGGTCAACCCGCTTGCATCTTGGACGTTTGCCGAGACGCAAACATACATCAAAGAAAATGATGTACCGTACAACGCCTTGCTCGATCGGGGCTACAAATCTGTCGGCGATTGGCATTCGACCAAAGCTCCCGACGGATCTGTCGCTTCTGGCGCAGGCGTAGATGCCGACGAGCGATCTGGCCGATGGGCAGATCGAAAAGAACGCAGCGAATGCGGGCTCCATCAGAATTACTTCCAGATGAGGAAAGCGTTCCTCAAGAAGCAGAGAGAACGCGAGCAACTGCTCAAGGACGAGGCCCGTCAAGATGACTTGCCTGCTTCCACACCACCAGCAATCTAGACGCAGCGGAGTTGTAGAGCTCGGCGACTTGCCAAAAGAGCCTGTGCTCATAGACACAATGCATTGCATGTACCTCGCACTGGGATCACAAGCGCATGCCATCTACCTGAGGCAGACTGTCTAGACTAGCAGCGTTCCTGATGCTCGCTCTGACCTCATCAAAGGGATCCCGCGCGCTGCCTGTTTTGTCTCGCCACAGCTTCGTGTACTGAGTCACGAGAATGTCGACGTCCGCATGTAACCGAGCGATAGATGATGCCAGTGACATCGCGAGCGCATGCTGTGTCCTAAGCGTCGGCACAATCGCTTTGACTTGATCCGGATTCGTACTTCGCAGTTGATGTGCGATTTGCTGCGCTGATCGCATCAATCTCGTGATTCACCGTACACAATTGACGCACCTCTACGCTCAGCTTGTACAGCTTCAGCCTGTGTGAAAGTTCGTCTACCTTGCGGACGAAGAACCTGCGAGAGCATCAGCTTGTGCTCCCAGGTGGCATGAGACGGTGACTCGCTCGTAGGGGAATTGGGCGATCGCTTTAGCCGCTTGACCTTTGCTCTGCGGACTCCTGAAGCCCTCTACCAGCGTCTGAACTTTCATTGCGTCTCTGAGATCTTGCTCGTATCGGGCCCTCGCATCGATGACGGCTTTCGAGCTTTGCGCGAGCAGAGACGTCAGGGAGTTGTACTCCTGCTCGATCGCACCCTCCTATCAGCTCGCGCTCGAATCTGATGCGGAGCGACTCGCCGTGCTGAGCACAGACAGCGTCTCTGTATTCTTCTGAATCGCCTGACCGAGCGATTTGGCTTTGAGTTCATCGCGTACTTGTATCCTGCCGGTGATGTGCGTCTCGATAGACTCTAGCAGCTGCCTTGCTTCCTGCGGCAGGTCCTCGAAAAGCGTTGTCTTTGTGATCGCGCTTGCCTGTTGCTGTTGCTGCTGCTGTTGCTGCTGCTGAGCAGGCTGAGATTGACCAAAGGGGTTTGCATTCTGCGCAGTCGCGTTCTGCGTGCTGCCGCCGAAGCTGAAGCCAGAAGGTTGCTGAGCAGACGTGCTGGCTCCGAATGCTGCAGGTGTCGTGGTCGATTGGCCAAAAGAGAATGGAGCAGACTGACTCGTTGGCGGTTTGCTCGCTGCTGGCGTGCCAAAACTGAACGGGCTCGACGTCGTTGTCAAGGCAGGCGCAGCGGTCGATGTAGACGCTGCAGGTGTGCCGAAAGAGAAGCCCGTCGTGGCGGCTGGTTTGGACGTCGCAGCTTGGCCAAAGCTGCCAAAAGTTGCAGGCTTTGAAGTCGGCGTCGATGTGCCAGCTTGGCCGAACGAGCCAAAGTTGAACGACCTGTGAGCACGATCAACGTCGTCAGCAGTGCTACATGCTGTACCAGAGCCTATGCTCACATCCTTGGCCTAAGTCAGGGGGAGCATCAGATCACGTGCGCTGCTGTCGCGACTGGCAAAGCGCACGTCAACTGGCCGGCAAACCTCGCGATATCAGATGGCCACGGCTGCCATACTTGGGGCTGCCGCTAGCCTGCAATCGTCTGCAGATGAGACAGAGGCAGCTGATCTTGCAACACTCTGGCAGGGTCTGGTCACAATAGCCACGGAAACATCGCGAGGAGACCCGAGGCTGATCCAAGCCTTATTCACGGCCCAGTCTCGATACTCAGCAGGGCAAGACATTGTCAGTCAGCTACTGGCACGCTGCAGGATACCAGACGATCGGGCATCAGCAAATGAGGAGCAGCTGATCCTTGTGCTTCGTTTGATCCAAGGCTACACGCTCATGTTGCCTACAATCTACCAGCCGAGGCTAGCACGCCGCGAAGCTATACAGGTGCGCCAAGCGTAGTAGACAGCATATCAAGCTGATTATTCTATTGACGTCCAGAGTCTGCTAGGTCTGTTGGGCAACAGTGCGAGCAGCAACAACGATTCGCTCACGACTCTGCTCGCGCTCGATGTGCTCTTGGCTGCTCTCGTTGATCACCCGCCGGGCGTACGCATGTTCGAACAGCTGTCCGGACTCGAGCTTGTCGTTCGTCTGCTACGAAACAAGGAAGCTGGCAAGCACACAAGGTGAGCCAAGTAAAAGATGAGAAACGCATGGCTGATTCCTCTGATCTTCAGAATGAAGGCGCTCGAGTTCTTGCATTTCTATCTCTTACCAGAATCAAGCACAGACCTGACGCCGCGCTCACCGAGCAAGCTCAGACGGGTATCGCCCAGCGCTTCCCTAGTCAGCTCGCGATCGCGTCAAAGAACAGCATCAGGCGGCAGTACGGCGTCATCAGTGTCCTGCTCGAGCCTCTTTGCTTCCATCTCGGAAGAGGGTACCTCTAGCCCACAGCGAAGTGAGAGCAGAGTACCGTGGTCGCCCCAGACGCCTCGACGAGCCAGGGCGCCGGACTCGCCTTCTCGCAGCCCTGCTCTTCGTTCGCCCGTCAAAGTACTCGAGATCCCGCCGACGCCAGAGCAAGATGATGCCAATATCCTCGTCGTACCACAGACGAGCTCACCCGCCGGGTCGGTCATGCGCACGCCCGAGCGCAAGGATGACAACGAGAACGTCTCGCCGTTCGCAAGACCACTCCGTGCTAGCTTAGCAATGACGCCGCCGAGACGAAGCAGGCCGCTATCAGAAAGCAGTCCGGCTCACCAATCGCCCAACAAAAGACTGTCTGCATCTGTCAGTCCGACAAAGTCATCACGCTCATCGCCCACGAAACATCGTCCTGCAATTCGACCGGATGGCACCCGGGATGTCGAAGCCAAGAAGGCCCTCCTCGGACGCTATCTGGGCAACGTAGACGGATTGGTCGAGAAGCTCAAACTCATGAATCTGACGCCGCACACGGCCACTGCTGCACAATGAGATCTCTGAGATTGTATACACGGAAAGATGCATCGGAACGAGCCGGATCTGTCGTCAAATTAAGCTTCCTGCGAGCGAGGTCGGACGGCGCAAATGATGATTGTCTAAAGGCGTGAGGGCGAGTGCCGGCTCTGTCATCGCAATGCCGAGCTTGCAGACTCATGCGCCAGTGCCGTTGGTCACTGGGTGAGTTTGGTGAGAGGCATCGGGATGGAGAACCTCCTTTTGCAGCTTCTCGTCTTGCCATGGACCGGCATCGCTGAGACTGCAACCCTGAGAGCAATGACACTTGCCGCCCAAGAAATCCGGTAAGTTCTCTGCCGGAATCTGGGCAAGCAATGTCTCTTGGTAATTCGCCCCGAGAATTGTGATCTGCTCGCATGTCAGTCATACAGTCTTGACATGGATGGAAAGCCAGGTCTCACCTTTGCTACCGTCACCTCGTCCAGCCAGCCCTTGACGAGTGACCAGACTGTCGTGAATAGGCTGCCCGACACATCAGCACGTTCTCGTCAGGACAGCTCAAAGCCTTACTAGGGCGCATTGATGATGTAGAACTTGCCCATCGTTTCTGGGTAGTTATACTGAGAGATCTGTGAGGCTTCCTGGACAAAGTTTTTGACTTTCCAGAACTGGGAGATGCCAACGTTGTTGAGGTCCATGATGGTGCACGATGTCTCGACAAGCTCGCCCTTGATGTTGGAACAGATCGGCAATCGTTCTCTGAGGAATTTCTCGTATTCTACGACGAGAGCTTGCAGCTGACGCTCCGGCGTCGTGACCGAGTAGAGTTTTGCCACATCTAGTTTGCCAAGCTGCTCGATGTATATCGGTCGTCCATCCTGTCGTTGGGACCGGATGAGCATCTGAAGGCCCCACAGAGAAGTACTCGGGCACACCCTATCGATCTTGTGGTAGAATTTGGGGTAATATTCGTCTACTTGCGCGCGTTCTTTGTAGTCAAAGTTTTGGTAGAGTTCGTCGACCTTGTAGCTCTTTCGCCACTTGGATGAGTCTTCAAACATCAGCTTGCTCTTGGGCAGATCGAATTTGCGTGCGCGGAGGAAGCGTCTGCAAGGATACCAAGCATCAGCTGACTTATCTACAGAGGTATGCCCTCTGGTGAGGCATCACTGACAGCAGTGTCGCATCATCGTGCGAGGGGGGTTCGGCAGTGTAGAAGCCATCGGCTTCGAGCTCCTTTTTGAACTTGCCGAGGACATGATTCTGTGTGATGTCGAGATGGCCAGGGTGTCCGCTCAGAGGATCCTGTACGCGTCAAAGACCCGAGGGCATGGCAGTCAGCTCTGCTTTTCTTGCCTCGGTTTGCAGTCCATCGAGGCCGAAGGAGACCATCGAGCAGCGTGCAGTGTGCTCAGCAGGAGTCAACTGACCTTGGCGGGTAGGCCGTGATGTGACATTTTGGTGGGACTGCCACCGGCTGTACCGTTGCTGCCTGTCTGAGGAGAGGTGACCTCTCCTCGCTTCTTCTTGCCGATTCCGAGAGGAATCTTGACGGCTGTCTGTCGAGACCTGGCTTGACTCAATCCGAGGCTGATCGACTTTGTTTGGCTCACGAGGACAGGCACGGGCGCACACAGTTCGCGCGGAAGAAAAAAGGGAGACGTGGCAGTTGGGCAGACTGCCGGCGACTCAGCGACTTGTGTCCACTTGCTCATGCTATTCTGGTCCGGGCATCATGCATTTGTATAATCTGACACTCCTTCCGCCATCGTCGATCACCTGCGCCGTCGTCGGATCATTCGCAGGCACACGGGCCCAGCAAATATGCGTCGTCAGAGGCGGCACTCGCTTGGAGCTCCTCGCCGTCGACACACAGACGACCAAGGTCACTAGTCTGCTAGCGACAGAGGCCTTTGGGACGATACGATCCCTGCAGCCATTCAAGCTGACAGGCGGCAGCAAAGGCGAGCAACCCAGGCCAGAGCTGGTCAAACGAGCTAAAAGATGAAATGGGATTGGCAGATTATATCGTGCTTGGTTCGGACTCGGGCAGGATCGTCGTTCTCTCCTACGATGCCACCACGAACACATTCGTCAAGCTCCATCAAGAGACATTCGGCAAATCAGGCTCGCGCCGGGTCGTACCTGGACAGTATCTCGCAGTGGATCCCAAAGGCAGGAGCGTCATGATCGCTGCCATGGAGAAGACAAAGCTGTACGTTTGCCTTGCCATGCTCGTTGATAGCTCAGCTCATAGCTTCATCGCAGAGTCTACATTCTGAACCGCGATGCTGCTGCCAATCTGACAATATCCTCTCCCCTCGAAGCGAACAAGGCACATGCCATCATCCACTCCATCGTTGGTCTTGATGTCGGCTTTGAGAACCCGCTCTTTGCAGCTCTCGAGGTGGACTATAGCGAATCAGATCAGGACGACACGGGTGCGGCATTCGAAGCAGCCGAAAAGATGCTGACCTACTACGAGCTCGACCTTGGTCTCAACCACGTCATTCGACGATGGACTGATCCTACCGATGTTCGAGCAAACATGCTGATCGCTCTACCCGGCGGTCAGTCGACCACCTCTGAACATTTCGACGGACCTTCAGGCGTACTCGTCTGCACTGAGAACTATATCATCTACAAGCATCAAGGCGTGCCCGAGCACCGCGTTCCGATACCCAAGCGCGACCATCCCCTCCTAGATCCAGATCGCGGCCTGCTCATCACGGCCAGCGTGATGCATCGTATGAAGGTCAGTCGACCATCTCAGCCTCATGCGCTCGAGCTTGGCCTGATCTCTTCCGCAGGGTGACTTCTTCATCCTAGTGCAGAGCGAAGAAGGCGACCTCTACAAAGTCACCGTCGAACGTCAGGAGGAAGAAGTCTTGGCGCTCAAGATCAAATACTTTGACACCGTGCCCGTTGCGAGCAGCTTGTGTATCTTACGGTCTGGCTTCCTTTTTGTTGCCAGTGAATTCGGCAATCAGTCAGTTTCTATACGGAAACCCACGCGTGCTCAACTGACGAGTCTGTGGACAGCAATGTGTATCAGTTCGATAAGCTTGGTGATGATGGCGACGAGGTCTCTTCAGCGGACTACCCTTCATTCGGCATGGAACGAGAAGAACCAGCCACCTTTTTCAAGCCGAGGCCGCTCGAGAATCTCGTTCTGGTAGACGAGCTCGACTCTCTTTGTCCAATCGTCGATGCCAAAGTGGCCAATGTGCTCGGAGCCGATGCGCCGCAGATCATTACAGCCTGTGGACGAGGGCATAGGAGCTCGCTAAAGATGCTCAGACATGGTCTCGAGGTAGAAGAGATGGTCAGCTCCGGTCTTGGCTTCGAGCCTACTGGCCTCTGGACTACGAAGCTCAAAAGTGATGGTGCATAATTTGCTCGCGATCTAGCGAGAGCTGGCTGACAGTGCATGGCTTTGCAGACACCTATGATTCATACATCGTCCTGTCCGCGCCCGCCGCAACCATAGTCTTGACCATCGGCGAGAGCATAGAGCAAGCGTCAAATTCAGGCCTGGTCGAGAACCAACGGACGCTGTGCGTTCAGCAAGTCGGCGATGACTCGATCGTGCAGGTCCATCCGGCCGGCTTCCTACGCGTACGTGCAGACGGCTCAAAAGAGGTCTGGCCGCTAGCGCCCGAGCGAGTCAACCTTGCTGTCGCTTGTGCAAACCAACGCCAGATCGTGCTCGCCACCACAAGCGGTGATATCATCTACTTGCGATGCGAGCTCGATGGCGAGATCACCGTCTTCGACGACCGGAAGCAGCTCGGTGTCAGCGTTACCTCCATGAGCATTGGCGAGCTTTCGGAAGATCGACTGCAGACAGATTATCTCTGCGTTGGCTGCGAGGATCAGACTGTTCGAATTATCTCGCTACAAGAGCAAAATTGTCTCGAGACCATTTCCATTCAGGCTTTGACCGCTTTGCCAAGCTCGATCTGCATTGCCGAGATCCTAGACAGCAGCGTTGATAAAACCCGGCCGACGACGTTTGTCAATATCGGCCTGCAAAACGGCGTCCTGCTCAGAACAGTCCTTGATCCGATGAGCGGTAGACTGACAGACACGCGTACTCGGTCGGTTGGCTCCTCGTACCACGAGGAGACTTGAGCTGACACATCTGGCAGCTTCCTTGGCACTCGTCCGGTCAAGCTCAGACGGTTGGCGATCGGCGATTCATCCGGCGTGTTGTCAATCTCCAGTCGGACCTGGGTCAACTATACCCATCAAGGCTTGCTCCAATTCGACCCGCTGATATCAGATCCGCTCGACCATGCAACAGGCCTGAGAGCGGAGGTCTGTCCCGAAGGCATCATTGGCGTTACAGGCGACACTTTAAGGTGAGCTATTAGCCTTACTTTCTTTCCCCTCCTGCTCGACGATGACAGCAAGGAGTCGTAAAGCTACTGGCTTGCCGAGAACTCCTAACATTTTCCAATTGATCCTGCTGAGAGCATTTCTGCCGCTGAGATCGTACTCCGAGCATTTGCTGATCGTTTCCCAGGATCTTCACGCTGCCTAAAATAGGCACGAAGGTCAAGATGGACAGCATACCGCTCTCGCTCACTCCCAGGCGAACGGCTTTCCATCCCGCCGGCACTTTGCTCTACATGATCCAATCCGACCATCGCACGCTATCGCCGATCACGCAAGAGGAAAAGGCAAAAGACTTGGCAAGTCTGCTCGCTTCGGGATTACTCTCGGGCCTGACAGATCTTGCAGATGGAACCCAGCGAAGCAATGTGGACCGCAGAAATCAACGGACTCATGCGAGCGGAAGCCGGGCAATGGTCGTCCTGCATCTCCATCATTGATCCTACCGAGCCCGAGAACGCGACAGTGACTCAAATATATCTCGATAACAACGAAGCAGCGTTCTCGGTCGCAGTCGCGCAATTTGCAGAGCGCCCCGGAAAGTGGTTCTTGCTCGTCGGTACTGCACAGGATACCACCGTCTCGCCGCGGACCTGTACGCATGGCTTCATACGTACCTACGAAATTACAGAAGCAGGGCGGTCGCTCGAATTGCTACATAAGGTTGGCTTCATTTTAGTCAGAATCACCGCTACTGACACGGAGCCATGCAACAGACTGAGCTGGACGATGTGCCCTTATCTATCGCCGCTTTCCAAGGACGAGCAGTCGTCGGCGTCGGGCGTGCATTACGACTTTACACGATGGGCAAGTCGCGACTGCTCCGCAAGTCTGAAAACAAGGCGAGACTCCCACATCCGCTCGCGAGCATTGCTGACGCTGCGTTGCAGTCCTTCCCGGCAGCAGTTGTATCTCTGCAGGTACAGGGGTCTCGCATCTATGCGTCCGACGCGCAGGACTCTGTCTACTTTGTCGCCTACAAAGCAGCAGACAATCGATTGCTTATCTTTGCCGACGATACGCAGCAGCGCTGGATCACTTGTAACACCGTGGTCGACTATGATACGGTAGCATCAGGCGACAAATTTGGCAACGTCTTCGTCAGCCGGGTCGATAAGCTCGTCAGTGAGGATGTCGATGAGGATCAGACTGGCGCTGGAATCTTGCACGAGAAACCGCTCTTCATGGGCGCGCCGCACCGCTTGCAGCTACTGACACATTTTAACGTCGGCGACATACTTACGTGCATTCAGAAGGTCTCACTGGTCGCCGGTGGACGCGAAATCCTACTGTACACGTGCCTAGGCGGGACTGTTGGTATGCTTATCCCTTTCATCTCGAAGGAAGATGTCGAGTTCAGCTCAACGCTCGAAATGCACATGCGTGCTGAGAATCCGAGCATCGTCGGCCGAGATCACCTCGCCTACAGAGGATGTAAGTCCCGCTTTCAATAGTTCTTGGCCGTCGCTAATGCGTGCATACAGACTACGTGCCGCAAAAGGCTACAGTCGACGGCGATCTGTGCGAGACCTTCGCGCTGCTACCCATGCAGAAGCAAGCCCAAATAGCTGGCGAGCTGGATCGATCGGTGAGTGAGGTGCTCAAGAAGATCGATAGCATGCGCATCCTCTCGAGTGGATGGTAGATGGGTTTGGCAATGCATCTGCGATGCATCATTCGCTGCTCACATCCTTGTCATAGTCGAGATCGTCAAGTCTGTCTAGATCTTTCCAGCCCTCAGGCTCACTCTCCCAGTCGTCGTCTTGGCCCGAGTCATGCTGAATCTCGTCAGGATCGCTGGCGTCGTGATGATACGCAGAGGGTGCCTGGGTGTCATCTGCTAAATCTGCTAAGCCCGACCGCTCTCTTGCTAGCCGTTCCCTCTGCGTGATGCTCGGCTCTTGTAGTATTCTGGAGATCTTTGCGTCTCGCTCCGCGATAAGCTTCTGTCTGCGCGCTTTCAGTGGCGAAGCGCGTAATGATAGCAATTCGACCAGATCAGAAGGAACAGCGGGATCGACCTCCACTTCACGATCTGTATGGTCGATCCCGCCGTTAGACATAGCCCGTGCTCTCGATGGCATACTCTCTTCATCGCTGCTGAAGTCGCCGTCTACTTTCTCGGCATGTCCTCTTTGCTGACGGAACCTATGCCAAGGCTGCCAGGACTCAACACGAACAGGCTCTATCTCGTCCTGCAATGCAACCTCTGAAGGTGTCGCGTCGAGTTCTGGCTCGTCAACGCGTTTCTTCTTCACCACGCGAGTATCGTTTGATCGCTCTTTCCCCTTGCGCTTAGCCGCTTCTGCGCCGTTCTGCGAGGATACGTCGGTATCCGTTGCACTCGGGTCCGATGTTCCATATGACAGCGCCACAAAAGTGGACTGCGACGAGCTCGATGCGGCAAATGCGTCTCGCCCGAATATAGGCTTGGCTGACGGCCTTTTAGCCGCTTTCGCCGGAGCCGCTGGCTTCTCAGGTGAGAGATCGAATAGGGGCTTGAAATTGGAGTTCTGCGATGCCTTGACGGGCGAAGGGCCGACAAGCGCAGTACTGGCAGGTTCGGCCAATTGAGTCGCGGAAAACGGATCGTCTTGCGATGCGCTAGGTTCGCTAGGCGCAAAGACTGACGCAGCACGAGAGCCACGAGCAGTGTCTTTGACGGGCGTGTGACCTTGCTCGCCAGCCATGAAGCGCTTCATCCTTGTTCTGGGCGTATCTGCCGCGTGGGAGGAATGGGCAGAGATCAGAGTCTGAAGCTTTGAAGGTGATCGAACGATATGGTATGCTTGTGACGCGGCACCCGATTGAGCTTGTGAGCGCTTGAATGGTGACAGCGTACGCACTGCCGTGCCGTTTTGACGCTCGGCGGACTTGCTGGGTGTGAGATGAGGTACAAAGTCGCCCGAACGCGCTCTTTTGGGTGTCTTGTACGCCGTTGTTGGGTCGCTGGGCTCGGCTTCTTCATCCGATTCGACAGCCGGCCGAGTTCTGATCCTCATGAGACCCTTTCTGGACTCTTGCGACGACTGACTCGGTGCAGCGAATGGATCATCATCCGCACTCTCGCCGCGCTCTCTACTACGCGCCTTGCCCTTGCCTGGCGCTCCTTTGCTCGCTTTGGCCAATTTCGAGGCTTTGAGTAGCTTGTGGTATTGCTTGTACTTGTCAGCTGTGTCGGGCAATGTCAGCGCAGGCCAAGTCCTCCGACTGGAAACGCACACATGCCGGCTGACTTGACATCGCTGGAGTCGACGTCGCGGCCATGCTGCGCTCGGAAGGCCTTCTCCCAAGCTTTGATCTCCGCTTTGAGTGTCGCAGCACTGATCGTCTGCGACATGCCCCGCCAGAGACTGCGCCCAGCTCGCGACTGTCGAGCTTAGCTCGGCTTGTCGCGTCGTCGAAACGCTGATTGCGTCAATCGCTCGCACGACTTTGGTGGCTGTTCGACGGCCGCTAGCCCGACCTGGGCAGGCGGCGTCATGATCGAAAGTGATGCGACATCGCCAGACAGCAAAGCCCAAGCTCCCTCATCACCCTCAGAGGACATAATCGCTTACACCGATCAGAGCTCCTCGGAAACTCCTGATCAGCTTGTCCGGCAATCAAAGACGCAGATCAGCGTGTGGACTGTGCTCAGAGAGGATGTTGATGCGGCCGGGCGGGGAATCTGGCTGCCTGTGATGATGTACTGCTTCGAGACGGGCTTCGTGAGCGCAGTCACCTTTACCGCCTGCTCCATTTGGGCCGGCTTCGAGTCGGGCAACACCATACAAATGGGCTTGGCCATCGCTCGTCTCGTCGGTCATCATGGTATCCTCACCGCGCGCGCTATGCTGAAGAACGCAAGCAGTTCTCACCCGGTCCGCAAGAGAACGGCACTTTCCTCATGACCGACAGACAAGCTCTCACATCGCTCATCAGCTTTCTCATCGGTGCTGCGCTCGCTCGCGTGACGGACCGCTATCCCTCAATTCTGGGTCCCAAGCAGCGCTCCTGGCTCATCCTGGCCACGCTCGTGCAAGCTCTGTTCTTGCTTATCGCATCAATATGCCTCATCGTCGCACACGAATCCAGCTTCACGCTCGATCGAGGCGACCCGTCTTGGACGACCTTCCGCGGCTTCTGCGGACTCGCATTCGCTTCTGCCAATCTTGGTCTGCAGGCTGCCGTCGGCAAGAAGCTCGGTCAAGTGGCAAACACGACAGTCGTCCTCACTACAATGTACGGACGCTCTGACACGAGATCGCCGGATCTGACTGTGCTGGCAGATGGGTGGAATTCGTCAACGATCCCAAGCTTCTGCTGACGCCATGGCGCAAGAACGCTGCAGCAGCGACAGAGGGAAGAGACGGGCGATTCCTGTCAATCGCGAGCTTGTTCGTCGGCGCGCTGGTCTCGCGTGCAATATTAGCGCAACTAGGTAGCGCTGCGACTCTGGGTATAGCAGCAGGCATCAAGCTGTTGGGCTCGGCGTTGTGGCTCACGGTACCGAAGAAGCAAGTGAAGCATTAGTAGACACTGATTGTTGTATTGACACAAGGCTCTAGACTGTACAACCATGTCACATGCAGGAATCACTAGATCACAGACCGTCTGCCTCGCCAAACGTCTTCGTGATGGCGTCATTGGCGAAGCGGTAGCCGTTGTTTCGGAACAGCTTCGTCTGCAGGAATGGCTGAACGTCAAATATCTCCAGATCCTTAGCCTGCTTTAGCTGTCAGTGCGTGCAAAGAACACGTTCTGTTGGTGACTCACCCTATCTGCAAGCTCGGACAAATTGATGCGAATCGAATTGGGCTGCTCGCCATACTTGTAGACGTGATAGCGAACTTTGTCCTTGGTAATTTGACCAAGTGTGAAGGAAAGCAGCTCGTCGGTATCCGCAGCACGACGCAGATACTTCGCAAAGCCTCTGTCAAGCTGCTTCTTGACAGATGTCTTGTTTGCGCCAACGAAGCTGCCAACGGTCACTTGAATGGCCAGATCGATATCGTCACTGCGAACGTATTCCGACAATCGCATTTTGGCAGACGCTTCGGCCATTCTGATGGTGCTTTCGAGATGTCTGACCGTGATAGGGAACGAGCCAGTTGCGATGGATTCGCGACGAAGCTCCGAATAGAGTCTCGCAAGCTTGTCTTGGTCCATCTGACCTAGCTTGGGCTGACATCGCTCGCGAGCATACTGGATGTACTTCTTGAGCACGTCTTGTGGCAGAATCTGCTCCAACTCGTCAGCTTATATGAGAAAGCAGAAATGACAGCCTTACCTCTGCATCGATTGATGTCGCCACCTTCACCTCGTCCACTTCGGCGTCAAAGTCTGGGTGCGATCTCAGATGACTGCCAACTACAAACTTGGCGAGCATCTCGTCGATGACAGGGTCGACAGTATCTTTGACGACGCAGAGGACATCAAATCGGGACAAGATCGGTTCGGTCAACTCGACGTTTTGGCTGAACGGAATCGTTGGATTGTATCGCCCTCTGATGGGATTGGCAGCCGCAATGATCGAGCACCTGGCTTGTAGCGTAGTCACAATGCCCGCTTTGGATATCGAGATTGTTTGCTGCTCCATGACTTCATGTATAGACACTCTGTGAGCGAGTCGGACTCATCAGCGTATTTAGCAAATCAACATATCGCAACTAACCGATCTTGCTCGTTCATCTTGTCAAATTCGTCGATGAGACAAACGCCCTTATCAGCCAAGACGAGCGCGCCGCCCTCGAGTGTCCATTCGCGCGTGATGGGATCCTTGCGAACGCTCGCCGTGAGACCGACTGCGCTTGCACCCTGACCGGTCGCAGTAACGGCGCGATGGGCCGTGTTGGCGACATATCGCAAGACCTGAGATTTGGCCGTTCCGGGATCGCCAAGCAAGAGGACGTTGATATCACCACGGATGCGATGTTTGTTGTTGATATTCTTGGGCACGCCGCCAAAGAGTGAAAGCGCGACTGCAGTCTTGATATCTTCGTGGCCGTAGATGGAAGGCGCGATCGACTTGATGATCCGTTTGCGAATGCGCTCGTCTCGCGACAATGTGCGGATCTGCTTCTCGTCCTCTTCTGTCAATCTGAAGGCAGCGAAAAGATCTTCCTTCTTGTTGATGTAGTTCGCTTCGAGCACCGTCGAGAAGACTGGGAAGCCATTCTTGATATTGAGCGAGATGTCAAAGTTATTGCGATAGATGCCGGTGACCTCGATCTCCTCTCCGGGCTTTGCAGAGTCGATCAAGTCCCACAAGAGGATGACTTCGCGATGTCGAGGCAATCTGCCTGCAGGCACGGAGCCAGGCGACTCTTGCAGCGTCATCTTTTGGTAATTGCGGTAGACCGTCTGCTCTGAATTGACGGTGAAGGGACCTTTTGCACCGCACGAGCTGCAAAAGCTGATCCTGACTTCGCTCGTTGCATCTTGAAAGAAGGGCCCAAGGACGTCGCCACATTTGCCGCAATCAAATTTGACATACTTTAGCTGAGGCATGATGCCCCCTCGACGAGTGACAACGCCGGAAACGCGCACGAGGCCATCGAGATGGCCTTGACGTAGATCTCTGAGCGAAGTGTAGCCGGGTAGCTCGGTGATTCTGACATGAACTTCGGGATGAATGCGCTCGTACTCTGGATAGTAGATCAGAATCACTTCGAGTGCGACAGTATCGAAGAGCGACAGCATAGCCGATGGGCAGTTGGTCAGGAAGTATGCAAGGATGGCCTTGGAATCCGAAAGATGTGAGAATGACACTTCAAGGCTTTCGAGATTTTCTGCCCCAAGTCATTAGCGCAGCGCGACTTGACGAGACGTTGAACTCACGTTCGCCGAGACTTTTGATGCGCTCGCCGTATGTGCTGGTGCCAGACTCGTCGGTGAAGGACATGAGGAACTGTCTGAATTCGCGCATGATCGTGCGCTTGACGGCATCCGTATCGATCCATTCCTTGAGACTGTTGGCCTTGATGTCACTGAGTTGCTCGAGAGGAAGCTCCTGCGAGACCATGACTCTATCAGCACTTTATGTATGCCTAATCGCTCAAGACACGCCTCTTCGTAGACATTGTCGTTATCGTCCTGAACTTCATCATACTGGCGACGACGACGACGACGACCGAGCAGCTGCGCTTCCGCTTCTGCGCCCGAGTCCTCGCTATCTGAGCGCAAAAAGGCAGGAGCACGATTGCGTCGACGGCTTGGAGCGCCGGGTAGGCCAGCCTCTCTACGGTCGCGTCTGTCCATTCTTCGCTCGGCAGCGAAACGCGTTGCGGCGTCCATGGCCTCGAACTCCTCGCTGTCGTTCAGACCAGCGTCGTCATATCGGTCCAACCTCTCGTTGGCACCATAATCCCTGCGAGTATTCGGGGTGAGCCCGTCAGCAAGACGCAAAGAGAGACGCACTCGATCATGTTGTCCCCGAAAAGGTCTTCACCCTCGCCTTCCGAGTCAGCATCGCGGATTCTCTCGCGCTCGTCAACTTCGGAGTCATCCTCTTCCGGCCCGCCGAGCTCACTGAACGGAGCAGGCGGACTCGAGGGCGGCAGGCTGGAGGGGGGCAGACTAGAAGGGCCGAGGCCAGAGCCAGAAGACCTCCTGTCGAGCATAGGCCTGGGCGCCAAACCACCTGGATAGAGCGTCGAGCCTGCTCGGTCACCAGAAGGAGCGCCGAGAGGACTAAGGGCAGGCGGTTCGCTGCCCTGACGGCCAGAAGAGCCGATAGGAGCTGGGCCCGCAGGCGAAGAAGGCTCGTCATTGCGGCCCAGTCGGCGCTTGTTAGCCACTGGTGACGAGGATGGTGCGCTCTGCTGGGATGCCATCAGCTCTGTATGTGACCCTATGAGCCTCTGTACCGACCATTTCCGTCGCTGCTCAGATGCAAAGGCGAGGGTCGCGTCGCGTTTGAAGTGGACGCGTTAATTAGGTGGGGCCCGAGAGCATGTCAGCACCCACTCCTGCTCGAGTCACGATTGATCCCCAAGTCCATCTATTCTATCTCTGCGCCCACACTAGCCCCGAAAGATGGATGCCAAGGCATGGAAAGCGCAAGACTATCGAAGAGTGGCGAATTTGTAGGTCACTACATGAATGCTATGCACATGCTGAATGCCGCCCGCATACAGCGTGTACTCGTCACAAGCTACTGCGCCCGTCCTCGCTCTTCTCGATGTCAGTCCGGGTGATCGGATTCTCGACCTCGGCTGCGGAACAGGCGAGCTTACCATCTCGCCCGATTTGACGAAAGGATGCGAGGGCGTGAGCATTGTGGGCAGTGATTACTCGCCCGATATGATTGCCAAAGCAATATCACTCGGGCGCACTACAGGCGGATCTGCTGCGGATGTGAGGTTTTATGTGGCTGACGGACACGAGCTCGTGCGCGACCTAAGCAAAGAGATTGAACAATATGGCGGATTCGATACAGTCTTTACTAATGCTGCGTTGCATTGGATGAAGCGCGATCCTCTGGCTGTCATCAAAGGCGTCAGAGCGTTGCTGAACATGTCTATACCTGCCAGTATGGCAAGGCGCACGCGCCAAAGACGTATAAAGACATTCGTAGGCGAAATGGGCGGTTTCCTCAATGTACGCATTCTTGGTCCCACCGAAGGATCATCACTGAAGGAGAGCACAGATGATCGGCGTGCGGTCTGCGCTTGTCAATGCGCTCAATCGGCGCGGCATTGACGGTAATGCTGCAGACCCATGGTTCTTCCCTTCGCCCACATCATACAAACGCCTGCTCGAGTCCGAGAATTTCCGAGTCGTCTCGATCGAGCACGTACCCCGGATAACGCCCTTGCCAGAGGGTTTGGCTGCTTGGATCAAGCTTTTTGCGCCAGGTCAGTTGGCTCATCTCGCTTCCGACGATGATCGCGAGCAAGTCGTACAAGAGATCTGCGAGGCCTTACGGCCAGATTGCCAGGATCCAGAGACTGGCGAATGGACTGTCATGTACGTCCGATTGCGGTTCAAGGCTATTCTCGACGACGACACACCAGCTTGACTGCTCGGTCACTATGGAGAGTGCATGCATGGGAAAGACAACAGAAGTAGAGTGGTCTGCAATGCAACGATACGATCTCACTTGCGTCTGTTCTGCTGCATCATGAGCAGCTGAACAATCCGAATGAAGATATTGATCGTGTCGAGCTGGATACCGATCGAGTCGGCCATGGGATCGGCTTGGATCTGACCTGCTGCTGCCATGCGACCATGCGCCAGAATCTTCTGAACATCGTAGAGAGTCATGCCGCCAAAGACTGCCAGGCCGCCGTAGAGGGAGATATTCTGTGCAATCGAGACTGTTCTGATGGCTGTGGCGGGCAAGACGAGGGGCGCCAAGCTGGAGAGAGCGACGACGGTGAGACCGGCCAGAAGGGGACCGCCCATCATCAGGTAGGTGTCGTTCTTGGCCGTTGCACCGACGTAGGATAGCGAGCCGATGACGCCAGCAGTGTAGAGTCCAGCCTTGAAGAGGATGGCAGGCTGGAGGAATGCAAGAGGAGCGAGGGTCATGGCCTGGAAGCCGTTGAAGGCTAGCCAAGCGAGGTGCTTCTTGCCTGTCTCCTCGGCGGGAATACGATGGATGAGCATCATCGATCCGATCGAGCCAACGAGCGAGACACCGGCGAAGACGAGCGGGTTGAGGGCCATGAGCCTATATGTCGTGCCTGACTTGTGCAAGCCTACAGCTGTGGCGACGACGACGGCCAAGCCTGCTCCGAGGTATTGGAACGTGGCATTGAGATGCTTGGCCTCTACCGGACTGAGACTGTCCCTCTGCTCTCTGTTCATGAACATCTGCAGAGCGGTGGCACCGGCGACGATGACACCTGCCGTGATGCCATACTGAGTATACTTCTGCTGCTGGTTCAGTCCCGGCAGACTCGCCGCTGCACCCTGGTAAGATCGTCTGCTGCCTTGACGGGTGATCCGCTTGAGGACCTCACTGGGCGATCGATAGCTAGTGTGTAGCGAACGAGCACCCCTCACTGGACTTTGCTTCGGGCAGGCAGCGGGCGAGGCAAAGCGAGTGTGCAGCGATCGTGCGAGGGGCGATGACGCCGAAGCTCTCTGAACGGGTTTGGCGGCTCGTAGGAGGGCCGGTGCTGTCCAAGAGGTCTGACTAGCTTGGCTGACATGCCTGCCGAGCAGTGCTTGCAGTGATATTGGCGTCTTCATTGTCATCTTGAGCCGGGCACTGTGGTCGATCAGCGTAGCAGCGATTTTGCCGCCCAATTTAATTGGCGCTGGCGCGTCCGTCCGACTTCTCGAAAATTCGCGAACCATCCCTCGCCGAAGATCATCAGAGGATATAAGCCGGGTCGAATGCCCTTCTTTCGCCGAAGGACAGAAGCGAGCGAGGAGGTTCCTGTGAGTCACATCGCAAGCGAAGAGACACCGAGACATCGCATCTATCGAGATATTGACGATCTATTCGACATGTCGCTCTCTCGAGTATTTCCCGAGCTACGGACCGCTCTCAGGATGCTAGAGGATCCCTTCTTCACACGGTCTAGCGTATTGCCGAGCCTGTTCGAGGGACCGCTGTCGAGGGGCTTGCAACACAAGATGATCCAGCCCGCTGTCGATGTTCACGAGCAGAAAGACGGCTACATGATCGAGGTCGAGATCCCTGGCGCGAAGAAGGAGGACCTCGAGGTCAGCTTTGGCGAGAATGGGCAGGTATTATCGCTCAGGTAGGTCGACTCTCTGAGATCTCATTCTCCACAGCGCTGATGGGCAGAATGTAGTGGCAAAGTCGAGCGATCCTACGCGACCAAGTCTCATGGATCTAGCGAGCAGACAGAGGCAGTCAGCAAGGAGAGCGAAAGCCAGGTCATCACGAGAGACGAGCCTGCTTTCTCCGAACGTATCTTTGGCTCCTTCAGACGCTCCATCCGTCTGCCCGAGCCCGTCGATACGAAATCTGTGACGGCTACGTACGCCAACGGAGTCCTGTCTATTGAGGCCAAGAAGAAGCTCATCGAAGGAGCCAACTGGCAGCCCATCTCGATCGCATGAGTGCCCTCCTTTGTTCGTTCTGTTGTTGCATTGCACCGCTCGCTTTCAGTGACCCTCTGTCAGGATGAGCGAGCCATGAGCCAAGAGCTTTGCCTGTTGTGACGTGACACGCGCGCGCCTTGACGCATTGAAAGCTCAAAGGTGAGGAGGATGCGAGGATGCCGTTCAGTGTGGACGAGATGAGCGGCTTCCAGGCTCAGGCAGTGCACTATCATCACCAGCAGCCCGCCAGCGATTTCCTCACCGTCGGACCGTCCGAATCGCCCAGGCGATCCGTCGAAGTGGGCACAGAGTCAACGTACGAATGGGCACTCAAGATCGCTTGCCTCGTCCACGTCCTGCAGGCCGCTGCAGATCTGGCCAAGCAGCGTGACGATGCAGCCGCTATCGCTGCCCTCAATGCCCGTCCCGGTCTCTCGGCTGAGAAACCGCTCAAGTCGGCAAGACCGCACAGTACGGGCTCACGGACAGATCTCAACAAGTCGAGGTCGAGCGTCATTGAGGGGAACCCGAGCTGGGCCAACACATTCGCCAGCCTGGGAGACATCTTTGGCTCCTCCAAATCTGCTCTCTCGGCCTCGCAAGCTCGTCCTGTCCAGTTTCCAAAGGAACTCATCAAAGCGCTCGAGAAGAAGATAGAAGCTATCGCAAAGGGTCAAGATAGAACCTATACCGACCTGTCACTCGTCAGTCTTGGTCCTGTTCTTGCTTGCTTGTGCTTGCGCTGAGCAAAGGGGAGCAGCGCGCGACCGTCGGCGCTTTCTTTGGACCTTACGGACGGCCAGCCTTTCAGAAGACACTCAAAGAGAACAGAAAGGTCGAAGAGATCATCCTCCAATTCGTCACTACTGCTCAAGGCGTACTGCGCAAACAAGCAACTCGTGAGGGAGGTGGAGACGAATGGAAAGACCAACTCATGATACAAACGGCTACCTTTGTCAGGATCATCCAAGACGTGCTCAAGACGATCAAGTCCTCATCAACCGAACTGCTCGCTAGAATGGAGACCTACGTCTCAAAGATGGTACCCAAACCTGCTCCCGCCACGCGCGTCTCAGTCGACGGATCGGGCCACCTTACCGTTTCTGCCTCTCGCCAATCCGGCAGCACGAGTTCGCCCACTTCTACTCGCGCACCCTCGCCCTCTTCCAGCCTGAGCCAGCAACTCTCTTCGACAGGCTCAGAAGACCTGCATCAACAACGGCTCGTCAGGCAAGTCGGTCGCTTGTTCCGCATACCGCCGGACAAGCTGCGGCAAGACGTCGATATGCTCAGACCCGTCATCACGCAAGAATCCATCTGCAAAGACCTCAGAGCGGTCATTGCGCAGGTCCATCTAGGTGCTCACTTTCCCTACTGCGAGGAAGACTTTCAAGATCCGGATGCGTTCGAACACTGGCGGCGGAAGGAACTCGATGAACTGAGTACCCTCCTAGAATCGATGCAGGTCGCTCCCTCTAGCCCCCAGACGGTCAAGCGACCGACACTCGCCGGACGTACTTCCTCTCTCTCCGGTCGGCTTTCGCTCACCCATCTTGGCAAAGAGAGCGAACAAGACGCCGAAGAAGCGAGAAAGACACATCGCATCTCGGCAGGCGACCTCCGAGAGGAAGCGACGCACTCCTATACGTTCATTCCCACCGATACTGAGTTCCACTACCAGCACCTTCTTGAGACTTGTCTGAATCACGACATCGAAGCAACGCACGATCTCTCACCCGATGATCAAATCTCCCTGCGCATACTGTCCAAGGACAGTCAAGATCTGTTGGAGGAGTCGGCCATATGGTGGAGAATCATGTCATCCCACTGTGCCGTCGCTTTCCTGGACGAGATCTGCCGACGTTTCGCTTCTTTCGAGATTCCACTCATCCAGTGTGTAGGCGAGGCGGTATCTCAGGTAGACGCGATCACAGCAGAGTGGCCACAGAGCCGGTGGGCCAAAGCAGATGTCAGTCTTGCCTCGTCGCAGCTAGCGTACGCTCATCTCGGAGCACACAGAGTCTGTCGCTGGCCCACGTGCTGTCCGAGCTTTTCGACACTATACTACGGAGGCTTTGTGACAGTCTGAGGCTACCGGAAGCAAGTACGGATCTTGATGTCATTCAGACTGTCGAATTGCTCGCTGGCATTACTGTCTTGCCGGCGTTCGCAGAAGGCGTTGACGATCTCGATATTCGGCTGCCCGAATTTGAGGAGGCAGTGCGGGACATAGCCGCACGTACGTACGAAGATCAACGCGCTCAGATGCCTCGGTTGCAGAACGCTACGCTTGTCGAGGTCTTTCTACGGCTTTTCGATTGGGTCAGATCGTCGGCTGCGATAGTCGACAAACGCTTTCCGTCTGCCCTGCTAGGTAGCACAGATGTAGCAGCTACTTATATCGATACGCTCGCGACCTCTTTTGGCGCAACGTTACATCAGTATGCTAGTGCGCTATCAGAGTTGCCAGACGCCTCGCAAGAGGATGCAGATCGATATGACAGCGAGTTACGTGCGCTGTACGATGGTTGCCTCGAGCTACGGCAGATGCACCGTGCCTTCAATCCTTCCACACAGCTCGAAATTGACTTTGCGGGCTGCTTTGCGCCTTTTGTCCGACGATGGCTCGAAAAGACGGATCGAAAGACGATCAGCTGGGTACAATCGGCCATCAGTGTCGACCTCTTCACCGCTGTCGGTGAAGATCGTCGTAGCTCCTCGGTTGTCGATCTCATCGAGTCTTGCAAGTCTGCGGCGGACTATCTCGTCCGGCTCAAGTGGCCAGTAGAAGAGGAGTATGCCTTATTCCTAACGCGGCTAACCCAGACCATCTCCAAAGCTGTCGAACAATACTGCAACAAACTCGAAGAACTCTTCATGGAGGATCTCTTCCCGGAAGAAAGCCTGACGACGCCGTCTGAGAACCACGCTTCGACCGCTGCTTGGCTCATTAAAGCCAGAGAGCACCTGCAAGGAGACAAGCGAGCAGTACCCTTCCACTTCCAGCCTCGATCCTGCGTCATACTGAACAATATCGAAGCTGCACGAGGACTGCTGGACACGCTCTACACGACACTAGATGCAGATCGATTGGTCAGCTTACTGGAGCGAACACAGCCGACACAAGTCGTAAGACCTGCTCACACTTCCTACTTATTCTCGGTCAAAGTCGTCCTTGCCGAAGGTCTGGTCGCCGTCAACGAAGCCGCCAAAATCAACCCCTTTCTCTGTCTGAGCGATCGGCACGGCAATAGGCTGGCCAAGACACGTACGCTCTACGATACTGCCAATCCTCGCTGGGGCGAAACTGTCGATCTATCGATCGAAGGCGATCTCTGGGTGGCCGCTACCGTCTACGATAGAGCTCTTGTTGATGACCACGACCAGATAGGTCGCGCTTATCTCCACCTCGATCCAGACAAATTTGGCGACTTCCTTGCCCACGATCTCTGGCTACCGCTTGACACTCATGGCCGCGCACTCCTGCGTGTCAACATGGAGGGCGAAAAAGACGACATACGCTTCTACTTTGGCCGCGCGTTCCGTTCACTCAAGCGTGCAGAGAACGATATGGTGCGCATCATCGTCGACAAGATGTCGCCTTTCATTAGGCAGTTGCTCTCTCGTCAAGGTCTCAGGACATTAGTAAGGAAAGGCTACAATTTCTCGGACCTCAAGCTGGATCAGATCAAGCTGCCGGAAAATATCAAGCTGGAAAACATCAAGCTCGACAAGGTTACTGCCTTCTTCAAGTCCAATGGCCAGGCCAAGCTTTCGGAGATCCCGCCCGTCGAGATTGAGCGAGCTGCGGCTGCTCAAAATGATCTGTCGCAGTCACAAGCTGGTCGCAAGCGTCCTGCAGTTCTGACAGACAAGGAGATCGAAGACGTCATTGAGCCGCTCTTCGAATACTTTGACGAGAGCCTCGCTGTTCTCAAGGAAAATCTCAGCGACACAGGTGCGCTTTGGTCCACCATAGAGAAATGTAGCTGATTGACACGAGCAGCTTGTCATCTCGTCATGGTGAAGCTGTGGAAGGAGATCCTCAACATTATCGAAAGTCTGCTCGTGCCGCCCTTGTCAGACCAGCTCTCCGAGATGAAGCAGCTGTCTGACAAAGAGGTCTACATTGTCGTCAAATGGCTGAAAGGTCTCGCCAACTTCTTGTATGGCGAAGGTGAAGGCGTCCCGCTCGAGGACTTGCACAATGCGCGGTATCAGCACATTATCAGCCTTCCGATGTACTACGAACAAGACACCGACACGCTCATGGAGCAATGCAATCGTGCAGTCAACCAGCGTCTTGCTCAACCCAGTCTAGCCAGAGGTTTGACTCGCTCCAAATCGGTCCTTCAGCAGCGTAATCTAGGTACGATCAGGCAGAGGAAGCAAGAGAAGCGTAAGGATCACGACGCAGAAGACAACGCGGACATGCTATTACGCATACTTCGTATGCGGACTCAGCCCGGCGTGGCAGAATTTCTCGCCCGTCAATTCGAGACAATCAACTTTGTCAAAACGCAACAGCAGCAGCAGGTCAGTCAACGCATCAGTCGACCTTCTGCTCGGCCCAAGAGTAGCTTCACCGGCCTCACTGGCAGGGGCCGTACCAATAGGCTTACTCGACCTTTCAATGTCGAGACTGCACACCCTAGTCTCAATACGCTCGAGGAGGCACCCTCTTCGCCGTACTCGTGATCGGCACAAAGAAGTAGATATTGCAAAATGCGCTGTTGTACGACAAGTGTTGTTGTACTGCATGTCCATCAGTCTGTGTCATATCGCTACAGTGGGCGTGTTGGGTGCTGGCGTTGCGGGACTTGTAGTGCCGTTTGCACCATCTGGTCGCTTACGCTTGAGCGGTGCATTGCCTTTTGCAGGTCCGAATCCTAATCTCTTGAGTGTGCTCAGTGGAAACTTGGTCCGACACGTCAAGCAAGACGGTCTTGGCGTGCAGAAGACTGGTGCCGGGATGTCAGTATGCACAAAAGGATCTGAGAAGAGGACGTACTGCTCAGGCAGACCGAGCAAACAAAGCCAATATCGACAATCCTTTGGTGACAGAAGCAGGCAGCTCGTAGGTCTACAGCGTCTTGGCTCGGCAGATTGAGCAGCTTGCGTGAGGTCACGCCCGGCAGAAAAGTCATCTGCGCGAGCATAAGGAGGAGCAAGGGCAGATATGCGACGTGCCCACCATGAGATACTGCAGTAGTCCCGCACGCTTCTCTAGCTTGTAGTATATCCCGCTAGACAGGTAGGCGGCTTGTTGTAGAAAGACAGCATCATCGCCGTAGATCTTGCAAACGTCTATCGGCACATTCTATGGAAACACATCCGTCACGGGAGCCATCTCACGCTTGTCTGACTCACTGCTTTTTGAGCCGAGAAGATACAGTTCATGAGAGGAATATACTGGCTCGACGAGTCGTGGCTGACGCTGAGGAGAAGAACGCGCGGCTTGATGGTATGCTTCGTCTCCTCTCTCGAGATGCGATTGATGTGACAAAGCGTTCTTGCGAGCGCGCTCACGATGGCCGGTGGAGCTGCATCCTAATGTCAGCTTCCTTGCGTGTCAGCTCTACAGACCACGCGGACCGTCTGTATCTGGCTCGAGCTCGCGCATCATCTGACCTACGGCCTTGCTGACTTGGGTGTCGACCTGCCTGAAGCGGGGGAAGGTACTCGCGTATCTCTCATTGGTCTCGCTTGCGTGATCTGCGCTAGACTCTCCTTGATCATCGAACGAAGAGTAGATCATCTCGCTGCACCAATCTTGAGCACTGCGCCGACGCTCGTCGAGTGTGCCCTACCTATGGCCTGGACCTGCGCCGTAGACGAGGAGCTCGTTCTGATCGCGCAGAGCGAGGTGTGCATTGAGAAAGACGAGGAGAGTCTCTAGTGCTTCTGAGAGTGACAGCCTATCGCCAGACTCGGACGACTGTGCGGATTCGTGCCAAGCCAAGACGTTGGTGTCGATCTGCGCATCTGTCAGCAAAGGGCGGTACCAGCCGCTAGATAGCACACGATGATACATAAGAGGTCATGTATCCGATCAGCGGCGACCATGTCAGACGACGCTGGCTGCAATAGCAAGCTTGTCGGGGTCAATTTGGGGCTTCGGAGCTTCAAGCTTCAATTTGAGTCTCGAGCAGTGACGCGACTAATAAAACGTGCAGCAGCAAACGTATGGAGCAGTCGGGAGCTAAGACCGAGCGCAATGCAATGCATGATGTGTCAATCATGGCTAGCCAGCTGTCAGCCTGCCCCTGCCGCAGTACGCCTCGGGCCCTGCGACAGGAAGGAGCTCTCCAGACCGCCGCCGCTACTTCGTGCACGTCAAAGGACAATCTCCCCTAGTATCCACGCAACAGGCTCTGCGTATCTGCATTAACACACCTCGCCCAAGGGGGCGATGCCTGTGCACAAACACACGCACATCTCGATGCAGCACGCGGGATAATCTCATATGCTTCGATCGTCGTCCTCGGGCAGACAGCGCTCAAAGAGCTTTCTCGGCCTCGACGCGTGGGACTAGCGAGCGCCATGAACAGCAAGCTCAACTTCCTCGAGCAGTCCTCTCTCGACCGAATCTCAAGAAACGCGCGGATCAGCTGTCTCCTCAACTTGCTCTCCCAGCTCTCTTCATCTGCGCACCGGCTATCGCAGCACCCCCATGGTCGGCTCAGGACACCCGCCAATCTGGCCCACGCCTAAACGGTACGCCATCCTCACGCCATCCTGACGAGCAATGCTCACACAAGGTCATTGCCCGCAGCGAAGTCACCCGGATAGTTCTCGGCTCGGACGAAGTCCATCGCCCGCAGGGCTTCGGCACAGCGAACAACCTCCCCTCACCAGCCACCATCGTTCGACCGGCTTCGACCCCGCCGCAGCTCGACAGAACCAAAGTGATGTACGGACTCGACAAAGCGATCTTCGAGAATCTTCAAAAGCGCCTTCAAGCCTCTCAGCACACGGCTACCTCGTTGATGGATCTCATCAACGACAGGTGAGCTCATGCCATTTTGCGCGTCATCGTGGCTGATAGATCTCTTCGTGGTTGTAGCAAAGAACTTAAGATATTCGTTCCTTCAGCCCTCACCCTGGAGCGCACGGCGCAGGCCTGTGCCACCGCAGACACGCCATTCTTACGCCGTGCGCTCAAGACGCTGTCGAGAGTAGATCTGGAGGACTTACTCCTCCAGATGGATCTCGCACTCCGACAGCGTGATACGGGTGAGTCTCCTCGACCGTTGATTTGCGACGTTGCTCATTGTCTCCTTCAGAATGCGAGCAGGCTTCCAGAATTGCGCGAGCGGCGCTAGCGACGAACGGCAGAAGCACCGTCAGCGCGGCCGACGACTGCCAGAACAAGAGCGAAAAGAGCACCGATTCGTCACAAGAGTCGGCCAAGTGCTCACCATCATTCACACATTTCGTCTCGATAGCTACATCGACACTGGGCGCCAGCCGGCATCCCCACCTCCTGCAGATGCTGGCTGCAATCTCAAATTCTGCTTCAGGATGCCCTCTGGACACGGTCTCAAAGGCCGTATCAGTCAATCCCACGACGATCTCTCCCACCGAGAAGGAGATCATCATTGAACAGCACTCCGCTGGCAATAATGCGATCATGCAGGCAGCGAGCCTGGTTCGCACACAAAGCATGTACGAGATTCTCGTCGCGACTTACGCCTTGGCGAAGGACAACATGATTTCTGCCGCTACAGTCTTGCGGACAGTACAGCTCGATGGGACGAGCGTCTATTCTGCCGTTGTTCATATGACGGCAGGTACCAATACCTCCGTCGGCTTATGTCTGGCCCTGAAGACGGCTTTCGATCTGGCAGACAATCCTAGCACGTTCGCGATGCAGCATTCAGTGACGCTGCTTGTCCCGGATCAGCAGATTGTACAGCTTCTCGAATCAGCCCGCTGGCATAAGGTTCCGATCGAAAGCAGAAGACAGTACTCGGTCTGCCAAGTCTCGCCAGCCGACGCTTCTTCGATCATGCAGCTGGCAAAAGCAATGGCATACCAAGCCACAGCGAAGCCCTCGCGTGGACTGTGTACGAGGTCGTCGGCAGAGGCGAAGGCTCGCACCCAGAAAGCCTCAGAATCCGAATAGGCAAGACTGTAGTTCGAGGCATCTTACGTACTTCGACGTTAACGAGACAGCAAGCAAAGCCTAGATGTTGGATATTTCTGACAGATCGAGTCCAGCTATCTGAGTCGAATGTGACGGTCTTATGAGCCAAACGCTGACCATGATGCGCGTGTTGATGAATTGAATGGCAGATGACCGGCCGGCCGGTCCGGATATCCGCAAAATGCTCGCAACTCATTCCTCAAAGGCTTCATCGACCGGCCCGGCGTCCGCCAAATCACAGCGGAGCTGATTGATAAGCACGCTTGCTCGATCCACTTGGGCTTACGCTTTCATCTCATTTCGTATGATCACTCAAGCAATCGCAAAAGACTAGGCAGGAAACGAAGGAATAGCGCGAGGACGAGAAGGCTTCCAAAGCAGCGATAGTCGCGCTAGCCACTGCAGTATCGGACCGCGAGTCGGATGCTCTCGCTTTGCTACATCAGAAGCGACCGAGCCTCGAGTATGCTTCCGTCAAGCATACGATCCTTGCGAGCGATCTCCAATCTCTTGTCTCAAGTTCGGTTCAGGCGATTCGTGTCACAGCTTGTTGGCCCAGTCACTGTCGCTCTCCGCGCCGTAGAGCGTGTGCCTTTGCCTCGTCCTACCGTGCCAATGGTGTCAGATGACCGTGGCGGCGAGCCCAAATGCCGTCCTAGTACGTGCATTGACCGCGGTAGCGACGTCTCACCGCTTTGCACATGCTCAGGAAGCACAAATTCGCTTGATGACGGCGTACACTCCAGAATTATTCGACTCGCGGGCAGCGTCGCAATCTCAGCAGCGTCCGCTGCCGCCATTCCGATTGGCTCAGAGAAGAGGCCAGTATGCTCCTGCCAGCTCAGATGACAAGGGCGCGGTTGCCTCCTACGAAGGCTATTGCAAAGGCTGCGTTTGGCCTTTCTTGCACTATCGGGCGCTCGTGAACAACGGGGAGAAAGAGGATGGAGCAAGAACCTGGCCAGCTTTCTATGCCGCCAATTTCGCTTTCGCCGATCGGCTGACCGAAGTGTACAGGTCTGGCGATCTGATCTACATCGACAACTGCCACCTCATGTTCTTGCCCCGCTAACGCTGTCCCGACAGCTGCATCAGCATCTTCGCTCATTCACATCTACCTGCCAGACATACTCGCATGCTCTCTGCTCGTAAGCGCATACCTGCGTTCTTGTCATGGGCACGAACCTGCCAAGAGCGACGTCGAACAATGCTATCTTCTGCGCAATCGACTATCGCCCATTATTATCGACGCAGAGCGAATCGAATACGGCGTCGACCTCTGTGTTCGAGCGCTATGCGCTCGCTTCATGCAGCCGAATGCAATCGGCCCTGACCAGGCAAGCTCGATCCCACGAAGAGGGTCATATTTGAGCTCCGAGCGTGCAAGTGGCTCTTGCAAGGTTTATCCTGACCGATCGGACAAGTCGTTATGTTCCAAGCAACATCGCCTGCCGCCAACGACATGGGCGATCAATCGATGCGACGTAGAGCAGCCTACACTGGCAGCCACTACACCACCATCATCAGTCATGATAACGCGAACGATACTCTGCCTCAATGACTGCGGCCAACGTCTGCTTGATCATCACCATTCGTCATGTTACGAGGACCATCGGCGTGTCGTTCAACCCATTTCAAGCCGAGCTAAGAAGGCCGCTCAGCTTGTCCGAGTCATTGGCCTGACGAATCTGATAAGACGGGGGCACTCTCTTCGACCTCGCTAGGCACAACGCTGACTGCACTGGGCGCTTCCGGCTTGACCGAGACGCGTATCGGTTCAGTATTGCAAAGTGCCGCACTCATCGATGATGTGATAGCTCTGATATTACTCCAACTTGTCCTCGCCTTGCCTCCATCTGTGTCTGGCTATGGACACGAGCATGACAACAATCTGACTGAGATCATCTTGCGACCTCCCGGCGTCTCTGTCGGCATGCTCTTGTGCAGCTACACGATCACGAGATGGCCACTGGCCTGGCTAGCGCGACGAGCGGAAGCCAAAGCCAGACTTCAATCAGATCACTCGATCAGACGCACAAAGCTGGTTCTGATGCTTGCTAGGCGTTGGCCTCAGTGCGGCAGCTCACGCAGGAACGACGCTCCTCCTAGGCGCCTTCTTTGCCGGCCTCGCCTTGAGCTACCTCGACATACGACCTCACATGAGGACGACGAGATCCTTTGCAGCAACATCTGAAGAGCTTGTCTCGCAAGTGCAATCGTATCTCTGGCTGCCGCTCTTCTTTGCCAGCATCGGCTTTGCGATCCCGGTCAGGGAGATATTCAGTGGCGAAATCGTCTTGAACGGCGTGCTATACGCTTCAGTATGCTGCATTGATAAAGCTATCGTGGGCATCTGGGTCGTCATCTCACATGCAAGAAGAGCACTTTCGGTGCGGCATCTTCGAGAGCGCGACGATGCAAAGCGGCGACAGATCAGAGACACATCTTATTCCCATGGCTCGCCAGCACAAGCCGTCAGAGAAGCTCCCACTGTCGACGAGGCAAAAGCGAACGGTGCAACAGGCGAAGCATCAGCGTCCAACAACACCGATCAAGCATCGCCGGGGGTTACGCCGTCGAGTTCCAAAGAGATGAGCTTCTGGCTTCCGACGGCATTGCTGGCCAGTGCAATGATTGCGCGAGGCGAAAGTGGGGCTACTCATCGCCCAAGTAGCGCTTCAAGCGGGTGCTATCGAGTACTCACTTTTTCTCATAATCAGCTGATCCATACTGCTCAACACACTACTGCGGTCTATCCTCGTGGGTGCACTTTCACGTCGTGCTCACGGAATGCCACGCGAGTGCTCATAATCCGCAACTACTGCAAGCAAGCAAACGTAGCCTTTGAAAAGTGAATGCATGTGACGACGGCATGAAACGATTCTCGCTGTAGTCATACGAAGCAGACCGTGATTAATGTCGCCCTTCCGAGTCTTTCTGCGTCTCTGTTGAGCCATCGAGTGATCACGCTGGCGCAAGGTCCTCGCCGGTGATCGCAGGAACTGATGACCAGGACGGAGCTTAAGAAAAGAATAGCGAGCTGTCATAGACAGGTCTGTGCATTCGCAAAACTCGCACTCACGTCGAGCTTGCTCGGCGCAGTCCTGCTACAGCCGTCAGCTCTCGCTGATCTTTCTCGGCATCACATCGGAGTTGAGAATAAAAAATTTGCGTGAAGAAATTCGCGCGGCGTTAGCAGCCAGCCGGCCGGAGCGGCGCGTGTAAGCATGCTGACCAGCGCCGCTGACTCCGCCTTGGCTCGCCTCGACATACAAAACCGAGTGGAACTCCCGGATTGCAGGCAGAAATGGTCTTGGGTTTCAATAACCACCACAAGGGCCAGTCCACACCTTCATCCCCGAGTACTGCATCGAGTATCACCAATGGCAAATCACACGGGTCTCATACCTCCTTGGAGCACCCAACAAGCAAGATGTCGGGCAAGCAGCCTTGGTACCTGCCTATCGAACATCCAGCACCGTCTAGCTCGCTTCCGCCAGCCCGCGCCCCTCTGACGAAGACGGAACAAAGCACCTACGACTCGCTCTTGGCTTATCTATCGGCACCAGATCTCGTCTTGCCACGTACGCTAAAAGGTCTCAAGGACTTGACGCGAGCGCAACGTCGAGCTTCGGGTCTCAATCAGCTCGACAACAACGCCAGGCCAGCCATCACGCGTGGCGACTCTTACCAGAGCTACGCGAGCTCGATGCGGACGAGTGACTCCTTGGCGGCACTGACTGACAAGGAGAAGTGCTACCTCTCCAAGGAATCGCTCGAGCGTATATGCCGATCCGTCAGATGGGACCTCAACAAGGCTACCGCTCGCGCCGAGGAGACGATTGTCTGGCGACGCGAATATGGCGTGGAGGAACTGTCAGACAAGGAGATAGAAGAGGAGGCGCTGACGGGCAAGGAGCTGCTGCTCGGCTACGATATCCACTCCAGACCCGTACTGTATATGTATCCGGGTCGTCAAAACGCGAGTCATCCGAATTGGGGTTGCCATACAGTATGCTGACACGATGTTTTAGACAAAGACAGGCCCGCGACAGATCAAATTCGTCGTCTGGTGTCTCGAACGCGCTGTCGACCTCATGCCACCCGGTGTGGACTCACTGTGTCTTGTGCGTACCACGTCCTCCTCGTATCTGTCGCGCTGACATTCTGCATAGAATATTGACTTTGGGAGCGGACATGGTGGCGGGCAACCCACTTCGCTGGGACAAGCTCGCGAAGTCCTCAATATCCTGCAGAACTACTACTGCGAGCGCCTCGGTCGAGCGTGCTGTGTGCGCGTCCCGCTCGTCTTCTGGGGCTTCTACAAGGCAAGCACGTCGCATCTCTCTCGACAGGTGGGCTAACCGGATAAAACAGCTCGTCGGGCCTTTCATCGATCCCATGACCAAAGACAAGATCAGGTTCAATCCCAAAACGACCGATCTGATACCAGCCGAGCAGCTTGATAAGTCAACTTTCGGAGGCGCGCTCGATTTTCAATATGTACGTTTTGGCCATGATCTTTCGTAGGCATTGCTGACAATACTCTTCAGAACCACGACACTTATTTCCCGGCACTGGTCAAGCTGGCGGCAGAGAGACGACAGGCACAGTATGATCGCTGGCGAGAATACGGCGATGGCAAGCCAGGCTTGTCCGAGTGGATCATCAAGGGTGGCGAAGAGGCACACGGACCAGAAGCTGGCCATCAACACCGACGGGCATCGAAGGACCAGGGTCACGCAGTTCAGGGCGACAGTCCAGTAGATGCATCACCTTCAGCAAGCTTGCGAAGGGAGCATGCCGCGGGCGGTCTTGCCTCTGCAGAATCGAGCGCACCTTCATCTCGCACGCACAGTCAAGCAAATTCGCCAATGTCAGACAAGAAGCATTTTTTCGCATCTGCCGATATGCACGGCACGGACAATCTCTCTAGCAGATTGACGGAATTGCGAGCGGTTTAATAAGATCAAGAATGGGATCAGTCAAGTTCGTAGCACTATTGTAACATATGCAAGAGAGATTTCACAACATGATCAGGCGGAGATGAGGGTAGCTTTGGTCGTCTTTGCTCGCTTGTTAGCTTTCTTGAGCACAGGCTCCTCCGATGCCGGTGCGGCGCGCTTGCGCTTGGACGCCGCATAGCCCTCAAAGTCGTATTCTATTCCCTGCTGAGTCAGCTTGGCTCTTTTTTTGGCTTCTCTTGACAACAGTCGCTGGGCAATCTTGGCCTTCTTCGCTTCATCCTTGGGCTGCAAGCCCTTCAGCAGGAGGAAATGTCAATCGCGAATGACTGACCGCATTGTGCGCAGTGCGAGCAGCAAAGCCAGGCGAGATGAGACCAGACTTTTTGTTCGCTCCTATCCAGAGTCGAGGGTGCACTTCTGCGGGCGGTACGACCTTGCATTGAAGCAGATGACCGGCGAGCAAATAGTTATTCATCGTTTCTGCGACAATCTCCGCTACAGATTCGTGCGCGAATTCAATGTAGCCATAGTGCTTTGAGCCGCCCGTCTGCATGCCGTACATGAGCCTTTGTATCTGTGACATGTGAGCTAGACTGACCTTGGTAGAGCGAGCGAGTCGCAAACGCGTTACTTCGCCGAATTGACCAAAGTAGGACCGCATCTCCTTCTCTGCAAAAGCACGAGGCAGACGTCCGAGATAGATGACACCTGGCTTCTGGTTGGGATCCTTCTTTGCCTTGTCGAGTCGTTGTCTGACTGCTTCGTCGCTCTTGTTGAGTTTAGGCATCGAGTCTGCCAGACCTTGGGAGAGCTCCGATTTGGCTTTGCGTATCGCCTCATCATCAGCTTGTCTGTCATCATCTGAGCTGTCTTCATCATCTGAAGTCGGCAGGCCTAGTGCTACGAAATCGTTGGGATCCTTTGCAGACTCTTTTGCAGGCGCAGTGTCGAATGTAACAGTTGGCGCTTCTGCCGAGACTGAGCTGCTCACGACCGCCTTGCCTTTGCCCTTCTTGATCGACGCAGGCCTATCTACACCGTCCTCCGCCAGCGCAGCAAGGACACTCTGCTTGACTTTTGGCTTTTTCAATATCGACTTTGGCTCGACGACAGGCTCTTCTGCCGACTTGACATGCTTGCCCTTTGTCTTGCTCGTCTTTTGCACATTCTTGCGCTTTTCCAAGGCTGTCCGTAGACCCATGACGACAAGCAAGGTCGAGGCTCTCGTGAACGAAATTTGAGCGTTTTGCGCGCCGCGCGTGATCGTCCGCGTCAGAGCCGAGAGAAGCAGTCCTCACGCGCAGAGGTGCTCAGCATGGTTGCAATGTTACACTAGTGTTCCAGAATCGTGAGACTGCCGCTGACTAGCTTGTTCTCCAAGACTGCCGTGCCAAGACGATGAGCATAGTCTGCGAACATAGTGATCAAAACGTACTCGTTCCATCCGGCAGATCAATCTTGGCGTCTGTGACGAGGATGACGACGCCTCGCAAGACGACATTGCGGCCAAAGGTAACGTCGCCGGAGACCGTCAGATGATCGAGCTCGAGCATGGACGGTATGCTCTTGAAGCGCTTCTGGTATTGGCTCACCTTCTTGAAGTGATCGCCGAGTTTCACGATAGGCGTGGTGAGGAACCTGATGCAAGAGATCAGACGAGTGTGAGCGGGCACATCGGCCGGACTCACATCCTTGCAGGATTCATGACGAGCTGACCATGCTCGAGCTGGTACAGGTCCGAAGTGATGAGGAGCAAGTCCGAACAAGACTTGACTGGCAGGAAGCGCGATCGAGGCACGTTGATGCCGTGTGCATTCTTGAAGTGCTTGATGGCAGCACCGACGGCCGTCTCCAGCTGGATGACAGCCTCGCCGTTGTCGGCTACTTTGTTGTTGACGATGATCTCGAGATCGGTGCCTTCGGTTTCCATGACACGCTTGATCGCTCGCAGGTCCATCCAGAGCGAGTTGGTGTTGAAGATCTGGAACTTGCGAACCGACTTGAAATCCTCAATGTGATCCGATGGGACTTGCGCCACTTCCAAAAGCCGAATGCTGCCTTCATAATCGATCAGCGTACCACCCTTGACGTCTGCCTTTGTCTTGTCTGTGACCTCCATGATGAACTCTGATTGGGATTCCATCATGTGCTGCAGGATGTTTAGGTCGGTAACGGCGCCGAGATTGTCCGAGTTGGAGACAAAGATGTACTCTTTGCCCTGCTCGAGCAGCTTGTCCAGCAAGCCAGAGTTGCTCAGGGCATCGAAGAGATCTCCGTGACCGGGTGGGTACCATCCTGCCTTGTCGGTTGCACTGCGTGGTACGGGCAGGAGCGTCTCCTTGTTGACGCGGGGGTAGCGTGATTGATTGAAGGTCATGATTTCAATGTTGTGATTGGCGTACTTCTGCTCGCTCAGAGATCTGTCAGTCTAGCGAAGTCGATGACAAAAGTCAGCATGCCTGAATGACGCGATTGGTGTCGTCGTCCGTGTTGAAAGAGTTCATGAGGATGAGGGGCACATTGACATCGTAAGCAGAATTGAGATGCTAATGCAGAATGTCGAGATCAGTTTGCGACTTCTCGAAGCGGCCAAGCATGGGGCATACCTCGATTTGGCGCACGCTAAGGTCGAGGAAAGTCATTCCGTCTCTGACCTCGATAACAGACTTTGGACCGACGCAGCCCATTGTGGTTCCCAGACCACCGTTGAGCTTGAGTACGGCCAGCTTGTTGAGGATGGAACTATCTTTGGCATCCTTGAGTGATTTGTAGGCTACGACTTGCTCTGGCGCGGGCGGCTTGACGCGATCCCATTGGAGCTTCTGACCTTTTGCCTTTTCGGACAGGTAGCGGTTGAAGAGCAGGAAGAAGGAATGCATCTCTGACTCGAAGGCCTGCCAGCATAGATCACATTAGCATGCCACAAGCCGGCTAACGCGCGAGGAACTGGCTCTTTTGACCTGTGGGTCATCGATCTTCTGCACAAGCGCGTTGAGCTCATTGCGCATGGCCTTTGCAGCAACGCCCGTGGTGGCAGACTTGAAATCCTGCGTGTCCACCCATCCAAAGTGAGCAAACCCATCACAACGTGCTCGCGAGCTCTTTGGCGCGCGACAGGTCTGCCACGTACAATGTGTGAGGCGATTCTGTTCTTCGATCGTGTACGGTTCTTGTCGTCGGCATGGGCGGCTGCTGCCGTGGCGGGCGAAAGTCCGTTCTCCATGGCAAAGACGGAGGTTGGGCTGCAGGCTGCAAGCGATGTTGCCTAGTAGTGGGCTGCTATATGTGCTCAACTTGCACTCAGAGCTTGGTGTCTGCCACGCAAAGCATGATCAGTAGACGGACCACTGGATCAATGATGCAAGCCGGACACACTCTTCTTCTGCTGGCTTCGTGGTCGCCCGTCGAGTCCGCCACGCCTGCACGACCGTGAGCGTCGCGAGCGACAGTAAAGAGCACAATGCAAAGTGGCGTCTCTCGGGAGCTCTGCCAAGCTGCGTTCGTCGTTATCGTGCGCTTTTTCATTCTGCAGCACCAGGCAAAGCAAGTCACTCCACAGCTACGATGACGGGCGCACTAGACAAGGTCGGTCCACGCATCCTCTCTGACGTCTTCTCTGCTCGCGTCGATCTGCGTCTGCAGAGGAAGACGCCGACGAGTGACTGAGTGGTTGGGTAGGACGGTGAACTGATTGTGACTGTTGTGGGACAGGTCAGAGAGGCACTCTCGCCCAATCGAGTCGGTGGCAGAAGCCGCGATGTTTCTCGAGAGCGCGATCACCACGGATCTGCAGGTAAACTTGGCCAATCTGACCGCCAGTAGACGGGGCTGATCGTATCTCTCGCCAGCCGAAGAGGAAGGCAGAGGACGTGCGTTCCACGGCGGCGCAGGCGGTCACCAGCATGGCGCACTGCCCGATCGACTGATGTCCACCGGTCGAGGTGGTGCGGGCAACATGGCGCGATCAAAGTCACCGTCGGTCGAGCGCAGAGAGCGTGCCGAGGACGCCAGAGAGCAGCAGGAGCGATCCCGCTCGCGCGAGGCCCGCAAGGGTGATATCCACACCTCTGGCCGTGGCGGTGCAGGCAACATTCGCAGTCCAAGCCGCGATCCTGCCGATCGTGCTCGCGCGGCCGAAGCCGACAAGACGGAGACCGCTCACGAGGCTGACGTCAAGAAGATGTACGAGGCCGAAGCTGCTGCACACCCTCACATGCACAGTGCCGGACGAGGTGGAGCGGGTAATGTCAGTCTCGGATCTCTGGCTCTCCCGGGCCTGCGCTCATTGGTGTCGCGCGACAGATCAAATGAGAGCTTGCCCTGCCGCGACCTCCTCCTTGCAAAATCGATATCAAAGATTCCGGCGCCATAGACATATCATCCATGACTTGTAGGCTCACCTGCAGGCCTAATTATATACTTCTCGTTCTATCCAAAGTGTGAAATATGGTCGGATCTGTGACCGAGGAATGCAAACATGTCACTTAAGCTGAACTCTGCCGTCCTCAGACGATTGCCTGCAGTTGCAAATCGATGCATGACCAGAGTACAATCACATCCGAGAGTGCTCGAGCGGTCTACTCATCATCCTCGGCCTCTTCCTCGTCGTCGCGCACCACGAGCGAGGATGCGATTCGGTCCACTGCTTGACCATGAGCTTGGTCAGCAGTACTGCCAAGGAGGCACATACAGTCTCGCTGTCCGTCCTGGCTGATTCTTCGGCCACCCCGTGGGTCCTTCTCGAGCACGCCAATCTTTTCGAGGCCTTGCATCACCTTGCGCTCGACGGAGCCTGCCGGATAGCGCAAATCAGCCTTGGGCTCTATCTCGCTGGTCACGCTCAGCCCACCTGATGCGTCACGATGACGAGATGGACGGTTGCCCCTGTTCTGCGAGCCACCATGGAGCTTCTGCAGCGATCCGACACCGACGTGTTTTCTGAGGTAGACATGACGAGCGACGGCGGCAGCGCGGACATAGAACCAGTCTGGGTCATACGGCGCTAGCTCCTTGAAGGTACCCGTCTTGACGATGTCGACCCAGGTAGGCACTTCCAGCTTGCCTGCTCGCAATAAAATTAGCCTCGATTCCGACCTCGTCCCTAGCCTCTGCCGGGCGTACAGGGACGATATCAGTAGCTGAACATACCTGATCGCTTCAAGTGTTGGCTGTATGCAGTAATGAAGTCGTTTGCAGCGACATCTCGAACGCCCGGCATCTTGTCAACGTTGGCTATGGGCGTGGCTCAGCAGATGCGACTCGTAATCTCTCACGCTCGCCTGCGTTCCAAAAAAAAAGAAGGATATCAGATCGAAGGCATGTCACGTGCTTTCCAAACGCGGCAAGAAGCCAAAAAGAACAAGTGAGCGTGTTAAGCACCTCTCGGCCGGATCGGTCGTCGCCGCCAAGGCAACGCTTGCTTGCCGTCACCTTCATTTAACATACGGATATCTGGGCTGGTCCCGACGAGAACCTAACCACCTATATCTCCAGGCTCGACGCCAACACTGCCAACTCGACTTCTTCACCATAACATAATCAGCATGCGGGTGACATCGATACTGTTCTTGCTAACGACTGCCGTCGTCGTTCATTCTATAGCTGTACCACAGGACACTCTCGAGCTAGCGAAGCGCTCGGCCGAATGCTCCGATGGACCTCGATTCGATGCAAAATCACGCAGACGTCAAAAGGTCAAAGCTGCGAAGAAGACGACGAAGAAATCGACCAAGAAGCCCAAGAAGCGGGCCAAGCCAGCAAAAAAGACGACCTCAAGTAAGAAAACCACTGCTAAGCCGACAACGACAGCAAAGTCATCGAGCGTCACAAAGCCAGTTACTACCACCAGCAAGCCAGCGAGCACGACGACGTCTACGCCGCCTACAAGCACCTCCAAGCCATTGACGAGCACGACAAAGTCGAGTAGCCCAGCTTCGGCAGTCTCTAGCACTAGCACAACGAAGCCGAGCTCAAGCACAAGCTCCACACAGTCAAGCTCAAGCACAAGCACCACAAAGACGAGCCCAAGCACCACAAAGACAAGCAGCACGACCTCTGCTTCGAGCACTGCCATCCCCCTGGATAGCTATGGCAATCCCGACTATACTCGTGCTCCTGCACAGATGCAAGCCGAATTCCTCAAGACGACCAATGCATTCAGGGCCAAGTTCCAGGCAGCGCCACTGACCTGGAATGCCGATGCTGCGGCTTTCGCGCAGAGCTGGACCAAGCGATGCGTCTTCCAGCACAGTGGTACCGACCTCTATGGCGAGAACATCGCCAGCGGGTACATCAATCCGACCGAAGTTGACACAGCGTGGGGTCAAGATGAAGTCAAGTACTATGACTATTCGAATCCAGGTCAGTGCTCGCTCTCCTGCAAATGTGTTTGACTGACGCGAGATCATATCAGGCTTCTCCGATGCTGCTGGCCATTTCACCCAGGTATGCATGCTCATGTGCGCATGTGCATCGCTGACCAGCAGAACAGATGGTCTGGCAATCCACTACATCAATGGGCTGCGCTGTCACCTTCTGCAGCAACATGGGCTACTTCTGGTCCTGCAATTATAGTCCGCCCGGTATGCAAAATTTGGACTCCTCCAGTGCCTGCTGACCATCTTGACCAGGAAATTACGATGGTGAATTTGCAGAAAATGTCCTTCCGCCCAAGTAAATTACGCGTCGTTGCGTCATGGCTGTACGATCTGTCGTGCACTTCTGGATCTGCCTTGCTCCGCAAACGTGTCACTGTATTCCCTATTGCACTACAACACCATGATGGTCAAGCAAAATCGAGCATATCGAGCTCCGTCACATTCTCGCGGGAATGATGTGTGTGTGCACTGTGTGTGCTGTGGTCTGCGCTGTGGCGTGGAAGCTGGTGAGGTATAGTAAGCTGCTGTTCATCTGGTGTCTGGGTCTTGAGTTCCCCGTCGTCTTGCGCAGCAAGCTGAACGGGCGTCAGCTCAGTCGAGGGTGAGCCTGCGTTGCGGCCTTCGACTCGTTCGCTAATCGCGATGATGAACAGGTGGATCAGAGTCACGAAGATGAAGGTGCAGCCCGTGAAGAGGATCAGCAGGCCAAAATGCCCAGCCTGAGGACTGTGAGCACCGTAGCCGCGCCATTTCAGGCCGGGGACTTCTGTGCGCAGCTTTTATCAAGATTCAGCAAAGTAGGCCTGGCGAGGATAGGTTACATACCAGAGCTGCACTGATGGGCCCGATGATAATGTTCCCTACTCCGCGTGCAAGAGTCAACATTCCCCAAAGCGTGTTGCCATTATTGCTCGTCTTTGTTATGTCGTCCGCAAAGGCACCATACAGACCCGAATAGCCTGAGCTTGTGATACCAATGACGACGGCAAAGGCAACCAAGACGCCGTAGGTCGAGCTGGCGCCCCACAGGAGAAGAACGATCATCGAGCTCACTGTCGTCTTCGTGATCGCAACCCAATGCGGGTTGAGCTTGCGTACAGCCAGACCGACGAGCAGCGGTCCCATTGTCGCGCACAGGTTGTCTGAGGATCATGTCAGCATTCATCATCGATAACTAGTCTGTGCGCTTACTGAGCATGACGAGGATAGTGCCTTGCTCGGTGCTCAAGCCAAGCGCATTTGCGAATGCTGGCAGGTACAGACCGATTGCGAATTTACTCAAAGATTGGACAGTGCTGCCAAAGGCGCACAGCCAGACTAAGGGATTCTGGTGTGGGATTCTATCGAATGCGCTAAGCTTGACGCCGGGGTCGCGTCCTGCTGCTTGATGCACATGACGTAGCCGCGAATGCATGAATGGCAGCAGACTCCCTCGTACCACGAGGGTCCCCACAGCCAGTGCACGAAGCGTCGTGGGGTATCCGTACGAATCAAGCAGCTTATGCACGACGAATGGCATGACTGCGCCACCCACTCCTGCACCGGCCAAGGAGATATTGGCCGCAAGGTCCCGACGCTTGACCCAGTAGCTGGTCAGCCAGGTGAAAGTAGTGAAATACACCAAAGCATCGGCGAGTCCAGTGATCAGGCCCTGCGTGATGAGCAGCTGCCATGGTTTGGTACAAGTACTTGCAAGTGCCAGGCCGGCACTGTAGACAATGGTGCCGAAGATTGCTAGCCTCTTGCAGCGATGTGGCCAGCGGTTCAGCGGAGCGAGCAAGATGGGTCCGCCGATATACAAACAGCTCGCTGCCGTGGTACCAACCAGCGGCAAGATCGTCCCCGCGCCCTTCGAGTCGGCAAACGTCGGCTGTTGAAGATAAAAGTCCAACATGACACCGTAGGAGTTGCCGATGCCTGTCGTTGTTGCTTCGAAGATGAACGCATACACTAAGAACCGCAACGCTTCCCTGCCTCCGTCGATTCTTGCAAGCTCAAAGGTAAGCTCTTTCGTTGCGGTGGGAGCCGCACTGATCTGCCCGATTCTAGCGAGTGCAGCACGAGCATTCGGCCTGACAGGCACCTTGTACGTGCTCAAGCTGGACGTTCTTAACTTGTTGAGTGTAGGCCGTTTGAACAGGGAGCCCTTGGGAGATTCGGGCGAGCTGTCATCGTAGGTGTCCTCGCCGGATGTGCTATGGTGTAGCCGCGGACGCTTGTTGAGTACGGGTAAGAGGCTTGTCGGTGAATCCAGTAAAGCTGGCGGACTTGCCGGGATCTGTGCGGGCGAGTTGGCAGCTTGAATGGAGCCTTCCGCAACCCGGACGGTATAGCTTCGCTCGAGAACTGGGTCCGGCTCTGGCGCATTGAGCAAGGCAGACTGCATAGCGCCAGAGCCGTCAGGCTCGCCTGTCCGAGCAGGCCCGCGAGGAAGTTGAAGAGGCTGGCCTAGGAAAGGCGATAGACGGGCACGCCTGCTCTATCAGTTCGTGATCGGCGGATCTCCGGCCACAATGGCCGATCTCCTCGATCACGCTCAACAGCCTGTGCAATGCTACATCACTGGATCAAGCAAATCTGACTCATGCTCGGCAGGCCGTTCCTCGTGACTGCCTCTTCGCCTCGCGATGAAAATGACAGACAGGTGCACGATAGTGACTGATGCGAAAGCGAGTCCGACGAACAGAATGATGCCACCGAAATGACCCGCTTGTGGTGAAGCGACGCCATAACCACGCCAGCGCAAGCCCGTCAATTCTGTCTTGAGCAGTGCTGCGCCCAGCGGACCGACAACGAGGTTGCCAACGCCGCGTGTGGCCATGAGCAGGCCCCAGAGAGTGTTGCCCGAAGAGTCTTTGTGAATGTACTCTGCAAAGCTGCCAAAGAGGCCAGAATAGCCACTGGAGCTGATCGCAATGATCATTGCAAATGCGACGAGTACGCCATAAGAGCTGGAAGCGCCCCACAGCGTGAGAACGAAGAGCGAGCTGGTAGTCGTTTGCGCAATCGCAACCCAGTGTGGACTGAATTTGCGGAGCCCGAGAGCGACAAGCAAGGGACCGCAACAAGCACAGAGGTTGAAGAGCGTAACGAGCAGAGTACTGTGTGTGCTATTGACGCCTACAGCGGTAGCGAAGCTTGCAAGGTAGAGGCCAATTGTGAATTCTGCAGTGCTCTGTACCACAGCGGCCAGTGCACACAGCCAGACGATGGGCGATTGGTGGGGTATGCGATCGAATGCGCTGACTTTGACGCCAGGGTCGTGGCCTGCAGCATTGTGGACTTGGTGAAGACGCGAGTGCATGAAGGGCGTGATGAGTGCCTTGAGTGCAAAGAGGCCCACTGCAAGAGCGCGCAATGTCGTCCTCCAGCCGTACATCTCGAGCAGCTTGTGGACAATGAGGGGCGTTATAGCACCGCCCAAGCCTGAAGCAGCCAGCAAGAGATTAGACACAAGATCTCTACGTCGCACGAACCATTCTGTGAGCCAGGTATAGACGGTGAAGTACGCCAGAGTGTCACCCAGACCGAGAAGCGCGCCCTGAGTGAGCAAGAGCTGCCAAGGCGTCTTTGCCAAGCTGGCCAGTCCCAAGCCCAACGAGAAAAGAGCGTGACCGGACCATACGATCGCCTTTCTTCTGTGGGGATATCGATTGAGTGGCGCTAGCATGAGAGGTCCACCGAAATATACGACTGTGCCCGATAGTGTTCCGACAAGAGGCAAGATGGTAGCAGAGTGGGGCGAATCCGCAAGCTCTGGTACTTGCAAGTAGTAGTCTAGAATGACGCCGTACGAGCCTGCGAGGCCGAAAGCGAGCGCTTCGGTGATGCATGCGAGTACTAGAAATCCGATCGCCCCTCTACCGCCATCAATTCTTGGCAAGACGAAGGACAGCTCCTTCGTGCTTGCGGGAGCCGCACCGATCTGACCAATATGGGCGAGTGCAGAGCGCGCATTTGGGCGCAGTGACTTTTTAGGTATACTCCAACTGGACGAGTCAAAGCTGCTGAAAGTGGGTCGCTTGGACAGAGTACTGTTGGCAGACTCAAACGAAGATAGAGCCGGCGCTGGATCTGACTGGTTGAGGACTGGCAATTCTGCCAAGTCCGCATCGTCTTGCTGCTGTACAGTGACCGTGTGAACGTGGTTCAACAAAGGTGCGGGCTCGGGCGCAATGCCCAGAGCCGCTTGCATCTGCTAGACCAGCATGAGACGCTCGCTCCCCATCCCTGCTGTTTTGGCGATCAAAACCTTGTTCGATTTATAGTTAGTTCTTCGATCGCGAGAAGCCGCCGGCCAGCTGGCAGAAGTCGGTGGCATCGCACGAGCAGAGCGTAGAAAGTGAAGAGTGGGAAGGGCTTGTGCTGTGTGTGTGGAGAGTCGCAGAGTCGTTTGACTTCTGCTGCATTCGCGTTGGCTTCCGCGCTGCCGCGGCACTGTCACAACGCGAAGACGGCAGGAGCGCGAGATGCTTGACAGTGGTTCTGCCGCCAAGGGGCACTTGCGAAAGGATGATGGCATGCCAAAGGTACGCATAGAGTCGCCGGCGAGAATCTCAGCCGATGCTATCCGCAGAAACGATTCTACCGGCAAAGGGCGCATGCGAACCCTTTGACAGACCATGCACTCGACTTGTGAGCCTCAAACAAGCCTGCACGATCTTGTCCTCACACGCTACTGCAGTCCGGCGAGTCCAGCACAGATGGACTGGTCGAAGCATTATCCCGCCTTCTTCCCAGCAATGCCAGATGAAGGCGCCAGAGCGAGCGCGAGCAGGAGCGTCGAGTTTGCCGACATAGGCTGTGGCTTTGGCGGTCTGCTCATGGATCTTGCGCCTCTGTATCCCGATACACTCATGCTAGGTCCGTCCGCCACTTCTCAATCAGCCAGCGGTCTGAAGGAGAGAGAGCAGGAATGGAGATTCGTATACAAGTGACGCAGTATGTTGCAGACAAGATCAATGCCCTCAGAAAGCAAGAAGGCAATGGGTACCAGAACGTCAGCGTCGTCCGAGCCAACTCGATGAAGTTTTTGCCCAACTTCTTTGGCCGGCATCAGCTCAGCAAGATGTTCTTCCTCTTTCCTGACCCACATTTCAAGAAAGCAAAGCACAAAGCGCGAATCATCTCGCCTAGTTTGCTAGCAGAATATGCGTACGTGCTTCGGCCGGGAGGAATCGTCTATACGATTACGGATGTCAAGGATCTTCACGAGTGGATGGTCAAGCATCTCGATGCCTTTCCCCTCTTCGAGAGGATACCGGACGAAGAGCTCAGGAATGACAAGATTGTCGAACTCGTGCGAACGAGTACCGAAGAGGGCAAGAAAGTAGAGCGCAATTCTGGCGACAAGTATCTTGCTTGCTATCGTAGATTAGAAGATCACTGAGGTCTACAGTGCAGTATGTTGTACAATCAACAAGAACGAACCAGGAACACCGCTCCTAATCCCGTCGCGATCGCTTCGCAGGCTGCTCAGGCACGCCTTCCGAGTCGCCGTCCTCGCTGCTATCGATCACGATAAAGCCTGGTGTGCTTGCACGGGCTTCGTCCTTTGTCTGCACTTTTCGTTTTGACTCAGCTTTGGACTTGCCGGTCGATTTGCCATTCGACTTGGCGCCTATGAGCGAAATCTTTGGCTGAATCAGCTTTCTGCTTGAGCTCGGACCCGCACGCGTAGACAAAGTGCCGTTCGTCCGAACAGAATGCAAGGCATCCTCTTCGATGTCGTCGTCTGATTCTCCACTAGCTGACCAGACGGGTACACCCGAACCGTATACGCCTGCATCGTCATCTGATTCAGAAGATGCTGAAAGCTGCAGCACCGTCAGCCCTGTTCTTGTAGCGAGAGAGACAGCACTTGCATCCTCTATGTCACGCTGGATCTTCTTGCCAGCAGAGGAGGCACCAGCAATGGGTCCGTTGATACTTCCAGCCGGCGGGAGACCGGCCAGCCTCCTTTCTGCCGCTTCAGCTCGAAGCTCTTTGGCCGTCTGACTTTGCGCGCGTTTGCGAAAAAAGGATTCGTCTGCATCCAGTGTCTGACCTTCGCCTGCAAAGGCGCCCTTTTTGTTGTTCTTGCTGCCCGCTTTGGCCTTTCGACCGCCTGGTCTTCCCGAGCCAGAGTACTTGTCAGGTCTGCGTGTGTACCATCTTGAACGACGCCTTGAAGGTTTTGCACTCTTCCGCTTCTTGGATCCGTCACCGGCGCAGAGATACTGGTCCATATCGTAATGTGCTAAATGGTTCTCACCTGCAACGCGATCGTTGGTTTCGAGCTGTCTGCCATCTGACCACAAGCCCTCGCCAAAGTAGCCTTGTCCTTGAGCCGCTTTGATCTCTTCGCGGTGTTCCTTGTCAAGTTTCTGAAAATTGGGACCGTGATTGGAGTGCACATTGTGGGCAAGCTCGTGGCACATGATGGCGACGAGCGAGCCAAAAGGTCGGAAGCTGCCGTCGACATTGCGTAACACAATTTCAATCACTTCGCCCTTGTTCCAATTGCGGCCCAGAAATTCCTGTCAGACATTGCGAGGTCTTCAGTCCTGCACGACTGAGCTATCGAGACTGCTAACGGTGTTGTAGGGAGCCTCTTCGAGCGAATTACACGTATAGTCTGTTCTCGTCTCCTAAGCGCGCCAATCTGCGTGAGCCGAACAGAGGGCTCACATCTCGCTCTCGTCATACGTCTGAACTGGGCAGCCAGGCCGTTCATGAGCTTCATCGCCCTGTCTTGATCGGATAGCGATGGGTCCCGTAGACAAGACACAAATGTAATGTCTTCATTCGGATGAGTCGAAGTAGGTTGCTTGATTCGATGCCCGGGCACCATCTTCTGTGGCTAGAGAAAGCGGACTGTTCGACAGCTGCTGCATTCAGAGCAGACGAGCAGATGAGGCCGGTGCGTTACCCGGATCTTGTCGAATCGTGAGCTTGTCGCAACACGGCGCACGCGATCGGTGTATTTGCCACTGGTCGACTGCTCGGCGTCGTCCATTCTGGAGGAGCCAGGCTCGGCGCTCAAATGGCCTGAAAGGATCTACGAAAGCCTGATACTTTGCGCGGGTCAAGGACAAGCTGAGTGCGTCTGCGAGTCAGCACTAGGCGATTAGATGAGCGCAGCGTCCTTGCGGGCTGAACCCGCACAATGCATGGACAGCTAGTCCAGACATCGGCAGGCGGATCTGACCAGTACAGCGCCCATTCTATGTGCAATTTCCACGAAGCCCTCGAAAGATGTGCATTCAGGGCGTCTACAGGTGAGGATCGATAGCATGAAGACTGCCCGGCACGCCTCACCTGAAAGTCGACCGCTCACTCGCTTGTTCCGCGCGCTGAGAGACCAATCACGTGACGCGCGCGACTGCCGTCTGAGCTATGTCTGCAAACCTGCACTTCAGACCGCGATAAAAGGCGCGCCCAATTCTTCTTCCCACTCCTTGCCGCACTTGCCGACAAACCTGGCGAAACTCTTCAGTGCCAGATCGGAAGCGCTCCTGCGTAGTGCTGGTGCATACCCCTGCGAATTGGGGATTGCTGCTCATCNNNGGTACGTGCGCCCATCGATAGATCNGGCGAACTTCATCAGTGCCAGATCGGAAGCGCTTCTGCGTAGTGCTGGTGCATACCCCTGCGAATTGGGGATTGCGGACTCCTTGATCACATAGACGGTAGGACGTAGCACGAGACAATGCACACGTTTCAGTGTGACGTCAAATTGTATGCCACTCTGCGAAATCATGAATCATGCATAAGAGCAGCCTCTGCTTCCTTCCAGCGGCGACGACGACTGAAACGTCTGAACATGCTGGCAAAGAGCCAGCAAGCTCTGGCCTGGCTGGTACTGGTGCTATCGCTTTGACTGACTGGAGCCTTTTCTGTTGGGACACATCTCTGAGCAGCCAATATTTCTGCTGCGCTTGACAGGATCAGCGTGAATGGCGAGTTGACTTCTTGACCTTGACGGCAAACGATGTAGCGAACATGCATGAGAATACTGTACGGCTTCTCTTGGCATGCCTGAACAGCTTCCGCAATGGCCCAAGCAGTTCTCTGTGAAGGCACCGGCTTGCTGGGCCATTGGCTGACGAGCGCGTGAGCGTGTCCTCGTCGTCAAAGAGCAGAAAACATTAGTCGGAAGCCGCGCAGCCTTCCTCGAGCTTGTGACGTTCCAGCTCGGGCGAATAGCCGCTTCGCCCGGTCATCGTCAGCCAAACTCAGAAACTTCCTGATGAACGAGATCGACCAAGCAGCGGCTTTGTGAGTTCCGATGCGTTGGACTACGGTAGCACGACGTTGTTATCTTTCGTGCTGTGACATCCCAGATCAATCATTCTTGCGACTTCGCCGAGGTTCCGAGGATGAATCTCAAGCGAGTGCTGCGCCGGCCGAGAAGGCCTGAAGAGGCGCGTAGCCATACCCGACGTGGAGCAAGAGAATGGAAAGCCCGACAGGTGCAACGACGCCTATACATGCGAGCAATGTAGCTAGACCGATTGTGGAGCGCGCTTGTGCGAGGTCAGTCTCCAAGCCGCCTGCGATACAGTGTGAGAGATCTGAGATGTGCGGCGCATGAGATATTGACCATGAAAGGCGAGACTGACGAGAGCCACATAGCCCATGTCTGTGAAAGCTCGCTCGAGTACCGGTTGGAGGGTGTTGGCGAGAGGCCGATCGTAGATGAATCCGACGAGCAGCTCGCCCAGCAGGCCTGCACGGAGCAATGTGTCGCCGACATGACGAGGAACGTTGAGGAAGAGGATGAAAGATACAAGGACCAGCAAGGTCACAACATCTGGCTCGTCATAGGCGTTGGCATAGCTGTCGAGGCTGAGCTCCATAGGCTGGCCATGCAGGCCAGGCAGCTGAGGGAGACCGCTATCGATATGAATGCATCTCAATGACGCGCGCACCGCCGTGCAGCGAGCCCGAGGCGTATCATCAGCGGTAGTGAAGCTCAGCGACGGAGGCGAGGGGCACGAGGAGCGATAGGCTTGGTCAGACAAGCAGCAATAGACACACAGCAGTGCACGAGGAGACATACACGGTGCATCAGCTGATCCTAACGACGAACCCCTCGAGATGACATCGACACCCACGCAAGACGCCATGAGACGACGCAAGTCGAGCGTACGTCGACCTTCGATCTCGCTCGACAAGCTCAAGCCGATGCATCAAGCCGCTCCTCCTCGACAAGGTGATGACTTCAACATCCTGCTTTTTGGCGCCGGCGCTATCAACTTTGGCACCGTAGAGGGCCCATGGAATCACAGGTCCGTGCTCATACCTTGCCTTCGCGAGGTGCCGGATTGAGACAGGAAGAGCAGCTTCCGTATAGAGCATAGACTCGGTCCGCGACTCAAGATTGTCGGCCTCATAGATCCCTCGATAGATCGCGCCAAGGCGGCCATCAAAGCCAAATGTGACTCTTTCGTCCGCAGCGCCTACCAGGATGCACTCATCTGCGCAAGCTTTGACGACTTCGTCAAACGCGCTCAGCCTGGACAATACCCTCAAGCTGCCATCTTAGGATCGCCGCCACAGTTCAGAGGAACCGACAAGCCGCCTTTCAATATTGAGGCGCAAATCATCAAGGCCTTTCCAGAGATCGGCCTCTTCATCGAGAAGCCGGTCTCGACTGGCCCTGTAGAGAATGCGCTCGGAGTCGCGAAATTGCTGCAGCAGAAGCGTGTTGTTGCTTCAGTCGGCTACTTTCTTCGCTACCTCAAGCCCGTACAGAAGATCAAGGAACTCATCGATGCCAACGGCTTGCATGTCATGGCGACGACAGCGCGCTACTCTGCATCTTATGAGCAGTGAGTCGTGTGAGACTGCTCTGCCGTGTGACAATGCTGACGGCATCTTATAAGCACGAATAAGCTCGCTTGGTGGGACAAGTCTAAAGACTGCGGCCCGATCGTCGAGCAAGCCACGCACTTTGCAGATCTCTCTAGGCACGCTCTGCTCATCATTGACCGGGGCCGAGCTGATGATCTGCGCAGATACTTTGGCGGCGACGTCGCGCTCGACACCGTGCAGGCTCACGCACTCGAGCATTACGAAGAAGCTGGTCGTCTGAGCAAGATTCCGATTCCTGAAGATAGCATCCCACCAGAGCAACGTATTCCCCGCGTGACGTCTGCCATCTGGAAGTACACCACTGGCGCTGTCGGCACGCTGACACATTCGCTTGTGCTGCAAGGCGCAAAGTACGATACCGAGATCGAAGTCATCGCAGACGGATGGAGCTTCCGATTGGTTGACCCGTACGGCAAAGCAGAGCTACGCATCCGTCGTCCTGGCTCCGATGCCGAAGAGATCCACATGGAAAAGGACGACGACCCCTTCTTCACCGAGATTGCGAGCTTCATCGACGCCATCGACCCAAGCAATCCCAAATCGATCAAGAAAGCTCCGGAAGTCATTGAAGAATCCGACGATGAAGCTAGCGATGAAGGCGCCGCCACACCCAATGAGTATCTTGCCGATACCGACATTCTATCATCGTATGAAGACGCGTGCAAGACCTACGAGGTGCGTCTATGCGCTTTGATCTGCTCGTTGAGCCGTCACTGACTGACGGGACCACGCAATTCTAGCTCACTTGGCGCATCAGGGAGGCATCTGAACGGTCCCAGAAGATGGGCGTCATCGGTCAACAATAATGAATCAGCCAGCGCTGCCCGCATGATGTTGTGATCAGTCAGTCGCGTCTTGACGCGTCCGAGATCGCCAGCGATTAATGCCTAGAATTTGTCAAGTAACGATAGGCTCTGATGATGATTTGAAGACATTGACAGTCCCGCTTTGCTGGTCTGCTCGCCAGAACTCTAGTTCATCTCGAGGATGAGAGGTGCCTGAGCGCAGAGACAAACACGAGGCGACCAGCGTTGCGGCACCAGCAACAGCAGGTCTCGTCGCGTCAGTGTTGCAAGATATCAGCCCGACCTGGCTGCCAGCTTCCTCGAGCAGCAGCGATATACCCAGCGAGTCATCACGCACATAGACCAGTGCGGCGATGCATAAGCTCGGCTTCAAAACGCGCAAGGAGGCCAATGCGCCCACGACTCTTAACGCGGGGTCAGCACCGACCCCGTTAGCCGCCAACGATCTGCCGTCCTACCTGACAGAGACGCCCAGGCGTACGATCGGCGAGCCTCGGTTGACGCCTCAGCCGCTGCAAGGCGCCTTCGCGTTGAATCCGACCAATAAATCACTGAGCCTGAGCGATCAAGGACACGATCGTTTGCAGCGTTTACAAGACGCCAGTAGCTCTCACTTTGTCAGAGTTGACCGCAAGGCATCCATCACCGCTGCCAGCACGCGTGTACCGCCTCCATCTGTATACCCTTCACAACTCAATCACGACACCCAACAAGACGTGCCTCATAGATCATCAAACGCAAATCCTACAAGAGTCTCACCGCCTGCCGCTTCTGCCCCAGAGGACGGCGCGATGACGCAAATACATCCATACGCAAGGCAGAAACTACCCTCTCGCTCATGTGCCTCACCTAATGTTCCGGCCATGGCGCCCATTGCGCCGTTGGTCGTTAACCCTCGTAAGGCATCTGCCGGCAGCTTGCAGCGCTACGGCACAAGTGGAAGGAGTCCCCGTATGGACAGTCCCACAGCAGCTCAGTCGTCAGAATCTCGTACTAATGTACGCCGCCGCTGCCATTTCGCGTCTCTGATTCGTTGCTGATGCTTTTTTCCGTCAGATGGTCAAGAGCACCAGTCTGTCCCCGGAAAGCCTGCTGAGTACGCCAGCGAGACAGCAAAGACTCCGACAGAGGAGCGCCAACATGCCTGTCGAGCCACAGCCACGCGTTCCATACGGGCCTACCGAGCTTACTCGACGGGCGTCGCTTGATAGCCTTCTGCCGCCTGCTGCCATCAACCCAGAGCTACTGAATAAACCTGATGTACCGACGTCACCTGAAGCGTCTATTTCGCCTGTCAAGCTCAAGTCGAAGCTTCAGCATGCGACGCAACAGGCGCCGCGGTCCGGCACCTCCCACGCTCGGGCAGCAACGACTGGCACACGCGCTGCATCTGGGCAAACATTCCTGCTGCAACCGCGCTCCTCTAGCCGCTTCGAAGGCGTCCAGTCTTCATTGACAAGCAATGCTGCTAGCCCACCCGGCACACCGAGGCACAAGGCTCACGTCGCGTCTCCTGTCGCGACATCGCCAGCCTCGAATGAACAAGACCCCACACCACCTGCACCGGTCTTCACCGATGTATTTACTTCTGTCTCAAGCAAGACGCCTGGCTCTCCGAAGCCAGACTTCAGCCTCTCGCTCGGCATCAAGCAATCAACGCAGACCTGCAAGCTCGCCGACATTGATTGCGACGGCAATGGCTTTACTCTCTCGTTAGGCTCCATTGGCGGCCTAGGCATCGACAACTTCGATATTTCGCTCGTGACGACATCTACCAGACGTATCGGAGGCACGTCAAGTGACAACAAGACAGAGTGGCAGCTGCATATTGTGCCCAAAAGCAAGCAAACATCTCAGGCTACCACCGAGCGTATCGCTGCAGGTCAACCGAGCTTCTCGACGCCTCGCGTGACAAGAGCATCGCCTGCCGAGCGGCCATCTTTGTCTGCCGCAAAGATGCGTCGATCGATCTCTGACACGACGCCCGCCTCTAGCCAGATGCCTCCCACGCCTGAAACCCCAGAATACATTCGCAGCGTTGCAACTCAACAGTCGCAGCCGGTCTCCCGACGACCTTCGACGCCTACCAGACATGCTGCATTCTTACTGCCCAACGCTCAGGGTGAGACCGAAGATCACCTGCAACACAATGGACCGCCTACACCCAGAGCACAGAGGAGGGAGCCCACACCGAGCACATCTAATACATCTCTGCGATCGCATGCTCCTGCCTTCCGCGAGAAAGGCGGGTTGCTAGGTCGTTCGCCCAATCCGGCTGCAGCGGCAGCTGCTGCGATGTCAAACGAATGGCACGGCCGACCGAAGACTCCCTCGAGCTACTTTCCTTACGAAGACTGGTCACAAGCCTATCGCGTCGAGACCGAATCGCCTCGCTCTATGCAATTCTCAAGCTCATCAGAATCAGAGTCTGCCAGCATGAAAGGTCTGAACATTGGCCTGGCTCTAGACGATCTCAGCAAGTCTCGATCTCGCTCTGCTTCTTACTGGTCCGACACCGAAGGCACAGATACGGATGAGGAGAACGAGGCAGACTGTGCACCGCGACCCAAGACCCACCTCGCCTACATCTAAACGTATTTCGCTGCTTAATTTCGACGTCCTTTCAATACCCTCACGACACGTGCACCAACTGTAGATAGTCTCGCATTGCATTTTTACGAGAGTTGAGTGGAATGTCGTGCTCACTTCTCAGGCTGCTGGCTTTTGAAAAGCACGTAGCAAGCTGCAGCCTTTTGCGAAAGGCAGCATAGCTGGCTTCAGGGGAGCATCTTGTGTCTTTGTTCTTCGCTCGCCTCTACGCACCATGACAAGAGCCTTGGTCAGGGTGCACCTTTGGGCAGCGGTGTTTGGTCATGCTGAAACGGGAGAGCCTTCATCGTCGTAATTCTCGGGCTTGCGCAGCATGTGGAAGTAGGCCAGGCATGCCAAATCAGCATCTCTGCTCAATCGGGTAAGCAGCCAGCGGATTTGACGTCAAGCTCGCCCACCTTCGCTCGAGAATGGCTCGAAGGCGAGCGTCTTGATCGGCGCGCAGACCGCCCAGAATGATACTCGAATCTAGGCCACGATGGGTGACCAGGTTGAGCTTGATCTCTGGACCGGATAGCTTTGCTACTCTCGAGACTTTGTTGCACATTGGCTTCTGGCTGCAGTCCGGATACAAATCTTCTGCCGAATCCTGTCGAGTGAAATCAGTGGCGCATTGTTCTGAGCACATTTTGAACTTGCCAGGTAGTCATATATCTCGGCTGGCACGGTCATGGACACGTTGCGCTGTTCCTTGATGAGTCCGCGAACATACTTGCGCAAGCCGACCATTGTGACATGGGTGCCATCAAGCGAGAGCGAAACAAGCGCGCTGAGGTATGACAACATGAGCCAGACGTCGTCATTGATCTGGGCATTCTCGCACAGCGAGAGCTCTTTGAGGTTCGCCTTGAGGGCCGTGAGATGGGTGATACCTTCGGGCGATATACCAGTACTAGACAGATTGAGTGTGCGAAGAGCGGGCAGATGATGAATAAAAGTGAGATCGTGATCGTGAAGGGGCACAGAGGCGAGGTTGAGTGATTGCAGGATAGGCCAGTGATGAGGGTCAGCAAAGACTGAAAGTGTCATGATGGATGAGCGAGGTGCAAGTCCGGCCGGATCCATGAGCGAGCGAGTCAGACTGATCTCTCGGACAGCTAGATTGACATAGAGTGCCAACGTTTGTCCGTTTAACGCGCCTGTACCTTCTGGTGAGTTCATGTCATGACTTGAGCTCAAAGTACGAACCGAGCTCGTCTAAGCGGTTGATCTGATCTTGAGGCGAATCGAGGCCTTGCGGCGCATCGCGAAGGAGGATCTCTCTGATACCAGTGCCGGGCAGAAGCGCGGCAAGAGCCTCGCAGCGTTTAAAGAGCTGATGCGAGGGTGCATACGCGGGCTGGTCTCGATCTGGGTGGCCAGTTCCGGTGTCGGAGATGTGCAAAGGCGATGCAAAGATTGGACGAGCCGTGACCCCCCAGCCCGGCAGATCAACTGATGGGATGACACGGCCTACTGAAGGCAGGCGCAACGCATTATCGTGTGCGAAACTACGACTGGCACCGTGGATAGAAGGAATGGACAGAAAGCTATCGTCATATCTCGTCGGTGAATGCGCCACAGGTGAGGGGCGATAGGCGGGTGGTCCGGTCAGCTCGGTGAAAGACTGATCGCCGAAGCCTTCTTTGGGAAGCGCGAACGTAGAGTAGTTGGGAGGCGAGGGGAAAGGCTGCAGAAAGGCTCGGCTTTGGTGTGACATCTCGCGTTGGCGCGCGATGACGTCAATGTCCGACAGTACCATCCCGCTCGAAGATACTGCAGAGAATGTCAGCGGCTCAGCAACGTAGTGATTGGCGAGGGCAGTCTGGTGGCTGTTCTGAATGAGCTGGTGATGACCAACATCCTCTGTGTGCGATCGAGCTCGACCATTCAAATCTTGCGCGCTTAGCAAAGGTGGAGGTGACGCCAGGCGTTCGAGTCCGTCGAGCAAGTTGTGCTCGATATCAGTACCAGTAGGCTCAACGAGCCACGCCGGTGTACGGCCTTGGCCGGCGTTGAGAGCTTTTGAGGGTCTAGACAGCGCATCTACATTGGGACGCTTGGCTCTCGGCTGTTTGGTCTTGCTACTTTGACCGGCATGCGTCGAGAGGCTCGTCTCTGGAGACATGCCATCGTCTGTGAGCGAAGGCTGGGTCGATGCATCTTGTGTGCTGAGCGAGGTCTGGCTCTCGACCGAGTCGATGCTAAGGAGACCCGAGTGGTTGCTTCTGCCTCGCATCCTTGCGGGCGTCGTCTGTCGATGGACGTCACTGCTTGTACTGTACACCTGAACAGAAGCTTATCGAGCAATGCGAGACTAGCAGGTCTGAAAAAGCCGCGAGACATGCAGCCATCGGAGTTCAAGTCATGCAGCGCTGGTCGGAGGCAGGCTTCCCCGAGGAATGTCCTCGACGCGTCCGTCAGCTCTCGCACGGCGTGATAGGGCGAGGAACAGGATTGTAGGTCGAGTAGAGGTGTCAGTCAGAGGTAGGACGGAAGGCTCCTGTTCGGCTGCTTAGCAACGGAGACGCTGTGGAGCACGCGTCCTAGCCTCTTATCAGCGCAGAGAGTGGCGAGCGGCAACGCTCGTCGCTGTCGCTCGTCGAACGTCATGGGCAGACGCAGAGGCCGTACTGCAGCTCAAGCCAAGACAAAGCAGAAGACACAGCAGAGCGCGGGAGCAGAGAGCGAATGGCTGCCTAAAGCGTACCGTGCAGATCCCACCGAGCCAGAAGTCATGCCGTCCGCAGGCTCGTATTTTGACAAGTACGACATGTCCAACGAGCCTCGTCAGGTGCCGCTTCGCTGCGGAAGAGACCGACAGGACTATCGAGGCGAGCGCGGCAAGATCTACGTCTGTCATCAGAAAGTGGACGTAGACTCGGAGACCGAAGTCGACGACGACGGATCAAGCAGCTCGTACGCGTACCGAGAGGAAGCCTTGGCAATGCCGAACGAATCAGTCGACGAGCTCGATGCTGGCGGCTACGAGTGCGTCATCGGATCCGTCAAAGCCATGTCGGGGGCCAAATCGCGCCATGATGCCGAGGTTTACTCAGCGGAAGAAGCAAGACGTGATGGCAAAGGCCAGCGGGAAACCTGCACTCGAGGCAGGCAACAAGATCGAGCCAAGGCCTTTGCCCGACGCTACCCTGGTCTCGATGACAGCCGATTTGCCGAACTCGCAGACGAGCCAGCGATGAGCGAGACTGACAGTGAAGAAGGATACGAAGAGGGCGAAGCAGGCCTTTGGGAAGTCGAGGCAAAGGCGCAGCACGACATCTCTCCAGGCATGTACGAGCAGAGACGAGAGCGCAAGCCAGAATAGGCGCAGAATCACGCAGATGCGCTGCCGAATGATGCAAGTATGCGTCGAAGCATCCACAAGCCCACAAGAGCACGCGAGCAAGAGCATAAGACGACGAAAGAGCAATGCAGTGTTGTCGGATTGAACATTCCATTAAACCCGGGCCCGTCGCGCGATTACCGAGAAAGTAAGCGCGACTTCAAAATCTACCTCCACACTGCTCGACACCTATCCTTGGCAGCCTGGCAAGATGCACGTCTACAAATCCATCTATACCGCACCGGAGCTGCCGGAACAGAGCGTATTTGACTATCTCTTCGGACATTCGCGAAAGCTGCCGAGGGAAAAGGTAGCACTTACGAACTATGTCTCAAAGCAGTCCATGACCTACGGTCAGCTCGTTGACGCCTGCCTCGATCTGGCTTCCGGTCTGCGCAAAGTAGCAGGCCTGAAAGTAGGCGATATGATACTTGCCTTTTCGCCAAAGTGAGTGTCCGTTGTATCGGTTCAGAGCGCATGACTGACATCCTCCATCAAGCTCGATCGAGTATCCTGTCGTCCTGCTGGGCGGACAAGCTGCCGGTTTACCCGTGTCAACGGCCAATTCGGCCTACACGCCAAGAGAACTCGCGCATCAGATCCGAGACTCGGGCGCGAAGCTCCTCCTTGTCGCTTCTGACCTCGTCCCTATCGCGCAAGAAGCGCTCAAGTCAGTCGACGGAAAGATTCCAATCTACGTCTTGCCGGGCGTCGATGGCAAGATTGCCAATATCTCCGGCTGCAAGAGCTGGGAGGAGCTCAACAAACCCGGCTCTGGCAAAGGCTTTGAGCATTTCACTCTGCCAAAGGATAAGGTCAAGAAGACCATGGCTTACTTGCCCTACTCGAGTGGCACGACCGGCCTAGCCAGTCCGTTTCTGTGTCTCTGTTCGTATATCCTGGCTAACCCTACCGATCACAGAGGGCGTCGAGCTATCGCATCATACAATCACGTCAATGTGCTGTCAAGCGCCAGTTTGTCCTGGCATGGCTCTCGAGCAAGACATCATCTCCGCCACGTTACCATTCTATCATATCTATGGTCTGCAAGTCTTGCTCCACAACGTGCTCGACGTCCGCGGCTCCCTCATCATTCTGCCGCGATTCGATCTCGTGCAATTCTGTCAATCTATTCAGGAGCACAAGATCACCATCGCTTACGTTGTGCCTCCTATGGCACTCGCTCTTGCAAAGCATCCCATCATCGACAAGTTCAATCTGAAGACCTTGCGCAACATTACTTCTGGCGCAGCGCCGCTTTCGCCGGAATTGCACAATGCGTTGCAAAAGCGTCTTGGCAAACAGACTGTTATCACTCAAGGCTATGGCTTGACAGGTGCGGCTGGCTATTCGCTTCGTTGACTGTACTGATTCCTCTGCGTCTGCCAGAAAGCGACAGCACGTCTCACGTCAATCCAGTTCACGATTCTCGACCTGGCACAATCGGACCTCTTTTTGTCGGTCTCGAAGCACGTCTGGTCGACGTCGAGACCGGCGAGGATGCAAAAGAGGGAGAGCGGGGCGAGCTCTGGATGCGAGGACCGACTATCATGATGGGATATCACAATAATGACAAGGCCAACAAAGAAACCTTTGAGGGCGACTGGCTCAAGACGGGCGATATCGCCATCGTGCGCGACAACTGGTGGCAGATTGTCGATCGCGTAAGCCGCCCCTTGCGAAGGAGAGCACAAGCTGACACTGCATGTGATGACAGGCAAAAGAGCTCATCAAGACGCAAGGCTATCAAGTAGGTTGCTGTTACGTCGCAGAAGCTCGTGAGCTGACGTTGATGTGCAGGTGCCTCCTGCTGAGCTTGAAGGTGTCTTACTCGACTGTCCACTCGTAGCAGACTCTGCCGTCATCGGCGTGTGGTCCGAAGAGAACGCGACAGAGTATCCTCGTGCCTACATTGTCGTCGATCCCAAGGCGGCAGAAGGCAAGGACGTCGAGAAGGAAGTCTATGACTTTGTCGCAAGCAAGGTCGCTCACTACAAGCGACTGAAAGGCGGTGTCTGCGTCATTGATGTCATCCCCAAGTCGGCATCGGGCAAGATCCTGCGCAAGGATCTGCGAGAGCGAGCCAAAAAGGAAGGCCTCAAGGCCAAGATGTGATGCAGAGATCGTCGCGGGACCCGTTTTACGTTGTGCGCGCAAGATTCGTTACGTCTGGAAAATGCAACCCATGTCATGCCGAATCAGCGTCCCTGAATCGCAGGCCAATCTTGCATGAACGATGGAGCACCCGTCGCACCGCCCATGCAGGACTCAGCGCGTATTTGCTGCGCCTCCGGGAGCCATTTGGTAATATTTTTGATGCGAGTGGTGTCTGTCGGATGCGTCGATATGAATTCCGGCTGATGCGCACCTTGCGCAGCCATACGTTGCCAGAAGGCAGTGACCTGAGCCGGATCGAAGCAAGCCTTTGCCATGAGTTTCAGGCCAAGTTGATCGGCTTCCGTCTCCTGTCGCCTGCTGTTCGGCAACGTCATCATCAATTGGAGTAGTGTGTTCTGTATCTGCGCGGTATCCTGTCCCAAAGCGATGGTCCCGGCAAGCACCAGAATATTGACAAGCTAAAGGATGATCAGCCTCTGCTGACGCTCGCTAGTATGGACTGACCATTCCGCTCGAGATGCGCTCGCCAGTGTGACGAGCTCGCTGATGAGAGATCTCATGCCCAAGTACGGCTGCCAGTCCAGAGTCGCCGGCGGTAAGCTTCAGAATTGAATCGTGAACGAATATTGCGCCATTGGCAAGGACAAAGGCGTTCGGTGTTGGCTCTTTAATGACATAGATGTGCCAGTTGACGGCCTTCCCCGGCTTCTGCATCTGAGCTCTCTCCCGCTCCGAGACGGCAATCAGCCGCTTGGCTACTTCCGTCACTTGTCGCGCCTGCTGGGAATTGGGCGGATAGATTGCTCCTTGAGCTTTGTACTGCTTGAGTAAATCTTTTGTAGCCTGGTCTGCCAGCTCAATGTCATAATCCTCCGAAGTGAGGAGGAAGCGACGTTTGCCTGTCGCTTCGACCGTCTCTAGATTGTAGACATAGACAACAGGCACGCCGGTTCCGACAGCAATGAGCACGAGGCGGGTACGCGGATGCAGCTGATTGAATCGTGACTTGAACTCTGAAGCTATCCGCGGCCGCTGCGAGCTTGTCTGACCATGTGACTCGCCTTCGAAGGGGATCATCTTTTGCTGACCAAACCGACGATAACTTGACGCGAATCTGCGAGTCGATGCTGACATAGCTCCGAAGCCAGCACACGAACGCAGCGTGGCGATACGAGCTGCTGTGAAGAGCCGCATCGATGAGCTGCAGCTGATGAGCCAGCTCGGCGAGGGAGACCCGAAGAGAGAATAATTTTGACGCGTTGACATTTCGACGTTTGGCTTCGCGAATTTTTGCCGGAGCGTCACAGCGGCAGCCAGTGCGAATGGACTTTCAGCCTGTGCGACAGCAGCGGTATAGCACACTTGCGCAGTCTCAAAAGGACTATAGCGAGAGCAAATACTGGCGAAAGTTCAAGGTCTATACGCGCCAGTGGCGTCCGATATGATGGCTGAGACGAAAGAGGACAGGATCCCATCTTTATCAAGTCATACGCCGCGGTCAACCATGTGCACATCTCTCCCACGGCCCCCCATCGATATGCGGTCACGACGGGCACTCGCGTGCAAATATACAGCCCGAAGACGGCGCGTGTAGTCAAGACAATCAACAGGTTCAAAGATACTGCTCGCTGCGGCACGATCAGAGATGACGGCAAGCTCGTCATTGCCGGTGATGATGGTGGACTCATACAAGCATGTCTGATACTACTCCTGGGGATGTCAGCGCTGACAAGGTGGAGACAGGTCTTTGATATCAATTCGCGCGCGATATTGCGGACGATTCGAGACCACAAGCAGTATGTCTCCCCTCAGACCGCCAGACGGGAGCTCAAGGAAGCTTTGCAGACCTGTACATACGACCCATTTCTCTCCGGGTACGGCTACGTCCATTCTGTCCACTTCAGACGACACGACGGTTCGGTTGTTCGACCTAAGTACCAGCGACGAGACATCTTTCTTCGACACTCACACGGATTACGTCCGGACGGGCTGCTTTCTGCCTTCTAATCCCTCGCTGGTCTTGTCTGGCTCCTATGATCGTACCATCAAGCTGTGGGATAGCAGGGCAGGCGAAGGACAATCACAAGCCATGTCACTCGATCACGGTTTCCCCGTCGAGAGCGTCATCGTTCATCCTAGCGGCACGATCGCCTTATCCGCAGGAGGGCCCGTCATCAAAGTGTGGGATCTGGTCAGCGGCAGTCCAAAGTGTCTCAGGGCAATGTCGAATCATCAAAAGACCATCACATCGCTCGCTTGGGACGGGGAGTACAGACGCGTCCTCAGTGCCGGTCTAGATGGACTTGTGAAGGTCTACGAGGGGGCCGAAAAGAACTGGCGCGTTGGTCATACAATGCGCTATGGCGGACAGATCCTCAGCCTGGCGTTGTCGGCAAGTCATGCAGTGCCATACCACTAGCATTCAGCTGATATGGGTCTGCATGCAGCCTACTGACACGCAACTCATTGTAGGCGCAGCAGACGGCGCGCTGACAATCCGCAAACGAGCTGCAACAGCGACCGAGCTAGCGCAACGAGCAGCGAATAAGCTAGCGTCTCGCACAGTCGCCAACGATGCAAGATTAGCCGGGCGAGCGCAGACAGGGATACATAGCGGACCAGATGCTCAGCAGGGACTCGATGTCTTCAGGCCAAAGGCCGACGGCGACAACAAAGAGATCAAAGTGACAAGCAAGAAGAGGAGGAAACTCGCAGAATGGGACAGAGCGCTCAAGTCGTTCAGGTATGCCGACGCATTAGATGCTGTTCTCGTCCCGGTAGGTCTATTCTCTGCACGACTCGCTGCACAGACTGAGAGGATGGCAGAATGTTGACCCTGCTCTGACGTTTGCGCTGCTGCTCGAGCTCATACATCGAGAAGCGCTGCCTATTGCGCTATCAGCCCGAGACGAGTTCTCGCTCGAGCCGATATTACGCTTCCTTATCAAGAACACGACCGATCCTCGCTTTGGCGTCATCGCGTGCGACGTCGCCAACACACTCATAGGTACATTATGCACTGGTTCTTGCTGATGACATGCTGACATTCGCGGCCTGTCAGATCTGTATCAGAGTGTCGTAGGACAGTCCAGCTTGACTGACGATCTCTTTGCGAAATTGCGAAGGACACTGACGGAAGAACTTGCGTTTCAAGAGAAGCTCATTGGCGTACGCGGCGCTCTCGAGATGGTCTTCAACAGCGCATCGCTATCTGTATGAATATCTGTTGTTGCATGAACACCGTGATCTCGTTGTCGATAGATCAGTCGCGTTGATCGACCGCATCGATATCAATCTCGTCAAACCCTACATCGTTCAGTCTTTGCCGTCTCCTGGCTAAGATGGGCCGTGCCCGAGATGTCAAGCGGCTACGCACGCAGGCACCAGCAGATCCAGGTGCACCACCGAGGCTGTCTGCAAAGCTCGTTCGTGTCTATCTGCGCAGAGCGTATTGCGCTCAAGCTGGTTTGTCAGGTGCATCTAGAAGCGACCGAGCTCGTCAGAGCTTCGAAAAGAGCTGCCAAGCTTGAGCACGTCAAGGTCCTGCGCAAGCTCAAGGAAGCAAGGCAAGTCAGAAGGAAGGCCTTGTGAAGCAGGCTCGCTGCTGAGTGTCGCTGCAGAGCTCAAGGGGACAACGCAAATGAACAGGCGATTGCTGAGCTCGAAGAGCTAGCACGATGCATCAAGGTATACGCATGGTCAGCAGATCCCTACGACACCGCTGATGAGCGAGCGCATAGGCCATCGACCACACTCGAATAGCCAACTTTGGCCTCGAACGAATGCTACGATCAGACGTAGAGCTCATAGCTCATCCGACAGTCCTGGCGCATATCAAGACCAAGACAAGCAAAGAGGATAAGATGGATCCCACGACTCCGCAGGGCAAAGCGCAAGGGCGTGTGCTCGCCACAAAGACCGTTCAACAAGCAATAAAAGATGCGCGAAAGAAGCTCAGAAGTCAGGCCGATTTGGCCCCTTTGCCTGGGGACTCTGAGCCTCCCAAAAAGCGTGCTGCGCCTGCGCCCTCTGAGCCTGCATCTATTTACAAGAAGAGGAAGCTGTCTGCTAGTCCACAGATCGCCACGGCAACCGGGGCAGCGACGCCTAGCGAAGCCGAACGATCAGACGAGAGATCGATGAGCGAGGCAGTAGAGGATGACACAGGCTTTGAGTCAGAGTCCGATATCGAGAGCTCTGTGAAGCTGCCATCGGCAAAGCCAGGCAAGGCGAAACAGATCCGTTCTTCAGCTTTCTTGCCTTCACTGTCTGCGGGTTTCACCGCCGGCGATGGCGACTCTCCAGGCTCTTTCGATGATAATGGCGACCGACGCGAGGAGGTGCCTCGCAGGAATCGACGTGGACAGCAGGCGCGCAGAGCGTAAGGATGCTACCACTGAACCTTATCAGAGAGCTCACTGATTGCACAGAATCTGGGAGGCCAAATTCGGCGAGAACGCAAAGCACATACAGGCGCAGAGGGAGAAAGAGGCAGCTGAGCAGCCAAGACTAAGACCTGGCAGATATTCAAGACACCAGGATGATCAACAGAGGCCGCGCATAGTGGGCGCTCCCGGCCAGCGAACGCAACAGAGGCTCCAAGTACAGCCTACGCAACGAGCGCCAGCCCAACCTGAGGGCCGAAGACGATGGGATAGCTCGTCCATGGATCCAAGCACGGGCAAGAAAGTCAACGAGGACGTTGCTGCTTCGATGCACCCGTCTTGGGCGGCCAAGCGTATGGCTGCTGCTAAGGCCAGCACCGGTGTGGCGGGAGGAGCCTTCACAGGAAAGAAGATCGTATTCGATTGACTGCATTCATACTCATGAGTGCACGCGAGAGATTCCGAAGATTGGAATGCATGATTCGGGATACCTCAAGTCGAGCCTGCATCCGGAGCAGCTGCATATAAGATGAGCTGTGGATCCGCTCGTCGCCTTCAGGTATTGCATCATGTATTGCATTGCCCTCAATATATCGTATACGCGAGACCCGACTGCAGATCTCTGCAAGCATGTCTGTCGTTGCTTGCAAACTGTGATCTCGTCCCGACGAGCGTATAGGGTATTTGAGCGATCGCAACGAGCTGCAGCGCAGTCTCGCGCTCGCTGTTGGCCGTACTCGTCTCGCTGCTTATTCATGAGCGAATCTGCGTCCTGAGTAATCTGAAAACTTTGCCTCTGGACATGCACAGGATCGAGCACGAGTCTGGGCGCGGTTGTCGTCTTCTCGTAGACCGCACATTTGTCCCAGGAAAGCAAGTTGGCCACCGCGTGACATCCTTTTTGATGCGACTGCTCATGTCACGGTCCGTCGGCAAGCACATGGTAGCTTCGTCACATCAACGCGCAGGGTCCCGTCCCACGACAGTGAGCCAGACTGCCTCGGGGGGCTGCGCACATAGGCTTGACTGAAAGTCCCTGAATGCATCTGTCGTCCTCTCATCGAGCCGATCGTCCTCGTTGCGAGCGAGTGTGCCTCATGACTTACTCGACAGCTATTACAGCAATTCCTTTCGTTCGTTTTCAACGCTCCTCGGTCGCTGTCTCTGCAAGCAATGATATTTCTTTCCGTCTGGCCGTACAAGCCATCCTTCGAATATCGATTTCGCGGGCTCGTTGCACGAATTCGGACTCAACACGTTGTCAGAATAGATCGTCGCCCGCGAAGGCTCTGTTGCGGACCGAGTGAGAGCGCTTGACAAGACTGGAATGGAAGTGATGATGAGTAAAGTCCCAGAGTCGGGAATCGCGAGCGCGCCAGTGTACATGTAAAGCATGCCCACCCCACTCGGCTCCGAGATCCGACCCAGCCGCTCATGCGGTCGCACGACAGCGAGAGCTAATCAGCTTGCTGCAAACATGATCCCCCGATTGGCCCTGCTGCTCTTATCCTACGCACACTCTACCCTCGCCGGAGCTCACATCGACGTACAAAACGGCGTCACAGCGGATGTGCAAGAATACGTAATGGGCTGTCAGCTCCGGCATGCTTTGTCAAGCGAATCAGCTCATGCAGACGACAGATTATTTTGTGGCTTCTTGTGGAGCAAGCACAGCATTCGGAGCACCGCTGCAGTACTTTGACCGCCGTTCAAACCCCGGCCGCATTTAAGTCAAGCTAGTGAGGACGAAAGACGGAGAGGGATGGACACCATCATTCGTAAACTATGCTGGCAAAAACAAACATCCTCTCTGATAATGACGCAGATCGGTGAAGATCGATTGGATATCATCACGACGAGCTGGTCTAGCCCGCACGGTATCACGATCAGATACGAACCATTCGTGAGCGGATTGGGGCCCGATTGGTCAAATTGCTGCCGTGTCAACCTGACGACGTTCGTCCACGTTGATACCGAGCGACAGACAATGGAGCTGCAACGGCCCTCTGCGATGACTCTCTATTGCGAGCCGAGTCCGCTTGCCAAAGCCAATGAGCATTGTCGGCAAAGCTTGCTCGGTTATCCCCAGGGCCGGTCAAGCTGACTTTGCCCACTGCGTACGAGCTAACACTCCGACAGAGGAAACAGTATGCGAGCTGGAAGACTATCCAGATTGGAGACAGATATCGCCCCGCCTTGAACGAAAACAGTACCTGTACGAGTGTCAGTCGTCGAGGCCAAGTATGAGATGTTACTGACTGTCAGTCGTGCAGTTACCAGAAGTGTGAGCGTGTCCCTCGGACTGAGCTAAACTCTGACAACACGAGCTGCAGGCCAGGTGTCAGCTTCCGGACAGAGGCGAGGTCTCGCCTCCGCCGGGACCATGGCTTGTCACACCGGACGGTCTCGACCGCGCGATCGACATCATCACAGTCAACCTTGAGCCGCCAAGATATGAACTTACCTACTGGACCGGAACTATTGCAAGTCATGCCGACCCATGCGCTGCGCTCGACTGACAGACTATGCTTCAGAGGGACGATAATGCCTATGCAGATGTCTGGGACCGAGACAACCTTTTGGGAGGCGTCCGCTTCCAATTGAGTGCCGACCTCCTCATCAGCAGATTCTCGCTTTTTCGATACCCGATATTTGACAGATGGTAGACAATCCCAAAACTCGCGCCCTCCGCTCATTCCAAACTCATTATGGGTCTTGCAGCTGCACGGGCAAAGTCGGCGCAACTTTCTTTGTCGATGCACTCACAGCAAGTCATGGTGTTTCGGTGCGAGTGCTGCGGTAGTATTGATGTCTTCACCGAGCAGGGCGCCGTCAATATGATACGCTCTGATATCAGACTCGTATGCAAACAGCTCGGAGACCATCGGATGGGAGCCTGCACTGACGACGACTTACGACTACTTGGCAATCCGCCTGAGAGCGTCGCATGTGCAGGCGAAGTCATCCTCAAGCGAAGGAACCCTTATGGCAGCGCGACGGCATAAGGTTGGCAAAGTCGTGAACCCAAGCGTCGATTATTGCATTGATGATCTGATTTGAGTTTACACGGGTTTGACGCAGCATTGTGAGAGACCAGCCGTAATCGTCTTTGATGGTGCACCTAGGCAAAGACGCGATGATCACGTCGCGTAAGCAGCAAAGTGGTAAGGTGCCTCTTGGCCGGGCAACACTCCCTGGATGCAATGCAAGCTCAAGACTTGCAAGTCGCCCAACACCATCTTGAAGCCGCATGCGCAGCCTCAGACAATGTCAGGGATCGACAGGCTCGCATACTGGGCGAGTCAAAGATACTTGAATGGAAAACGACGGTCGGCAAGGGTGCAAACGCGATACAGGCAGCTCAGCATATCCTTCAGCACTCTCGCAGTCAGACGGCGCTCTTTCACGCATGTCTTTTGCTTCAGAGCGCTCTGCCACATTGCTTGCTCTCTCAGCTCTTGCCCATCGACACAATCTGGGAGCTCAGGACCTGGCTCATCCAATATGCAATCGGCAGTCGAGCTCAAGGCAGCCGTCGTCTTGGCTTCATCGGGCGACAGGTCATTGAGATCATCGCAGCAGTCACACGCGCAGGCTTTGCATTAGATACACATGCTAGCTCAGGGGCATCGGGATGGTCGAATGAGCATAGGCATCAGGTCGCTGCTCAACTTGAGCAATTGCTGTCCTCGCCAGATGCTGCTGCCGGTCTGACCGCGGATCATCTATACCATCATGAAGTGGGCATGTCACTTGCCGCCAGCTTTGTGAATCACTTTGACGAGCTCGATGCTTTTGGCAATCGCAAACGACGAAAGCTGACCGACGAACTATCCTGGAAAGAGTCAGACATCGCAAAGCAAACCTACCAGGATGCTCTGCACCCACTCTCGCTGCGACTGACGCTCGATCTACTGGACCATGCCGCTGCCACTTCGTCCGAGGACACGATAGGCTTGTTCACTGGCCTGATGAGCACGCTCGAAGCGTTGATCAGCTTCAACTTTGTTGCGTCAGGTCACAGCAGTTCCGATACAGAGGCTCTTCCTGGCACATTCAATTCCACCTTTGAATCGATAGATGATGCAGATGAAGCGGCTGGCACGAGTGTTCCTCAAGCCCGTACGGTCCCATCGCCTGCACGCGAAACGCTGCTCGATCCGGCCACTTTCATACTACTGGCTCGCATACGTAGTCATCTTGCCAACCTTACCACCGACCGACCCGACGACGACGATCTGCAGACCGCTGAATCAGATTGTCGCATCTGCCTCGAGTACCTGATTGCTTTGTCAGCGCATGATTGGCAGCAGAAGGAGTGGAAGCGAACCGTTGCATCCGTCTTGGTTGGCATCACGATGAGTCTTCCAGATCCCGCTGCCCTCAACGTGACTTCGAGTGGCCTTCTGTCCACGCTGTTCTCACTCAGTCGCTGGTACCGGGTGCTCGTCGCCACAACGCCCCTCGAGGTCTTACTGGAAGCGCTGTCGCCGCCCTATGAGCCAGGAGAACCAGAGATCACGTTTGCCACCTTTCTCATCTGCCTGCAAAAGGTCTCCTCGCTCAGTCTGCAAGCTACTCAGCCTGTGGTCGTGACAGCAGACCAAGAGATGGGCGCGCAAGCAGCTGTGGACGCATGGGATGAAAGCGAGAAGCTTGGCCTCGAAGCATTTCAGGAGGCGGCACAGACGTATACGCATCTTGCGAGCCTGGCAGATGCAGCATGGCCGGACCTGAACCCTCATGATCACCCTCCATACGCAAATGGCAATGGTGTACATGTTCAGCAGCATCCTCATGCAACGCTGTTCGCACAGATCAACGACGGCTGTCTGCTGCCGCTACATTTCCTGCAAGCCAAATTGACAAATGCGAGTCAGCGGTCAGACCTTTTGGCTCGAATGGATGATGCCGATGAAGTTGAAGACGAGGAAGCCAAAGTAGGTGTGAAGGATCGTCGCCTGTTCCGCGATCATCTGCTCGTTCTGGCCAATCTTGGTCGAAGAGCTCCAGAAAAGCTAGCTGGCAGCCTCAACCAGCTCGTCAGCGCTTTATCTGCCCGCACGCTCAATCTGATCCATCGTGTGCCGTCTGCATCCGAGACGGGTGCAGACATAGACGAGCGCGAACGACAGCTCGAGATTGCTTTCGAGCATCTGCACTGGGCAATCCTTATCGCAACCCTTTGGCTTGCCGATGACATTCGAGGCGAGACACCGGCAGCTCCAATCAGTCTAATTGCGCTTTCAGCCCGCGTCCAGGTATGTCCGCCCAAGTTCTCGATCATCAGACTGACCGTTCAAGCGCAGAACATCGAGGAAGATCCGATTGTGCAGATCCCGCGAAGTCTACTCAATCTGCTTAGAGGCCTAACAGACGAAGATGCAAACTCATTGGTCGCCACGCGCTGCAGCCCACAGATCCAAGAGGACCTGTTCTGGTTCCTCGGCATCTTCGCGCCGTCTTATGTTCTCACCGATCCCACTTACACCGGTCCCCTCAGGTAAAAGAGAGCATATGAGACGTATCTACGTAGCGCTGATCGACTGCATGAGACAGTTCGTCCCTTGAAGCAACCTTCGGTGGGCCTGCCGGTAGCGAGGTCCTCGACTTCGCGTTACACGGCATGACGATCGCGCTCGTGCAATGGACAGCAGACGCCGATGTCCTCGGTCAGGTTGGCAAGACTCTCTCTGCCTTTTCGCGCAGTCGAGGACTTAGTTCTCATGCCGTTGCAAGCCCAGCTTTCTCCCGTTACATAAATACAGTGCTAGCGCGAAGCTCGATCTTGCCCGAAGACGCTGTCGGGGCATTTTTCTCGTCTGCGCTCAGCATCGATGCAGCTGCACGGTCCGCAAGCTACCATGGCGACTTTTTCTGGCAGATCTCGGGCGGCATTGAGAACCGTCTTCGCGATCTCGTGCGAACGACGAGCGCGGAAAGCGTCATCGATCCGGCTATGCTCATTCAAATACAGACCAGCCTTGAGATTTGCACAAGTCTGCTTCTGACCGCTCAGCCCGCGACCGTGCCGGCCATCGCACAAGCTTGTGGACAGATCTGTCCTATCGTCACAGAACTCATGTTGCTCCGTCGACAGCAGTGGGAAATTGCAGGCAGCGTGTTGGCATTCTTCAGAGCGCTTGCATCTATGCTAGCACTCGACATGTCTGCAGAGGCTCTGCCTGGACTTCACAGTCTGGTCGCCTACCTCGATACAGCCAATGAAGCCTTGCTGGAATCTTTTCAAAGCTATGCACCCAGCGATAGGCGCGAGCTTTTGCGCTCGCTATTGCTCATCGAAAGCTCCCTTCTCGAATTCGCTTCGACAAGCTCTTCAGCACGACAGATAGCAGAGCGGACCATCTGTAGCGGCATCGAGAGGCTCGCGCTTCGAACGAGCAAGGATTACCGGGCAGAAAGCTCATGGCTGCGCGTGTTCAGTCAATGTCTGCAGATCCTGCCTGAACAGCTCATAGGACTATGCGCAACAGCTTCGATGGCGCGAATCACAATGGCAGGTACACTTGAAAGATCTCTGGGTAGTTCGAAGAGTGATGCCGTCAATACTGCGCTGGACACGCTGGCGCAATTGTCCAGCGTGCCCGGCGATATTGGTCAGCTCGTCGAGCTTGTGTCCAGCGCGGCCATCGAGATACTGAACATGCTTTTGCTGTTGCCGTTCGCTATCGATCTTCTCTTCCCGCTAGCAGAAACGCTACGGTGCCTGCTGTCCCGGTTGGCAGCAACTGGACAGCTTGATCGTACAATCGCTGCATTCAGAGATCAATGCGGCATCACGAATGCTTCAGAGCGACAGCTTGTCGACTTGACGCTGCGTGATATCGTACACATGCTGCTGGCAGAGGGTGTGACTGTGGCAGATCGCTTTGGCAAGGGTCAGTCCCGGCCTAGATTGGTCAAAGAGGCCAGGGATGAGCTCATTGCGAGCTTGAGAGAGTGTCGCTTGACTGTAAGCCGTCGCTGAATGCATGTCGCCCTCTCAATCGGTTATGCCATGGCGCTTTTTGTATTCTCGAGGACTCTCGAAATGCTTCTGGCTCCACATACCGACGCGCCACCGCCTGCGCAAGTCAGCATCAGGCATTGCTAGCTACGAGATGGGTGCGCCTACTTGGCTTTCGCTTCAGCCTTGAGGAACTTCTTCTCCATGCCATCATACTCTGCCCCAGCAGAAGCATACACGATCGCCACTGCAGCACCACCCAATGAGCTGGCGTCAACGGAGCGGCGGGGCAACTTACGACCTTTCTTGAGCATGTCATAGCTGACGTTTGTCATGACAGGCCAAAGAGGCGAAGGGCGCGCATAGACCATGGCGACCTGTGCGCCGCTTGAGTCACACGACCGGCGCGATCAGCAGGGCACGAGCGTACGACGCGTCCATATCTATCCTTGCTGAGCAATTTGAGCTTGACGGTCTTGCCCAGACATCGTTCGGTCAGGTAGCGATGTGCGACGTCTGCATAGGGCTGACTCGGCTTGCCAAAGTGGGCCATCTGAGGCGTCTAAATTAGCAAAAGCTGGCGAGAGTCTGTGATCTAGCAGACCTCTGGTGCGTCAACGCCCGCTATGCGTATGGCCAGCGTCTCGTCCTTGAGCTCATTGCGCTCTGTCGGCACATGTCTGAGCCATCCCCAGCCCGGTCCGGGAGTATGGTAGACTCTGATACCGTCTGCGTCGCCCACGCGAGTGCACATGCCCTTTATTCGACCTGGTCGCTCGAGATGTGACGGTGTGAGAAAGGAAGCATTCGTGATACGACGGAGGTAGCGTCGATAGAAGACTGTACCACTGCCCACCAATGTGACTGCGACGGCCGAGGCGACGTAAGGATTGGCTATGGCCTGTGCGAGCAAATCTTCAAGGTCGGCTCGAGTCTCCGCATCGATGAAACCTGATTCGAGCTTGCGTAGGTGGGCTGTTGCTTTGCGCACCGGTGTTGGCTCTGGCTCGCTTGGCGAGGACCCGAATGGCCACATCTGGATCCGACGGTGCCGCCGCCGCCGACCAGTCGCGTGCCATGGATGCCATCGAAGCGCGAAATTGGCAATTCTGCCCTGTCGATGCTATGGCAGGGTGCTTACATCAAGGCAAGCGGCGCCCTCTTCGTCGTCAGCTCATCATGCTGAGAGTGAGTTTGCACTGGTGCAGCATAGTGCGCGAGTCATGTCAGGAGCGGCAAAGGCGGCATCAAGTCTCGCCAATGCACACAAGCCAGTCAAGATTGATCGATGGTCCCTCATCGAAGCAAGAGCTGGCTCGCTCGAGCCAATATATCTGCAGGAAGCAGATAGCTCTGTCGAATTCATTCAGACGCGACAACGACATCGCCAGCCGGTTGCATCGACGTCGGCTAGCCCTTATGGCGAGTCAGGGACAGAACACGCTGATGCAGCAAACGATATTGAGATCAGACACACACGCTTAAAGCGCTCTCCATCCGTCGCGCTGATCGAGCGTGTTGAGCGCATCGGATCCGTCAAACCTGCTGAGGGCCGCGAGTCTGCCAGTGAAACAAAGCGTCACCCTGGCTTCTCATCTGCGCGCGATCTGCTCGGCAAACAGGCCACGACAGAAGCGTCAGAAGCTCTCGCACTGCCACCGCCAATCGATGCCGAAGCTTGGCGACGCAAGAACAGCGCTATACTGGTCGAAAGTCCAACTCATATCCAGCTCGACGCGACTGAGCCTTCACCGAGACAATCGCATTTTCGTGATCGCATAGCCGACTATCGGTTCAAGAAGGTCCTCGAAAAGACGCCCAGTCCACGCGAAATGAGATCAAATCCCTTCAGCACCCGTGCGCAATCTCCTGTCGTACTGTCTAGCGATCCTACGCCGCCTATCGCGCAAGCTGAGCTACCTCAGCGAGAGCCAAAACGTGCCAGGCGCCTGCCAGATAAGGTGTTTGTGCCTTCCATCATGAATGTGCTCGTCAGCTGCCCTGTTTGCCTGGCAATATGGCAGAGTCGAAAGTCAGCAGCCAAAAAGACTGATCACGTCAAGGCCTGCGCCGATCAGCACGGCCATACCCAGGATCAAGTCATAGCCGAGATGGATCGCCAGGTGTTGCGGCTCAAGATGGAGCATGATCAGGCTATGCGGGCGACTGCAACCCTGCTCGACAGTGTACTCGCGGATCGCTCAGCGACCGTCGATCAGATGGTACTCGAAGCGACGCAAGGCCCAAAGCAGATCAATGGTACTCACAAGGCCAAACTGAACCAGTTAGCCGCCAAAATAAATGACAAGGATCACAACGCAGCAAGCAAGGCCCTCGACCGGGCCGTGAGAGCAATACAGAAGTCTGGCCGTCAGACTGAAACGCTCTCGTTTGTAGAGACTGTGCCTGTCGAGATGCCTGTGCTCGCAGTGAAGAAGCAGCAGAGTCATACGCCAGAGGCACTGCCGCCGCCACCGGCGACTCAAGCCTTTGCACCGTCGAAGCTGACAAGCAAGTATGCCAAGAAGAGCAGTCTGTTCAATGCAGCTTGTCAAGACGCCTCTCACGCAAACGATGTGAGTCGACAGCAGCGAGATGCATCGCGCAGACTGATCTCTGACGAGTAGATTGACAGCGCAAAAGAGCCCACGGCGAGTTCTGATGGCGTCACTTTGCTACCCCAGCCTGAACCAATCACGCTCGACACGACAGACGCTTCCATGTCTGACTCTGATGTGCCGATGCAAACGCAGATGGTGAAGCGCAGAAAGCGCAAAAGTGACCAGCAAACGTCACCCGGCGGCATCGCGGACGCCATCAGTTCTATGGGCATCGAGCCGCCGTCAACGCCGCCTGCACCGACCTCAAGACGGACCACCAAATCGAAGGTCAAGCCGCTTGTAGCACCTCTTGGCAGTCCGGCCAGCCCAGCAATGCCAGATTACGATGCGTGGACACTGGAAGCACTACAGATCGAGCTGGCGCAGTACGGCTATAAAAAATCAAAGTCCAAAAAGGCAACAATTGAACGTCTTGTGGCGGTGTGGCACGCCAATCAGGCTAGTCGCGCTGCTAAGTCCGGCAAGAAGAAGCGGACCGTTTCGCCGACTAAGCGGAAGGCTGCATCACCTCGGAAGCGCAAGTCCAGCAAGACACCGTCGATAGAGGAAGTTCCTACAGACGAAGAGGATGTCGAGGGTAGTCAAGAGCCCATGCAGACGGTAGCACACCAGATTTATCAGCTCGTCCGCTATGATCCAGTCCTTTGGCCGCGTCTTCTGCGTTACGAACCCCTTTGCTTCGAGGATGTGCACGGCAAGATCAAAGCGGCAGGCATCAAGAGCAGCCTGTTACAGACCAGGGAGTTTCTGGATGATCAGGCGATCACCCACTTTTCGCAGAGCGCGATCGGACCCAGGACGGGCAAAGGACGAGGACGACGATAGCTTGTTGATCATTTGGTGTCTAGTTGCGACTTGCATTGCACAAACAAGCAGGTATTCTAGATGCTCACAGATGCGCATAAGAGGCTCGGCATCATAGCGTTTGATGGCCATTGAGTCGCTACAGCAGCTTTTCCGGCTCATCAGAGCGGCAGGCTCGCGACTTGCATGACGCCGCCGATAAGGTGGAGACTGCCAGTCACCAGGACGTCGACAGGCTGCGCTTTGTCCCGAGCCGCGAGTTCGGTGATATGTTGTATCGCTTGCTCGATCGAAGGAAGCACGAGCACGTGCTGCTCCAGCGTGCCGTTCCTCTCGAGCGCACGCCAAGCGGTCGCGCATTCCTTCTGCACGGTCAGATGCTTCAGGCTGTCAGAGTCAGAAGCATGGGCAGTGAGTTCTGCCGAGCGTATGAGCATGCAGTATGCAGCGGGCAGGTTGTGCTCACCGGAACTGAAGCCGTCTGCATACGTGAGATTCGTGCAGAAGATGGCAGTATCGAACAGTGCGCGCTGGCTTCTCGGAGACGACAAAGCTTGCGCCATCGCGCCCAGCAGTTCTTTTGCGGAGCGACCGCTGGTACAGTTGAACACAAGGACACGCTTTGAGGAAGTCTCGCCCGAAGCTACTTCGACATACCATTTGGCACACCATTCAAGAGATTCCTTGGTATGCGCGCCGTCTAGAAACCATTCGACGTTGGGCCGGTCAGTGATGTTGGGGTCTGGAACTCGCTGACATCGTCCGGGCCAGCGCGCATTGATGAGTCCTTGAAGTATCCGATCGTCTAGAGGTACAGAGACGTCGTTTGTAGTTCGTTGAGTGGTCGGCTCTGCGATCGAAGCTTGGCGAATCGGCGGCAGCTCGTCGTCATCGTCCTCGTCCTCATCAAACTCAGTTGGCAGCTCCCCGAGCAGCGTTTTGAACTTGACAGGCAATTTTTGCGAAGACATGAACGCATCTATCATCGCAGCAGCTAAAGAAGCATTCGACCGTTGGTGTACGCCCGGCAGACCTAATGCGAACTTTTGCAGTTGGGGATGCTCTGGTACGACGATCATTTCTGAGGCTTGAGCACGCTCTGCGCAGGTCTGCAGGACTCTCATGGCGGGAGATTCTTGGGGGACTGTGAGAGCAGGCACGCCTTTTTTGAAAATGCCACCCTTTTGTGCTGCAATCTTTTCGATGGTATTGCCGAGGACTGCAACATGATCGAGGCCAAGAACGGTGACTGCCGTTACTATCGGCTGAGGGATGATGTTGGTAGTGTCATACAGGCCGCCCATGCCGACCTCTAGCACGGTAGCATCTACGTCCTCGGAGAGGAACGCGTGAAAGGCCATCAGGGTGAGATAGCGAAAGTAAGCCGGTCTGAGCGGGGTCGACTCCCTTGCACGCTGCTGGCCAAGTTCAGCGAGGTCAACGGAGGAGAGCAAAGCGCGCGTACTTTTGGCGAGCTCTCAAGTCTGTCCCATATATCGAAAAAGTACCGCGAGAAGCGTTGTTCATCGATGGGCACGCCATTGATCCGTATGCGTTCTCTGACTGTCACGAGATGCGGCGAGGTGTAGAGACCGACGCGGCTATCGGGTGCCAGGGTGCGCAAGATGGAGTCGCAGAAGGCAGACGTTGAGCCTTTGCCCTTTGTGCCGGTGACGTGTAAGACGCCGAGTCTGTCTAGATCGTCGGGCTGCGCAGCCACAGGGTGAGCATCAACGCACGGCCCTGCTGCTGACTGGCGATCACCTGGTAGCCTATCCTTGCGAGATACTCGACCGTCTCTGGTATGGTATATTCTGTCTGTCCACCGCCTGATGCCCTTATTTGCTCGAGCACGGCTGCATTACTTTGCAAGCCATTGAGCAGCCTGATTGCATCCTGATGCAGCCTTTGTTGATGAGCCGGCGTATGCAGTGCTGCGCATGAGCAGGCAGACAGACCTTGTAGGTACGCTGACCGACGTCAGGCTGATTCGACATCGGGCGAGCAAGGAAGAGCGGTGCTGACGGGGACGATCGGCGAACAGATAGGTCAGCTCGTCGTAGCGCCGATAGCATGCTGCATCTTGCTCTGGCCGAGTCGACGAGCAGCAGTCGCCACGGGAGGATCTGCCGACGAGCCAGCAACGACCACACGCGCCTGGGTGTGCTTGGCTTGGTCTACTCGCTACGATGGACGCAGGCACAGTCGACTTTGCGAACGATCAGACCTTCCAAGTGAGCCCTTTCGGCCAAATGCGAGCAACATGGAACTGATGAGCAAGCTCAGACCGGACTCAGGGCAGTGTTGAGACCGCTGATCGAGCGTGGCGCAAGCCGAGAGGAAGTCCAAGCTGTCACACAACGAGCAAAGGCGTTCTACCTCGCTCGACTGGCTTCTGATCCCTCACTGGCTCGTCCATCGCTATCCCGAGTGAACGGCAGCGCGACAGAGACTGATCATGATCCTCCGCTGGCATCCAGCACCCTCGCGACGTCAGATGCAACAGAGGCACCGGTCGAGGCAGCCCCTACAGAAGCCTATCCTGCTTCCTTCTCCGAAATCGCTGAATTGATCGCAACGGGGGCACCCATACCGGGCATCAAGCAGATACCCAACATGCTCAATGACGCACCGCCGAGCGAGCCTGTCGTAGCGACACAGGCAGGTGCAGGACGAAAGCCGTGGGAGCATGCGCGACTCGGAGCGCCGAATCAGAGTAGCGAGGCCAGTGATACTGTCCTCGACGCAACGCAGCCAGAGCCCCGGAATGCCGAGCAGATGGAACTTGCGCCGAGCGGTCGGCCGGTTATGAGTCCGACGACTGCCGAAATGGAGCAGAGTGCATGATGATCGCAAAGTCTGTATCGTCACTGTTGTTGCATACTTGTTCAGCCGAAGCGTGCTTGGGCGAGGTTTTTGAACATTGCCATCGTCGAATCCTCTTTGGCCTTGTAAGCTGCTGCCTTCTCCGAGATGATGGCAGCCCTTTCCTGCTGATAAGCCTGCTTTCTCGACTGGCCGTGCTGTTGTGAACGTTCTCTTGCGGCCAGTGCAGCTTTGAACGAGCTCGCGTCATCGCCCATGAGCACGCTATCGGGTATTTCTGCAAGATCGTGCTCCCGAGCGGCAGCAAAATCCCTGTTGCTCGCTCGCTTCTCCGCTCGCTTCTCTTGCAACCGGTCTTTGCCCGTCGCTCGATCTGCGCGCTCATCCTCACGCTCGTCCCTTCGTTCGCGATGCCGCTGGGCGCGTTGAGCCTGTCGTTCGCGTTCGTCTAGCTCCCTTTGGCGTTCCCGCTCGTCTTGTACGTTTGACAGAGTTGCACGTCCTTGTGCCGGCGGACGCGCTGGTCCTAAAGCTACTCTGGCAGGTGGGCTAGCGCGTTCGTTCGGACCGCTGACCTCTTTCCGCGCCTGACGAGCTTGGGCTAGTTCGAATGCCGAGCTGCCCTTGAACTCCCACGTGTGCGAGCTCGTGCTGGCGACAGATGCAGTCTTGACGATCTCGCCGGTGTAGTAGGCAGCTGAGGCCGGGCAGGATCTGCATCAGCTCAAGACACGTGAATCGCAAGTGAATGGTCGCTTACGAGCAAGTTTGCCGGCGTTCCAGGCTTTGGCGAAACGCTTGAAGTAAGCGCGCGCCATGTCGCCTTGCATCGTATCGAGATAGCGTCCCTTCTCTTCGGCTAGCCAGATCTTGAACTCGCCTGCTCGCAGGAAAAAGTCGTCGCTAGGGTCGATGTCTTTTTGGCCGTACTCGCTCGGCAGCGTGCGAGCTGAAGTGCGGCCACTGTCCGGTGACCGACTGCGGTGCCGCGTAGATCTACGGCCATCTCGAGTGTCTGCTGAGGGAGACATGAGCAGCCAGTGGCTTCAGCGAGCGAGCGAGCGAGCGAGCCGACAGAGCGGGCGTCAAAAGTTATTTGACATGACTCTGGCACTTGCACATTGGCGCTGACGAACAGACTTGGATCGACGACACCAGCCCTGAAGATGCTGGTAGCAGGCCGATCGCAAGCGACAAGATCGAGCATAAGACAGAGCAGTGCATGTCCTAGCTCGATGAAGCTCTCCGGTCGATCTCTCAGCTCAGCCGGGCGATCTGGCGTGGTGGCACGGCCTGTCAGCTCGAGCAATCCTCGCTGCACTTGTTCGACCGCAAGGCCGCTCAGTACCACTGCATTGAGATTGTCTGCCAGTTCTACTGCGCCAGTCACAATCGCAAGCGGGCACTTGCTCACACGAGCATCGGACAAACCTCCGATCAGGCTCTCCTCGGCAGACCCGCTCGCAAGGAGGACAGCCTCCACGCTAGGATTCTATCAGCCGTCTGCTACTGTACAGCAACCACGCTGGATCAACAATCGCTCGTCGTCGACTCTGACAGATGAGCCAGAACCGACAGAGGAGGACGCCAAGAGTGATCCTCAAGCGCCAGAGAGCTCAGATGTCGATCCCGCGACGAGCAAGAAGCGGAAGACGCCCAAACCCGTCATCAAGATCAATCCGGACGAGGCTGTCGCCCTAGAATCATCCTCGTCGTCATCCTCTTCTTCTTCTTCTTCCTCCTCCTCTGCGAGCAGCTCATCCGGCGCTTCCACTCCTCCTTCCTCAGACGGAGGAGATCCTCCCTCTTCGGGATCGGGTTCAGGCTCGAAGCCATCTGGCGAAGCGGTGACCACCATCTCGAAGCAATCGATTCCAGAGGTGTACCCGCAAGTCCTCGCGCTGCCCATCACGCGCAGACCGCTCTTTCCGGGCTTCTACAAAGCCGTCGTCGTCAAGGATCCCAGCGTCGTCGCAGCCATCAAGGAGATGATGCGTCGCGGTCAGCCCTACATTGGCGCTTTCCTCCTGAAAGACGAAGATGCCGACAGCGACGTGAGCATTCACTCATCAGTACATAGCTTGCGTGCTGATGCGGTCCTGAGCTTTACAGATCATAACGAGTATAGATTCCGTTCATCCTGTCGGTGTCTTTGCTCAGATCACAAGCACCTTCCCTGCGAACAGCTCGGACAAGTCTGGCGAGTCTGGTCTGACCGCCGTGCTCTACCCTCACCGCCGGATCAAGATCACCGAATTGCTGCCTCCCCGCAAGACAGCCCGAACGGAAGCTGTCGCTGGCATTCAGCAGCAGGCAGAGAAGGATCAGGTCATACCGCCTGCGCCGTCCGAGGTCACCATCACGCCCGCAGAGCCGGCTGGAGACAAGCCTGTCGATGTCAGGTCAGAAACTGGCACAGCCGCTTCTTCTACGCCCTCTCCGCCGCCCACGTCGCCTTTCCAAACTGCCTTCCTGCAAGACTTTGCCGTTTCGCTCGTCAATGTCGAAAATATGCAGATCGCGCCCTTTAAGAAGAATAGCCAGTATGCTCGTGCAGTGGCCTCAGAGATCATTTCAGTCTTCAAGGACATCGCATCGCTCAACCCACTCTTCCGAGATCAGGTTGCCAATTTCTCGATCGCTCAGGGTGCTGGCAACGTCTTTGAAGAACCAGACAAGCTCGCAGACTTTGCAGCTGCTGTCTCCGCTGGCGAAGTCGGCGAGCTACAGGGTGTGCTCGAGAGCATGGAGCTAGAAGACAGACTGCAAAAGGCATTGCTTGTGCTCAAGAAGGAGCTCATGAACGCTCAGCTGCAAAGCAAGATCAGTCGAGATGTCGATTCGAAGATCCAGAAGCGCCAGAGAGAATATTATCTCATGGAGCAACTCAAGGGTATCAAAAAGGAGCTCGGTCTCGAGTCTGACGGCAAAGACAAGCTGATCGAAAAGTTCAAGGAGAAGGCAGTCGCGCTCAATATGCCAGAACCAATTCGCAAAGTCTTCGACGAAGAGATCAGCAAGCTACAAGGTCTCGAGCCACAAGCGTCTGAATTCAACGTCACCAGATCTTACGTCGACTGGCTCACCCAAATCCCGTGGGGTCGTCATTCTGTCGAAAACTTTGAGCTCAAGCATGCCACGAGCGTGCTCGATGAGGACCACTATGGCATGAAAGACGTCAAGGATCGCATTCTCGAGTTCCTTGCGGTCGGCAAGCTCAGAGGCACAGTGGTCGGCAAGATCCTCGTCCTTGTCGGCCCTCCCGGTGTGGGCAAGACGTCGATCGGCAAATCCATCGCTCGAGCAATCGACAGACAATTCTTCCGCTTCTCCGTCGGTGGTCTCACTGACGTTGCCGAAATCAAAGGTCACAGAAGGACATATGTGGGCGCCATGCCCGGCAAGATCATCCAGGCTCTCAAGAAAGTGCAAACATCCAATCCAATCGTGTTAATCGACGAGATCGATAAGCTCGGTAGAGGCATCAACGGCGATCCGGCGAGTGCGCTACTCGAGATGCTCGACCCTGAACAGAATCATTCTTTCCTTGATCATTATGTGCGTAGACAGATCTAGCATTTCTCGCGAGCTAATAAGTCAGTTCGCAGCTTGATGTGCCAGTCGATCTGTCGCAAGTCCTCTTTGTCTGTACAGCAAACACACTCGATACGATTCCAGCGCCTTTGCTCGATCGTCTAGAGATTATCGAGCTCAGTGGCTATATTGCAGACGAGAAGCGAGCAATCGCTAGTCGCTATCTAGCACCACAAGCAAAGGAAGCGTCCGGTCTCAAAGAAGCCGATGTTGACATTCTCGAAGATGCTGTCGATCTCCTCATCCGCTTCTACTGCAGAGAGAGCGGCGTCCGAAAGCTCAAGCAGCACATCGAGAAGGTCAGTCGTGCTTCATCCAGCTCGTACACACGCTAAGCTTGCGATGCAGATATATCGCAAAGCTGCGCTCAAGATCGTCCGCGATCTCGGCGAAACGAAACTCCCGGAAGCATCTGCGAGCATGGTGACCCCGCCTGACAATAACGCAACGGTAGGAGAAGAGAGCGTACCTCGTGAAGCGGGACAGCCAGACAACGGTTCAGTAGGTGCAGAGACAGAGAGTGCAAAGCCAGATCGAAAGACGACCACCGAGGTCAGGCAACCTTTGCAAGTACCGTCTGATGTTCATGTACGCATCGACGGCGCCAATCTGATCGATTATGTCGGCCCAGCGATATACCAAAAGGACCGTATGTACACTCGCATGGGACCACCTGGCGTCAGCACCGGTCTTGGCTACCTCGGCAACGGCTCTGGATCCGTCATGCCCATTGAAGCGACCGTCATGCCAGGATCCGGTGCGATACAGCTCACCGGCAAGCTGGGCGAAGTCATCCGAGAGAGCGCGCAGATCGCGCTCAGCTTTCTACGCACGCATGCATATACCCTTGGCTTGACCGACAGCCCGACCGCAGACCTGACAAAGGACAAAGCCGTCCATCTACATATGCCAGAAGGCAGCGTCGGCAAAGAAGGTCCCAGCGCTGGCACTGCGATCCTGACAGCCTTTGTCAGCCTATTCTCGAAGCAAGGCGTCAGTAGTGAGCTCGCAATGACAGGCGAGATGACGCTGGCTGGGCAAGTGCTAGCGATCGGTGGCTGTAAGGAAAAGTTCCTCGCAGCTCGACGCGCTGGCATCAAGAAGCTTATTGTGCCTGCTGCGAATCGCTCTGACATTGCTTACAATGTACGTCTGTCTGGTCTCTTTGCTCGGACGAACGCTGACAGTCGCCTGTAGGTGCCCGACTCCATCAAGGAGGGCCTAGAGATCGTGTACGTCGAGACGGTCGTTGAAGTCCTGCAGGAAGTCTTCAAGGGACAAGAAATTGTCAACAAGCTGAACGATTTGCCGAATCTCTCAAGAGAAGAGATCAACGTGCCATAGATAGACCAACGAAGACGGATGCACCTCTCATATGTACTCATTATGCAAATTGTCGCAATGTGAGCATCGATAGCCCCGTGTCACAGCATGCAGTGATGTACATCTACTTGCGCATCAGATCTCGCACTTGAGATCTGTATCCGTAATCAAGCTGATACTCGCGCCGAGCGCCCAGCCAAGCTCGACATCATTGATCTTCTTGCCGACTTGCAGCTCTCGATCCTCCGCTAGCTCGTAGCCGAAACCGAGCAAGCTGTACATGAATGTCAGGTCGAGACAATATTCCGGCCGGTCCTCAAGCTCGGCCATTGCTTCCTTTGACCGTCTGAACCGAGCCCAGCCATGCTTGCCATCCGAGCTACCTTCTGGACCCGCGCAAACATCGGCAGTGAGCTCCCGAAGCTGCTTCATCGTGAATGGCACCGAGTCTGCACCAAGTCCGAGCGGCACTATCCTGTCGTAAAAGTACGATAGGCTGCCGAGCTAATGTCAGCGCACGCAGGAAGCACGATAGCTTAGACTGACGCATAGATTGGCCCTTGACCGAAGGTTTCCATGAGCTTGGGCTGGTATACGCCACCGAAAGCACAAGGCTCGACTTCGCAGAGTGCATCCTTTGCCATAGTGACATCGACGACTCGGCGGCAGGCATCAAAGCCTGCGCCCGTACCGACAAATGTCACATTGACTTTTGGTCGACCAGGTGGATCAAGTGTGACCATCTTCTTGCCCTGCCGGACGAGACAAGGATTAGGTATCTCTATGCTTTGATTCAGATCTTCCCAGGCCAGGCTCTTGCCTTTTGGCGCGCTTTGCCAGACATACGTAAAGGCGATGAGGTTGTGCACGCTTCTCCGGGCTTGCATGAGTCCGTAGCCAAGATGCGAGTGCTGATAGAGCACATGGTCTTCGCTGGAGAATTTGAGGTCGTATACGTGATCGCCGGGCGAGAGCTTCTTGTCACTCCGCATGTGGGGCTCAAAGACGATCTGCGTGGACGCGCCGCCAAGGTCCATGACTGCAGCCGTCGAGGTGGCTTTTGCGGCTGGTCCGACGAGTCCAAGCAGCTGCGATCACGCATCAGCTCCTATGTGACGTGTCACAGACCGGAAACCAACATAGTTGATCGTAATCCAAGCGTAGACGCCTTCGTCTCGGCCGTCCATGATGACGACTCCATCATCGACGACGTGGAAGGGATAGGACTTCCTCAGCCACCGCTCTACTTCTGTCAAGATCGCTTGCGACTCGGAAGTGCCAAGCAGTCGTAGTCCCGCAGTCGCTTTGACGGCGATGGGTGTGCACTTGCGTTCGGATTCGGGTATTGTCTTCAATGCGACCTCTAGCAGCGGCCTTAGTGATTCGGCGGCCTCCCTCGGTCTGCCACTGTAGCTCGAAAGACCGGGTTGCAGCTGTTCAAAGACTTCGGATTCGAGTGCAGGCACAGCGTCCTTGTTCGAAGGCGTGCTGGCAGAGGTACAATACGTGAACGTGTAGACGTGTATGCGGGAGCCTGTACTGCCGGCATCGATCATGAGCGCATAGCTAGACGGTCGTTGATCGAGTGGTATCGAGCATGTCTCCTTCTGCTGGGTCGGATGGTTTGGGTTGGCTTGCATATTGGCCGTCTCGCCGATGTCCTGCTGCATGGCATCGTTCCCTTTATAATGTGCTAGACTGCCTACTGCGCTCTTGCCAAGCTCGTGGGTCGTGCTGCCTCCGAAGGCATAGAGTCCAAAGATGAGCAAGACTGTGCCTGCTGCGACATTGCGCCGCGATAGCAAACGAGACCAGCTCGCGCTCGCCAGGCCGGACGCGCTCTTTCCTCCTACTCTGCTCGGTGCAGGCATCCCACCGGGTTCTGCAATGAGTTGCGCGGCTTCCTGATCGTCTAATTCGAGCGAGGACTGTCTACGCTCGCCTGAGTCAATTGGCAGAGGCGTATTCGACCTCGAGGGTATCCTCGCGGGCAGCGATCCGGCTGAATCTACCGGGGTACCTCGTCTTGGTGTAGAGGTACCCGACTGGGCTGTCAGTGTACTAATGCTGGCTCTACTTCGTGATCTGCTCGGGGAGGAATAGACCGAGGACAGGCCAGCGCCTTGTCGAGAGGCGTGCGCGCTCCCGTTGTGCTGCGCGATGTGTTCGTCCTCGCTGCCGCTGGCGAGATGAGAGTCGCTGTTGTTGCTTATGATCGACCTGCGCTTCGTCGGCGCCGAAGACATGGGCTCAGCGCCAAACTATGCAATGTCGCGCGTGCAGAGGAGCGAGTAGCGTCTTGCTCGGCTCTCGCGCACGGCCCCAGGGATGAATGAATGTCGGCGAACTCGTATACGGCACTGCGCCTTGCGATCGGTCGTCCAGAGACGTAGGCAAGTCGAATCTAGCCGGGCAGCGCGAGAGACGCCAATCGCGTCGATTGAGCTCGAGCGAGTGCAACGTGGCAGTTCAGTCACTCGCCGGCCAGCCAGCCTGCCGATTATGGAGGTATGCAGGCTGATGCAAGGCTGATAGACGCTGCTGACAGAGTGAACAGGCGATCGGGTTCAATGCTCACTCTGGCTTCCTCGAGGGGATCATCAGAGGCTACAAGGCTGGCCTGCTCACGACGCAACATTACAACTCGATGACCCAATGTGAGACGCTAGAAGGTCAGCCTGCCCAACCCGCAAGATCAAGTCAGGTCTGATGTCGAATGATGACGTGCAGATCTGAAGCTGCAGCTCTCCGGAACGGACTATGGCAACTTCCTCGCCGATGAGGCACCGCCAATCGCTACTTCTGCTTTCGCCGAGCGAGCGACGGACAAGCTCGTCGACGAGTTCAACTACCTCCGAAGCAACGCGACAGGCTCTCTGGCCAAGTTCCTCGACTACATGACGTTCGTCCGGTCAGATCTCGTGTTTTAGCCAGCTCATGCCATGTGCGAGCAGGTATGGCTACATGATCGACAATGTCATTCTGCTCGTCACTGGCACGTTGCACGAGCGAGACACGCACGAACTACTAGAGCGGTGTCATCCCTTGGTAAGTCTTCTGGGAGAGCGCCAGTCTTGCGCTCATCTTGGTTGCAGGGCACTTTTGACACAATGCCTGCACTCTGCGTTGCTACAAACGTCGAGGAGCTCTACAACAGCGTGCTCGTCGAAACTCCGCTAGCGCCCTACTTCCGTGGCTGCCTATCGGCCCAGGATCTCGACGAGCTCAACATTGAGATCATCCGCAACACGCTCTACAAGGCTTACCTCGAAGATTTCAACGACTTTTGCCAATCGCTCGGCTCGCCGACCTCAGATGTCATGTCTCTCATCCTCTCATTCGAAGCCGACAGGAGGACACTCAACATCACTGTCAACTCGATCGGCACGGGCTTGAGCAAAGAGCAAAGGGCAAAGCTGTTCCCCAAGCTGGGCAGGTTGTACCCGGAAGGCAACAACATCCTTGCGAGGGCAGACGATATCGATCAGGTCAAGTCTGTCGTCGAGAACATCCCAGAGTACCGAGACTTCTTCTCTGGACCGAATCACGACCTTTCTGAGGACGACAACGGCAATAGCGCAGCAGAAGGTCTGGAGGAGCATTTTTTCCGAGTGAGCATCGCGTCATCCCTTCCAATGATGGCGACTGATCCTGGAGTACAGCACGAGGTCTATCTCAACAAGCTCGCATTCATGCAGCAATTCCAGTACGGCGTCTTTGCAAGCTACGTCAGGCTGAAAGAGCAAGAAGTCAGGAACCTCACATGGGTACATCGTATCATGATCCATGCGAGCCAGTCGCTGACTCGTCTTTGCAGATCGCCGAGTGCATTGCGCAGAACGCGCGAGATCGCCTGGGCGATATTGTACACATTTTCTGAATGCAATCTGTCCTCACACTGCGATCCCTGCAGTCACGCTACCCGATGCCGAATATATCCCTCAGGGGCCTGCTGGCTAGATCCTTATAGGCTCTCGCGAGCGGATCCAAGAGCCTTATTTCGTCGTGCAGCGTGAGACGCAGCGCTCGCAAAATGTAGATTACGTAATGATTTCCTGTCACACATACGCGGGCCCGTCGTGCGAATTCCCCCCGCGCAAGACTTGGCGACAAACTGTCGAGCGAGGCCCGCCAGTCACCACAGTGCCGACGCAGAGGCCACACAACCTCTCAGGCGACCTCTGTCAGCTTGATAAACACACTGGCGAGGTGAGTGTGGGCTTCTCTGACTGGGTCATCGTGCTGATAATTCGCCTTGTTGACAGCTTCTGTCGACAATCTGGCGAGCAAACTGGCGATACTCTCAGCCCTTCTCAGCCTCGTCAGCCGTTCTCTCGGGCCCGACTACAAGAGTTTGTCGCTTCCAGCTCCGGTGCTGGCTCATCGGCAACTGTCTCGAGCGGCCTGCTCGCCCTATCTCTGACCCCTAGAATACACTTCTGCCTAGCAAACCTATGAGCCGAATTAGGGTTGGCACTGGCGGTGAGATTTCGCTAGGAGAGGAGTTCCCAGGTCTGCCTCCGCTATCGGTCCTCGAACACTTGCGCTGGATTGCAGATGTCAGACCGGGGACTTTGCGGGCAGCGGTTGGTTTCTAGGTATCTGGCCAACACTGCACGTGAAAGAGGTCCGCATCTGCTTTGCCTTGTGCCTCCCCTCCTCGACCGCCCGACGGGCCCTTGCGTTGTACAACTCGGATCGACGTCAACAGCCCTGGAAGAGATCGACTGTACACTGTCAGCTACTGCCGGCACTGTTGCGAATCACCTCTCTGTCAACACCAGGTCTGACATACTTGACGCTCCAGTCGCTGCCGGCCTGTCTGTCGAACCAGCTCTCTTCACTCGAGTCAATCTGTCAGCAGGGCGCTCTTTCATCCATCCTGTTGTTACTGTACACGCAAGTGTGCTCTTTTCCTCATGTCTGCTAGCTTGTGCGCTGTGAGCTGGACGTGAGATGTTTTTGCTGTCTGCCGTCTTCCTCTACATGATTGGCTCCATGGATCAGGTAGGTCCCCGAGCAGGAGCCAAAGCGCCAAAGCCGAAGCCAAAGCCAAAGCGCCGAGGTTGCGACGCGACCGGTCGCTTGTCGGTCTTAGCACACGGCCCTTGCCTTAGCTGGCGGTCAGCTTGCGTAGAGCATGGACGGCGGAGCTGCAGACACCATAGCAGATCTCAAAAAGCCTCTTCCTCTGGGCACTCCAAACAATCAAGCTGCAGCGACAAGCACGAGCGAACGCGGCGACGTATACGGCGGAGCTGCACTCCCTGCCACTGCGCAAGCATCGACATACTACAAAGATGACAGACCCGTTGCTGGACTCAAGACCAGAACTTTGTCTTTGGTCGGTTTGCCGCCAGGTGCAAGCTTGATCAGCTCACGATTGCCTATGACAGCGCGGCGAGACAGGTGGTACCGTAAGGAGGCCCAATGTCTGGGAAGGAGAGACGACGCGAGTGCAACGCAGGCTTTCTCATGGTGCTGTCATCTCAATGGGTTCTCGTCTCATCGCCTGACGAGAGCGCAGATGCGAAAGACGCCGAACCTCGCAAGTTCCTCATTGACGTCGACACGACTATGCGTTTGATCCTCGAGCAAGAGGACACTGATGGTGACTTTCAGGTGCTCACAATCATGTGAGCTCTGGCATCCGGCTGATCGATGAGCAGATCTCAATCACTGATGCCGGCCCTAAGATTATCGCCCTCGGAACGGCCACGTCCAACGGCTTCAAGTCCTTTGATGTTGGTCCTTCTGTCTGCCTACCCTGATACTTCAGGCTCAGTCAGCATCTTTCCACACAGGTACGGGGCACCTGGATGCTCAGTGTTCTGCTTCAGGAGCTTGCTTTGGCGCGTCAGTTCGGTCGCAGGCATATCGTGCTGGATCAGGCAAGATTGAGCGAGAACCCTGTTGACCGTTTATCTCGTATGATCAAGACGATCTTCTGGCACAACCTTACTCGGTCCATAGACGAAGAAGGCCTGGAAGCGATTTGCAAAGACCCCAAGAATCGCGGATCAAACCAAGCTCCTCGCATCTACGTGCCAATTGATGAGCCAGAGATGGCAGCTTACTATCGTCGTATGGCCCTCGCCAAGCCCGAGCTAGGACTGGATGTGCAGATTCTGCCACGGGAGATCACAGCAGAATATGTACAATCTCTCAATGATAAGCCAGGCATCCTCGCACTGGCCATGGAAAGGACAATGACTGGCTCTGGCGAAAAGACACTAGCCGGCATCCCATTCATCGTGCCCGGCGCGCGATTCAATGAATTGTACAATTGGGACTCGTACTTCATCGCACTCGGCCTGCTCGTCGATGACGACGTGCTGAAAGCGAGGGGCATCGTGGAGCACTTTGCATTCGAGATCAGGCACTATGGAAAGATACTCAACGGCAGCAGAAGCTACTATCTCTGCCGGTCCCAGCCGCCGTTTCTGACAGACCTCGCGATGCAAGTCTATGCTCGTCTTGAGCACAATGCGGCGAACAAAGAGTGGCTTCGTCGCGCGATCAAAGCCGCTATCAAGGAATATCATGTCGTCTGGATGGCAGCGCCCAGACTAGACCCGAAGACAGGACTCTCGCGCTACCGACCCGATGGCAAAGGCATTCCGCCAGAGACGGAAGCATCCCACTTTACGCATGTCCTTCAGCCTTATGCCAAGAAGAACGGCATCAGCGTAAACGACTACATCCGAAAGTACAATTCTGGCGAGATCGAAGAACCTGAGCTTGACGCCTTCTTCCTGCACGATCGTGCGGTGCGGGAGAGCGGGCACGACACGAGCTATCGTCTGGAAGGCAAGTGTGCAGATCTGGCAACCATCGACCTCAACGCGCTGCTCTTCAAATACGAGACGTATGTCTCAGTACTTGCGGATCAAATTGGAGCTAACCCACCACGTTCAGTGATGTTGCGACGGCTATCAGCGAGGTATTTGACGATGATTTCGAGCTCGACGAAGACTTTGCACTTGCGCCCTTTCCCTTTGGCACGGAAGTTCCGCACGAGACTGCACATGTGTCCGGCGAGCGTTCGACCGGCAAGAAGCAGAAAGCATCCGATTGGATCGAGCGAGCGAGGCGACGCAAGAAGCTCGTGGATCACTATTGCTGGAACGAAGGCAAAGGGATGTTCTTCGACTATAACACCGTCAAGCATGCGCAAGAGGTCTATGAAAGCGCTGCAACATTCTGGCCGCTTTGGTCAGGCATGGCGACCCCTCCGCAAGCCGACTTACTCGTGAAGAAAGCTCTGCCCAAATTCGAAGTGATGGGAGGGCTCGTTGCCGGCACGGAAGAGTCGACAGGTCAGTCGAGATTGAGCGGCCCCAGCAGACAGTGGGACTGGCCGAGCGCCTGGTCGCCTCATCAGATCCTATGCTGGGTCGGTCTCGAGCGGTATGGCTACACGATTGATGCTCAGCGACTTGCTTATCGGTGGCTGTACATGTGCGCTCGTCATTCGTATGCGAGCACGCAATGCTGATGTATCCGTTCTAGGTTGACAGCCGCGTTCGTCGACTTCAACGGCGTAGTACCAGAGAAATTCGACGCCGTCAAGCTTTCGCACCGCGTCGATGCGGAGTATGGCAACCAAGGTGTGGATTTTCAGTATGTGCCTGTCGGCGGTTTCGGCTGGACGTGCGTTCCTCACTGGCCTGCTCGTAATGTGGGCTCAAACACTCGAGAGCAGGAATGCTTCCTATCAAATCGGTCTGACGCTCATGACATCGCATCAACGGCGCGCTTTGGGCGCTCTGACCAAGCCAGAGGTATTTTTCGCAGCAGCAAGGAGACCTCATCATCACAGCGAGGACAAGATTCCGTTTGATCTGAGCGCAGACGACAATACGCAAGCCGAGTAGCTTGCACCACGCATCTAGACAATGTTGCTTGTACAATGTCATGTAGATCTGTCGACGCGCCCGCTCGCCTTTCGGTCGCGTGAGCAGAGCGGTCTCGCAGGCAATGGCGCGTGGCAATTTTGCCGGGCGAATGAATGACTGGTCGGCTCGCAGGCACTCATTCCGCGATGGCATTGATGAGTTGCTCTGATTGCAGGAGCAGCGTGCGGGTCTCTTCGTCATTCGCTGAGCTTTGCAGCGCTGTTGTCGAACATCAGCAGAGAACGAATTGACAGCGTCAAATCGAACCTTGCGTAGCTCGGCGCAGGATGAGATCGCGGTCATACTTGATGGCAGCCTGTTGGCTCTTACGAATCGTGCCTGGCATTGTATCAGCAAGCCCACGCCGTGCTGTACGAGCAGAGTTGAGACCTACCACCGACATGCATGACGCGAATGATGCAATCGACGCCCTTGAGCTGCCTTGTGAGCGTGAGGGCGGTCCAGACGAGCTGACAAGCCGATCGCGGCGTGCGCAAGATCATGATGTGGGTCGTCGGCGAGAGGTATTTGACGTTCAGACTTGAGCCTGCCTCCGCCCATCCTGCGTCGCCAAAATTGACCGAGAGTGCATCCCTGACGAGGCGCACGATGTCCGACTCGCTGAAGCTCGGGGCGTCGCTGTCTGGCGCGAAGATGAACTCTGCTAGCAAGTAGCGGTTCTTGAAGCGCATCCGCTACCTGCGCTGAAGATCGGCACTCGACACTGACGGTCTTACGAGATTTCGACGATTCTCGCGGCTTTCGCGTTGCTGCTATCCGTCGAGCACTCGTCAAGCTTCTGTTTCCTACCTATGCGCCTCAAATGCCTGCGAACAGCTGCTCCAGGAGGACCGCTGCAGCTAGCACGGAGATATGCCACAGCTCCTAACGACACATCCGAGCGACATGTCGTTCGGTCTATCAACGAGCTGTCCATCGTTCACGACGAGAAACGCAAAGAACTCAAAGCAGAGTTCAGCAAAGATATGCTAGCACGGCGTAGATTGGCCGTCACATGGGCTGAGCGCAAGACGCGCAAGTCGCCAAGCGCGGATGCCGCTTTTACGCCGTAAGCTCTTTGCCCTGAGCAACCGACGCGGGGCCTCAATCAGGCCAAAGCAGGCTACCGCTCGAGCGGCGTCGAATGTCAGATTCTTACTTGAGCTGGGATCTGCCTCTTGAGAGTGACGGCAAGCTGCTGGACGAATATATTGGGGCAGATTACCAAATTCGACTTGGTCGTCTGCTAGAAGATCTCGACACCTTGGCAGGCTGCGTCGCTTATCTGCACATTCTTCCAGATATCGCAAGCTTTGACGACTTGGACAAGTACGGTGTCTTCTTGGTGACGGCTGCAGTCGACAGAATCGACGCGCTCGAATCGGATCTTCTGTCAGATGGGCCAGAGGACTTGCGCATGTCTGGACATGTTTCGTACACCTCCAACTCTACGATGGAGATCTTCATGAAGCTTCAGTCGATAAGCGAAAGTCGTGGACACGCGAAGCAGCCTAAGACGCTGCTCGTGTCCCGCTTCACGATGGCTTGTCGCGACAAGGCGACCGGCCGAGCCAAGGCAATCCCCCAGCTCGTGACAGGCACATCCGACGAGGATACACTGCTCCGGCTGGGCCAGCAGCAGAGGGAGCGCAAGCAGCAGACCGCTCGTGCGGCACTGGACAAGCAGCCGCCTCGGAGCAGTGAAATAGACTTATTGCACCATCTTTTCTTGAAGAACGACATCTATGGTCCATCAGGCAGACTGCCGGCGAAAGCGATATGGATCAATGACACCCAGTTGGTCTCCAACACGATCACCCAGCCCGTCGATAGAAATGTCAACGCGACAATTTTCGGGGGCTATCTCATGAGGCTCGCCTACGAATTGGCGTACGCCACAGCTGTATTGTTTGCGCGTCAAAAGGTCTCGTTCCTAGCATTAGAGTCAGTGTATAGCTGGTTTGCATTCTTCAATGCTGATTCGATGGCAACCAGCGAGTTGATCTTTAAGCTGCCGGTCAACATTGGTGAATTGCTCAACTTAAAAGCTGCTGTCACCTTTGCAGCAGCAGAAGGACAGCATCGATCCTTCCAGGTCTCAGTGTTCGGTGTGCTGACCCGCATACCTGTGAGACACAGCTGATGTTTATGGTGTAGCCTCAACGACCAACTTGTCGACTCATCAGTCGCGCTCAACAAATACGTTCCATTTTAGCTTTAGTTGCGAGGAACCTCTCCAACGCTACGTGTTGCCGAGGCAGTACTGTAAGTCCGCCTATTCCGGATATTGCTTCCGCTTACTGTGTCCAGTGGACGCGATGGACTGGCTGGACGCAATGCGGCGCCGTGAGGCCGGACAGAGACTCCGGCGGATGATCCTGCCGTGAGAACGTAAGCAAGCCTCTGTCCATACAATCTATTCTAGCTTCAAGCAGTCAGGGCTGTCTGGCAGGGATCTACCGGTTGCGACTGCGCCCGCCTATACTCGGCAATGCTCCGGATATTTCGGCAGTCTCGCTTACAAATCGCTTTGAGTGGCCCAACGCCCTGAGCCAGGCTTCCCCGCGTTTCTTCGATCACTCGTGGTCAATCCGGGGTTTGATCGTGACTTCATGATCGGAAAAGCTAGTCGCAGCTCAGTGCCTTTCCCTGCTCTGCGTGACCTGCTACGGACGAGCTGTGCGGAAAAATGCATCAAGCGACCACTAAGTCCGATCGCTCGCTCGCATGGTCATCCCCCCGCGTCCTGCTTTCTCCTTACCCCAGATTCGTCTGCTCACTCGTTTCTAGCTGCGAATCGCTCACAACCGCTTGCTTCGAAGCGACTACTCCGACAAGCGCACATCGTCGGTACGTACACGCTCAGTCCGCGCACCTTGACGCCCACTAACATCCGCTCGATTGATGCAGCATCGTCCGCATCGATTCGCTAACACCGAAGACTCAGCAAGATGACTTCTCACAATCGTGTCGAGCTCACGCCGAGCACCATGGAGGTCGGAGTGGCCGTACGTTCATTGTCATCACCGGCCGCGAAATCTAGACTGACTCTCTTCGGGTTCAGGACGTGGTGCGCGAGCACGAGACCCCTCAGCATCACGTTGCTCAGCACCCCGCCGCGCCGGCTTGGCTGGTTCGCTGGGTGTGTGGTCCCTTGCTGCAGTCTTGCCAAACATACTGATGTATCGCTCGCAGGAGACAAACCGTCCTCGATTGCTCATGGAGTGCGCTGCCGAGTGCATCGGTGTCTTCTTCTACGTTTTCTGCGGTATCTCGGCTACAGCATCTTTCTACACCAGCACTGTCGCAAAGGTCGCCGGGTTCGGTAGCATCTTGAACATCGCCCTGTCTTATGCCGTCGGAATCGCGTTCGGTATTATTGTACGCGCCAAAGTCCACATCTCGTACAGGTCATCTGATCATATGTACAGGTTGCTGCGCCTACATCTGGTGGTCACTTGTCACCATGCTACACCATCGCATTTGTCATCTTTAAAGCAAGCTACGACGAGCAAATCGCTTTGACGCGCTGACATGCGCGTTACTTCTCAGGGCTTCCCGTTGAGAAAGGCTCCATTCTACATTCTCAGCCAGATCCTTGGCGCATTCATCGCGTCATTGTTCGTATACGGCGCTTACAAGGATCAGCTCCAACCAATCGCTACTGAGCTCCGTGCCCTGGGCGCCGTTGGCGAAGCATCCATCTACTCGACTGCCGGACCCGCCGGTGTTTTCGCTCTGTTCCCGAACCCAGAATCGAGCTTCGGAGCAGTTGCATTGGGAGAGGTACGTCAGTATATCTTGAACAATGGCGCCGAGCTCACTTTGCGCTGAACAGATCATTGCCAATGCCTTCATTGCCATCCTGGTCTTCTCAGTCCTTGATCCTAGCAATCCCTTCGTCTCATTCTCATCCGCGCCTATGCTCATCGGTCTTTCCTATTTCGTCTGCATTGTCGGCTTCGCAGAGAACGGGATCGCTCTTAACACTGCGCGTGATTTGGGTGGTCGCTTCGTCGCTGGCATTTTCTTCGGACGCCAGTCATTCCCAGCTCAATACTCCGCAATCGCTGCCCTCGTCAACATTCCGGCAACTATTGCCGGCGCTGCCGTGCAAGTGTTCATCCTCTCCGACTCTGCTCGTCCTCAGACCGTACAGGTAAGACCAGCTTCGAGAGCTTGAATTGCCATACTGATGTGGTCATACAGATTCCCGCCGATGAAGTGACCAGAGTCATTTCTAACAAGTCGACCGGCCCCAACAACTCGAATCATCTTTCCTCCGCTCAGAACGGCAACGGCAAGGCTCATGGTGTCAATGAGGGCGCAGCCCTCAAAGGCGGTAACATGACCGGCTATCTCACTGCAGAGGAGAAGGACGGCTTCCACCACGAACAGCGAAACTAATGGGAAAGTCCGAACGTAAGGATCGCACTACATGTTTTCAATCGAGTCTAGTCAGTTACGGGCATTGTAATGCAAACAGCAAATGCACTTGGTCATGCATCTATTACCTCCGATCGAACTCATGAGGCTCCACTAAAGCTTTTCGCTGCATGCACACTCACTCGTCTGGTGCACACTGCTTACACAAGCGGATTGCATGGCGAGACATTGTATACCAGCCACGAGCGGATTGAGCACCATGTTATGCGCGCTAGCGTCTCGCCTTCTGACGCTTGCCCGTGATGTTGATACCCGTGTTGCCGTGTTTTGCACGCTTGCCCGTCACTGCAGCAGCCATGGGCAGGTATGCAAATGGCTGTTGGCCATTCTTTGTGACGTCGCCACCGGCCCGCTTCGCCTTGAACTCTGAGCCCAGCTTAGTCGGCACAATCTTCCGTGCTTTCTTTTGCTTTGCGTCCATACCGAGGTCACGTAACTGCTGTTTGACTAGTTCTACGCCTCCTTCTCCAGGGTCCTCCACATCGTCGATGTGTCGCTTCTTGTTGAACTTGACCCTGCCTTTCGCATCATGGCGGTGACTGTCCTCGCCCCGCAAAGCCTCTATGTATGCTCCCACGCTATCCGTCGTGATTGGCTCTTCGCTGGCAGTCGCGTCACCCTCTGCAAAGACGAGCTTTCCGCTCCGCTTGTCCGTCGCAAAGGCTGGCGCTGCCGCTTTTCTCCGACGCGCCGGTTGCTGCACATTGCTGAGCTTAGAGCCAATCTCGTGATCGAGCAAATTGATGGGATCGTCATCTTCATCTTCTTGGTCAAGGAAGGTCCCGTGGGCCTGCACTGTCTTGTCGTGCGATCGCGACTGTTTAGCCTGCTTCTGAGCTCTACCCTTGCTGGGAGCCGCTGGCTCATCGCCCTCGCTGCCTTCGGCTTCGTCTTCACTACCGTGCAAAGCTTCGTCAAAGGCATTGCGAGCCTGTTGCTTGGGCGCATGCGTCTCTCCCTCGCTGTCCTCGCCGTCCTGTCGTGCCTCTACTGCTGCTGTCCGCTTCTTTTTCTCACGTTGTTGCCTCTTCTTGATGCTCGCGACCAGCTTACGGTCGTCATCGCCGGCGATATCTGCAATGGCATCCGCGCCAAATTTGCGAATCAGCCGCTCGAATATGTGACGAATATTGAGCTTGAAGTGATTTCGGTGCTCGTGTGACCATTTGAGCAAACTCGGTACAAGCGCTGGCAGATGCGGCTGTACTGTTACCAGCGGGAGACACACGAGGGAGACCTTGACGAAGCCGATTGCGGACTTGACAATCTCTCGATTGGCGGAAGACAGAAAGACGTTGCTTGTCTCTAGCAATTCGCCAAGCGTGTTGGACGTCAGCGATGCTGCATCGCACAATTTAGCTCATCCTTTATATGCCAGCAGGAACATACTGTGGAAGTCAAAGACGAGACGAGAGAGCGCTGTGATCGTAGCTGAGATCATATGGGGTGAGCTGCCCACAAGACCAGCCGCGACCATTGTGAAATACTCTTCGAGCGTGGCGGGCGCGTCTTCCGTCATTGCCGCGCTATCGTCGTCTTCATTGATGACAGGTCGCTTGACCGTACCGCCGGCCTGCATTTTGCGTCCGATGAGGACCAAGAGATCGTAAGCTGCTTCTCGTGTCTTCTCATTTGACTCTTTAGTGGCCAAGATGGCCTCGGGCAGCAGAGTCGGGACTGCATCAAGACGCGATGTAGGTAGCCGATTGACAAGCGCAGTCGTCAGTAAGATCCTGTCTGGCTTTGCCGCAGCAGGCGTCCGCGCAGCATTACTGTAGAGACGTGTGAGGAGCTCGTCGAGCTGAGCGAAGATCAGGGCGCTGCCAATAGTGGTCTCTGTCATTCGAGTAAGCAGGCGATATGCTTTCTTCTGCAGTGTGCCATCCGAGCAGCCAATACCAGCGTCTGACAGGGCTAGATCGAGCAAAGAGGCGCTAGTAGTCTGGTCGACAAAAGGGACCATTGCTACCAGCAAATCCATCATGGTATGCGCTGTGCTCTCGATTGCGGTTCCTGACGTCTTGTCGGTCCGCTTCTCCTGTTTGGCGAGCGCTTGCTTGAGCATTATCTGTACTCTTTGGCTAGTGTTGGCAAGATCAGACGAGCTAGAAATGGACAGATAGGTCGAGATGGCTTCGAGGATATAGTTTCTGTGCTCGCGCGGCGCTTTTGCAAAGACGTTGAACATGACGGCGAGCAGATTGCTCGAGTAGCTTGCTAGCAGGGCAAGATTCTGCTTACCCGCCGCTTGATCGACGCCAAAAGACTGCCTCAGTGTGTCTGGAGGAGCTTGAGATTGCGCCATTGACTGGTTGCGCTCGACCAGCAGCTGCAAACCCCGCAAGATCGGCGCACGCAGAGTGAGTTGAGTGTATAGCACATTGGACAGCAGTTCTCCAAGCTTCTTTGTAAAGCTAGTGTGTAAGTCTGTCGGCAGATCGCAATAGCCGGGGAAGAGCGCCCAGATCTGCTCGACAAGAGCTTCGTAGATCTTTGCACTGACGTCGCTCCCTTGGGCTTTGCCCGCCGCTTTCGCTGCTTGCTCGGCTTTGGACTTCTTGTCAAAGAGCGACTCTGATAAAGGTACGAAGAAATCGACAAAATGGCTGAGCTCAGTGTTCGCAATCTTATTACGCAGCAAAGGTAGGAGCCAGGCACGTCCCTCGGTGCCCGCGCTGCTGTCGACGTCAGCTAGGTCATCTTTGCATAATGACGCAACGCACTTATCCGGCTCGAGATTGAGGGGCAGGATGGCAAGGAGCCATTGAGGTCCGCAGACTTCGACTGCTATCGTGAGAACTTTCTCTGCCTGCTCTTTGAATTCGAAGGAAGTCGAAGCCCGCATGGCGCCGATCAGTCTGACATGATCCGAAAGATAGCGAGCCGCAGTGGGCTCTGCGCGCAACTGGCCTGCCTCGGGAGGAGGCCGTAGACGCAGTCGGGAGAAGAGAGCAGTGATCGTGTCTAGCAAATGAGGCATCGGCAGCCCTTGGAAGCGCATGCTGGTCAGGCTCTCTAGCGTCAGCTTCGCGATTTGCGGTAGCGGCGCGTCAGCTTTGCTGTTGGCCAAAATATCTGAATCGCTAAAGGCGTAGCGAGTCAAGGCGATCAGTGTTGATGCAGCAGCTTGCCTGACGGGCAGGCTTTCCGAGAGGAGATAGCCCTGCAGTCCTGCATAATTTGAGTATAGAATTGCGCTGCAGGCTTCGGGCTGGAAGCGGGCAAAGGCGACAAAGCCGTGCTCTACAGCGGCCAGCCAGCCAGGCAAGATGCGGTCATCCCGGTCGGACGGACGCGATGCTAAGACGCCGAGCAGCGTATCTGCCACTTTGCCTTCTTCGAAAGACTCGCTTGACTTTGTAAACAACTCCTCGAGCACGTCAAAGGCTGCGGTGGCGAGGAAAGCATTTTCGCCTGCGGTCTTGGGTACGGCGAGACAGATAGCACACAATCGTTGCATCGCCTGATGGTTCGCGCGTCAGAGCATGCGCGGTAGGGCGATAACAGACTCACAGAAGTAGGCCAGGAGCCGCCGAGATGCTTGATGAATACGAGCAGAGCGATACACCGGGCATCGCTTTCCTTGTTTGCATCTTTGTTCTTGCCCTTGCCTTTTTGCGCTCGAATGTGGCCTTCGAGTGCGCTCAGAGCCCAGTCGGCAACACGGTCTCCATAAGGATGGGTGACAGAGGGTGGCGGGGGCGATTTGATGATGGTTGTGACCGTTTCTTGTGCCTTGCGACGCACTTTGGGCCTCTGATCGATCAGGATGGGTAAGAGACGAGCAAAGTATTGCACTGAAGCAGCTTGCGAGAGCTGTTGCAGCGAGAGTGAGGCATAGAGCGACTGTACGATCGTAAGCGTTGATTTGATGATGGGAGCATCGTCGAGCTTGATTTGGCTCAGCAGGCTAAGCAGAACAAAGGCGTTGCTCTGCAGCGTCGCTCGTGGTAGGTGAGGTACAATGAGCGCAAGCAGATAGAGCACTGCTGCCTTGTGTTCCTCATCGCTCGTGCTCTGCTCGGCCAGGAGCTTTTGCAGTGTGCCGGTCAGAGCGACATAGTAGGCTGTCTCGCTCGGTCTCGACGGGCCGGCAGACGGGGAAGCGGCGGACAGTGTCTGCTCTATAGCTTCCAGCACGATTGCCGGCTTCTTCTGCGCTGGCACCTGTGAGGTCGTCTGCAGACGTACCTTGTCGAGCGACTGCTCCAGCGAACCCTCCATCTTTGTGAGCGCTTCACACAAATTTTGCCTTGATATTGTGAAGTTAGCGGGGCAGCAGAGCTGTGCTGATCGTGAGAGTTCGCCGATGCGACAGGGCCCTGACAGGACAAGCTTGACTCCGTCTATCGTCAGCCGTAGAATGGCTCCATGCTCCGCCTAGGCACACGCTTGCGCAACTGTAGGTCAAGCACGCAAGCCAGTCCTCTTGCATTCGTGTTGCAAGCGGAACATCGGGTGGTCAGGAAGCCCTGGCAACGCTCTCGTTCGACAGGCGAGCCCGGGTCAGACAGCGTCAGCTCGAGTCACTACACTACGACTGAACAGCTAGAAGCTCTGCCAGCGTCAGACTTCTTGCAGAAAGACGGGAGAGATAGATCGCACATCCGTACAGAAGCCGAGCTCCTCCAGTCCGTCCCTCGATTTAGGACAGTCACACGACAGGAACACCGAGCCCGAATAGAATCCTTGCAACGACCTACAGCTCCGATAGATACGATGGGTGCCGTCGTCAAGCCGGGTGGACCGGTCAAGACGAACGACCGCATCAAAGCGCTTAGATCACTCCTCGCTCAGCACGCCCTGACCGCATAGTGCGCTTGCTCCTCCCCTTGACGCAGCCTCGCTGAACGGATCGCATGGCTGGTAGTGTTGTGCCTGCGGAAGATGCTCATGCAAGCGAGTACAGCTGCGCGGCAGACAAGCGCCGTGAATTCATCTCTGGCTTCTCGGGCTCCGCGGGCACCGTCGTCGTCACCGAGAAGGAGGCCTGTCTCTTCACAGATGGCCGATACTTCCTACAGGCATCTCAACAGCTCGATACAGACTGGACGCTCATGCGATCAGGCGAGCCCGGTGAGTGGTTTCCTTGCTGCCTGACGACGGACCACTCATGCTCGTGTAGATGTACCGACATGGCAGGAATATCTGGGAAAGGTCCGCTATCGACACTAATGATGACGATCTGCGCTGATTCACTCGTACAAAGCTACCGCCAAACGCTCAAGTCGGCATCGACCCAACACTGATCTCGGCCGGCAAGTGCTGACCTCTCTGTCCGCGCACTCGCCTGACCACTTGTGCGCTGCAGCGGACGCAAAGACAATCTCGGCCTCGCTCACATCAAAGTCCTCGCAGCTCGTGTCCCTCGCTAAGAATTTGGTGGACGAGCTGTGGACAGACCGCCCTCAGCGACCGGAGAACCCATTGACGGTCATCCCAGATAGCTTAGCAGGACGCTCAGCGGCCGAAAAGATTGCCAACATGCGCAAAGATCTCGAGAAGCGAAAAGCAGACGCACTCGTCGTGAGCATGCTCGATGAAGTAGCTTGCAAGTCGAGCCCTTGTCCCTCTGCCTTTAGGCTTATCGCCGTCGAGCAGGGCTGTTCAATCTGCGAGGCTCGGACATTCCTTACAACCCAGTCTTCTTTGCCTACGCGCTCGTCACACCGAGCGAGGTCTCGCTCTTTGTCGATGCAGACAAGGTGCCCGAAGAGGTCAAGCATGAGTTGCCCACTGAAGTCTCTATTCGACCCTACGATGAGATCTTCAGCCGACTCGAAGGTCTCGCATCCAGCTTGCGGGAAGGTGCCAAGGTGCGCCCGGCTCATCTGGCATCGAGCACTGCTGATCTAGGTCACTAGGTCGTGATTGGCAATAAGACATCGCTTGCCTTGGCGACAGCTGCCGGTACTCAGAATGTGGATATCGTCCAGTCGCCAATCGCAGAAGCAAAGGCGATCAAGAATGAGGTAGAGCTCGAGGGGTTCAGGGAGTCGCACATTCGCGACGGCGCAGCGCTCGTCGCTTACTTCGCCTGGCTCGAGGAACAGCTTGCATCTGGCGCTGAGCTCAAGGAGTCGGCAGCTGCAGATAAGCTAGAAGATCTGCGTTCGAAGCTGCCGCGCTATAAAGGCCTATCCTTTACGACCATCTCGTCTACGGGGCCAAATGCTGCCATCATTCATTATTCGCCCGATCCTGAGAGCTGCGCAACGATCGACAAGGACCAAATCTACCTCTGCGACTCGGGTGCTCAGGTGCGCAACGTTAACAAATCGCTAGGCTCCGCTCATAGAGATCCTTGCAGTTCGAGGACGGCACCACAGATGTCACGCGAACGCTCCACTTCGGTAAAGCAACCGATGAAGAACGTCATGCTTTTACGCGCGTATTACAAGGTCATATCTCCATCGACAGTGCCGTCTTCCCAAAAGGCACCACCGGCTATGTACTCGATGCCTTCGCGCGTCGTGCGCTTTGGGCAGACGGTCTTGGTCGGTCACGCGCCCTCTCCTCGCATCTCCGCTGACGCATTTCTCAGACTACCGCCATGGCACCGGTCACGGTGTTGGCCATGGTACGTCTCCGCACTTCCTGATGCACACCCGCTAATGATTTTTGCAGCACTCAATGTGCACGAAGGACCCGCCGGCATCGGCACCCGCCTTGCTTACAACGAGACCGCTCTCAAAGCTGGCATGGTCTTGTCAAATGGTGCGTTCCCGCATCCACGCACCCATCATGCTAGCAAAGCTCATGAGTCCAGCAGAACCCGGCTTTTACAAAGATGGCTCATTCGGCATTCGAATAGAGAATCTCGTTATAGTCAAAGACGTCAAGGCAAGGTACAATTTCGGCAATAAAGGGTCTCTCGGCTTTGAGCGCATCACAATGGTCAGAACCACGCGTCATCAGCATGTTCGCTGCTGACGCCCCATATACAACAGTGTCCCATTCAGACGAGTCTGATCGACAAGAGCTTGCTGACACCGCAAGAGGTTCAGTGGGTCAATGAATATCATAAGGAGGTACTGGAGAAGCTTTCGCCGCTCCTTAAGGACAGCGATCCTCGCGCATACAAGTGGCTGCAGAGAGAGACAAAGCCATTTTGATCCGTTAATGCAATGTAACTACATGATGACGCATTCCTTCTCTGCATCCTGGCGCGTTGGCTTGGCCGTGCGACCCTGCTTACCAGCTCGTTGCTGCGTGCCGAGCTTCTTGAGCTCTGTGAGTCTCTGCATAGCTCGCTTGTTGTTTTGAGCTGCGCAATGCGAAGATTAGCCTCGTGTTCGAGTGGTATGCATCCCGAGACTTGCCTGCTGCACGCATATACCAGCGCCTCGCCTCGTCCTGATCTGGCTTCACCCCAATGCCCATCTGCGAGCACTTGAGCTTGAGATTGCTGATCTTGTGAATAGCTTACCTCGTGATAGTATGCGCATGCAAATTCGGCCTTTGGCAAGCCTTTATTTGCAGCTCGTCTAGCCCACAGATAGGCTTCAGTGTCGCTTTGCTGAAGCACACCATCCGAGCCGGTGAGATACCAGCCAGATAGTGCTAGCTCTGACTCGGGGTCGTTGCGTTCAGCAGCACGTGTATACCAAGCGATCGAGCGTCGAGGATCGACAGGACACCCAAGCGCGCCGAACTCGTAGCATGAGCCAAGCTTGTACTGTGACGGAGGGTAGCCAAGCTGAGCAGCTTGCGAAAAGCATTCACGAGCAGAAAGCTCATTGTAGAGACCGGGGGTATCGCCTTTGAGTGGTATGCGAGAGTAAAGCAAGCCAAGTTCGTGCAGCGCGTGAGGGTTATCTTCATCCGCTTGTGCTGCTGATCTTCGAAGCCAAGCGAGGGCATCGCGGAGGTTGCGAGGCTGTCCGAGCAGACCGTTAAGTAAGATCATGCCGAGCTTGTACATGGCCGCCGTGTCTCCAAGCGCGCAGGCCTTGCGATAGAAGAGAACGGCTCGATTGGGGTCTTTGCGCGTGCCTGCTCCCACTTCATTGCAGACTGCTGTGCGATATGTTGCTGCAGGATGGTTCTGCTTCGACGCCTGTACGTAGAGGTTGTAGGCCTTTTCCATGTCGACTTGCAATCCAAGCGAACCGTTGCCAAGACAATTTGCAAGAAAAAACTGGGCATCCGCGTAGGCCGTCTTGCTGACGCCCGTGCCTTGCGTAGCAAGCTTCTTGATGAGTTTGAGTGACTCTGCAAGCAATGCGTCTCGATACTTCTTGTTGTTCTTCATGTCATCTCGATCCTTTGAGCCTGCTCTCGCTATGCGGCGCGCAGCTTCGATGAGATATTTCGCAAAATTGAACTGCGCTTCAGGATCAGGATCTGCCTTGATGCGATTTCTGTATTCGTCAATGGACTGCTTGGTGACAGGGGCAAGAGTCTGCTGACTTGCTGGTCGCCGTGATGCTGGCGCCTGGGCGGGTGGAGGCGGAGGCATCACCCCATAGCCAGCAGGCGCTTGTCTGACTGGTCCGCTACCTGGCGGAGGCAGCCCGGTCCGGAGCGATGATGCAGAGGCTGCGCTGCGCAACATAGCAGGATGCATGGGCTGACCTGAAGGGCCGAGATGACTCATTGCAGGATTAAACACAGGCATCGACATCTGCTCTGTGGACGGCTGGTAGTATTGGTTCTGCTGTTGGTGTGGCATGAAAGCCTGTTGCATCGGTTGAGGAGAATATGGACCCGGTCCGCTACCGTTCTTGACCATGTTCTGCGATTGGCCATTGTAGGGTGCTCGACTGGGACCTGCCATGGGCGTCTGCTGGCCGGAGTAGGGGCGTTCCTGCTGCTGGGAGTAGCCATAGCTGTCGTGGGGATGACGTGGCTGCGGTCGAGGCAGGCTCTGCGCGCTCATGCTGCTCATCGTTCGCAGTCGTCGAGAGTGCTGCGCATCGTATACCTCTCCATCCTCGTCCTGCGCTACGGTAGGCGTTGCACTCGATCGGTAGTCTGCAAGACGAGGCTGATACGTTGAGTTCAGTGTCGAACCGCCGACGGTGCCCTCGTCGCTCGCGTTCCAACTCGTATGGTCATAAGGCAGTCCCGAATTTGTGCTTGCTGTGCTATCAGAACGGCGAAACTGGTCTCTCTGTGCTCGCTCTGCATCACCTCGTGGCACAGTCAGCGTGGCTTCAGCAGGATCTTGATCGTCTGGGAAAGGCGTGTCGCCGTAGCTCGGCGGTGGTGCCTCGTCGACGGGCGAGAGATCGTCTTCTGCCAGCCCGAGATTGTGACGCTGTGTACTGCTGTTGCTGGATCGGGAGCTGTCCGCGCTGTGTCGCTGGCCAGAGACGAGTTGCGCGGTGGGCAAGCTAGCGTCATGATGGCCGGATTGATTAGGAGGTAGATTAGGCAGTCGCGGTCTTGTCTGTGTGCGATCGCGGTCAGCTGAGGAGCCTTGCAGGCCACGATCTGTCGAGGATCCCAGTGCGGCGCGATCAAAGTCCATCGCGAGATCGTCCAGATTAGGTATCTGGTCCTCCGTTGGCTCTTTGGCGAGATTTGGCGAGGAATAGTTGTAATGTCTTGTTTCTGTGGCAGTCCCAAACATCAAAAGAGGCTCCAAGCGGCAGCCTGCAAAGCACTTGCCTGTCCAAGGGTGCTGCGCGGGGTGTTCAGAGTGAGCAGACCAGCGCTCTCTGGGATCGTAGGCCATCGAGTCTGGTCTTTCCATGCTAGGAGAGGCAGTCGGAGCAGTCAGACGATGAGGCTGGAGACCGTCTCGTTGCTTGTGCCTGTCTTGCTCGAGCGAGTAGGTCGAGCTAGCTCCAGAGTCTCTGTAAGTCTGTCTTGGCGGACGAGGCTCGAGATCAAATTCGCTCTCGCCAAAGCGTGTGTCAAAGGTGAGCATGGGCAAGTGCTGCCCGCTTGGTTCTGACCTCATGCCGCCCAGCCTGCCGTGTCGTGCTTGATGAGGCGCCTCGAGTGGTCGGTGTTGTGTCCTCGTATGATTGGCACTTTGTTTGGTCACAACTGGCTGTGAGCGTCAGCTGAGCCTGTCAGACGCGAGCCATGATGCTCCGCTGGCTGCTTGTGGGTGACAGTTGTGCTCTACAAGCCTTACCAGCCGACAACCTGGCTGTCAATCTCTATCGGACGACGACGTCACGCCGGCAATTTCCAGCAAAGCGAGCGCGCGCCTAAGCCAACGTCAGCCCTGCGCCCGCTCAGCCGCGAGTGGTCATCATTGCAGCACCTAGACGAGGCCGGCCGCACGGACGAACATCTCGACCCGCCAGGAGGATCATAGCGCATCTTCTCCCGATGCGACCGTGCGCAAAGTGAACACCTGCACGATCTCGGGCAGCAGCGAGTTGACGACAGCTCGGCAAGTCATCACAGCAAGATGATGGGCATCTTTGCCCGCAAGACTGCCAACGCCAAGTCACCCTCTGAGCTCGTCCGCACGCTGCGGGACATCCTCATCAGGCTAGCTCAGCTTGATCCTCCGCCGCCCAATTATCAGCCTAGCGCGCGTTCGACGACCCTCGAGCATGTCCCTGTCCTCAACACGTCTCCTGCCGCGACTGAACTCAGGCGGGAAGCATCAAAGACGCTCACCGCCATCCGTGCTGTTCTCTATGGCGAATCAGGTGCCTTGCAATGAACAATATGCAGTGCGCATGGGTCGCTAATGCTTTCCTGGTGATAGATCAGGAGCCATCCACCCAGGCACTCGCCGAGCTGGCCAATGAAGCCTATTCCAACGATATCTTTTATCTCCTTCTACTCCACATGGGCAGTCTCGAGTTTGAGGTCGGCCACACGCTGCACTGAAGCTGCGCAAGGCTGATCCCGCAGCATGACAACAGGCTAGAAAAGATGTAGCCCAGATCTTCAGTCATCTATTGCGGCGGCAGATTGGCGAGAGACTACCGACGGTAGAGACGCTCAGGACAAAGCCAGAGGTCATCCGAGCAGCCATGAACGGGTCAGTCTGTATTGGCAGAGCCACCTGCTAGCTCTGACTGTCGTGCAGGTACCGACAACCGGAGATTGCCCTCAATACAGGCATGATACTTCGGGAGATGATCAGACATGAGCCGCTGGCGAAGATGTTGCTCTATTCTGACCAATTTTACGACTTTATTGGCTACATCGAGCGGACGACGTTTGGCATTGCATGCGATGCCATGCTCAACTTCAAGGATACGCTCACAAAACACAAGGAGATCGTGGCAGAGTATCTCGACGCGCACTATGACGAGGTAGGTCCATCTATTCATTATTCATACACAAGAACAAGGCACGTCTTGACATGCAAGACAGTTCTTTGGGCATTACCAGACCCTCATCGATTCCGACAATTACGTCACCCAGAGGCAATCGATCAAGCTTCTCGGTGACCTGTTGCTGGATAAGAAGAACTACAAGATCATGATACGATATGTCTCTTCCGAGGACAATCTCAAGACAATGATGAACCTCTTACGGCATCGCTCAAAGAACATCCAATTCGAGGCCTTTCACGTCTTCAAGGTGAGCCGATCTAGCCGCTACGCTTGCATGAGAAGCCAATATAACTTGCAGGTGTTTGCGGCAAATCCGAGCAAACCACCAAAGATCGCCAACATCCTCAAGCGAAACAAGGACGGCCTCATTGTGTTCCTGCGAAATTTCCGCAACGATACCCAGGACCCGCAGTTCATTGACGAGAAGCAGTATCTCTTGCAGAGCATTCAAGCGCTCTAGCCTAGACGTGGCTCCCTTCGCCAATACATCTATCGCATCTCGCAGGCACGCTCGCAACTACTCTGTTGTATGCATCCCAATCGTGACAACAACACCTGTACAGATCTAGCCTGCTCATCTTCGTCTATCGTTGTAGCGAGCAGACGTATCCCAAGCCTGACGACGCTCACGGTCTTCGTCGTTCCACCGCCGAGCTTGCACGTTCTTGGCTAGCCTCGTTTCGAGCTTATTCCACTGGTCTGAGTACCCCCGCTCACTTGCTGGCGTAGACGTTACCGAACGGCCGGTCTTGGCCTGAATGAGCGCCATGGCTCTTTCTCGCTCTGCTTTCTCCCTCCGACTTGCTTCGGATTGCTGGTCCTGCCGAGCGAGTGGCTTGGGTGGCGGTGGTGCCGGTGCATATGCATCTTCATTCTCATCTCCGTCCGGATCTGCAGGCTTCGCTCTGCTCGCTGGTGGCGAGGGGCTCACGCTCGACCGCCTCGTCCGCCCTCGCTGTTTCGGTCGAAGCAACGGCATCTCCAGTAAACCCGGTTTGAGAGATCGTGCAGTCGTACCGAAGGGGTCCTGCTTTGCCTGCTCCTTGGCAGCAATGATCTCATCGCGTCTCTGCAGGAAGTGATTGACAAGCGATAGTGGGTCCGAAGTACGTTTGCTCTCGCCGTCTTTGTAAGCTAGCTCGAGCTTCTGCTCATCCGTTCTACGACGCTCCTCGCCGCTGAGCAAATCCTTTGTGGTGTACCAAGGCTGTAGCTCCTTGGCGGGTCGGCCGAGGTACATTGTCGTCTGAGCATCCCATTTCTCTTGCTCCTTGCGCTTGTCAGCTTCGCGCCTGGGATTGTTGCCCAGTTGCGCCGGCAGCGTCTGTTCAGCTAGATGAGGATGTAGACAAGGGCAGCAATAGGGAGAGACGCACGCCGCCACGCTCGAGATCAGCCCAGAAATTGAGATGGCCATCCGTGTCGATGCTCGATTGTTTTGCTGCTTCCGCTTCGGGCCTGACGATGGTCACTCGAGCTGTCTCGTCAGGCTGATCGCTCTTGCCAGCCAATTGCCTTTCCAGAGCCTCCAGACCAGGCTCTCGCTCCTTGGCCTTGCCTTTGGCTTTCTTCCGCAAGAGTGCGATTCGAGCTTCAGAATCCTACCGGGCGTCCTGTCAGCCGCTGAATAGCTCGAGAATATCACAGCGCACAGCCAGGAGCATGCGCTGCTCTTCGCCGGCCTCCTTGAGTCGTGCAGCCTCTTCATCTCGTTGGACTCGTTCGATGTTGTCTCGTCGGTCTGTGTGAAGCTTTGACTTGGCTAAGGCACATTTCGACACGGGCGAGCTTACAAGGATGGTAGCTCTTGTGATGAGCTATGTTGAGCTTGCCCATCTTGGCCTCGCGGTCGGGTTACCGCAGCGCCGGCGTTGCTCGTCACGCGACAGAATTGTCTTCGGAGGACTCTCATATTAATGATGATGTCACCTCTCCTTCTTTCTTCACCTCTCATCGTATCCGACTAACTTGAGACGGACCGCTGCACTCTCACCAATGATCCAAGGGGCCATGACGCTTTGTCGCCAAGCCACAGCCTGAAGCGCCTGTCCTGTCGCCAAGCTTACTTGCGTTTCTTTGCGCACCTGTTCTGCGCAATTCGGGCGACATGAACTTGCGCGCAAGTCCTTTGCTACTTCTCTGCTTGATACTCCTGTCAGGGACATGTACAGCGCAGTCCATTGAGATGCCGACCACTCGATCATCATTTGGATCGGGGGGATCCGTATACGATCTTGTCACGCTCAATCTGGGCGGCAAAGATTATCTCATGATCGTCGATACTGGCAGTCCCTACAGTGTTCTCGGATTGTTGCCCGAGTTCCCGTTCCAACCTTCCAGTGCGAGCGTCAATACATCGCTTTCTGTGAATATAGCCTACACGATCTCTACAGGCACCAAAATGCGCGGCTGGTTGATCAAAGACATATCGTACGGTGCGAATATCCATAGACCGTTCACCTCGTATATATTGGCAATCGATCAGCCGGCCAAAATCTACGGGCCAATGTGAGCGACCTGGCCGATAGCTGCAGCTTTGCTGAGCTTCAAGAGCAGGATGGATCCCGCCGTCGGTGTTTTTGGGCTCGCCACAGCGGCTGCCTTGGAAGATAAGCTACGACGCCGAGGCCTACGACCGCCAGCCGATCTGAAGCCTTTCGCAGTACTCGCGAACGAGCAAGGCAGCATCAGCGCAGCTGTCGTTACGATTGTACCGGGCAGAGCACTCATCTTCGGACCGCCTGCCTACGAGTATGCATTAGGCTCGCCGTCATGGCTCAAACGAATCGATGGCCTCGATGTAGGAGGTTGGGCTGCCGACATCCGAATACCTATGCTGCAAATTGATCAAATCCTGATCGATACCGGCACTCAGCACACAATGCTCGCGAACTTTGCAATCAAGATGTACATCTGGTACAATCCAGGCGCGTATCTCAACCAAAGTTCAGGACAGATCATCGTCAGACGTACGCCCAAGATGCTTCAGTTATTCGTGGGAACACGTATCATCAACGTCCCTGGCGAGCACCAGTTGGCGCCTTGCATACAGACTCCACGTGTGATGGAGCTGTGTACAGTCTTCAGAGTGAATTCTCTTGGCGATAATATGATTGGCAAGTACATGCTGCGCAATATGGTGCTCTATCTAGATTACACAAGTCAGTCGTTCGCCCATACGCTTACCCGATGCTCATCGACCGTTCGCAGATGACATGCTTGGCTTGGCGCCTTTGCGGCAGGATATTCCAGATGCATGACTGCATGCAATCACAGCACCTCGCTTTATGCATCCAGCGAAGCGATGAGATGCGCAAGCTAACAACCTCGAAAGTCCTTGCCTACGTCTTGCTGCTCCCCATTGGTGTCAGAGCATGTCATTCCGAACGAGCAACTGTTGAGAAGACTGCACAAACCTTCATCAGCTGGGCGTGATAAGCGGCAACAAGCTTCTCACGAGCCACCGTAGACCGAGGTGTGCAGATTGTCTACCCAGAACGTAAGGCCACCTTCGAGAGGGTGATAAATGACGAAGATTGACCAGCGCCATCTTCCTTTGTGTATGACTGTCGCCTGCTTGAGCGAGGGCTCCATTTTCTATGACAGACCTGGCTACAGACCATCGAAATTGCTCAGATGGCTATCATAGTCATTCGATGTATACGTGGCAGCTTTGTAGCCAACCCTATCGGTATTTACTGTTCGTGCCGCAGTCTAAACAGCGGCATCGCACTCAGAGAGAAGGCCACGACCAACCGACAATGCCGTCGAAATATTTGGTAGCGTCGTTCCAGACGAGACTGAAGTCGTACAAGGCAGGCTGTTTTGTGTTTGTGAGATCAGCAAGCAAGAGACAGCGAGTGTCCCCTCGCCAGCGCTTGGTCAGATCAAACTTTGCGGTCGAAGCTGACACGACTATGCACGAGGCGAGAGCTAGCAGTGTCGTACATATCAGCTGGGCGCGGCTGAGCATATCAGGCGGGGTAGATTGCTAGATGCTGCTGGTATGTATACAACGCTGTCTGGAAGACCGCGAGAAACTGAGCTCTACCTCGTAGCCCGACGGCTCTGACTCCATGTCTCAAATTGTACGACTTCGCAACCAGAACTCTCACGCAACTTTTGAGCGCGACAGGATTGCATTGAGATCAGCCAGGCCGCTGGTGAGCGGTGACTTTTCGCGCTGATTGCCAGATGTGTTCTTTGATTGTACGTTGAAGGCTAGCAAGGAACGAGGCGGTGGCTCGCCGGATCTCGTCAGATTAGTTGGCGCCGCCAGACTTGAAGTGCTGGGCTCGCCGTGTATCGGCAGTGCTGTTCCGCTCTCGCTCTCGTCTTATTTGTAGTCGAATTGTTTAGGAGCCCATCGGGCGGTCGAGGAGGGGAGGCACAAGGCAAAGCAGATGCGGACCTCTTTCACGTGCAGTGTTGGCCAGATACCTAGAAACCAACCGCTGCNCGCAANGTCCNNGGNCTGACATCTGCAATCCAGCGCAAGTGTTCGAGGACCGATAGCGGAGGCAGACCTGGGAACTCCTCTCCTAGCGAAATCTCACCGCCAGTGCCAACCCTAAATCGGCTCATAGATTTGCTAGGCAGAAGTGTATTCTACGGGTTAGAGGTAGGGCGAGCAGGCCGCTCGAGACAGTTGCCGATGAGCCAGCACCGGAGCTGGAAGCNACAAACNCTTGTAGTCGGGCNCGANNGAACGGCTGACGAGGCTGAGAAGGGCTGAGAGTATCGCCAGTTTGCTCGCCAGATTGTCGACAGAAGCTGTCAACAAGGCGAATCATCAGCACGATGACCCAGTCAGAGAAGCCCACACGAACCTCGGAAGTGTCTTTACCGAGCTGATAGATGTCGCCAGAGAGGTCGTGTGACCTCTGCGTCGGCACTGTGGTGACTGGCTGGCCTCGCTCGACAGTTTGTCGCCAAGTCTTGCGCGGGGGGAATTCGCACGACGGGCGCGCGTATTTGTGACAGAAAATCATTACGTAATATACACCCCACATGGATATCGCAACGCAAGTCTGGCAGCTGACAGGCCGGGCGACATCATTAGTAGCAGCCAGATCTATGCATTCGAGCCCTTTGATCGCAACGATACGTCGGCTACAATGACTTTGTGAGATACCTCTCAGGATCTAAGCCTCGTCAGCCTCCTCGTCTTGAGCCTGCAGAAAGCCATTAGTTCTGAGCGGTCTTAGGCGAGCAATCACTGACAGCACGCTCCAGTAGAGCTTGTCTCTGATCACGGAGCTTAGTCTGGAGTCGCAGATGCTGGCCGAGTGCCGTCTTACTGGCGTCTTCGCCGCGCAAAAAGCTTGCCACTTCCTCGCGGTTATTGGGCGCAAATTCAATAGATGCTCGCTTCGATTTGATCCATGCGCAATTAGATTCGACCTTCTCGATCAGAGCGCGTAGTCCGGCATTGAGCTTGGTGTTACTTGTGTTCTTTGCATGTCGTCTCATGACCATGATGACAGGTATCGATAGCTCTGGCAAGGCGATGGACAGCGATTGGGTTGCAAAGAACTCGAGCAGTAGGAAGACAATCTCCTCCGCGAGACCGTCAGCTTGCACGCGCGTCTTTTCATACTGCGTTGGCGTGCGGATGTAGTACTGCCAATCGAGCGGTTTGAGACTGCTCGCTTTGGCCTTGCGCGTAAAGTCGGGGCTATCGAGCGACTCGACCAAAATTGCCGCCAACGGGATGTAAGTGCCGCTCCGCTGCATGATCCGCAGCAAGCTTCGACAAAGGTGAAGGTGGAACGGACGATATCTCGTGTTGGGGGTCAGTCTGCCTCACATCAGCACAGCAATGAGCTGCTTCCAGTGGACTGACTTCATTGCTCCAAGCGAGATCTGCACGAGCGGGAATACAAGTTGGTGCAGAGAGCTCGCGCCTCGTGCAGGCTCTGTCGAGCTATCTGAGGCGGAAGCAAGCACAATGGACCAGAAGTCTATCGCATGTACCCATTGCCAGTTATAGACGGCAGCCGAAGCGTCCTGCGCGGCCATTAGCTGCCATCTGCTATCGCGACGGTCAAACAACCTTCTGCTTCAGCTTCATGCTGTTTCGTAACTGGATCGCGAGCTGGCGAATATAGCCAAAAGCAAGCTGATACGTCACTTCTGGCTTGAGCAGATACAGCTCGGATGCCGAATTCTTGAGCAGATTGATTGTAGGCAGAGTGAAAGCAGTCGTACGTCGGGCGACCGATAACAAGCTAACATATGTTCTCTGGAATGCGCTGATCAATAAGCGGTACATCGGCGATGCGCCGTCTACAGACCTTGAGAATATCGTCGAGCACGGCAGCATCACCGGCAAGTGCGAGCTTGCGAAGCACAATTATTGCAGCCAATTTTACGCGATCAGCAGACGGTCCCGACCAAAGGCTGACGAGTGCCTGGACGACGACCTTGAGCAGACGTGGGTACACTTATTGAGGGCGCTTACCTTGAGGTAGTCTTTGAGGACTTTGCGATTGCCAATAACATACGGAAGCAATTTAGCGCTTTCTGTGAGAGACAATCGAAGTAGATCTGGATCCGTGACTTGCTCGAGGAGCTGGACCAGAGAAGCAAAGTAAGATTTGACGATACGCTGCGCGGATGCATATTGTCTTGAGGTATTAGGAGTCTTACTATTAAGCACACGTGCATCAGCGCAACTGAGTCAGTGCACTAGCAGACCTACAAGCGTCCGTTGGGCAGCTCTCTATACGGCACGCGCTGAGCAAGCACGAGTGGCACGTAGCGTAACACAAGGTTGACCAATCTGTTGAAGCTGCTCGGCGTCTGAATGATATACTTTGCAGCAGTATTCCCGTCGGCATTTGCACCGCTAGCTGCTGCAGAGCGGAAAGCAAGCAGAGGTTCTCTGAGCGAATGCAGCGAATGCGACTGCGTTCATGTCAGACTAATCCGCTTCACAAGGCCTTGATGAGACATACCTGCAAAATTTGACGTGACCAAGACTGGATGAGTTCTTTGGTGACCACGATAGCATCAGGCATGACCGCCTTGTCTTTGCCTTTCTTCGTTTTAGGCTGCTCCATTGACGCTTGACTCGCGCGCTCTGCCTCGTCGTCCTCGTCGAATGCTAGCAATTCGCGATCGTTTTCGAGCAGATACTTGTAGAACTCTGGGTCTTTGGTCTTCAACGCTTCGAGATTGAGCTTGTGCGACTTTGCGTCGTCTGTGATGCTCATGTCAGTCGTGCCTTGTTCTTGCATTTGCGATGTGACATACCTTGCAAGTCGCTCAAGTCGTCGTCATTGACAGAGCCCGCGTCTGAGTCCTGCATCTGCTCAAAGCTTGTCAGCGATTGAGACTCGCGAGCATGAACTGCGGCTGCTTACCTGATCTGACAAGTCATCTGCTGCTTCTGGCTCGACAGCGTCACTGTAGCAACCTTGAGCTCCGTCTCAGCGTGGTAAAGACGGGCGCACTCGTCGTCCCCGAATCCAAGCTGGTCATCTGATCCGTCGTCATCGATCCGCATGGTCAGGTCATCTTGCGCTTCAGATTTTTCCAGCTTTCTGCTCTTGCGCGAGATGACTGAAGGCTTTTTTGCTTGCTTCCCTTGTATTTTCTGCTTGGCCGCACGATGCTTGTGACGGTCCTTGATGGTATCATTCAGATGGTTGCGCTTGAACTTGATCGTTCGCTTGCTGCTCTGACCGCCTGCCATAGCGCCGCAAGATCCCAAATTCCGGATGCAACCGACAGAAAAGAAAGAGCGCGATGTCAAAAAAAGTTGTGTCGACCGTGGTCTACTGTAGGGAGCTAGCTACACCCTGTCACACGCAGTACATACTCAACCAGACTATGCGATGTGACGCTGTGATCCATGCAAAAGTACGATGCAAAGACGTCATGGCATGAAAGTAATACTCTTGTGAATGCCGCCGCATTCCTGTATGAGCGGAAAGGGATTATGCACCTGGCATCCGTCTCGCCTTGAACTTTGGCCCTTTGATCTCATGCGTACGTACCGAATAGATACCATAAGGGCATACGGGCGGCAGATCAGCTCCAGCATGTATATTTGGTTGGCAGAACGAATAGACGTGAGGACTAAGCGATTCGATTTGGCGATTCTCAAGATGAATACGAAAGGGCCAGACGAGGGTCGCACGGCAGCAAGCGTATGCGAGAGGCGTCCAGCTCGTTTCTGGCTCTGCTCCACAGGGTCAGTATCGCTCGTTCACCGCCGGAGCATATAGCGCTCGCCCACTGCTGGGCTGCCTTCGATAACGACGACGATTCGCGCATAGTTCTTGTCCGCGTCTCTATTGACAAGTTGATCCTCCGTGACAACCTTTGTGATCAGATGGGTATTGCTCTTGCAGATCCCATGCATCAGTTCGCATGACGCGCTCGGCTGCTTGACATACACATTCCACGTGGTTTGGCCAGGCTATGGTCGGCGCGGCGATAGTGCAACGGACGCTCGCATCTGCAGCATAGAATTCACCAACTTTCGGACAGTCTGCCATTAGCGTCCAGACCATATAGTAGCTCTGCAGATCGCGCTTCGTGATGTCATGCAAAGGGGGCAAGGCGTATGTTTGTTCCGCAGTCTTTCCGTTGCCATTGTCATCGTAGAAGAGGTGCTCAAAATCGAACCACGAGAAGCCTGTCGTCTTGCCGGATGCGCCGAACGGGCTCGCAAGACACAAGCCGAGCGCTGAAGCATACGCGAGCGCTGGCAAGGGTCTCATGCCTACTGCGGTGAGGAGACGGGAGTGGTCGCAGCAAACGACCTGTCAGGAGCAAAACTGCCTGCGGCATGGCAACGGGGTAACATGAAGCAGCGCATCCGGTGATAGGATGCTGAAAGTGTTGTCGTGTCCGACGATCATCTTATCGACGGCACGAGCCGACTGATGCGGCGAGCAGACAATCTTTGCCCAATTTGACTTCTGAACTTTAATTCGCGACGATCTCTCGCCGGCTCTGGCGAGGCGCGAGCGGCGCAGCAGACAGAGGACGGCCACCGACTATTTCGCCTCGTCTTGGAGGCAGGACAACCTGCGAGACCCATAGTACCTTCCGGACCTCGATCAGCGCGCGACCATGGCAGAAAAGAGCGGCACCAGCGGTGTCGAAGGTTTCTCACGCGCGGGACCGCCTAGCAAAGCCGATATCAGTCTCGAAGAGGTTCTACAAGGCCAGAGGTGCGCTCGCACCGGCAGATGACTATGAGATCCTGCTCACGAGTCTCGCAGGTGCTCGCCCCTTTCGCTTGCCGAGTTCGAATCGTTTGCAAAACACCAGGTAGATCGATTCGGGTGTGAGATCTTGGCAAGCTGACACTCACATAACACTCAGGAACACTCACTGGAGAACGTGCAATTCTACTTTTGGCTCGAAAACTATCGCCAGAGATTCTTTGCTCAAGATGCGGCCATCCAGGCCAGCTGTCCAGCGCCTCCAATGGATTTCTACCGGCCAGCCTCTGTCCGTTATGCGCGATCAGTAGCGAGCAGCGTTCGTGAGCGCAAGAGGTTCTTCAACTCTGGCAAAGCCGGATGGTGGAGGCTCAGACCTAATATGACCGCAAAGACCGAACGCGTCCGCCAGCAGAGTCACGGGCCTACAGAAGCGGCGGCATTCATTAATTCGACTCTCATAGATGCCAGTCGACGCGAAGACCTCAGAGTAGAATCAGATACTGCATCACTGGACGAGAAGACGGCCTCAGACGCGATCGTAGCACCCGAAGAAGTACCGTATTGTGAGCCAGAGGCAGCCTCTTCCTTGTCAATGTCCAAAACGCGCACGGACCGCATGCTAGAGCGATACCATGTCGATCGGAAAGTCGGTCTGCCTTTCGCTAAAGAGGTCGGAGCCGTCGTGCACACGTTCTTTTTGCCGCATTCGTCGAAGGAACTCAACCTCGAATCGACTTCACGCGAAAAGATCTTGCATCTGCTGGCCTATAACTCTGAAACACGTCAGTGCGAGGGCACAACTCATCCTGATGTCTTCCTTGCGGCAGCAGACGCAGTCTGGACTATGATGGAGGATGTCACCCTCCCTAACTTCTTGCGGTTCGCCGAAACCAACACGAACGGACCGAAGAGCAAATTTTGGTATATCATTGGCGCCATCGATGTCGGCGTCGGCCTTCTCATCTCACTACTGCTCCTCTTTCTCACTCATGCGCGATGGTGGCGAATCTTTGGCTTTCCCTTCATCCTCTTTGGCTCCATGCAAATCTACTCGGCAGCTCTCAAATTCTGCAGCGTCGTCAACAGTCGGGGAGCGCGTCAGATGTACCCGTGGGAGCTCGAAGCGTCTCAAGACGACGTGCCGGCTCGTCTGGACTCGCCCAAGGTCGAAGGCACAGGAACCGTGCCTCAAGGCCCCACCTCTGCAGCTATTCACAACGTCGTCAGTCCCTGGGACGAGCCGTCGCCGGATCTGATTCACCAGTGTCCTTGGCTGGCTGAGTCCATCGCATCGCCGGTGGACGACTCCAGTCCAGCTTCTGCGATGCCTGGCAAACCACGTGCACGACGCGGCAGTAACGTAGGCTCAGGCTCCAAAGTGCCTGTCTTTGGCCCGGAAAAGGTTAGGCTGTTGCCTTGATTACGCTGCCACCCTTGCTCACAGGTCTATGCAAACAGGCGCTCGAGGATCCTTACGTGGCAGAACTGCACAGGCAGGTCATGAATCGTATCTATTGCGCTGGAGGTCTCGCTACCGCGGCCGTCGGCGCTGCACTGCTCGCTGTGCCCATGCAATGATTGTACACTCATCCGACCATCATCATATTGTCATCTTTATACACTTGTATATTGCACACTGGGGCCTCCAAGACTACGAGAGATTTGTGTAGCCTGGACATATCGTGACGCCGAAGCCGAGCCGGTCGTCATGTCACCAGACAGACGCGCCGCGCGAATAACAACTTTGTAGGGCCGCGCACGACGACGAGCCGGGTGTCAGGTCCGCATGGATGGCCAGCAGAGCTTTGTCGCCGGCGATCTTGACAGCTACAAGAGCATCATACAGGGCGTCAGACAGCGGCGCTCGCAATACTTTGACGATGCAGCAGCCAATTTGAGCCCATGCAGAAAGTCCTACGACAACTCTGCAGCCAGCAGCCCAGAACAGTCCAGATTCCGGCATGACCTCTCGTCAAAGCGTGCAAGCTGGGTTGAAGGCTTGGAACGAGACTTGGTACTTTCCGCCCAGGTTGGGCAAGCCCTCCTCACCGAGCAGCGAGAATTGCAAGAATCACTCCGACAGGCGCAAGCTGCCAAGGATCAGCTGACCGAGAAGCTTGCGCTACTGGAGCAACAGAATGCTGGCTTGGCTCAGGTGCGTATACGTCACCCAAGCAAACTCAGCATTGACCGTCCGCATGACAGCGACTGCAAGCAACCGTTGACGATCTTGACTCGGCAGAAATGGCAGCTCGTTCGACAGCCCTGACGCTGGCCGAAGAGAGGACGCGCAATGTGAAGCTACAAGCAGATAACGTCAAGCTTTCAGCGAACGAGAAGCGGCTGGCGGGTGCGCTCAGGGATGCTCAAGACATGCGACAAGAACTTGCCAACGAAACCAATCGAGCTGATGCAGCCGAGAGCAGAGCCAGACGAGCGCTCGAGCGTCTGGGTGATCTTTCCTCGCGATCAGCGGCTTCTCTGCCTCCGCAAGTCATAGCGCCGGCCAAGCGCGTCCGTAATGCAACTGTGCCAGTCAACAATGTAGGCCACCCTTGGCCATGCTGCATCGTCGCAAGTTCTCATATTCCTGTTAAGACACCAGATATGTCAGATCTCAGCACTTTCGTTGGAGAGCTTGCCAACGAGAACGAGCTGCTACGAGCTAGCGTTGCTGAGCTCAAGCTCCATCTGCGCGCTAAAGCCGACGATTCGCAATCTCAATCCTTGACTCTCGACGAGACTCATGGCAGCTTGTTGAGTCAGATCCTACCGCCTGATTCGCCGCCAGTTCGCGCCCGACCTTCGTATCAGCGAATGTCGCCTAAGCTTGCCCGTCGAAGATCCGCTCTCGAGATATGCAGCGCTGCGCCGGCAGAAATGACGTTGTTCCCTAGCGACGTGTCTACTTCAACCGAGCTGTCACAGAGCACGTCATCTGTGCGGCCTCCACCGCACGGACGGGCAAGTGCGATCAGCAAGAGCGAAGAATTGTCACGATCGAGCAGCTTCTCGGATCAAGAGACCGCCTGCGATCGTCAACACCTCCTCAATGGCAGAGATATGCGCACAGCCTCTCTGCCGCTGCTTACAGAGCACGTCAGCAAATTACTCGCTCGATTGCGGGTGGCGGATGTCGCATCACTGGAGCAAAGACTAGCGCGTCAGCACTTGCCCGGCGATGTCAGTCGACTTGCTGTCTCGACCATGCGCGACATTGTACGTGCGCAGGCCTGAAAATATCATGTCCCGCTCACATTTCGGGACAGCTCACTGAAATCGAAGGCCTCCGAGGCCACTTCCGCAGGGTCGTCGAGGGTGAGCAGGCCAGCTTGGCCGTACTTGACGAGCACGCTAGTCTCGTAGGTCGGCGTGACTTTGTCAATCTTGTCAAACTTCTGCGAGACACGCTTTTCGAGGTCTCGAGGTTACGGGCGCTGCTCAACCGAATCATCCTCGAACCCGCTTTGGCAAAGAAGCTCAAAGATCTCGACGTGTCATCTGCGGCAGAGGATGCGATAGCGCTATCGACGACCGAGCCAGCCTCATCTGGTGGCATGCTTGCACCCCTTGCTCGATATCTGCCTTACGTTGGTCTGTCAAGCGGACGAGAAGAGGACAAACCGCCACTTCGGAAGCAAGATAGCCATTCTCGCGTGCCTGTCAGACAGGCCAGCAAGCTTTCGTCTTGCGCTGCCGTTGCCTCTGCTACTGTCAACGTCGAATTTGGCGCAAAAGGCGAAAATGCGGTTGCTTCTGCTGGCGCAGATTACGACGTTCCTGCGAGCCTGAGTCAAGCTACGGCGCGCAAAGGCGACATCTTTGGCATTTTTGCAGGCGGACGCACACAGAATGAGATCAAAGGGGCTCTGCGAGCTCCGGTTGCTGTAGCGCGAGCGCCGTTGGCGCCCGTATCTGCCAACGTGCCGGCTAGGATTCTTCGCAGGCGAGGATTCTCTGACTCGTCCATCAGATCGACTTTTATGAGCGAAACTCCTGCGGATAAGCTGATGCTTTCGACTGCCTCTCGTCAGATGGCAGATGGGTTGAAAGCTGTCGAAGCGGCTGCTAAGCCTGCCACTCTGGGCGTTGGACCTTCGGGCGAAGCGGTGCGTCAACTGACGCGCATGAAGAGCTACTCCGACATGTCTGTCAAGCCAACGCTACCACGAGATGCTCCGCCACCCATGCCGACGCGTGCGATACCGATCGTTGCGAGTTCGGCCATCGACACAAATGTCGGCTTCCTGACCAGCCTCGCATCTTGGGCAGGCCAGAGTCCGACGGGCAAGCTAGACCACGAAGAAGGCAAGGCATTCGTCGCGCCCCAGGCAAGACGCACACGACACGCTATGGAATGAGATGTTCACATCGAGGCATGCAATCAGTCATCGACAAGATCCTTGCGCTTCTTCTTGTGCTTCTTGCTGCCCTTGCTTGAGACGGGCACGGCAAGGTCGGCGATTGTTGCATCGAGCTGGTTGTGACCCGCACGGCCGTCGGAAGGATGGTTGATCTGTGCGTCTTCTCTTGACATGATTGCTTTGGCAGGCGCAGGCTCGAAGGATACCGTCTCTTCTCGCAGCTCGGTCGCGGGTATGTCTTCATCAAGATGAAGTCTGCCAGCTCGTGTCTGGTTCTCATCGTCGTCATGTTCACGTTCCTCTGGCGGTTCGGCTGGATTCTGTAGCAACGAGCCTTTGATGGATATCATCAGATTTGCAAACGTGAGCCTGTCGTCAAGTAAGGCTAGAGTGAGCACCTTCTGGTGCAAATGAGTGCGAGCTACTGACCCAACGACGGTGAAGCTGAGATGGCCTGTCTGATCGCCTAATACCTCGTTTGTCTTCCTGTGTACCCACTGCCCTTGTTCGGAGTGCATCGTATCTTCGAGCGGTACCGTCGGATCAGGTCTGAGCAAGCCTGCATCGCCTTGCGAGTCTGATGTGGCCTCATAGTCTGCCGTCTCGAAGAGGACATGATCCTGCGAATTGTTGCGCTCTTTTCGCTTCCGTTTCTTCTCACGTGGGCGAGGTACAGCACGGTCGGGATCGTAGCGGTACGCTCGAAGATCGATATGCTGACGCGCTATACTCGCATTGAAGAGGTCATAAACGAGCAAGCTGATGTGACCTGGCGTAGAGTTGGTGATCCGGCCCTCTGTGCCTTTCGGTCAGCAAGGTGCGAGCATCTATGTGTGTCGCGTGCCTAGGCGAGTGAGCAACTCTGGCCGAAATACAAGGGCATCGACGTCGAATTGCAGGTCCAAGAAGCCAGTAGAGGGTACCATGGCTGCACGCGCATCTTTGTGTCGAACAGGCAGCTCGTATGACAGCAAGACTCCGCCCAGACTGGGTAGATATCTGTTCTCGAGAGCGGCTCAGGCGCTTTGTTCGCTCTGATGACTCCCTGACGAACCGCATGAGGTAGGAATCCAGCCATTGCCTGATCCCCTCGTCTGGATCGCCCATGAAGACAGGTGCGAGTGGGATGCGCATGCTAGCAACGATCCAATGCAGAGCCGAATGCGGAGGTACCTTGCTCACTTGCGAGCGGCCAGCGCGCTCTGTCGTTGTCTGTCGCGGTTCCTTGCTCTGTTCAGACTCTGCCGGACCCTGCACGTCATGTTTGCGCTCGTCAGACTGCCAGCGGCTCTGTGTAAGCTGATTGTCGACGAGTTTTGAGGAGTTTGCATCCGGCTTCAACTGACGCTCAGCTCGTCGCTTCTTCTTCAGATGAGCTGTCGACGTGCTCGCTACAGGCTGGTGGGGTTCCACCATCGCTGCAAGCCGAGCAGGTGCTGGTGACTGGCCGTCTCCAAAATTGTGAGCATCAAAAATTTGGCGACTTGCTCTCGACCTGTTGTTGGTGCTTCAGGGATGTCGAGGCCCGAGCATATTGCTCCGCCCGAAGTCGTGAGTGCAGCATCAACCTCTTGCGAGCATGTGCTCAGCGTGTGGCGTAGTTCTATGGCGACACAGAGGCAAGCAAGTATACGGACAAGTGCGCTCCTCACGCTCCATCCGTGCAAACCCTTGTGCTCACAGGTAGCGTGCACAGCTCTCGTATACAGTCTATCCAGGCAGAGATGGCCATCCGCTGTCTCGAGCTACTCGCGCTCCCTCAAGCTGCTCGAGCTACTCTCAAGAACGGGCGAGAGGACGACGGCAAAAGCGACAGTGAGGACGACGACGACGACGATGATGATGATGCCATGTCCAACAATGAGGCTGCACCACAAGCAGAGCCCTCCTTCCTGCTCGATATCGGCTGTGGATCCGGTCTCAGTGGCGAGATCATCACTGAACACGGTCATCAATGGGTGGGCATCGACATTGCTGCCAGCATGCTAGGCAAGCTGGACACTGTTGATGTACTTAAGCTGACACCGACAATGCTCCTGACAGAGGTAGCCATACAGCGCGATGTCGAGGGCGATCTCTTGCTGCAGGATATCGGTCAAGGCTTTGGCTTTCGCGCTGGCATCTTTGATGGCGCGGTCAGGCAAGTCCACTGTGTTGCAGTGTTGGCCATACTCGGCTGATCCGGCAATCTTGGCAGCGTATCGGTCTTGCAATGGCTCTGCAACGCAGACAAATCGCATCACTCGCCCGCACAGCGTCTGGCGACTTTCTTTACCACTCTCTTTGCATCTCTCCGTCGAGGCGCTCGCGCAGTCTTCCAGTTCTACCCCGAATCAGACGACCAGGTCACCTTCATGATGTCTATCGCTACTCGAGCTGGCTTCGGAGGCGGTCTCGTTGTTGACTACCCCAACTCCAAGAAAGCGAAGAAGTTCTATCTCGTTCTCTTCGCAGGGCAAGCCGACCTGTCAGGCCGGCCGTCCGCGCTGCCCGCAGCCCTTGGAACCGAATCAGATCCAACAAGGGTACAATATGAAGCGCATAGACAGGACAGTGCGCCGTCAAAGCGCAGAAAGGGCAAACGCGCAAAGGATACCGCGACCACTCAGAAGGAATGGATCGTCGCAAAGAAGGACAAGTACCGTCGCAAAGGCAAAGAGGGCATCCCGACGGATTCAAAGCGAGTCTGCCTAATCTCTAGTGCCTAGTCAACGCGCTGATGACTGTATCTGCAGATATACTGGCCGAAAACGAAAGATACGTTTCTAGACAGACGGTCTGCGCCTAGCAGAAGTCAAGAAATGCTCGTATGGCGCGTCTGCATCATTCGTTCGAGGCTTTCCGCCACCATCCACACGACGACTCGGGCGCTTCTCAGAGCTCAGGGCGGGACGCCGACAGGCCGAATGCCGCTCCTTGTCCTACGCGTGCGCTGCAGAAGCGATGCGTCAGAAGCCATGGACAGGCCATGACGCAAAGGTCTAGCCTGCTAATGAGTCGGTGATTGCCCGACCGCGCACTTAGCTCATCGTCGTGACATGCAAGCTGCTAAGGATTCGGACGCGTCCTGACGCGATTTTCGACGCGACTCCCACATGTCTCTTTCCCATCTCGTCGAATAAGGTTGGTCGAGCTGCACGAAAATCCCGTTCATACCCTTCTGTCCGAGCTGCCGACATCCCGCTGTAAAGATTGTCAGGGCCCGTTTGCTAATCAGAACACGTCTCGTTATATGCTGCTCTACGAGAGGGAGGCGCGTTAGCGCGCGCCATCGAACGATGCGCCCGCTCTATAAGATCCTTGACTTCAATCTGCTCATCGCAGGAGCATCGAGGCGTGGCAAGGGCAGATCCAATACGATGGTCGTGGCAGCAAGACACCATGATCACCTGGTCAGCTCGCCACAGACTCCTCTCGACATTCTCAAATGGCGAGGTACGTCAAAGAATTCATATCTCTCTGCTTCCACTCTCCTGGCTCCCAGTCCTCCGGAACCTTGCTGCGGATCCGAGCATCCCTTGCTGATCCCAACTTTTGCCTGCTCACAGAGTCTTACTCGGCTCATCACGTTCGCACGCCCAGTCGTTCGCGGTGTCGCACACAGACATACGAACCTCCATCCCCCGTCGACTCGTGCGATCTCAACATCTGTTTCTCGGCGGACCACAGACCTTGCACAGGTCGCTCGCTTTATACCTCGCCGCCATGTGAGAGAACTTCGTCTCGAGGCAGGACATTAGACTGTACTCCCATCGCCAGCTGTAGCAGTACGGCATCGCCTCAGAGCGAGCATCTAGACGCGTCTTTCACCCGCGAATCCAACGAGGTCGTACGACGCGCTGGTAGACGACTGGACACGCACGCGACAACGGACTTGTGCCTGCCACTCTCGGCTGTTCTGCTTCGCCAGCACGATCTCAAGCTGGGCTCGGCTGCAAGTGACGCGGTCGAAGAAATTTCGCAGCTCGTGCCAGAAGCCACCCTTACGCTGATCGTTCCTGTGCTCAAGGGACTCTTCATCAATCGTCCACTTCGTACAATTGCCTACGTCCTGACTTGGCTAGCCGGGCGCTGGATGAGCACGATATATACCCAGCCTTCCTCTGACGACGTAGCTACGCCTGGCACGACCAAGCCTATGCTACAAGCTCGCGTCCGCGCCATCGCAGCCCTGGTGGCCGCCCTTTCGCAAGGCTGGCAACTACAGCAACGCGCCATTCTCATCAGCCACGTTGCTTCGACCGTTCTGTACGCTTATCAGGGCGGCATGGAAGACTACACGCGCACGATCAGCAAGACATTGTCCGCACAGGAGCTCTACTTGCTGCTTGCCCAGACGCAGAGGCTTGGCGGCGAAACCAAGTCAACAGAGGGCGGCATCACTTCACCCACTCGCTCACGTCCACGCATGCGAGTTCATACCGCAATCGCCAAGTCGCTAGAAAATCACTTGCTCGCCCGACTTGACGACAAAAAGGCTATAGTCGAAGAGCTCAGACAGCCAGCCTATCCCACGCCGCCCTGCGCCGACAACCCGCATGCTCACTCACGCAATCGATCCGAGAACAGCGCCTTCGCGGCCTCCTTGCTACCTGCAAGCCAACTCATGCAATCCGTCATCGGCCTCGGCCTAGAATCATCCGACGACGACAGAGACGTCGCCCCAGCTCCACTGCAATGTCCCGGCTCACCTAGACCAGCTCATAAGAGACGATTCGAAGAATTCACCCTCATCGGATCTCCACTTGCTGATCGAAGATCGCACAAGCGATTGCGCACGCCGCATTCGATTTAGCGCAGCACACACATCAATTCCCACGCTACACAACACTACTCACGTCTGCATACTACACCACCATGTCACGGTCGCCAGAAACGCTACTCACGATACCCTACTAGCTCTCCGTGAGCCTCACACGGTCAAGGCGTTTGCGCTTCTCCCACTTGCTCTGCTTTCTCGACGTCCCGAGACTCTCTAGCTCTGTACGGGCTCTAATGGCTGTTTGACTAGACTTGTAGCGACATTGAAAATACTTTGTCTCTGTCTTGACAAGCTGCCATCGTTGATGTCGAGTGACGACGAATGAGTTCGCTTACACTAACACCGACACATCGTCTACGCGACGCGCGCAAAGTTCACGGGCCACGATCTTGTCGGCTTGTCGCCATGGAGTCAGAAGCCTTCCACGTCCGGACACTGTTCTACCAAGGTAAGCTGCGCTCTGCGTGTCGACTGCGTCAGCTTGAACATGATCAGGGAGCTACACGTCCTGCGTTCAAACGGCAGAAGCCGCGCCATCCGCATCAAGCAAGTACTATGCTGCTCGAGCGCTCATTGCTCTCGGCCAGCCTCAGAAAGCCCATGTGATGCTTCAGGGCGACTCGTCGGCTTCTGCCAAAGCTATCAAGACGCTCGCGGGCTACACGGGCAAACGCATAGACGGTGCAACAGCTATTGCTACCCTTGAGGAACTCGTCGACAGCTCAGATCCAGAGAGCGAATGTCTTTGTCGAGCTATCTCGGGCACCCTCCTTAGTGCCGAGGGCGAGACGAACGAGGCTCTCATTGTTCTAGCAGCGGGTGCAGATGCCAAAGATCAAGAATGGTGAGTGCTCAGCGCTCGATCTGACTTGCTGGACTGACGGGAGGGCTAGCATTGCACTTCAAGTACAGATCCTACTCCATATGGACCGTGTCGATCTTGCACGCAAAGTCTACGAAGCTAGCAAGCTTTGGGCGGAAGACTCGCTGCTCATCCAACTCTGCGAGGCCTGGATAGGCCTGCGCACCGGCGGCGAAGCCAATCAAGCTGCATATTACGTGTACGATGAGATCGCACAGCTACCTTCGGCCAACAACGTAGCTGTACTGAACGGCAAAGCCATCGCGCAGGCCGCGATGGGTCATCTGCCCGAAGCAGAGTCCGGTCTCATCGAGGCGACTCAGCTCGACGCGCGACATGGCACTACTATAGCCAACACGGCAGCGCTGGCAGCCTTAGCAGGAAGAGCTGCCGCATCTGACGAAGCCTTTGCACAGCTGGCAAGCGTTGCACCCCAGCATCCGCTCGTCATTGACCTTGCGCACAAGTCGGCGCTTTTCGATGAGTATGCGTCGCGATATAGTGTGGCTGCTTGAGCAATGCATAGGCATGACAACAACATTTACAGCTCATCAACGAGATCTCTTGCTGTCATAACTGCAGACTGAAGGATGCTGGATTGCTCTGCGTTGAGCAGGCCGTCAGTGAGGATGAAATTGACAGCGCCAAAGGCGTGCTGTTGCGTCTGTGGGGTGGCCTGCACGAATACGCCTGGCACTGCGCCACGTTTGGGGTGCTGTCCATTGAAAAGCGGATGCAGACTCGCAGACATCTCTGCCATCGCTGCTCTCCCGAACGGTCGGCAGTCTTGCGTCGCAGCAATATCACGCAAGAAGGCAGCAACGCACTGCAATGAGCATCAGCGACCGTATTGTTGCGTTTGCGGGGGCACATGCCTCCGTAGCGTTCTTGCGAGATGGCCCGAGCTGAAAGATGAAGCGTGGCAATGTGCACAGCCATTTGTGCAAATCAGGTTGTAGTTCTTCCGATTGCACGTCGAATCGACCTCGGTATGAAGGCCACAGGCTGGTTCTACAGAGCATGCTGATGAATTGGAACAGGTAAGAGGACTCTTCGGTCGTAGCTTTGGCCCGGGCAAAGCGATCGAGCAAAGCACGGAAGATCAGTTGTCGGTCTACTTCGGGCGTCGTAGGAGCATCGAGGATTGTCCAGATGATGGGCAGGATAGCCAGAAGACTGTCGCTCGTCAGCTTAGGGGTATCGCCGCCCAGAATGTCGGCTTCTTGCAGTGCAGTGAGCAGGTAGTCTCTTACACTCTGTTGCATGACAGCGAGACTGTTCATCGCCTTGCTTGTTTTGTGAGTTGCGACCTCGGAAGGTAAAGCGAGGGAAGCAAGCGAGACGAGCTCGCAGTAGGCGAGATTGGTATCCTGGCAAAACTGTCTTATCTTACTGCCATCGTGCGCAGATCGACTTGCTTCGTCAGGTATGGGAAGATGCCCAGACATGCGCTGTAGCATCTCTATCAGGCCGGATCGTAGCCTTGCAACGTCCTTGCTGTCTCGCTCGGCGTCGAATGTAGCAGGATCGGTCAGTCGGACCAAAGCACTCCTGTACAGATCCCTCGCTATCTTCGCGAGTGCATGTATCATCTCTGCAGCCATCAACGGCGCGACAGGACCGGGTGCTTGCATGAAGGCCGTGGGCGCATAGTCAAGGTAGGCAGAAACGAGCGTAGGCTGCAGACTAGCAATGAGCTGGGCGGGCTCGGATTGCTGTCTTGCTATGCCCGCTTCCGTCAATGCAAGTATCTCTGCGTCTATGCCGAACAAGTCTTGAGCGGCAGCAGTAGCTTGGCTCGCAAGCAAATCGTATGACCTTGGCACTACTTTCGCCCGCGCCAGGGATCGCTCGAAAGCAGCAAAGGCGCGTGGCGAAGAGAAGGCACGGGCGAGGTACCATGATGGTATTCGCTTGACTGCAGCCTCGTCCCGAGAGGTTCTCGGATGTAAAGCGCAGTCGAGAAAGGTAGCTAGGCCTTTGAAGACGACGAGCTTGGAGGCGGGCGACAGAGAGAGGGCCATGCCAGATCCACTGACGCCCATCGTCATGGAGGATGAAGCCGAGATTTGTAGTAGAGAGAGATACGCGTCGACGTATCGCTGCCCTTGTGCGGCAGCAAGGCCGTCATTCTGTGCGTCAGAGGCTACAGCGACTCGCCCATCCTTTGCCCAGCCGGCTGTGATCATATCGGGCGTGTGTTCGAGCATGATATCAACAAGTCTGATGCCATCCAGTCTTATCTCTGGAAAAATATTTGACAGAACCGATGATAAATGAAGATTCAGCATGGAATGATAGGGTGACAAGTAAGTCTGTCTGGCGCTATGAGCAGCATTCTGATCAAGAACAGCAAGCTGACCCTATCTATTCTGGCCAGATGGAAGCGGTAGAAGCTCTGCAGTGCTCTGCGGACTTGAAAGTCTGTATCGTCGCCCAGGCGTATCGTAGCTGAAATGACAGGACCCAGGGAGCTCTGAGCAAGATGCGGATGGAGCGTGAAGAGCTCTTGCAGCCCGAGCAGCGCATCTGCACAGCCTTTAGCCACACGAACATCTGGACACAGCCAAGTACTTGCCTTTCCGTGTGGAGGCGTTGTGGTGGGTCAGACTGGCGAGCAAGTCGGCGAGCGTTTGTCGTCGCTTGTTCGTCGTCGCTTCGCCTTCCTTGGCACTGGATCCAAGACTTTGATGGCTGACATTAATTGCTACGCTTTGCGCTTGAGTGTATCGAACTCACGAGCCCGTGCGGACTCACCTCGAGCTGTGAATGCGGTCGAGGTGGCATTGGCAGATTTGAGAGGACCTTTGCCGAGTTTGAGCTTGGCTTTCTGTCAATCGCACCCAAATCAGTCAGGACGAGCAAATTCATCAAACGTAGATAGCTTGCAGTGAAGTCTGCCTTCTTCTCCTTCTTCTTCTTCGTCGCTTTAGCCATTGCTCTGTCGAAGTGAGCTATTTGATAGATGGTCGCGTCAGATGACTCTCACATCAGTGCCCCTCGTGCTCGACAGGCAAATTCTGCTGACGCTGGTTTTCCATTGCTGAGAAGCCCTCGGCAGGATGGGCAAAAGCCAAAAGAAGACCGGCAAGGGCCGTCTGGATAAGTGGTACAAGCTAGCAAAGCAAGTCTTCTGCATCGCTCCAAAAACAAAGTCTGAGTTGTCGGCCAATTCCACAGAGAGCAAGGCTACCGGGCTCGTTCGGCATTCAAGCTAATTCAGATCAACAAGAAGTACCAGTTCCTCGAGTCTGCACGATGCTGTATCGATCTCTGTGCTGCCCCGGGTGGCTGGCTTCAGGTAGCCTCGAAAGCCATGCCGCCTAACAGCGTCATCGTCGGCATCGACCTTGTTGCCATCAAGCCCATCGCTCGCTGTGTCACCATCGCAGAGGACATCACCACCGATGCTTGTAGGAGAGCGATAAGGGCAGAGGTCAAAGACTGGAAAGCAGATGTGTCAGTAGGGCGCGGCCATCAGTGACTTGCGCTCATATTGGCGCACAACGGTAACAGCGTGCTACACGACGGAGCGCCCAACGTGGGCACAGCATGGATTCAGGATGCTTTCACACAGGCAGAGCTCGTCCTTGCTTCTCTCAAGCTCGCCACTGAGTTTCTCGCACCGGGCGGTGAGCATTGCCCCAAAGCTCAGCTGTGATCCCTCGCTGATGCTTGCGGGTAAGGTACATTCGTCACAAAGGTGTTCAGATCGAGCGACTACAATTCACTCATGTTCGTCTTCAATCAGCTGTTCAAGCGGGTCGAAGCGACAAAACCACCCTCTTCGCGTAATGTCTCAGCAGAGATTTTTGTCGTCTGCCAGGGTTTCCTCGCACCGCGCAAGATCGATCCCCGCTTTCTCGATGCCAAATCGGTCTTCTCAGATCTCGACATGATGGCAGCTACGTCTGCCAAGTCTGCAGGCGAGGACACAGAAGCAGAGGGAGGAAAGCCGAGGAAGATCAACAAACTTACTCCCAACGCACTCAACGTGTTCCACCCCGAAAAGAAAAGACGTAATCGAGAAGGATATGCAGATGGAGATTACACGCTGCATCACACGACGCCCGCAAACGAGTACATCACAACGCGGGATCCTATCGACTTGCTTGCGCGCACGAACAAGATCTCTTTCGAGTCGACCGAAGAGCTTGAGCTGCTCAAGAATGCAGAGACCACAGAAGACATCAGGGTGTCTTGTGAGGATCTCAAAGTGCTCGGCAAGCGGGAGTTCAAGCAACTGCTCAAATGGCGCAGCAAGATTCGACTACAGCGCGGCCTCGACGTCAAGCACGTTCCAGCACCCGAAGAGACTGCTGTTGAGGTCGAGCCACTGAATGAAGAAGAGGAGCTCGAGCAGGAAGTTGACAGGCTCAAGACGGAGGAAGCGAACAGGAAGCGGCGCGATAGGCGGAGACTGAACGAGAAGAAAGCGAGAGATCTGCAGCGTATGCAGCTGCATATGACCACACCCGCCGATATCGGTCTAGAGCGACAAGATGGCATGGACAATATCTTTGAGCTTTCTGCTATCGATGGTCGGTCGAACCGCATAGGTCAGACGGGTTTCGACAGCGATGACGAAGAGAGCCTACGTCCATCGAAGCCAAAGCAGATCATACCTCATGTTGAGGACGAATCGGACGAAGACGAAGACATCAGCGATGAGGAAGAGCTTCGCATCCGTCAAGCCGAACGAGATCTTGATCGGCAGTATGATTCGTACCAGAACAGGAAGCTCGAGAAGGACTCTCGCTACCAAGTCAAAGAGGCGAGGAAGAAGCGCGATGCCGAAGAAGGCGTCTGGGGCGGTATAGAAGATGCGGCACAATCTTCAGAGGACGAGATGACCCTTGGCGCAGCCTCGCAAAAGCGAGCGAGGCAGCTCGATTCGGACGATGAAGAGGTGGACGAATCTGATGTAGAGGGCGATGTGGATGCAGAAGCAGAGGCCATCATGGCTTCTCGTGGTCATGTGCGTAGCAAGGAGGGCAAGCTCATCCAATCGCTCGTCAATAAGAAAGCTGGCACTGCTGAGACGAAAGCGCGCGCGGCCGATCTCTGGTTCGACCAGCCTGCTTTTAGGGATATACAAGGTCTCGACGCCCTCATGGGCCTAGAGGATGCTTCTCCTTCCGTTCCGAGCTCTGCCGACGAAGGAAAAGAGGAGGACGAAGAAGTAGACATGCTGCCCGATATCGAGGATCGAGAGGATTCGGACGAGAGCGGGTTTGAAGAGGTCGCAATGGACGCCGACCCTGACGAGTGGCTCAAAGCGGGCGAGGAAGAGGAGGAACGGAAGCGCGAAAGGATCGAGCGTGAGTTGCCCAGCTCTATCGCGGCGTCAGAGTCATCTGACATGATGAACAGGTCTGGGACTGACGACGGTGGAGGCTGTCAGTATAGCACAACGACTGGTCAATCGCGAAGTGACAAAGGATGAACTGCTCGACGAAGGCTTTACGCGACATGCCTTCAATGATAAGGATGGGCTGCCTTCTTGGTTCCTAGACGACGAGATGAAGCACTTTCGACACAACATTCCTGTGACCAAGGAAGCTTCGGACGCTCTCAAGGAGAAGGTGAGAGCGCTGAATGCACGACCGATCAAGAAGATCGCCGAGGCGAAAGCGAGGAAGAAGATGCGTACGCTCAGACGATTGGAGAAGGCGCAGAAGAAGGCAGACACGGTCAATGAGACTGATGACATTACCGAGAAGGAGAAGGCGGCTAGTATTGCTAAGATCCTGGCCAAGAGCGGCGGGAACAAGCCTGCCAAGCGGAGAGAGATCAAGGTCGTGGTGGCCAAAGGTGCCAATCGCGGTCAAAAGGGTCGTCCGAAAGGTGTCAAGGGTCGCTATAAAGTCAGTATTCTGCTTCTGAATCTCAGAAAGAGCCTATGCTGAACGGCGTCGTGCAGATGGTTGATCCTCGAGGCAAGAAAGAGATTCGTGCAGAGAAGAGGATCGCACGAAGGGATGCAGGCAAGAAGCCAAAATCGAGTCGGCATCACTAGACGGAGTAGTGCTTGGGGTTTGCTCTCTGCTTGTTGTCAAGTTGCAATCAATTGTACAACGTCCATTGGGTCCCCGTCACTGGCCTGCAGCATTCCTCTGCTCCTCTAACCTCTTGACGATGAACAACGAAGAGTCCAAGAAGCGGTCAACGCAGCTGTTCGTCGTTGGCTCTCGTGAGCATCGCATCAAAGGTGCAGGGTGAACGTCAGACTGACTTGACGAGGCATTGTTCCTCTTTGCTAGAGAAGCGATTGCTCGGTGTGCCTGTGATGCACTTTGTCCAGCACATGTCTGTCCGAGTCCGATCTCGTCAGACACCCGTGCTAGATCAGTGGACAGCCGCCACGAGGTGACAGACCATTGAAGGTGTGTATGGACTGCTGCACTCTTGCCTGTGCCTGCTGCTGCTCTATGAAGGACTGCAGCTCCCTCTGGGTGGCCTCATCGAACTCCTTGGCTGCTGCCATTCTTCGCCGCTCAGCTTCACAAAATTGCGAGCCAAGTCGTGCGCAATCGTGATCGAGAGAGGAAAGTGGAAGCGACGATGCTGACTTGCAGAGCCTGTCTGCTGGCAGGCAGGAGCCCAGCAGTACGCTCTTCAGTCGGCCGATCAGGCAGCAGGAGGAAGATCAGCAGCGGTGTAGCAGCCATCGATGCAGACTCGCTCCCTGACCGATTTGAGCTCCTCGATGATGATCAGGTCGAATGGCTCAACAGGGCAGAGCTCGCTCGGCCCACCATCAGGAGATCTGCACAGGCCAAGTATGGTTCTGCACAGTCTGGCCAGATCGACCTGCCCCTGCCTCTCCAGCAAGCTGTAACGCAACTCGTCCAAGGCAAACCGCTTCGGCTCTTGCAGAGCTGTCAGCTTACTGACCTCTTCTGGCGGGTGTTGCAGAGAGCGACAGGCCATTGCTGCGTCAGGATGCATTGAAGCTCTATGCTCGCATGGGCGAGAGCAGCAGACAGGGCCAACAAGATCGCAAGAAAGGCAGACTGCCTCGCGATCAGAGATCTCCTGCCAGTGTCAGGGACCAGCGCACGAAGATGGTCTACGACCATCGCTCTGCACTCGCCTATGCTGCCGGCGTCATGCCCTCCGTCTATGCTGCTACCCAGTCCGTTCTGCAGGAGACGCGAAAGAGACTAGAGGCTAGCGCGAGCCAGGCCGGCTGGCGTCCAGGTCGGATCATCGATTTTGGCAGCGGTACTGCAAGCACGGCATGGTGCGTGGTGCTTTCGACTGGTTCGTCAAACAGCCGATTGAAGATGGCTACCTACAGGGCTGCAAACGCGGTATGGCCAGAGCACAAGATAGCCTATACCGCCCTGGACGCGTCTCCATCGATGACCCATACCGCCGCAAAACTTCTTGCATACTTACCAGACGAGCATCTAGATCGCAGCTTCCACACTACCCGTATCCCGACATCAGATTCGTCATCGATCACGCAGAACGCGATAGGTGAAGATGCCCAACACACTCTGGCGATCTCAGCTTTCGCACTCGACGAGTTGGGCTCCACAAGTGACAGGAGAGACTGCATCCGTGCAATGTGGGAATCGGGCGCACAGGTCATCGTCCTCATCGAGCGTGGGACTGCAAAGGGTTTCATGCATATCGCCAAAGCAAGAGAGCAGCTCCTCAATCTCGGCAGACGACGACCGGATGAGCAACCTCTGGGCGCTGATGATCCTGTCGAATCGGATGCGGACGTACTCCACATTGGCGGTAATACGCTCGTGGCTGATGATGCAAAGGTACCGGACGGATCTGCTCTTCAGGCAGAGGGCAGCTACGTCGTCGCACCTTGTCCACACGACGGCGAATGTCCACTCCATCGCGAGAAGGACATTTGCCACTTCTCTCAGCGAGGTCAGTCTGCGAGTCGTCAGTCGAGATATGGCTCACGCAATATTTGACCGGTAGTGTCGAGACCTAGCTACCTGAGAAGAACAAAGCACGCTCGTGTAGGAGAGGAAGACAGCAAATTCTCCTACGTCGTCATCCGCCGCGGGCCTCGCCCTAGCCACGCAATTTCTGAAGCTAGACAGGCTACAACTCGCGAGGAAGATGTCCAGCTAAGTCAGAGAGAGCGTCACGATGCAATGGCCTGGCCGAGACTGCTCTATCCGCCCATGAAGCGATCGGGACATGTGATCATGGACGTCTGCTCGTCATCCGGACACATCGAACGAATGATCATTGCCAAGTCTGCCGGTCGACAGGCATACTACGATGCCAGGAAGAGCTCGTGGGGTGATGCTTTCCCACACGCTTCGCGCACGCCGCCCGTCGTGAAGTCTTTCGACGGTGCCAAGCGGCTTCACGACTTTGCCATCCGAGCGACTGGCTCGGGAGCGGACTGGCTTGCAGGCGGAGGTGAGAACGAGGTGGCCGATGATCGGCAGACGCTCAGACAGGTCGATGCTGTTGTGCCCTAACGGATGTGCTCATGTTGCTTGAAGATCGCACTCGTGAAAGGCGCCAGGTCGTCTTCCTCGAGACAGTCAGGTCTGTCTTCTGCGCTCAGTTGCGCTGGGGAGCACGGAGAAGATGCTGACCCTCTGGGTGCAAAGATCTTGATATGTCGCACATGAGTGTCTTTGCCGTTGAGATGATTGGCCAGTATCGCAAGCTGGATGTAGTGCGCACGGATCACACCCCTGCTGGCCTAGCAAGAATGAGCAAACGCTTCTGGCTGCTCGACGACTCTGGCTAGCCTTTCCGGGTCTGCGTCTGCACTGTCTTGGTCCTCTTCGTCGTCCTCTTCGCCCATGATCAGGTGTGACCAGCCTCTCGGCCTCTCTAGCTCGACCACTTTGATCTGGCTCGCCATGAGCATCTTCATGTCAGCACCCAGACTAGCTGGATCTCACTTCTTGCAAGTCGCCAGAGAACGAGCCGGCGCGTATCGCGATACGGTGGGGCGTGTACGAGTCGTCTGTATTGACATCTACAAAGAGCGAGACTTGCTGTCCAGCCCGCAAAGCGATCAGTTTGGACGCAATCATGCAGCTGAGCCGCGGCGACGGACAGTGATGGGCATACGCCGTCTGAACTGGATATTGATCAGATGAGGCTGAGGGCCCTCGCTCCTTTTACTCGTTCCTTGAGCGCGTACGACGAAGGAGCCGTGTGGACGTACTGCCACAGTGTCTCGACGGAAGGATCGAGTAGCTGCTGGACGCCATAGCCGGGTTTGGCAGATGACACTGACCACTGCGCGAACCGGCCGACATCTCTCTTGTGGCGCAAGTCTGCGGGCAAGTCAATGAATGCTGTTGGCCTGCCCGAAAGGAGGAAGAGACCATCGACGCTTCGTGGATCGGACACATCGCTGCTAGGCCGAACAGAGATCTCCAGTGTCATGACTTGGCCATCGTCATCCATCGCCGGATGTGTAGCTGCGCCGCCCTAGCCTGGCTTCGATAGCTCCAGCCGACGCGCGTTCTCTTGCTCAGGAAGAGAGCAGCTGCCCCCTTCTACGAGCTCCACGACACGGCCAAGCATGCTCAGACCGGCTGCTAGAGCAGCTCATCGACTTGTCGGCGAGATCGGCGCCGCTCGTCCGCTCAGTACGAGACCGCCCACAAGCGTCCAGTACGGCAAAGATGAAGGAATCACCTTGCTCACCCTCGACCGAGCGGAAACACGCAACGCCATCTCGAGAATGATGCTAGACGGACTGCGCGAGCACTTGCACACGATCCGCTTTGACGGGCAAGCCTATGCCTGGTACCCGTCGTGCTAGGCTCATGTTCCAGCAGGCGAACACGCGTGCTGATCCTCAACTCGGCCGTTCCCTATACGTTCTGCAGCGGCGCAGACCTCAAAGAGCGTCGCACGATGACACAGACCCAAGTCAATCAGTTTCTCTTCGATCTACGCGCGGCCTTGACCGCGCTGGAGGATCTACCGATGCCGACGCTGGCAGCCATCGAGGGCCCTGCTCTCGGTGGCGGCTTGGAACTCGCGCTTGCTTGCGATCTACGCGTTGCATCTGCTTCAGTGAGCAAGATCGGATTGCCAGAGACGAGCAGAGCCATCATACCAGGAGCGGGGGGCACGCAGCGATTGGCGAGGTTGGTAGGCTTGGCCAGGGCGAAAGACCTCATCTTCACGTCGAGACTGCTCAGTGCTCAAGAAGCACTCCGCGTGGGGATCGTCGACCGAGTGAGCGCGCATGATCAGACAGCAACAGAGAAAGCGGTAGAGATGGCGAAGGAGATGACGCCGAATGGACCGATCGCGCTCGGTGCTGCCAAGATGGCAATCACACGCGGGACCTCAATGAGCATGCAAGCTTGTCGAACAACTCTTGGCATGGCTAGGCTGATGCTTCGTCTTGACAGGGAAGCAGGACTCGACTTTGAGCGAGAATGTTACAATCGCTGCCTGGCGAGCCAGGACCGACGCGAGGGGTTGGCCGCTTTTGCAGAGAAACGAAAACCGCAGTACAAGGGCGAATGAGTGCAGTCAGTCAGATGTCTGTGTTTGTATGTAAGCTGCAGGATGTGTTGACAACAACAAGCTGTGACACGTGAGGCTACGAAGAGGCTGATCTGGCAGCTTTGAGCACCTCTTCTGGCGTGTAGCGTACCATCTCGTACTCTTTGTGGACATACCCGCATTTTTCGTAGAACGCTGTGCCGTGATATCAGTCTCCTGCAGCGCAATCTGAACAAGAGACTCACGGATGTTGTCCTTGTTGCAATCGAGGATGACTTTGTAGCAACCCACCTTTTCGCCAATCGCTGTCAAAGCGAGGATGATCTTCTTGCCCAGAGACTGTCCCTGTGCTTCCTTCGAGACTGCGATATCCTCAATGTGTCCGACCAAGCCCAGCCCCCTGAGGAACTTGCGTTCGACGATGAGCGTGCCGACTGCCATGATCTTGTGTTCTGTCGCTACAACGAGAGGGTAGTACGCTGCCGGCTGGGCAGTGTGCATCTCATCGAATCGCGATTGCCAGGCGGCCTGACCGGGATCGGGAGCCTGGGTGAGCACGGTGAGGACGTCGAGATGGCCTTTGGAGTAGTCATCGCGTGCAAGTGGGCGGATCTGCTCGGGGAACTCAGCTGGGACGCCGGGCAGAAGGGTGACGGTGAGCATACGATGTAGCCTTGCTTGAGATCCGATTGGATGCTGTCGAGCCAGTCGTGAGCATCGAATGCCATCTCGTCCTGGCGCGACTGCATCGAGTGAACGCGGAGAGCGACGCGTCAAGTGCAAAGTGCGTCGTCATCTGCCGCTTGCAATGTCATGCTCAGCGCCGTTCCTGGACCAGTAGAAGGCCTGTCGTACCTGCCGGACTTCATTTCCATCGCAGACGAAGCTCATCTGCTCAGCAAGATTGAAGAGATTGGCGGGGTCGAACTCGATTCAGCTGCCGGTCAGCGGATCTATAGGGACAGGGGGACATGCGCAGGATGGAAAGATCTCAACGGGCGTCGATCGATGTACTTTGGTGCGCTCAGCCCACACGCCTTGCAGAATGATCAGGTCTGAGAGGACGCACGAACAGGAGGGACGATACTGCCAAGGACATCTACGCTCGTGCCCGTGGCGATGCCTCCGTTCATGCAAGCCAGCTACCCTCACATACTCGACAAGATCGCCCAACTCGGATTATACGATACTTGCAAGACAAGCCGACCGAACCATGTGCTCTTGAACGAATACCTGCCCGGCCAAGGCATCGCTGCGCACGAAGACGGTGATGCCTATCATCCTGTCGTCTGCACTCTCTCGCTCGGCTCTGGCACGATACTCGAGCTGTACGAATACGAAGGGCAGGCGACCGAAGAGGCGAGGACGATATTGCCGGATCCTATCATGTCGATCTACGCAGAGCGGCGGTCGCTGCTCGTCTTGAGTGGTGCAGCGTATACTGCTTGTCTGCATGGTATTGCCGCTCGGCAAGTCGACAGCGCAGAGCAAATCCAGCGATGCGCCAACGTTCGAGCTGGCTTGACGAGCTCGGCACTGCCTGCTAGCCAGGATGTAGATCGTCGTCGCAGAGTCTCGCTGACGATGCGGCATGTGCCCAAAGTCAAGCGACTGCTCTGACATGCAGACTCGCGTAGGCCTACTTTGACGGCTTGGGGCCTTGGAAATACAGCGTCGTCCTGAAGCCGCGTACGGCATCATCTTTGTATTTCGACAAGGCGATGCGGTCAGTTGCCTTCAGCTCGTCCGTCGTCGCGGTGATGAGCTGCTCTTGGACCGCATCGACAAATCTCCTCCGGACCTGAGGATCGACAGGGGCAGGCTGGGCGCGCGTGCCTTGGAGCTCGACCATTGTTCTGCCGCCCTTTGCAAGCGTTCGCGCAGCCACGGACAGCTTGTGCTTCAGATCGTGAGGCGTGACATGCCAGGAGAGTTGGACTTCTTTCTCTTCCAACTGGCCTGTAGCCGACAGACCCAACTTCTTCCTCGCTCTCCTCTTTTCCGACTCCTCTCTTGCTTTCTGCACTTCCTCTGCTTTCGACCGTATGCGTACAATGGGATAGCCTGCAGATTGATCCCTCACAGGCAGAGGCATACTGACGGACGCAGGGCCGGGCGAACGAGCTTGGGTATCGACGATATAATGCGTGTTTCGGTTCATGGAGGCCAGAACGGCGTCTAGGCGAGCAGGAGGGAGGAGCGAGCCCGAGACAGGGTCGACGAGCACGACGAGTCGTGATCGTATGGCTTCATCTTTCGCTGGCTCTCGCTTGTTGCTCCTTGTCGCGCTTGATGGACCCCCAGGCGTGATCATTGACGAGATGGCATAGCCTCTCCTGCCCGCTGAGCGAGACACTGGCACCCCGCTTGGCGCAATCTGGCGTGTGCTTGCCAGTCTGAGGCATAGCTGGCATTGTCGCAGCATCGCCGTCGTCCTGCGCATCTGCATGCTGGCCTGCTGTCGCGCTTTTGTGTGAGACTATAAAAGGCGTGTCTGCCGGCAAGCGCAGGCGGAGGCCAGCCATGAGTCAGCCCAACGGCAAACGACGCAAGTCGACGCTCCGACAGGAAGGCTTCCTGACGCCCGAGCCAGGCTCGAGGAGAAACTCGCTCTCGTCCGGGTTCCTTATCGTTCAGGCCTCAGCGGAATCTGACCCGAATGGTCAAGCGCTCGCTCGCCCACGAGCATGGTACTGCTTGCCCCTTCTGGCCACAATCGATCTCGTGTATACCACCACCACGACGGCACTGTTGCTCGAGCAAGATCTCGTCAGACCTGCGCCAATGTGGCTCCTGCCCGCTTGGGGCCTCATCCGCTGCTGCGGCATCCTCTTCGCTACATCTACAAGTCACATCAGGAACATGTCATGGATCATTGCTGCCCTTTCGATGGCAAGCAACACCTGAGCAACGCAGAGAACGCGAGCTGACTCTGACGCGTCGGTCAGGGTACTGCGCTCGTCTTCCTTTTCGAGCTCAATATGCTTGTCCAAGATCGCATCTACCTCTTTCCGGGTCATACTGCCGATGGCACTGACTCGGCCAAGATGCCCCCTGCGCTCACGGTCTACCTGCTCTCCCAGCTCGGTTTCGCAGTACTCCACTGGGTCGCCTTTGTGATGGTCGTGGGCGTCAGACCTCGCACGACGGTCCTCAGCAAGGTCAGCTATCGCGAGCTCGATGCCGACGAGTCAGAGGTAGAAGTCGAATGTGACGAGCGAGGTACGCCAAGGATGCCGGTCAGAAAGAGACTCTGGCGCAAATTGAGAGGATCGGTTTGGGAGGATCGGTTTGTCCGAGTTGACTATGGCACGATACAGGCCCTTCCGGAGGCAGAAGAGATCACTGTGGACATAGATCATGCTTTTGATCGAGGAGATGAGGAAGCTCGGTTGAGCGACGGGCAAGAGGAGGCGATCGATGTGTACGACGCCGAAGGATTGTCGAGTGACGATGATCCAGACGATATCATCGATCTGCCACCTCGGCGATGTCACAGTCTATCGATCACCAGTCGACCCTCAGAGGCCATGTTCGCTTCTGCCAGCCCATCCTGGCGCTCGCTGCGTGCGAGGCCTTCCTCGCGCATCGCTCTGCCCAACGCAGACACTTCGCCCAATTGAGTCTGTCCTGTCATGATGTTGTAAGACTGCATGCAAAGGTTGTTACAATGCCAACAAAGAGCCATCACGATCGAAGCCCCAAGCACTTTGGGAAGCCTCGTCCTGATGCAGGCGCTAGGTGATATGGATGCTCGCGACCGACCCGCCCAGCGCTTCTATCCTTGCCTTCTCAGCTCGATCTCGTTCGTCCTCTGTCTCTCGTCTGTACCGGGCCAGATCAAAGTCTTCCCCGTCGTCCTCCTCGTCCGAATCTTCGTAGTGGAGCGGTGACAGCTCGAAGAGGTCTCTGCCCGACATACCCGTCGTCCTGCCCGCAGACGCGGTGGCTTGTTTCGTCTTTCGTATCAAATCGGCTTCTGCGTCCTTCTGATTCATCCGGTTCTTCTTCCATTCTGCGAAAGAATCCGCCGTCACTGGTGTCAGCTCGCCTTTGATCTTGTGCCGCTGTGGACACGGATTCGAGCATCAGCTGTGTGGAAAGCTTTGATTCATGTGACCCCACCTCGACTTCTAAGAACTCTTCCAGCGAAATCTCTTGTTTCTTTTCGTCTTCTTCGTCTTTCTTCCGTTGAGATTTCAATACGAAGCCGGGCGGTAGCGCATGTCGGTACCTGTCGGGACAATAAGCACACAGGTCGCACGAGAAGCGAGGACACGACTCACTTGCAGTCGTCGCCCGAGGGACATTGCCAGAAGAATCCATATTTTGCCTCTTCGATCGCATCGATGAAATGCTTGCAGACGATGTCTGTCCAACGTCGGAGACTTCATGAGCGTTGTTACGGGCTGATGAGCCCTGCAGTCGTACCTGTCGTTGTCTTGAGATTGCCATGCTTGCTCATGACGACTTCTCGCAGTTTCTCCTCGTCCCAATTCTCCATCGTCTCATCCTTATCTCGTACATCGGTGTACAGATCTTTCTTCTCCGCCTTGCGTTCGATGTTCGGATCGTGTGAGAACTTGCACTTGTTCCCCTTTTCGCAATGGCCCGCCTTGAAGTAACTACAGAGAATCGTTTTCGGATCTGCAGGTGCGCGCATCAGCCTCGAAAGCTGGAAAGGATTGTGCAGGTACGTACCGACGCCAAAGGGTACCTTTTGAGCAACCTGGACGGGCTTGAACAGCTCTGCCATTTCCGCTTGCCGCTTCTGTTCTTGCAATTTCCGTTGCGCTTCGAGCTCTCGCGCGCGTTCCTTTGCTTTCTACAGCTCGCAATGCGCTCAGCTTTGTGCTGGGGATCGGGCAGAAGGGGGGACGTACATCATCTTTGTTCTTGCCCGCTTGAGCTTGTTGCTGTTGCAAGGTCGCGATCGTCTTTTGACCTTTGCCACCTTTTTTGTTCTTCATGCCGAAAGACTAGCATACCGAATCGATCGGTCAGCTCTGCGCTGTCATGTAGCAATACGATGCGCAGGATGAAGTTAGGCGAAGCTCGCATAGCAGCTCTTTTGCAGATGAGCTCGTGTGACGCGAGCAGAGCGCTTTGTCGAGACTTGACAGTGCAGCGATCCACCCGTTGCGGTGCAGACGATGTACGCTGAGAGCGAGAGAGGGAGGAGAACAGAGGGGAATGTACCTTGTCTACTGCAACCTTGCTTGAAGCTGCAGGCTTCGGTTGCGCTTTCTTGGGCGGCATCTTTGCGTATGCGTTCAGAGGAGACGACCCAAGCTGCGCAGTCAACAGGCAGAGTCCTGGCGTCTGCTGTCGCCCGAATGCGATGGCGTCGCAGCCAGTCTTGACAAGACTGTCGGATTCGAAGCACAGTGGATGATGCCCTTTTGACGATCTCCCCGAGACAGTTTGGGTTAAAAAGATCGCGAATTCGACAATCGAAGAGCGACAGAACACGAGGGAAGGCAGGCAAGGCGACCGACCGACCCAGGCCGTCTACATCCTTCACAGGTCCGCGTCACAAGCCGACAGAGGCTATAGCGGTGTCCAGCTCGAACTGAGCATCCATCAAACGCGAGCAGAACAGAGCAGAGGAACGGTGTTCGGGCTGATCTGAGTGGGCTGGTCTGTCAAAACTCCGGCTGCTTTCGATCCTCGTACATCGACCCTTCAGTCCTCTGCATCTCCTCCAGAGCCAATCACAGCGAGGCTTCACGTGCTCGATCTGCTCAGCTCAAGGACGTAACAACGGTCTGACCTCACCCGCCGCTGTTGCTTATCCCAAATCACGCGGTCCCGGCTGCCATCTCTCGACTTGGCCGTACAAACCGTGTCTGACCAGAGATTCTCGTGATACGTGTCGATCGTCACTTCGAACGCGTTCATCATGGTAGTCAGTGACCTATTGTGGAGCTCAACGCGCATTCGCGAGCTCATCCTCTCGGGGCGCTCTGCAGGATTTCGTCAAGCTTTCCATCTTTGGAACGTAAGTCCCGTCGAAAGCTGACATGCTCGGCGCTCACTGTGACCCTGCTCTTCTTGCTTTTATCGCGATCCGTATGACAGCGTGTTTGAAGTCACGACACGCTATGTTGACTTACAACCGGTCGGCATGGGCGCATTCGGTCTCGTCTGTTCTGCCAAAGACCAGCTGACCAACACATCCGTTGCCATCAAAAAGATCATGAAGCCATGTAGGTCTCCATCCACCCTGCAGAATGCAGCACGGCTAATCGGGTGCGCACAGTCTCAACGCCCGTGCTCGCCAAGCGCACCTACCGTGAACTCAAGCTGCTCAAGCATATCAGGCACGAGAACATTATCAGTCTCAGCGATATCTTCATATCACCCCTCGAGGACATCTACTTCGTCACCGAGCTCCTTGGCACGGATTTACATCGACTGCTCACCAGTCGGCCGCTAGAGAAGCAATTCATTCAATACTTCCTATACCAGATTCTCGTCCGTGCTTTCTCACTTTCCTCTTCTAGCTCAGCTGACGCGCAAGCCTATCAGCGCGGCTTGAAGTATGTGCACTCAGCAGGCGTTGTGCATCGCGATCTGGTGCGTCACATCGGCCACCGGGTTTTGCTCTGTTCACAAAGGCATGCAGAAACCGTCCAACATCCTCGTGAACGAGAACTGCGATCTCAAGATCTGCGACTTTGGTCTCGCGAGATTACAAGACCCTCAGATGACGGGCTACGTCTCCACTCGATACTATCGGGCGCCAGAGATCATGCTGACCTGGCAAAAATACGACGTCGCTGTCGATATCTGGTCGGCCGGCTGTATCTTTGCAGAAATGCTCGAGGGGAAGCCTCTGTTCCCAGGCAAAGATCGTGCGTCTCAAGATTGCGTAAAGACTTTCCTTCTCACTCACACCGACACGCAGATGTGAATCAATTTTCGATCATTACAGAGCTACTCGGTACACCACCAGAAGACGTCATCCAAACGATCTGCAGCGAGAATGTCCGCTAGCTCACTCCTGTGCGTGTAAGCCCGCTAATTCTTCTGCTCAAACAGACACTACGGTTCGTGCAATCACTACCTAAACGCGAAAGAATTCCCTTTTCGCACAAGTTCAGGAATGCAGACCCACTCGGTATGTCCGCAACCCGTGCGTTCGAGAGCCTGCTCAAGTTTGCCGCGGCAGCTCTGGACCTGCTAGAACGAATGCTCGTTTTCGATCCGAAGAAGCGTATCACAGCAGCACAGGCGCTCGCGCACGAGTACCTTGCGCCCTACCATGACCCAACGGATGAGCCCATTGCGGAAGAGGCATTTGATTGGTCATTCAACGATGCCGATCTCCCAGTCGTACATCTTGCTCTTTCCGTTCTGATCGCAGCGACTGATCACTGGTATGCAGGATTCGTGGAAGGTCATGATGTACTCAGAGATCCTCGACTTCCACCAGATAGAGACGCCCGCAGAGACAGCAGAGGGTCCAGTGGCCGGAGCGCAATAGACGTACCCTCCGTGCCACTTGACAGAGACTCCTTCATGCACGCTCAAAGGTCTGTCATTCGGCTCTAGACAGCGTAGCAAATCAGCACATGGGCTATCGGGATGGGTCCAAGAACGACAAAGCATGTACATATCATCACCACACGATGCAAGGTCCTTTTCGGTGGAAATTCGGACTCATGCGCGCGACATGTTGGTGCATTAAGTCTCTCGGCTAACGTACACTTGATTCTGCGATAGTATCCTGACACGTTACACGGGCTCTCTGAGCTCGATCGAGATGGCTGCTCTACCGGCTGAAGACAGCACAGGCTTCCCCGAAGAGATGTCCTTCTCGAAGAAGACCGGCTCGTGTCTGCTGAGCGCATGAGCAATAGCTTCTTCAAGCGCACCCTAACATACTCTTTGCCTTGCTTCTCTAGTTCGGCGGCCTTGTCCCGCTGGGCTTGCTCGATCCTCTGCTTGATGCTGTTGCCTTTGGTAAAATCCTTCGCTTTCAGCGCGATGGTGACTTCATTCCAAAAGCGGTGGCTCTCGTCCGGCTCTTGCTGGTTCATACTTCTTACCGTCTTGGGCAGCGGCGGCAGCTTCGATACGTCTATTAGCATTTTCCAGTCCTGCAAGGCTTGACTGTCAGGTGCGCAAGCCTAGCTGATCAGGAGCACGGACATCTCCCGACGAGGTGAGCTTGTATCTGAGTGCGCCACGCCAGCTGCCCTCGATCCGAGCGAGGACATCCTTATCTGGCACCCTCTTGATTTTATCGTACTGTTCCCTCCCTTCTTCGCATTCATAGATGACACCTTCTACAGCATACTTTGCCTTGCCGAGCCATGACTGTCAATGCCAATCGAAGATTGAGCTCGTGTCAGACGCTCAAGGCGCGATTAGCCTGACCTCGTCCACGTAGGCTAGCAGGGTTCTGAGCTGCTTGCCAGACTTGCTCTCGTTCGTGCAAGTGATGTAAGTCTGATCGGCCAGAAGGATGGCCGGGGCGCCTCGAAGAAAGCCGGTGATGAGTGCGGTTGGATGCGTTATCTATGCGTGCCGGTCAGACGCTTCGAGACTGGCAGTATCACGAGAAGCCTACCTGATACTCCTCGCCATAGCCGGGCAATTTGACAAAGACGCCCTTGTTGACGTTGCCCGCATACACTTTGACGCCTGCCATGTACTGTTCAGGACCAGCATCGGTCTGATGATAATCACTCACTCGTGCCCGTGAATTTTGCACTGAGGTGATCGTTGCCGTATGAGAGCACCTTGCCGACGCCATCTGTCGCGCCTTTCGGCTGGGATTCGCACCAAAAGGTCGAAATTGGCGGATGATGCGAACACTGTTCGTTGAGGAAAGCGATGCGATGCAGATTGGGCTTGTTCGAGCGACTCTCCTGTGCGCCGTCGCGCTCTTGGAACTGGCTCGAAGCTGAAGCCTTGGGTGGATTGACGGGGATATATTCAAAGTAAGAATTGTCAAAGCTGGGGCGGTGCTTGATCTTGCCGGCGGGCGTCTTGACGCTTCTCAGGCTCTTTGTGTCCGCTTCCTGGTGCGATTGTTTCGAGATCTTCATTGCGTCCATTCGATCGACCAAAGGGGATTCGGTAGCTTCCTCGAATTGCTCATCATCGGAGCCTGTAGCCTCTTCGTCTTCGGAGGCGGTGCCATCACCTGAAGCACCGCCAAAGGGCTCGTGATACTGAAACTCGTGAACCTCCAGCTCGCCTGCTTTGACGGTGGCGGGTGAGACGTCCCAGTGGGAGCGGAAATGCTCGCCGAGGCTGTAACTTCGTAAGTGAACGCTATGTAATGAGCAAGAAAGACGTACACAGAGTTGTAGGGTTTGACGACGCGGCCGTGTACAAACTTGGTCTGCATACAGACTGGCGCGCCGGATGAGCTCGAGAGGCGGAAGCACTACGGACGAGAGACTTACATGTGAAGCGGACGACAGCAAGCATGCGTTCGACAGCATCCTGACCTTCTTGACCCATGGCGAGATAGATGTCAGGCCGGTCGAGATAAGTCCAGTAGCTCAGATTGGGCATGGGCTCAATGAGATTGGCAGGGAGAGAGAATCGCATGGCGGCCAAGTCCTTGACGCCTAGGGACTTCTTGAGGATGCCAAAGAGCTGCTTGAGCTTGGAGGACTCTGACTGGTTGACCACATCGTCTGGCAGAGGCTCCGATTCAGGCGATTCTTTGAGGCTGGCGGGCGCATCGCTCATTGAAGTGGCTTGTGAGGAGCTCGATGCGGCTGCATGTGATGAGTGGCCGGACTTGATAGACGCCGTCCTCGAGGAAGGCATGATGTGGAAGTCTGTTGTTCGCCGCGAGCGAGCTCGTGCGGGCTACGTGAAGCACACTGACGTCAATGCGTACGTGCTCTGCTACTTAGTTCTGCGGCAACAACCGAATGCGGATTGCCCGAGCACAATCTGTGTAGTAGGTCCCGAGGCTGGACAGCACTACCCGGCCAATGGACGAGCGTTCAAGGCTCAAACGTGCCTTTGAATGCTGGTGCGGTACACGCCCCGATGCAGTCTGTCAGTCAAGCTGCGTGCGCCTTGCTGCCTCGCTCGACACTCTAGCACGTCGGCAGACTGTTCGACGAGAGCTGCCACGCCTTGGATACGCTCGTGCAATCTTGAGGCCGTCAGTGATTCGCAGTTGCCCGAACGAACAAAAGGCGCGCGCCCTTTCCGTCGGAAACTCGAGAGCGCTCGAGCGGCGGCGTGTCAGGGAATGTCAACTAGTCTCACACGAGCAACGCAGAGGCAATAGACAGCCCAGCTGATACAGACCCTCCCTGGTCACTCATAGCTCGTCTGCCGCTCAGCACCTCGTGCAACAGCCGAACGAATCAGCGGCGCAAAGCCACGTCGATAGACGAGCCTGCCGTGCTTGGCACTGCTTAGACAGCCATCATGTGGCTCACAGACCTACAAAGTGAGTAGACAGTCTCCTGTCCGACAGTCCGACAGTTCCCTCCGGCTGTGTCTCGGGAAACGCGCATTCGCGTCGACTGGTCTGCTCGAGCTGCTCGGTCGCGTGCGCCCTTGCAGTCACCGCCGGTTTGCCAGTCGGTGCTGCATGTTCTCGGCCATGCTCGTGGTCATGGCGACTGTCTTGCACGACCCAGTCCATCACATATCCCGAGCGAATAACTCACGAGAGCTTGGCGCACAGAAATCGGCGTGGGCATCACGTCATTTGGCATGCTCTTCCTCTTCCTGGGCGTCATCACCTTCTTCGACGCAGCCTTATTAGCGCTGGGAGATGTACGACACGTCCAGTGCGACAGCCGATCAATGCTGACCCTGTTTCATCCGGCAGATACTCTTTCTGAGTGGCATCACGCTCGTCATTGGCCCCAGGAAGGTATGCACGCCTGAGTCGAAGCGTCTGGTTGCAGCTCACGAGCGATCTATAGACCTTTGCGTTTTTCGCGCGGCGGCAAAAGATCAGAGGCACAATCTGTTTCCTTGGCGGCATCGTACTTGTCTTTTGCAAGTATCCGTTTTGGGGCATGCTCATCGAAGCATTCGGCTTCCTCAATCTGTTTGGGTCAGTCTTTTGCCCCCCTCTACTATCCTCACCGAGCTCATCATGACTTTCAGGGACTTTTTCCCGGTCGTTCTGACTTTCCTGAGGCAACTGCCCGTCATTGGGCACTTCTTATCGCTGCCCTATGTACGGCAAGTCACAGATCGCCTGACCGGCGCGCGGCAGTCCGCTGTATGATGCAGACTGTCTGTACATTTGCCCGTAGTCCGCGAATGGCCGAGATCGCCGTCCGTGAGCGCTCGCGTGAGATCGTCATGCGAAAGATCGTCGACTGTCCGGACGCGCCTTGCCCAGATAGCTTGTCCTCCCTGTTTGAATGGTCCGTCCGCCGGCTGGCCATCTCACGCAAGCAGCATGAGGACAGACTGTTTGTAGCATCGGCAGTGGCGTCATGCGAGCTCTCTTTGGCAGGCGAAAGAAGGAAAAGGAAAGGGAGAAGCTAGACAGCAATGTGCGAGACTACCATTCTGCGCTTCTCAGAGCAGAGGTGCAGAGCTCCGCTGGTGTGGGCGCAGCTGCATCGCCGTCTCTCGGTCATGGCAAGACAGCGTCCCTCGGTCGGTTCAGTACGCCGCCAATGCGGTCCACTGGCTTTGAGGAAGCGGTCATAGCGACACCCAAAAGCACGAGAACGATACCCCGGAGTCCTCCGATGCCAGGTTCGCCACCCTCACTCCGATCTCGTGTATCCACAAGCAACCTCTCGACCACGCGAGAGATCCGCTCGCATTTCGATCCAGAAACGCTGCCCCTGCCTTCCTCGCCCTCACTGTCATTGCGCGATTCTGGCTTTGTGGAGCAGCAGCCGGCTCAGACAAAGCGAGCGTCGACCATCAAATCATTTGCATCACATCACAGCGCAAAGACAGTAGACCCATCACCTCGAATAGCGAAACAGGCGGACGCATCATCAGAGCCAATCGCAACAAACAACATTGGACAGAGACTATCCGAGCTTGCGGTCGCTCACCAGGATGGGCTCATAGACGATGAAGAATATCGCACGCTACGCACTGCCCTCTTTGTCAAGTGAGTCCCCATTTGATCCAACAAGCGTCACACAGACTGATGGAATTTGCAGATTTGATGCAGACACTCGGTCCAGGCGGCAAGCGGACGAAGAGGCGCGACAGCCACGCCTGTTTGGCAACCCACTACCAGGTATATTTGACTCTCCAGCCAGCCTGATGCCGGTCTGATGCACGCGCAGACGAGCTGCGCGATCCGCAGACTCGGGCAAATGGCGAGTTGCAAAGTGAGAAATCACTCAAGTCTGCGCAGACCAACAAGACAGGTCGAACAGTCGGTAGCTATCTGCGTCGAAGAGTCTCCAGTATCAAGTCTCGAGCAAGTCACGGTCTCGGCATCATAAACGGCGATGTCGAGACTGACAACGAAGACGATGTGCGATCGGCTAGCAGTATGCAAAGACAATCCAGTAGTAGCTCTCGCATTTCCATGCCAAAGCGCACTTCAGTACGTGCCCTGCGAGGCCAGACGAGCCTTGACGAGATTGCGGAAGCGTCGCCGCACGAGCCTATGCGCATACGCACTTTGCCGAAAGACAGCATGCGTCCAGGCCTGAACAGCATGGCCGAATCTGATAGTCTACCACTGGCGTCCGACGGACCCCGCATACCCAATGGCCATGCAAACGCTCAGCAGACTCCCGGAGCGTCCCTGCTCCGATCAACTTCGATATACAGACGAGGTCAAAGCTCGCGCACAATGATCGACTCCGTCCTCTCAGAGCACGAAGCCACGCCAGCTGAGCTGCGGCGCGAGATTGATGATCTCAAGAACGAAATGAACCGTCTCACAGCTCTATCGGACGGCGACTTTGCGAAGAGATATCAGGAGCGCATCGAGTACCTCGAGGCGCGCATACAAGCTAGCTCGATCAAGAAAGCGCTCAGACGGTGACATCACTGAGCGAGTCAATGTGAAGCTGCAGCACTACGCCTCGAGGCCTGTGCATCGGCCATATGGTTCAATCTCCCACGCTTAGCATTGAGAGCAAAGTCAGAGGGACATATATACCGCCAAGTGGTCTCAATCAGCATCCGATCGTATCACTCGCAGCAAACCTGAGCACTCAGCAAGACAAGTAATCAAAACATTCATTCAAGCAACACGATGAAGTTCGCTGTCCTTGCGTTTGCTCTCGTCGCCACTTTGGTGGCCGCTGCACCTGCCGATCAGCTTGACAAGCGTCAACTCGTGAGCAGACGCGCATGCGAATAATGTCCCATTCATTCATGGACATGCAGGGTATCGGAGGCGGTCTTGGAGGCGGTCTTGGTGGCGGAGGTCTAGGCTCAGGCGGCTTTGGAGCAGGCGGTCAGCAATCCTCCAGCTCGGAGCAGTCCAGCCAGACTCAGCAGTCCTCAGGCGGCCTGGTCGGTGGTGGCGGAGGTGTAGGAGGTGGTCTGGGCGGTGCAGGCCTTGGCGGTGGCATCCGCCCACCGTTCTAAAGCTATCGCTCCTCACAAACCGTGAATGCATGCGTCACTCGTGAAGCGTGACGGCGAAACATTGAACCTCACTCCAGCCTTGTGTTTCTCTGCAGGGCCTGTCACTCAGCAGCATCCGCGTCGCTCGGATCCTGCAGCCTTGTGTACTTATGAAGATGCTTAGAGCGCAGGGCTAGGTAGACATGAAGTGCATATTACGTAATGTTTTTGTGTCACAAATACGCGGGCCCGTCGTGCGAATTCCCTCCGCGCAAGACTTGGCGACAAACTGTCGAGCGAGGCCAGCCAGTCACCACAGTGCCGACGCAGAGGTCACACGACCTCTCTGGCGACATCTATCAGCTCGGTAAAGACACTTCCGAGGTTCGTGTGTGCTTCTCTGACTGGGTCATCGTGTTGATAATTCGCCTTGTTGACAGCTTCTGTCGACAATCTGGCGAGCAACCTGGCGATATTCTCAGCCCTTCTCGGCCTCGTCAGCCGTTCGCTCGAGCCCGACTACAAGAGTTTGTCGCTTCCAGCTCCGGTGTTGGCTCATCGGCAACTGTCTCGAGCGGCCTGCTCGCTCTACCTCCAGCCCTTAGAATACACTTCTACCTGGCAAATTTATGAGCCGATTTAGGTTTGGCACTGGCGGTGAGATTCCGCTAGGAGAGGAGTTCCCAGGTCTGCCTCCGCTCTCGGTCCTCGAACACTTGCGCTGGATTGCAGATGTCAGACCGGGGACTTTGCGGGCAGCGGTTGGTTTCAGTGTATCTGGCCAACACTGCACGTGAAAGAGGCCTGCATCTGTTTTGCCTCGCGCCTCCCCTCCTCGACCGCCCGATGGGCACTTGCTCGACCCGACTCGACTCCGATTTCAATGGCCACTGCGAACCGATGCGAATCTCAGATAGCTCCTGGCAGCCTTGGCTACCTTGCAATCTTATCAAACAACAGGCTACGGACGGACAAGGTATCACGATGAGACGGTCTCTGCTAACTCGCGAGCCGCCTAGGACAGTCAGTGTAGGTCACGTCCACACATCTCATTGCTAGTATATTGAACGTATTGTCATTACTGGCTCGATAGATTGTTCTGAGCACGTGTGCACGGACAGTGAGTACAGCAACGAGTGACATGAGCTAGATAGCTACTTCTCGGAAGTCTTTCGAGAGTCCGCCGTCAGAGCCGTTGCTTCCTCCTGGGCTATCTGCTTGGCTCACCGTATGAAGGCGATTGTGCTTTGCAAGGGTTGGCGCTCGCTTAGCCCGTCGCAACTCTCGCTTGCTCATGCCGGCTGATTTGCTTACTGTCGCCGATCCTGCCGATTTCGAGGAGAATCGACCCCGGGCGCCTCTAGCATAACGCTTGCCCAGTGGACTGTCAGGCTTGGCTTGTCGCTTCTGATCTGGCGTATCGCCCTGCTTAGGCTCCTCGTCGAGGCCGGGGTCGATACTGCTGATAGAGGTCTGTTCGGATCTTGCTTGACTTGCGCTTGGGTCCGACGGCACTGGCGAGATGACGCCACTATATGCACTGCTTGACGAAGACCGCGTATCGGGAGTGCAATGGGCAGGCGAAAGTCTACCATTGTCAATTCGCTCGCGATCAAGAGCGAGGAACTCTTCAACGACGTCTTCCCAGTTGCCAAGCCTTGTCATAGCTTCGCGAACGACCGCAGGACTACGTTGTGCATCAGGTGCGAGTGACGCCTTGATGAGCTTCTCATCTTGAGCCGAGACTACATGATCGTCCGTCGGCTCAGTGATGTGAACGCCGGGTGCAGACAGTGGCGCCTCCTTGATGTGGGGAAGGCCAGCATGAGGCCCCGAGACGTTGCGCGCACTCGAGTAGTGTTCGTATGAGTGGTAAACGATGTAGAGCGGTGGTCCAGATGTGTCAATTGCGGGGGGTGCAAGACCGCCAATCGTGCTCGCTCGCTTGCGTTTGGGCCTTGCCGGCATTGCTGACGATTGACTGTTAGCTTCAGAGGCAGAGAGCTCGCCATCTTCTCGTGAGGGCTGCTTGCCTTGCTGCTTCGGGCTCAGCGCATTAGTGGACTGCTCGGGTGATGGTGCCGGCGTAGGCTTGGCTGTAGCAGAGCCAGAGGTCGAGGGCACCGGGTCGCCGCCGAGCACATACATCAGCTCAGGCTGGATGATCTTGACTTTGCGTCCAATCGATCGCGCAAAGGCCTCTATCTCCAGATGACTGCCATAGGTTCCCGACTCGCGCATGTCCGCCACATGATCTTCAAAGGCAGTCTCGGGTCGCTTTGCGTCTGTGTCATCCACAAAGAGCGCATAGCGAGACTTGTGTTCGGCCAAGTAGTCGCAGACTTGCTGCCTGATGTGGGCATGCCAGACGGGATCGCCCCAAAGCTGGTCAGAGAGTGCGCGAAACAGACAATTGCCGTCGCCCAGTGTGTGAGCAGCGTACAAGCCGAGTCGCTTGAGCGTAGTCGATAGCGAGCGTTCTTGCTCCTGAGGATCCTCGCTGAGCTGGACAAGCTGGGGTCATAATCAGCGGCTCGGCCGACTACTGTCACGCGAGTCAGAACCTACCCTATCGCCGTCCTTGCGGGAGCGAGCACGAGTACGAATGCCAATGCCGTGCCGCTGCGCTTGTACTGCTCTCGCTCTCGCCTTTGCTTTGGCACCAGTCATGCCCCTGCTGGGAGTTGTTCCGCCGCAATTACAGTAACCTCTTTCGTTGGCCGACTTTGGGCGAGACCGGCCGCGTTGTTGTCCCTACAGAAGAGCGAGATAATCGACAGTCGTGCTCGATCAGGCCTGTGCGACTGGTCTGTATTGATAGTGATGTTCTTCAAGCCTGACTTCGTGGCAATTATGTTCGATGACCGATCGCACGCGTTTCCACGTTTCCTGCCAGTCGCGAACACGGCGGCCTACCGCGATCTTACAACACGACGAATGCCCGAGAGAGCCCGCCTTCTAGACACGTACAGCCGCATCCGCTCGGACACTCTGCCCCGGGACTGTTGTACCAATCCGCGTAGCACTGGATATGACCCGTGTGCAAGCAAACGCAGCACGTCTGTACTTGACCTGCCTTTCGCGTGTCAACACAGCCTATCAGCAGCAACCCTGCGTACCAGTCGTCGGCAGCTGGCATAAAGCGCAGGCCGGAGTCGCTTTGTCGGCTCTGCATGAAGGGCAATAACGGTAGACTGGCGGCTGAAGCATCTCAGCACAGTCTGGACAGTGTAGACCGAGCTCTGCCCGCGTTTCAGCTCAGGTCACATGAAGGGGCGAGCAATCGTACCTAGAGGATTAAGGCGGTCGTTTCCGCATGCTGCACGCATGCGCCTGTAAGCAACGCCACTGCGCCGTTCGACACTGGTGCGCGTGAGATTCAGTACTTCGGCGTGCTCGAATGAATAGCCCCATCGAAGCAGGAGATCGGCATAGTTGAGGCGATAACACTCCATCTCTCCTGCCAAGGTGCCGTCAGAGAGCGCAAGGTCCAGCGGGACTGTCTCTATACGTTCGCGGACGATCTTGACGCGCTTCTGTCTCGCCTCTGCGCGGACAACCTCGCCGCGATCTGATGATGGATCGGACGACATATGACTGACCGAACTGAAGGCGACGACCTGATGATGACTATGGCCCCTTTGACGAGCGTACAGCTGTCTCGGCACAGAGGACCCGCCCTGCACGAGACTATTGCGACGCGAAGGCGATACTGAATGCGGTGTCGATGATGTCTTGGCAGGCGAAGATGAGTCTTGGTCGCTGACATGGGCAGGCGATGGTCGGCCCGAGGGTCGGCGGACAAAGCTGCTGTTGGATAGCATTCTTCGCTGCAGCGGACCTTCAGAGTTTGGACTCGAGCTGCTGTGTGTCGAGAAGACGCTCGCATTGAAGAGCGATGCAAGATTGGACCATGAACCGCGCGGCGAATGAAGACTCGTCGAATGCGCAAAGCCATCTTGTAGAGCTTGCCAAGGCGTCGACACAGAGTGAACGCCAGTGCTGCCTCCTCGGCTGGATATATGTGGGCTTTTGTTGGAACGCCTCGGTCGTGCACTGAAATAGTCATCCTGCTGTCGACCGGATCGCAACTCACTTGCCCGCTGGACGTCTGTCAGGGCATCAGCTATTGTCGACGGCGCCAACAATTCGTACCTCGACGATGAAGCTCTAGCACGCATGCTGCCAGACCCAGACTTTGTAGATCTTTGCGACGCTGCATAATGGACAAGCTGTCCTTGTCGTCAGCTCACATATTATTGAGGTCTTCCAGCGAACCATTCTAGTATGATGTTGCTCGAAGCCAGGCGGGAGCTTGGTTCGCCGTCCTGGCTTGCGGGCGCTAAGATCATGCCCATGAGTTCCCACAGACGAGCAGCGAGCGCGAGCTGTTCCTCTTCGGCCACCAGCTGGTTGTGCGCGCAGATCGCGGTAACGTCGCCCTGCAGCGTATATCTGCCGGACAGGTGTGGCTTGAGGTCGATGAGTCCGCGCCCATCAATAACGGTGACATCCGATGACGAATTCGGAGCTCGGCCTCGCGAACCTGCACGAGACGAAGTCGAGCGATTGGCCGAAGCGTCACGCTTCTTCGTCCGCCGGCTGAGCATCGTCTTGGATATCTGGAGAGCTTGATCGCTATCGACGTCATGCACATCCAGCTCGGCACTGGCAGAGAGATCCTCTTCGTCAAGCTCTATGGCTCCAAAAGACTCGAAGATCCGGCGTCGCTGCACGGGTCTGGGTGAGACTGATCGGCCCCTTTCGCCAAAACTCGCAGATAGAGATGTAGAGGTCCGGCGTCGTGATTTCTTGACGGCAGGACTAAAGACAACGAGCTGGCCTGACGGACCAAAGCTTGCGCCCGACAAACGCGGAGCGGGCATAGACCGATTGTTGCGGACGAGACTCGGATCAAGCTTCCGTGCTGGTTCCATCTCATCCTCGGAGCTTTCTGATTCGATGCCGTACGCGTCCGATCCAGGAGCATAAGGGCCATTGAGCAAATAAGTCAGGCAAGTCTCTAAGCTCGGGATGCCCGCCTGTGAGGCTCGATTGGCTATGCCTCTGAGACCCTGCAGCAGATGTATACGATTCTTGATGGGTATGTCGGTATTGGGCTCGATATCGACGGTCAGAGCTGCTCTGTTGGGGTACGACTTTGGAAACGAAAAGGAAGCGCGGACGTAGACTGACCCCGCTGCGCCCCAGGGTGCATACAAACAGACTGTGCAGGTCCGTCCAGCCACATGCATGACCTCGAATTGGATCTGGGAGAAGCGCCGACCGGCTAGAGCGAGCTCTTCGCCAAGTGTCTGCGCGGTGTCTGCAAAATCATTTGACTGACGATACGAATTCGAGCTGACGCGACGAGCACGCGAACCAGAGCTATCGCTTTGCAGTCGCGATCCATCACTGAAACGTCGAGCAGCGAACACGCTCGAGCTTCGCTTGCGCTCGCGCTCGCGAGAGGACAGAAGACGAGACTTTGAGACTTCTGCTTCTAGCGGGATGGGGCCCACCGGATCGCGGATATAGCGAACGCCCTCCATCCAGGCTAGATGGTCCTGCTGTACCGGGCGTGCGTTTGTGGTCGTGCGAGTCATGAATGCTGGACGTTCAGGCTTTGCGGCTCGACCTTTGGCTCGATGACCGCCGCTCATATGATCCGCAAAACCAGACGAAAAGTCGCTTGTGGAAGGGGAGTCGAAAGACCCTGGCACTCTTGTGGCCAGTGCTATTGCTCTGTTGCTATTGATGCCGCGCATGCTCGTCTCGTTGGATGTCGACAGGGAGCCGGAAGCAGAAGAATGTCTGGACTTGGCTTCAAGGCTCTGGACTGCTACTGGGTCACGATACGAAACATTCTTGTAGCCTCTTCTTGTCATTCTCACTTGGATTGGCGAGCCATGCTCGTGCCCGACTGCTCTCAGGGTCTCTGACGAGATAGGCCAGAGACGCAGATGGCGGTCTTTGGACCAGCTGATCAGTTGAAATTCTCGGTCGTCAAAGTTGCTGTCTTCACCTCCCCTGACACGCCAGACAAATTCTTTGACGACGTCGTCATGGCCGCTGAGCTTAAGGACGGGTTGACCGGGCGCATGCCTGCCCCAGATATCGAGCGCGTGCTCTGAGCGTTGTGGCAAGGTGACGATGCCGTCACCAAAGGGCAGATGACGGGCTCGCCAGATAGGATAGCTCGTCTTGATGATCGCACGAGGCTGCGCTGAATCCTCGGAAGACCAGTACTTGGCAGTCTTGTCGAGAGAGCAAGTGACGATGCCAGTGCCTTCGTCTGCTCGTCTGGACCAATCGATACCGTAGATCTTGCTGTCGTGTGCCCTGATGGTCGTGACAGGCAATGATGACTTTCTATCATCCCAGATGTAGACGATGTTCTCATGAGATGAAGCGATTCGGTGTGGATCTTGTCGGTTGTACTTGACTTGGGTCGCGCCAGCAGTCCAAGCGCAGAAACCTTGGGCGGCCGTCTTGTGGTTCTTGCGAAGATCCCATATACGGATCCAAGAGTCCATGCCGGACGTGGCCAGCACTTCAGGCTGGAAGACTGACCAGTTGATGTCGGTCACCGATCGCGAATGCGCTGAAATGACGAGCTCGATGGGTGAAGCGCTAGAGGCTTTGCTCGAGCTCACGACTCGCGGGGCAGGCATGCACAAGTTCCAAAGCAGGACCTGCTGTGCAGACGTGGAGACGACCCATTCTGCCCTCTGAGGATGTGGACTCCACTGGATGTCGGCCACCTCGCCTGTGGTCAGGTGGGGCAAGAACCTGACTTTGTCCCATGGAGACTCGAGATCGATGATGTAGAGACCCTTGCGAGCACCGAGGACGACGTCTCTGTTGGAGGGAGAGATGGACATTGAGCCGACGGGTTCGTCGAGCTTGATGCTGATCTTGCTCTTGAACGTGTCATCATGCTCGTCTGACGGCTCAGCTGCGGCTACTCGGGCTACCTGCCCACCATCATAGGTGTCGGACATAGCTCTACATGAGGCTGCGCCTGCCCTGCGAGCTAGCAGAGCCCCAGGGGCAGCTGCTGAGGGCGAGTCGCTAGTTCGCTCAGCTCGAGGCGCGACGTGGCAAGGTCGAGGCGATATCGATGAGACGAGAGGATGGCCGGTCTTTGGACGCTATACGGTCGCTCAGGATATCACTCGGCCAGCTCTCCAAGTCAGATGGCTCAGCTTCCTTCTCATTCGGTTCGTCGGCTTTGGCACGCCCACAGAAACACGGCATCTCATCTATTGACCTTGCGACTGTGGCAGGTCAAGTCAGCGTACTGGCGGCAGTGAGAGGACCGCAAGAGGTCTCGCTCAAGCGTGAGCTCGCTGATCGAGCAGCGCTAGAGATCACCGTCCTGCCCGTTCGCGGACTGCCAGGTCGGTCTCTCGCGCCAACAAATTGATCTCCATAAGCTCAGCCAGAAGATGCGCAGGGCCAGCTGCAAAGGCAGTAGCCAGCATGATCACGCCCGTGCTCGTCTCACTGCTCTTGCTGCATGCTCACCCACGATCGCTGCTACAACTCACACTACAGACGACATCCCTGCCCTCGAGTCGGTTTTCAAAAGCATTTCGGACCTACCGACCAGACGAAGTACTCGAATATGAGCATGCAGACGATGAGAAAGGAGGTCCCCTGCTCGACTCGGCCGTCGAAAAAGCAGCTGCATTCAACGCGAGCATGCTGAGCCTGTTACACGCGTCGAGTGTAGGCATGCGAGGCACAGCGTTCGCCGTCGCATTGGCTCTGTTGCCGGAGAGCGCCTTGCAAGCTGATCAGGCTACTCTGGGCACCGTCATACCTGATGCGAGCGATGATGTCATGCAAGAAGAGACAGCGCGCGATCGCGTCTGGGTCATCGATCCCTCCATCACAGAGGAACGGGATGCCACTGCGCTCTTGCTGGCAGGCTATAGCTACGGCTCCAGCATCGGGGGCGCGGAGGGAGAGCTCTGCTTGTGTGAGCTCTCTGGTGGCTGTACAGAGGAAGAGGTGAGGCTTCCTCTGACAAGCGAGTCTCAGATGACTGATGGGCCGCAATGCAGCTCGGCCGGGCACTGACGATGGCAAGTCAAGCATGCAAAGGGGTACAACAATATGCACGGAAGACACTCGAGTCGAGTCTATAGCTTTGCAAATGATAATGCGCTTGTTGTATCGTGTTTTGTATGCGTGCCTAGCAAGTGTAGCTTGCCCGTCTCTGCGTCTTCTATCCTGCACTCGATGACCGCGACCCTCAGACCTTGTGAGATCGTCTTGGAGATGATCCTGATCTTGCTGTGCTCGGGTATGGGGGCGATATCTGTCCTCCTGAAGTCAGGGGTGACAATCTCCGTCTAGATGCTAGGACGAACAGTGGGCAGCTAGATGGGATGTCACGCCTGCGGTGATCCACCTCGAACCTGAGCTGAGTGCCATGACCGCCATAGATGTGCAGACATCCAAGCAGAACGCTTGCGCGCCGCCGTGCATGTTAGCGCTCATGTTGCACATATCTGCGAGCGATACCGAACAAGTCAGCTCGAAAGACGGTCAAGAGGCATGTCACGCACCTTGTGCTACAGTGAGCTCGACGACGACGGTCGCTTTTGCTCCTTTATTGACTCTGGGCTCATCAGAGTCTGCCTGAGCTGACTCGACGCCTTCAAGCTCGAGGCCGACAATCTCCATGGCTTCCATGGTTGTGAGCGCAAAGCCCCCTGTGCGCAGAGCTCCTCTGATGCGTAACAGGTACATCAGACTAGGATTGCGCCGATAATGGAGACACACAGCATAGATTGCAGCTTGTCCCATATGAGCCCGTGCGATCGTTTGTCCATGCTGAAAATTGAAAGTATCCACGTCCGGGCAGCTCGTCCGTGCGTTCGATAGAAGGCCCAAGTCTATGACACGAGCGTAGCGTGTATGTGGCGGAGTGATAGGTCGATCCGGACTGTTGCCGCAGAGTCAAGCTAGCAAGAGGAGGACGCGTTCGTTCGTCGATTCATTATCGCGCTCCTTCCTCCTCGGCCGTCGCTCGAGCACGATGACGAACAATCCGCGGCTCGACAAAGCCATCGAGACGTACAAGGCTCTCACGAGCATACCTACCGTCGACGCCGCAATTCTTCACGCTCATTCTTCCGGGACTGTGACGACACACCTGGAGCTCTCCCAACGATCCCATCTCTCGCTCAAACGCCAAAAGCTCTCACAAGACATATCGCTGCACAATGGTCACATCGTGACGGGCCGACCATGCATGTCAGGCGAGGATGTCGTCTTTCGTTCACTGCAATACTCGAAAGATGAGCTTTACCAGCTCTTTGGGCGTAAAGCGGCAGCAGGCAGCAAAGCCAAGACGAGCAGAACGATTGAGCTATGGCGAGACTCTGACTTCCTCGGTGAATGCGATACGACGAAGTTGCATGGCGATATGTACGCACCCGGTGGCACGCTCGGAACGGCAAGCTGGCATTTCTCCCAGCACAAAGTCGCTTTCGTGTACATTGCCGAGAAGCCAGAGCCAACGTTTGAGCATGAGACGTCCCGAGAACCATCGTCATATGCTTACGATCCAACTTTCGGCGAGCAATTCGATGGCAAGAGACATCCTCTACTCTTTCTCGTAACATATGACTTGGCATCGCGCCAGCTAGATTGCAAAGAAGTTACTCTAGACTCTCGCAATTCAGTCAGACATTTCGGGCATTGGATCTTCAAGACGGATTCGTCCAGCGACGCTCTTGACCTTTACGGCACAGGCTTCGACCGGTTGCCGGACGGGCGTCAGCTCGGCCTCGTCTACTGTACAAACAGACCTGCCGGCATCTATCACATCAAGCTGTCTGTTGACGAGACTTCGCTCAAGCCGACCCGGATCAGCGATCCTTCGATGTCTTGTCGAAGTCCGCGGTATCATCCTGAGGCAGGGTTGCTGTACCTCTCCAATCGACTCAGCGGACCGCACAACGGCTGCTGTCAGCTCTGGCAGCATGGCAAGAGCAAGCCAGTCGTCCCAGAGGTAGCCCCACCCCCTGCAAGAGCCGAGCCGCCTGTTTTTGCTGGCATCTATGCCGATCAGCTACCACTTCAGCCGTTCATCAGACTGAAGGGCAAGCTGCATGTTATCCTCAATACGATATCTCGTAGCCGCAAGATCGTCGTCGCTGTCGATGTACAGACTGGTAGCATTCAGTGCCTGCCAAGCGACGGACCAGAGCTGTGTAGCTGGTCTGTTCTTGCGACCGACGGTGGTCAATCTGCGCTATGCTCGGTCAGCAGCCCGGCAGACCTACCGAGGCTCTACCTGTACGACGGCACGAAATTCACCGCGCTGCAGAGCTCGCGATCTACGCTGCCATGTAAGCCGGTCGCCACAGTTCTAGCTCAATCTCTGATTGCCGCGCAGACGGTTTTGAAGGCTTACGAGCAGCCGTCAAGACCTTGACTGATCGCTCAGATTGTGAAGCGATCATCCTTCGTCCACCGCAAGGTCATTCGAATCCAGCTATCGTGACTCCCCACGGTGGACCGCACGGAACGATCACGACCGACTTTGTTGCATCCTATGCTGCTCTCGTGCAGGCCGGTTTCACCATCGTTGCCGTCAACTATCCAGGCTCGCTGGGATTTGGCCAAGACAGCATCGTCGATCTCACGAAAGAGCTAGGCGAGTTAGACGTCAGTTCCGTCATGGAGGTGCAACGTGCGCTGATCAAGTCTGGCGAGCTACCGAGCGCAAGAGGAACTCGCTTCCTCACCGGGGGATCTCACGGAGGGTTCATCTCTTGTCACCTATCAGCGCGATACAGCTCCGAATTCGATGCCGTCGTTGTCAGGAATCCAGTGACTGATTTGCCGAGCATGTTCGGCAATACCGACATTCCGGAATGGTGCATTGGCGAGCTAGATTTAGACTATGACATGGACAAACCTAGGAATTTCGTTTCTGACGAGCTGCATAAGAAGATGCGTAAAGCATCGCCATCTGCCCATCTTACCCCAACAACGAAAACGCCGCCGACCTTACTGCTCATCGGCGAGATAGACCGGCGTGTGCCGCCAGATCAAGGTCGGGCATGGTATCATGCGCTCAAGGGACGGGGCAGTGAAGTCGAGATGCTGGTCTTCCCAGACAACTCGCATCCCCTCGATAAACCAGAAGCCGATCTAGCTGGCTTCCGCGCCTCGACCGAGTTCTTCCTCAAGCGAGCAGTGTTTGACAATGCAACATGAATCTACAAGCCACAACAGGCATCTATACGTTAGGCCTTGACGCGCTTGCCCGTCTTCTTGATCTCGCCCGCGTTGGCAGAGATGCTGGATTTAGCCTTTGACGCTTTCTTGGCTGCTTTTGCTGCCGCGACGGGAGAAGCAGCATCGGTTGCCGCTTTCGCCTCTGCCCTTCGTTTCGCTACAGCCGCTGCGACCTTTTCGGCGACCAGCGCTTTGCCTTTGAGTGGCTTGGGCGGCCCAGGCAAGGCTGCCCCGCCGAATCTACTCGTCGAGGTTTCGTCATCTGCCAGACTGCTGGTCCAGATTGGCAGACTGGCGCTCGTCGTCGTCTTGAGATGCAGAGCTTGGATGTTATCCCATCCTCCCTCGGGCAGTCTGACGGCGAGATGGGGCACGATGGCGAGAATGTTGGCAAAGAGCTGATCGGGCGTATGTGTCTGTATGCCACCGACTTTGACACTCAAGCAGTTGCCCCGGTTGAGATAGAGATAAGTGGAGGAGAGCGCTCTTTCGAGCTCCGCCTTGAGCTGAGTCCGCGAAAGCGTGACGGGGATGGGTTGCTTCTTTGCCTCTAGCCAATTGCGGCCTAGCAATTTCGGCAACATAGGCACAATGCGGTCGTCCGCCAAGAAGAGATCGTACTCTCGCATGAGCTGCCTCCTCGCCTCAAAGGGTTTGAACTGTCGAGGCATCAGTCCATGTGATACCTTGCAGTATGCCGTGCAGCTTACTTTTCCTTTGAGCTTTTCGACGCCGACGACACGAGAGATAAAGGTGATGTTCTTCTCCTCCAGCATATCCTTGTACTCTCTCTGAGGATCTTTCACGAGCAGACATACCGGCGACTGGCGAGGATCGAGGAGAGGGGCAGCAAGGGGTATCCTGACGGGCATATGACGATCTCTCGGCGTCCTGTACTTCGTCTCAGTCTCAGCGCAACGGTCTCAGCAAGACAGACGTACATCTTCTTGAGACTTATGACGAGACTGAGTATCTCTTCCGTCTCGAGAAGGTCACTGGACCCGCCAGATTGACGTTTTCGAGCGTGGAAAGCCAAAAGAGCGTCGAGCGCTTTGCGGCATTGTTCCTGATCGATGGGAAGCTCTGACAGCGCGGGAGGGTTGACAGGTGGTAGGGGGACTAGCTTTGCTGGTGTGAACAGCTTCTGGTTGCGGTCTTTGTTGGTACGACCCATCTTTGCTTGAGCCTTTGCTGTTGCGCAGAAAAATCAAATCTTAAACCGAGCGCGTCGTCGAACGTCGAACGACATCAGCGCAAGTGACTGGCGTGTGAGACCCTCCCAACATGGTCCTCACACGGTCTCGAAGCATCAAGGGGATCGGCGCAGTCGCAGCTGGCGAAGACAGGAAGCTGATCGAGCCGACTGAAGATCCAGAGAAGATCGGCAGGGCAAAGTATGAAGCCGCGCCGAGATCGCTCCATTACGAGTTTGGCGGACCCATTGGCGCTTTGGGCGTGACGACGGCAGTGCCTTTCTTCTCTTACTGGCTAGGCAACAGCTGTACAGCTTCGGGATGCCCGCCAATGCCTCTCGATCGGTACTTTTCTCAGGGATGGCAAGCCATGCAAACATCGAGCTATTGGCTCGGCTTGTGGGATACACAAGCCGCCTATGTCTATTTGGGCTGGTATGCCTGGGTCGTATTGGCATGGTACCTCCTACCGGGCAAGTGGATAGACGGGGGAGCACTCAGGGACGGTACAAAGCTCACCTACAAGCAGAATGGTGCGGCTCTCTCATCCCGACGCGTGTGTTCTGTTGGCTCATCGACAGGCTGCAGCATTCGTGACTTTGCTTGCTAGCATTGCTCTCTGGGCAGGCGCAGTAGCTGTCTTGGGTGCAGACAGTATGCTCTTCGTCTACGATCACTGGCAAGGTCTCGTGACTGCCAGTCTGGTCATGTCGGTCGCACAAGTCAGTCGACGCGTCGATCAAAGCAAATACAAGCTGACATTCCTCTGCAGGCCTTCTTTGTTCATTTCCAATCGTTCCGTGAGGACACCATGTGCGCCGAGGGCGGCAACACGGGCAATGCTCTCTACGATGTCGGCGCTCGTTCACGTGCACGCGAGCAGAACTGACACTCGCGCAGTGGTTCATCGGACGGGCTCTCAACCCGCGCATCGGCAGCTTCGATATCAAAACATTCAACGAGATCCGGCCAGGTCTCATCCTCTGGCTACTGCTCGATCTTGCGCTCGCTGCAAAGCAATATGCCGACATCGGACGTGTCACCGACAGCATGGTCCTCGTCGTCCTTTTCCACGCTGTCTATGTCTTTGACGCGCTCTACAATGAAGTGAGCATTCCTCAAACCCAGCAGGCCTCGAGCTCACGTGTCCTACAGGCGGCCATCCTGACCCAGATGGACATCACCACAGACGGATTTGGCTTCATGCTCAGCGTCGGTGATCTGACCTGGGTGCCTTTCACGTACGGCCTGCAAGCAAAGTACCTGGCTGCATTCCCTAAAGATCTGGGCTACCTCGGCACTGCCGGTGTGCTGGCTGTCAACTTCCTTGGCTATTGGATCTTCAGAGACTCGAACGGCGAAAAGAATGATTTCCGAAACGGCAAGAATCCAAAGAGTAGGCTATTCTCATTCACATGTCCTGATTGTTGAGTTCGTCGGCTATACAGATCTGACAAGTATGAAGACAAAGCGAGGTACAGCATTGCTCACGAGCGGATGGTGGGGTCTATGCCGGCATCCCAACTATTTGGGCGACCTCATCATGGCCGTCAGCTGGTGCCTTCCAACCGGATTCGATACCCCGCTCACATACTTCTACCCTGTTTACTTCCTGATCCTACTCGTCCATCGACAGATGCGCGACGATCATGCTTGCGCGAAAAAGTGAGCCCGTGTCGCAGGACGAGCAGTAGCCAGCAGCTGAACCATGCACAGGTACGGTGCTGACTGGGACAGATACGTCAAGCTCGTTCCAAGCAGGATCTTGCCGGGTGTATACTGAACATGTCTTGCCAATTGTAAAAAAGAAAGGGATCGTCGCCATCGCGACTGCTGCTCACACGCGTCTGCCCTCGTGGACGATTGCCGAAAGATGAGTGCATAGTCCGACAAGATGAGCTCTACACAGGGCAGCACGCTCAGGGCTGTTGAGCTTGACCAGACGCATCCGCTCTCGCCTTTGCTGCCGAGCAATGCGCCCGTCTCGGATGATTATTTTGCTCGGTCCACGAGCTCGCCGGCGCCTGAAGCAGCTGTCACACCTCCAGAGCCTGCGACGATTGGCAGATCTCGCCCAGAGCTCGAATCACATGCAACCCTGCGGTCTGGCACGCTCAAAGCGAGCAGCACGCCTATCAAAGCAAGCATACAGCTCGCTGAAGATAGTCCCTTGAGAGCAGCACCTGCGAGCTCAGCGCCTGAGCAGATCAGCAATGGAGCTCGCGTACCTTGGCAGCTCTCACTCGCTAGAGAGCCTCACCTGCTCTCGCTGGCCGAGCTCGAGAGCAGACTGGAAATGCTATCGAGTGACTTGAACGATGCGATCCAGGCTCGCTCGAGCAGCAAGCTATCACGACGAGCTGCAAGAGGCAGTTTCAGCAGCGAGCACTCTAGCGAAAGCTCGATGGCTCCGACAGCGGAAGCGTCCAGCTCGCGAGTCATCGCAGCCTCGTGCGCCGCCGCCATACTGCAGGCAATGTCACATGAAATGTCTAGAATATTAGAGCAGAAAGCCGAAGTCAAGGCACAGCTCGCCGCACTCCAAGCGCTTTCAGATGAGTGGCTACCCCTGCTGGGCACTAGCGCGGCAGCACGCGAACGCTCGCGAGCAGAACGCGCCCTCCTGCGGGCTGCAGCAGACGGTGCGGCATCATATCAGCAGAGGCCACAAGATCGCTGGACGCTCTCCAGCATCTCGCTGCGATCAGATGGCCTGACACATGATAAGACCGTGAGCATGTTACCGTCGCCAGTCCGTCATGTACTGACACGCACGCAGACTTCTCTCGACGCGACATTGCACGAAGCCATGTCTGACGATGGCCTACGACTCGACTCGGATTCTGTATCGACATATTCCATCAACGCAGAGAGCGAGCATCTCGCTTCACCCAAGGCGCAGACTCGCGCCTCACGTCACTCTTCACTCTCAGCAAGATTGTTTGGTGGCGTAAGAACGCCAATAGTACCAGCATCAGCGCCAAGCAGCGGGCTCAAGTCCACTACGAGCAACGCAGTCGTAGAGGACGCGTCTGATCTTCAGCCTCGCTCAAGGGCAAACTCGATCAGTTCTGGGACTGGGCCACCGGTCAAAATAGCTACGTCAGCTTCGACACCGAGCAAGCCGATGGCAGACGGCTCGCGACCCAAGTCAAAGTCTAGCGCTTGGTCTTGGCGTCACTGGCGTGGCACGCGCTCAGACGAGGTCCCCAATGTCTATGATGACGACAGCAGCGACGATGAGGAGCAGAGCGAAGTAGGCGCACCAGTATCCGATCCTGTAGCTCGCACTCTCTCGCCTGAAGTAGAAAGATCCTCAGCCATGTCTCGTGCATCTTCGCGATCAGGCAACGAAGAGGCTCGCGTGGCATCCGCCGCGGTTGATGCACTCTTGTCTCGCAAGCCAAACGATGCTCTTTCAGCGACCACGCCTGCCGTCGCGACAGCGCAGCGCATCCAATCAGGCTCCGCTTTGTCTGTAGACGATAGAGCAGGAACAAACGGCAGAGCTAATTCGCCAAGGACGCTCAGCGATGCAGCCAGCGCCAACGGCGAAGACTCGGTGGAAGCTTTCGCCATCAGCAGCGTCAGCGAGTCTCATGTCTCGTCGCAGCCCACGAGCATTCGTTCACTGGCTATCAGTGAGCCAAAGGGAATTGTCTCTTCTGCTGCGACCACTCTCAGTCGGGCTTTGGGCCGCTCAAACTCTCGCGCGTCAGGCGCGCCGGTCGAGCCCAACATAACGCTACCCACCATTGGACGCAGCAACTCAGTCTTCAATCTAGCTACCCCATCAGTCTCCACAGCGACAGCAGCGGTCTCAAGCTCAGGACTTGCCATGGAGCTCGGAACGATCGCGCCTGATGGAGCCGTTCCCCCAGCATCGAGCAGTATCGCATCCAGTTTGCCTAAGGCAGACGGTGACCGTCTCATTGATCGCTATGGATTCTCGCACGATCAGGCAAGCGGTCTGAAGTATTTACAAGAGCTTCGAAAGCGTCAGAAGGATGGCTCGAAAGACGCTAGCGTCATCATGGACGTGCCTGCAACGGCTACAGGCGGCGAGAGCACGAAACGTTTGCTTGCCCAGCTCGGTCAGATGACAGAAGCGCGTGAGAAGGCGCAGCAAGAAGTTTGGGACAAGTTTATCGTCAGGCGCAGAGCAAAGCTAGTCAAAGCCTCGTCGGAAGCGAGCACAGCTCCCGCTCGCCCCTCACGTACAGTAATAGCCGAAGTCAGCTCTTTGGCAACACAGGCCAGCGGGTCAGACGAGCTCGACTGGACAGAGGATCTCGTGGGCGTGGCTCGGATGGGCAGCAAAGCTGGCCGCGAGGATTGGAAGGAGTTCAAGAAGCTCGTTCGTTCGGGCGTACCGAATGCTTTGCGTCCCAAGATCTGGGCTGAATGCTCAGGTTCGACCGAAATCAGGGAGCCAGGCTACTATACCGAGATGCTCAGCAGTCATGAAGGCATACACAGTCAATGCCTTTCCCAGATAGATATGGACTGTCATCGTACACTACCCACGAATGTCTTCTTTGGCGGCAATGGACCGGGAATCTCGAAGCTGCGTCGCTTGCTCGTCGCGTACAGCTGGCGCAACCCAGAAGTTGGCTATTGTCAGGTAAAGGGTGGTCTGCGCCGCCGTTGATGGCCTTACTGATCAGCGTCCGCAGGGCATGAACATGCTGGCAGCAGTCCTGCTCTTGATCTACACATCAGAAGAGGATGCATTTTGGATCTTCTGCTGCATCATCGAGGTGCGTTCCTTGCTCTTTCTGCAGGCATAATGGTCTGAGCTAGCCCCTCAGCGCATATTGCCTGGTGAATGGTACACTTCCAGCCTGCTTGTCTCGCAAGCAGATCAGCGAGTGTTGCAAGATCTCGTCAAGACCGTCCTGCCCAAGCTATCGGCGCACTTTGACGAGCTTGGCGTGACCCTACCGGCTGTCAGTTTTGGCTGGTTTCTGTCGCTGTTCACAGACAGTCTACCCATTCAGACGCTTCTGCGCGTATGGGACTGCTTCTTCGTGACTGGCGACGTAGCGCTCTTCAGGATAACGATCGCCATCCTGCAAATGCACGAAGGAGAGCTGCTGGCCGTCGCAGACGCAGCAAGCTTCTATATGACGCTCCGGTCAATCACGACGCACATGTATCAAGTCGATAAGCTTCTCCGCGTGGCTTACGAAGATTTGAGATACACCGTGAAGAGCAAAGACATTGCCGCCCTGCGACAGAAGCATGTCGATGAGCTCGAACAAGAAACGGGCCTCAAACAGACAGGCGTGTGATACTATTAGTATTACACTGTTGCTTGCAACAACATGCAAAGTCCTTTGCTTTTCGACAATGCTCTCCGCTTCCTCGCCTCGCTATGAAGGCTTACTAATGACAGGAGGGGGCCATTCGATGACCATGTGAGGGCTGACATCTAGAATTTGATCACCGTCGTCCTCGAATGTAAGCTTGTACAGTGCTCGTGAGCCCGGCTGCTTTGCGTGTGAGGAGATGCATGATCGTCAAGATTGGCGGCTTACCTTTTGCTTTGCAATCTGTGCACGGGGATTTGACCGTACGCGTGCCTTATAGAAGGATGTCGTGTCGGGATATAGAGCGAGCACGGTCGAGCCGATCGGATAATCCTGGATCGGCGGGTCGGCGAGTACGACAATGTGCTTGAGTGTGGTATTGAAAGTTCTGGGTCATTTGTGAAGCTCAGCAGTGTCTGAAGATGTAGAGCTGCGTAAGCTTACGCGGGTATCTGACCAGGCGTGTCGTCTGCATCCTGTACCTCGTAGCGATTCTTGTCGCCGTTGAGATTTCGCATCACTCTGGTAAGAATGTAGTCCTCTTTCTCGCCCGGGCTGGCGCTGTCCTTGCCGCCCGATCTATTCTTAGGCTGTTTGAATGCGACCGGTCTGCCTGGCAACAGAGGAAGCTGAACGGTATACTGTGTATGAGATGAGCCGATGGTGACGGTCGACGTGCTCGGTTTGCTCGTCTGAACAGGTTTGACATTGGACGATGCGTTGATTGCAGACATGGGTGCAGGCGAGCCTGGCAAGGGTGATCCCTTGGCTGATGTGGTCAGTGTCGTCACGCGGGGTACGAATGGCACCAGTGGCGGCTCTCGCTCAGTTGGTGCTGGCGAAGCAGTGTCAAGGCGGCGTTTCTTACGCGCATCGTTTGCGCCAAGCGGTTCTGGCTCGCGCAGGGCGATCAAAATTGACAGCGCTTCTTGCGCATCCTTGACGGCGCTTGACTCGCACGAGACTCAGCCTCGTAGGAGACATTCTCGGGGGTGTACGCACGAAAGAGCCTCTTCACTGTAACGAGTTGCAGCCTCGGCAGCTTTGCCAAGTCTTGTTCGCAAATTTGGTTCGACAGTCGTTCCCGATTGTAGCGCGGTTTGGAGTGTGGTGATCTCCTTGAAGTTCTCGTTGCTCAGTGCAGTCGATGTCTGGACTTGCTTCAGACGTTTCCTTGTCTTTTGCCAAAGGTCGCGCTCTAAATGCAGCAACCATCAGAGGCAACTCACGTCAGATTGCCCGACTCACCCTGTGAGTCACGGCCTGGTGCGGTGAGGTTGGGACTAGCCGCGCGGCGCATCAGTGTGGTCGGCGCGAGCAAAAGAGCGACGCAGCTGCGCGCCAGGCCGTTAACGTGGCGAAGAGAGCGATCGCGATTCTGCGGAGAGAACCGCGAGTGGCAGGGAGTCTGCTTGTTGGCGGAAATTGAGCGGACCGCAGGGAGATGATGGCCGCTCGCAGGGAGGCAGGTCTACTTGTGCGGAATGGGCAAGCGGTGAGCAAGTGCCGCTGCTTCTCAACGAGCAGCATCGTTGCTTCAGGCCCTGCTTCACCGCCTCGCATCGATCCTCGCGGCAGACCAAAGCGAGACGAGACACGCTACGGCATTCCCAGGTTCAAGACGGCTGCTGTCGATCGTGAGACTGTCGAAGCATCTGCAGAACATGCCGATCACCCTCTCTGGAAGTTCTTCAGGGACCGTCAACCTATCGAGGACGACATCATGGGAGAAAACGGCGAAGGAAGTCAGTCGGATGAGTTCCTGTTCAGTCTCGATGGAAGCTCATCGTGCTCCCAGGTCGTGCATGGACAGCGAACGAGTTGAGAGGCAAGACATTCGACGAGCTCCACGAGCTGTGGTACGTGCTCTGCATCGAGCGCAACTTGCTCGACACGCAATACATCGAAGTCAGGCGGCACGGCTCGAGTCAGGTAGCCATGACCACACTGCCACACAAGCGTCGACAAGTCAAGCTGTCTCTCTCCCGCGTCAAGATCGTGCTCGCCGAGCGCAGGCGTGCTCTGATGGAAGCGCAGGCTTTGCTCAATGCCAGCTCTCCTATCGCGACGCAAAAGGACATCAAACGCGACCAGAAGCTCGCTCAATTCGAAGAACGGGTCAGGCAAAAGTATGGCGAAGCGGCCGTACAGAGAGCGCAAGAGCAACGCCAATTCAAGCTGGCCCGCTACGAAGCCTACCTCGCCGAGCAGCAGAAAAAGGCCGACGCTGTAGAGGCACGCAAAGCTCAGTCGAACCAGCGATTACCACTCTCGCGGGAGTCGAGCTTCATGGAGGCATCTGCATAGTATTCGCTTGTTATGATGCATGTGTGTGCTCAGCCGCCCTTTGCTACCTTTGGATCAGTCGGATCACCAACATCCTCCCTTTCGCTCGCATCGACATTCCATCCTTTGCTCCTCTCGATGGCTCGGTTCCACCCTGCATAGCGGTCCTTGCGATCTTGCTCTGTCGTCGTTGGCTTGAAGAAACGATTGCCTTGGGTATTGACTTTTGCCAGCGTCTCTGGCTTGCTTACATCCCAGCCGAACAGTCCGAGTGCAGATCCCGCCATGAGCGCAGACCCGAGTGCAGTTGATTCTCGCATTTCGGATCGTTCGACCTCGATGCCGAGAATATCAGCTTGGAGCTGCATCGCTACATCGCTGTTCGTCATACCGCCGTCGACTTTGAGAATCTCGATATGATGTTTTGAGTCCTTAAGCATCGCATCGAGAATGGCTTTAGTCTGGAAGCATGTCGCCTCCAGAGTCGCGCGTGCAATATGGCACTTTGTGGTGTACCCCGTCAATCCGATGATCATGCCCGTCGCGGTGTCATCCCAACTGCGGCACTCCATCAGCGGCATCGATGACACTCCTCACTCGACACACTATGGCGCGAAGAGTCCACTGAGGCCGGTAACAAAGTAAACGCCGCCTGTGTCTTTGACCTGGCCTGCCAAATCGCCAATCTCTTGCGATTCTTTGATGAGGCCCAAGTTGTCGCGCACCCTGCCAAAGCTATAAGCACAGTCACGCTGAGAGGGGAATGAGGGAAGTACCATTTGACGGAGCTTCCGCCGACTGCAATGGACCCTTCGAGCGCGTAGACCGGCTTTGCATTTGGCCCAGCTTTGTAAGCCGGCTGATCTTTGAGTAAGCTTGCGTGCGTTTGGCCAGCCATAAAATCACTGACTGTGGACAGCAAGCCATGTTCGGAGAAGACAGGGGTATCGCCTGTGTTGTACAAGAGGAAGCAGCCGGTGCCTGCGAGGATGGTGAGCAGCAGAAGCCAGACAGAAAGAGCTGGCTCACCATAGGTGTTCTTCGCGTCACCTTTGCTGAGGCACTTGTTACCAATGAGGGCAGCCTGCTGATCGCCCACGATACCAGCAATAGGCATTCCTTCCAAGGGTCCGCTTGTAAATTTGCCGTAGATTTCGGAATTCGATACAATCTCGGGCAGGATCTCTCGCTTGACGCCAAAGAATTCGAGAAGTGAGTCATCCCAAGCTAGCTTGCGCAAGTCCATAAACATTGTGCGGGAGGCATTGGTGACGTCTGTCAGATGCAGACCACCCTTGAGCCCGCCGGTATAGTTCTGCGCGGGTTGTGCTCAGATGGGTGAAGAGCATGACAGGGAAGAGGCTTGCCCACAGAAGCCAAGTGTCCACTGTACCGAACATAAGATCACCGCTATCGTGAGCTTCTCTGACTTCCTTTACATTGTCCAGCAGCCATCTCAACTTGACGCCGGCGAAATAAGTTGAGATGGGCAAGCCGGTCTTTTCGCGAAGGGCAGAGACGCCCTTGTCTGACTTTGCAGCGAGCTTACGGACTGTTGAGGTATTGCGAGTGTCTGGCCAAGCGATGGCATGGTGCAACGCTTTGCCGGTCATCTTTGACCAGACGACGGTAGTCTCGCGCTGATTGGTGATGCCGATACCTTTGATGTTTGACTTTGAGTAGCCGCGTTCTTCGAGCTGCTTCAAGGCGCCCACAATACACGTTTCGATCGAGCTGAGCAAGTCTTCGGCTCGCTCTTCCATCCAACCGGGATGGGGAAAGATCTGTTCGAATTCGAGCTGGTCTGCACGGGGGCACCTCTCAGATGGGGAAGCACTGCAAGATCAGGCGGGCTTACGTTGTGCGACGACATTGGCTACGCTGTCGAAGATGAAGAAGCGAGACGAAGTCGTTCCGCAGTCGATGGCTCTGTTACGTCCGTCTCGAATACTTAGCTCCACAATGAGCAACATGACCGCGTGACGGACCCTATGAGCTCCGTATCGGTCGAAGCGGGCATGATGGGGGTAGTGATTGTGCGTACAGAGTGACAAGCAGACGGCCGGTGTACTGATGGCAGAGCGTAGCGTAGGCAGCGACGGTGTATATGCCCACCCGCTCTACGAAGAGGTCTTGACAGGAACAGCGCTGTCAAGCCGGTGCTGGCAGGCTCGGGAGCGCTCGCTCAAGCTGATCTGATCAGGAGATGATGCTGATGGCTTCTGTCCGAGTCGCTGGCCTTGGCAGTGCTCGAGTCGCTGCCGGCGCTGCCACCCCGCGTCGTGCTGTCCGCGCGTGGATGAGCTCATCGCTTTGACTGAGCTTCTACAGCCGAGATAGTGCTTGGAATTGCCGAGCACCCTTCCTGCCTCATCTACCAAACTGCAGACCATGTTGCGCACGACTCTCCGCACGGCTACACAGAGCGCCAGCACGGGCCGACGAGCATACTCGAGCATCAAGCCCGTCTATACAGCTCATGCCACGTCGACCGGTGGCAGACAGGGCAAGACGTCTGCACCCGAGGCGGGCATCCCGGAGCTTACTCTGGGAACGCCCAAGGCGAGTAGATTCGCCCCGTCCTTGTTCTAGGAGCTCATCGACACCTCGTAACAGGGCCTAGGAGGCAAAGATGATCATTCGGCGAGTTTGAGCTTGATGACACGTCGGCGCCTATGAGCTAATGCTGGTGATGGGAGGGCAGAAGAGCAATCCAGAGGCTCTCTTTGCTTCGACATACTCCGCTTGCTTCATCGGAGCCATGGGACTTGCTGCCGGACAGCTCAAGTACGGCTCTTCCCGGCTCGAATGTGCTTGTATCTGAAGTCTCGACAGGGCCAAACTCCCGCCCACTGTTACCGCCATGGCGGACGTTTCGATAGGAAGCCCGACTGACAATTCTGGTGGCTTCAAGATTGCTGCCACTCTGCGCATACCATTTGATTCACTCGAAGGGTCCGGTCTCGACCGCTCGGGCGCTGAAGAGCTCCTCAAGAAGGCTCACGAGCTCTGCCCATACTCGCGAGCGACGCGAGGCAACATCGTGCGCTCATCGTTTGGCTTGTCTGATCGCGCTCACTTGACGGCATGCAGGAGGTCGACATCAAGCTCGAGTAGATTGGCGCGTTCCGGACGGCCAACAACAGAATGCATTTGCACTCATGTCGCGCTTGCGGCTGCCTTGTTTTCTGCAGCCTCGGTCTCGCTGACCAGCTTGGCTTCTCCTCCGTGACTCGCTTGATGGGCTATCTTGGCCAGCTCGGATTGTTGAGCGACGGTGAGTGAGCGTGTTGCAGCTGCGTAGATCTCTGGGTTTGCCGACTCGAGCTCTGCATACACAGTCAGTCTGATCACCCGGACAATGCAGCAAGACTGACGAGACAGCACGCTTGCAAAGTGACGATACGAGTCAAAATCGTCCATCGGCGTCGCATACATCACTTCCTCGGACCACGTTGACTCGAGATCGTCATCATCCTCCTCGTCGTCCTCTTCTTCATCTTCGTCCAGCTCGCTATCTATTCCTCCTGCGCCCGTCCCATCGTCTGCATCCTCATCGTCGCGATCATCAGGTTCGGCGCTATCGCCCTCTGCATCATCCGCTCCATCTTCGTCGTCCGAGTCGACCTCGAATGCCTGATCAAGCTCTACGCGGCCTGCGTTTCTTGTCAGCCCGGACCAGCTCATCATCGAGCAGCAACATACTCTTGATAGACGTCGGAAGGCCGGCAAAGATGGTGACACATCCTGCGAGGAGCTGTGGGGCCGCACTCGCAAGATCAGGCAGGCTGGGTAACGCTTGCAAGAGATTACAAATCGCAGCAATGCCCAGCTTGCGATCGAAGACGCGCACGAGCTCTTCTAGATTTGCAAACCAGATCGAAAAGAACGGCCAGACGCTGTCGCTCTGCGCCAGCACAGCGAGCGCTTTGGCCGTATCGTAGTTGATTGCGCAGATGATGAGTGTGATACAGTGTAGCTTCTGTCGGTCAGAGATGACCGGATCTGCTTTGGGGTCCTGCCGCCGCAGAGCTTGCATCGCTAAGCCAATAAGGGGCGCCAGGCCCTCGTCGAAGTGGCCATTGAGATTGAGGAAGGCAGTCTCTGCGAGCTTGCAAGCTGATGCGCGATCCTCTGCGCCCAGACGATCGCTCGTCATCACCGTCGTCAACATATCGAGTAGCATGGCCTTATGCTCGGCGTGCTGCCCCAAAGCTTCTCTCCCCACTGCGATGAAGTTGTCGAGACTGGGCATCATATCGTCGAGGAAATCGATGCCATCTTCGCTGAAAGTTCGATGGGTTAGCTCGAAGAGCTTCCACATTGGCTCGGAGATCATCTTGCGATGATATGTTAGCGCGTCGATCAGCTCAAATGCATCGTCGTAGAGCTCTGATGGCACGAGTCAGTTCCAGCAAGATTGCAGTCGCAGGACAGCTGACCAAATAGCGAATGCTGCAGTATGAATGCCAGGGCGGGCATGACACGCTCTTCCACCTGGCCGAGCAATTCCGGTGACGATTCCACTGAACTCGCAAGCTGTAGGATGGTCTTGATGAGTCCAATAGCAGTGATGGTGCGATCGTCGGTCGCCTGCGCCTCGCTATCGTCCATCGTGCCTGCTTTGGCGCGCTCTTCGGCTTCGTAGTTCTCCTGTAATATTCGCGTCAGAGATAGCGTCTGCGCAGTATGTCAGCTATGTGACAGCAAAGAGAGGCGTAGAATGCACCAATTGGCCCGTGAGCTCGGCGGCAAACGGTATCAGTTCGTCTGAGAAGTTGGCAACGAGTTGGCGGGAGGTCTCCGTGAGCGCGTCATGCTCGAGCGCGGATTGCATGTCTAGTAATTCTGCACGACTGGATATCAAGATCGGTCCTTATTGAGGACGAGTCGCACATACGCTGCATGAGGGGCCCTATCTGAGGCGCAATGACGTCTCGAATCGTGTCGTATCGAATCAGCTCCGGGAGAGCAATAGCGGCCTGGACTCGCGTCGGAAGGGCTGGATCGCTCATGGCTTTCGAGATACAAGCAAAGAGCTTTTGCAAGTCCTGCGGGGCCGAGTGAGCTCTGTCAATGCTTTGTGTCGAGCGACATACGTCTAGGTTTTTCCAGGGCAGATCCAGTCGCTCGCAAGCCTCAGCTAACTCGCACGCGCGAGCGCGTAGGTATCCTTGCCCGCTGTCGAATTCGGGTATGATGTAGTTGACGAAGAAGGGCTCGAGCTGGAGCTTGTATGCCTCGCTCTTGAGGATAAATGGCACGAGAGAGAGCATCATTCGCAGAGCACCGTCTTTCTGGCGTGCTTCGTATTTGGCTGGATATTGAGTTACTACACTGTTGATGAAACTGAGTAGGCCACCCAGCGTCGACTTTGGACGTTCGGAGACCAGAGACTCGATAAAGTCTGATGCTGCAGATGCTGGCGAACGAAAGTAGTCTTCGACAAAAGCTGCCAGTCGATGTCAGTCAAATTCGCAATGCACAGCATGTTCTTACAGCCATAATGTGTTTTGGCAAACTCTACAGGATCCTCATCGAATTGTAAGATCTCGTCGTCGGACATGCAAACGGTCGGAAAGACGAAGCCAGCGACGATGGCATCGACATGAGGCCTCAATAGCGCCCACATGTCCTTGGGTTTGATACTTCTCGCTCCGGATTTAGCATGCTATTCGTTCGCATGCACAAAGGGCCCTCACCAATTAGTCAGGAATTCCAGGCTGAGCCTGCGGCATCGCTCGGAGAGCCACTGTGTGCCGCTGCAGGCATGTTCGATTTGGCTGTCCAGCATCGACGTTGAGCATCTGACCTCCAGCTTGGCTATGAGACGCACACAAGGTATAGTCGCAGTATCTCTGGCGCAAAAGTCGATTGAAAGTGCTTCGCAAACGGCTTGTAGTGTATGCGATCCGGCCGCAAGTGAGACAAGCAGCCGAACGATACGAAGAGGGCGTTGAGCTAGCGGACCGAGAGTGAGCGTCCCCCAACTGGTTGAGAGCAGACACTCACATTGCGGTAAGCCCATTTCTTTGCGCGCCACCATGAAAAGCGCTCTCGGTCGTCCAAATCATCCGGCACTGCCGCAGGATCGAGCGGTCTGGCGACGACAGCGAGCATGAGTTTTCCCCAGGGTACTATGCTTTCGTCGGCCTGTTGGGTTGTCGATATTTCGACGCGTATCGAGAGCGAGTAGACCTTGAAGATGAGATAGAGGAGTTGGCCTGCCTCTGGCGGACAGGCAGGCGAAGGTGCAGAGGCGAGTATCTCATTTCCCATGCTACACAGCAGGCCGGCGCAAGCAGCCATGACGCCATCTGGTACGGCTCTCTTCGACCTTGAGAATCGATAGAGCTTGTGGATCTGGACGAGTACGAGGAGAGCGGCTTCGATTCTGGCGAGGTCGTGGCTCTGTAAGGCTTCCAAGACTTGCTGTGATAGGTCTGGCCATTGCTCTGGAAAGTCAGAGTCGACGACTGTGCCTAGCGCTGCTTGTAGCTGAGTCTTGACGCTGGATCCCGTGCCGGAACGAATGACAGAGACGAGGACGTGAAGCAGGTTGCGTTTCAGCGCGAGCCTGTCGGATTCGGGTATCGGCACTTGATGAGGCTTGTCTGTCTGCAGTATCACGTCGGTAGACCATGACCGTGCCAGTCGATTCTTGAGATAAACGCTGGCCGCCTGTTGAGTTGGAAACGGTACATCGGGCGAGCTCAGAAGCTGCAGAACGGCGGACACCATCCCCTCTGCGCCCTCGACCTACAACGCAAGCTGTCATCGTGCCAGCTTAGCATATTGAGCTCGTGGCTTGCCTTCCTGAGCTCGAGTTCTGCTGCCATTCTGCGAGTATGCGCCGCTGCCGTCAATTTGCTGTTATAAGCTGAAACCAGTTCGCACTTACCGGACATTGGGATCGAGATGAAAGGAGGCATCGAACAACGCTTTGAGCGATTGGGCGTCCATGTTGCGACGGCCGCAGGCGAGCAGCACCGTCTGGCAGGACAAGGCCAGTCGCCCAAAATTTTGGGAGACGCGTTTGTCGACAAACCGGCGGGCGCCTCGTGGTGGTGCGCCAGGCATGGAGCCTCTGCTCGTAGCGCCACAGCCAGTCCGGCCAATGACGTCCAGCTCATCATCGTGGCTCGTCTCGAATGACCCGACTTCGGACCAGGACAAGTCGCCTAGCGCAACAGAGCCGAGACCGAAGTTGCCGGTCAGTTCGAGTACGCGCACCCTGACCGACAAGCGAGACAGCGCCCGGTCAGAGACTCGTGACGATGACGAGCTCATAGGCTTCCCGAGACTGTCTTCAGAGGTGCACAGATCCCGTATGGACGAGCCGCGACTGAGCAGGGAGTCACTTCCCCCGCCTTATGACCTAGCACTTCAGTCAGAGATTGCTAGCTTGGCAAGAGCGAGGCAAGAGTCGACAGACAGACTCTCTCAGCTCGGCTCCAGCTCGCGTCGCGTTCGAGACGGGCCTAGCTCTGTCCGTTCGCGCCAGACTACCGCGTCGACAAACCGTCATAGAGTCGGCAGCGAGGCAGGCTTCGAGCTAGATGACGGGCCTCCGCGCTCAAGCAGACAGGAGACGGATGGCATGCGACGTCTCTCTGTGAGCAGCGCTTATAGAAGTACTTCGTCTCGTCAAAGACCCGATACATCTTTGCCACGATCGTTGACAGCCACTCAACTTGCACGTCTACCGGACCTGTCGACACAGCAGCGCAACCAGTATAGAGGGGAGCATGCGCGCAAGGCCCACGTTCCTCGTTCGCCTTCCAGCGTCGTCAGCGTCTCGAGCTCGGTCTTCTCTCACCAGCCAACACCTTCAAAGGGCCGCCTGCAGTATCAAGCCGACCATGATCCAAGCAGACATACTTCGATAGCGTCCGTTTTAGCGGGGATCGATGCTCAGGATGCGACAGCAAGAGGGATCGCGTATGCTCACGACAGTCTCGCCAAACGCTTTGCACGGTGGATGTCAAAATCGGGCAAGAAGCAGCTACTCGTGCCCAGCGTACTTCTCGCTTCTTTCATCATCCGAGCGACCGTCAGCCTTGGCCCTTACTCAGGTATACTTCACCAACAAAGGGTCATGCGCATTCACCTGATTTGCGCGCAGGCTATGTTGTCGCGCCAATGTATGGCGACTTGGAAGCACAGCGCCACTGGATGGCAGTCACTTATCACCTGCCGCCGAGCGAATGGTACTTCCACCGGCTCGAATACTGGGGTCTCGACTATCCTCCCCTCACTGCCTATCTATCCTGGCTCTTCGGCGCCTTTGCACATCATCTCGGCAACCCAGCCTGGGTAGCCCTTCGCACATTGCCCGATGCGCAAGTAGCGAGCGAAGATGACACGAAGCTGTTCCTACGATTGAGCGTCATCTTCATGGACTTCCTCATCTACGTCCCAGCAGTGCTGCTCTATCTCGCAGTGACCCTTGGCGGCAAACGAGGCGGTTCCAGTCGATCAAGACGCAGTGGAAGAACTCAGGCTGTGGCCCTCATGACGATTCTGTTCCAGCCTGCGCTCATCCTGATCGACAATGGACATTTCCAGTCAGTCTTCGTTGTCTGCAAGTAGGCAGAGCTAATGGAGCACCTAGATATAATTCGGTCATGCTTGGCCTCGCCGTGGCAGCTTTCGCATTGCTACATCGCGGCAACGATCTCTTGGCAGCCATTCTCTTCGTCGGCGCCCTCGGTTTCAAGCAGATGGCACTTTACTTTGCGCCCGCCATGCAAGTGGTGCATTTTCGGGCAAGCTTCACAAGCTGATGACAGATCAGGTTCTTTTTTTTACTGGGCAAATGCGTCTGGCTTCAAGGCCATCATGGGTGCGGCACCTCACCAAATGCGTTTGGCGCGGCTGACCATCGAACATAGCGTCAATCTATTTCTGAACCTCGCCATTGTCGGCGTAGGATCGCTTGCGCTTGTCTTTGCGCCTTTTCTCTCATCCACTGCACAACTTCTACAAACACTGCATCGCATCTTTCCGTTCCAGCGCGGCCTGTTCGAGGACAAGGTGGCCAACTTTTGGTGCGGTCTCAATGTTGTCATCAAGCTACGTCAGCTCGCTAGTATACCCGTCCTCGCTCGTCTTGCGCTCGTCGCAACACTCCTGGCGCTCTTGCCGAGCGCCTTCATCGTTCTGTATACGAGCTACAGCCACAAGAGGCAGATGCAAGTAGAGGCGCCCGTTACGAAGATCCAGAAGAGTTTGCCACCTACACTCAAACTTCTGACGCACTCGCTTTTCGTCTCTTCCATGTCATTCTTCCTTTTCTCTTTCCAGGTGCACGAGAAGAGCATACTACTGCCACTACTGCCGATCACACTCCTTATGGCGGGCAGTGAGCCAGGACAAAGCGGCAACGACTGGGACTGGGCAGCATTGCTCAACAATGTGGGCGTGTTCAGGTGAGTTGTCTGCCTGTTGCTACCACCCGTACTCATCTACAGGTAGCATGTGGCCCTTGTTGAAGCGTGACGGTCTCGGCGTGCAATACGTCGCCTTGACGCTTCTCTGGAATCGCGTGATCGGTCACGATCCACTGCGCATGCCCAGCTCATTCCTCAAAGCGCTCACGTTGGTACGAAGCTCACTGCTTCGTCTGTTTCTCTACTGACGCTTGCGGACAGGTGACATATTCATGCATTCTTGCTATGCACGTGCTCGAGCTCATCGCGCCTGCTCCGGCGCACTTGCCAGATCTATACCCAGTCCTCAATCTCACGCTATCGGCAGCCATTTTCGGGTTATCGTGGCTATGGGGCATCAAGCGACAGGTTGAAGAAAGCTGGGCTATCATCGGTATGAGCAATGTCTCGGCGTCTGTACCGCCTAGCAGGGTTGCTTCCCCGTCTGGCAATCATGTGTCCTTGCCTCGTATTACAGGACTTCGATCTTCAGCCTCAATCTCTTCGCGTCTGTCAAAGTCGCAGACGTACGGTCCGCTTCGAGCGGACCACGACTATTCACAATCGGGCGTTTTGCCGAGATTAAAGCAGCGAACCTCGTTTACATCCAGTGCCGGATTTGTGAGTGACTCGCAACAGCCGACGAATGGAAGCAGAAGACGAAGGAAAGACAGCAATATGAGCGCAGTGACGAGTGTCTCGCAAGTCCTTCGGCCATCCAGACGCGCGAGGGACTCAAACGGCGGCGCGCAGACCGACTGGGAAGGTGCGCATCGTGCGCACAGGAGACAAACAGCGCCTGTACTGCAGACCGATGACGAGGCGCGCCATCGCTCCGCGCGTCATGATCTGTTGGGGTAGCTGAATGCAATCCTTGCCCGTCGGCGTCAACAGTGCCTGAGAAGTGGCTTCAGTACGATGATGTGTGCTCAGCGTGTGTAGGCCATGACTACTTCGCCAATTACAAATGATGGATGAAGGTTGTGCCGTCTGGCGCAGAAGTCTATCCGATGAATTGGTCACGATGTGCTTTCAAAGACTTGACTTCTAGATTGTCTGGGACAGAGTCCGTGTGATCAGCGTCGATCGCAGAAGAAGATCCACAGGGCAGCCGAGGAAAGACGCGCCTGTTGCTACAGACTCTCAGCTAGAGACTGCCGTCTACAGCATGGCAACGAGCAGCGAACTCTGCCAGCGTCGTGACAGTGCATCTGTCATCTAATGGGAGCCCTATGCTGCCGCCCAGAGGTGCGTGACTGCCCAAGGACGACGGAACACGATGGGCGCGAGCTGAGCATGTTTACCCTGAGCAGGAGGTCGATTTCGATGGGCCGGTCGACCTCTGGCACTTCTACCTGCTCCGGGCAGTCGGCAAGGGCGCCTTTGGCAAGGTGAGAGTAGTACAGCACAAGCAAACCAAGGCGCTTTACGCGCTCAAGTACATCAACAAAGCACGATGCGTGAAGCAGCACTCGGTCTCCAACATCATACAAGAACGTCGTCTGCTCGAGGAGATCGACTCGCCCTTTGTTTGCAATCTGCGTTACGCCTTTCAGGATGACGAGAACCTGTTCATGATACTCGATCTCATGCTGGGAGGCGACCTCCGCTTTCATCTCGACAGAATGGTCTGCATGCGCGAAGACGTTGTCAAGTTCTACGTGGCAGAGATTGCGCTCGCTCTAGACTACCTCCACAAGAAAGGCATCGTCCATCGGTGCGCACGCTGGCACGCTCTGCTAACGTCAATGTCTGATAACGACGCGATGCAGAGACATCAAGCCAGATAACATATTGCTCGACGAAAGAGGGCACGCTCATTTGACCGACTTCAACATCGCCGTACACTTTTCACAACGGCGAGCTCTCACATCCATAGCAGGCAGCATGGCCTACATGGGTACTCGGCCTTCCCGCGTTTTCGATCTGCATGGGCTAATGCCTCGCTACAGCTCCCGAAGTTCTCACGAAGAAAGGCTATACCTACACGCCTGATTGGTGGTCACTTGGCATACTGGCATGGGAGACGCTCTTCGGCAAACGGCCCTACAGGGGCAAGACGAATACGAGCTTGACAAATTCTATCCTCGAGGAGGAGTTGCGAGTGCCGGCGGAGGCGCCTCAAGCTGTCAGCCAAGAAGGTCTCGCGTGTGTCCGTGGGGTAAGCATGACACTCTAGCTCATCTCGAGGCGCTCAAGTGTAGCAATCCCAGTTGCTGCAACGTGATATCAACAAGCGACTGGGCTGCGCAGCGATGGGTGGTCTGCAAGGTCTGAAAGCACACCCTTGGTTCCGCGACTTTGACTGGCAGGCAGTCGAGAGCAAGTCTGCGACCGCGCCCTTTATACCCGACGTAAGCTTATACTCTAGCCGTCGTCGGTGACGCTGACAGGCCGAACAGTCCAAACGAGCCAATTTCGATGCGACCCACGAATTAGAAGAGTTGCTCCTGGAAGACAATCCGTTGAAAGCACGCAAGAGAGACCCCAAGCTGGATGTCGATTCGCTCTCGTCAGACATGCGCATGTTCGAAGAAGGCTTCACGCCGTTTGATTGGACAAAGACGACACGAAAGTCGTGGTTCGATGTAGATGCGATCGATGCCAAAGCGGGAGCACCTGGCACGACATCGACGGTGACGACAGGCAAGGGCAAGTTGCCGCTCACGGCGCAGCCTCACGCAGAGTACAAAGAGTCTGTGCCTCTCGACAAGTTATGATGTCTTTTCGCAAAGTACAGCCAAAGACAGTCAGTGACACGCACGCAAGACGAGGATCAGATCGCCACTCCTTGGGAACAACAGGCAAATATTGGCACAGGTGATCAATTGTTTTTTGTCGTTTTGTATTCTGTACATGTCTGTCATCATCTGCCGGGAGTGTCTACTTTGATCTTCTTGGGGGTCCCGTCTGCAGAGAGTTGGCCGGTCGAGATGGCCTCTTCGTAGGCTAACCTCTGACCTTCCCTCATCTGGAGCGCAACGGCGGCATTGACGGCTTCGCGTATCTGATCCTCAGGGTCGAATCCGTCTCGTTCTGCTGCAATGGTGATGTCTCTGATCTTGGCCATCAGATCCTCGGCGGCTGCGTCAGTCTGTGCACTCGTCTCTGCAGGCAGAGAGTCAATCGAAAGCGGCGCAGCACTATCTCTGCTCGGCGCGCTCCGCTTTGTGCCTGCTCCGGCGTTCTCCTCTTCCTCCTCGTCGCTGTCTGCTGCTGTAACGGGCAACGTTTCCTTTGTTATGCTGGCGACGTATCGTGCTACAGGGTAATAGTCTTCTGCGAGCGAGGCGGCCGCCTGGATGCCCGTCAGCCATACGTCATTCTGCTCGCACAGAGCGCTGACTGTTCTGCCTTGTTCATTCCGTAAGGAGGCATCCGCTCCGAGCGAGATGACCTTTGTGGCCATCGCTATGGTCTCCACAGCGAACAGAGGCGTTCTGCAGTCAGCTATGAGCGACGAGACTTGCGACATGAATCAAAGAGGTAGCTTACTCGCCATCGCCGTCTCTGAGGTTGATGTCGCCGCCTTTGGAGATGAGATAATCTAAAACGTCAGGATGGCCCCAAGAAGCAGCTGCATGCATTGGCGTGTAGCTGTTCTCGTCCTTTGCATTGGCAGATGTGCCACCCTCTATGAGCTCCTGTTCGTCACGTGTAGGGTGAGCGCTTTGACCAGACGTGCAGTCAGGAGCCTTGCCTTGACCCGATCGAGATCGCCATCCGAAGCTGCTATCCAGATATTCTTCGCCATGGGAGTAGAGCCGGCCGGCGCCGAGATTTGGCAGGCAAAAAGAAGTGGATCGACGCGCCGCTGCCACGATGCACGACAGACCGATAAACCCGTGATTGAGTGGATCCAGCTTGATTGACGAGTCCGTCTGCCTCGACGATGGCAGGCTCTGATAGCGGCAGCGACGTCGAGGATGTGCGAGCCGGACCCAGCAACGAGATCGACGGTAAGGAAGAGACGAGCGCTTCTCTCTTTCCAGCTCCACCATCCATCTGGAAACGCTTTACAACTCGCAATATCGAACTCGCAAAGCTGCTCGACGAGCGCATACGAGCAGAGGATGCATTGCAGTCACCTACGCAGGGAAAGAGCAAGCAGGAAGAGCGCTCGAAACGTCAAGCGCGTCTGCTTGCTGATGAGCTCGACAAGGACGAGGAGGATGTCGCGGACTTCGATCTGTTGCAGCTCATCAGACCGCCGTCAGTCGAACAGGTCTACCGAGAGGGCTACTGGAACGTCTTTGGCCAATCGTTTCCCGTTCGTCAGCTGAGTGAACCAAGCTGCTCCCCACATTGACGGTCGCGCGACAGGTTAGCGAAGAAGACACAGAGCTGCCAGATGAGATGCGGCTCTACGACCCGTTGGCAGGTACGCGATAGTCGACTCGGGCTTCTTCTTCTGGCTAAGCTGTAACGAGCAGAGAGGAAGAACAACCTCGAAAAACTACTTCAGACGCTGCTGCTCACCTATTTCAAGCTGACCCAAGCGCTTCTCAAAGGCCCACCCAGTCGAGCTGTCCCCCAACCAGATTCTCTCTATGTGACTGTCCCAGGTGAAACGGGCGAGCCTGAACGCGTGGAAAGAAACGATGTCGATCTGTGTCTGCAACATATTCGCTATGCCAGTCTCAACATGCACCATCTGCTCAATCAGCTACGGCCCGTCCAGGTAACTGCTCGGACAAATCTCAATGCAAAGAGCTCATATAAGCTCGATAGGCGCGTGAGAACTTGAGGGTGATTATGCTTCAGCAAATTCAAGCACGGCGCGAGATTGCTGCTAGCCTCAGAGAGTATGCTCCCCTCTGTCAGCGACTGGCATCTCTGACAGTGTTGGCAGGCAAGCACGTTTAGCCCAAGCGCAGATCGACGTGCTCAAGACGAGATTGAGGGGCACAGAGCACGCAGACATGGCAATCGATCCACCACTGAAAGGCTCAGCTGTCGAAGAGCTCGACACGAGCGTCAGTCGATGGGAAGCACTCAGAAGGAGGGCGACAGAGATCGAAGCGAGTTCGCGAGAGCCATAATGCATTCGTCACTGCATCGTACCCCAAAAAGGCATAGATAGATCATTTGAGATCGTCCAGCGACTTTTCGATATCTTCGAGGTGCTTCTTCTGCTCTGCAATCTTCTTGCGCAGCTCTTTCAGCTTGGCTTGTTCCTGCGTCCAGCTATGCAGTCAATACCGTCCAGCTCGGGCATGAGAGTACGGCGAGGCAACTTGCCCGTTCGCGAATGTAAGCGTTCTCCTGAGCTTTCTCTCGGTCGCCGAACGTCTGAGAGCCAGCTGTTGAGCCCTCATCGCCGGCGCTGCGGCCAGAGCGTGAGCTCGTTCGCGGGAGTGGCACGGGAGGTGAGCTCACCGCCTGACTGCCGACGTGGACATCATTCTCGTGATGGGGCGTGCTGCCTGGCGAGCAAGGGCTGTCGATCTCGGAACAAGCATACTCTGTCCAGAGATCAGCGGGGCTGTCTATGCAAGCAAGTATGCACACACACTTGGACACTGGCTCTCGCTCTGTTCTGTGTGTGTCGCAGTGACGCGGGTGACGAATTATTCAAGATTTCGAGATTGCAGAAGGCTCATCTCGATTTTGTGGCAGGGAGAGCTTAGCTTTGCCGCGCAATGATCTCACGGATGCTCGCCAGGGTAAGCTAGACGCTTTCGTTTCCCCTCCGCACACCTCGTAGGATCTCTTGAGCCAGTCGATGGCAGCCTTCACGAGCCCGATGGCAACCAAGACACGGCTTTTGCCCGCTCGCGCAGAGCGCATCTATCCCCCGCTGCCGACGTCCTGGCGCTCTCTTGCAGCTCTCGAACGCCCGGAAGAGCTGTTTGTGTCTGTTTGTGCACACGTGCATGCATCGGATCGAGTCCGGAACAGTTTCCTGAGCAGAAGCTGACCCGCATCTTTGTGCAGGCGCCTCGCTCTCTGGCCAGATTGCCGCAAAGAAGCTTTGCTTCTTCCAGCATCGTCTCAAAAGGTTCGCCCATATCATTCTGTCGACTCAGACGGCGCTGATGTCATGCACGATGAACAGACTTTGTACAGGAACTCTACCTCAAAGAGTTGAAGGCCTACAAGACCCCGACGCAGGCGAGTGATGCGGCCCAAGTCAGCTCTTACTGGGGCTGAAAGGGCTCGATGGCTTTGCAGTCCAAGGATGCGCATGTTGGACACGTCAAGGAGTTCCACACGCCCTCTGCGCCGAAAGCGCCGACCATTCCTTCCTCAGCCGATCTTGCCAAAGAGCTCGAGGCCTACGCCAACGAGGTGCGCATCCACAGTCTCTTCGATCGTGAAGGCGGCTGATTCATCTCGCGCAGGCCGTGACCTCCGAGTCGACTGCATCAAGCGAGAGCACGCCCAGCCAGGAACAGACTCAGTCTGCCGACGAGTACCTCAGCTTTGTCGAACACCACGACCCAGGGAAGGATGCTCATCACTGATCGCGCAACCACACGACGAGTGACTTCGACAGAGGTAGACTCGCGATCCAACGGCTCAAGGATCACAACGTGACAGTGTCGGTATGCTAGCAACCTGTTTTGAACGAGACTGCATCGTGTCTTTCTAGTACTACACTCGCCTACCTCACAATGATGGTGCTGACGAAATAGACTGAGATCAATTCTCGGGTGTGTCCTGCTGGCGAGGAACCACCTGCTCTCGAGCAGTCAGCTTTGAGTCCTCGAATTGCACTTCAGCAGGAGCGAGGACGGATCAGCTACCGTTGTTGTGTTATGGAACTCGTCATACCAGCGTCCATTGGACGAGACTCGGACAGTGTGATTAGATGAGATGTCATCATGCAAAAGCGAAGAGAGGAGCTCGGAAAGAAAATTTGACGAGACAAGGCTTACCTCGAGTACTGAGAGCTGTCGCCATGCCTGGCACGTAGATGCTGAACACCTGTGCAGACTAGCCGGCCGGTCAACAGCAAGATCAGGCGGGAAGCCCGCTGACGAAAGCGAGCCCGAGCGCGAGAAGAGAACCAAAGTTGGGTCGCGACGAGCTCGACGAGTGGCCACGTCGGTCGAGGGGTCGAAAGGCTGAATATGCAATTTGCGGCTATGGGATGGTAACAACAAGGACTGAACTCGGCGTCAGCTGTAGCTCGCCCAGCGTGCTCGCCATCTCGTTCTTTGTAAACGTCTTTCGCGGAAAGGTGGTCGAAAAGGCGAGATTGCCGCTGAGCGACGGCACGGCGTCGTAGAGGTGATTCGCAACATCGTTGAGCGTCTTGTCTGCTGGAAACGTCGCGAGGACGGGCGCACCTGCTACGTTGGCGGGTAGTCTGAGCTGCAATCGCGCTTCTGAATGGACACGCTTGGCCGCTGGCGCAGAAGCTGCCGCGGCAGCTTTAGGTGCTGCCTCAGTAGTATCGGGCGGAGGGCGACCTTCTCTGAGTCTGAGCATCGATACCGATGGTCATTCTCGCGTCTCGCTGAATATGGATGAGCGGCTCACGCTTTATCTTTGGCGGCCTTTTCTGCTCTCTTGCGCTTATCCTCTTCGATCTGCTCCCGAACGCGAGCTTTTGCTTTTGCTTCTAGTATCTTGTCGTTCTTGCGTTCGAGCGCTTGCTTCTCTGCTTCTTTGAGCTTGAGCTGTGCCTTTGCGGCGCCCTGATCTTGACCGGCTTTGCGACGTATGGCTTCATTGGCTTTCGCATCTGCTCTGTCTTGCTCTTCTTTGACCTTGCGCTTGGCAGCCATCTTGGCTCGCAACTGCACACCAATCTCTGCTGAGGAGATGCTGCCATCAGCAAAGCGTTCGGGCTGACCTCTTCCAGCTTGGCTCTTTTCTCCTCATCGGTGAGCGGCTTGATCTCCTCTGTCGACTCCTCAAACTGATCATGACCGCTCCGGTCGCCGTGAAAGCCAGCGAGAGCGGTGTTTCTGAATATCTTGCCGCATTCTAGACATTTCTGCCGGCCATACCTGCGTCAGCTCGAGTACCGAGCCGATGAGCAGAGTGGGAGCTGACGATGGATTTGGCTTGTACGCCAGCAGCCTCATCTGCATCTGCCGCTGCTTCTGCTGCTTGCTCCTCCTGACTTGCCGGCGCCTCGACGATGGAGGATGATGATGATGATGAAGCATCTGGCGTGGCGTCATCCTCGTGAGTCTGGAGAAAGTCGAGAGCAGGCTGTAAGCCGGCATTCTTGGTCGATTTGAGGGCCCATTCTGCTCGCGATCTGATCCACCGTGCTGGACCGATCAGCCCTGCACCTCGCTGTGGTTGAGCGGCGTACCTTTCGAAGCCGAAGCTGACCAGTGTGTCCAGGTCGCCACTCATGTCGTGGTGGCCAAAGTCGACAAAGTCACGACGACGGCGACGTCACGACATTGACGCGACTGTCAGCTACAACGAAATGTCCTCCGTCGACGTCCAGTGTTGCTGTCCCCTACTCGACAGATGACCGCACTGCCTCGGCTACCGGCATGACCGCTGCGCTAGATGAGAGCCTGCTGCTCTCTAGCGGATCCCGAGAGTACTTCGAAGCTCTCAAAGCAGTATCAACCCCTGCAGGTGCATCAAGACCAAAGGAGCTCAACATTCTAGCTAGCAACGATTTGACAGGCTCGCAACGACCACGAGAAGCGCTCAAATGGGATGGTGCAATCCTCACATGGCGTCAGGGCACATGCGTACGCGCAGTCTACGACTTGTCGACCTGGCAAGAGCACATCACCGTTGCCCTCTTTGCATACTTTGATCTACCTGCCCTCTTCTCGATCGAAGCGACAGGCTCACACATCGACACAGTATCCCCGCTCAAGGGCAAGGAGAGAGCTACGTCAGAGAGAGCAAAGTGGCAAGGTCTCTACGCCGGCGAGGCTCCTTCGCTTTGGGATTCGGGCTCGCGCAACCTGCCAGGCGCTGCACGAAGCGTGCGGACCCGCGTCATTTGCGTCATCCTGACTCATGTGCTCGTCATCTTTGCACCTGCTACCGGTCAAGAATTCGTCGTCCCCCTGCCCTTTCGGATCGCTCATGCGCTTCCTTTGCGTATCGGATTGCTCGTGCAAGGGTCTGGTGAATCTGACTCTGCGCTTTGGTCACTGGCGGATCCTTATGAACAATTTAAGCCAGTCGCAGTAGCTTCGCAGGGTACTCAGCCCGCTGCATGCTCAGATCCACGATGGCTGAGCAATCGTCTGGCGCGCGACGAGGGCATTGAAGCCTCACAAGCGCAGGGCAACGATCTCAATCTACTCCTCACCATCGATCTCGTCCATCGGCAGGCTTCGATCTGGTCCTTCCATTCTATTGTCCAGTCTGGTGATGTACCTGCCGCCAGAATGCCTGATGTCGGCGCTCCTGCTGCGGCGGCGATGGCTAAAACGCCCAGCTCGACAAAGGCTCGCAAGCGGTCCAGCATGGCACATGGCGACATCTCAATGACACTCGATTCACCAGCCGATCCTCTGCTCGCTAGCCTGACGCAGCAGGTGGCCACGCCCATGGCGAGGAAAGCTTCGAGCCAAGCGGGCCGGACTGCGAGACAATCGCTCGGTGGGAGTACTGCCCAAGCTATGCCAGACCTGTCAATGCCTCCATCGTTCTCTCCTGCGCATACAGACATCGATCATGATCCGTTTGCCGTGCAGCTGCCGAGCGATCAGAGTCATGCGAACGAGAAGCAGGACTTTCTAGCTGTCCACCGGTACACCTTTGATATCCATAGTGCAATAGAGTCGGTCAAGCCCACCGTGCAGTCCTGTTGAACTGACATCGACAGCAGGCTTGGTGAGATGACGCTCAGTATCCGAGCCAGCAGTGCGAAGGACACGCACCTATTGGTCGTTCGGGACAATGGTCAAGACATGCGATACCTTCGTCTGGTCGGACATGACGAGGCCTTGGAGATCTGCGAAGCCTGCGAGGAGGACGAGCGTGATCTGCTGAAACACAGGCTACAATCGATGCCATCGTCGAACGATCTTGCTGCGCTGTGCGTTGAGGCGCTGCTGCCTGTCCTGCCCATAGATTTCAGCACTCATCTCATCGACCAAATCTCATGGGGATCAGTAGACAAGCCTCTCGATGTCCTCAGCGACATCTTATTGGGGACAGCACGAGCTGGCGATGCTGGAGATCCTTGGCAGGCGCTGCTGCAAGCCTCATATGATGATGCCTTTGACCCAGCCTTACAATGGGCAAAGACTTTCAATCTGTCAGAGGTTGCTACCAAGGACTTCGGGCCCTATACCGCAGACGCACTGCCAGCCTTGTTTGCCCTGCGCAATAGCATCGGTCTCGTCAACTACGAGGCATCTCAAAGGCGGCAGTTAGATCGCCTTCTCGCAGATCTAGCGGCGCAGCAAGGCTGGCATCATGTCAGCGACCATCTCTTCAGGTCTACTGGAGCAATGTCTCGGCTAGCAGCAACAGTGACCAGCTCTTCTGCAGCGGACGAAGCATGTTTGCAGACCTTGATCTCGACGCGTTCACATAAGCCGCCAACAACCGTGGGCGAAATCGACGAGCTCTTCACGAGATGTCTTGCTGCTTTCCAAGATCCTGAAGCAAGCGGCTCGCTAGCTCGCTGCTTCAAAGTCATACAACTGCTAGCCGATGCAGGCTTCACTGCTCACGACGTAGCAGACTTACCCTTGGCACCGCGACTCTTCCTACAAGAATGCGCCCGTCGCTGTCAGCTGAAACCTCCTAGCGAGGCATCGAATGACTTCATGCTTCTCATTGGACGCGAAGACCTGGCAGAGCTACCAAGACCTGCAATGTCGGCCACGCCTACTGGCAAGAACGCAAAACTGTTCAGTCAGGACCTGCGCGTCAAATCGGTATGCGATATGCTTGCCTACAACGTTCCCTTGTCTGTTTCACTGCCCGGAACCGTTGCGGCTGACTTCACGTAAAAGGTCCCTTTACACTTGCAAAAGCGACGCTGACTCTATAGATGCAGCGATTCGAGCGCATTAGAAGAGCTCGAGCGTGCGACTGGCCGGCGCATCATGTCGATGCCGTTCGGCAGCGCAATGTTACATTATAGCTCAGTACACGGTATCCTCGATCAAGATAGGACGACGATGTCACTCGAGCTCGACTTTATCGCGGGCAACACTACTAAACGGGTCAAGCTCATACCTCACCTTTTGCCAGATCGGCGTGGCTGGGCAGATTTTCACGCTGGCGTTGATGCAGAGCTAGCTCGAGCGTCTTCGGCCGATCATGACGCTCAGAAAGACATCGTGCAGAGTATCGAGTCTAACGAGCCTACGCCATCGCTAGCAGGTCGACTGCTTGGCTTGGGCCTGACCAGACGCTTGCGTACATTGACACGCTTTCAGGCGTACAAGCTCACCCATGCCAAGAAAGATCATATCTCTATTGGCTTGCTGCTTGGTCTGTCCTGCTCCTATGTTGGCACTTCGGACACGCGCATCTCAAGCTTTCTGACCTCACACATACCTGCACTGCATCCTGCTTACGCGACTCGTCTCAATGTCAGCCAACTCGTGCAGGCTGCCGGCTTACTGGGCATAGGTCTGCTGCACTTTGCGAGCAATAGGCGGCAGCTAGTCGACGGTCTCGTAAGAGAGCTCGGCTCGATTAAAGTTGCGCAGATACAGCCGGAGGACAATCATAGAGAGTCGTATGCGCTCAGCGTAGGCCTTGCTATTGGTTTGATCATGTTTACAAGAGGAGGAGAAGCCTCTCGTCAGGATGACCGGTCACTTGTCTCGAGTTTAGCAGGTCTTGCGACAGGTACGACGAGTACGCCTAGCGCTGGTGCACAAGGGACGCTGGACATCCACATCGTCATGCCGAGTGCCACCATGGCGCTTGGTATGATGTTCGCAAAGACCGATCGTCAAGACGTGGCCGACATTTTCGAGATTCCCCAGACGCTTGCGCGAGCGGACCGAACGCGCCCAGATCTTGTATTACTGAGGACGCTGTGCCGCTCATTAATCTTGTGGGCGACAATCACTCCCAGCAAGAGCTGGATTGAGTCCATCATGCCCTCGTTTGCGCGACCGCTCTTTAGGCGCACCGACAAGGTCGCAAGTGATTCGCAAACAGAGGCAATTGCATGGACGGTCGCAGGAGGCGCAGCACTCGCTATAGGGCTCAAATATGCCGGTAGCGCCTCTCGCGAAGCCCATGCGCTGCTGCTCGACCTACTGGACCGCGTAATTGCACGTTGGACACAGATTCGTAAGCTCAGATCGCGCCTGGCCCTGCTGAAGCTGACGTTATCGCATCTAGCTGCTACCGCAGCGGCTACGCTGCACCGACAGACGCTTTCATTGCCTTTGTCTGCGATTGTGACTGCTTTGACAATCGTAATGGCAGGAAGTGGCGAACTGAATGTTCTACGACGCTTGCGGCTGCTATATGGCCGCTTAAGCAAAGCAGATTCAATGTCAGGCCATCTCGCGACATCAATGAGTCTCGGGATGTTGTTCCTCGGCGGTGGCAGACATACTCTAGGCACATCGCCACTCGCAACAGCATCGTTGCTCGTTGCATTTTATCCGATCTACTCACGGCAATTCAACAATTGCGCCAATCTGCAGGCTGCGCGGCACCTTTGGGCGCTGGCGACTGAGCCCCGGCTGCTTGTCGCGCGCGACTCAGCTTCTGGTCAATCCGTCTTCCTTCCTCTGCGCGCCAAAGCTGTCAGGTCCGCGGGCCAGAACAGAGCCCCTCAGCAGACTCTGACTATTCCTGCGCTCATGCCGAGCTTCGAGCTGATAGGCGAGATCAAAGTCGATAGTCCTCGGTATTGGCCTACATCCTTCAAGCCGCTGACGGACCCACGCGCAGCTCGTATGCTTTTGACGACCGGTGCGTTGGTCGTCAAACGGCGAATGGGCCATCTCGATTACGCGCAAGATCACCGTGGGACGCGCAGCATCTTCGCTAAAAGTCAAGCAGAAGCCACTGGAATCATCGCGGACCAAGGCAACGCCACGCGCTGTCTCGGCCCGAGCGTTGACGGCCTAAAAGAGTTCGCCCTGTCGTTCGGGACGTATCGCGAAGGCGTGGGTTGCGTTCGCTATCTATGCACCTCGGAAGCCGATCTTCCGGGCATGCCAAGCAGTCTCGAAGCCTTCTTGGCATCGAGTCTGATGGATGCTATGACCCACGACGCGCCGAATACTGTTGCTTTGCACCATGACATCGCACTCGCGAGCCAAGCTATCACTAGCCACTTCAAGACTGGCCTGACGAAGGACCTCGATGAGGCTGCCAAGCTGCAAGCTCTTGTCCGCTCGGAGCTTGCCGTTGATGGACAACAACACAAGCCGCTCTTGTCGACAGATCTGAGCACGCAGTCTGCAATGCGCTGGCGGCGGCTGCGGCGCCGCGTGCAGCAGGGCGAGGGTTTAGACATGGCGCTACAGGACTACTTGAAAAGCATCGATGCTGGCCCTCTGCTGCCTCTGGAGCCACGACAAGCAGAGGATTTGGCGGAGGCGATCAATAGCTCGGGTATGCCTTCGCGAGCTGTCTTGCGAGACCTCAAAGCAACCGTCGGGCTACATCACGCGATATTCGCTAGCCCGGCTGCTTATATCGTCCTGCGCCGTATGCTGGCTGCACTTGTAGAGCCTCAGGCAGACTTGGCCTTCCTCACAGCCTCGCTGGCAAATGCATGGCTTTCGTGAGACGCGTCGCGTTCCCGAATATCAATGTCAATCAATTGTCGACCGCATCAGGTTGTGGAGTTGGTTCAATGCAGAGATCGGCCTGCAAGCTTGGCTAGGTTGCGGAGAAGGAGAGACATCTCCTTGTTGTGGTCGGCCACAGCGCTGGTGCCGGAAATCTTGGAAATAATTCGGGGGATGAGAAATCGTTTCCGATAGGTAAACACATCCAACGCTGCATTTCTGTCGAGCCGCTCAGCAGTCGACACAAGGCACGCCAGAGTCGACAGGACTCGTCTCGCATACTCGCATTCATCGGTCGCCTCAGGACCCTTTGGCTCTACGCCATCACATACCGTTCGCTAAGCTTTTGACAAACATCTACACGAGTCACACTCCTTTCGAAAGTAGCGGCAAAGCCTGTCAAAGCACCAGCAATACCATCAGTACCCCTTGTTCATCATTCGATATGCAGGGCGGCTCCATCATGCGCAGATCACAGCCTGTAAGGCGGCATCACAAGCGAGACGATCAAGTAAGAGACATTGGGCATCAGGCCAATGCCGATGCTGATGTCAAGCTACCGCAGAAAGCAAAGAGAGCAGCCGCACAGACAGTCTCGAGTTCGCCAGCGCCATCGACGGTGTATCGAACCACAACAGTTGGTGCAGGCCCTGCTCAGGCTGCCGGTACCACCAGAGCGGGCCAGTCAACAGTCTATGTGACGAGAACAGCGACAACGACTCCGATTGCGACGCAGGTAGCAGGCAATCCTAATGCCAACGTTGTCACCGCCACCGTCATTGTCGAACCTCTCTCGCTCGCGACTGCCGCCGCCGCCTCGTCCTCCTCTGTCGCCTACACGACTTTGACACTCAGTAATGGCACACCAACAGTGCTGCCGCTCTCGATTGCATCTCTTATTCCGTCTGGTCTGCTGCCGAGCCTCACAACAACCTCATCAGGCGCGTTCGCGGCCTCTGCATCCGCCCTCAGTGCCTCGGCCGCTGCCGCCTCGCTCAGTTCCATCGCGGCAGCGCAAGCTGCAGCAGAGTCGGCGTTGATGCATGGCACTTCGACCGTCGTCGTCATCGCACCAAGCAATTCCAATCTGGCCTCTGCCAATGATCAATTCGATACAAAGTCTGGTCTGAGCAAGGGCGCCATCGGTGGCATCGCTGTCGGCGCATTCTTCGCAATCCTTGCTCTGCTCGCTCTGATCGGCTTCCTCGTTGCACGATGGCGTAATGATCGCGCTCGCGCTGCCACTTCCGACAGTAAGTCGCGCCTGGATCATACATGCTGGCCTTAAGCTGACCCTATGCGAGCGCAGTGATGGCACCGTCCAATATGCCAGATCCTTATGCCAATCAGTACAACGGAGATGTGCCATCATCCTTTGTGCGCTTCGATGACGATGACGACCTGCCCGGTCCTGCTTCAGGCTATGGCGAGGCTGCAGAAGAGCCTGCCATGTCAGAATACGGCCGCTAAGTCGCAAAAGAGAAGCACGCTACGACTGTCAGACGCTCCGATGTACAAGCCTTGCGCTCGTATGCGGTTTCGCATAGGGGACAAGGCAAAGCCGCACTGTTATACAATTGGTTTCTTTACTCTCGTTTCACGCCGACTCATGCCCTCACGATCAAGCCACCACAGCTCGAACTTTCGTACTTCACACGGGCAATAGCACAGGCCCTCGTCCGTTTCTTTCACCCTAGTCCTTCGTTCAGGAGCAGACGGGCGGGACAATCTGTGGACATTGATCATCGTTGGGGCAGACTACCTTACGGTCTGGATCTCTTTCTTTGTAAGGAGGGCTATTGCACGCACTCTGGTCATCTTCATTCGCGCGCTCGCGCTCGCTAGCGTACACAGACTCTTTAGCAACAACAACAATCGCACTGAGCGTATACTAAATGAGGTCAGCCATATCTGCCATGAGCTGATCGAGATCGTCTGCAGCTCGCGTCATGGCAGGCGAACGGGCACCGCTGCGTGTGCTGCCAGTGCTTCGAGCGCTCTGAGAGCTCGCAGTTCTGCGATTGCTGGGACGTGTCAGGCCCGCCGGTAGTGATGCAAGGGTCGGTACGGATGGCGCTGCTCGAGATGTCATCGCACCCAACGACGGTGTCTGCTTCAGCAGTCGCGTAGCGTTCTGCAGGGCATCGAGCGAGGCCGGCGGCCGAACCTTCCGTGCCAATGGGTAATTCGATATAGGCGCTTCGCTTCTGATCGACATTGATTCTGGAGACGTTGTAAGGCTGGCTGAGCTAGGTGATAGCAGCAAACTGTTAAAATCGCCCAATGATCTCGACATCCGGAGTGGCTTGAGTGCGAGCGTGCGAGGCTCGGGCGTCAGCTCTTCAGAGTCTCTGCGTAGCATGCCCGAGCCTAGCTTGGGCGAAGGTGTGGACGGGTGTTCCCCGGACCTCCAGAACTGCGGGCTGTGATCTTGTGCAGCTGCTGAAACCTGCACACTAGGCGCTGCGCGATCTTGGCTGACAGAGCGCGCGACAACAGCTTCCGATGTAACGGACAAGAAGCGCTGCATCCTTGCAGTCGCGTCCTGACGAGAGGATGTCGAGAAGGCGGGCGAGGATTCTAGGCTGTCGCGACTGTCTGTGGCGTCCATGGGCAGACTCGTACTGCTCGCTTTGCGGCCAAAGGTTGCAGCGAGCCAAGCCCGGGCGCCCCCACTCGCTCCCGGCGAGAGCTCGTTCTCCTCATGAGCCATAGCATCCTCATGAGCCTCCGTGACCAGGCTGGCGAGACTTGCAGGATTCGACACAGCAGACACGCCTGACATATTGCTGATGTTGCGCCAGAATGGCGGTCGAGGAGGCTGTAGTTCAAGACTGCCTTGACCAGGGGACCCCGAGTGCATCGTTCTCAATGCTTCTATGCCAGCGACAGTTCGATCTGGACTAGGTGTAGGGCTGGCGCCAACGCGCTTCTTGAGTCTGTCGTATTCGGCACGAATGACGGTGGCAGCAGCAGCATCTTGGGAGAGCTGTTCGATCTGACGTCGAGCAGTATCAAGCTCTGCCTGCAACTCAGCAGCAGCTTTGCGCTCGTCTGCAACCATCTTGTTGGCCTCGCCGAAAAGTGTCTCCGACAGGCTCTCGACTTCAGTCTGCATTTCACCGTGGGCATGTTGCAGCTTGACATGCGCAGCTTTGGTCGAGGCATGCTCTTGCTGCAGCGCGTTGAATGCTTGCTGAAGGGTGGCATGCGAGCTATGAAGAGACTCGTGTTCTTGACGCTGGCGGTTGTAGCCCGATCGGCAGAGATTCATGTAGACCTGTATGTCTTGTAGCCGAGCGATATAGTCTGCCGTAGTGGCTTTGTCTGATAGAGGAGCGCAGAGGTCGTTGATGGAGGGATCCTCCACCGAGCTCTCAGATGGATCGAGCACCTCTGTCAAGCTGGTCAACGAAGGAGCAGAACTGGTATTGCTGCTCTCGCTCGCAGTGCGGCGCATCCGAGGCGGCTCATCTTCAGCTGCTCCAGCCAACTTCTTCCCCGCCCGTCGCCAGAACGAGTCTTTGCGCTCAAGTGCGGGCGCCTGCAGCTCGGTAGTTTGTCCAGTATCAGAAGTGCCGCTTCGTGTTCGCTCGAGCTCGATACTTGGCTTGTCATCTGAGCGCAGCATGCGCGAGTCTTGGTCGCGCCGCCTCAGTGCCTCTGACAGCGTCTCCGCATGCTGTTCCACGAGCGTAACGTTCGAGCGGGCGATCTTGAGGGAAGCCTCGAGATCGTTCTGTCTGCTCGTCAGCGTTTCGACATATTCGACCTGCCATTGCATCAGCCTCTGGCACGACTGGAGGCTGATCACGCACGAGGGCGTCGTATCGGGGCACTAAGCGCTGTATGGCTTGTATAGCCTGCTCCTGTCGAGCGGCTATACGTTTTGTTGGTGACGAGTCAGCACCTGCCGCAAGAAGTCAGCCATATGCTTCTTCGAGATAGAGCATTGACATGCCTTTCGCGTTGCCCATGACGCGCCTCGCAAATTCAATGTCTGCACGCGCGTCGATGGTCACATCGGCAGCGCTGTCACCTGTAGCTGATATCTGCGAGGTAGCCGGCCGCAATATCGGTCGGGGCGTGATAGGACCAGAGCCATCGAGGCTGTCGGCTGTACTGAGCCTCAAGTCAAAATGATTGGTCGACGAGCTTTGCACGCGTTTGTGGTCTGGCTGTGATGGCCTTGGTGTGACCGGCTCAAGCTCGACTGATCTGTCATCTCTCAGCGATTCTGCCAGGCTTGGGGTTGAGGACTCGCTCCGTGACATCGAGGGCGAGGGCATCGCTGGCGTTCTGCCCAGAAAGGCGTCCAAGCGAGCGTTGCTACCGCTGGCTAAGCTTGCGCCTCTACTTGACGAGCGCTGGGAGGACGAAGATGAGGCTTGCCGGGCTCTATGAGATTCGGTCTGATTTGCCGGACGAGCATCGAAGGCCCAAGGAGGCAGATCGATCTCGAGACTTGGTTCACGATCGGTATCGTGGCTCGGCTGGCGAGACCGGCCAGATGAGCTCGACAAGGACTCGCGGGATGTTCGAGTGGGCAAGCTGCTGCCAGCTAGTGAAGTACTTCTGCTAGATTCACGCTGGCTACTCTGACCACTGGCGGACTGACTGCCCTGACTTGATTCTGGGCGGTGCTGAAAGGACGACAGCCTCGGTGGCTCTGTAGCCTCGGATGCTAAAGGGATGGCATGAACGTCCCGGTCGCGCCCTGGTGCTCCTAAAGGCGCATCAACAGGCGAATCGGGATCCAAGGAGCCTGACTTTGGCAAAGGCAAGGCCTCTTGTATTCTGTGGCCTGACCGTGGGGCGGGATCTCGCGAGGGTACGCGCACAGACCTCGGCTCACTGATCGAGCTCTTCACGCTATCCTGCGTGCCTTGTCTCTGTCTTGGGCGTCTTGGCTCCGCGAAGAAAGCGCTGCCGGAAGAATGAGGCTCGGTGTCTGCGCGCTTGAGTACCGGCGGCAGAGCTGGCACGGGTGGCAGAAATTCATCAGGCGAACGCGGTCGGCGCGAGGCAGTTCTTGGCAGACTTCTGAGGGATGCAGTAGGCGATTTTGGCGCGTGGGGGATCGCGGGCGGAGCAGACGGTGGCGCAGTTGTCTCCCAGTCTCTCCAAAGCGAGCGTGTCTGGCCTACTGCGCCGGCAGAAGCAGGCGAGCGCGGCGCCGAGCGGGCAACGACGCTCTGTGCGCGTGTCGAGCGCTGTTCGCCGATGGAATAGGGTATCCTTGTTTCCGAAGGTGTCTTGGAGCGAAAGGGCTCGGTCTTGGTGATAGCCTGTCCATAGCCAGGCGCAGTGCCCGTGCCTGCTGCCGAAGATGGCAACCGATTGTCTGTGAGAGCCGTATCGGTCGATAGAGCAGGCAGCTTGGGACGGCTGCCGGCTGCGAAGGGATGCGATATGGCTGATATCTTACCGCTCCCCAGTCGGACTTGCGGGTCTCGGGAGGAGGCCACAGACGGCATAAGCCGCTGATTGCTTGGCCACTTTGCTGGCGCGTTTTGTGTGACACGCGTCGCTCGAAGGCGGAGTTCGGGGGAGCGCGGCCGAGCAACGAAGCAGGCAGCGCAACGATCTACCGCAGTCAGCCTGTCAGGTCCAGATAGAGGGTGCTCCGGTCGACCTCGCTTCATCAGGGGCTGAATCAGGCGTCAATCGCGCGCCTTGAGGCAGCATCGTGCAGAGTACGGTCTGCACGCTAAGCACGACCTTTAGATGCCAACCTGTTAGCGTTGGCAGTCAATCTCGTCTGCTGCAAACGCTCGGCCTGTTCTCGGACAAAGCGACGTTCTGCCTCAGTATCCGTTGGGCAGGCTCAAAACGGGTCCAGCAGTGACCTAGGCCGACCTCGCGGTGACGGCGCCCTTAGCCTTTGACGTTGCCAAGCGGGCATCGCACTCATCTTCGATAATTGACGCACACTTTGTGCGCTGTTTCCTACCCCTGATAGCATAGGTACCGTGCGACATGACTCCCGGAAACAATACCGCCGCGGTGCGTCCACCCAACGTGCGCAATCTGGGCATAGACTTATCACCCTTGCTTGCGTCCCTCAGCTTCGACGCAAGCTCGTCATTGTGGGGGATGGAGCCTGCGGAAAGACTTCGCTACTGTCCGTCTTTGCAATGGGCGAATTCCCGCAGTGGGTCTTTCGCTTTTGCTGCAGCCAACGCAATCGCTGACTGCTCGCCCTCGTCGCGCACAGAGAATACGAGCCGACAATATTTGAGAACTATGTTGCCGAGATCAGGCTCGACGGCAAAGCTGTTCAACTCGCGCTCTGGGATACAGCGTAAGTGCTCCGCCTGCAGACCGTCGATTGCATCTGCTGATTCGCCCACAGTGGACAAGAAGAGTATGAGGTGTGTCAGCCGGCTACAGCACGTCAGAACCTGAAAGTCTGAATGGGTGATGACAGCGATTGCGTCCCCTGTCCTACTCAAAGTCACATGTCATCCTGATTGCGTTCTCGATCGACACGCCAGACTCGCTCGAGAACGTCACGGTCAAATGGAACGAGGAAGTCCGACAAATCTGCGGTCGCCAGATCCCTGTCATCCTCGTCGGCTGCAAGCGCGACTTGCGAGATGAGGCCGGAGAGATGGGTGCGGGCAACCGATTCGTGCAGAAGCGTCAGGTCAGTCGGGCCTCCGAGTCATGAACGCACTCTTGCTCACGTGATGGGGTGCAAAAGGGAGAACAAGTCGCACAGAGTATAGGCGCGAGATGCTACAAGGAATGTTCAGCGCTGCGCAACGAAGGTGTGGACGACGTCTTTGAAGCGGCGACGAGAGCGGCCATGCTGGTCAGAACGCCCGCATCGACCGGTGGAGGAGGCACCAACGAGGGCGCAGAGAAGAACAAGCGAAGGCGGTCCCATGCCAACGGCAACGGTCACGATGGCGGAGACGAGTCGACCGACAGCCGATGCTGTATCATTCTCTGAGGCGCACACGCATGCGCATACGCCAAAGCAACGTAAGCAGGAGCCTCTCGATCATATCAGTGTCTAGCAGAGAGCCAGCAGGCTCTGGAGCCTTATCTTTTGTTGTTTGACATCATGTTCAGCGATACCTAGTGTAACAGCCATGTGATGATGATGATGATGATGATGATGATGATGATGATGATGATGATGATGATGATGATGATGATGATGATGATGATGGTGATGCTCATGTCATACGAATCTTGATGATGCATGCGAAATGGGGTTACAAATGAATTGCAGTCTGAAGTCGCTGTCACGTGAGCGGCCAAGTGACCAAGCTAGCTTGCTGGGCCCAGGCTCAGATTGAGCAGAGCGTCCGCAGCTCTCGTGTAGCCTCTGCTTGCCTGTCGCTGAGCTTGAGCGTAAGATGGCGGAGACGCCTGAGAGCGGCTTCTTTCTCGTCTTGATCTCTAAATTTGGTTGTGCCCTCTCTAGGCTTGCCGACATTCTGAACGGCCTCGCACGTCTTTGTCACCTTGAGCAGTCCCAGAGAGGCCGAGGAGCCCTTGAGGAAGTGCCCGAGCTCTGATAATGTCTTCAACCTGACGTCAATACTCTGCGATCCGGATAGTTCATCGTCCCTGCGCGATGATGCCAAACGTCAGTCCTTGTGCGAAACACCGAAAGGAAAGACTCACAGGAGGATCTCAATGTCTTTCACGGCTTTGGCGCCTTGTTCGATGTATTCTACTGCCAGCGGTCTCGAGAACTCGTGCGTGTCATCGTCGTCCATCTCGAGCAGTTGGGAGAAGATTTCCATATCGATGACTTCTGTGCCTACGTCCAGAGCATCCTGATCCTCGCCTGCTCGTGCGGCCACCATCGACGGTGCCGGACCAGAGCTCGATGAAGGGATTTTGGGTAATGATGGAGCTGCCTTGAGCGAGCTGGCGTGTGCCGACATCTGGGGTCAATCACTCAGTGCGATGTGTTGCTTGCAAGCGCACGACGTCTCAAGATGATGAGTGCGGATGGGCTGCCAGCAGATCGGGAAGAGGTCAATGCGGAACGGCACGCAATTTCGTGAGGGCGGTATCAGCGCTGGTGACAGAGCTCTTGGCCAGTGGCTACTATGACGGTTGAGGCAGGCGGTATGCTCTCCTCAATGCGACATACCCTCTCTCTCTGAGCGTCCGACAATCGCGCTCTTGTTCTTGGCCCTTGCCCGTCTTGCTTTTGTCAGCCTCCTGAATTCCAGAAGTCGAAGTCGAAAGAAGCCAGGGTCCTCCAGCTTCCGCGCGCGCCACCCCTCCTCCTTGTTGCGCAATGACGCGATAAGTCGAAGTGCCCAGACTGAGACGAGCTGCTATGCCGGACCTCTTGCAAGAAGCGCTCACGCGAGCAGCCGAGCAGCACGCTCACTTGTCACCGCCGCAGTCTGCTCATGCTAGGCTGAGCGATCATCGATCAGATGCGGGCGTGCACTCTGATGAAGACGATACCGTCACTCCGCTCCATTCACGAGCAGTCTCACGAACAGGCACACCTCGGGCGGGCACTCCCAGGGGAGGCAGTAGAGCAGGTTCGCGTTCGGGTTCACCGACACGATCGTCATCCGCGCGCAAGCGACAGCAAGAGCGCGCTAAGAAAGAGAGCAGCCTTGATCCCCTGCTGAGATTCAAGCATGAGCTCTCGCTCAAGATCTTTGGCCAGCTCGAGATAGAAGATCTCTTGACTTGTCGTCAGGTCAGCAAGAAATGGAAGGCTTCCCAGACTCTCAGTCAGTTTGTCCGTCGAGGTTCGAGTGACATGAGCTGACGTGTCGCCCAGATTATTGCTGGTACATCGAATGCAATGACTCGACCTACATCGATCCAGACGAGAAGCCGTCCTGGACCCGCAAAGACGCCAAGCAAGACTGGGCGGCGAGGTATCGATCGATACATCGTCGTGACGATCTCGACTATGCCGACGCAAGAGATGCCGAATATGAACGAGCTCGTGCAGAGGGCTACCTGACACCGAAAGAGCAGCGAGAAGCCAAATGGGCGGAGGAAAGCGATCAGCTGACGGCGGGTGTCGACAAGCTTGCCATGCGCGAGCATTACAAAGTACTGCCTGCCCTGCTCTCGTTCTTGCATATCCTGTCACTGACAGCTCGTCGCGCAGGGCCTCAAAAACTCGAAGCCGAAAGGCAAAGGAGGCCAGCGCGGCCCTGCAAGAGACGTGACAGCCTGGGAAGAGACATACGACTCGACGTAGTCTTCAATCTCGATCTGGACTTGACCAGCTGAGCGACTCGCCAGTCGCCGCTTTGCTCGCCCAGGCGACCGCGTAATGATCGAGCAGCAGGTCGAGCTCTTCGATCTCATCCAGTCGCTCTACCTGCGACAAGCTGCGGGTATGTCAGCATCCGTGAAGACCGGCGGTTTATATGCCTACCGAATCATCTCGCCATGATCAAGATGCTTCTTGCGATACGTCTTGAGCGAAATGGCGTCGCTGCGAGTGAAGCCATGACCGAGCAGCTGTCGCCGCAGCAGACCTGGATCGGAGTGCTCTGCTAAGCCTGGCATCGCAATACCTCGGGCCTGTCGATCTCCGTCAAGCCGGACCACAGTCGACAAGTTGTGAACGCACAGAGAGATTGGACAGCATCACGCGACTGAAAGCGTCTTGCAAGTTCAACGGATCATAGATGGCAGCATGCAAAGTCTCGAAAGTCTTGTTGAACCATTGCATGAGCTCACGCGTGCATGCTGCGTCGAGATAGACCAGTGCACATTCTGCTAGAATCAGCGTGGGAGCTGAAGTGTCGAGCATGCTGAGTTTCGATGTGACGGTGGCCGTCCATTGTCGCAAGTCACCCGGCAACAGGCAGTAGTGCGTCGAAGCAAGTCCGCTACCACCGTGCGCTTACAGCATGTGAGACTGCGAAGAGAGATCAGGGACGATTGCTCACTGATGCTAGCAGAGCCGGCGTCGGATGCAAGCAAGTCGTTTCGACGCTTCCATACGGTCATCGCTTTTCGCGTCGTTGACTCGACAAAGTCGATCTCCACCCACGTAGGGAGCACCGTCGAGGCTTGGCCAGTCTGATCTGCTCTGATCAAGTTGTTCGCCAGCCTGAAGAAGCGAGTATCGCTGCCAGCGCCGAGCGAGACGACTTGAGCTCCTTTGCCTCTGACGCGCGGCAGGTCGAGGAACTTGCCGACGAGCTGGTCTATTGCTCTCGTACGAAGCGTCGTGCCGATGTTGATCAGAGGGGGACGCCGTGATGCTTGTGAGGGCTTGAGGAACATGCTCGCGAAAGGATCGTCATAGTAGCCGAGCGAGACTGCTGAGAGTCTCGATACTGATGCATCCTCGTCTGTACCTCGCACAGCAGCTGTGCCACCGTTGAGCCACCGTCCACACGAGCTCAAAGAGACCTCACTCGCCTTCAGTCTGCAGCTGCATCCGTCTCAGCAGAAACGCGTTCGCCTTGGCGATTCGACCAACACTTTCTGGCTCCGTCAGCCTTCCATCGGGCTCATGAGTCGTCCACTCGATCCATCGAGCCTGCTGGCCAGAGTCAGTCAGAGCGTCCCCCATGAAGCCAGGCTGGAGAAGCCGATCGCCGTGCTGGCAGTATTGCTCCACGCAATTCATGTCAGTCTAGGCTTTCGACTCGTGTCGCCTCAGCCTGGCACAGACGGTGTCGAGCTACCATCAGCGATACTGGCATCTGGCAAGGACTCATTTGCTTTCAAGTACCGACATGAGCAGTCTTCGATGGAGTTCGAGCTGCATGTCCACAGACTCGGCGGTAGAGGCGTCGCCAACGCCATCGCTACAGAGGTAAGCAGTGCCTTGCCGTCCATCGCAGCGCATTCATGATTACGACAGGACGATCGGACGGCCAGCCTCGACATCGCTCTGCTCGACTACTTCTCGCCAAGTTCCCTGCCTTGGCCTGCTGACGACGCTGCCTCTTCGGAGCCATCGACATCAGCGGGCGGTCCATCAAGCTCGAGCGGGCCTGCACCAGAGCATCTCTTCATCCACTTGACGCGCCTGAAAGATCTGACGGCATTGTACCAGCTCAGGGTCATCCAGAGACTCATTCCCGGGTTGAGGAAAGAGGGCTACAGTGAGATCCAAGAGGAGGACACGCAGACGACACAGAGTCAGCCTGTTGCTCAGCCAGGAGGTCGGGGAGGCTACTATCCTGATCCGGGAGGCCCGATTCTGCCTGTTGGTCCTCAGCCGTCACGCGAGCCAAGGTAGGTCTCACGCGCCATTGTGCCCCGGCTTTCGCTTACCACCCAGCCAAAGGTCACCTCTGCGAGCGCCTGATCGGACTGTGCCGGATATAGGTCGTTCAGATCTGCTACCCTTGGGCGGTCTGGGCGGAACGACAAACCCCTCGAGAGACGGACGATTCACAGGGGGCGACGGCATGCTCGTTGGACCTGACCACCCGCTGTTCCGAGACCGCTTCGCGAGCGATCCCAACAATCTCCTCGCTATGCCCGGCAGAAATGGCCCGACAGGCCCTTGGGGTGGCGACGGCTTCCTGCCTCCGATGGGCGCCCCGCCAGGTGCTCGCTTTGACCCTGTAGGGTAAGCAGGACTCTATATCGCTCACGAGGCCCGACTGAACAGGACCTTCTAGACCTGGACAAGGGATACCGAGACCGAGGGGGCCGAACGGACCTTTCGGCGGAGGCTCGGGTGGTTTTGGTGGAAGTTCGGGCGGCTTTGGTGGCGGTTCAGGCGGCTTTGGGGGCAGGGTAGGCGGGGACCCCGATAACGACGAGTTTATGCCAGTAAGCTCATGCTCTGCTTTGCTTTTCGCAGATGTTCTAAGAAGCCTTGCCAATAGCCCGGAAGCAATCCCGAGTATGACAACATGTTCTCTTGAGGAGTCTGTGTCTGTGCGCAGGTCTAGTCTGGTTACGATGCTGTGTCTGTTTCATGCATTTGTTTACATCTTAGCCGAGATGACGATGCCTCCATCGAGCGGAATCGTTGCACCGTTGATGTAGGCACCTGCTCGGCTGGAGAGGAAGATACATGCGCCAGCTACATCCTCCGGAGAACCAATCCTCTTGAGGGGCACGCCATCACGGATAGCGTCACCTGCTGCTGCAAGCGTGGCAGCCATCACTGAGAGGGCGCACGAGGCTCATCAGCATCGAGAAGTTACGACCAGCGCCAGACTGACTCTTGGATTCGAAGGGACCGCATGCGAGTGTATTGCTCGTCACGCCAGTCGGCCCTAGCTGTGAGGCTAGCACTCTCGACAGATGGTGCAGCGCAGCCTTGCTTGAGGAGTAGGCATACGTGTTCAGTGAAGGAACACGTAATCCGTCAATCGAGCCAATATTGATGATCCTCGCCGGATCGTCAAAGGGAGGTTCTTTCGCACCTCCTGCCGCCGAACCTTTCTTCGCTCCAGCTTGTAGTAGCGGTACCATCTTCTGCGTCAGCGTGAAGACTCGCTGGACGTTGAGCGTCATGACTTTGGTGAAGGCGGCATCTGGGTACTCCTCCAAGTCCGCGCCCCAATTGGCGCCCGCATTATTGACGAGAACGTGTACAGCCTTCTCTTTCTTGCCGAGCTCGGCAACAAACTGCTCGACTTGATCGTACTTTTGCATGTCGGCAGCGATAGCGTGACAAGATCCAGGACCGAGTTTCGTCAATTCTGCTGCCGTTGCTTCGAGCGCTTTTGCATCCCGAGAAGTGATGTAGACCTTTGCACCCGCTCGCACGAATCCAGTCGAGATCATCTTGCCAATGCCTGCGAGAAGCGCTCAGCAGAGTGCGGAGTGATGAGCACCATCATCTACCTTTGCCGCCGCCGGTAACGACGACGACCTGTTTCGAGGAGCATCAGAAGGTGCGCATGAGTGTGTTTGACTTGTGCGTACCTTGTCGGTGACATCGAAGAGCTTGCCGGTCTGCATGACGGATCAAGCGATGTGCGGCTATTCAGCGGGGTGACTGCCGGTATCGCGTCAGAGTCAAGTCAGCGTGAGAAACGCGACTGCCGCAGCGCCTGTTGCCGCCAGAGGCTCGAGGCTCCAGCGAAGGACGCCAAGCCTCGTCTTGCCAATATAGGCAGTCAGTCCTACATCTGATCGGCATCATCCTGAAATCGCCGGCTTATCGAGGCAGGCCTACGCAAATTCGGTCTGGCCGAGTTCGCCGTCACGTCACGTCTGTCGCTTGCTCGTCAGCTCTTGCCAGCTCGCGTGCGACCTTGAGGACATCACGACCTGGCGAGAGGCTCCAACGTAAAGTGTGAAGGCGCTCGCAGACAGCATTGGCGCGACGTGATCACGCCATCCGCGCAAAAGGCGGCCCTTGCTGAAAGTGACCAAGATGGCCGTGAGCACCGACTAGTACGTCACTGATCATGCAGGACTGACGTCGTGAGCCGGCAGGACATGCAGAACAAGATGCAGGACATCTCCGTCAGGCTCTCCAAGGAGCGAAAGATGGTCGAGGGCTTCCAGGCCATGGCCAATGCCTCCTCCAACCCAGACACCAAGCGATCCTGCGAGGCAAAGATCAAGGAAGGTCTCAAGAACGTCGAGTGGTTCGAGAACTCGCTCAGGGAGCTCCAAGCGCGTGCCTCGGAGAGCAGGATGCGCTCCTCGTATGAGACCGATCCCAGCATGCACAGTCGTCAGCAGCAGTCATCAAGGCATCACGGCACACCCACAGGCTCGACTTCATCCCCCGGCAGCGATTCTCCATACAGCCGACAGAGTCAGGATTATTACCAGCGAGGCACATATGCGCGTAGCGATCGACCCGGCGGAAGCGCAAGCAGCAGTTCTACAGCGCTTGCCTCTCAGGCTGGCGTGCCACAAGCATCGTACGGCTCCAATGGCGACAGGGCAAGCTACTATGGACAGTCTGCAGGCTCCAGGCAGACGCTGCCTCAGCCACCGCCGGGTGCCCGTCATGGTTACCAGGAACATCCGGGCCAGCCAAATCTCTACGCATCGCAATCGGCTTACGAGCCTGTAAATCCAGCATATGGCCCGGAGGTGCCTGAAGCGAGCACAGCAGACGATTTGCGATCTACAAGAAGTATCTACCGCAAGCCCCAATACTCTGGCTTGGACCTCATAAAATCGGAAACGCCGCTCACGGGTGCAAAGATTGCTCGTATGCTCTATCAGCTCGAGTTCAAACTGCAAACCGAGAAAGCATACAAGCAAGGCGTCGATAAGATCGCCAAGCTTTATCAGCTAGAAGGCGACAAGAAGAGTAGGCAAGATGCTGATGCAAAGCGAGTAGAGAGTGAACAGAAGATCTTGCTCCTGCAACAAGCCCTGCGTAGATATCAGTCTCTCAATATCATGGCCGACGTTGACGACGATGAGAATCAGCAAGACGCGCGAGACAATCTCCGGAAGCCACTCACGGGTGCACTACAGATATCCATCAAATATGCACGCGATCTCGGACGGGCGCCGGTAGCCTCAAAGCGCTCAAAGGCAAAGACCGAGTCTGTCGTCGTCGTAAAAGTCGAAGATACACCGAGAGCACGGACACATGCAAGCAAGATTGACAAATGGAACGAGGAGTTCGAGATCCATGTCGATAAAGCCAACGAAGTCGAAGTGACCGTCTACGACAGCCGGCCAGGCGAGATACCGATTCCGATAGGCATGCTCTGGATACGTCTGAACGATGTCGTGGAAGAGCTCAGACGGAAGAGGGTGACCGAGGATCCCCGTTGGGTGACTGCCAATCGCGTCGAGACCGATGCAGCCCAAGCAACCAGCCCAACAGCCTATACCGATGGCAACGATGTCGCCGCTCTCGATGTTCCTGTGGCAGGCTATGGCGCCAACGGGCAGCAAAAGCAGGGCTCTGGATCGAGCGGGTCAGGCGAGGGCATTACGGCTTGGTTCGCAGTAGAACCAGAGGGCGCCATCTTGCTACATCTTCAGTTCGTGAAGAGCAACGTCAAGAAGCGCCCACTAGAAACTGGCGGCCTCGGTCGTCAAGGTGCGGTTCGAAAGCGGAAAGAGGAAGTGCACGAGCAAAACGGTCACAAATTTGTCCAGCAGCAATTCTTCTCCGTCGTGCTCTGTGCTTACTGTCGAGGATTCCTCAACAATGCCGCCGGTATGCAGTGCGAGGACTGCAAGTACGTGTGCCATCGCAAGTGTTTCCACAACGTCGTCACAAAGTGTATCTCCAAAACCAACGCAGAGGCTGACAAGGACGAAGATAAGATCAATCATCGTATTCCGCATCGGTTTGAGCCTATCTCGAGCATCTCACCCAATTGGTGTTGCCATTGTGGCATGGTACTGCCGCTCTTCGGTCGCAAGCGAGGTCGCAAATGCACCGAGTGCGACCTTACCTGTCATCAAGATTGTGCGCACCTGGTCCCTGACTTTTGCGGCATGTCGATGGTCATGGCGAACCAGCTGCTCAAGTCTGTCAAGCAGATCAATATCAATCGGACTCGCCAATCGCAATACCCAAGCGATCTTCAGTCTACGCTTCCGCGTCGCCCAGCTCGTGATCAGGTGAACGACCTTGACGGTGGCATGGGCCGACTACAGCTCACAGGCGACGATGGCCATCGTCAGCATCAGCGACAAGAGTCACAAGAGACACTTGCTTCGGGGCGCAAGCCCATCTTGCCTCCTATTGCAGTAAGCTCAGCGCGTCACTCCCTCGCTTCGCCTCCGCCCAGTCCGACAAAGCCTTTGGGTCCCCGCGAGCAAGGCTACGTTCCGACACCGCCTGCCAGAGAGTCTTCAGGCTCGCTTGGATCTATCATCGGCAGCTACGCGGACGATCCACCCGCTCTTCGAGCGGGAACGCAGCCTCGCCTTAGCCTGCAGACCGAGCTTCCAACCATTCAAAGTCAGCCACAGCGAACGTCAGCCACGACGCCTCTTCCGGCTCATCAAGCATCACCCGCACCTTCTGTCACCGCACTGAAGCAGAGGAAGCGCAAGGTTGGGCTAGACGACTTCAATTTCCTCGCAGTGCTGGGCAAAGGCAACTTCGGTAAGGTCATGCTGGCAGAAGAGAAGCACACGAACCAGTTGTACGCCATCAAGGTGCTCAAGAAAGACTTCATCATCGAGAATGATGAGGTCGAGAGGTTGGTGATGTGATACAAGAGAAGCTATTCAGGCTGATTATTCGTGCAGTACCAAATCAGAGAAGCGCGTGTTCCTCGCAGCAGGCCGGCAGCGTCATCCCTTCCTACTCGGTCTGCACTCTTGTTTCCAGACAGAGACGCGGCTTTACTTCTGCATGCCGTAAGTCCGATAAAGTCGACATGCCATTGCGCTGACCCAGCTCGGTCATCACGCAGGTATGTAAGCGGAGGTGATCTCATGCTGCACATTCAGCGAGAGCAGTTCTCGCCTCGACGAGCCAAATTCTATGCTTGCGAAGTGCTCATGGCTCTTGAGTACTTTCATTCGCAAGGCATCGTCTATCGGTGTGTGCGCTTATCGTGATCATACTGCTTGCTGACCTGCAGAACAGTGATCTCAAGCTTGATAACATCCTCCTGACGCTGGACGGTCACGTCGTGGTTGCCGATTATGGACTCTGCAAAGAAGAAATGTGGTACGGTGCGACGACTGGCACATTTTGCGGCACGCCCGAATTCATGGCGCCAGAGGTATGTCTGCTCGGGTATTTGTGTAAAGTAGGCTGACGATTTGCGTGTTTCAGATCATTCTGGACCAGCGATATGGTCGTGCAGTCGATTGGTGGGCATTCGGCGTTCTGATCTACGAAATGCTGCTTGGCCAGTCGCCGTTCAGAGGAGACGACGAGGACGAAAGTACGCTCCTCGAGACTAGTGACAATGAGCGCTGCTGATCACTCGCGTAGTCTTCGATGCTATCCTGGAAGATGAACCGCTCTATCCGATTCACATGCCTCGGGACTCCGTTTCGATCTTGCTCAAGGTCTGTGCGGTGCCTTTAGCGTGCACACTATGCTGAGTCTGCTACCACAGCTGCTCACACGCGATCCCGCACGACGACTTGGCGGCGGCCCTGAAGACGGGGCAGAGGTCAGGCGGCACACGTTCTTCAAGGACGTGAATTGGGACGATGTCTATCACAAACGAATTCCACCTCCCTTCTTCCCCAAGATCGGCAGTGCAACGGACACGAGCAACTTTGACTCGGAATTCACAAAGTGCGTTCACTTTGACTATACCGAGTCTGGAATGCTGATTGGGCCTCGGCCTGCTCTCAGTGAGCGGCCGACATTGACACCCGTACACAGCACGCTCAGCGCAGCGGACCAGAAGGAATTTGCATCCTTCTCATGTATGTCTCTTGCTCTCGTAAGCCGTCTGACCGTGAGCTGACGGGTGAGCGCAGTCACGGCAGATTGGGTGTCCTAGGATCAATTGTTGCTGCTAGCATAGATGCTGAATGCATGCCAATTGCACGCGACGAGACAGTCGAGCGTTGCGCAGCCGTGCTACTACACACCTGGCACATTGAGAGACGACAGACAGCAAGACAGGGATGCTGCCAGCACAGCGCAACAAAGTGGACATCAGTGTGAGCTGTCTCGAGCTGGCAGGACTGAGCTGTGCTGACACTCTCGCGCACGCTCCCTCTGGGCACAGTCGATGACGGAGGAAGAACAGAAGCTCTTCAGGTGAGCATACAGCGCACTGATGATGGCATGCGAGCTGATTCGTCGAGGAAGGCTGTACGGCAAGCTACCCCAGAAGAAGAACCACCTCAACAAGAATCTCACGGTAGGCTGGACCAAACACGCATGTCGAGCGAGGCTCAAGACGAGAGCCGGCGCAGGAGCGAAAGTACTTTGACAGCGGCGACTACGCACTCTCAAAGGCGGGTAAAGCACCTCATGCCGCGGTAGGCACAGCCATACCAAGTCCCGAGGATATCCCACATGCCAATAATCCGACGTCGCCCGTGCCTGCTGCACATGGCAATGGCGGCTTATCCGTCTCACCCAACACGGCGGTCTCGTCACCTCAGAAGAACTATCCTGGCGGAGGTATGGCCATGTCACCGCCCAAGTTTCAAGGCGCGGGCTTCGGCTCGTCAGCTTTCTCGCCGACGAACGGCAGTAGCTTGTCCGGCGAACCGACGCGACCCGAGCAGCCCGGTACTGCTCTACCACCTCGATCAGTCGAACAGAGCATGTCAGAGCGAGCGACATCAGTCTCGAAGCCAGCGTCAGCCAGGCCGGAGCCGACCGATATGGCATTCCCTATGGAAGAATGAGCGCGCCGCCACGCGTGTCCGGCAAGGAGCATCGACGGACTGGCGAGTGACAGGACCACGATACGATCAAATCATAGGACTGAGATTGTCAAAATTCGAATTGCTTTCACGTCGAGATCTATTGGGGAGACAGGTCGAGCTCGTGCACCGGCCGGGCTGACTTCAGAGTTGTATCACCAAAGAAAGTACGCCGACAATGATCATACAACAGACACAATACATTTTTGTTTTGTTTACGTTCTGACTGCTCTGGCTGGGGAAAGCCTAAGAGGCCATGGCCATATTCATGTCATCCTCTCGTTTGCCGTTTATCTGTGCTTCGTTGCTGCGAGCGCGCTTGCGGCTCGAATCTGCTGCTGATTCGCTTGCTGGACCGCAAAGATTGCGCAGGGTGAGATCGTATACGACTGCGGTAGCGGGTTGTCAGTACGGCGATGTGCATGCACGCATGCCACCGTACCTTCTTCAGTCTTTTTGAGGTCATACTTGATGCTATCTGTACGCTTCCGGAGACTGTCGTTCTTCAGGTTGAGCAGACTGAAGCCTGCAGAGAGCTCCTTGAGGAAGAGCGAAATTTTGACGGGTGTCTGATAGGCCTGCATGGTCACCGAATTGACAGCGAGGCGTGACTGTTCGCCACACTGTCAGCTCGTGTAGCTCTTCTCTGCAAGAAGAGACCAACGAGCTCATTGACCATGGAGATGACGCCATGCAGGTAGTCCTCTGTGCTTAGCGAAAAGCGATCTTGCTGGTCTTTCCTCAGTCCGAGCACGGTCTCTACCTCTGACTTTGTCGCAAGAGACTCTGACTCGAGATAGACGATCAGACAGAGTCCAAAGCAGATGGACTGTATCGTCCTATTGAAGCTCTCGTGGAATCGCCAGAATTGTTGGGATGGGATCAACGAGACTAGCTTGGCCAGTCTCGTGACGATCTCTGGGATCTGACTGCGTGCACGCTCGACGATGGACTCGTGGGAGGACGATGAATGGATCGCGTTGAGGCTGGCCAGCATCGTCTTGACGGGCAACTCGAGATCGCGGGTGGCATCCCGAATTGATTCCCTGATGGCAGCATCTGACTCGAGGACGTCCTGCAGCTCCGAGCTCAGCTGATGCAAGGTGAGCACAGACAAGCTTGCGCACTGCGAGACCCGTGAAGTCGACGCTGGCAGTCACTGATGTCATTCTTGGTAAGTCGGCGAAGAGCAGATTGCGACCATCGCGAATGAATGTACCGCGTCGTGATCGACCGGTCAGTCACTCATTAGGCTCATGGCGCTCGCTGTCAGCGCTCAATGCGCATGAATCATGTCCAATAAGCAGCAGCATGAGTTCATCTACTCGCGCGCAGCTTCTTGCGCAAGTCAGCCAGGCTTTGCAGACAGCCAGGATCGATCCAGTCAGAGAGAGAGTCACAGCCACTCTTCTCGCTTGCGTCGATGTGCTCAGCCTGGCTCAGTCCACGAATAGACCCGAGGAGGCCAGCACAAGCGAGCATCACTGGTTCTGTCATCGCGCAAAGCAAGACGGGACCTATGAGCCTGCCATCTATTCGCTACAGCTGCTCGCCTACAAAGCTAGCAATCCACGCGTACAGCAGCACAGAGATCTCCTGAGCGGCGTGCTCGACTCGTGCACAGATTGCATAAAGGCCTATCAGACTGCCAAGCAAGATGTGATCGATAGGTCAGTTCTGCGGACCTCTGCATCCCTGCGGCTACTCATCCTTTGAGTGTGTTCAGATATCTGTCAATTGGCGAAAATGAGGCAGCGATCAAACGGTTCAGCGCAGGCATGGCAGACAAGGAAAGAACGCTCATTTTGCAGGAACTCGAGACCTTGCGCTGGATCGCGCCCTCGAGTCCTAGCTCGAGCTCCGTCGCGCCCAGAGCACTTCCCACAGGCTTGTACTACCGCATATTCTGCTTTCCAGCTGCCTACCGGAATCCGATCATCAGATCGGCGATGTCAGAACAGACACATGTTGCCCTACTGAGCTCGGTGCGCAGCAAGACGCTTCTGCCGGGTCACATACACTTTGCCTCGCGCGATTTACCAGATCTGAGCGAATGGTGCTCTCGCATGATTTCTCGGTCTGCTATCAAAACAGACGAAGACTATGTGACCATAGAGACAGAAGTCAGGAGCTTGCTGGTAACAATCTCAGACCAGCAGCATGCGATCGAGAACGATATGTCACGATCACCAGCGCCGAGTGAAAAGACGCCCCTGTGGACAGTACTGGGCGCAGTACTCTCTAGATGCTCCGGGGAAATCATTCAAGCTCATCTTCTGCCGGCTTCAGCTGCCCAAGCGGCGGCCTTGCGGACGGATATCGTCAGATTTGTCTCGAGTCACATAAGCAGCTCAGACGACTCTTTCGCGACAATACTATCAGTCTGGACGCAACTGCTCATCAAACTCGCTAATGAGATGTGGCGCGACAAGGCATACCTGACTGTCTCGCTGTCCGATCTACTGGACAATCCAGCCTACAAAGCACTGCTCGCCAAAGAAGCAGAAGACGAAGCTGCGTTCACAAGTGAGAATCGACCTTACCGTGCCTGGATAATGCCCCTGCTCATCTCCATCGCGCAATCGAAGACTGCCTTCGTCGATGGCTGCTCGCTCCTCATCACAACCTTTTTCGATCATTTTCAGCGCGAGCATCTCAATGCGCGGACTCGCAACCTTGCGCTTCTGCGTCTCGTTCAGCCCCTGCTCTACGTCCTGACATCATCAGCAGAGGATTGGCCATACCGTGCGGAGCTCATCGATCTCATCGATACACGTGCTCGCGTACTTGTCAATGCTGGCTTTGCTCGCAGCAGTCACCTCGCTGCCGGTCGTGACTCCCTCACCAAGCCAGTCAGGGCATTCATCGCGTGCATCCTCGACGATGACTGCCAGAGGATATGCAGACGCTTGACCGCCCTCGCAGACTGGAAACGCGAGAACAAGCGAATACGAGATGCATCTGTAACACAGGAGCAGATCGATTGGATCGCTCGCTCTTCGCAGGCTCGCATCTGTTCCGGCCTATGGAAGGCGACTTACGATATCGTCAATCCGAGCCATGACATACTAGCCATCGTGCCACTGCTATCGTGCATTAGCACGCTTGCGCCTTTCGAGATGCTATCCGGTCCCGTCTGGGTCTTCGGTCAGCATAACGATCTCAAGCCGGTGTTGAAACGCCTCAACAGCCTACTCACCGAGACAAGAGCTCCTATGCGCGATCTTCTGCTGGACATCCAGGCAACGGAGCAGGATCACATTCTGGCCCTTCTCAAGGACAGAGAAGCTCTTACTGCGATCGTCCGCCTGATGCTCTCGCCTGAAGACGATCTGCACAATCCAGCTCAAGCTGTCGTCAAGACTGCATACGATGCTGTCACGAGAGCAGATTGCTTTCGTGCGCTCCTGCACAATTATCCGAGCGAGACCTTGTCTGCCCTCACACAAGCAACGGAAACGTTTGCGGATCACGCGCAGCGTTTCCCTGATCTTTGTGCAGCGTCAAAGCGTCTGGTCCGGTGTTACACTGATGTAGTTGAAGCGCTCTGCGATCAGGAGGACGGCTTGGTGCGGGACGAAGCATGGATTACCAGACCGGACTGTACCAACGTCGAGCAGCTTCTGACGTTCTGGCCGCTCATGTGTCATGCATTAGCTGTCATTTTCGATCACACGCCAACCTGGGCACCCAATCATACGAACGAGCAGATGACAGACTGGATGCGCGACGCTATCATATTCGGACAGCGGCTGGTCGACCAGTGTCGCTTGCTATCCTCTGTCTCGAGTCGACATGGCTCTTCTGCGCAGGCCGAGCAAGGCCGTGTCAAGTTGACCGAATCTCTCAACGAGCCCTTGGAAGCCTTACTGGCCTGGATGCGTCTCAACGATATCGTCTTGCTCGCGAGCACTGCGAGACTCACGCAGGCCATGATCTCTCGCCTCTCCGGGCAACGCATAAGGCTTACTGACCGCGTTCTCCACCGCGTCCGCAAGCTCGCAAAGAGTTTGGAAGAGGACCCTGCGAAGAATAAGCTGCTGCTCAATCAGGACCAACAACGCGATATTGTTCAGGCAGTATCGATGCACCCACTTTACGCTGCTGAGTTCTCCGATTATGTCGAGCCCGGCTTCGAAGAGATTCTTGCGCCTCCTAAAGCGGCAGTACAGCGCAGCGTGCCGCTACTCAAGCCCAGATCAACTACGGAGCCCGCAAGTGCGCCTTTGCATCCTGCTTTGAGCTTGCAGAACGGCAAGCTCGTTGCCGGAAAGCCGATACCGAGTATGCTGCCCAAGCCGAGGCCACTGCCTTCAGCAAATATCGTTCAGAAACCGATCGTGCCCAAAGGACCGCGCCTCAAGTATTCGCACAAGGATGCTGCTGCCGAACGCGAGCGACGGCAGGCAGGTCTACTGGCTGATGATTCGAGCTCGAGCGATACTGAAACGCGCGGCATCGATATCTTGTTGGGTAACAAGAAGCCCATCATCCGTCAGGCCGAAAAGGCGCAAGGCGTCAAGCTTCTTCCACAGCATCAAGTGCCAGGTCTCGAGCGCTTGGCGGTGGAAGCTGCTAGACAGGCTGACAGGCGACAGAATCTTGCACGGATGCGTCAGCAGGTCGATACAGATCCACTCTTCCGCAGCATCTTGCAATGGGACAGCTTCAGTGATGGACAAACGCCGGACAATGCCGGGATCAAACCACAGAAGATCATCGATCGCTTCAGCAGTGTTGCTCACTACCAAGCGGTCATGCAGCCGCTGCTACTCATCGAATGCTGGCAGCAGCTTGTCAATGCTAAGCGCGAAGCACACGAGAACGGAACGCCGATCATGGCTTGCAGCATCGTCTCTCGCATGTCGATCGATGACTTTCTCGAAGTTACCTGCAGCTTTCCTGGTGGCAGCGTGCCTCATAATGTCTACTTTGTCGACACCGAGATTGTTCTCATGCGATGTATGCATGATGAGCTAGCGCAATGCTTTGCAAAAGTGGTCAGCACCAAACGTCAAGGTGCAGCCCTCAATGTGACCTTTCGGTGTTCACCACGCAATACGACTGGTTGTCGTGCTCAGATGACTCCTCAATCGTCATGGCATGTGCGAAAGCTCACTGGGTAGGTCAGTGGCGTCAGTGCGTTAATTTACTGATCCGGTATTAGTCTCGGTACTACCATCCGGGAGTACATTGCGCTACAAAGCCTGCCCTACTATGAGCTGGCCGAAGATGTTCTGCGGGGCAGGCTTAAGCAAAAAGTTGCCGCTCGCTCAGATACGGTGGATGCGATTGCACGGAAGCATCAAGTCAACCAGCCGCAAGCATTTGCAATCGCTGCGGCTCTGGACGCTGAAGGGTTTACTCTCATCCAAGGGTATGCTCGCCGGTCTGTGCCTCGGACTTTGCTGATAGCCCCTACGAAGACCGCCAGGCACAGGCAAGACGAAGACAATTATTGGCCTCGTCGGTGCCTTTCTTGCGCGCCGCAAGCCCAGTGATGGCCTGCCCTCGGAGAAGTTGCTCATATGTGCACCCAGCAATGCTGCCATTGACGAGATCGCTGCCCGACTCAAGAACGGCGTGCGTGCGGAAGACAATCGCATGGTAGTACCAAAGATTGTTCGTATTGGCGCAGACTCTGCAATTCATGCTGCCGTGAAAGACCTGTTCATCGACGAGCAAATTGATGCGCTGCTCAACGACGGCTCGCACGGGGATGACAAAGCAGACGAAGCCCTCAGCGCGCTGCGACGGCAGATGGAAGAACTGAAAGCCGAGCGAGCTCAGACTCAGGACATGCTGGCGAGGCAGGGGCTAGACGATCAGGAACGAGGAAGACTAGCAGATGTGCGCAGAATTCAAACGCGTGAGATCTATGAGCTTGGCCTCAGGCTAGATGCCGAGAAGGACAAGACGGGCGACAGAAGACGGGCGCAGGATACGCGTCGTTTTCAGATGCGCAATCAGGTTCTTTGCGATTGTGACATCATCTGCGCGACGCTCTCCGGAAGTGGTCATGATTACATGGCGCAACTGCCATTTCAATTCGAGACCGTCATAATCGATGAAGCAGCGCAATCGGTTGAGATCAGTTCGCTCATCCCGCTCCGATACGGCGCAAAGCGTTGCATCATGGTCGGGGGTGAGTGCGAAAAAGCTCACAACCAGCAAGTTCACTGACGCTCCGATGCGCAGATCCCCGTCAATTGCCGCCCACAGTTCTGTCTACAGTTGCTAAAGACGCGAATTATGCGTCGAGTCTCTTCGTCCGCATGCAGAAAAACCATGCCGATGGCGTGCATTTGCTGAGGTATGGCGATTTGGCTTTGACGAGCAGCTTCTGACCCCACTGCGCAGCATTCAATATCGTATGCACCCAAGCATCTCGGCATGGCCGAGCGAAGTCTTTTACGGCGGCGAGCTGCGCGATGGTCCTGGTATTGCCGCTTTGACGGCGTCCTCGTGGCACCGCAATCCCCTTTTGCCGCCGTACTCCTTCTTGCATTGCTCTGGCGCACAGCAGACAGGCAGAAATCATTCAGTCTTTAACCCTGAAGAAGCGCGCGTAGGAGTAGCAATATTCAAGCAGTTTCTCAAAGAAGTTGGCGATGCCATCTCGGACATCCGCGTTGGTGTCGTGACGATGTACAAAGCACAGGTGTTCGAGCTGCGCAGGCTGTTCAAGCTCGCCTTTGGCGACGACATCGTTCATCGCCTCGACTTCAGCACCGTCGATGGCTTTCAAGGCCAAGAGAAGGACGTCATCATATTTAGCTGCGTGAGGTCAGGCCAAGGCTCGGACCCGATCGGCTTTCTCCGCGACGCCCGGCGTATGAATGTTGCCTTGACGCGCGCAAAGTCCTCACTTTTCATCCTAGGCCATGCACCGACGCTCAGGACAGATCCTACTTGGCGCCGTTTGATCGAGAATGCACAGGCCCGGGCTATGTATCGCGAGGTGACGGCTAACACCTTTACCAGCTCCGTCATGATGCCAGCCGTGTTGCCGACCTCGCCGATCAAGGCCCGCTCTTCAAACAGTCAGAAGGGAGCGGCGCCGGCCCTGCCGCTTGTGAAGCCGAAAGACGAGCCAGCGGCAGTCAGGCCGAATGGGCTCAGGATGAGTCAAGACGGCTCGTCTGCTCCCGTGCGCATTGTCAAGACTGAATCGAGATCAAAGCCGGATCAACAGGCGATTCTACCACCGGTGATAACGACGGTAGTGACGACGAAGAAGCGGATTCGCGAAAGCATTGATACTGCCCACGATCAGTCTGGATCCGCTTCGACGATCAGTACGACTGCGATCATCGATCTAGACGATGTCGGTAGGCAGCCAAGCAACAAGGCTATCGAGACTCGGCCCACCCAGACAACGAGCAATGGCACAGAAGCATCTGCGCCAATGAAGGGAGATTCGAAGCGACGAGCGCCGCCCCCGCCCCGCCCCGTCAATCCTTTCATCACAAAAAAGCGGCGATTGCCTTGAGCAAGCTTGATGAGGGTCGAGCGCCAAGCCGGCCAAGGCTCCAATGTCGCGTCTCGTCGCAGCGTGAGCGTGCAGAGCCATGTCAGAAAAGCGAGTCTTACTGCTCGTAGCTCATGGTTCCGAGGAGATGGAGGTGTCTACTCCGTATGATGTCCTAGTGCGAGCTGGTCTTAAGCCGCTGCTTGTGAGCGTTGGCAGAGCGGACAAAGGAAGAGTCGAGCTGTCCCGTGGTCTGCCGATCTACGTGCACTCTTCCCTCTCGGATCTACGGTCTAATGACCTCTTCGATGCTGTGCTAGTGCCCGGTGGTGTAGCAGGTGCAAGGACAATCTCGTCAGCTCTTTCTATTTTGGCACGAATGGAGCTGAATGAAGCGACAGATCTGATCAGCATGTTCAAGAGCTGCTCAAGTCACATTACGAAGCTGGCAAGATTGTCGGCTGCATCTGCGCTGGCTCTCTAGCAGTCAAGACGTCTAACATCGCTCGCGGCAAGACGATTACATCGCATCCAAGTGTGCGAGATCAGCTCGAAAGAGGTATGTATCGTGTTAGCCCACCATGCTGCACCGCTGAGTTACTCCCACTCAGACTACAGATACTCGGATGAGAGAGTCGTTGTCGATGGCAATTTGATCACCTCACGCGGTCCAGGCACAGCTCTGCTGTGGGCTCTCACGCTTGTGGAGGCGATGTGTGGCAAGGCAAAGCGCGACGAAGTAGCAAGTCCGATGATCGTTTCTGCTCAGCTGTAGCGAATCACCGAGATCTGGTTGTATTCGCATAACTAGTTGTACAAACGAAGAAGGCCATCCGCTGTGTGAAATCGCCAGAGATGAGCGCGAGATCAGGTGCGAGTCATACAGCTTGCGTACATTCTTTGGGTGTGCGATGGTCCTAGGCAGCAGCAGTAGTGTTCTGTGTCGAGAGATAATCCTCCATCTCTGCGTCAAGGTCTTCTACCGTCTTTGGTGCTCGAGCAACGCGGCCGCCACGACCGCCGCGGCCCCTCTTGCTGCCTGTTCCGCGCTTGGCTTCGGTGCCGTTGGCGCCTCCCGATCTACCTTTGCTCTCCTGACCGCTGTTGGTAGCGCTGTCGTGATTGGACAGTCGAACAACAGTTGACAGGCGAGCGAGAAAAAAGAGAAGCATTTCAATGAGCATGGTGTTCGGGAATCGCGCGACTCGACATTGCTGCCTCGCCGTTGCCGCAAGGAAGGCCAGTAGAAGCGAATTACCTTGCTTTGGCTGGTGCTTGACCCATGCGGTCGGCTAGAGGCTTAGCGGGCGCCTTGAGGGGGTCGACGACGATCTCGACCTTCATCTGGCGCTCTGTGAGATCGCAAGTACGCAAAGGAAGCAAAACAGCGAGCGTCAGAAATCTTCTCCTGCGCGATGTGCCCGAGTCTGATCGTTTTGAGATCTATAAAGTCCACGCGCATGGCCTCGGCGTGTCACAATTGCGCAAATGCCCTCTGGGAGTCCTCGAGTAGGCATGTGAAAGCCTGACATCCCGCCAAGTCGAGCTTGCCCGCCGATCGAGCGCAGCGATCAAGTCTAGTCCGGCCTGGTAAGACTGACAAGACCAGGGCGTGAAAACACATTCCCTCTGCCAAGCGTGGCTCATGGGTAGCCTGGCGGAAGGGATTAAGCTTCGCTTGCTTTATGCAGCAGTCACGACTTGACTGAGCGCGAGCGTGACATATGCCTTGCGTGATCGATGAGAGAGGCCATGCGCGTGTAGACTTCCGGGGTACGAGATCAGACGAGACATGAGCGAGAAATACTGACTTCCGTCGACGAGACGCTTATTGTAGCTCTGATAGGCCACGGTAGCATCGCCTCGCTTGGTGAACTCGATGGTAGCAACGCCTTTGCTCTTGCCTTTGGAGTCGTACGAGAGCGAGACGGACTTGCAGGGTCCGACGGTCGAGCTGAAAAGCTCCTGCAGAGACAGGAAGGCGCCGTTCAGCGACTGCAGCCATCGTCTTGTGGCGACCGGAGGCCTACTCTGATCTGGTTCTCGGTGACGTCGTCCGGCAGGTTGCTGACGATGATCTTGTGACCGTCCAAGCCGCTGGGGAGACCGACGGCGCCCGAGCCGGTCTGACCTTTGGCGGCTTGCTTGTTGGACGCAGGAGCACTGCCAGCATAGCGATCACGAGCAGACGGGGCAGAGGGTGCAGCGCCGCCCGTTCCAGCGGTATTGCGAGGTCCACGACCGCCTCGCTTGCTCCTGTTGTTCTTCCGCTTCTCAGCGATGACGGTATCGAGCGGTTGATCAATGTTCATCGACTGCGACCATCGCACAGCATGACATCAGCCTCTGGTCCATTATTCTGGCCTGACTCTGCCCGGGATGTGCCTGGCATGACCTCTCCTTGGATGATCTGGTCGCAGACTAGATGCAGAGCGGGACTCGATCCAAAGAGAGTCAGGTCGGCCATGGCAGGCTCGACAGGTTCGTGCAGACTGCGTTACTGACCATCTTGAGCTTCACTCGTCTGTGGACTTGGCTCGCTGGGGAATTGTCTGGCTGGCGGATGAGCTCGAATGGGTGCTGACAGCCTCTGCCCGCCTCGCGATACCCCACTCGGCCCACATTCGTTGCGGTCGAACGCGCTCTGCCTGCAGATGTCAATGCAGCCCGGCAGCGATTTTGCGCCTCGCTACGGGCCTGCTTCACCTCTGCCGTCACAATTAGGAGCATCCCAAGCTACGCACTCAACAACAGCAGCACCCGCGTTGAAGCGAACGTTTGACGACGCCGCAACGAGCCAGGGAAACCCTGCGCGAGCAAAGCGAGCTATGAACGGCAGCGCGGCTCACAGTGAGCATGTCAAGCAACAGGACACAGCTTTGGTATCGCCTTCAAGCTCCAATGACAGTCTCAAGCCTCCCAAGAACAATGAAGGCGTGCAGATACCGCCTGCAATCAGTGAGCTGCCCCTAGACGGCACGATCAGACCGCTCGAGGCGTCTATGCTGGGTCTGGCGCCGATAGACGAGTTCACGAGAGAAGTCGCCGATTGGATATGGGCCTTCACGAGGACTCTCGAGAATGTAGAGGCAAGCGGTCTGCATGCCTGCGTCGATGCGCTGCTGAGCAACAACGAGCGAATTGCAGATTGAAGCAAAGCTAGGCACGCTGATAGACAACCGTACACAAGCGCGCATCATCTTTCCCGTCGCTGTCGAGACGAGTACGTCCATAACCAGGCCGGTCGGTGACGAGCTGATGCGGTCGACCAGTCTTGACAGATGCAAGTACCTTCAGATTCGAGAGCAACATGACAGTACAGCAGCATGGCTTCTACAACCAAATGCTCAATACTCGCTTTGCAGAGTCCAACAAACAGGAATACGACGGCGAGCGGATACAGTATGTACATACGAGGCATCTCGACAGCATACACAGCTTCCCCAGCGACAACTTTGCCAAGCTCCGAGTGACCACAGACCAGAAGACTGGCCAGGTCGTTCCTAATGGCGTCATCATCAAGCGTAAAGTGGCGGATATGAACGTCTACTGCCCCAAGCGCTCCTTTGACTACCGGATCTCGGTCAGCATAGAATCGCCCAGTAAGCTTCGTCATTGCTTGTTTTAGGTTCTGCCTGACGTTGTTTACGCAGCTGTCATGCCTACAGATCGGCCTAGCCGTCAAAGGTACAAAGATCGCTTGTCTTATCGGCATCAGATCACTCAGATCGATCTAACGCAAGTCAAATCACCAGAGACAATAGAGCCACGGCACGAGCTCGAGCTAGAGCTCACACCGACAGATTTGATCATGCAAGAAGGCGCAAAGCAAGCTGCGGGTCAACCAAGTCTGTACAGAGACATGATCCAAGTCTTCTTGAACAACATCAGAATGCTCGTTCGCAACGCGCCTCACTAGGTCTGATCTGGCTCTGATCTGTCTGCACCGAGCGCTACGAGCACGCACAAGAGATGATATCAGTCAGAGGTAATTAGCCTATCGAAGCAAGACGAGCTCTGTCTGCCGAGAGCGCTGCGCTAACGATCCGCGCTACTCTTGCGATCGGCTCGATCCGCGTCATAAGAAAGAAGACGAAGCATCATCTGCGACGTTCGCCTCGGCAACGTCGCGATTGAGATTGGTGTAGCTCTCTTTGATGCACCGTGGCGGTCTGCATAGCCAGCCATCTCCTGATGATAGCTCATGAGCATTAACAATGATTGGCGCGGCGCTACAAAAAACACCAGGAAATAAACTACCAGGAAATAAACAAGTCGCGTCTCGTTGGCCACCACTTTCGTCAACTGTTGGTGCAGAAACATTGCAAGCTTGCCAGCCATCTGCTCAGCCAGCGGATATATAATTGCACTTTTCTTCGACATTCCCTATCACGCAAGAGTTGGGGCTAAAGCGCAGAGCCAGACTGAGAGTCATCAAGAGGCGCGAAAGGGATTGTCACACTACTCTGGCAGCATCTGGCGATCAGTGTACCACTGGCGAGGTTCGTCTGCGGGCTCTGAGCTCGTCCGTCTTGATACTGACGGTCGTTGTAGAACTCTGGCGACTATCTGGCGAACAGCTGACGGCACTGGCGAATCATCTGGCGATATACTCTCAGCCCTTCTCGGCCTCGTCAGCCGTTCGCTCGAGCCCGACTACAAGAGTTTGTCGCTTCCAGCTCCGGTGTTGGCTCATCGGCAACTGTCTCGAGCGGCCTGCTCGCCCTACCTCTAACCCTTAGAATACACTTCTGCCTAGCAAATTTATGAGCCGAATTAGGGTTGGCACTGGCGGTGAGATTTCGCTAGGAGAGGAGTTCCCAGGTCTGCCTCCGCTATCGGTCCTCGAACACTTGCGCTGGATTGCAGATGTCAGACCGGGGACTTTGCGGGCAGCGGTTGGTTTCAGTGTATCTGGCCAACACTGCACGCAGAAGAGATCTGCATCTGCTTTGCCTCGCGCCTCCCCTCCTCGACCGCCCGATGGGCACTTGCACGACTCGACTCATCTCGCACATCGCGCCAATCCCGAGCACACATATCAAACGCTGTCATCTCTAGCGCAAGGCACCCACTCGACAATGCGATCAGCGAAAGTGCGTGCGAGCCTTGTCGCACTTCATCCACTTATCACAATCTGTCGACTACTTGACGATTAGTCACGCGCGCTCTATGTCGGATAGATACCTCATTGCGGGAATGCAGCTTTCCCGATTTGTTTTCAGCAGGATCGCAAAGGTTTATCTTTTCGCCGTGAGAACGGTCACCCTTGTGCGAGGATGAGCCGAAATGAGCAAACAAGAATCGCACCAGAATCATGAGCGAGTCTCGGAACGTTCGTCGTGCAATGATCTGACGCCGCTTGAGCGATGTCAGCTGAGCAACGTACGACCCCTCCCTTGCTCTCGTCTTTCACGCTAGGTAGAATGTACTTCGTCGCGCGTTGGCTGGCGCAACGCTCCAGATTGTACGCGTCTGTCTGATGTGAATGGAGCTCAGTCAAAGCGCTCAGCCGATGAATGTTCTCGTCCAGCACGCCCGTTGGGGGTAGACGCCGCTCTACTGCTGTCTTCAACGCCCAGCTGAGCTCGACCGTGTCGTCGCTGGAACCTGCAGCAGGCGACCACCAACCTGTGGGACCTCGCAGCAGGTCAACCGTGTCCGAGCGAGCTCGTTCTCGCGGTCGCAGCGCTCATCGAGAGATACTCAGCGCAAGTCTCGTCTCGTCTCAAGAGTCGCACAACAGAGATCCTGAGGCTCCATCTACATCAGCGGCAGGCAGACATTCATCTGAGGCCTCAGCGCACCCAGTAGCACCTGCCAGTCAGTCGCCCTGCTTCACGTGCAGAGCCGAAGAGGCTCACACTTTTGCTCAGGTCTCGAGTACTCTTTGGTAGCCGACAGTGCAGCTAGCGGCAGCGGGACAGCGCCACAACCGCCGATTACAGAGATGTTGTCTCAAGCAGAGTCAAAGCGCAAAAGATCAAGCGCTGGCTCGCCTGTTGGCGACGAACAACGCAACCCCAACAGACTTACTGACAGTGCCAATGCTGACGATCACGACCTTGCTTCTGATGATGAAGCGACCTCTCAACTCGACGTGGGTCGCAAAGGCATCAGAATGAACAGCTATGGTCAATTGCGAGACACTGTCGCATCCCCCGCTCAGCCTCTTCATTCAGAGACGCGTGTACACGGAACGCCCACTCGCGGTGGTTCACAGTCGCGCAGCCAGGCCAGTCCCCGTCGAGCCAGAAATGCAGCTTCGCACTATCCAGCGCTCAGCCCAGCAAGCACGATTCAGCTGAGCCCTGCTGTCGCTCTGACGACAGCGAGACGACACGTACAGGTGACGCCTTTGTCGACGCCTGATTCTCTTCTGTCGAGACATGGAGGGGATATCGAGATCGGTGTTCCCTCGCCAATAAAGCCCACAGCGGAGCCGTCAAATCCAGAGTCATTGCGAAGGAATGACAGTCTCTCGATGTCGGGAGATGACGAGCTATCGGCATACGAGGACGAATTCCATCTTCGTAACGTCCGTTCCAATCGTCCCGGCGGCAATGCATTGGGCGCGGCGGCACCACATGCTGGTCTTGCTTCTGCTAGCGCAGCAGAAGATGCTCAAAGTATCGTGGCTGCTCTCGAGCAATCGCAGGGAGATCCCGAGCACAACGCAGGCAGCACTGGCCCCGTGGTGACTTCAGGAGATAGGCCTGGTCACACGACCACAAAATTGGCAGTGCCTAGGCTGCCGGCTAAGAAGCAGCAGCAACATCACAGCCCTTCATCTGGAGGCTTGCGGGCGAGCGAGTCGGACGACGCTCATGCTCAACCTGTGCCGGGTCGCTACGGCATCAAATTAGCTCAATTACTCAAGAGAGCTTACGCCTCACTCAACGGTGTTGTGGGTGCAGCAGCATTCATCGCAATCGCATTTGCAGTGCTTTCTATGCTCTATCCGGGTACGTGGGCATGACGGGTTTATGGGACGTCCATGCTGACGCTGGCGTCCAGACAAGCTGATCCAGCTCAAAAACCCTGCACAGACCGAAGCAAGAGACTTTCACCTTCTGTCAGCACGCGTTGCTTCTCTGAAGGATGCACACGACCTCCTCAAAGCTCACGTCAAGCAGACGCATGAAGCCTTTGAAGACGAGCTGCGAGCGATGAACGACACGCTCTCGCGCGTGCAAAGCCAATCAGAGATATTGTCCAAGATGATGGGAACCACTGTCGAAGAAAACGGACAGCTCAAGCAATCGTTCGAGCACTTGAACGAGCAAGTGCAAGAACGCTGTACCTCAGATGAGCGCGGCGCGCTGTCTGGCGTTGCAACGCAGCAAGTCAGCGACATGATCAAGCAAGCCATGAAAGAGCAGATGGGCGGGAGCCCAGGGGCGAGCGGAGAGATGCAGACGGCAGCCTCAATGGATGTCTCAGCTGTCTTCGAGACGGTCAAAAGTTCATTGGTAGAGGAGCTCCAAGCGGACATCTACAAAAATAGCAATGGCAACGGATCTCTAAGCCACGATGACGGCATGCGTACCGTGCTTCAGAANGCGGTCCAAAGAGAGGTGGCTATCGCGCAAGACGGCGTCGCTATGTCCGACGTAGCTCTCGCTTCTGCTGGCGCTCGCGTCATCAAGAANTGGACAGGCAAGTCCTTCATCAAGACCACCAATCCCATCAAGAAGTGGTACGCGACCCGTCATCCCTTTCGCCCACCCGAATACGCTATGGATATCGATAGGACTGCCGGNCACTGCTGGGCATTCAANGGAAACAGAACAACGCTCGGCATCCAGTTTGGCGGGCCAGTCTNCATTACACACATCTCGCTCGACCATGCACCTCGTTCGGTCTGGCCAAGCGTCGCTATTGCGCCAAAGGACTTCGAAGTTTGGGGTATACTCAACGACGACACGGACAGACCCTACTGGAACCTCGTGCGTCAGAGCGAAGAACAACGACTTGCCGTGCTCAAATATGGAGACGATCGAGGCAAAATGGTCTATCTGACNAATGGTACCTACACGCCNGCAGATGACTACTTTGGCGCTACCCAGACCTGGCCNATCGTTGCCTCTGCCAANGANCTCAACCTCGCCTACGAGATGATCTTACTCAAGATCACGTCTACCCATGGCGCAGAGAATGGCTGCCTGTACCGCTTCCGCGTGCATGGAGGTCTGAAGTATCGCGAAGGCTTCAACAGAACCTCAATCGTTTAGACTGTGTTGTCGTGCCATTACAAGCTATCTCATGATTCCCATAAACGTTCGCTGAGTGTCAAATTGACAGTCTTTGCTAGATCGTCCGCTTGAGCTAGGGTGACATGCGATCTGAACTTGAGGTTTGCTAATCGGTCGATACTAGTGGGTGCAGCTGCTACGCTCCTTGAAATCAAGCCCATCTGCAGCAGGGTGATGATCTGAGCGTCCACATTGACGGAAGATGCCAGTGACCGATCGTCAACATCGAGAATGGCTTCCAATATTGCAAGCATCCGTCCGAGCGAAAAGAGTTTCGGCCCGAGCTGGAGTTGCGCAAATTTACGCTGTCGAGTGGTCAGCTTTGCTTGATACAAAGTATTCTGCAGCTACCTTTGTCGGCGCTTGGGCTGTCTTGCGCGTTCCACCACCCTTCTTTTTGCGACCACCTTCTGGCTCTTCCACGGCAAACATGCGAACATCGCTCTTGGCGGGATTGTAACTGGCGAAGTAGCTTGCAATGGCGAGGTACCGACCAATGACTGGCAAGGACAGCAAGGGCGACGAGCGTCGCTCTATCGTCGCTTTTTGGGGACTTTTGCTTGGGCTAGCACAGGCGGACGAAGTAGGTGATTGAGTTGCATTGCTTCTTCCCCTCTTGCTCGGCGTCATGTATAGAGGAGATGCTACGATGGGCATCTGTTGGTCGAGAAGTTGGAGCGCTGAACCCGGAGCGGCATCCATGCTGACAAATCGGGTGCCGTAAAGCGCTTCTCTTTCGCGCTCCAGTATATCTTTGATGACGCGATATAGAGCTGAAATATCTGCCGCTATCGAACGGGCCTGTGAGGATGGTAGCAGATCTAGCTTGGCGCGACTTACTATGCAGCTGACTGGCTCGCAGTTGGACATGTGGCCAGACAGCATCACAGATGGCAATCAGCTGGGACAGCTCCAGGCCGACGAGATTCTCATAGATCTGAATGGTCAGCTCGACTAATGGGCGTGCTAGGCGGATTTGGTTCTGATCATCGTCGCTTTGCGAGGCGAGATGCCTATGCAAGATGTTCTTGGCGTCTGCATTCGTCTGTCAGCGAGCTTACGAGAGATGCCGGGGCTCCTGACCTTGCGTCTCTAGCCGATGGATAACAAGATTTTGACTTGGCTCTCTGTAACCCCGTCGCGAAAGCAGCTTGCGCGACGGCAAGGATGAGACAAAGACGGGCACAATGGGCCGCCGGGTCTGCGAAGCTGTATCAGCGCGAGCCAGTGCTACACTATCGACATACCAGCTCGGCAATGCGCACGAGTGAAGAAAAGAGTGGCGTGTCGACGTCGCCAGCGATATCATATAGCAGGTCAGCATGTGTGAAGATGATTGCTCTCGGCAAAGCCCGCTGCTGTTCGGCGAATAGCTGCGAATCCGATCCGAGTGTATGGTCTTGCTCCTGCAGATCAAACACTGTACGAAGACCGTCGCAGAATGCTTGGAATGAGGTGTTGTGGCGAGCAGACTGATTATCTGGCGCGTCCTCGGTGGGCGTTGTCCATTCGACGTGCCATTCATCTGACCGGCTGCGGACGACGTGACAGCCTGATCGTCTTCCATTCCAGAGCTTGACGGCGCCAGACTGAGCACAGAAGGTAAGCGGCCAGGATGCCAGGCCGTTCAGTATTCTGTCGTAGAGCGATGCAGTGGAGCAAATCTCTCGGCAGTCAATCAGACATGTCTTGGGAAGACAATTCTGCACTGCAGGCTTCTGACTGATCGTACAGGCGCGTGGCTCAAGGCAGGCAGCGATCACGTCGATGAGAACGTCAAAGTTATGAGTGACTTCGACCCATACTGAGCTTGACGGCAGGGCGTCGTAGAAGGAGGGGTACGATGTCTGCACGAGCATCGACAGCTCATCAAGCTGAGCGCGAAGTGATGGGAGCGCTTCGCTATATGCTTGTCGGTCCATGCTTGGAGCTGCCAGCCTGAAGGCCTCGCTGTCACGACGTCACGAGCGCGTCAAGTGGACGAGCGCTCACGTCATTGACGTGTCAAACCAGAAAAGAGCGTGCCGGTCGATCCAAGGTGGTCTGCGGCTCAGGCGCACTGGGTCCGGCGTCGTCCAGATGGATCGCTTCGCTGGACAAGCACCTGAGCCCACGGGCGTGCTCGTGCCGGGCATGGACGTGCTGGAGACTTGGCAGTTCTGCAGCCCCATCATCGACCAACTGTTGACAGCCCCGACTGCTCCACTCAACTATGCGACCTACATGGCAGTCTACACCGCACTTCACAACTGCAGACAGCAGGCACCGACCCAGGGCCAGTTCCTCTGGGGAGACTTCCCTCTTGGCCCGCTCGGCGATCCCTTTGGCGCAGAGAGGCCCCTCTATGGCTCGGGCGATGTCATCTTCCTGTGTCTCTGTAACAAGCTACAGCGCCACTGTCATCGCGTCGCCCATCAAGCTCGCACGCTGACTGGTGTGGCTCTGTTGCGCTACTACATGACACATTGGCAGAGTTATACATCCTCCACCAAGAAGCTTAGCAGGTCAGCATCCTAAGTCCATGGATTCGCAAAGGTTCTGACCCTGACGGCGTTCATCTCGTAGTATATTCGCCTATCTCGACCGGCACAGGGAACACCCGACGACAGAGATGCACTCTGTCTCTGCCAAAGAGGTCCATTGCCTGCTTGACAAGCGATGCATTTCTCACATGCGCGTTGCAGGCTGCTTATATGAATTGGCTGCGGCTTGTCGTCGACGTCTTGCCATTTGATGATATACGACAAGATCTTGGCGACGGCGTTGTTGACCCACAGGGCCGGCAGCTCATCAACGACTGGCTCGACAGTCTCAACGATATTCGCAGGACCGTGGCTGGCGCGGCAAGACGGGTTGCTGCAAGCGAAGACTGATCGCCCACTGTGCTTATTTATACTCAGTTGATGTATAGCCACGCAAGCCTTTGTTGTGCTAAGCCTGTAGATCAGACAGATTGCATGTATTATACACTGCTGGTGCACATTCCTCATTACTGATAATTTCCGGGCATCGGACGCTCCTTTTCCCTATGTGCGCTCGCACGAGACGCCCGTCCAGACTGGCTTGCATCCTGTGAGGAAGCAGCTGTGACTGTTGAGATGGGCGGCGTGTGCGTGCCATTGGACCGTGCCGGCTGAGTGTACGAAGGGTATGGTAAAGATGTGCTGCCTGCCCCCGGAGTGCCAGGCGCTGGCATACTGCCGGGCTGTTGCATTGGCGAGCTGTATCCAAAGGGCATAGATGACATGAAAGGCACCGTTCCCTGTTGACCGAACGCGCCAGGCTGTTGGCCGAACGCACCGGGCTGCTGGCCGAAAGAAGACATTGCAGCCATGAAAGCCTGCTGCGCTGCCATCATCGCCATTTGTTGCTGCATCATTGCATTTTGATCGTAGCCTGCGCCTGGTGCTGGCATGCCAGGCATGCCGGCAAAAGGCATCATGCCACCCATGAAAGGTGAGCCAAACATGCCCTGTGAGGCCGCAAGCTGCTGCTGTTGTTGCTGTTGCATCAACATCATCTGCTGTTGCTGTTGCTGCTGATATTGGTGCTCGTCAACTTCACGTCTTTGTCTCTCTGTGATGGTCGCGCCCACGCCGCCTTCGCGCTTGCGCTCCCTCTCGTGTTCTGCAATTGCGCCAACCAGTCCGGAACGAGGCGGACCACTCTTGGCTTCGACTTGCACCAGCGGCTGGCCATTTTGACGTGCCCATTGCTCGTGCTGCTTTGCCGTGTTACCAGTCTGATTGGCTGCGCCAAGCAGACCATGTGGATTGATGCCAGCCGAATTGCCCATGACGGTCATCGGTCGGCCGTCGCGATCGTAGCCTACTTGCGGCATGCTGCTATTGCGTCCTTGTTGCTGCCATGATGGCAAAGCGGCTGGCTGGCTCATGCTAGCCGAGAGACCAGGAAATCTGACGCCTTGTGAGATAGGCGCAGGTGACGAGCGCTCCGATGCCGGCTGAGAGATCTGACCAGGAGAGTCTCTGTGGTATGCCGTAACCGGCACGCTCGCATTCGAATGGTATGGATCTGCTGCTCTGTAGCTGGACGGTCCACCGGCCTGCTGTCCGGCGAACCTGCCGGGCATCGAGTCGGGCACGCTGGGTTGCCTCTGATCAGGTATCGGCAAGCTAGACTGCCTGGCCTGAGCCGTCGATGGGGGTTGAGCTCGGCTGTCATCATCGCTGTCGTCATCTTGCGGGACACCGTCATCTTCGTCGCTGCTCCAAGAAGCCTTAGCCGGCACCGGAGACTTGCCAGCTGTTCTCCCAGGCTGGGTGCGAGCTGCCGTCGTAGACGACAGATTTGGACCCGCCGCAGCCGCTCGTTCTGCAGTCCTTCTGTTCTGGCCAAACGCGCCGGCCCTGGCAGTCACCGTGCCGAGCGCAACTGCCTTGCTGATCGTCGGCGCAGCAGAGCTCGAAGGCGAGGGTGCACGGAGAGAGGGCTGACGGGCGATACCTTGACTCACTGCTGGCGAGCTGTCTCCGTATAGATCCGGCGAGGAAGGCTCTCGCGTAGCAGCCAATGGGGCACCGAGTAGGCCATCATTGAATCTTGTAGGCGTGACTATCACATATGGGTGAGCTGTGCGGCTTTCCAGCGCTTCGTGCTTACCTTTGTGTGCGATTGACGAGGGCTGTGAGACAGCTGCTTGCCGCGTGACTGAAGGCGGAGTCGCTTGCGCATTACTGTTGATGAACGAGAGCGCAGCTCTGTAATCGTCATCCATCTCGATCGCACCATCCGATGTTTTCGTATCCGATCTTGTAGGACCAGCTAGATCAGAAGAGCTGTCAGACCACTGAAAGCGAGATGTAGCATATGACATACATATTCGAGCAGTTTGCGTCCTCGCATCGCCGCCGGCGATGACATCCGCAGTTCGCGCCTTCGGGAGCTCGGCACGGATCGCGCTTGGGAGCTCCTCGTTCTGCGCGACATTTGACCTGGGAGACGACTGACTAGTAGAGCCAAGCACTGAGCTACTAAGGGCCATGTCCTTTGATACGGACTGAACAGGACTGCGTTCGCGAGAACTGCTGCCGCTCGCGACAGGTGCAGGTACTGGCAGCGCTCGTCGTCCGAAGGTTTCCAGCGACCCGGGTAGCGGTCGATTTGACGTGTGAGTGTCAAGCTGTGCCAGGACAGGTCTGGACGACGGCGAGCTGTCTACTGTCTGGGCGGGTACTGGGCTACCCCGGGCAGGCAGCTCCCGACTCGGTTCGGGGACGTAGCTTGCTGAAGGATTGTGGTCCTGCAGACCTTCGTCTTGATCGCCTTGAAGGTCAAGCATGGGCAGCTGATGGGTTGGTACGTGTGGTGCACGATTAGAGTTGTCCTGTTCGGGTGCGGTCTCAAGCTGGCGTAGCGCATCGTCGCGATGCGACGCCTGGACTTCTTCGCTCCTGCCTTGTTGCTCCTCCGGTATGGCACCCTCGCCGATGGCAGGCAGCCCTGTGGCGATTTGGCGATGCTGACGAGCCTGAGCTTGAATATCGGAATCGGTATTCGAGCGTGGCAACGAGCCTAGCGCAGGCTTGCCAGATGACCGCTTCTCAGCAGCTCTGCCGCGCATGCGCTGAACAAGCATATCTTTGAAGCTGGCTTGGATCTCGCGCGGCCTGTTCTCGCGTACGTCGAGATGCTCGACCAATTGTGAATCGAAGAAGAGGCGGTCACGGCTTGGACCGATCGGCACGACAAAGTACTGCGAGATCGGATTGCGAGGATCAAAGACGAACTCGCGCGGTCGTCCATACAGCTGCGCAGATCAAATCAGCTTACGACCTTGCTTATTGCATTGGCTGAAGTCATACCTTGAATGCGTCGCAAAAGCCGGTGATCCAGTCGAGCATCTCGCCCTGACCGCCTTCCGCTGGCATTGCAAGTATGTAGTTCTGACCCGACTCGCGGCTACCTGACCTAGCAAGGTAATGTGCATGATGCAGCTTGCTCGGCTGCTCGCCCGTCTCGTCCCATTCGGCGCAGGCCTCAACTTTGAAGATATTGGTCGCATCGACGAGCTGCGGGACTTCGGGATAGACCGACGCACAGTACCATGCTTGCGAAAGAGTCATGAATGGTCGTTTCGCCTTGCGCGAAGCGTAAAGATAAGCAGTGCCGGTGGAGACTTCGGGCTCGCCTTCGGACGATAGCTGGCTGAGACTTGCGCTACGCGTCATGCTGGGCAACAGACTTCGGCGTTTCTTCTCCGGCGGATTCTCGTGCAGGACCAAGCGGACAAGTTGCCATTCTGTCTCGCCGGGGAGACGAACGTTGACCATTCTGTGCTGCGCGTCAATGGATATAGTAGCAACATGTCTGGAAACTCACCCGTCCATTACCCCCTTGGTGAGCGGAGATGCGCGTTGACCGAACCCTCGAAGACCCAGCAGCGTTCCTGTGAAGACTTCTGCGAGGCGGCCAAGTTCCCAAGAAGCAAGTCGCAAGTTGTTCATCCATCTAGTCATTTTGGCGTCAGTCTCGCAGGCAAACAGGATTCTATTCGAGCCGGCAGTGTTGAGGGCAAAGACAAATTGGAACTGTTCTTCCGGGCGAGCCAGCACTACGAACGCATCTGTGATCTTGATGTAGACCGGTGGTATGGTCGTGTTATTGCGGGCAGCCTCTTCCATATCGCGAACGTTCCAAAGCGATAGCTCAGAGCCTGTGAGCTGCATGAAGAAGCGATCCCATGCTGAGCCAGAGGCTGCTGCGTCGATCGATCCATCAGGTCTCGACTCGTCTCGCTTCCATACATAGCCTTCCGTGTAGAATTTGCGACTGGACAATAAGCTGATGACGCGATTCATGTCGTGTACTGCACCAACGCCATTAGGTGCAACGCCTCGGCGCGAGCCCTCGCTCGTTCTTGGCGGCGTAGGCGCGACCAGAGTGCCCGAGCTCTGCGACCGTGGCGTAGATGGACTCGGCGCTTGACGCTGCGAGTAGTTACTGCCTGCTGTTGCGCGTCCATTGATAGGCTTGCTGAATGCGTTTGCCCCCGTATCGAGCGATGATTGTCGCTTCATGGTCCGTGAAACATCGTCGGTATCTGGGCCATACTGCTCGGGGGCTGGACTTCCGCCGACTGAGATTCGTTTACTGTCACGCTTGGCCGCTCGGCCTTTAAGGGACGAGAACATGTCGGCGTCGTCGGTTGCCTCTCTTGACACAGATCGAGACTGCTGAGAAAATGGGCCCTCTAGGAGACTACTCGTTGATTTTGATCTGCTCTGTCTGACGCGTATGTCTGCAGATCTAGAGGCTTGGGCAAGATTAGACGCAGATGACGCTATAGAAAGTCTGCGCGGTGAATAAGACGCCGAAGGAGGCTCCTGTAGCTGGCTGCCTGTCGAATTATGCGACGACGAATTGCCTGCTCGAGGGCGAGTCTGACTCGCCTCTTCGTAGGATCCGGCGCACGCTTCGTGAGTATCAAGCTCTGATGCTTGGTCACTGCCCAGATAATCCGAGCGAGAAGCAGGCAATTGCAGCGCACTCTGGTACGTTGGCGGAAGTTGAGGAAAGCCGAACGGAGTGAGATGCGATGTATCGAGAGCAAAGAGATCGCGTGCGTGGTTTGATCTGGCAAAGTCAGAAGACTGCTGCAAGTCCGGGTGGTCCGGCTGAAGGTCGGCTTTAGATTGCTCACAGTATTGACCGCTGGTCGTCTCAAGCCTTTGACGAGCAGCAGCAGGTAGATCTAGATATCCAGATGAACGCGAGCTTCTGTCTGATGAGGCTTGTGGCTGAGGAGCGCTAATCTGCTTGCCAAAAGCGGGACTTGCGGACCTATCTCTCCTATGTTTGCTACTGCTGAACAGTCGCGCTAATGGCTTCAAAATCGATGGTGTCGTCGATGTCCTCGTTCGTTGTGCAGGCCTGGAAGTGACAGGCGCTGTCTCACCTGTGCAGAGGCGTCAGCATGCGCAAAGCAGAACTCGCTGCGAGCTTGCCTGACGGACGTGATCCGGCCAAAGATGATGACGAAAGGTCAGAATGTTGCAACGAGATCGAAGGCGGCGCTAAAGCGGGGGATTGGATCGCTGGGCCTCTTGGATCCTCTAAATGCTCTGAATAGACTGATTCGGTGTCACTTAGATCGCCCGGACGAAGTGAGGGCGGATGTAAGCGACGGGGTGGTCGATCGACGGGCGAGAGCGACTTTGGTGAATCAACAGAGAGCTCCTTGAGACTAGCCCGTGACCGAGAGCTTTCGCTTGAGAGTCTGTACGCTAAGACAGCAGAAGTGGCACTTGAAGAAGTGCGCGTATGAATCCGGCTGATAGGACGCTGTCGGTCTGTAAGGTAGTTGACGATGTAATTGACAGAGCTGCGGTCACCGGGTTCCTGGGAGCACAGCGATAGTCGCGAAAGCGTACGGGATAGGCTCTGATTATCAACAGTCAAATGTCTCGAGGGAATTCGAGCAAGAGCAGCTTCAGCAGCTTGCGCGACAATATGCGATGATTCTTGCAGAGGTGGGCGGGACTGTCTGTGCTGAAGCTTGCGTTCGTCAAGATCAGTGAGATAAAGGTCGTCTGCTGGCAGCGACTGACTGTAGAACGGCAGTGGTGTACACGCTTTAGAATAGCGTGCACTCGATAGCCTGCCTCTAGGATGCTCAGAAGCAGGCACAGCGCTCGCAGAGCTTATGCGGCCAATTGGCGTTGCTAAGCTCTCTGGAGGCGATCTCCTTGCGCTGTCTAGCCCAAAATCCGTACGGAGCGGAGAGATGGGCTGATTGCGATGGACCGCTGTCGGTGTCGTCCGAGCGTCGGCAGGCTTGTGCGAAACAGCCTGTGCGCGTACGCTCTCTGACCAAAGAGGTCTTTGCTGTGCTGGCTGTTCTGCACCGTTTGGCAACGCCTCGGGGCCCTGACTGTCGAGCTGGCGACCCAAGAAAGTCTCGAGACCGCTCGCTCGAGTGTCGGACTGGGTTGGCTCTGGCAAGCCAGCGGGCTTCGGAGGCCCTGTCCACAAAGGCAACGGTGATGCTGTGAAGTCAGAATTCTCACGAGCAACTTGCTTGACGAGATCGGGCTTCCCGTTGTATTCATTATTCGCGTGAACGGCCAGAACTTTGCTATCGTCTTGCTCGCTCTGATCTTCCCGCTGTCTGCTGTCCGAGGCATTGCTCGACACAGACTCTGCCATGCCGGAGTAGCATCGTTGATCCATTCGCGCTTGCGATGGCTCTCGGCAACCTGGTCGCGGTACAGCCAGGCCAACTTTGGCTGATTCAAAGCTTGGCGCTCGACGAAGAGGGAGCGCCAAAGGTCTCGGTGGCAGGGGAATGGGCGCAGTCTTGAGATTCAGAGTCTGACGATGCTGAGCTGGTGATCTGGCCCCACTCATCGCGCTCGAAGGCCGACTGTACGACTGCGTAGCTCGCCTGGGCGGCGGTGGGGGCGATACGAGTGCGGCCGTCGTCTGCCTGCCCTCCCTCTTGGCGTTCCAGGCGATCACATCGTCTCTTATGGCTCGATGCGGCTCACTTTGTCGCTTGTCTGGCGATACCGGCTTCGCGCGCTCGACGGGTATCATCGTATAGCGGTTAGTCGATCCGGATAGCTGTTGTGTCGGCGCCGGCCGTACACTTTGCATGTCCTTTGCTGCTACAGTTGCCGAAGCCGGTCCTTTCGAGCCCAGGACTGACATACGCTGGCTGCCTGATGTCGCCGCAGGAGGTGCCGTTAGATACTTGACCTGTTGCTCGAATGACGCCTCGTCGTCTGCGTTGTAAGCGGCCAATCGTCTCGACTGCCTCAGGGACCCTGCATCGCTGTTGGCTTTGCGCAGTCGACCGCTCGTCCGATACTGTCCGCCGTGCGAGCCGTCACGCCTGATGCGGCTGCCCTCTGAGATGTAGCCGTCTGGCTCCATCGCAGGCTCACTCTTGGTCGACACAACGCTCGCTCGTCTGCCCGACATAGCCTCCGTTGGCACGCTTCCTGATCTGAAGCAGACAAACTTCACATCGCAACAAGGCATCGTCTCAGGGGAGTGGTGACGCTCGTCTCAAGTCTGCCACTAGCGACCGATGTAGGACCGCGTTTCCTCGCAACAGCTCAGTCAGCTCAGCTCAGGTCAATGAAGTTCAAGTCGATCATCAAGCTTTGGTACAAGGATCCGGAAGAAGAGAAGCACCTAGCCCAGGAAAGGCTGCGTCGTCAGGCATTGACCGTCGTATCGCCCGTTGAGCAATCGCCTCGTTCGCCCTCGGTCGTCGACGAATTTGTGCCGCCAAAAAAAAGCTTGACTGACAAGCAGTGGAGAAGACTCAGCGAGCTAGGCGACGCACTCGGTAAGCCGCCAGCCTGAAGGAACCATAGCAGACGGTTTAAGCCCGCGCGCGCAGATCAACCGCACGAACCATTCGCGCCCTTGCCACCCATTGAGACATCATCCAGATCCTCGCAACATGCAAGGACACCTTCGGCTTTACTGAACCTGCTACGACAGAACGCCAGCTCTATCACGCTCAACGAGGTCGCATCGGAGACCGGACCGCGTACACGAGCTCGTTCTGCTAGCGATCTCTTGCACGTGACGCGTCTACGCTCGTCTGCGAGCTCATCAGACGGTCGGCGTGGACGTCCTTACAGTATGATAGAGCCATGGCATGCTATCGCTGCCCGACACAGCAGAGGATCATCCCTTCAGAAGCTAAGCGATTTTGACAAGATTACGCCGCGCGAAGTCATCGTCTTTGGTTCCTCGCTTGCGCCGGCAGCTTCAGATGTGGTAGATAGCGCTCTACAGGGCGATTCGACACCATCAGTGCCCGTAATTGTCCAAGAAGATACCCCTCACTCTTTGCCCACTCTCGACCCGATCGATACTCTTGCCGATGATCTCTCGACGCAGACAGCCGTCAGGTCTCGCTCTCGCACGCGCTCTATACGCATGAGTATCAATCGCCGTTTGTCTAGCATCTCTTTGTTCGGTCACCGCAAGCGCTCTGCCGAAGATCGACGCGCAGTCTCTTTGCTGACAGAGCGTGACTCATCACCCGTGTCACCCAAGCGGCCAACTTCCGAACGCGCTGCGAGCGTCACGGATGACGTCACCGTGCCCATCAGAACGACGAAGATCTCTCTTGCCAAGAAGATCGGCAAGCGACTTAGCTCGAGTCATCTGTCCTTTGCGCGCAACTCCACGCCAGATGCCGATCTTGCTCAATTAGTGCCACCACCCTATGCGACTGATATGCCTGCGGTGCCTTCCGTACCTGCTGAATTTGCATCAGATCAAGAGACTCGCGAGATCACTGAGCAGCAAGAGCAACGTGCCTCTCCATCAGGATCGCCTGCGTTGTCCGATACGACCACAAGTATGCAAGTGACTGAGCCCGCAGAGCTGGATGAAGATCCCTCCTTTTATCGCGACGAGAATGACAAGCGGTTGTCGGCCCGACGCTCACTACCTCTGCCAGGCGAAGATGCGCCCGAGAGTCCAATGGATGCTCAAGCCACAGTCGGATCGGACCCTCGACCCTCAGCAGTCGATCTGGGTAGCCTGTCTACGCGTCCACTTTCCGAGATAATCACAAAATCCAACAGACGTGTGAGCTTCATACCCCCTCGACCGGCATCTGTCATGGCAGACATCATACAGGAGCCCTTATCGATCGCACCCATGATCGTCGACAGCGACACCAATACGATGCAGCCACCACGCATCAGTATCGAGCCCCCCTCTGATGCGGGACACAGTGCTGGCGAGCATGACGATGTCTGGGGCAACTCGGAAGCGCTTCAAAGTCACGAAAGACTCTCGAGCTTTAGTGATTAAATGTGCATGCGGGTATACGAGATGACAACGTGAATGACAATTAATCGGGTTGTTGCTCTATGCTTCGTAGTCCGTTTCGAGGAACTGCTTGAACGTCTTGAGCTCTGGGTATTCCTTGCGCAGCTCGTCGATATTGACTTTATAGCCTTGTGTATTGAAGAGATAGACCATCTTGCGCAGATCGCCGACAAGGCTCAGCAGGAGCCAAGTAACGATGCGATATGTCGTCGGTAGCTCCGTCCCTTTTGTCTCTTTGAAGATCGTCCTGATCTGATCGGGGGTCAGACTGTCGCCTGCGAGCGGTAGCGTCCGATTTTTGTACTTTTCTGGCGTCTCGAATGCAAGCGCCGCAAAGTGGCCAACGTCGGCGACTGCGACGTACTTGAGCTCGCGCTTGACGTCTCTGGTGAGCATGGTCGAGAATATCTTGCCCTGAAAGGTGCTTTGGCAGTAATTGAAGTTCTCCATAAAGGCAACGGGGTGGAGAATGGTGAGGGCGAGTTCAGGATACGTTTGCTGGGTATACTTCTCGATTACTCGCTTGGTCTCAAAGCTGCGAGCAAGAGGGTCAGTGTCGTCCATTTGAAGCAAGAGTGCGAGCTCACTGCGGGACCTTTGTGTCTTCGAGGCCGCCCATCTCGACTGAAGAATAGACGAGCAGCTTCACTTGGTGCTTCGCGGCGTGATCCGCGATCGATTTGCCCTGGGCGACTTCATTGGCGCCCGCATCTTGGACGCTGAACACGCCGTACAAGCCATTGTGTCCGGCGCGTTGAGCTGCTTCCTCGAAGATGGGCCCAACATTGTCCATATTGCCTTGGATCACGCTGACACCGGCGAGCTTGGACAAGGCTTGCGACTTGCTGCTTGACGCGTTGCGACTGACTGCGTACAGATCGAATGGCAGCTCTCTCTTGCTTGCCTCTGCATCTTTGTTGTCCTGCTGTAGCTTGGCAAGCACAGCGCCGCCTTGTTTGCCGGTAGCGCCGAAAATGAGAATCGCTCTCGTTGACATGATTGTGATGGTGCTGATGCTCACTACTGGCGTATGCGTGTATACGACGTGTATGTGTGTGCCAAGAGGGATCAGATGGAGCCGTCTTTATAGCTGCAACAGGTAAGGATTGCTGCCTAAGCAAGCAGGCCACCGGGATGCTTATCCCCTGCATATGTCCGAGTGTCCGTCGAGCTTATCGGGCCAGACCGCCCTGGCAAGCCTGCTGCTTTCCTTGCTGACTGACTGCCCACAGCTGACTGCATCCTTCTCTGACATCCCATTCCGCGCAGAGATGATTCAGCAAGCACCGAAGGTCAGCTCGTCGTCGGGCTTATCGTCCTCGGCACGATACGAAGTTGCTGAAATCGCTGCTCCTCGACCGACATGTCATCAGTGGGTCTGCATGGCTCACCGACGCCGGATCATCGCTCAACGGATGATCAAGGCTGGCTAGACTGGGCAAAGGGCAAGCTGTCTGGGGCCAAAAAGAGCAAGCCCGCCCACCGCAAGTCACCCGCCAAGCCGAGGCCCAAATCAGTGAAAGCCAGCCACAAGATCAAGCAGTTTCCGACCTCTACGATCTACTGGGAACCCACACCCGGTGACGGTCAGTACAGTCAGTTCGTCAAGACTCATACATACGATCCTCGAGTCGTTGAGCCTAAGCCTGCAAAAGTCTGGTGGACCGCCCGTCCTGGCGACGGTGCCTACAAGCCAGCGCCTGTTCCGGTCAAGCACAGTCTGTCGAAGATGGCTGCTCTGCCGGCGGCGTCTCACTCCCCCCTGACGCAACATCAAGTCAGTAAAGCCGCGCAGCATACCTTCAGTGCCAAGAAAGCGACTACATCGCCCGAGCCACCGCGTAAAAGCTCCGCTTCCAAGGCTGCGTCGGTCGCAACAAAGTCTTTAGACATGCATCATAGCGCTTCAAGCGCTTCACGTCACGCCACATCACCCCCTCATGTCGCGAGCCAGGCCAGCATTACTCTTCGCAGCGATGGCAGACCTCGTATCTCTACTATATCGCACCAGGTGTCAAAATCTCTGCCCTCCGGAGGACTTGCCACGAGAGCGACGGGCCCATCTGTGAGCTCTAGGACATCGGCCCAGCCAGCGCGACCCGTCTGCAGCGTCAATTGTACGCCCTCGCATACAGCCACGTCTTATAGCGCACTGTCAAATGCGAAATCCAAAGCGTCTGCACAGACTAGTGTTCGCCCAGCCCTGAGCGGACCGCCCGAGGCTGTTCGGCAGACTCATCATCCACTTACTATACATGACAGTGCGTCGTCCGCCCGATTCGGGCCCGCCGGGCAATTGCAGGCGCAATCTCATACACACAGCTCGTCGGCAGCTACTAGCGGCGCCAGTGTGAGCAGAAGTGAGACGATTCCTAAGGTACGTAGTCAGCTCCTCATCATACCTTGTCTTATGAATTGCACAGCATAAGAACGAAGCAGCATCTGCCTCGTCGCGGCCTGCTTCCCAGCTTACTATTCATCCGTCAGCCTTACAAGACAGCTCGATATCTCTGCGCACCGGTCACCCACCAATCGCGTCGGCAGGATCAGCAATCGCGAGTGGTGCCACCAATGCAAGCGCGACTCGAGCGTCGTCTTTGATCACATCAGTCACAGGCTCGCAAGGTCTGAGGTCGTCTCAGACTGCACGCAGATCGGATATGTCCTCCGCTGACTCTCAGACGAACATTGTGCAGACTTCGGCTCAAGGCGGTGCGAGATCAGCAGCCCACGACAGTTCCTCTGGCCTGAATCGCTCTGGCAGCGGTCAGAGCCATGCGACTACGACAACATTCAGCAGAGACATGCAATCGTTGCCAGGCGCAAGCGGTCCTTCGTCGGATGCATCCGCCGGTGCCCTGCCCTCTGAGCCATCCGGCTCCAATAGCCGTTCCAACAGTACGATAGGCTTGATCTCTATCAGCACGATGTCGCAAGGAGGCTTGTCGGAGGCTACCGTAACGCGCCCGAGCGGTGGCTCACACGAGCGCCATGTTTCCACACGAATGACAGTACCTATGCCATCGCCCAGCGGCCCGGAGCCTGCAAAGCAGTCTTCGCTGGCTGTCAAGTATACGTGGGCCTTCAGCAGCGGTAGCAGCCCTACAAGTACAGCGACACCGACTGAAGGACGCGAACACGGCGGATTGTCGCCGAGCATCGTCAGCTTCAGTAGATCAGATATATCATTGGCGACCTCGCGCACATCTGACGCCGTACTGTTCACAATGCTGTCGTCGATGATCGACGGCTCAGATAGACCAGACATCGCTGGCAGTACGCCAGCGACAACGTCTATGGGATTGCCTACGCAAGCCAGCCCGGCATCTGACTCAAAGAGCGACGGTGCGAGCAAAACAGATGTCGATCCTACGCCCGACGGAGACACAAGCCCTACTTCCGAGGCACTGACTGCTAGCTCCACATTAGGATCCATAAGCGATGTCCCCAAAGAAACACCCGCTGATGACATCGACAGAGCTATCGAGCCTACAGATCTGCTATCATCTGAATCTTTGCAACCCACCGGCATCCTCGCATCTGACTCGGCCGGAATCACTCCAGCCTCAATCGTAGACTCTGACAGCCCGACCGAGACAAGCGTTATCGCTGGCGATGACGTCCCCGCGGCAACGCTCGATGCCTCGCCCCAGCCAGAGGCAACACCTAGCGATGTGCCAGGCGATGAGACCGACAGTGACACGAACACCGACCCCACAGACGCCGATGTACCGGCTGACCCTGCTCAAGCGCCGGACATGAGCATTGCGCCCCATTCGGAGCCTGAGGAGACGCCAACTGACGACGCTGAGCCTGAAGATGCGTCTGGAGACCCAGTGTCTTCTCCTGATCCGCCAGAGGATACACCAGAAGCCCCAACAGCGCCAACTGACGATGCTGGGCCTGAAGATGCGCCTGGAGACCCAGTGTCTCCTCCTCCTGACTCGCCAGAGGATACTCCAGAAGCCCCAACAGCGCCGGTGGATGAAGATGGACCCGAAGCAGTTGACCCGAGCGACACTGCAAGTCCCGATGCGGCGCCATCTCCGGATGATGAGGACACAGATCTACCAGCAAATGACATGCCGGACACAGAATCGCGCGATGCGGACGATGTGCCCGCAGTCGATGACGCAGAAGCTGGGGCAGCGGACGATTCCTTGGACTCTCTCGATGGACTCGATATTGCTGACGTGGACGATCCCTTTCCTGACGGCGGCGTGTTCTATGAAGACGCGGACAACGCAGACGCGCCCGATCTATTGCGTCGGACGGTGCCTGGCCCACCTGACCCATCTAGGTACTTGTCGGTACGCCAGCCTGCCGCAAAGAATCCAAAAGCGCTCTTCATCGATGGTTCCCGCGAGTGGCCAGGCCAAATTGGGCTAGACGTCCCAATACTGGCAGCCATGCTCATGTTGCTCCTGACACTCGGCGTGATACCCATCGTGCACACTATAAGATTACGTCGGGGCACTCGTCGTCGCATCGACTCACATGCACATCTTATGAGTCGGTAGGGCTCGCACACGTATAGAATGCATACGCGTCGACGCCCGGCTTGACCTCGAGTACTTCTTAGTGTCGTGATGTCAGCCGACATCAGCATTCGCCGGCAGGTGCTGAACTTGACACACCGAGTCCGCTTCTACTGCGAACATGGCCCAATTGGCGGGCGACGACGAGGCGCAAGGTCCGGCCGCATTGCTGAAATCGGACGATACCTCAGACATGGGCCGGCAAAGTCCTGGTCCAGATGCTGCCATTCGAAAGCTTGCAGTACCCGGACACGTCCAACACGGCGCAAGCCATGGACAAGGGCATCAGGGTCGTCATCATGATGACCAGTCTCAGCCTCACCATCAACAACGGCATCTCGCGCTTACAAAGGCAGATGTCCATGGCCCACAGATGCTCGCCTACGATGTGATAGAGCCATCAGATGTAGCAGAGTCCGTATCGTCTGCTCCGGTGAGCTTTGCCAAGCCAACGACGTCGCGACGTCACAAGGCGCACAAGACTAAGCCCGCTTCGACAATTTGGTGGACTCCGACAGCCGGCGACGCAGCATTCCCTTCATGGCAGGCTACGCACACATTCAATCCCTACATTGCGGAGCCGGCTGCCGCAACGGCCTGGTGGACGCCGGGACCAGATGACGGCGATTACACGCCACCTGCACCAGTGGCTGCTGAAATCGCGTCGTCTACTGCAATGACAATCCCAGAAGTCTCGTCAGTTCCGCCAATGCCAGATGCAGTCATGGCGGACTTGTCAGATGCCAGTACGGTACCCTGCAGCTCTACGGTATCCTCATTGTCCCTTGCAGCCGAAGTGGCGACCTCGAGCTCATTCTCGATTGAGGCTGCATCCAGCTTGTGCACAAGCTCTGCCGCGATGCAAACTGCGTCCATCTTTACCACGAGCTCTGCATCGGCGATAGCTACATGCAGCTCGAGCAAGACTTTCGCCTCGATGGACGTTGCTTCCATGTCGAGCGAGAGCGCTGCCTCGATGAAAGACATACCCGCTCCGAGCTTGAGCTTTGTACCGGCGGACGCCACAATCAGCTCAGGCGGGATTTCTGAGTCGACGAAAGCTGCTACCGCCACAAGCACAAGCTCTGCATCTCTCACAGCGCAAGCTGCTCCGCCGAGCACTCTCACCTCTACAACCGCTGCGATGTCCACATGTAGTGGTTCTATGAGCGATCAGGCCCTTCATGCAGCTAATGACATGACAGCGTCGAGCCCTTCGGCGCTGGCGGCAGCGGCTGAGGAAGCATCGTCGAGCGTCTTCGTCGTGACCAGCACGCAATATGTCTATCCCGATGGTAGCCCTGCCATCATCGATGCCATCGTTGACAATGAGAACGATAGCTACAGCAGACAAGTCGGTGTACCTACCTTGCGCCACCGGAGCTCATCCACGATCGGTTCGACCTATACGCTTTCGGTGACCGCTACAACGACAATCGCGCCTGGCACTCGCCCTACCGATATGCCCGAGCTGAATGCCCACGATACAGTCAATCTCGGCAACCTTAAGCTAACACGCACGACGGGTGTTCTCGTCTACATCATTATCGGGATGGCCTCAATTGCTATCCTTGCCAGCGCAGTCAGCTATGCCTTCTCTCGCATCTCACGGAACCGTCGCGGGGCACCCAGCGTATTTCGCAGCGAGTCTCGTCACGGTTACCCAGAGTCGGTTGTGACTGTTGAGGAACGGTCCGATGAAGCGAAGCCTGCACCTGATGGAATGACTCAGATCGACCTAGGCCAGGCAAGCGCGGAACGAGTCATGCCCTGGCAAAGTCCCTCGCGATTCGCCAAATCCCTCAAAGCCAGTGCATTACCTCGTCGGGTCTCGCCTTATGCGACTGAATTCTCTCCCGGTCGAACCTCTCGCACACTCGCTACGAGCACGTATAGCACGCACTCGGATCATCAAGTCAGCGAACTCATTCGACAGCGTGCAACGTCGACTAGTCGTCAGGCTCCGATGGAAGACCTGTAGAGCGGTGCATATCCTTCAACACATAACATCACCTGGATCTCGCATTCTCTAGCTTGCGAAGGCGCGCGGCTTGAAGCCTTTGGGCCTTTTGCGCCCTGAAGTCTGTCTCTGAAGTTGATGCTAATATGCTGTGGCTGTTGCGAGAGGCGCTAGCCGGAGCGCCAACTGAGTGAGCGAGATCGTCTAGCCGCACTTGTGCTTGGGCGATAGTTTGGCGGCGAGCAGGTGCCAAGTATGTACGCGCGTCTGGCTGTCGGATGGCATTGTATTGCCTCTGCTCGGCCGTACGGGCGCTGGCTTTTTGCTGCGCTGTCGCGACTTGGTCGTTCCATGTCTTCCTGATAGAATCCGTGAAGCTCAGCTCTGGCGGAGCGTTTGGCAGGACGGGTTGCTTCTTGCGCTCCGGGATATCGTAATAGTTGCGCACAGCTGGTAGTCTCATGATGAAGGCTTGGATCAGCGACCAGGTGTTGTTAATCGTCCAGTACCAGAGCATAGCCTGCAAAGACACCTTAGACAATGCCAATTGACTTTGCATCAGAGACTTACAGCGGGAAAGGTCGCAACAAAGGCAATGGAGACGACTGCAAGGAATCGAAAGGCGATCTTCATGTTCTTGCTTGCCTCGTTGCCCGTCTCTACACCAGTCTCGAGGACGATGAGCGTAGCGACAGCGCTTGCGATGGGTAGCGCATAGTAGGGATCGCGCAGCGTCAGATCGGTGAACCAGCCAAGGCCACCGTCAAGAAGGCTGGGGTACTTGGCATACGCCATACCTCGCAGCGCGAAGAAGAACGTGATGGCAGTTGTGGCTTGTGCAGCGACCGGGCCGAGCATCTTGAGTGGACTGCAGTTGTTAGCAATGTAAAGAGCCTGAGCTTTCTGCGAGACTGCCTGTACTTTGGCAGTATCGCTATTCGCCCTGGCCTCTTTCAGTTCGGCCATCAACGGTTTCATCTGCGGATTAATGTTCGCTATGCGCGCATTGTTGGCCATGCCGTTGGCGACGATGGGAAAGATGAGTGACCGAGTTATCACGACGGCGACGATGGTCGTTGCCCACCAGGGCAGTCCGGTAGCGGTATGTATGTTCTCGAGCATCTGCTGAACGAGCGAAGATGGCCACCAGCTCTGGCCTAGTCCGTATTCTGCTAACGTGTGCGAGGCAGTCTCGACATTGGCAACGACAGCGTCAGTGGTCGCCTCGACTTGCGCGACGACTTCCTCTGCCATGCTCTCTGCGGGCTGTGTTGAGACCTGAGCACTCTCCTGTGCCGTCGCTTGGGCGAGCTCGTTTGCGTCTGGTGAAGCGGCTGGCCAACTTGGCTCTTTGGGACCTAATCTGCCGAGTACATCGTACGACAGCGCTCGCCGTCCAAAGTCAACGTATCGACCACTCCGGCGAGTGGCTAGAGTTCGAGACGACGTCAACAGCAGGGAAGATGACGCCGGTCCTGCCGGTTGAGTGAGACGACGCCGACTTTGAGCGATCGATGAGCCTGAGAGATGCTCGAGCCTGGAATGCGCCAGAACGTCAGTGTGTGATCAGAGCGGGCGATCCTCTGCTTGCCTCAGCCGTGAAGGGCCTGCGATAGCCTGGCGAGACCTCTGCAGGAGCGACATCGTGGAGGCTGAAGGCTGTCAGGGTGAGCGCGAGTTTTATAGGGAAGTCGTCTCTCGAAGCGGCAAGGCAAGCAGTCGACTAGCTAAAGAGCAGCTCAACATATGGCAGAAGAGACCGTCAAGACAGGTGAGACGGCAGCGCCAGCAGCCCAGAAGGAGGCTGTCGTGCCCGCTGTCGTACTCGACAAATACAAGGCTGCGTCAAGCGTCGTCGGCAATGCGCTCAAGCATGTCCTCAGCCTGCTCGTCGACTCTGCCCTCATCCTCGACATCGTCACAAAGGGTGATCAGGCCATCACGGACGAGTGCGCCAACGTCTACAACAAGACCGGCGCTCACAAGGTCGCTAAAGGTGAACTTTGTCTCCTTTTTCCTGCTACCCTCGCCATTCGACGAAGAGCTCTCTCGTCGAGCTGCCCCGAAGCCTTCGGGATCTCCCTCGAACACCTTGCTGACCTTTGCACTCTTCTGGGGCACCAGGCATCTCCCATCCGACCTGCATCAGCGTCAACAACGTCGTGGCGCACTACAGCCCCTTGCCCTCAGACAGCGTTCATTCGATCACCAAGCTCTCCAAGGGAGACCTCGTCAAGGTTGTCATGGGCGCCCACATCGACGGCTACGCGAGTATCGCAGCAGAAACGCGCGTGCCCTCTCATTCAGATTGGGTCACACGAGCAAGCTCACCCGGGTCCTCGTGCGTGCAGGATCGTCGTAGGCGCGAGCAAAGAGGACCCTGTGACCGGTCGCAAGGCCGACCTGATCGCTGCTGCTCACCATGTCGCCGAGGCTGCGCTGAGAAGTGCCAAGGTTGGCGGCAAGAACTGGGAGGTCACCGATGGCGCAGCCAAGGTGCTGCACGAGTATGCTGGCAAGCTCAAGGGAATCGAAGGTATGCCCCGCCTTGAAGGCTAATGTGGACTAGAGCTGATGCTGGCTGGTACAGGCATGTCCTCGCATCAAGTCAGTCCAGCAGCGCAGAGTACAACATGAGCTGATGAGTGGCTGAATGAAAGCACCTACAAAACGACATCTATGCCAAGAAAACGATCACCGTCTTTCCCACCTCAGAGGGTCGAAGAGACTCTGACAACAACTTTCTGCTCGAAGAGGGCGATGTGTTCGCTCTCGATGTCATCGTCACAAGCGGCGAGGAAGGAAAGGTAAGCCCATCTCACATGTCGTTGGCCTCCTCCTGACACGCGTGGTAGGCCAAAGCGACAGGCAATGTCCCTACGACAGTGTATGGCAAGACGTCATCGGCATACCAACTCAAAATGAAGACTTCTCGTGCGACATTCTCAGAAGTCTCAAAGAAGGCCGGCTCCTTCCCTTTCTCCCTCAGAATTCTGGACGACGAACGAAGAGCGAAGCTGGGCATGCAAGAGTGCGTCCAGCATGGTCTCATGAAGCCCTTTGATGTCTAGTGCGTACACTCAACCTTGCGAGCCCGTGATGAGACCTGAAGAGCCTGATGCAGCACGGCCGACAAGAGCTCCGACTTGGTCGCGCAAGTCATGGTCACGTTTATGCTCGGTAAGACGGGCGTGACGAGGCTGAGCCACACGCCTCACTTCTTCTCTGCCGAGCTGGTCAAGCCAGACACAGAGATCAAGTCGGAAGAAGTCAAGGCGCTGCTGAGTCAGCCGCTCAAAGTAGACAAGAAGAAGGCCGCCAAGAAGGCCAAAAAAGCGGCAGAAGCAGCATGAAGCTAGAAGCTCTGCCGCTCGATCGCGAATACTGCCCCAATGTATTGCATATATGTACCCGCTCGCATGCGCACGTGCTGGGCCGTTACTGCATCAACGGCGATGTTCAAGCAGAGTGTGCGCGCTGTAGGTGCACCGCTGTTGGCATGTCTCGCGGCGCGGTCAAGCGATCTTGCATAGGCACCTCATTCTCTCGATTGGCAGCTTCAAGATCTGCCAAAGGAGGATCTGAACGCACGATGGGCAGCGCTCCAGGGTTGCTTGCCGTCACTGGGCGGATGATCAGCGCCGTAGACGGCGGCGAGAGAGAGACGCGTCGGCTTACCCCAAGTGGTGCGGTCCATGGGACACTGCTTCTTGGACTGGTCCGTGCTGAGCCACTTGAGTATGCAATGCATATGGAAGACATGCGAACATTCTCCCCACACTGTCGCGCGAGCGATCAACCTCGAGATAGGCGCACGACCCGAGCAAACTGACTGAGTGGACATTCGTCGCCGGGACGCTTGCAGTCCTGGCAGCAGCCATCAAACGGAGCTCGACAGATACCGCACACGTCTTCCTCCTCGTCCTCTTCTCTGTCGTCTCCGTCCGGGGCAGCCTTGTTGGTGGAGGAAAACAAGATCGAGGCAGAGTGGTCGACAGAGGCGTTTGAGGTACGTCGTTGGACGCCTGAAGTCGCTTTGCCGAGCTCCCATGCCCAGACTGCGACTGGCCTGTACTCGACCAGCGTGATCTTCATCCCATCTGACTGCCTGAGGCGTCAGCGGACTAGTCCCTTGCTAGTCGAGTCGAGTCGCGCGTCGTGCGAGTCGTGCCGTGTCCGTCTGCCTGCGAGATCCAATGGCCGATGCTATCTCGCCCTCACCGCCGGATCTGGTTCCACCGCCCAGCACGGGCACGCACACAACGTCTCAATACACTGCCACGCTGAAGTCTGTCGCAGGCCCGGAGCTAGACCCAGAGACGGAGGAATTATGGTCGTCCAGAGCGTTGTTACTCGTCAGTGACCTGGATCGAGATAGCCACGCGATAGCTCATCACTGTGCCCTTCTCGACAGGTGCTGCTCCTCCTGATCCTGTCTTTCTGGACGGCCTACTACCGTGAGAGCAGATCGGCACGCTCTATCGGTGCGCGCTGACCCGTCGAGATAGTCAAGGTACGCAAGATCAAGAGCGTTCACGAGACGATTGTAGCAACCTTTGCTGGCGAGTGAAGTCCTCTCAGTGCAGCTCTGTACTCGTCTGAGCGCGTCCGTGCAGGCATGTTCGTCGGATTCGTCATACGGGTCCTGCCAGGCGACGCGATACAAGGCATGCTCACGTTCAAGAGCACCATCATGCTCAATGTCTTGCTGCCCCCCATCATTCTCAACAGTGGCTTCGAGCTCCGGCAGGCATGTCATCATGTCTGACCACCGTACGGCTCGTGCTGATGTGCAACTTCGCAGGAGAACTTCTTTCGCAACTTTGGCGTCATCCTCACTTTCGCGTTCACTGGCACCTTCATCTCTGCCATCGTGCTCGGGTGAGCGACTTGTTCAAGCTGAACGTATAGCCACTGATCGCTATCGATACAGCGTGCTGGTGTATATATGGGCTCTGCTAGGACTCGAAGGACTGTCGTTGACGCTCATCGAATGTCTCATCTACGGCACGACCCTCAGCGCGACAGACCCCGTCACGATCCTCGCCATCTTCAATGCCCTCAAGGTCGACCCAAAGCTATACAGTGTCATCTTTGGCGAGTCCATCCTCAACGATGCTGTCGCTATCGTCATGTTCGAGTAAGCGCACCCTCTGTAGCACGCTCAATACGCAACCTTACGATGGGCCGTACAGAACGCTGTCAAAGTTTCATGGCGAGAAGATCCATCTGCTGTCTTTCTTCCACGGCGTGGGCATCTTCCTTCTCACGTTCTGCACTTCCATGGCGCTCGGCGTCATCTTTGGCCTCGGACTCTCGCTCATGCTCAAGCACTCCAACCTGGCTCACTACCCCGAGATCGAGAGCTGTCTCGTCACGCTGACGGCGTACACGAGCTACTTCTTCAGCAATGGTCTCACGATGAGCGGTTCGTCCATTTCCTCTCGAGGCAGCGCGAAACTGATGACAGCGCGCCCACAGGCATCGTGTCCCTGCTGTTCTGTGGCATCACGCTCAAGCACTATGCCTATCACAACATGTCACGACGGACACAGAGAGCGACGAAATACATCTTCCGTACGCTCGCACAGCTGTGCGAGAATTTCATCTTCATCTATCTCGGCCTGGCCCTCTTCACTCAAAAGCAACTCGTCTACAAGCCTATCTTCATCCTCGTCACTGCACTGGCAGTTTGTGTAGCACGTTATGCTGCCGTATTCCCCATATCCAAGCTCATCAACGTCGTCTTCAAAGCGCGCGGTCAGCGACATGACGAGCTACCGCATTCTTACCAGATGATGCTCTTCTGGGCCGGCCTCAGAGGTGCAGTCGGCGTGGCTCTCGCAGCGGGCCTGACGGGGGATGGCGCCGCTGCTCTGCGTACCAGCGTCCTCGTCACCGTCGTGCTGACTGTCATCTTCTTTGGCGGGACGACCGGCCGGATGGTGGAGATCCTCGGCATTCGCACTGGTGTGGACGAAGAAGATGATAGCTCTGAGGACGAAGGCTATGCGGGCATCTCGGGCAGTACGAATCAGTATCACGAGGTCAGCCACGCGCACAACTCGAAGCAATCACTGCAATCCATGGAGAATGGCTTGGCGTCAGCGGACGACAGTCAGTACATCGACTGGAGTACAAGAGGTCATCATCGTCAGCAGTCCAACGGCTCGCGGAACGTACCTTATCCCTCTATGCCGCCAAGGCACAATCGTCACTTTAGCGATCAATCGATTGGAGAAGAAGATGACGAGACCGAATCGCCCACCAGACTAGACCCAGATCGAGCAGACGAGCCGCCGCCTGCTGACGGACAAGACCATACGCAACATGTCTGGCGAGACGGTCAGTGGTTCAACGTTTTGGACGAACGCTTCCTCCTGCCTGTCTTCTCGAACGCGACTGCTTCGCGGCGACAACAGTCCAAAAAGCAGGCGTCCAGACTGGCGCGACACCAGAGCGGCCAGTACGGTGATATGTCGCTCGACGAGGGGGACCTCGCGGGCAGTGGCGCCGACTCGCCCGTCAACAAGCGTGACAGCTCCTCGTCAGTGCCCAAGAAGGATTTTGAGGGCACTTTCTCAAGTGTCCTATCCTCGTTGGTTTCGGGCAACCCGGGCGTAAGCTCATCAGGCGTATCGGCGCCCAGTACGAGCGCGAGCAATTTTGCCGCCGCCATGTTGGGAAACGGGAGGAAAAGAAGAGAGAGTGACGATCCTGCCTCACCGGGCGATCAGGATGATGGCTCCACGATCGATCTCTCCCTGGCCGGTAGAACGAGTATGCATCCAGATAACGCTAGCCGAAGCCGGACAAGCCAGTCCTCATCGGCCAGTCTGGTGCCACAGACCATCGTGACCGCACGCAGGACAAGCGCAGACGACGTTAACGACTGGCGATAGACATACGTGTTACCACTACTTCTTCCTGTTGTAACAATAGCAAGCCCATTTGTCAGTTGTCGCGAGTGCAGCAAGAGCGAGGCAACGAACTTGATGTCTTTGCGCTTGATCGTATCACGCTTTTCTCCGTTGTGCACAAAGACGCCCTTGCCTCTGTAGGGTTCCGGCGGTCTGATCATGCCCGTCAGCATCGCTCGAGGCAGACAAGGACGAGAAGAAGCGGCGTACCTTTGCCGTCGGATATTTGCTGCATACTCGCCCAGGAGATGGTTGTCGACACTTGTGATGACGACGCGGGTGGGCGAAAGCACTTCGGCAGTCATGCCTGGTGGCAAGGGTGCCTCAAAAGGATTTGGATAGCCCAATCTGAACGTCAGCTGCTGACCGCCCGTGTCTGACTTTGGATTCGGCTCGAGTGTGACGCGATAGCCAACGCCGACGAGTTCGATCTCCCTCGTGAAGGGAACAGTGACGCCTCTGATGGCATTGTAGATGAGCATGCGAGTGAGACCCCAGACTCCTCGCTGGTACTTGACGGCTGGCTTTGCTATCTCAACTTGTACGGTCGAGCCAGCGTTGGCCGGCGAAAGAGTCTTTGGCGTCTTATTGGGCAGTACAGTGTCGCCGACTCGCAAGGTGACGCAGCTCGCAATCTCTACGTTCACGATCCCCTTTGGACCCGTGACGGCCAGCTCGGCCAGATCCATCCTCGCTCGTTTTGCAGACGGTTTGTCGGGCAAAGGACGAATGCTGAAGGAGATGCCCGGAGGTATCTCGACAGGGTCCTTGCCGACGTGAGATCTAGCCGTCGCTGACTTTGAGAAGCCTGCTCGTAAGCGTACACGTAGCGCTCGGCAGGTACATGGCAGCATGCTCGGAGGCCAGGCGGCAAGTTCGACTTGTCGCGCGAGATTCGATCGACTTGGTCGAGTGACGACAATCCACAGCATCAGATCGCTCGACACCGGCCTCTGCAGATGACATTCCTCGTCTACTCTGCCCTCGCGGTAGCCCTGACAGGCTGCCTAGCAAGGGCAGACGCATTGTCGCCCCAGCCGATGATGCTCTCCATACGCCAGCCCAATGTGACGACATTCAGCGATCTCAGGTCATCAGTGCGACCGTTCGCAGGCTTGTCACTGCCTCAGAGGGACAAGGAATGCCCGCCATGCTTCAATTGCCAGCTACCGGCGTTCAATTGCTTGCAATTTGGAGAATGTAATCCTTATGATGGCCAGTGTCGCTGTCCAGAGGGCTTCGGTGGCCAGAACTGTAGCGAGCCATTGTGCGGCTCGCTCGCAGATGGCAACGAGCGCTATCCTCGCACAGACGGTCAATGCGAGTGTCCCTTAGGCTGGACGGGGATCAATTGCAATGGTGAGACTGGTAATAGTCAATCGAGATAAAGCGATGCTGACCCTCGATACGCGTACAGTGTGTCAGACCGATGAGGCCTGTGTACCGCTCGTCGCTGCACCTGATAGAGGCAATGGCGCACCCTACAGCTATCTGCCTGGCTCTGAAGACGCACAGCGCTATCAGATATCGAAGGACGCGTCAGCTGAGCCGCCCAAGCCAGGCGCAAGCAATGGCGCAGTCTGCTACAAAGGAGGCTACACGGTCAACCGGATGCATCAGATGTGCGATGTTACCAGTACATCTGCTGCCATCTATCTGTGAAGATATACTGACCAAGCACCCTGCACAGACCGAAAGATCCTTGACATGCTGCCCGATCGCGCACCGCAAGTCACTTTCACGTGTGACAATAGCACGGCCACATGTGGCTTCCAATTCTGGATCGGCCAGCTGGAGTCGTTCTATTGCGGTCTTCGAGACTGTCAAAGCAGCATCGAGATCGGCTACGATGTCAACACGACCGACTACAGGTGTCAGGAGGTCGAATGCAGCTGTATTGCCGAACGCATGCTCTGCGGCGAAGATGGCTCGGTCGACATATCAGACTTTCTCACAGAAGAGATCAGAGGACCCGGCAGATTCTCTTGCAAGTCTGACGGATCTGGCTGCAAGTTCGAGGAGCCAGCGATGAATAATCTCATCAACGACATCTTCGGCGACAGCTACATTACGCTCAATTGCGAATCGGGAGAGTGCATGCACTATTCCCAGGTGCCAGGCTTCAGGATACCTGACCCGCCTGACAATAGCGCTCTGGTCGCATTCTCGATCGCATTTGCCGGTTTGCTCGTCGTCGGCTTCTCTCTGCTCTTTTGGTACTTGGGCCGAGCCCATAAGCACCCCGACTACCTCGGGCGCGGCACGATACAGTTGCCAGAAGACGAGACTGACAAGCTCATGTCGGAGCATATCCCAGCTGCACTCCATTTCGCTGATCTGACTTATACTGTCAACGGCAAGACTGTGCTGTCGGGCGTCTGCGGATCCGTCAAGCCTGGGCAGCTGTTGGCTATCGTAGGCGCATCTGGCGCTGGCAAATCGACCTTCCTAGACATCCTTGCGAAGAAGGACAAGCGAGGGACTGTCAGCGGGACGGTGCTCGTCAATGGACGTACCATCCCAGACAACAAGTACAAGCGCATCATCGGCTATGTCGATCAAGAGGACACACTCATGTCGACCTTGACAGTCTACGAGACCGTCTTCTATTCAGCTCAGCTCAGGCTGCCGCGCGAGATGAGCTTGGCCGCAAAGCGATTGCGCACGCTCGAGACTATGCACGAGCTGGGTATCCTCAGCATCAGAGATTCTCGCATCGGTGAGACGGGCAAGCGTTCGATCTCTGGCGGAGAAAAGCGAAGGGTCTCGATCGCATGCGAGCTCGTCACTTCACCTTCCGTGCTTTTCCTCGACGAGCCAACTTCGGGCCTGGACGCATACAACGCATTCAACGTCGTGGATTGCCTTAGCGCATTGGCGAGGAATTACAACAGGACGGTCATCTTTACGATACATCAACCTCGCAGCAATATCATCTCGTTGTTTGACCAGCTGCTACTCTTGGCCAAGGGCAGGACTGTCTATTCTGGATCATACGATCACTGTCAGGCGTATTTCGAAAGCATCGGTCATGCCTGCCCGCCTGGCTACAATCTAGCAGACTTTCTCAGTGAGCATTGCTTCCTTGCTGCCTCTGATTCCCACTAAACTCTCGTTACAGTCGATCTCACGTCAAGAAAGGACGATACAGAGATCAGCAAGAGGTCGAGACTAAGTGGTGACGGAGATGATGCAGAGCTTGACGAGCCAGCACTCACTTCTCGGCTGGCGCGCTCACAGAACTCCAACTCCGAGACACAGAGACAGCAGAACGGTCAGAGCGTGATGCAAACCGCGGGCAGCAGATTCAGCAGACCAGAGTCATCATCTCCTCGTGTACAGGAACTCGTAGACACCTTTTCAGCGAGTCACATGGCTACTGCCTTTCGCGAAGAGCTGTCGACCTTTCAAAACGCGATCAGCAGCACTTTGGCAATTGCAGACGGTTCTGCTCTTCGCGATCTGGAGATCGACAGCGAGGTGCGAGGTTATCGCAAGGCCGGGCTATGGACGCAATTTACTATCCTCAGCGGTCGCGCGTTCAAAAACCTATATCGCAATCCGATGCTTATGCTCTCCCACTATGTATTGTCGGTCGTTCTCGCTCTCGTCTGTGCCTTCNTNTTCCGCAATGTTACGGACGACATTCCTGGCTTTCAGAACAGGATGGGTCTCTTCTTCTTTGTTCTGGCACTCTTCGGCTTCTCTTGCTTGACGAGCCTCACTGTCTTTGCCAACGAGCGGATATTATTCATGCGCGAGCGATCGAATGGGTACTACAGTCCTTTCACCTATTTCACTGCAAAGGTGCTCTTCGACATACTGCCACTGCGCNTCGTGCCACCCTTCATTCTAGGCGCGATCATCTATCGACCTGTCGGTCTCGTGCCGACTGTTACAGAGTTCTGGAATTTCATCCTCATCCTGGTGCTATTCAACCTCGTCGCGAGCTCGGTGGTTCTGTTCATCAGCATCGTCATTAGCGACAACGGCGTTGCTAACCTAGTCGGAAGCCTCGTCATGCTCTTCAAGCAAGTCATCCGACATGCTTGCGTCTCTGTGACTGACTTCTTACGGCAGCCTGCTGTTCGCTGGCCTCTTGATCAATCGCGACAAGGTTCCGCAAGCTGTCGGTTGGCTGCAGACAATCTCATTCTTTCATGCCGCATTCGAATCGCTGCTCGTCAACGAGCTTCGGTATTTGCAGCTCAAGGACCATCGAGTGAGTCCACGTGGCATCAGGNCCGTACAGTATTGACGCGCCTCTGCAGTATGGTGTCGATATTGAGGTTCCGTCGGCGACAATCCTCAGTATGTTTGGCTTCAGAGGTATGTCAAGCTGCATNGCTTGCGACAAGCTGATGAGAGGAACTCGCAGCGAGTCAACTGTATGCCGATGCTGNTATCTTACTCGCTTTCTTNGTNGCCTTCACNGCAGCATCTCTCCTTGCGTTACAGCTNTTNGTCAAGGAGAAGCGGTGATGCGCTCCGGTGTAGGCATGCATGATGACGCGTCATTCATTGGTTCATGCCACAGTACATAGCTCAGTCAACAGATT